AATTGTTTATTGACGCATGATAACATGATAATCAAACCTTTAATTTCAAAAGTTTCAGCTAATTCTGTATCTCCGCCTTTCTTTTTCTTCTTTTTCCTTTTTGACTTGTTGTTCTTCACTATCTGAAAGATAACACGTAACATTCACACAATCAGAATTTTCAATATATACTGTCTCTGTAAACTGTCAACGAATCTGAAAACTGCAAACAAGCAATTTTATCAAGTAATTCTATATACCTGATTCACATTTCTCTTTTTTTATCTTTTTCAATTTCTTTTCTTTAACCTCATCTTAAACAAAGAACCAGAACATGCAAACGTCAGAATTATGTATAATAAGTAAAATACATCATCTAATAAAACAAAATAAGTTGTCATAGAACTAAAAGATATACAGCAAAACATGTAAAAAACTCGATTTTATGAATAAATAATAGAAGAACGCAATGTACTTTAGAGTTAAAATTTCAGCAATACAATTGTTGATGTCAATAATAGATAGATATCTTTACATAATTACAGAAAATACTGACTGGTAGAGTATTTCAAAAAATTTGAGACAAACCTGTAATTTCAACACCATTTGTTTCTTCTGTATCAACAGACTCTTCATGCTTACGTTTCTTTCCAGAAAACAAAGTGGAGTCTGTTTCAGGATTATATCTTTTATTTCACTAAAAAATTTTACAAACACCACATACATACACATCAACAGAAGTGGGCATTGCATAAAACATGATAAAAAGCCCAGGGAAATAGAAAATTTTTGTTATGTTTAAGCTGTAATTTATACAAGCTCTATTCAATAAATTCTTGGGGCATCAATGTACATACTCTGTGCTCTAATGATGTAGAAGAGAAGATAAAGGGTTTGCAAATGAATTTAAAATCATGCATCACTAAGTGCTTGTAGAAAAAGATATCAAGCTTACCCTGCATTTCGTATTTCTGATTCTTGACAGCAGCTTTACCTGTTCCACTAATTTTTTTCATCTATAAAGAGATGTGCTTTACTTTTAACACTTCAAAAGTGACACTTATTTCTTTCTACTAAACTGTATTCATCCTTTTACCTGGCCTTCTTCCAGAGCTCGTACTCTTGATTCAACTTTAGCCCTAATTTCCATTCCCAATTCAACATCAACATCCTCACCTAAAGCATCAACTCTTGCTGCTAATGATGCTTTAGCTGCAAGCATCCGTGATATCTAGACAACAAACAATGTAAAGGCTCTATTTATTATTTGATTGCTTTTTCAAGCATAGAAAATGCCTTAGATGTTTATAAATATCCTATGCACCTTTCCCTTGTTCTTTGCATTTGATTGTCCCACTAAAGAAGCATGATATATCAGACCATATTTTGGAGTGTCATGTTTGGTCTTCAAAGCTCTAAATAATGCCTTTTCCGCTCCCAATATCTGAACTGTTGATGACGGATGTTTTGCAAGATTTACTAAAGAACCTAAAATCAATAAAAACATGCATTACAGTTACATCTAGCGAAACAAAAATTGTATTTTAACAATGATTTCTTACACATAAATCTGGGCCCTTGCAACAATACATAGTTTAAGTAGCATGAAATAAAGTCATACCAGCATGTGCTATTAGTCGAGCTCCTACAAGTTCACCAACTAAGACAGTCAAGTTGGGTGCAATGGCACTCATTCTGTTCTTTAAGTAGTCATACAGCTGAGATCTGTAGTCAGAAATCTCAATAACCTAGAAATTGAATATAACAGTTAACACAAAGCTACCTACTGTTATGAAGAAAACATAAGAAAAACTATGAATCCAAGGATAATATAAAGTTTCAAAAAAACAGCATAAATAGTAATTGGAATATTGCCATAAAATATTCCATACATTTATTTTATTTCTCTATTCATTCAAATTTAATTTTCGTTCATGTAACATGAATTGAACATCCATTTACTTAATGACAAATAAAAACATTTTCAATAACCCTATTGTAGACTAATGAATCAATTGATGCAAGGTGGGTGATTTTTCTTGAGCCCTACATGGAAAATTTGCACTAAAAACTAATAATACAAAAGCGTTCAATTTTAATAAGGAAATTTTGTAAGAAAGGGCCTTGGTACAATTGTTGTAATGAAGCATAAATATAAAGTGAATTGTGATAACACAAGCTTAAAGGACAAGACAAAAATGCAAAAGTCTTCGTACATTATGTGTGCAAGAATTAGGGATTTAATTTATCTGTCTTCATACCTGATCACATAGATAAATTATATTTGCAATATCTCCATCAGATACCTGTCAAGATAAAAAATAAAAACATTTTAAATCTACAAATAAAACTCAACATCTCACTTAACAATTTGTAAAAATAATTAATAAGTAAAACTAACAACTTCAGAAACATCAAAAATAAATTAAAATAATTTCAATATTTTTATCCAAATTACTTGAGAAATTGTTTAGCTGAAATAAATTTATGTTAGCACCTCTGTTCCCATAGAAATCTCTGCAGCAGCTTTCACTTCTTCCTCTACATCTTCAGGAATGGTGTCAGAGAGGTCCACATTTTGAATATTGGTTCGTAAACCTATAATAGTTATTTATCATTTGCAATAAAATCTAAAAACCTTATATGCAACATGTCTGTTTCCAAAAGTCCAACAAAGTCGATGTCCAACAAAGAAATAGATTTTGACAAAAAAATCTTTGTCAACAAATTTAATGTTCCTTGCATTATTTATTTACCAAAGACTTGGCCCTGACCATTATGGTAAAAATGACCAGGAATTTGACAACTTTGGATTTGACAAATTTCATGGACCAACCAAAATCACCCCTACAACATAAGCGCTAGTAATGTCAGTATGTATTTTACTGTACCTATTTTTTTCACAGCTTTGGCAAACACCAAATTATCAGTAACGATCTTTCCAAACTCTGGGAAATGCCAGCCATACCACTCCCGACATCTCATCGCATAATTATTCAACTCTTTGTCAAGATCATCAAGCAATGAAATGGCTTGCACAATCATTGTGTCTACTTTATCTGGACTGAACTTCAGCTTGTACCGAGATAAACTGTCAAGAACACACATGCAATCATGCATATTTCACAACTCTCATTCAAATTGACATCACTTTAAAGTAACCAACCTATGAGCTAAGCCAAGAGCCATGGACGAAACATCAGACTCAGGAAGTCCTGAAATGACATCAAGGGTATTAAGACCAAATAACATAAAAATTAAACAACATTAAAATTTCAAAGATGAACCTGTCAGAAGATTGTTCATTTGACTTCTTATGCCTCTCATCAATTCTTGAATTGCTGAACTGTACAAACAATTAAGATTCAATTTCTCCTAAAGAGAAAATAAAATACTTATTAACATACACCAAGTTGGGCAAAATAAACAAGAATGAAGTCAATGAATAAGAGTTTAAATTATTTTACTTTAATAGAATTTCCCAGTTTTGCATCAGCAACAGCCAGTTTCTCGTTCAAATCTTTAGACACAATCTTCTTTAAAACCTTTTTCAAATTCTTCGACATTTTGCCCTCGACAGCAGCAGTTGCAGCTAAAGATGAATGAAGTCAATGATCAAAAGAAAATAAGTCAATAACAAATACAAAAAAGATTTACATAAAAATGATTGTACCTGCCAATGCGTCTGTTGTGTCATTAAACTTTTCAAAATGCTTCAATTTTAATCTTGAAACAAAATAATTATATGCTTGTATGTGAATTTCAAATTAAACTAGAAAGCTTTTCTAAACATGAAATAGCTTAGATATGCATATTGAATGAACCAGTGAATGAGAAAGTAGAATAGTAATTACAATGAATTGGATTGTCAAACAATTCTATAGATTGTGTCTTAATATAAATGCAAGGATTATCATGAGCACTAAAACTTGCAACATACTAAACACATAAAATTGAACATATTTCACTTATTCAATGTCATTGAACATCCATTTCAACAACAAGATCTAGTTCAACAAATTTGCTTGATAAACAAAGAAAGATCTGACAATTTGCTCCACTTTGTCCTAATTCAAGTAACTAACACTAAGTAATGAAGCGAGAGGGTCAGGCTGCCAGTACTGTAAAATCATTTCAATTCCTCAACACACAAGTTGAAGAAACTCATCAAGAAAAATACCTACATCTTATGTGCACTTTCAGCATTCTCAAAGTCTTTGTACAAATTGTCAGCTTTCAGAAGCTTCCCCTCATCCAATAACTAGTAAAAATACAAAGAAACTAATTGTAATCCAAGATAAGGAATAGGTATACCGTATGCCAAAAAGTAGATACAAATATCATAGAAAAGTGTGGATCAGATAAATCATGAGTCACAATCCTTACATAAGTAATAACATTCACAGTACGTACAATGTGATGTGAAAATATATGAGTTTATAAAAAAATGCACCACTGTTTTGAATGAAATTCTTATTTTTCAGTCCTCTCCTCTTTATACTATATAACATTGTTGTACACTTTATATATAACATAAATAGACATATGTATGTTATGAACGCTTTGAACGCTTTGTTGCATCGATGGAAATACGTTTAAACAACCGGTGTGTTGTTTTAATGAAGTCAACATACACTAGAAGCGAAGTAAATGAGAAATTCAGATAATTTTTAAATCAAATTTTCTCAGACACCACGAGTGCTCACTGCTCAACGGCAATGACTCCAAGTGTTCATTTTACATACCTTAAAAATAGCATAACCTGCTGAAGTCTCGAACAATACTAGCATCTCTTACCAGAAAAATAATGCCAAGCTTTCAAAAATATGTTTTAATATATTTTTTGTCAAGTAAATGGCCTCAACGGTACACACGTGTAGAAGAAATGTCCACTGCGCATGTACAGTTATTGTAAGGTCACGTGTGACATGAACGTCACTGATGCAATGATCTCATTGCATTGATCATTGATTATCTCAATCATTGCTATCAATCAATGATCTGCCATCAATGAATCACTCTAAGTGGATTTTCCAAGATATGGATCAATGATCATCTCAACTCAACGCTAATCTTCCGTTGCATTGTTTTGTATTATACCCAAAGTTACAAAATGAAATTGATACAAATTGATTGAAATAAATGGATAACTTAACAGAAATTCTTGAAACAATAAAAAATTCGTTTAATCGAGATCAAAGTTCGACAGAATCTCATATTGCTAATTTGAGAGTTGCAATTGATAGTTTAAAGGATAACGAAGGTATTTCATTTTTTCATCAAATAAAAATCACACATACGTACTGCCCTAAACCTCCCAGGTGATGAAAGTCAGCTCAAAACACTTCTTATTGTGGATTAATTAGAACGAATGTGTTCTTATTTTAGTAATCGGCCTTTTGGACAAGATTAGTGTGATTTTACCGCAGATCAAATCGTGCCTTAATAGTTCTGATGTAAATTTGACAGCAAGTCTCCTTGAGCTGATAGCTGAAATTTGTAAACATGGTGAACTATTTTGATGATTTGGATTATCTGTCTTTTTTTACTCTGATTGAAAATATTCTCCTTTATAGAGGAATGCCGTGATATGCTTGTGGAAGAAGAGTTGATACGAATGATTCTCAAATGTTTCAATTCAAAGGCCCCTGAAATTGTTCTTCACACATTTCGATGTCTTGGAAATTTGGCTTGTGATAATAGTACACTTGCATAACTATTTATCCCTACTTGAAATTATAGAGCATCTCTTGAATTTCACACTAAACACTCCTTCACCTATATAGACCATGCCAGGGAAGTGATATTGAATGTTGGAGGAGTAGACATAATCTTAAATAAAATAAAGGAGCTACAGAATGAGGGACCAGAGACAAATGTGAGGCAAAATGTTACTGCATGTGGTGCTGTACTCAACATATCTTTTGAAAATGGTAGAAATTTCTAAGCTTTCGAACAAAATACAGTTCCAATTTTATTTGACATACTTCATCATATTTTTAAGATATGTTGCAGAAAGAACTAATAAGAAATGGTTTTGTTCCATTACTGCTTGGATATGTTGAACACAATGAGACAAATGAAAATCTTGCATTAATGGCAACAAATGCGATTGCAAGTTTGCTTGATCAAGGTGCAGACCTAACAATTGTAATTATTTTAAGATAATATAATATAAACTAAGCCTTGATCAAAATTAGTGGTTTTATTTTGTGATAACCAGGCACATGTCAATTGTTTTTTTCTTCTTATAATTTGATGCTTGTATTATTTGATATTTGTAGAAGAAGGAGTTAGTAGTTTTAATGAAAACAAAGGATGTGAAATATTTATAAAAGCTTTACGACATTCAAAAGATGAATTAACTACATCACTTGCTGAATGCCTAAAGATGATTGCAGAAGAAGGTACTAGTTTCATTGTTGCTTTTGCTAAGGTGTCAGATAATGTCAATTTCATTTTTTAAATAGATACGAAACATGTCTTGCTATCAGGAAACTGTTTCGAGGTCTTGCAAGAAATTGTTTTAACTAACATGACTAGTGAGAATACAGGCAATCTTTTGGAAAAGTTGAAAGTTAGCGTGAACTTAATCATACTTCTCCTTGGTGATGGTTAGTACAATAAAAGCAATGACAAATCTTTGAATTATTTTCTTTGCATGCATAGTTAATAGAATTTGCTTTCAGATGACTGTTTAGCTCAAGTATTTGCTGGTGAAAAAAATACATTTGTTGAAAAAATTCTTCGTTGGACTAAATCCAGTTATTCATATGTTCGTAACTCTTGCCCTGTTGCTATTGGAAACATTGCTCGCACAGGTGAGCAGCACCTATTCAATGCTCAATAATGACAAAAGCCATAAAATGTTTCAGTGAAACAAAGCATGACATCATGCCACCATCTTCTTTTGTCTTTTTTTTGGTCAGATGAGAACTGCATTCAACTGGTGAAAATGGGAGTGCATGAAAAACTGATAAACTTGCTTAGTAGCCACCGTGAAGATGATGCTGTATGGATATTTTTACATTAACCATGAACTACCTCAACAAATTACATGTTTAACTGATGATATATCTCATACTATTATGATTTTGACAGGATAAAACTGAATTACAAACGTCTGTATTAAGTGCATTGAAGAATTTTGCTATACCAGGTATTAATGTATTTTTTCTTAAAATAAACAACATTGAAAATTTAATAACCATATATGGTATGATTTTCAGCAAGTAATAAACAAGTTTTGATCAATGCCGGTATATTGAATTTTACTATGGAAATCCTGTGTTCATCAGACAATTCATCTTCAGTAATGTATAGAGCCATTGCTGTTATACGCCTACTAGTACAGGGAGTGGGTAAGGTTATCTATGTCAACAAATTTAGCTAAACGTTAATCATAATTGACAGCTATGTTGTAGCTATAATGGTGTGAATGTTTTCCCATTAGATGCAGCAGTTGATATTGTATGTTCAAGTCAAGACTGTTTGAAGAATGTGGTGTCAATAGCAAAAACTTCGGGCATTGAAGGACTGAAATCTGAAGCATCACGATTGCTAGCAACATTGCTAAAAAATACTCGAAAATTAGGTTGGTACTTGTTAATATGTTGAAAAAACACACAATGAAATAAACTAAACCATTTTCATTTTTTTGGAAGAATCAGTTCAAGCAATTCTAGTTAATGATGGTATGTCACCCATCATTGCCATGGTAACATCACAACATGCTTTAATGCAGAATGAAGCTTTGATGGGTGTTGCCTTGGCTCTCAGTATCATAAATGGTGAGTATACAGTCGTGGAAAGCATTGCTTAATGAATGCGGGATCAAATAAAATCAAATCACATGCTTAAAAATGTAAAAATGAAATTATTGTTAAAATTTAGAAGAACATTTGCAGTATGTGGATGAAAGCAATATGCTAGAAAGTATTTCTCATGTACTAAACAATGAAACGAACAACCAGCAAACATTGTATAATTCAATGGCAGTCATTGAAGCATTGTTTATAAAAGGTGATTGCCATCTTTTATTGGTAGAATAAAATGAAAAAACCCTACATAAAATTAAGGATGTTTTAAAATCTTTTCATCTCTTTCAGGTCTGGTTGAGAAAAGCAAGCTAGAAGATAGCGGAATCCTCCACAAACTAGAAACATTTTCAAAAAATTCTCACAATGCAACTAAACAACGCGCTGCAAGTATTTTAGAAAAAATCAAAACTTGACTATTGATGTTCATTGGTTAGAAAACACCATACATGCGATGTTATTGTTCAATTAAAAAAGAACTTTTTGAATTGCATCACAACAATACTTGTAAATCTGACCATTTAAAAACTCAGTCTTTCCTTGATATTTTTAGTTGATTTTTTTTACCACTGAGATCTTTGCACACCAGCAATCAAACCCTTTTCCGCATAATATTTAAACATAATTCTTGATATTCTGAAACGCCCAATAACACCACGTCCTCTATCAGTGAGAACACAACGATTTCTTATCCTTGTGATGGAACTGTCTTTAGGCAACTCGGCAAGTTCAGTTGCAGCATGATTGCGGATGTTTGATGGTAATATATCACACTTACTAATCATTCTCAATCGGCCTCTTTTTTCTTCGTATTCTGCAAACATATCACGTCTCTTTTGGTCACGTCTAGCCCATCTTTTCAAATAGTTAGGTTTCACATAATACTTGCTCACCGATGTAGAGATACTGATACACCTCTCCAAAGAAAAGCTTGGATGTTGAATACACATGATACCTAAAACATGAAGACTTTTTTATTAGTTTTCCAATGAATTTGTCAAGATTATTGTGTTGACAGCACTCACAAAGGCACATAATTTTCAAAATCACGTGGCTGGGAATGTATGATGGCACGAATGATTTGCCATTCCAAACACACAAATATACAAGTTTTCCTCTGTCAGCAGTCACCAAATTATCCTTTTCATATTTTCGTCACGGTAAGACACACTTTTTTGAATCATCCTTATTTTTCTATTATTATCTTAAGAGTTTTACAAAATTTCATCTCACCTGACTTAAAATATCTGTGTCGAAACACTTGTGAAAACCTCGAACCAAAGAAATGGGCAAGGTGCTTCGCCATCTTTAATTTTGTTCCGCCCGTTCTATAAAGAAAAACTTAGTGTAAGAACAATGTAGTAACTCCTACTACCTACGGGGGAGTCGGTCAGAATAACCATCGCTAATTATTCAAAATATTATAATATATAACAAAACTAGTTAAACCACTGAGTTAAACCAAGTTATACGGACTGGATGAGCTTATCTGTGGACTTATCCCATTATCCCAGTAGTAGGTAACCCTGACTAAGCATCAAATTGTTTATAGTCAAACCCAGAACAATACTAAGACATACCCACGGTCATTCTACACTGTTTCAAATGGTTTACCCAATCAGCAAGCGCGCATTCTGCCTGGAAGACGTGCCTACACAAATTAATCCCTTCTTGTATTTTGGCAAACAAGAAATCGCCTTATATTCACATTATTAAATTTGATTCAGAGCTTTTCAACACACATCTCGAAAGTAATGATGGAGAGCAGTGTATGTCAAACTCTCTGGAAAGTTTTCGTAACGAAGAAATTTTGGCTGAAATTGGCTCAAATGGTACGTCAAAAGTATTCAGTAAGAGCAATGCTGCGCAAGCGAAGCTCATAACTAATAGGTGGAGTTTATCATTTCCTTATAATGGCAAATACAATACTTATCCAAGAAATTTCAAGATACTGGTTAAAAAAATACATGTACTTTGGCATCAACTAGTTTTTTTTGTCACTGTTTTTATTCAATATCAGCTAATCCTGCGCGATTTCAGTCTTTAAGATGCGTCAAAAATGCATCAAGTGCGTCAACGACAACTAAATTGCAGCGCTCCGTGGCAAAATGGTAGGATTACGCGAACGGGCTTACTGTTATATTAAGGCTATTTAGCAAGCATTTTGTTAAGTCACACTTTTAAGGATACAAACATCGCCATAATTCAATATCCTGATATAAATTTTAAATTTAATTGCTTGCGCATTATTTGCGATTTCCTCTATTTTTCATTTCCTGGTGGTTGAGTTCATTTTTGCCGCCGTGCCTGTCACGACATAAGTGAAACTTTTCTTGTTGACGAACAAAAACGAAAAACCTTCGTTCGAAAGCACACGAAGATCTAAAAACTACATTAAAAATACTAATTCCTTAGACTAGATGTAGGTAAAAACATATGAGAATGATATTATGGTTGGGCTTTTGTCGGAACGCGTTCAAAAGCTGACGGAAAACAAGGATTAGTTTAGATGAAAAGCTGCAACTTTAAAACATGTAATAATCAGTTTTCTCTTTGTACCTCCAGATCTGTGCGGTAATTGCTATTATACCATGCGTCATATTCAATCAAAGGGCAAGTGTACACCAGGTGAATAGCCAACGTCATTATACTATCACCCTGGCGTTTCCTTTCATCTACGACAATGTAACGGTGGAGTCCACCCGAACGCTGCACTTAAGAGAATTCAAATTTGAATCACTGTTACTTCCGTCAGCTCTGTTGTACGCCATTACAACAGTTTTGGCGTTGTTGTTCACAACCATCCTTGCTATCTGGAGTATAAGCAAATTTGGCCAACCAGATGAATCAGAGGATCATATTAAGCTGGTATGAAAGAATTTCCTTCTCGTAAGAATCAAAGTCAAATTTCTTGGGTTTTATCCAAGTCACATAAACTCCACACAACGAGAAAGTCCCCCTCCCCGAGATATAACGCTGTAAATTCTACATGAATGAATTCCAGATTGTTTAAGACAGCACAACATACACTTATGGTAGTTTGCTAACTGCCATGTGAACGATGGGGGCACTTGTGTTTTAAAACAGGACGTATCCGTCTTTTTTATTGAAAAACACCTAATTTCAAAATTAGCGTTAAAAAGTAGAATATCATCAGCTTCAACAATTATTCAGCAACATTATTCATTGGTAATCGTTTTCTTTGTGTAAAGCAGTTAAAACATTGCTCAGATCATCGTATTAAAACGGCAGGGTATCGCAATTGGGCATTTCACTTATAATTTATGTAGGGGAGGGTCTCTCCTTTTGTTTGATGTTTAGATACGTTCATTGCAATTTTCATAATTGTTACAGAAATTCTTTGTGTCCCTTGGCATGACGTTTTTGTTGCTGGCCGCAATTTGTTTATGGATGACGAATCTCATTACGCTCGTTCGTGACTTAGAATATCAACTCGACTTTATAGTGGGGCAATGCGTGGAAAACTTCGTTGAATGTACTCGACACGATGTCAATTTTACTCAACTATACACGTCCGTGGTAAGAAAAACATGTAGCCTCGTTAAGATCTTTTTATTAACTTGGAGATTTCATGGCAATTTATGTTTCCATTTAAGATGAGGTTCAATCTTGATGAGCTTCACTCTTTGTTACAGGTATTTGGAGGTCTTCTCTTTCTTCTGTGGCTCGTCGATTGCATACAGACTTTCATAAAAATGGTGTACACAATTCCTGAACAAGTTAATCTAACAACACTAGTGAGAAATGTCGAGTTGGAGACGGTACATGATAACAACGAAGGACAATTACGTCATCAGACATGACGTCACGGACAGTCTTTTATAACAACCTTGTTAATAAGTAATGTTACTGGATGTTTTCATGAAACTAATTAATGTAAATAATTGATTGTGTTGTGTTATTCCTAGAATCATAATAGAAGCTAAAGTGAACAGATAAAATCGGTTATTTTTCCTTGTTGTACGCACAATTAGAAAAAGGATTTTACTGCAACAACCGTAGAGGAAATTTCTACTCGTGACAAAGGAAAACAGTTCCCTGTATACTTTAAGTAGAAATAGTTCATCTAACATGTAAATAAATGCTGCAAGATAAAGGGACAACTTTGATGACATAGTAAAGATAATTTTATGACGATTCTACATGTAACTAACAATCAGAGAGTTTTCTATTAAGAAAATTTTTGGAAGACAATAAAGTTTGTAAAAAGCAATTATTTGGGCTTGTAATCTCTAGAATGGACAAAGATTCAAAGTCATTTTAACTAAATTACCCACAAATTTTCTACAAAACAAAATTGCAAAATGGAAATTCGTGTTCATGTTTATGCATGTACCGAAAACTGGAGATTACAAACCGGCTTTTTGGGAGACGTTAATCCAACAAAAAAGAACTATTTTTCTAACCAATTTACGACGTACATTTATGAAATAATTCAGTTTTATCACTAAGGATCTCGAAGAACAATATAAAAAGCCTCGTAAACATCACAGACAGATTACATAAGTATTTAATTTTACAGAGGACAAGTCCTCACTCATAGTGATGACGTCATTCTGCCTCACAAATACGTCAACACCATTAAATTACGAAACAAATGATGACGTCACCACAGCCATTGCAGTAGTGTATGGGTACATAAGTGCTACGTTATGTTATTAGTAATTAGTCAAGTAGGATCCCAAAACTTCATTCCTCAATACTATACGTACTATTTACAGCACCCCCCTGATCCTCCCTGGTTCCTCTCCTGAAGGTTAACATTCCCTCTTGGGCTTTGTTGTCCGGCACCTTGACCACCTGCATTTGGGTCCGTCTTGGGTAATTTTTTCGCTAGAATTTCAGGAAACCATGAGTATATAACTATTTAACAATGCTAATGGTATTCTTTGATGATTTTTAGTAATCATTTTTCACAATATTTTTCAATAACATGTACAATTTTTAGATATCAGCAGACCAAAAAAAGTAGACATAGTTTGTGCTGGGCTAAGCTAGAATCTCTCAAATAAAAAAAATAGAAAAAACAACATACCAATAGCCAGAAATATCTCATTAACATTCATTGCAGTTTTTGCTGATGTTTCCATAAACAAAAGTCCATTATCATCCGCATAACTTTGGGCATCCTAAAAACAAAAGACAAAAAGTTTCGAAAATTGTGCTACACAAGATACAAAGTTAAACCCAAAGGACACAATTCATTCAACCTCATATTCAACAACTCTCTTATTTGATAGATCTGCTTTGTTCCCTGCCAACGCTATGACAATGTTGGGACTGGCTTGTCGCTGTAATTCTTTAACCCAGGTTTTTGCTCGGGTAAATGTATCCTGAAATAGAACTAATACTTAACAAAAACATAAATAAAATGCATATGCATATTTTGAGAATAGGAAGTACACTACAAGTTTCTAGATGCTGACCACCCATGTTAGAGCAGTTGACTCTGAGAAACAAGATTGTTGGTGTTGGTATTGACAGATGTCAGTAAATCCTCATAGTTAATTAATCATCTTCAGAGTCAAGTAAGCATTACATTTCAGGTTTGCTATATTTATTAAAAAACACAGTGCAATTTATATATTCATTGTAAACAACACCAAGCCGGATGTACTAAAAACAAATATCCTTCTCAGCCTGACTGCACTAACCTGGATGATCAACATACACAATACATCCAACAAAACTTCTGGATTCAAACAATTCACATTATTACGAAATGCATGACTTACAGTATTGGTAATATCATAAACAACTATTGCAGCTTGAGCACCTCGATAATACATTGGAGCCAGACTATGATATCGTACGAATATTAAGGTGAAATGATATCATAAATTATTGTAGTGGAAAGTTCAATGCAACTAAGAGTGTTAACTTGCTTTGTTAAATAATAATAAAACATATCAAAGGATATTTTCCTGTCCTGCAGTATCCCATATTTCAAATTTTACAGTTGTATCATCTAGACAGACAGTCTGAGTAAGGAAAGCAGCTATAAAAGAAGAGAAGAACAACATTCAGTGATAAAGAACATAACTATAGTATCCAACTCAAATACTTGTGAGATAAATTGAGCATTTTCTAAATACTAATTTTCATTACCGCCAATTGTGCTTTCTTGAAATTCATGGAACTGTCCTTTAACAAATCTCAGAACAAGACTAGATTTCCCAACAGCCGACTCTCCTAAATAAAAGTGCAAATGTCCTGGTTAACAATCTACTTGCAACACATTTGTTCCTAAGCACACCCAACAAGAAACGTACCCAGTAAAACCAACTTGAATTGACATATTTTTCCCTGATTTGGTCCATTAGATCCATTAGATCGTTGACCCCTTCCAGCCATTATAACTACAGCCAATATTCCAACACTAAAATCAAAATAAAACAAACTGCCTCGTGCAAAAATTCCCAGTTTGCAAACTCTGACATTAGCTATCAAGGAAAGAATAACAAATCCTTATGTTGTCTACTTTGAAGGCATCACATTGACCATTTATTGTAGTGATTATGAATAGGAATTCAGTTATCGACAAAAAGCAAGAATTATCAAATAAGCAAATATGGTCGCTTAGAAGCAGCATGCTTTCTATTCTGGAATGAAAAAAAAAATGAAAGGCTAATTTCATTAACACGAAAACTATTCTATTCAGGATGTAACTACTGCAATGAAATATCGATTGTCTCAAGCTTCCATATCGTTTTTCAATCAACAATGGTACTGAATTTAAGAAATTCAAAGCTCTTGCTGCATGGACAGCCAAACAAAATAAAACTATGTTGACAATTTATGACAGTAAGTTATGTGTTTAGGTGATTTTAAAACACTCCCTAAATTACAAAGGTAAATTTGTACTTTTTCCTACGAGGTATTGGAAAAATTTCCCCGGTAAGTTGGACAATAGAAACATATTGGCCAAAAGCAACGGAAGGCATGTCCCATAACTCTTTTTTAATACAAGACGAACGAATTGATAATTACAAGATAAGAATAAAATTTAGTGAGATGAAACTAATTTTCACAAATCGCCCAAGGTACCAGCAGCGTACGGATTGCTACGCTGTCTGGCGATCGTTCAGCTCAATAATTTTAGGGTTTCGGTAAGTATTCAATCGTTTACCCACGAAATACTTCGAATTCATATTCAATTATCAAAATGAAGCACTCTTACTTCTTTCAAAGGATAAACGAAAACAATTAAAAATGTTCTAAAGCACGATGAAGTCAAACGATATTACGACTAATGTACCAATACATTGGACAGATTTAAGACAAAAATTTAGCCAACTAACCTTCAAAAATATCGTATTTGGTAACAGTAGATCTTTTTCCGAATTGACGAGCAAAAAAAAGGGGTATAAACCTAGTTTTTCTTTTAAAATGCTGCACAAACAAAAATTCAACGCCGATACGTATTTACGAATTTACTTCCCAGCACCCAGTTGCAGGCTAAAGTTGCCTAACCTTGCGAGTGGGCCCCTGCATTGACACGCAGGAAACGGCAACCCTCCGCAACTCAGCCAATGTAATCAGCTCGTTTAAACTTTGAACGAGTAATTATTCCGGTTGAGATTCCCCCAACATCTTCAACAATGCTTGACATAAAGATAATAAAACCCATCTCCAAAGACGCCGGAACGTCGATAACTAAGGGGGGGGGCAAATATTCATATATGCGTGTTTTGCCTGATTACTTTCTATTGAAATAAATTGTTTTTTACGAGCTGTGACTACGAATATAGGCCCCCCCCCCACCCAATTAACGACGTTTCGGCGTCCCTGCCCATCCGTCATATTTTTTCATTGAATTTACATAATACGGAAAGAGCAAGTCTAAACAAAAAAAAAACTCTAAATAAAAATTCATTTCATTCATTCGTTCATTGAAAAACTACCTGTAACATTGTAGCGCTGCCTATCATAATGTCATATATTTAACGACACGAGCATGTGGTATCCAGCCTTTTGGAGGATACAGAAGAAGTCATGAAGCAGAATATTACCGATTTCCTAGACACGAAAGACGTGCATATACCATTGACACAACTGAATCTATGTTAAATCATCATCGGAGATTTGTAATTCATTATTTAACTCGTCATCAGGCTCCCCCGTTAAATCTACATCATCAACGCTGGTATCATCATCAGGCAAGTATCTTTTGTCGACTGCCTCTTTGATTTGATTGTTGGCACCTTTTGGATCGAGATCCACGGCCCACGAGAAATACATCTGAGCCTTGTGGGATTCGCCAAGTTTTTTATAAACCTTAAAAGGAGTTTGTATAAAATGCTGAAATTCATACGCGTTGACGAATTATCCTAAAGCAGATCTAGCGTTAGCCAAAATAATTTATAACAATACAAATTTCAAGTTCCAAGATATTTTGAAAAATAAAATGTGAAAAAAATTTTGGTGACAAACATCTTGTATTTAAGCTATATTATAGCGCTGTGTGTGTATAAAGTCATTCTGTTACCTTTCCGATCATGAAATAAACCAAAGCTTCCTTTGGAACAATTCTTCTCAATTCTTCGAATTCAGCTAACGCTTCCTGAAAAAAAATACATAATGATGAAATATTTTGACGACATGCAAGCTTTGTTGCAACTATTTTCCTCTATTTATGTCAATCTAAATCTAGTGTACCCCAAGAGCGATATGCAAATAATTTTACATTTTGCCACAAAATATAGTATGGTCTAGAGTTTGAGTATATTACATACTCGATACTTCTCAATCATAAAAAGTAGTGCGTCGTGGTGGAATTTACACACTTTGACATACAATTTTGAATGGTTTACAGCTAGAATAGATTACATACTCGATATTTCTCAATCGTAAAGAGAATTGTGCCGTGGTGGAATTTACACAATGGATTCCTTGGATCTATTTCCATAGCTTTTTCAATCGTCAGGAGAGCGATCTGGGATTTCTTCATTGCATGTTGTACCTACAAAAAAGAGATTGATTGAGACAACGACAAAGACAATGATCATTGTAAGGTAATGGATGAAAGACAAAGGTGAAGTTACCACGCCAATGTGACAGAGCAGTACAGAACTGGACGGATTGATCGTCAAAGCTTTCTTAAAATGAACTTCAGCTAAATTGTATTTCTCTTGTTTATAATAAATCATTCCTACCCCGTACCTTGAGAAACAAAGATTAATTCATTTAAGATTATCATCATTAACATCGCTAACACGCGAACAGACAAAAACAGATATATCATTTCATAACAATCTACTGGTACTCTTTCTCACACAACGCAAAAAATAAACTTTATTTTTGATGGAAAAATTACGTACGTACCAAGCATTGTAATGTCTTGAGTCAGTGCGTATTGCACTCCGGAAACACGACATCGCTCGATCCAATTCTTCCGTTAGAACATACTCGTGACCAAGAAGGGTATAGGCATATGTAAAAGATGGGTCGACTTGTACAGCACGTTGAAAAAACTTGATGGCTGTGTCATGTTCCTTCTGTAGACTATAACAGTTACCAGTCGCAACCCAAGCCTAAACAAGTTTTGAATACAGCACGGCTATGATAAAAACAATGTTTGCTATAGCAGTTGGTACAAACTATACGCCTCTACCTCAGCACAAACTCTTTCAGTTTCGACCAGATCTTGAGCCAAAGCAGAGAGCGCAACCTCTTTTTGTAAGTGCCATAACGTCGTGGAATAAACCTCCATTCCTAAAGTGAACAGTAAAAATTAAGGCATGCAAATGAATGTCGTTATCAGCTTTGAAGACTGTTGTTCATTCCTTTATCTAATACCTTTCAAACAATATGGGTCCAAATGGCGAACTTGAGAAAAAACTTTCTCCGCCTAAACGTCAATTGCAATTAATTAAAACATGGGGAAATTGGATAGAAAATTCCACTGTTGTGTGAGTCGTAACATAATTATATAAACTGTCAATTAATAGACTCACTAGATAATATTGTGCCAATTCAAAATGACATCGCGCAACTTGCAAAAGAGCCCAGGAAGTGTTGTAGTGTTGCGGTTGAACATTTTGAAATAATGTTAAAGATTTCTTGCAATCGTAAGAGGACAGGGCAATGTAGGCCGTGGCGAGCTCTTGGTAAAGAGACAACAGGCTATCTAGAGAGAACAAAATGACAACTATATATGGTATACATTTCTCTATGGTTGATTACAATTTAGTTACGTAATATTTATTTTATGACGGATCAGCATATAGAACATTAAACACTTGTCTATGGTGGATTAATGTTTTGGAAACACTTCTGTATGGCTCACTAAAGTATATAAATCACTACTCCATGACTGATAGCAGCATAGTATACCCTTCCTGGTAAAATTAAAGTGTGCCTTCCGAAATGGTTCAGATGGACCAAACTCTCTTTCTAACACCAGGAAACTATTTGTAAATCGTCATTACAATTGTTATTACAATCATGATTAAAATAATAATTAAAAGAAAGCGATAATTGTGAGTTGTTTTCTTTCTTACCTAAACTCGTCGTTGAAACTGGAGTCTTAAGCGACTGAACGCTTGTTTGAATTGTTTTTGTCGGTTCTGCGATGATATTCGCACTACATGACGGCGACAAAGGCTGATTATTTGCTACTGAACTTCGAGTTTGACGTCTCGTCTGTCGTAAAAACATTGCGTCTACATTTCGAGAGAAAGCATTAGAAAAAAAACACGACGAAGACATTTCACCTTAACCCTCCGCGGTGACGCGCCTCCTCTAGATACAGAAATGTCACCTTTGCTGCTTTTTCTTGATCCCTAAATAAACAAGCGATTGAAAAGAAAACAGTATAGAACATTATAAATAATATGAATGTTAACTCTAAAATTCTGTTTACCTTGTCTATTGAATCATTGAGTGATGTGTTCGATGAAGTCGATCCAAACAGTCTTGAACTTCGTCGAACTGCCGTAGAAGTAGTCTGGGAAGTGACACCAGTGGTTATATTGGACGAGGAAGGAGGAAAGGCGTTAATACCAGGAAGCTTTGATATAAACTCAGAACGACGGATCTAGATAATGCATGAAACTTAATCTTGACCTTTTGGATTTATGATTTCACAGTTATGGAAAGCTGTGTGCAGACCTGTCGAGAGAAAGGAGGGGGGCATTTGCTCAGGGTCCTACATTTTCTCTAGGCAGCTCTACCTGTGTACACTTCATTTTCCTAAAAATATCACAAAAATGCCGTGTACCTTGCGCGCTTTTGGTGCCTTAGGGAGTTGACATTCATTGGCTGTAGGAGATGGAGTTATAAAATTAGTGTTTGCATCAGGAGTTGGAGTATCCATTGGTAGAGCAACAAAACTAAAATCATAAGAAAAAATAAAGATTAATTTTTATCAATTAAATTCCATCATATATCGCTGGTTTATTCACACAACCTTGGTGAGAATGGGCTGGATGTAGCACTCACACCAAGAAGATTACGTCCGGTTTTCGGTCGAGCTCGGTTCTCGTTACATGTTCCCATGGGAGATGGCACGTAGCTGGTGTTGTTGCCATGGAGATTGGGTGGGGCATTTATTGATTGAATTGCTTCTGATGGTGTATTCCATGAAGGATCCATGTTCTCAGTAGCCATAGGTTCTATGCTGGGACGCAAATGATTTACAGACGTGACAACTGTACTTTCAGCAGTTGTACAACCCGTTTTCATGACATCTCGCTGTGCCAAAGATGTCAGCAGTCGAGGGCAGCAGGCAGACTTGAATATTTCTGATGGATTTGGTTTTTCACCTAACAGAGACAAAGAGAGCATACACAAAAGTTTAGGGTACTGCTTTTGAGACACAAGCATGCCAGCATCCCACAACATTCTGAAAGGATTACCTAATTTACACAGTGCTTCAAACGAGCTCCACAAGAATGGATTGTGCTTCAAACTGCTTTTGTAACATTCAACAGCTCGACTGGTTTTCTCAGCTTTTCTACAGAGAAAATGAAGACAAGTTGTTGTAATCTCTGGTGCAAAATGACAGACATTTGTTACCAAAAGCACCTGCAAACATCTCCCATCAGTGCTAATGAATAACTTGCAGCAGACCCAAATTCAGACACAACAGTTTCAACTTGCTTAACACTTCCATTTATAGTGCAATTATTGCCTGTTAAAATCCTTTCAGCTTCAGACAACCTAAAATAAAACAAAAAATGTTCTTCAATAAAGTTACTAGATAATTATTGAAAACCGTATTAAAGATGACTGAAAACCACATACTTGTTTAGGTCCACACAACATTTAGCAAAGAGGAATTTACATGAAGCAGTTGGACATCCTTGTCTTTGCAGCAAATGATAGGATCGTTTTGCTTGACCAGAGCGGTAATAAACTGTTGCTAACAGGAACAATGCTTCATCTGATGCAGCTAAGAAAGTATTGTCAAACTTTCTCTTCAATTTTGATCAACACATTGTGATGTCGTATGAATGTTTTATGCAGTGCAGTGTTTGAAATTAAATGAAGATATGATCTTCGCACTTTGCTGGACAATTTAAGCAATCGTCTCAGGAATCGTCTCAGATCATATCTTCATTTAACATTGTGATGTCCTCATGCTCAAAGTTCAAGACCTACTCCTTATCAGAAAGGGAGCAATGACAAAATCTAGCGCAACTCCAATCATATTTTTAACAGTTGATTTAACATTTTCTAACATTTTTAAACTTATTTTTGCTCAGCAAGCCTCAACATAACTCTAGAGCGCATGCAGTCGTCGGGACGGTGAATTATTGAACATGTCAATCAAAACTTGTTTTTTGATAGTAATTTTTAGCTTTTCATATTTTGCTTGTAATTTATTTCAATTTCGAAGTGTTTGAACTTGAAGTTTGATTCAAGATGAATCAAATAAAATGAATATGTTGAATTTTTAGTAAAAAGCTAGTAATTTAATAGTACCAACTACAAATTTCACTGGAAATGTAGAAGAGAATACTTGAGAGTCAAAATAAAAAAAAAGGTCAATCACAGATGCCTCCCTCAGTGGCACTTACTACAAGGCTTGCTTGCTGTACACATATTATATAGGTTGCACAGTATGCAAACTTTCCAGAATGGCACATATCAATGAAATGCCAATTTAGGCTGAATTTAAACACCAAGTTAATGACTGAATTGTGAGAAGCAAACATGACAATTGGTTCAGCAAAAATTATAAAATATTGGGATTTGTACAAAATTTACAATTATGCCAGTAATACTCATAGAAGCTCATACCTTCAGCGAATAATCGCTCAGCAAGAAAAGCAGCATCACCGAACGCATAATGATTTAAGGCATGCCATATTGCAGCCTCAAAAAAAGAGAAAGTATCCAACATAAAAAGATCCCATAAAGTATTGATTGCTTGTGAAGTCATGGGGAGAGGAATGCAAACAAACAGTAATATTGAATGGCGAGATGAAGTTTTGGCAAAATGACTGGATTAAAAAATTAATTAATCAATAAATACAAGTATGTTTTCGTCGTTTTAAAAAAAGTCGAATGGGAGATTACCAAATAGATATGGCGCCATTTTTTGTAAAAAAACAACGGTTATTCAAAATCTTATCACAGTGAACAGGAAAATTTCATTTGGAAATGTTACATCTTACCTTAATAGGTTCCTCGCACAACATATTTCATTTAAAACAAACAAACATTGTTATTTTTCATTATCAAAAATGTAAAAATCATTCAAATATTTCAATTTCATCCCAAAGCGCGCCTGCGATCATTCTCACTCTTTGCAAATACCTCATGTATGCTGGGTAAAATTCACAATTCAGTAAAATCGAGACAAATATTATATTAGAAATGCGAGCGAGAGCAATATTTTCTAAGTAAAAAATTACAAGATGTGAATTAAAATGAATTATGTTACGGTGGGTTGCATCAAGCATGAATTATCGTTAATCATGGGTGAAATCAAATTCAGAGTCGGAGACGTTGCCTGGAGGCTCAGGGATAAATGAGGATGCAAGAGGTGTTAGGGATAACGAGGATATGGAGTCTTGAGAGAGTTCAGACATCGAACTACGACTATGCAAGAAGGTTCTCTCATCGGAAACCTATGAAAACAAACAAAAACAAACAGAAGGTTATGGACTTAAGTTGAACAAACAATTGTCAAACTCATTCAACACCTCGATACATGAATTTAGCAAAAACTTCAAAATTCTTGCGACCAATTTTAAAATATTCCTTGTAAGATGAATGGCACTTCCAGCCTAGAACATTAGCAAATAAAAAAACAAATAAATCTGAAAAGTTCGTGCAACATATCAACATATCCATGGTATAGCTTTAAACTTTGAAAAAAATCAATCATTCCCTCCATTCTTTGGATGTCGATTTGAGTATTCATTAGTTTACAGTTCATTACTCAGCTTTAGGTTTCAATGGTTACCTTAATGTATGTTGCACATTGGCCAACTGCAAATGATTTGCTTGCGAAATTTAATTGCTCACAGTAGCCCGGTAAACGATCAATGTACGACATTACATGTTTCTTTGGAAGTAGATCCGGAAGCTGATTTCAAAATTTAAAAAGCAATTCGACAAATCGTACGCCAATACAGATATGTATAGGCACATTTAAGTAACGACAATTGAAAAAATTCACCTGAACTAAAAACTGAGCGCTAAGTTTGTGAAATTTCCTTCCCAGCTCGGAGAAACGCTGTATAAAAAGAAAACAAACTTTAGCAGATTAACTTGAGCAAATAACTTCATGCATGTACAAACGTCTCACCTGGGCCTCGAAGAAGAGTTCCTCGGATAAATGAATTTTTCCCAGACCATGGACAAAACTGTCCATCGTCATAGCCGTACTTGACATTTCTTTCGCTCGTCTCATCAGTTTCTCGTGCACTGAATCGATGTCACGAGCATTAAAGTCGGAGAACATCGTCAATGAATCGATTTCATCAATTATCCTGGCAAGTTTTTCTTGTTCCTAAAGTATCACAAAATGTCATAATTTTTTGTGGATGACATGCAGTCCAGAAGACGCAAAGTGACAAATTAGTTAAGTATTAAATTAATAAAGTATTGTCATCGTTTTCACCTTAAAACTTTGTTTCGATGACAACTCGTTTTCGTCTTCGCTATCTGAGGTCACCGGAGACTCGGACTTCAAACCTTGCTTCTATAAAAAAAGATCAGTTTAACATGTTCATACTCATCAATCATAATCAAACTTTTGTTAAACCAGTTTTCTCTATTAATCATGGAAATTTTTCATTCAAACTTACCAACATTTGATCGATTCTTGATGGAAGAGCCTCAAATGCCAAATTCATGTCGTCGTCTAAACGAAAGATTTTAAAGTCAAAACGCAAATCGTGTCGAATTTTAGAATCAAGAAATTTTCATCCGCAATTTTAAAACAGTATAACTTTACGTGCAGCTTTTTATTGGCATAATTTTCATTAAAATACACATTTGTAGCTACCAATTAACTTTGCTTTTACCAATTAAAATATTTTTATCGTTTTACATAGTTTCAGTTTTTTACATTACAATAGATACAACTATAATATACATATAATCATTTGGAAAAATAATATACAAAAATATATGTAACATAGGAAAAACCAGCAGATAGTGGACAACGATGAAATAAAACTTTTCGTTAAATGTAGCAATGTCCTCGATGACATTTACAACGTGGCATATGGACCAAGACTGTTACTTTTCCTCTTACGACCCATTTCTCCTGTGAAAAAAATTCCAAAAACTCGCTATAGACATCAAACCCAGGTAACAAACCAAAAATCACACGTCTCAACTTCATGTCTACTCACCGTAAAATCATCAATAAGCATCCACTTCATGAATACAAAATCCTAGAAATGTCTATAATCTTGGAAATGTAGCTGCAGCATCCTTTTTTTTTCAACAAACAGAGTGGACGCTCACTGTGAATTTACGGTGGTAGTAAACACGGCCACAGGAGCAAAAAACAATCGCCAAAAATCCATATACCACATAGCATACAACGGGTTTCTGTAGTTTCATAGAAACTATGGGTTTCGACAGTGACAATGGTAATGTATAGAATTGAACAGCTAATTCCTTTTCTTTTTAGGTTACGTAAGACTGGGTTGGGAATTCTGGGATTAAAGTATGCTTTGAACATGTGATTATCGTTACATTTTTGTAGATTTAGATCGTTCAGATAAGTACAGTCCAGAGAAGAACTGTTGGTGTTTATGTTGATTGACACTTCGACAACTTTAGCGGTAGTCATCTTCAGAGTCAAGTGAGGTTTAAAAGTCAGTTCACCGTATTTGTCTGGTCCATGATGACAATACGCAATTGGCATCTACCCACCCACCCACAAATTTCTTCTACACACACATTACGATGACGTATGAAATAGATAACAAATACGACGAGGTTTACTTCTCACTTTACTCTGAAGATGACTACCACAGTCAACCTCAACAGCAACAATCCTTATCAGGACTTTTTGCTCACCTGGACGATCTACATTTACAAACATGTAATTCTGGGATTAATCACGAGATACATGGAAAATGTTGCATCCGAAATGATTTGTACCTTTCCAGTGATACTGCACAAGGAAAAACTGACACTTACGTCGTCTTAGATCGCCACCACTGATAATACTTCTTAAAAGTTTTCCCAGCTCCTCGACTTGAGATTCCCAAATGTCAATGAAGACTGAGCAATTCTCCTGAGCAATTTTACTGACTGGATGATGGGCCAGAGTTCGCCCTGCCTCAATTACCTAATGACATGAGGAGGCTGTCAGAGTATATTTATAAAATAAAAACAATAAAACGCGTGCGGTGATTGGTCTAGCTATAGCCGTGTTTGCATTAGCCAGTGCAAAGCAGATCTGAGATCAACCAATCGATCATGAATACCTTTTGGAGGAAAAATTAAAACGTTTGTTTTAAATTTGTCTGTTTCGCATTATTGTTATTTTATAAAAGAAATAAAAAATGTTTGCAAGAGCGAACCTCGACCTTCGGTCTCGGGCTCTGCACTGATCTGCACTGACCTTCTCCCAAAGGTCTCCTCGGTTTGCATAAGCCTGTGCAAACACAGTAAGCATCTTTTATTTCCTAATTAAAGATGGGGAAAACGTAAGTTTAGTTTGGGATACTTACGTGCGGACAAAATGTTTGTATGTTCTCTTCAACTTTTTCAGCAGTGATTGCAATGGCTTCACTCGAACATAGAGCTCGAGTCATTTTCGAAACTTCAAGTAACTTTTTCACATCGCGCAAAAACACCTCGGCGAGCTCATCAACGCGGGCGCTGTTGCCAGTGGACGCTGCTGCTCGTAATGCGGGTAGAGACTTCTTATGTCCCAAATGTGAGAAGGTTTCGAACACCTGATCACTTGCCACCTGATGAACCTGGAACAGAAAATAAAAGAAAACTCACCTTACGCTTAAAAAATCATTCTCACTACTTACAATCACTTCAAGGTCGACAGTCAGGCTACATTAAAAATAATCACGTGCTTCTCTAGAAAAGAACATTAAAAGTGTTTACCTCATTTTTAAGGTCCTTCGTCAACTTATAAATTCTTTGTAAACTTAAATCTTGTTTTTCCTCGGAAAGTTCTTCATTCTGTTCAAAAGACAAAGTGAGAAACTTTACAACCGACATTCTTATGGTGATCCAACGTTTGCTCTTACCTTTAAATCATTCATTATATCCTCTGCATTATCACAGAGTGCAAGCATACCCTCACGTTTCTCGGGTTTGGTATTCGGGGCATACGCTATTGTTCTTACATCTTCTAATATCAACGCCAATCCTTCTTGAAGTTTTGCCTTCAACACATCATCATCAACATTCATCTTATTCGTCTCAAACAAATACTTTACGACCGGAAATAAAAAATATTAACGCCCAGTTACATAGGTTAAACGATTACGGTTTCGATAAAAGCTTAATTCTTACATCAAATTTCTTAATATGTAACACAAGTTGCCCTTTCGTATGCTTGCGTTTTTTTGCATTATTCTGTGCGACTGCTGTGATGGTGTCCATGGCACTTCTCATTTTTAAAAATACACCTTCTCTGTTCTCCTTCGCTGACGTAGACTCTGGATGACGTAGGAATGTCTACGAAGAAAACAGAATCATGGAAATCTCTCTTGCTGCACTAAACTTGTGATCAATAATGTACGAGAATGGACACCTTAGAAGTTGTCAACAACAACATGGTCGACTTTTCTAATAGTGTTCTAGCTGCACACATCTCAGCTTTAGATATGTCATCTTTCAAGTCCTACAAAAAAAACCCAGTTCCAAACAGATAGAGTCCTGCAGCTCATTGAAGAATTAGTAAACATAAATATAATAACTTTGTGGATAAGTTTATGCTGTTTAGTGCATTGACTTAAATACACAATACTGTCATGAAAATTGAAATCTTACATTTTGCCTTTCTCCTGAAAGACGAGCGAGACGAACCATGTCTGCACCAAAATGACTGAAGGCTTGAACAAACTCCGTGAAGCTATTCACGCTCTCTAAAGCTGAAAGCCTTTCGTCCACCTGAAGCGATGCAAACGACAGGTATGATTGATGGTAGAACGAGTTATATTAATCCGAGCAACAGATCAATACAATGATTTTCTTAGTTCCATCTTAAAACTTCGGAATATAAAGAGTTCCTCGCAGTTCAGTCAATGAATAGGAAATTGCTGCTCCAATTGTAACAGAAGAGGTTACAATAATTAACGGAACAGAACGATGGTGATAAGACGGAAAAAATCTATTATGAAGTGGCTTAACACCTGACCTTTGCCAAATTTGGAAAAGAAAATCAACGTGATAAGAACTTCGATATACAATGGACCACACGTGGATCGCTTCTAATTCCGAACATAACGAGACTTTAAATATTTATGAATGAAAGGAAAATAAAACCAGCACAAATTCTCTGAATACCGGAGCAACTGATAAGGATGGGGCTTGTGCAAAATCATTAAAAAGTTGACATAAACAAAAATTTTCAAAAACAAGAATACATGGACTTCCACGTTGAGAGAACAGTCAAGACACGTGTTGACTGTCGTCGATTTCATTCGTTTTACCACTTGAACCACAGGTTATTATGATGTTTATTTTCAAACACAAAAAGTATAGAAGATCGTCTGTGGTCTGTTTGTCATACAAACCAAGCGAATAACTCCTTCATTTTAACACGAGGCGTAAAATGATCACGGTAAAACAGCAAATGGATAATTAAACACTCCGATACGCTTGTGCCAAAATAGATAAAGTTCAAAATGTACAAATTATGTAAAACGTCTGTTCCCTTGCTCTAATAACGAATGTCGCGTAGAAAGGAAAAACCTTTTCAATAAGTCTTTAATGTGCATTATAGTGCATATATACCTTTCTTGCTGCAGAGATGAGCGCTTTTACAGCGACCATATCGTTTATTATGATAACTCTGGTGACAGAGGCAAGTAATGATCTTGCAGCACGAACTATGCTAGCTCGTTTTTCTCCATCTGAGTCTCCTTCGTTCACAGGAGCATCAGAAAGTGTAGTAACCGCGTCCTTCGCTTCACCGCATGCATTCAGCAAGTCAGATGAGTATTCGGGGTTCTCATCAGCTATCTCTTCTCCAACTGTCACAAATTGCAATACAGCCTCGTGTAACTTGCTGCAAACGCTCTTAAGAGCATGATTGGATCTTTTAAACTTCGCAGATTTGTGATTTATCAACGCCGAGATCTGCAATATGATCGATCCAACTGACATGTAAAAGATTTCAAAAAAAAACTTTTGGAGTTGCAATGTAACGCAAGTTGTTGCGATACTCTAATTCTAATGTGTAATTATATGTTTACCGCTACTTTATACTAAGTTGAGATAAACTTCTATCTATAGCATGATCAGCATCTTTTGTCTTCAGGACATTCAGAAGACTGTAATCTGTGCTCCTGATTAGTTTTGATAACAAACGAGTTTATTTTCCCAACTAAGTGTATGTGATCAAAAAGAATGACATAAAGTTTGGTGAATTTAGAGGAGAAAAGCTATCAACAGTTTGTGAAAATTAACCATTCCAAACAAGATAATATTCACGAGAAAAGAACATGCACCAGAAATACTAACCTGGGACATTAAAGGCATTAACGTCTGTTCGACAGATTTACTACGAATCTCTAAATTTTTCACATCCATTTTCGTCACCATCGAGAAGTCTTCGAACAATCAACAGAGCTTGTAAACACTATGAAAACAGCTGAAATCCTTCATCTGTTCATTACATAGGGCGAGTACGTATTCATGGCATTGGTATCGCCAAAGCCATTTTCCTCGCTCCTGTTAACACACCGGAACTGTTGTCAAAACAAGTAAGTATTGGTATTCAAATTTAATGCAATTTTGAAACAAAGACGCTCAATTTACGCGTAACTCACTCATATTACAGCCACGTGATCAAGGGAGGGAAAAAGCCTTCTTCTCATCTATTCTGTGTTCAAAACTGCAATGATATTTTAACAACATGTTTTAGCTTTCTTGTCGTAACGAATTTTGAATTGGGAGGAATTCGTTGGAAAAAGTTTGACGAACCGCTTGAGTTGATAGATTGTAATATTTGACGAATCTTCACAAAACACAAGATTGAGACGTGATTGTTTTCAGCATATTTTCACATTTCAGTACAAAGCACTATTTGCCACCATGTTTGTTGGTCAGACTGATGACATCATAGTGACGTCAGAAGCAAAATGGCTGGGTGCAAATATACTCAAACTCAAATTCATTAATGTAAAGAAAGCACATTTCTTTCAACAATGGGGAAAATACGACGAACAAGGACTAAAAGACATATCGAAGCCATCAAGAGACCTTCAAATAGCGAGAGTTGTAATTTTGACCCTAATGAAGTAATGTCACCTTTGAAGTTTTGGTGATGTGTGTGTGTGTATAAATGTGTAATAAATAAATTAGATATTATTTATTGATAGTTTCCAACTTTAATGCTAGGTAATTACTTTCATTTTTAGTCTGGACTTCCAGCATTATTTTCTATCAATAATTTGTTCCAAGTCTCATGCGATGAAACCAAGAAGGTTGAGAAACCGATGCAGGAATCATCAAATGCGAAAGTTGTTCAAAAAGAGGTTTCAACCTGCAACAAAAATGAAAAAAGAAAATCAAGACATGAAGAATTTTTGAAAAGTGTGATATGAAGCTATTAATTTATCAACAAGACTTATATAGCATTGAATGTATTTTGTGTTTGGTTTCATTAACAAATAGAGCTTGAAGCAAGCAAAGTCAAAGAGAAAAATCTCATAGCAACAAGGAAGCGAGAAAAGACAGTGATAACAGGTGATCTCAATCCATTGACGCAAGCTTTATTGGAGATCAATAAAATACCTGTTACCAAGCCAGATAAGAAAAGAAGGTTCACAATTCACCACATATTTTTACAATTTGAATCCTAATTTACCACAGATCTGTTGTTTTAATTAGGAAAAACAAAAGGAGGAAGAAAACATCAAGTCAACAGAAAAGACTCAATTCACAGTTAGTATGATTACAAAATATCCTTTAAATACTACGACTTTTATAAAAAAGCTCTCGTCTTTTACTGATATATTAAGCATTTTGAATTTTGACACTTTTTTGCATTAGGTCAACAACTCTTTCACTTTTGATGCTCACTCTAGGTTATCGGACATGGAGACATTTCAAAAAGTTCTAGACCATCCTGTCTTCAAATCCAGTCCACTTGAGACTATCAGTGAACATGTTTGTAATATGATCCAATGCGAGAAAGATGTATAGTCATCCACATTCAAATACCATGAGTAATGTTTGACAAGAACATGTCTAATGACTGTGTCCATGATATATACATTGCCTCCTCAGTTTCAGAAGGTTAGAAGAAAGTCATGGATAAACCATTATCATCATTAACTGAGGAATTTGTTTGAAATATACTAACGAAAAATGAAAACAACACGAGACACAAAAACAAGTTAAATAACAGCAAACAAGAAACAAAAAACAATTCACAAGACGATACAAAAAGAACTTTGTGGTAACATAAATATTTATATCTGGACTGATAGCTCGCTCCTTCAACAAAGTTTTGAAATCATCGCGAATAGGTATGTGCAATAAAACTATAACCATCGCTCATATAAGGAAAAGATATATCATGTTAGGAACAGCATTACAGTCGATATAAATGAAGTAAAACAAAGTATTCTTAAATCTTCATCGACGAAAATATTATGCTCCTTCGTCTCGGACTTAAACTAATGAGTGATTTGTTTACGTTACATGACGTTGAGATTGAGCAAACACTATAATGCGGGCTCATTAGTCGACACATTGGAGAAGGACAAGTATACATCATGGTATTCATTCGGTGAGAGGGGACAATGGAGATGACAACGATAGAAAATTGATTTTCCATTGCACAGGGGAGGCCTCCAGACTTTCTGGCTGTAGTAATCCATGATTTTTTCCACTCATCACAACAGTGCAACATTTCCAAAGAAAACTTTGCACTAAAAATTACCACTAAAATTTCAACCTGTGGGTAAAGATGTCATTTTCTTTATTAAGTACGATGCATACACTACATATTTACGACAAACAAACGATAGTAACGTAACTCCTATCATCGTTACACGTGGCTTGAAATTGCTTTATAAAAGCGAATAACATTGTTATCTCGCTTAATATTAATAAAACCTAAATTTCCTGGATAAATTATGATTCGAATCAGCCGTCAGCAACCATCCAAAAAGTGCAGGTACGGATGTGGAACATTACATTTTACTTTAAAATAGTAGCGAGAGACTTGCCGAGCGGAAATCGAATTCGTGTAACAAAAATTAATGCCCAACATAAAGTTTTATGGCTCTAATTAAAACTTTATTTAGGGCACTAATTTTTATTACAGGAATTACATGATCCTATCCTCGTTTCTTTAAAAGGTGGTGGGTGTATTTAAAGACCTGTGCGCAGTCGTGAGCAAGTCTTGTCGAAGCGTTTATGTTTCCAAATAACGTTGGAATTCCATTTTCAGTAGCAAGTTTTGCACAAAGCAACTTGACCTTTTCTGTACTCTCGACAAGGACATATTCGTTTCACATATTCGCTCCGCGTTGTGCAGCTGTATAGCAAAGGCTCAGCTTGTAAAACACAAATATTTTCGCTACCAACATAAGCAGGAGCAACGAGGGAATTCCGCCTCTTTCGTTGTTCCATGCTGCAGGGAAATGACGCCCTTATACAAAAGAGAGAAATACTCCGTCACGTTTTTACTTTTATCTACGAAACAGTGATGCCATTCGTGTAAGATTTTTATTATTTTGTTATTTAGGCTAAAAAGTGAATGGGCACTTTCCCTATTTCAAGAAAATTTTCGCGGGGGGCTCTACCACCCCTGCTTTCGACACACATGAAAATACTACACAAAAACTCACCTTAAAAAAAATTCTTCTTTGTTAATACTTTCAAAGTAGGCAGGTTCACACACCAGGCCTTTGTTAAAAAAAAACAGAACGTGAATAAAAAGCAAAGATCAGAATGAGTCGGAGAAACATAGCAATTTTATTGATTTGTTTTGTACCTTTTTTGAAACATGCATCCTTGCATGATTGACCAATAAGAGCCGTAATCACTATTCTTGACGTTAGCGGTGGCCATATTGTTGCAGGCTCTTTATTACAGAAGTCCTATCATATGAATGCGAGTGCAGAAATTAAGGAATCGCGATTTCTCAACCAAGAAAACTTCAAACATTTGTTTTCTACTGCGAGTACCTGGTTATGAATCAAAGCGTTCACTCGCTCAAGCATTCCCTCATGCGTAAACTCAAACGGTAAATATGGAGACGGCTGTAAAAAAAGAGTTTTTGTTGAGTATTATTTTCTCGAAAGCAGTCCAGAATCCATTTGTCGTCTGAAAATGTACCAAATGATCACACGGCAGAGCACTTTCTACAAAAAAATCAACTTGTATCAAAGTTCAACTTGTATAGAAGATCACCTGGCTGTTTATAATCTTCTCTAAAGCCTCCGTAACCGCTTCGCGATCCTCGATATCAACGGTCAACACTCGAGGTTCTCCGATGAACTCTTCAGCATAAGGATGCTGTGACGTCAACTATGATAGCAAAGAATCATAAGTTCAACAAAAGATTACAAGGCATGATTTCGAGCCAATACGAGGGGAATATTCAATTTTCATACCGCTCTGAAAGTAGGCTTTCCTTTAAAGAATGGAGTATTTTCGCGGTTCCTGGCTGTCTTAAACTAGTAAGGTTACAGTAAATGTAAGTCATTGAAAATAAAGCTGTTTTCCATAGTTAAAAGTCGTCCACTCACTTTAGGATTGATGAAAAAACATCCCTGAGCAATGGCTTCCAGTGGTGCTGGACCTTCGTATGGAAATCCCAGACCAATAAAAATCTATAAATCATCAAAACATGATTAATTATTCTTGTTATCAACAGTTTCCATGATATGTTCACTCATAAATAAAAATTCCCAAATTACAGTAGATTCTTTCAGAAGTTTAAGCAATATCGCGGAACCAACCACACCATGGTTGACAACATACTCCGGCAAATAATTTTTAACTTGCCCTAAAGGCTGCAATGGCAAAAAAACAAAAATATATTTAAAAGCTTTTCGAAAACTTCTTGGGATGACAAACACTGAGAACATACCAGACCTCCAGTGGTGGCATGGATTTCGAACTTCTCGTGAATAATGTCCAAGAATTCACGGTTCTTTAGATCCTATAAAAAATAGAACATAACAAAAAAAATTACCTTTTGCAAAGAATACTGATAACAACAACCGATGAAAGGCAAACTACTGCCAGTCAAAGAACCACTAAAAAACTTTCTAAAATGTCTTCACGGGCTATAATGGTATTCACATTTCATAATCACAACAACTACCTTTTTCATGTTTGTAAATGTAGATCGTCCAGGTTGGTATAGTCCTGAGAAGGACTGTTTTTGTTGTTGTTGACTGACGTTTCGACAACCTTAGCGGTAGTCATCTTCAGAGTCAAAATGTGGAGGGTCCAAATACTCCCGGGTTCAAACCATTTACCTTAACTACCTTTTTCATTGAGGGCACCAGTGATCAATAATCGCTAGCCTCAACTTTAACTACTACTATTGCTAATTTTCCCACAAAATTATCATTCGCTTTTTTTAATAAGTTATTTCATTTATTTTTTCAGGGAATGAACACAAAATATTTGCGTAGCAAAAGTAAAACATCCGGCTGGCATTGCAACTTCCAATTATTCTATGTTTTTTTATAACAATAAATACATTCTTGGAGGAAATATCAGATCTTGCAAAATTGTTTGGCGAAATGTTCAACAATAAAACGGTCACGCACAGGCAATGAATCAAAACATTACTTCATTCTACATCATCATCTACCTTCCACATAGAATAATGCTTTCCGTAAGTGAGCGAGATTTTCGTCTTGCTCACAGATTCTGGAACATTATCCTTACTGTCAACGATAAATCCAAGAAACGTGTTGTCGGGACTATGAGCTGAAAAATAGAATTTCAGTGTTAACCATGACCAATCATTCACTTGGTCATCAAAAATTTATAGTAATAAACAGAAGTTCACATGAATGTTGGATACAATTTTTTTGTTTCAAGATTTCTCAAGTGAACTCTGAAAATGCGCAAGAGAAACGTGAAATGCATGCTCTTATAGAATATACACCAAGTAGCACAGGGATAATGAAAATCATAACTGAATACATAAATGATCTCTATAACAATAAATTAATGCATCTTTGGCACGTGGCTATGGCATGTAGCTACTTACGAAACATAGTCATATATTGCTTTAAATTCAAGTTGTTCTTTCCATACAAATTCAATCCACGAGCGGCAGGACTACCGAGCTCGGGAGACTCTCCATTATAATTGAATTGTGCTTCCGTTCCAAACGAATCGACAATACGTAATGTACACCTGGGTACAAGTAATGATATCATGCAATCACAAATATGTTAAGAGTTGACAATATTTAAGAAATACTAACTGCAGCTAAACTTCATTGGAGCTTCGAAATGAAATTCGGAAATTTGCCCACCCTATCATCATTTTAAAACTTTACGTATGAGGCAATTCATTAGATAGCTGTTGCTCGAATTTCGAGAGAGTAGAATTAAAGATTATTTAAATCTATAAATGCCCGTACCTGAGCTGATCAAGTAATTGATTTGCTTTCTTGTGAAGACGCGAGAGACCGTAATAATCAGTGAAAAACAAATCAAATTTACGTCGTCCATCCTTAGGTGGACACGATCGCTTCATTTCACCATCACTGCCAACCAAGAGACTATAAAATGAAAGAGATTACGACAGCTTGCACTAAACTCATGATAAATACATGAAGTACCACATTTAGAATGTCAAAAAAAGAACACGTGAATCCACAAAACGGAGCACAAATATGACACACTTTGAAAAGACTGGATAAATCTACTTCAACAAAAACAGGAAACACTTCTTTTTGCGTAATATATTTTCCATAATAGAAACAGGCGTTAATTCTCCCTCGTCCATATTAACAATCTAAGCAATCTTACCTTAGCATTTCAGAATGTTCAACTGTGACGTAAATATCATGTCCCAGGGTGTACAAGGATGCAATGATATCGCCCCATTGAACCAACTCACCCAATGGACCACCTTTATCAGCTGTCTGAGCGAAATGTAAACGCGTCTCTTCAGCAAGAACTCCAATATGAATGAGAATCTTAACACGTAAGATATAATAAGAATGAGCGTTAAAGCAATGACAGTGTTTTATATTTGTTCATGCAATATGATGCTACAAAACCAACATATATACGCAGGCTTGTTGTAACTGCTGATAATGGAGTCAGTGGCGAATCGCAAACACAAAATACTTTAAGTTAAGTTCAACATTGTTGGTTGGACAAAGAATATTTACATACGAACTTAATTATCACCAGTAACGTATTCTGAAGTACACGTTGGATCCCCTACTGAACTTAGTCCCGATAGGCAATGGCATAAATAAGAATCAGATTTCACTCATTTCTCACACAATGTTGCAAGCTATAAGACGTAGTCACGATGCAGATTTACTCCCGCTATGAAAATTTCATAATACCCATCAAGACTGTTTCAACTCGGGCATGCTGCTATACTGGGGCCAGCTAAAACGAGGTCTGCTAAAACAAGGCTGTGGAAGCATACCTTCATTCTTGGTTTATCAACAATGTTAACTCTCTTCTTCAACTCTCTCCTTCCTTTCTCCCAGTAACTATACATGCGCACAACACGACTCCGTATCCAATTCAATCGTGATTCAGAAATAACGTTGGTCAATTTGCCAATCAAGTGCTCGAGACTGGTTCCTCTCAAATCCTTAAATGATAATTATTCCAACTGAGCTAACTATAACGAAGGAAGAGAGTGAATAAAAATGTACAAGCACATTAGACCATTGCTCCATAAAAACTTTAGTTGTATTTATACATGCTGGTGGACACTAAACAGTAAAAACTACAACAGATGTATTCATTCTTTTGGGAAAAATTTAGCCTTGTAAAACAAGGGATCACTAATCGCTTTTTTATATTTATCTGTTGATGGAAGGTTTTGTATTTGACGTAGAAAAGTTATGTGACAAACATTGATGGTAGGTAGGTGATACAGTTACTTACAACTTTGGAAATATTTTTTTCAACCGAATTTTGAGGAGAAATATGTTTCACTCCAGGTAAACGAGGGCACCACGACTCAACCTCACTAAGATAAATCAGAAATGAACACAGAGTCCCGTTTACTCCAAAATCCGTTTCATAACAAGGATCACTCTTCCAGTGTTCCCTCATCCACTGAAGAAAATAAATCGAAAATACAATTTGAAAATACATTTGACTTTATAAAATGAAATGGAAAGTCATGGTAAAAACTAGAAGGCCACAAAGTTCTACTCAATTAACTTATTATATAACATATGTATGATCACACAAATTTATACACACACCTGCACTTTCTCTGCACAACTAGGATAGGATGAAGTTTTCTTTGGAATTGTGCAGCCATTATCAAGACTTGACCATGTATTTTGGTAGCTATTCTTGGGACAGAAATCCTCAACCTTAAGATGAACAGAAATACATCAACACATCGAAGAAGAAAAAAAACAATATGATCAAATGTTCTGTTATGTTGATTCTTTAGTTTCCCAAGTAAACTTTGTTCAATAAGCCCTGGGCTCATTTAAGTTTTTAATAGTTTAAAGGAGGGGGGGGCTAATGCATAGACTACATTAAATTTGTAAACATTACACTATTAAATATACGGGCTTATATTAGGGTGGCTTTTTCTGTGGAACTAGTAAGTTGAGTGTCCATTGCCATGGGCCATTCATGGTTCTTAGAGCTTATACACTGGGTGGGGGGTTATAGGCAGAGGTTCACAACATTTCACTAGAAAGACCAAACCTCACTGAGATATTTAAGAATCGAGCACAAAGAGCCATTCACATCATGGGCCGCATACTTCGGATGACTTTCCCAATGTTCTTCCATCCACTAAAAATGAAAATGTTAAAGAATATGGATAGTGATAAAGAAAGAACTCGTCACAAAATATCCCCACCTCAACTTTTGAAGCACAATCTGGATACTCTGGGTCATCAGGAACAAAACATTGCATAAAACTGTGGCCTGCAAACACAATAATTTTTGATAAAATGAGAAAACTTAAATGTCCATAGTAGTAAATTCATACTGTTTGTAAAGTTGCTAGCAAAACTTCTTAGTGACTGGTTAAGGGCATTCACTTTCTGAGACAGTGCAGAAATATCAATTGCACTTTGAGCAACTACATTTTCAACTTGTTTTTCCAACATCTGCAGACGATTAAGCATGTTTTCCAACAAAAGTGCTGTCGTTTGCTTTAAATCCGACACCTTATCTAGAAAGCAAATGATCAATTTTCATTTATGAGTTGTTAATAATTCATTACTTCATTTAGTAGCTATACATTCAGCAGTTTTTTGAAATGCTCAAGTCACACAACATCAACAAAAGTTGGTTCAACCCAGGTTCAAATTAATCCAGGTTAATCTTTTTTGCTTGTTGACACTACTAACCTAGGTTTAACACTGGGTTCAACACAGGTTAGTTTATGCTGTGTGATTTTGGCTATAAAATGCTTCAACATATAGCTTAAACACACATAACAACAGGAAAACTAAGCATAGTAACAATCAGTGTGCTCCTGTCTGCCAATTAAATGGTAGATCAAAAAAACCACGATAATATCATTTATTCTGAATGAGTTCATCTAATCTCATTAGTACACTATTCTGTTATTTCAACTGGTCATGTCTAAAGAGGAAGAAGCTACTTGAGGACTACTCAATTTGGGTTTGAACATGTCAAAAAGAAAATATTAATAACTAAATGTTTGTTACAAATTATATTGATGAAATTTGGCTTTTTCACATTGCCACTGTTGGTGTGAAATAACTCTTTGACGCAACATTCAAGGGTGATGGGCATAAAGCAAGTTCAACAATTTACCCCTTCTTGTAAGGTTTTCGCCGAATGTAAACAAGACAGGCAACTGTTTTTTGTTTATCTTTTCGAAACTACTTATCAGACAGTGGGCAAGAAATGCTGGTGTAAAAACCGCAAACTTCAACACACACTGAGAACTGCCGGGAAGTTTTACAGAATCTTGCAGTTTCTTCGATGTAAAGAAAACAAAACCTAGACAAACCCGGTAAATACAAGCCAGATGGACATGTACATGCTAATATTAAAAAGTCTGAACTCTGAACAGTGTTCCTGAACGCTCCCGCAAGACTAGACATGTAAACACAACGCTTAGCGGTAGGAGATGTATAAAGTTGAAACTTGCTGATTTATGATTATGATTAATGACATCATGAAATATCAACATGAAGTCAAGAATAAGCAGAAGAATGGTCGTCTTACTATGAAAGTACACATTGTATTAAGTGAAGGAAACTTGTTTAAACTCAATGTTGAAGATGTGTTATGAAAACAGAAACACAAACCCTTGAGAAGGCCAGGTGTCGATTTCTCGCTCCGGTCTTTTGCAACAGCTTTCACATACTCTTTAGACAATTCTACAATCCTCTCTCTCAAATAACCTTTGTCCAAATGTAGACGATGCAGGTCCAATTGAATTTTTGCCAAGTAAAGAATCCACAAAAACGCGAAAGGAATAAAAAACACCATCAAACGCTGAGGTTTTGGGATGCGTTTCAGAATTTTGGCGAACATTTTTTAACTTCGTCTCCAAATTGTAAGGTTGTTAAAATTTACTCATCAATAATAAGATTTCAAACACATTTGAAGAGAAGTTAAACTACAACAAATGGACGACATCGTCCTAGAAAACTTCCTAAATGTGTCCATTGCGTGGTTCATGCTCATGCCACACTCGTGCCTCGTGCCATCCACTGACTTCAATGCAAATATGTACACAGCAAAAAAGACATGTTCTTTATCAATGACATAGTCACATAGAAGAGAAGAAAAGGCAATTAACCAACAAGAACTATTAAATACTAATTTACTGTTAGAATCTCTGCAACATGCCAAACAACACTGTTAGCGTAAAATTCCGAATTGTTCAACGATAAGTGATTTTAATGCAGACACGTAGATGATACCACGTGATACCATGGAGGATGTACTGGCATCTGGTAAAAGCATATAAAAGGGTAATGATTGCATAATAATTCCTCTATGGAGCCGACAATCCCGTAGAGTAAAATGAAAAGACACTTGTGAATTCAGACACCGTTAAAACTTCAAAAAACCCCGCGCTCACGTTTCACTATGCATGAGTCACAGACATTAAACATGACTGATATAACAACAGACAGTCTATACTCATGGCTCGTGTGTGGAGCAGCATTTTGCACTCTTTTTGTGACACTTGGCATTCATTATAGTTGTGGAGTTGTGTTTGTTGCTCTTCTTGATTCGTTCAAAGAAAGTCGTGCCAAAACAGGTGTTGTAGTAGCCACTCTTGAAATGATTACTAGGAATTTAAGCGTTTGTCCTTAGTTGCATGCACATTAAATACATTTTTAAAATAATCAATCGATCTCCATTCGTACCACCTATGCTTGTCTATTGCAATGCAAAGTGTAAACGAGCAAATCTCACAAGTACACAAGACATTTAAAATAGACGACAAATTTCTTTTTGCAAACATGTTTCGGCATGCTTTATGCCATCTTCAGTGCGAAGTGAATAAATATAAGAAGTTTACATGATAATATGTTATAGTGATAAAGCGGAAGTATCGAATAGTTACGAATAATTATTTACAGTTGAATGAGGTGTTATAAAATGTTTGTGTTAGGTTTTATCAAAAAAAAACTACAAAGAATTTGCTTCTTTGAGTTTAAGGGCGAAAGTAGTGTAAGCAGTGTCTAAGATACGGAAACAGGATTGTGTGTAATTGTTTTTGCAGTGTGGTGACGAGAGTAAGGGTCTGAATATGTGTGAGTTTTTGTCCGTGGTTGTGTGTTCTTTAATACGAAATTATACACAAGACATTCTTTGTTGTTTTGGTTCCTATCCTCTCGGTAAACATTACACCCAGTGAATACACCTAATTACGATAATGGGCTATAAGTATGAAAATGATCAAATTAAGATAATTATAGTGTGGATTTTCCAAATAAACATTTTAAGGTACATTTTGGTTTAACATCCAACTTACCCTTCCTCACGACCATCATCAACATTACCCAATTTTTTAAACATACATGTCAACGTACATTTTGGCTCAACATCTAACCCACTGTTCCTAACCACGACCATTAAACCACCACTACTATCATCACCACCACCATTACCCCTATCACCTTCACCACTATACTACCAATACCACCACACTATGGTCCTGTCAAAATAGAAACATCATACCGGGCGTTTATTCCCTTAGCTAGTTTTCAACAACTTTCTTCTACTTTGCAGCATGGGTGCAATCGATCAGTCAATTTATGCTGTTCTTTTTCTGTCCGCTCTCCAGTTTCTTGACTGAACGTTACGGTGGACGGCGAGTAACGATGGCAGGTGGACTACTAATGAGCATCGGCTTGTTAACCAGCTCCTTCGCGAAGCAGTTGATGAACTTATATTTTACATACGGTGTTGTTTTTGGGTTTGGAACAGCACTGGCCTATTTACCAACACTTGTAATGGTAGGAAAGTACTTTAAAAAACGTCGTTCTCTAGCAACTGGTATTGCAACATGCGGTAGTAACTTTGGAGCATTGTCGTTATCCATTCTACAGGAAGTAATATTGAAGAAATACAATTGGAGAAATGTTTTCCGATTTAATGCCGGTTTTTCTTTGCTAGTAATCATATCTGGTGTACTATTCAAACCAATGATTCCTGTCGTATCAAGTACGACCCGACGCGAGGGTGTTGTAGGCTTGAAAAACAAACTAGGATTGCTTATGCGTAATCGATTGTTCGTCTTGTGGTGTGTAGCATCAACAGTGGCCACATTTGGCTACTTTATTCCTCATGTTCATCTGGTATGATCCTTGTTACCTCAAAAGTGATTTCTCTATACTTGTTACAAAATATCTCGGACACCACTGACACAATCATCTCAGTCATCACGCACACAATCATCTCAGTCATCGCTCACACAATCATCTCAGTCATCACTAACACAATCATCTCAGTCATCACTCACACAATCATTTCAGTCATCACTCACACAATCATCTCAGTCATCACTCACACAATCATTTCAGTCATCACTCACACAATCATTTCAGTCATCACTCACAATCATCAGTCATCACTCACAATCATCTCAGTCATCACTCACACAATCATTTCAGTCATCACTCACACAATCATACCAGTCATCACTCACACAATCATCTCAGTCATCACTCACACAATCATTTCAGTCATCAATCACACAATCATGGAAACAAGCCTTCATTAAGCACTTCTCTACCTCCATACAAACAGAACAAAAAGTTTTTTCTCTTTTCAGGTACGTTATGCACAAGATAATAACGCCAGTTTACAAAGTGCAACTTTACTATTAACTTACATGTCACTTGGCTCGGCATTAGGAAAACTTATTTACGGTCGCATTTCGGACTGTTTCCAAAATAGAACAAAAATCATCTACGTGACGTCAATGTTTGTATCTGGCCTCGCCTCAGTCCTCTTTTCCTTCGTATCGGGGTCGTACGCTGGTCTCGTATGTTATGTCTTAGTGTTTGGCTTACTAGATGGCTCATTCATTGGTCTCATGTCTATAATTACGTTCAAGTATACGGCTTCAGCGGAGCTAATGTCTTATGGCTGGGGTGTATCTCTAATGTTCATGTCTTGTTCGATGATCGTTGGCCCACCAAGTGTTGGTAAGACATTTTGATTTACTGTTTATCGTCTCTTGTTACCTGCAGTAAAGGTCTTGTCAAAAAATGTGAGTTTTCATGGCATCAAAAAGTGTCAGAAAGGGTTCACTAGAGGTGCACCACAGTTTTGATCAACAGGGAAGCACCACTAACAAACCTGCTTTTTAAGTGTGACACATTGTAGACAAAAATCAACAGCGATTTTTTTTGAAATACATTACTACAACATATACGCAAATGCATTAATATTTGCAAAAACATGTGCAAAAGTTATTGTAGTTACAATTCTTATGAAAGAGATGAAAAAATCATGGTCAATTTATACTTATTCTTATTCACTTTAAGGTTGGTTAAGAGATATCAATATTTCCTACAAAAGTCTTTTTTATATGAGTGGAGGTCCAATGATGTTAGGAGCAGTAATACTTGCTCCCACAATTTGGATGGAAAACAAAGTCGACTGTCATGAAAATAGTCAGAGTTCAATCAATGAGCCAGTTATATCCAAAAATGAGCAATGTAATCCGAAGTTTTTACTAGAAAAATCATCAACACCATGAAAAGGATAGTTTTGCATTCAAACTATTGCTGTGATAACATATTTTGATTCAATGAAAAATACATAATTTGGCTGACATAGCAGATGAATTATTCATGCCAAAAATATTGTACTTGTTAAATCTAAATACTGTTGGACGACATGAATTTGGAGAAAAATGATTCTGCTTGCAATTGCCGTCAAATAAATAATATTATTGGATAATTAAGAAATTAATTTATCACCAATAATTATTTACATTATTTTCTCAAATAAGAAACCCCTGATATATACAAAAGCATAAATATATAAAGATTTCAAAAATACATATGAAAAAATGTGCCATAATGTCATTTAGTCCATACATGTTCCATTGAATCTTCACCATCAAATGAATAAGGTTTGTATTACATTCACAACCCTCTAGAAGTCCTCTTCTGTTCGACCAAACTTGAATATAAGCCCACTGAAAATATTAGAATGAATACAACAGTTGTCCTGCTAAGAAAGATCAACTAGACCATGTTTACAACACTCTGTATGAGGCTGAAAATGGTACAAAAAAGTAATAGAGCCGGGTTGCCTTTATGCTGCACCAGACCAGATTCATTTGAAAATATCACTATTACCAAAGCAAGACAACTTACTAAATGTTGTTGAATGAAAACAAAGTCAAATTATACCATCACTTATATGCTACAGAGTAATGCAAACATAGTTCTAGATTACGCCCAAACTGCCAAATGAAAGGAAATTTTGATAGTAATTTGAACACATGGTTAACTACATTTAAAATCAAAGAGGAATGCTTTTTTTCACTATTGGTACTAGCTCAAACATTACCCGAAGAAAATAAAGGCGTTCTGTAAGAAGATGGCAACACCAGGATATGGATTGCTAACATCTACAATAAATACATATTTGGTTGTATAACTTAAATTTTTAAAAAAATCAACTTTGCAAACCCACCATGAATCACATAATCAGCAAATAAAATCCAACATGCAGCAATTAGTCCACCAAATGCCAGCAAAAACCCAATAATTAACCAAACCCTTGCACCTATAAATACAAAAACAAAGTTTGTGGTGATTTTCAAGTGGAGAAAGCATGTGAAAACAAAGTTTCTATCATCATCACGATCATATATGAGAGTTCCCTTGGTAGAACTCCAAACGTTTTTGGATAAAGTCCATACCTTTGGTACCAAGAAATCCAGTATCATACGTGTCACCTCTTACTTGAGAATTTGAGACTGAATTGATGCTATAATAAGAAAAAGTAAGCAATGGATTGGTAAATTTGGGAGAACATAAAATGCAACAGGATAAATGATGTTCATGTAAACATATCATGTGCAACAATTGAAATGTTTAATACTGTAAGAAAAAAGTTTAAGCAGCAATCACAAAAACTTTGCCTTCTCATATCATTTTCAATTATATTGAGATATATTTAATCAACTATCTACACAATTAACAAATTGTTATTTGTTGTGGCCTTCCTTATTTTCCTATATAGCTAAGTGCCCATTCTTCTTAAACATTTCTTGGTTCTTACTAAACTATCAAAAACAGACAAATATTTAAAAATTTTACTATATTCAATATCATGAGAAAGGAAAGTATTTGCACAAGTTGTTGAAAAATACTTAGCATGATCTGAAAGGCTCTTTATGAGAAAATCATTTGAAAGATAAAATTTTGTCAGTGGTCCAGCTTTGTAGAGATCAAGAGCTCAAGAAGGCAAGGAATGTGTCAAACAAATTTCTTACACAATGACAGCCAAAGATGACACCACTCCAGCAGTGTGAAATGCTGGTTCAAATTTCTCATTTGCTGCAGCATCAATCATGACCCACCACCCAATGAAAAACTATATATTTATTAAAAAAAACATTATTAGGAGCAAAACAGGAACTGCTATATTCATACTAGATTACTTACTAATCCTCCTGAAACGACTGAAGCGATTGTGTTGCGCTTATCGCCAAGATCCAGCTCGCAGGTAGGACAGTGTGCGCATCTAAACAACCACTCATTCCTTCACCAGTTTATTACAGAAAATTATTTAAAAATATTTGCAGGAAAAGAATCAAAGAAAAGAAGTACTTGATCATGAAATGTTTTGTAAATTTTGATTTCGCTTCCGATTTATTCCGTAACAATCCGACAAATATCGCATATTTCCGACCACTAATCCTCTTGACGCCGCCATCTTGAACGTGGAAAGTAAATTAGTTTTCTTTTCGACTATTTGTGATGAGTATTTTAGAATATAATGGCGCAGCAATTATTGCAATGCGTGGAAAGGGTTGTGTGGCAATCGCCTCTGACAAACGTCTAGGCGTACAAGCCCAAACAGTCTCTTGTGATTTCCAGAAAATTTTTCAAATGGGTCCAAAATTGTTCTTGGGTCTACCTGGCCTGGCCACGGACGTGCAAACTGTGTCAAACAGACTCAAGTTTCGTCTTAACTTGTTCACACTTCGAGAAAACCGTGATATAAAACCTGAAACGTTCATGAACATGGTTTCCAATTTATTATACGAGAGACGATTTGGTCCTTACTTTGTAGAACCAGTGATTGCTGGACTAGACCCAAAGACTGATGAACCATTCATTGCTGGTATGGATCTAATTGGTTGCCCTATGATTGCTGAAGATTTTATTGTGAGTGGAACTTGTTCTGAACAGATGTATGGCATGTGTGAGTCACTATGGCAACCAGATTTAGAGCCTGATGATCTTTTTGAGACAATCTCCCAAGCACTTTTGAATGCAGTAGATCGTGATGCAGTCAGCGGTTGGGGTGCTGTCGTTCATGTGGTTGAAAAAGATAAAATCACCACCCGTCACTTGAAGACCAGGATGGATTAAAAATGATAAAAACAATTGATTTTTATGTCAAAGCAATACTACTTTAATGCTGTTCTTTCTTTCAAATTGAATACAATTTTTCCTCCTGACTGTGTGAAGTGTTTTTAATTAAGAAGTAAAGATGTTTACTGTGTTTTCACAAGCCTATGCAAACCAAGGAGACTTTTGGGAGAACTCAAGAGCAGATTTAGAGCAAGCCTGAGACAAAGGTTGAGGGTTGCACGTGCTCGAGAGCCAGTGCAAACACAAAAAACATCTTTTATTTCTTTTGTAAAATAACGATAATGCGAAAAAGACAAACATTTTAATTTTCCCCCTAAAATGTATTCATGATCGATTTGCAAATTCTCTTTGACTGATTGATTGTTTAGATTGATTTGATTGGTTGAGCTCCGGATGTGTTTTGCACTGGCTAATGCAAACTCAGCTCTGGACCAATCAGCGCACATGTTTCATTGTGTTTATTTTATAATTGACTATGATAATTCTGTACAGTTCAAAATTTTCACTTGCCTTATTTATAAAAATCCATTAAGAGAAAAGAATTTATGTGAGTTTTAGAATTTATCTTAGAGCTTCGAAATAATCCAACTAATAACCAAAAGTGTCCCAACCGACCCAACAATGCCACACAAAAACATACTATAGTAGCACTTCCCCCCAATACTCCCCCCTGAATAGCAAAGATGGCGGACGGTATGAGTGGAAATTTGACGTGGAAGGAAAATTTTGACATTTATCTTCGAAAGTTTGTGATATACGTCGGCAAAAATCCACGCGAATTTGTTAGCTATGGTATTTAATATACACGTTTAGTCTATTTGGCATAAAAGAAGTAGAAATATCAAATTGTCAATCTAATGTCTATAAACCCAATCTTTTAAAATATTCTTTAAATTTAGTTGTCGTCATTTTATCTCCAATGATGCTTATATGTGGGTATCTTTCCTGGAAACTTATTCAGCTTACAAATCAAGAGGAGAAAGAAAAAAAGCGCAAAGGTAAAATTTGATCAAAATATCAAAATGAAAATCATAATGTCACGAGCTTAGTTATGTCGTCTTACGTCGCTTTAGGAAAGATTAATTCCAACATCGCCAAGATACGTAGAAAGAAAAAGGCGAAACCGGAATGACTTATCAAGATTTTAAAATCAGCGCTACTCAAATTTATGATTAGCGTTCAATAATATACACAGAAATCATCACCGATGTAACATTTTTGCTGTATAAAATCTCAATGAACAGACAACTAATTGCAGCTTTACTAGAACATTCATCTCTGTATAGTCAAAGGAACATAGAAGATAAGTATGAACATTTAAATTGAATATAATCGCTTTTTTATGTTTATTTTGACATCTTTGAAACACTTCTTTCCATTTTCCTTATCATTTTCCTCCATGGAAAAAGTAGGAAATGAGATTACACCAAGTTTACACCATGTCAAATTACTGTTGTATTTTGGGTTACAAAACTATCATTACAATGGGGAATATGCTAAGAAGACTTTGTGAAACCTTTTCTTACATACAGTTGAGGTTATAAGTTCTGTTCGCAAAGACTCCCAATGCAGTCTTGTGTCGTGTATTTTTTTCATTTGAACCTGCTTGTAGTATGAAACTTTCGCCCTCTCCACCTAGACATTAAAATTTTTTGTTATTTAATTGGTTAGGCTGTTGGGTCTTAAAAATTATGAGCATTTACACTGTACACAGTCAGTAAACAGAATTGCTCAGCAGCAAATGAAATGATTTAAGAAAGTAACATTGGGGCAAAATGCCAAAACAAGAGATACAGCTAAGTTATACACCAAAAAAAGTGTTATATTCAATAACTTCTGGGTTTTCCTCTTGTTTTGTTGTCCAACATTACTACACAAAGCCTCAGCAGTTCTTATTAACTGCCCATGTATTTGCTTAATGGAGTAATGAAAATATTTTAGAATACTTTGCCAAAAACATGCAGTAGCATTTCAACTTGTGAAATTTATTTGTGAAAACATCGTACCTTCAATCTTATCGATGGTAGATCGTCAAATGATAGCGGTGCCTTGAACTTTTTGCCGCCTATACTACGTGTCTTTGGTTTGATCAGCACTTTGGGTAAATGAACTGAAAGTGGTTCTGCTTTTGAGCACATCCAGCCGTCATGTTTAACACAAGGTTGTTGCTGTTGTTTGTTAACTGAGTTGTTTTCCGATCGTCCACTAAGTGCACTCTTGCGACCCTGTGAAACGTTAAAGGGCATTTTCAGGGCATTACGAGTCAAATTGGATTATTGTAATAAAATTTCAAGGAAAAAGATGAGCGATCGTTGCGATCAGATGCATTGACACAAGTCTAAAGTGACGAATGAATCAAACTATTTCTTCCAGAAAGCTTAGACACAAACCACAAATTTCATTCGCTGATGGCATAGTAAAAACGAGAGTGTATTTCCTTAGGGAAATCGCTTGCAGATTTATGGTTCCTAAATTTCGAATTGAACATTTTAAAAAGTCCTTTTTGTTAAATAGTCTTATCGTATAAAAGTATATCTATTTTCAATATTAAATTTATTTCTATATAAGTATTTCTAAACAATTGACCTAACACAATTGCAATTTAAGACTTGATTTAAACTGTTCTATATCTTCCTACTTTTCAGTTGCGCTAAATATCATCACCAAATTACTGTTTTACCATAAACACTCTATGCAATAGTAAAAACACGCTCTAGATGATAAAATCTTTAATTTAGCATTTACATCAATGTATACAACAATGATAAGGCCGAGATAACCATCAAGATCTTCAAATACAGCACACATTCATTATGATGATGTTATTTAGGTCAAACTTTGTTTTCCTAGGTTTGTATTTGCGGTAGTGCGAATCGTTTAATTTCAATGATTATTCTTTGAACAGAACCCAGAATAAGCAACCTTGACTCTATTCCAAACGTTACAATACGCCTTCCTGTAGTCACCATTATACCCACCATACACAAAAACATTGATTGCAGAATTCAAAGAAACCATGACTAAGGCGATGATTATAACAGCCCTAGGTATAGATCCGCAGGTATTACAGAAGATCTCAAGGACATCTATGATTGTAATTGGCAAACTGAGTAAAATGTAAAAACCCATGATAGCCATGAGCGTTTTTGTCGCCTTTGTTGAATTCAGTGTACTTAAAGGCAAGTTATTAGGGACCGTTTCCATATAATCAGCATCTGCGTTAAGTTTTTCCGGTACAGAAGTAACTTGTACGGAAGTCAAACGAGGGATTTTTATTATTTCTCCCATCGAACCCTTTCGATCTGAAACTTCCTTTTCAGTTTTCACAGAGTCTATTTTTTCTCTTGGAGATTCATTTGAATTACAAGGAATAACTGATTCTCTTTTGTCATTCGCTTTATCAACGTGATTTACCACAGAATCATTGTTTGATTGAACTAATGAAGGTTCCCGTATGGTAGAACATACGTCATCGACAACTTTGATAAATTTGTGTCACAGCGAGTTTGATCCGGTGCTGTCTTTTGTTGTTTATTTGAAGGCATGACACAGTCAACATTGCTATGGCTACAGTCATTATTTTGATTTTGTTGTATGTAAGTCGTGTGATCATCGTAATCTTCATCTGTAACGGGCAGCTCAATGCTGTCGTGTTGCGTCTGTATTACAACGACGCTGTCCATTGTGATTGTCAATGGTTTTTGTTTGCATGTTGGAGTATCATCTGGATTAGCTTCATAACTATTATCATAACCGATACTGTCGTTTTCAAAATACTGTTTGCATTCTTGCACTTTCTCTTCTGCTATAATATGAAGATTTGTTAAAGAGTCCGAGTTCTCATTTGAGGCTTTCGAAATGCTATGATTGTCATTGGCTGCTTTTTGTGCATCTTCTACCATTTCTAAATCAATATCATCACTCTGCCCAGCATGATTCATCCTTTCATCGCCGACATTTGTACCATCAGCTTTCCTCGATGACACAAGAACAAATCCAGTATTGACATGAGCTGCTGAGACTTCATTAGCAGCAACATCAGGAGAAAGAATTGTCTTGCTTCCAGATGGCTCCAAAACATTCGGATCACTCACACGACGAGGTTCGTAACCATGATTGATAACAGCGTGCCTCACAGCCTTCTCTAATACGCGTATTTTTCTTATCTGCTTACGAGTTACACGCAGAATATAAGTATAAGTTATCGACATGATTAATAAAGGAAAGAGATCCACCAAGGCTGCATACATGATCATGTACGTGTTGGTAAGGGTTTTACTAAACCTGCAAACTTTTCCAGCATTATCAGAGGCCTCACGACGCCATCCAAAGACTGGGCACGCGAATAATGTGAACGAAAAAAGCCACGTTACAGCTACAATGAGCTTATAGAACGAGCACTTCATTTTGTTGGTGTACGAGAAAGGTTTAGCAATGACAAAAAAGCGATCTATGGCTATCAAAGCCAGGTTGAAATTCGACGCACTCTTGAAGAGAACAGTTATTCCAATCACTATGTCGCAACGTACAAGACTTTCGCTCCCCGTATTCAAGCTTTCCACAACACGAAGGGGCAAGGACAACGCCCTTGAAAAAAGTCACTCACAGCCAGGTTCGTGATAAGGAAATTAGTGCGATTCTGAAGGCGATGGTCTAATAAAACAGCCAAAATAACCAATATATTTCCAAAGACGGTGACGACGGATAGCAACAGCAAAATCACCACCAATATCGTGTCCCCCAAATCCATGTCACATTAAAGAAAAAGTGTTTTTCAAAACAAACTTAAGACTTCAAAATTTCTACTTCCACAACGAAATCCGATACCGAATGATGAATGATATAAAATTATATGACGATTACCGAGGCTTCCCAAACAAAGAGTCTTTGTGAAGATTTGAAAGAAAATTTTACAGCGAAAATACAATATCCTTTCGTCTACTCCGACACTAAAAACGCGCATAAAATCCTGTGAAATTTCGTTTCAAATTTGTTTGGTGTATTTTCCACGATGAATTACGATAAACAAGAAACGAAAACGGTTGATCCAAACGACAGCTAATCTTCTTTTTTGCAAATATCAAGTGATAGACATTTGTGGAAACTTATAAAAAGTGAACTCGGAAAGACCTTTCAATTCTGTCTTTAAGTAGAATTCCATAAAAGTGGGGGAAAGAAAAATTTGTCCCAAACAAATTAATTCCACGAACTATGAACTTTCCGCACATGAAGCGGTGTTTCGAAGACACCTATATCAAAGATGATACAAACACAAGTCTCGTCAATTAATATAATATCTTAAGCAATCTAATTGTTGCGTGTTTCATGCGCAATTATTACAAAAAAATACGTCAAAAGCTCTTATCTCGACGATTTGATATAAGCTAGGTTATTTCGCACCCTTAACTTCAATACAACACAAACATTGCCGCCGATAAAAATAGAAACAGGCAAATACAACTTTTAATAACATAGCATGTGTAGAGCTAGATTGTGACGTTTTTTAACGAGCTGTTGAATAATTTTTAATATCTTAAAATAGATTTCAGGCCAGGCATATTTTTTTAACGGCATGTACAGTATATTATGTTATAAATGCAGTACAGTATATTATGTTGCAAATCAAGACTGCCGTGTTTCTCAGTAAGGACAATTCTTTGAGCCAATATAAATCGAAAACTGAAGAGCAATAAGTGAAGGGCAGTGTGCATTTGTGTCAGACAGGTGTATGTAATATATTTTTAATATGGAATATTCTCCGGACTCATTTCATACAATACATTGGCAATTTTTAGTTTATAATGTCTTTGAAACATGGTCTTGATTAAAAGTTGTATAATGAATGTATTGTATGTTAATTTAGCATTTATATTAAAGATTAATTTCAGTTTCAAAGGACGCTCCTGATAAATCTTTAGCAGGTAATTGTGTCGCTTGCATCGGAGAAGCAATTGGGTTTTCTTTTCAAAGCAACGGAGGTGTGTGAAATTAAAAACAGGTGTATAAAAAAAGAAATCAATTCTTACATTGCTCGAAGTCTATGATGTAGATTGTGGCGCAGATAACGCATTTAAAATTAAAGCTGCGACTTATGTAAATGATAAATATTTCTACTCGAAAATTATATCGTATGAATAATAAATAACAGAAAAAAGTCGCGGTGTGTTCATATTTGACGAAAAGTCATTTATAGTTTGTTTCATTTCACATGCTAAATAGTAAAAATTCACCATTTCATACCACAAAATCATATTTAAACGTGAACGTGTGTGGTACGACTAACAAAATAGATAATATTTTGTGTGCATTCAATAATGACAGCGCAAACAAAGTCATAATACTTAAAGAAGTGGTCAATTTTTACGCTTATATCTACGTATATCTTGATTACATATTCGTAACAATAGTTAAAAAGATGGGGAAAGATGTTAGATTATTTTTAATGGAAGGGAGAAATGAAAATATATATCGACCCTGTTGTACAACATACTCTGTTTCCCACGATATCTAAAAGTACACGATAACTACCTTATCAAACTTTCACTTTAAGTTAAAATCTTTCGGTGCAATATCATTGAATTAGATCGAGGACCAAAGCTGCCAACTGTCACGACAATTTCAGTAGAGCTGCCATTCAGAAGTGACGATTATTTTAATAATAAAAACCCTGTCTTAACGATTTCTTCGTACACACAAGTGCCAATACGGAAATCGGAAAACAAGCAATCGTCATGAATCGTTGGTTATATTTCTTTATGTTAAGAGGATAGCAGCTGCCAATTTGGCAATCATGAACAATGGCCGTGGACTTATTTGTATAAAAGCCTCATATATGGAATAAAATCGACAATTGTTTTATTGTTAGGGAGTGGTAATTTAAGAATGGAACTTTTTTCAACTTCTAGTTTTTGCAAGTGTCTATCAGAAGATAAAAGAAAAACCCAAAACTTTCATCAGACTTTATGTACCACTATTTTTTATATTATGTAATGGCTAACGAACATTCATTGCCAGCCAGACACAATATCACTGACTAAGAAAGTGGTCTCAAATTTGTCACATGGCAAGTGAGTGATTTTTTTGTATATTGTGATTTCTACAAAAAAAGAACTCACACATAACAAAAAAAACAAACTTACGGCCAATTGATTGGCAGCTTTTGCCTCCAAAGACTTTCTTCTCATTTCTTCCGTATTGAATTTGAGTACGATCTTCCCTGTCTTCATCCCCATTGAGAGAGTCGGACTTCCCATCATTGCCCTCGGGCTTCCAATCATTGCCCTCTTTTTTGAACTCGGATTAAGATTGTACAGCGGTTGCGCATAGGGTGAAGTCGAATCGCCATTAGATTCGCGTATTTTCTCCATGTGCTTTTGAAGTTGTTTCTCAGTTAGACCTATAAGTCGAGCCCCAGCGGCAAAATGACCAATAACATGAGGCGCTTGTGCTCGCTTGTATTTGCTGTTGTAAAATCTATAATGAAATAACATTACAAAGGTAGTTTGAAGTCAAGAAGCGACGCACCCTTAATTGTACCCACGCATTTCTTACTCAATTATGTGGTTCCTGTTATTGATTTGTCTTGTAGTTAAGGATTATTACGGTTAGCTACAGTAAAACAATAAAAAAATTGACTTCAATCTTACCCCACAATTTCGTCCATTGAATTCAAAGCGGAATTTTTCATGAACTGAGTGAGTGCATCAAACAACATCGTCTCACGCTGACGATTCTCCAACTGCGAATTTTTGCTCTCTACATTTACGGGGGGAAAGAACCAGTGCTTATGATGGGGCGTTTTATAAGATGTCACACACGGACACGTCTTGTATTGAATGGGGAAGAAATTAAGGTGCATCACATGAATTGTCGTAAAAAATCCTGTTCGTGCCGAAAGGATTCACAAAGAGCACTAACTCACCGAAGGACTCGATAATTTTCTCTGTATTTGTCATCATGCTAAGAAATTCTTCAAAATCTATTTCACCGTTACCTTGAAGTAGAATGGTTATAATTATATGATATGAATTTCACATACTTAGAAAAAGAAAATTATTAGCTGACTGCTGATAACAAAGACTTTTTACCATCCCTATCCATTTCTTCGAGAATGCGAATAACGTCGTCTTCGCTTAGACATACTCCAACAGACCTGAGAGCAAGATCGAACTTTTCAGCGTCAATTGTTCCTCCGCCATTACGGTCAAATAAGTCAAATACTTCCTGGAAAGCTAAAAAGAGATCGACAATCTTGATACGACTCAGAAGATCAATTTGAAATGAAAACTACATTGTGTATATGAAATTCATAAATACACTGGCCCACCGAGATGAAGAGGGCATTTAGGTATTTTGACTTTAATAGTAAAGTAGCCACTATAGCATCTATTCATATGTGTACTTTTCCGTCCACTATTTATTCAAAACTCAAAAGTATTAAAAATGTAGTTGCATATTTTACAGCAAGTTATAATCAGCATAAACCGTTACAACCTACCGTTAACCTGGGCCTGTGTTAGAGCACTCTCAGACCCTCTTCTCTTCCGGCATTCATCTTTGTCGTTGGCTGAATTCTTTGAAAAAATCTTTTTCACTCTCGTATCGGAACTTTCTTCAGGGGTAACTGACATCAAACGAATTTTGCTCATTGTAGGAACAGTTTTAGTTTTAGTTTTTTTCTTTTTACTTTTCCCTTTAACTGATGATTGCGTCTTGCCACTAAGCTTATCTTTTGTGATTGCAACGGCGTTACGACGATACGCTAACGGATTGTCATAACCTTGCATTCTATTTGAAAGAATACTGTAAAATCAAACAATTAGAGCAATTAAAATAGTTCCATTGTCTACTATTCATGACGTCACGTGTTTACTGATAAAATGAAGTAATTGAACTTAATTAAAAATGAGTATAAGCCAATTCACTAAAAACTGAATGTGCAAAAATCGAGCGACACCGTTGCATGGGATTAAAAATACAAGAGATTGTTTATGTGTGTGTAAAAGTGTAAATAAATAATAGATTAGCATTATTTATTTGTTTAGAATTTTGTTGTATTTACACTTTCGGATCACCAACAAGATTAGTCATTCTTATACTCGCGTAATAGCCAGTGGAGGACGCAGGATTTCTGCAAGGGCTTGACAAAAGGGGGGGGGGGGCACTGGATGATTCCACTTGGATAAGTCTGGCACAACACTTACCTCTCTAAAATAAATAGAAAATCGTTTTTTTGTAAGTTTGAGCATTAGAAAAAGAATCGTAAGATTAATAAGCTTTTTGCTTATTTGATATTTTTCTTCTTGAACATCTCAGTGAGAAAATTCTCATAAAAAAAACTGTCCAGTGTGTTCTTTTTACGTTTCATCTCGAGTTTCATCGATTCAGTATCAAGAATGATTCTTGCTAACCGCCAAATAAAAATTGCCTTGTTTACATTTTAATTCCGCCATGTTTTTAGAGTAAGGGATTCACATGGTCAGCGTTCAAATACACGCACCATAATATACTCATACAAGTGGGAAATGCGAATTCAGTAATTTTAATTATAAATCACAAACAAGATTTAATGCTTTATATACAAGTAAACATAATATTCAGCAGGAAGAAATTTCTAATTTCTCTTATAGAAGAACAGATTAAATAGTGATTTTCAACAAATCAGTATACATACTTTAGTTCTCCTATGCTGTTTCTATACGCTATCTTTATTCACTTTCATTTCATTAGAAATCTATTGTTTTTCAAAGAGGAAATACATAGAAATAAGAGGGCAGGATATTCCACTATTGGCTAAAGTGAAAAAGATCCATTCGTGTTATATATATATATACACTTAAATCCCTTGTACGTGGAGATACTGGTTCATCATCATGTTCGAAGCAAATATAATGGCATTTTGGTGAGCTCAATCAAATCAATTGTCTGTAGTTAATCAGTAAGTAGTTCATTTGCTTGTGATTAAATTAGAAGTCTTTTTTTTATTTTTAACTATCTTCATTTCAAAACGAAAGATATGAGGAGAGAAAGAAAAGATCGACCATCTCACTCAAATGGATCAAAATTGTGAATAAATTATTTTTTATTTTTGCCAATCAGAGCTCGATTGGCGAAAATTCAACCAATAACAATGTTATGATCTCATCGAAATCATCCAATGAAATCAGGCCACAAAATGATCACTCAATCTTCACAAGCACAGCTATTGAACCAGATGCCCCGAAGACTCGAAAGAGAAAGACTCAAAAGTAAGTTTGTCAAATTTTTATCATTTTTTTAAAAAGTCAGTCCAATGTTGATAAATTCGATGACAAAAGCCTAGTTTGATGTATATATACACATTGTTTTACTAGTAAATCTTTTCGTTGGTTATTTTTGGCGCAATTCAACGTTCAACCGCGTGTCTTCGCCGCTGTGCTCCTTCGCAAGCGGACCTTCTCATTATAAAAACGACAGGTTTGTATGGTTCAATGTCTTTCTTTCTATTTTACTTTAGTGTGTTGTCTACTGATGGTATTTGGAATGTTTTGGAGTGAAATTTTGTTAAATATCTTTTCTTTTAACGTGTATTTGTGAATGGATATATTTTCAACTACAAACATGCGCGACTGACATCTTTCTCGTTTCAACTCAAAAATATGAACAAATTCTGGGTGAAAAGTCACAGTATGGTAAAATGAGTGATATTCAAAGTGTTTCTTATTCCTTGGGTTAAGTTTTGCCTGTAAAAAGTATTCTTTTGAACTAAAATTTTGAAGATATATGAAAAATATGAAAATGTTTGTTCATGTTGGACGTTGGACTTTTCCCAAGAGGACCCTGTCACTTGTCAGTATAAAAACGACAAGTTTGCATGTTCTGAAGTCTTTTTTTCGATTTTTACGTAAGTATGTTGTCTATTGCTAGCATTTGGATTGTTTCGAGGTGAAATTTTGTTGAATATTTTAACTTTTAACCAGCATTTGTGAATCGATATACTTTCAACAGCAAACTGCGCGACAGCCTACTTTCTCGTTTCAACGACAAAATGTGAACGAATTCCACCTAAAAATATACAGTATGGCAAAATGAAAGAAAAGCAGGGTATTCCTTTCTCCTTGGGTTGATTTTTGTCGGTAAAAAGTGTTCTTTTAAACGAAAATTTCAGAGATATGTGAAAAATATGAAAATGTTGGTTCATGTTGGACGTTGGACTTTCAATTAAATTGCCGCCTTTTTTTGTTCCGCGTGAAAACGAAGAACACCGAGCATAAATTATGCAAGAATGACGACCTTGACTATGAAAAGCAAATTTTTAATCGCAAACACACAAAAAATCTTAGTGTGGAGTGGGGTACAAGCAAAAACTTTCACCTTAGAATAAGTAAAGTCGAATAAGTAAGCCTTGAAGAGCGCTTACAGTTAATCACCAATGAAAAATAGTAATGTTAACTACACTATTTGATTACTTTACACAAGTTATCATTGAAATGGCATTGACTATATTTGGAGCATTTTCCGATAAACGTCTTTCAATTCTTTAGGAAAAGATGCAAATTGTCTCTTGCAATTTGACTATGAACAATTATGAAGAAATTTATTACGATTCGTATTACGCAACCCATTGCGTATCCTAAAGTTAAAAAGTGAAACAAAAAAAACGACTAGTTATGGAAAGAATTGGAAGAGAATTATAAAAAGAAGTAAGGTAGACGTTAAAAATTTCTTTGATTGCCCATTTATTTTATATAAAAATGCTTTAAAAAATGTTTATTGTAATATTCTTCAAGCCTACAAATGGGCAAAAACACTGAAACTCATTTTGTTTAATTTGAATTGTGGTTAGGGTTCTCAAATGAAACAGACATTCAGACTGAATGTATTTTTAGGGATTTACTTGTGCACACATTCAAAAATGTTTTTGCAAGAACAAATTGTGTGGTCTTAACGGGTTTTTTTACTATACAATCATATTGTTCTCATATTTTGCTGCAAGTACATGAGTGCTATTTTATAACCAAAACAAGCTTTACAAGTTTACGGTAAGAATGATTGGGACAGTCGTTCATTCGATAGCATATAAAATAATAAAAAAGTTTATAAGACTTCCTTCTTTTGAAATCCATAAATTATCAAAAGAAAATCATTGGAAGAAATCTAGTCATGAAACAAATCTAAATGTGGTGAACCTATTGTACGTGTCCAAATAATGGCAGCTTGAAGTTTTCATTTTTCTACTATTTTGATTAAATATAAGTAAAGCTCAGACAATGAATGCTTACGATCTATATGAACTGATATCGACGTTCAATGGGATATAAAGAGGTCTATACGACTCTTTTCTATTTTGAAATATATAAGACATGAAAAGAAACATATATTCGAAGAAAACTACTGATGAAACAAAAGTATATGTTATATAAATTTTAAAACAAATGTTGCTCAGTTTATAAGGATTGTCAGATAATAGGTTAAAAATGATTGTTGTGCATGATCGATCGATATAAAATCGACGTTCGGACCAAATAAAGAAGTCTATACGACTTCCTCTTGAAATTTCCAAGATATCAACACTTCATTGAAAGAAATCTATTCATGAAACAAAAGTAAATGTAATACTTGTCCATAAATCAGCAACTTGAACTCTTCGTTAGCCTACCATACCTTAATAATTAATCAAGTAAGTTATAAGTATTGTTGTAAATTTATTATGAAACTAAATGCTTGAGAATTAATGCAAAATGTCTGCAAGATGTGCAGAATATTAACACATCTACACAAGAGTTAACATTATTGGGAAGAGGTCACTTCAAGAACCACGAGTTAACCATTGGAAGAGAATTCAAGAACGCAATACACGAGTTGAAAGAGTTAGAGAGAGTGAAAATTAGGGAACTTTTATGGACCCATAATTACATTTTCTATTGTCAGTGAAGGGCAAGCAAGGGTAGCACTTTTTCTTATTTTGGAAGTTCATTAATTCTTGCACGAGCAATATCTTCCATTGCTTAGGTGCTTTATTGACTCTTGCAGAGGAAGCTTTGTTGTTGGAAATCCTAGTCGAGTTTTTGAAGGGAGCAACATCTTCTGTTGTCAAGGCACTCCAGGGAATCTAGCATGCGCAGCATCTTCCGTTGTCGATGCACTTCAGCGAATCTTGCATGCGCGGCGTCTTCCGTTGTCGGGGCACTTCAGCGAATCTTGCATGCGCGGCGTCTTCCGTTGTCGAGGCACTTCAGCGAATCTTGCATGCGCGGCGTCTTCCGTTCTCGATGCACTTCAGCGAATCTTGCATGCGCGGCGTCTTCCGTTGTTGAGGCACTTCAGCGAATCTTGCATGCGCGGCTCTTCCGTTGTCGAGGCACTTCAGGGAATCTTGCATGCGCAGCGTCTTCCGTTGTCGAGGCACTTCAGCGAATCTTGTATGTGCAGCGTCTTCTGTTTTAGGAGTACTTAATCCATACTTGCAACTACAGTATCTTCTATTGTATGGGACGATGGACCTATTTTTGAGAGGTTAGCTATTTCCATTGTATGAGCTCTTCAGAGACTCTTGTCCCTTGCAACGTTTTTTCATTTCTTTTTGCGAGTGTCATAATTGCTCAGAGGTATCAGATAGATGAATTTACATCAGATAGAAAAAAAACATTAAGAATAAAAAAGCTAGGAATTCAAAGACAAAGTTGACAACTATCTATTGAATAGAAAAATAAGATGTAATGGTGCAAGATAATAGATATCAAAAGAAACTTGTGACGAAAAATAAGATGGAATGATTTGAAACAAAATGAAAAGGCAATGAGGCTTGTGATATAAAAATAGTATGAAGCAATACAAGAAAAAATGACACAGCAATCTTGTAGTAAAAATAATGTGAAAGAATGCAGGCAATCTTGTGAAGAAAAAATGCTAGCAATCTTGTGAAAAAAATGCTAGCAATCTTGTGAAGAAAAAATGCTAGCAATCTTGTGAAGAAAAAATGCTAGCAATCTTGTGAAGAAAAAATGCTAGCAATCTTGTGAAGAAAAACAACGTAAAATGATGCAAAACAAAAATGACATAGCAATCTTGTATAATGAAATAAGATGGAATTGGAATGATTTCATAAAAAATAACAAGGCAATCTCAGGAAGAAAACTGAGATAAAACAATACAAGAAAAAAATGATAAAGCTAGAAATCTTGTAGAGAAGAATAAGAGTAAATGCAAGAGAAAGATGACATTGCAATCTTTTGAAGAAGAATAAGATGGCAACTCAAATACATGTTAGACAAATATTTCGTAAACTCCATAACTATATTTGTAAATATATTGCCTGCCACTTTAGTCCATGCATAAACCTTTGAAGACTTCTTGAGAATGCTAATTTTTTTTGCATGTTGGTTTTTGTTCGAGGGCCGCATTTTCTTCAATAAATTTGCATGACATAATTGTTTTTTATAACTTACCTAATCTCAACAGTCGATCGACTTAAGTTAGAGTAGCATTCATAAATAACATAGCTTTGAAAAGTTGTCTTTCCCTTGTCTCTTTTTGTCTTGCACGTGATTTTCGACCAAGTGTGCGCAAGTAAATTTCTAGAGATGCTGCAGTCGTTGCTAAACGAAGGATGGATGTCAGGTAAGATGAAAATGAGGTGATGCACGGACTTAACATTAAAATTAACTTGTTATTGTGCCACCTGAATTTCAGAAAAATCATGCATAAGATATGAGGAGCTGTGGTTCTTTGTCGAACTATGGTTTGTTATGGTGCACGGTGGAAATACGAAAAATAATCATGATGATGACATTGTGCGAAAGTTTTTAAAAAGCTATAGTTAACTTCAAATCCAATATGGAAATAAATCATCCATCCGAATGAGCATGCACATACAAATATTTTGGTAAGTGGTTAATGATAGGAAGAAATCTTTTTGCTAGCCAACAATTGATTGTTTCTGGTGGAGAGATGTAATATCGTTTTATAATTTTCATTTCAGGAAATTTACCTTCAAATTCTAAACCAACTTCACCACCGATGAACGTTAAGTAGAGGCAGTCGGTTGTTCATGACGGCGAATCTACAGGTATTCACGTTTTCTTGTAATTATCTCTTGCACGTGATGATTTTTTAAAGTTTCTGCAAAGTTAGTTACATAAGCAGACAATAATATAGTTATTGCTCAACTTTTTCCTTTTAAGAATCACACAAAACTATTTGAAGCATTGCTTCTTGGTGGTGTTTTATCCTGAATTCAGAATCTTCATCTACACTATATTCCACATAAGACTACACAAAATTTTCAAAAAAAAATCAATCAAATATAACGCTATTTTTCATCAGTTTGAAAAACCTTCGTGTAATATAAATTTTTTGAACCTAATTGCTCTGTAGCGAAGGATTGATACAATGGTGGTGTATAATATCAATTACAACATGGTTATTGTAGATTACATGTTGGTTGTTGAGTATTTTATCGTGGTTTTCGTGGATTACATCGTGGCTGTCGTGGACTACTTCGTGGCTGTCGTGGATTGCTTGGTGGCTGTCGTGGATTGCTTGGTGGCTGTCGTGGATTACATTGTGGCTGTCGTGGATTACATTGTGGCTGTCATGGATCTTATCACACTAATCTTGGGTTGAAGAAGAACTGGCGACGACGTTTCAAAATGTCCATGTAATCAACACTAACAAGAAAATAATAAAACATTGGTGGTGGTTTGTCCAATTATGAATCGAGACTCGTGTAAAGCTGTATGATGGGAAGTTTTGGGAATAGTAGATTGACTAACGGAATGACTGTTAATACTACGTGGAAAATTAAACACGGGTAAGTAGTATTTGGTACTTAAATTTTATTCAAATTGATAACTCATAAAATGACGAACTTTTGTTCTAGTTTTAAAAGTAATCATAATTTGATATATTTGATTTCAGAAATTTCCATTTCATAAACAAGCATTCCACTTCATATCTTGAGTTAGCAAGATATCTTTGATTGTTGGAGTATGTTTCATCCTATGAACAAAACAACCTTACACAACACTTGTATAGTTGTAAAATAGCAGTTGGCTGCTTATGACCACCAATCTATAGGTAATTATAATGACTATGATCATCTATTCTTATTGACCAATCTTTTCAGTTGCTTTATAACAACATTACTGCTCATATAAGGGAATTACTGCTCATATCAATTACTACTCGTACATATACGATAAGGTTGTAAATGGGAATTTGCCAGAAAAAATTTTATTAGAACCATTCAAAAATAACTTATCGTTAAAACAGGAAGTTGAAATTTCATTCGATCTAAAATGAATGGTTTGAAGCCAGGAATCGTTACATGTTTGTAGAGATAGAATGTCCATGTTAGTATAGTCCTAGTCCTAGTTAGTTCAAAGTCAAGAACGTGGGTATTGAGGTTTCATCTACAAACATGTAATTTCATTCGTTGGTATCCCTTTGTCTTGCACGAACTTCTTCAAACTGATTGGTTACACAGAATTTATAAGTTTTCACAATAAAATTTATATGATTATTGCTGTTTGAATGATTATAAGCTCTTAGTCTATTATCAATAACGGTTTTTGTGTCGCGTTTTTGTGGTAAATTTTGAAGAATTTTATGTTATCTTGAACCTTTCATTTGTTTTGTAGTGAAGAAAGAAAACAATGGTGGGGCGTATTAGTTCTATTATATATTGCATCATATTTGTCATGGATTAAATCAAATTGTCGTTGGTCACAATCATAGTCGCCGTTCATCACAATCATAGTCATCGCAGATCAACTCAATGCTGATGTGGATTACATTATGGTTGTCGTGGATTCCTATCACCGTTTTCTGGATTGACAACACCATTGTCGTCGTGGATTTTATGGAATCAATCTTGGGGATTTATCATTTGAGGATTACGTTAATCTACGAATGAAGACCAAGAACGACGTTTCAGGTTGGACGGTTTTCAGTTAAAATCCTGGTGATCAACACTAACAGGAAGTTGATTGAACATTAGCTGGGTTATATAACAAAGTTACTTGTTCTTTTGATTCCTGTTAGTGGTTTTTTTCCTGTATGCACGTCTGGTGTCGAGAAAAAGGTCCGGTTTTTTTATGTTTTTCGTTTATTTGATCACCAGGATACACGATCCTAAGTTCAAGGAAATAAGCATAGGTTTCTTTGAGTTTTGGTCGTGTCTATTGATTCTTGAAATGTGCATATTTCATTATAATATTCATAATTCCATAACCAAACATTAAAAATCGACGAATTAAAGCGCAACGTGTTCAACCAAACAACGGATTGCATTAACGCGAAAATTACGGTCCAAAATGCAGCAAATTTAGAATCACAGACTGAACGCTAAAAGTAACAAACCTATGGCGGAATCCGGCATGCAAGCTGCATAGCACAAATTAAATGTATTTAAAATTATAAACGTCTGAAATATTCTTTCTTGATGATGATTTATCAACAATTTTAACGTTTTTTTATAGACTATCAAAATTTTGAACCATGCAAAACTTAAAACGCTCATCAAACACTAAAAAATGAAGAAAAACAAGTCAATTTGTTTAATAATACTTTTGAAAAAATGAGTGATCTGCATCATCAAGAAGAATATGCTAGAAATAATGTCTTATTGGTCTAATGAAGAGCAAAACAGAATAAGTGCATGAAACCCGGCATTGCTTTTGCTAAAAAACTCTCAAAATCAATGTTATGACAGTGGCATGTTCAAGTTAAAATAACGGCTGTTATTTAACTTGAAGAAAAAAAAGTCAGAGCAGGAAGATAGTTTAATTATTTTTGATGTATTGGGTTTGCTCGTCTCGAAATGAAGTCGATTATCTTTATTTATTTTATGCATGGAAGATGATTTCATAGCCAGACGAACTAATTGGATACATTTAGCCTAGTTCCAGGTAGGAATAATCATAAATGGTGCCATGATGGCATCTAGGTGATCGAGTGTTGGACACAAGAAGGATTGGTTGGCACGCCGTTTGGTAAAGTATAAGGGCCCAGGGAGGCGGTTTTCCACCCCTTAGGTTCTCTTTCGGCTCGGGTACTAACGTTGTTTTACAGGTGTCTCGTCGTTCAAAGGTATGTTTTAATCATTTTTGTGCAGCATAGCTCGTAGGTACTAGGAAGAGGTTCAAATCGGGCTTTTCATGCCACTGATCAACAGGGTTAAGCTAAAGATACGCAAAGCAAAATGCATGAAAAGTGGCATAATCAAAAAATGGCATAATCTAAAAATGGCATAATCTAAAAATGGCGTACTCTAAAAATGGCGTACTCTAAAACTGGCGTAATCTAAAAATGGCGTAATGAAATGCAACCGGTTCCGGTTTTTCACTGCTTTTTTTTACAAGGATGCATATTTCCTAAGTCACCTTTTTCAGCAACCTTGTAAATATAAAGGTAGTCTAATGAATTGGGCAAATATAATTAAGGCCTTAAAAATGTAAAGCATCCTTTTTTGTAAAGATAACTAGTAAAAATAGATAAGGTGATTCCAAGTAATGTGCATCCACCGACTGGGTTTCGTAGCTCGTTTGATATCTGAGGGTTTTCCTCCGGTGATACGCCGGTTTCCCTCATCTTTAGAGAAGCGCTCTAAAAAATAACAAAAAAGAGTGGCCATGCCCGGGACCTGCAGTAGCAGTAGGGATTGTATGGTTATCGGGTTGGATTCCCGATCCACTAGAAGAAACAAGAGAAGAGATTTATATCTGTACTGCCAACATTAATTGATTAACTCTGTGGTAGTGATTTCCAATTGAATTTTGAAGAGAAAATCTCCGATGAGCAGAAGACATTCTTTTCAATGTGTAAAAGAGCTATTTTTAAAAGAATACCCTATAACTGTCTCGAACATTTAATAAGTTAGGCGCTATTTGAAAGAGGAATGAAAAAAAGATAGACATTACATAAAATGAAGTAACCTCAGTACAATACATTCCACGCAATACCCCCCCACCCCCTCCAGCGCTGTATATACCCCATTTCCTCTTGCAAACAAACGAACTTCATAAAAATTCCTTTCAATATGGTACATCAACATGGCAGCCAATCATGATATCAGGTGAAAACATTGTTTAGCAGTGTATACATATTGTGCTTTTAGAAATTATATTAAACATTCTGGAGAAAAAGATTTTGTGGTTGCAAGAAAGATAGGTAAAATACGCATGGTACTGACTACATTTTAACAATTGGCCTGATTCTAAAGGTCTCCTTTTTTAGACACCTTGTATAAGTGAAAATCATTCGGACCAATCAAAAAATTTATTACATTTACATACAAACAATTGACATTTTCTCAAAACAAATAGTGATAAATCAAATATACTCAGTTGAAAGAAAGAATCACAAACCATTGATTATGAAGACTGAAAATGTGGTCCTGTGCCATGTTGGATTCATTTGTGCTGGTTTATGTATACATAAGAAAGCATGAAAGCACATAAAAAAGTACTACTAAAACAGCCCAGAATCAAATTAAATGTTTACAGAAACAACAGCTATTGCAATGCCACACAAACCTTTACAAAAATACATAAAATGATTTATTATATCCCAAAATAACATCATAAGCCTTATCTTTTGTTGATACTAAAACAAAATAATTTAAAGAAGTGAGATAAATCAAGTCTGGCAAAGCTGAATGACATTTAATTTTTAAATGTTGAAAAAGTAGAAAGCAGCCCCCACCATCTCATCCCCACTTGGTGATGGACAAAGTTTGATTATTCAATGGATAATTTAATCTGTTTATTTTTTATTAATTTACTAACTGCAATATATTACATTATATATTATACATTAATATTCACCTTTATCATTTGAAAAAAATATTTATGAATTATTCCGTATTGTATTATAACTTTATACTTGACTAGCATACTTTTGGCGTATCCGTTTCAATTCAGACACATGTCATGAAAGATGGCGTCTTTTGGTCTACGAATTTGATGTGAACTGTCAAGTAAAAGTTTGATTAAGCCTTTTCTTGTGTCGACGAAGATTACTCAACGTACTCACGATGTTTGTAAGAACTACAGTCATACTATCTCTTCTTGTGTTGGTAAAGAGCTCAGGTATAAGTTAAGTTTCAAAATCTTGCGTGTCGCACTGTCGAGCGCCCATATACGCGGTGGCTGTAGCCTATATATTCCTAAATAATTATTTTTTGTTAGTACTACAGTCGTTGTTAGTACTATGTACGATAAATTATCGTCTACTGTACCATTTATTTAAATACAACTTAATCGAGAGAAGATTGACTATAATTCTGAATGACTGAATTATAGAATATGCCAATAAATAGTGAATAGACAGCATTTCGTTGGGGTAAATGAAATGTACTGTTAGAGTTAGACAAGTGGCTTACATTGTTCTTTTTACTTTGATTTTTTATCATACAGGAAGATTTCCCACATTTTCTAAGAATGAGAACAATGGGAAAGATAAAATTTATAAATGCAACTGCAATATGTGGCAATGTCTACAATCCAAACAGTTAAGTTGTAATTCAACCGAAGGCTGTTTTGCTCATTTTGAGAGAGAGCCGCACATTTCTGAAAAATATGGCTGTCTTTATACATACAATCCTGAAAAGTTGAATCCTAGATGTATTATTGTGAAGAAAGCAAATTCAACTACAGTTATGTCTGCCAAGATATGTTGCCACACCGACTACTGTAATATGCCCAGTCTAATTGAAAAATATTTTCCAAAAAAAGGTATGCTCATAGATTGTTGTATTATTTGTCAACTAGTGACAATGGCATTGTTTTTTTATTCTTTTGTTATATTTGTTATAGAGTCTGAACCTGGTGAAAACTCAGAGTTGCTTGAACTTATTTTCTCTATATTTGGGCCAATCTTTGCTCTTGTGTTGGTGTTAGGAGCACTTTATTTCCTTCAACCATACATTAGGAAGGCTGTACTCAAGGAAAAAAAAGTTGTCTCTACTGGAGAATGCAGTGGGGGAAGTTCATGGGGTGGATGTGTTGACCCCTCCTCTGGTAGTGGTTCTGGCTTGCCACTACTTGTTCAGCGTTCAGTTGCACGGCAAGTGGATCTTCTTGAGATCATAGGAAAGGGACGTTACGGAGAAGTATGGAAGGGAAAGTGGCATGGTGTATACATTGCAGTGAAAATGTTCTCTTCCGTTGATGAACAGTCATGGGTTAGGGAGACTCAGATTTATCAAACTGTCATGATCAACCATGACAACATATTAAGTTTTATTGCATCTGATGTTGCAACAAAAGATTCAACCACACGAATGTGGCTTATGACTCACTATCATCCCAATGGATCCCTATATGACTTCCTAAATAACAACACAGTAGATGCTAAGATAATGATATCTTTGGCCAAGTCAGCAATATCTGGTATCACTCATCTACACACGGAAATTAATGGATTGAATGCCAAACCATCAATTGCACATCGTGACATCAAGTCAAAGAATATACTTGTCAAGAATGATTATACGTGTGCAATTGCTGATCTTGGACTTGCCGTCATTCTCCGCAAGGATCAGAATCAAGTAGATATTGATACAAGTAACAATCGTGTTGGAACAAAACGATACATGGCACCTGAAGTTCTTGATGAGACGATGGATCCTACGTGGTTTGACTCTTATAAGAGAGTGGATGTTTATGCTTTTGGTCTGGTGTTGTGGGAACTATCAATGAGAACCGCAACTAGTAGTAAGTGATCACAAAGACTTGAATCCTCTTTTTTTTACAAATACATTGCATCGCTGTCTCTTTCATTTGATTCTGTAGATGTGAAAGCCAAAGAATATCAGCCACCATTTTATGACATGGTGCCTAATGACCCTAGTTTTGAAATTATGAAGGAAGTTGTTTGCGTAGAGAAGAAACGTCCTCTGTTTCCAAATGAATGGAATAGTGACAAGGTATTGTAGTCATCACTTAATCATTTAATTGGTTTTATTTAATATTTATGGGCTAACATATAACAATGCTTATGCATAGCTTCTTAATGGTACAATGGCAATCATCAAGGAGTGTTGGAGTCAAAATTCTGCTGCCCGCTTAACATCATTGAGGATTGATAAAAAACTAAGCAAATTGTGGATGGACTGCCAAAGTGAAACCCCCATGTCTGTAGTTGAACAAGGTGTATTGGCTGTATAAACATTTTCTTGAAAAAAATTGTTATTTTATGTCCTCACAGGGGATTGTTTGCCTTTTTACATGACCAAAGAATTTATAATACTCCTTAAACAAATTAAAGTGGGTTGTCACTTGTAAATAAGAAAAGCTGTTTATGATACATATTTGGAAAAGTAGTTTTAATCAATTCCTTATTGTAGAATTTGCAGAATGTCTGAGTACTTTTTCCATTCTGCAATAACAAGTTTATGGTTTAACATCAAACTTTTATACAATACCAATGACTCAATAATAGTTGCATAGAATGTGCTTTTTGAAACTGACATTACAACGGTTAAAATTCTTCAACCCAATCATTACTGGGGTATTGAGGAATGTAATCATGATAGCAAAATATTTTCAAGGTCCAACACGTCATAATGCACTCGTGAAGACTTGCGACAGTTCCTTATTAAGCAATACACCATAAACATCAACACAAGACCAGAAATAATCATTGCAAAAATAAGCAGTTCAAAGCTTGACCCATTTATATCAGAAAGCATTTGTAAAACAGCAGTCAGATCTCCATCATTCTCTGCAGGAGTTACACCCAATAAATGGCAGATTAAGGGATATATGTGAACAATGCTGAACTCTGACATATTGTAATTTTTTTTGAATGCCGGGCCATGGGCAATGAAAAATGGATGCATGTCTTTTAAAGAATTGTTATAGCCATGAGCACCTTTCTCAGAGTCAACAAATGAAATATTTTGAAAGATCCTGTAACCCAGATCACATGCCAAAAATATTGGAGTCACTCTACGGTTGTTCTTGTAATGCCATTGTGAAGGAATATCCTCTTTGTGATATGCTGTCATGTGAGGAATGTTGCTTAAGTTTTTGTAAACATTCTCTGTCTCTCCTTCATGGGGGATAATGAAGGAGTTAACTCCACTGTCAATCAACTCATATTTATCACGAGAGATATAGTCATCCAAGAAAATAACTTTTTCTGGGCTTATTTCAGTCATCCCATGATCACTGGTCAAAATTATATTAACCTAAAAAAGATGTGCAATTGAATATACAAAATATATTATTTTACAAAAACCAGGACTTAATTGAGGCACTATACTTAAATACACTCTTGAATAACATATTTGATACCTTTGTGAGTAGGTACAAAAACTTTACCTGATTGCATAATGCCTTTTTGCAGAGCAGAAGTCTGACTAAACGCATTGTACTATTAAATAAGGTTTTCATAGAACCAACTGTGCTATTGAATATGTTATTCTAGAGTAAACAGTGTACATGTAATATTTCTATGAAGCAAAGTAATGCAGATACCTTATCAAATAAATCCACCTTCTTTAACTTGTCCACTAAATATCCTGTAACATTGTCCAACTTGAGAATGGCATCCACCACTTCCTTAGAATTTGGTCCAAATACGTGCCCAACTGCATCAGGTTCATCAAAGTACATAGCAACAAAATTCACGGGTGGATCCTTGGTCAATTGTTGCAAAACTATATCAACAATTTCCTTAAATGGAAGTTTACTGTTGTATGGTGGAGAAAAACCTGCCTTCTGACCATGGTAAGGCACAGAGCCACCGACCCAATTTATGACAGCACTTAGACGTTTATCACCTGCCTTCTGGTTGGTGATCCACAATGGTTCACTTGCATTGTACCATTTTGGATCAACAGTTTCCATTGTGAAAAACTCTTTATACACGGGATCCCACATCCTATTGTTAATGATACCATGATTTTCTTCGTAACGACCAGTTACTATACTGTAGTGATTTGGAAATGTTTTCGTGACAAAATTATTCAAGACTGATGCTTTAACTCCATTCTTCGCAAGACTAGATAACGTCTTTGTTTCCACATTATCCAAATAATTCCAACGAAAGCCATCAAATGAGATCAAAATCACTGTGGGTTTCCTCTCTTCGTGCCCAATGACTTTTAGAGAAAAGAGCAATACTTTAAAAACCACAATTAAAAGCAGCATAATTTGCTTTTTTAATGGCGGAAACTGAAACACATCAATTGCAGTGATACATTTTAAAGCAGTAGAAACGTGATATCTTTATACGTGCAAGCGGTGCAACGTAAAAGCTAGAAATTTCTCACATGATATTTGCAAGACTTTAGTTCTATAAACATAGTCCACTTTATATAAATTTATATAACTATATAAATTTATATTAATATATAACTTTACTATATAAATTTCGATAATTTTGGTCATTTCGCCATTCTCGTTACGTCAACGTGTCAATATTTATGACCATAACAATGAATGATCCATAAACATTTCCTGTAAAATTCCTACGCTTCCCGGATGTCATTTTGTTGCAAATGAGCAACGTTATCGCTTGGCAACTAAATAGTTGCCATGGTATCTGGTCATAATTGATATATTGATTGTTTGCTTTTGCGAGCATTGGAAAGCTTTTTTCAAAGATCACTTCTAGACTGAATTTGCATGTAAGTTAAAAGAAACGCTTTTGATAAAACATGAATACTGAATCGTGGTGTCGAGTCGAATGCCGTAACTCTGAACAATGGACGCGATCCAATCGAAAACATTTCAGTAAAGCATTTGAAAGTAAAGTGTTTAATGAACGACATGACTCGGAGGAAAGACTACATTTTCCAAAGAAAGATCAGGTTCTAAGGGAACGCAGACATTTTCCTGAAAAATGTGAGTTTACAAAATCTTATATTGATATTTCTCGCTAATACATCTGAAGCTATGTACTTTGTAAAATGGTTAAAATATGTCAGCGTTGTAACTTTTTATATTTGTTTACCAGATATATGTAATCTGAAATGATGAAAATGAAGCCTGTCTGTCTATGGTTGGAAAGAAAGATAGGGATATTTTTGAAAAACACGAATTTTGCATGGGAAACTCATAGAACTATCAGATTACACCATGTATTGTTTGTATTAATAGAGAAGTATAGTAAAAATAAAATCAGTTTTCCTGATGAAGAATGATGTAGTTTTGTGGGTTGTTGACGGGAAAAGCTTTCTTGTACTGTCGAGTATTTACCCTAATTTTTCTCGCATATGACTTTTAGACAACTTGTTTTGTAAGCTGATTAGTAAAATACCAGCAAGGCAAACAAGGAATGCAATTTTGTAACAGCTTACCGTTGCTCTGTGTAAAAAGGTGTGTCAATGAAATGTGTATTTGTAAAATCATACCGAAGCAATTATTTACGTCACCGATCACTTCACTGAATTATTTTTAAAATGTCAGACTTGCAAACTTTAATAAAAGAGCTCAATTTTCTATTTTTGATTTCAAAAAGTAGACTCTGTATAGTAAACATGTGTAAAGTCTATGCGCCATATTGGTACTTTGTAATTAGTAATTTTGATGTTTCATTGACAAATTAAAGATAAAAGTGCAACAACGTACTAAAACATGTGTCCTAAAAACACGTTCAAAATCTTCACATTCACAGAGTGAGGCTTCAAATCACAACATAAGAAATTCCATTGGTATTTCCCTTCTACTGATTCTGACTGTCTGATTTGAATATATTTTTTTTTGCAAAAATCTTTCCATTGATGAAAAATTGAGTTTGCCGTTTATTAGTGGGAGTGCGATTTCTGAGTCGCATTTAATAAATCACAGAAAGAAATTTATTGCCTATTTGCAAATCATTTGGGCGCTAGAGCAAATATTATAAAATAATTTTATCATCTAATCCTCTAACGTACTCGTCCATAATAAGGGGGCAAAATTTAGGCGACCATCAATATTTCAAAGTTCAACTCCCGCTGTACTGTATAAGTTGGTCCGCTCGTAGTCCCCTTCTATGGAGTGTGAGGTTCTATAGAAATTCTTCTCGGGAGAAAAGAATAGAAGTCAAAGGAAATGGATGAAAAACCTTCATATTTTTCATCGACGTTGTATCATATGATTCTTACCACATGTGGTTTTCATCGTATAGTATTCACCATGTGATTCTCATTGGTGGTCGAAAACTAGTAACATGTGCTAATATCTTCAATCAAATACCATGAGTAAAAGTAAGATGTTCGGATGGCGATTGGACTTTTTTGATAGAGCGTATTTGTAGAACACGCAACTATTACCCAAAACTCATTCTTAGAAATGAGAGTACGTTTCTCATGCTTACACGTTTGGTGGAATAGTTGAAAAGAGACCTCAGTACGACAATTTACAACAATATAAAATGTGAATATATTAAAGTTTCATTTAACACTTCACGTCGTATAACACAACTCAAATTTCAGGTATTTCCTGATGATGATTGAAGTCAGACGTGCCTGAATATAGTTCGAAATATTTAGGCCCTCTTTCTGTTAACCACGAATACTCCAAGGCCCCTTTATAGGGAGAGGGATAGTTCTTGATAGACGAGGAGAATTTTGAGTGAGAAAACTGATCCTCGTCTACATGAGCGTAATGAAAGTAGTCGACCTGATGTTTGGTGCCTGTTAAATCTTTGTAATTTTGCCGATGTTCTTCTTTCTTTTCGACAAAAAACTTTATCTGTCTCTCTTTATCTGGTAATCTATTAAAGAGTTTACAATCAGGACGATTCAATCTCTCGTTTCTCGTGGTACATCTTGCTCCTAGAACTCTATCAGGACTGTCACTGTATTTAGAAGGTCGAACTTCCATTCTTCTAGAGGCTATGTTATTTTTGAGGATATTTTCAACAATATTTGGTCTTCTGTGATCTTGAAACCATTTTGTTGACCCTTCACGATGTTCGACGTTTTTTCCAAAGTCCTGCGGCCGTTCTGAGGTGTAATAGGGATAGCCAGGGACGGATTTTGGATGTCGATAGCTTTCCTTGCTGGTAGTTGCATATTTATTGTGCATATAACAAGCCATTTGAGCAGTTAGTGTGATTCTGTGACTGTCACCCGAGACATATGTTTACAGAGGAATTTGTTTATCGTAACGTAGTTGCTAAGGAACAAACACTTGCCTTGCATGGAAGTGCAATCAATAATTCATGTATAGAATATTCCGAGACATATATTTTCAGAAGAAGCAAAGTTTTTGATTCAACAGAATTCTCTCCTCGCTAAATTGATCTTTTGCAAATTTAAAGAAGACCTAAAGCAACAAAAATTATTTGCCTTGTGATTTTTTTTACAATTCCAATATCTCAATTCTCTATTTATACCTGTTTCAAGGACTTCAGCTCATCTTAGTTCTAGGAAGTATTATATGGTTATAGGTACCATTCTTTGAGTAGTTCCATTCACCGATGTTGAATACCATGATTGTTTATCAACACTGGGTGAATAATATATGAAAAATTTAAGTTTGCACCATCTTAATGTCCCATTCGAAATACCATGAGAGAAAGGTCAATTGTCATGTGCATTTTACGTACAAGATGTCTCAAGAATAAGACTTTCAAAGAAATCAAATCATCAGTGTTATAATTCAAATACCTCGTCATTTTTTAAGTCTATGAAAGAATAAAATATCGTGAACTTCGCACATGTATTACATATCTTTGCTACACTAAGCTCTTAGAAATTTAGCATAAAATATGCTTATTAATAATGCGCAATATTGTACCCGTGGGATTAGCATATATGAGGTGATCAAGCAATGAATTTGCCAAACCAAAAGAAAATCAACTGGACAAAACAAAAGTTAATTTCATAACAACTTAAAAGCAATTCAGACTTTTTACATCAACAATAGCAATAAATGAAAACCAGTCAAGTGCAAGAAGTATGAAAACAGAAAATATGGTCTGAGGAGTGATCTGTGTTCGTTTATGCATACATAATAAAGAATGAAAAAATATAAAGTATGCAGCTGAACCGATCCAGATTAAATGTGAACAGAACCAACAACAGCATGCAAATATAATGGCAAGTTAAGATCGAATTCGACAAAGGGAGCGATAACTTGGAAATGAACCGATTATAACATCAAGAAGTTCAGCTAAAACACCACGTGGATGGCAAAACCATGTCAACGTTGATGTTGAGGAAGAATTAGCGACTGACTGGAAGGGATTTTCAATGAGGATTACACGCAAACTATAAACTATCAAAGCGGAATTACAGCGATGTCTACCAGAATATTCTTGTGCTATAGTACATATACCGGACCATAGCTGTCAACTTAGCATTTGATAAACATGGAGTTTATATCGAAGCAGCAAAGTTGTCACAACGAGTGTCAACGTAACGGAACAGCCCAGTTTTGGAAGGTCGTTACATAAAGGATTCAAATAACAGCTAATTTTCTCTTCACAGTATTTAAAGAAGAATGTTGCTACGTCGTCAAATATGTGGTCAAAATGAAAAACAATAAACATATGGGTTAATATGATCTGGATGTTTACAAGCTTCTTGAGGCCCTTTCTTCAATCCTTTGGAAGAAGTTATCATTTTGGAACTTAGCTAATACCTGATGCTCTAACGTCGATTCATAAATGTATCGTCATCCTCATATATAACTACGAATTGGTATGATCAAACTAATACTGACAGAAGCCGCTAAAAGATATCCATCATCCTAGGGAAACGTGCCGCATACATGAAACATCTGTACAGATATAACTATCTTTATGTCTTTCAATATAAGTTATCCAATGTTATGTATACTTTACGTATGATCAAAATAACATTGATGTATAAAATTTATAACAACGCTTGCACTCTTTCCGAACACCTTAATTTTACCAATACTGATATTTGCTTTCTTGCAATCTCTTTGATTCGAAGCTCTTCCATAATCTTGTTTCGAGACCTTTAATGGTCACTTTTTTTTGCATTAATTATTACAAAGCAGGAATGGCACATTAAATTGAGCATTAGTCTCCAACGAACTCTCTGGTCTACTACAAGACACAACCTTTCGGGGTTGTAAAGTGGAGGTTCAAACCCTGTCTGGAATAAGATATAGTTAGGTCTAGGTTGAGCTAAGAAATGAGAAAATAGTGCTGGTTAACAGTGCAAAAGTGGCATTTCTATTACTGAGTTTTTAGAGAATGGAATGCGACACTTAGTATAAATTCAGAAAAATTCGCTCTCCGATGAGAAGGAGGAAGGAGGAGAGCGAAGAAAAAAAAAGATAGGATCCCATGCAAAAAACCACTCTTAAAAAAACTAAGTCTTTTGCTCAAATTTTTTTATGACTCCCTGTGATCAGGGAGTTATTTTTTTAAATTTTGAAAAGTCAGGAAACCCAAGAGCAAACAGAACGCCCTAATATTCCCTTTCTTACCTCCGAGCACTTGTTCCTCAGTTCAACTTTCTGTCTTCCACATCCGCCTCGTACACCTAAGTGTGTCAGCAGAGGGGCGAACCAAGGATCTTGTGCACGGGAGGTCAGTGATGTCGAACTAAGCGCCCAACATCGGCCAGTTGAGCTAAGCGCTCATCATCGAATGCTTTAGGTTTTTTGGCGTATTTCATCAATTTTTTAAACTTTGAAGTGAAAGAAAACGATGATCAGATCAGTATTGAACCCGAGATGGTGCGATAGCCATACTGACAAACACAAGTGTTCCACTCAGTAAAGAAAACAACATGGATTTGAACCTTGAAAGGTCTGAGCACCGCACCGACAACTATACCTCTCATCCAGACGACAGACACACGATTTCGATGAAATCATGTCGAGTGATTAGCAAAAAACAACATTTATTGCACCCATTTCTTCAGGCTCAAACTTATAATGTTTAGTATGTTTGACTTATTTGTCACCCTCACTCCAAAGATGAAGAAAGGAATTTACTTGGCTTTCCTATCAAGCTCTAAATAACATAGTTTGGCATTTCATGTTCTTACAGCAAGGAGCAGGACGTATAAAGTATACACAATTTTAGGAATTGCCATGTGGTAAATGAAGACATTTACGCGCATGTTCCTTAGTCAGTTTAATGGCGTTAGAGGATTATTTTGTCGGTTTCGACTTAGCTAACGTATTTTTTATTATCATACATAACAACATTGTAATAGCTTCTACAAAAATCAATAGTTCCCGTGGAACAGTCATCACTTTAAGTTTAAGCACTTACCTATGTAAGTTTACATAGCCGTGTGAAGACAGAATATATTTTAACCGTCTTTCGACACAAATTAAAATAGAATTGATATCAAACCAACCCTTACGATCAATGACAAAAAAGTAAAGTGTTCCATAGCTCTTGGAGTTCAAATAGACAAAAAGTTGAACTGGAAATAACACCTCGAATATATATTTATTATACATAAAATATCGTCAGGTATTGAAGCTGTAAAGAAAATAAAATTATTTATTAATAGAAGCAGTTTGGTTTTGGTAATAATTCGCTTTAATCCAGCCATATTTTGACTATTGTTGTGAGGTTTGAGACAAACTCGGAAAGATCTCTGGGAAAGGCTCCAAAAGTTGTTGAATAGTAGGGCAAGACTGATTATGAATGTAAAGAATGAACAAGGTCAGTCTGCGTAAGCTCGTAACTCCCTTGGCTGGAGGTCAATTGAAGAACTCAGAGCAGAAATTAAAGCTATAGAAGTATGTACAAAACAGTCAGTAAGTAACGTAGCTCCCAGTAGACTGATTATAATCTAAAAGATTGTTCCACTGAGCTCTATTGTCTAATGTCAAAGACGAAATTCTGAAAACAAAGTTTTTGCTTTGACAAAGCTTAACTATGGAAGCAGGTATTTAATAAGATAAGAAGTACAATATTGTTAGATTCGTTTTGTACCTCAAAGATTTCCAATATACTTTATTTGTAAATTTTTCCTAAATCAGTAATTTCTTCTTTATAGTTTAGTCTTTTAAAAATTGTAAACACACCACTTTCGTAATCCAGTAAAAAATATGTTAGACAAAGTCTACAAGACAAGCCCACGATTTTTCAACATTTTGTTCATATAAAATGACAATTACATTGATTACATTTGAAGTCATTTATATTACTATAAGCACGTTTTTGCTAAATATACTATTTCTTGTTCAAAAGCGCATCGTAACTGTATAAGTTTAGTGTTGAATGGACAACGTCAACTTTAAACACGAGTATGATTTTTTGCCACAAAGAAAAGCGAACGATTTTTACAGAATGTCATACGCCTCTGTAAACTTACATAGGTAAGTGCTTAAACTCAACTACAAAATAAGAAAAAGTGATGTCTGTTTCACGAGAACTATTGGTTTTTGTAGAAGCTATTACAATGTTGTTATGTATGAAAATAAAAAATACGTTAGCTAAGTCTAAACAGACAAAATAATCCTCCAACGCCATTAAACTGACTAAAGAACATGCGCGTAAATGTCTTCATTTACCACATGGCAATTCCTAAACCTGTGTATACTTTATATGTCCTGGTCCTTGCTGTAAGAACATGAAATGCCAAAATATGTTATTTAGAGCTTGATAGGGAAGCCAAGTAAATTTCTTTCTTCATCAATGGAGTGAGGGTGACAAATAATAAGTCAAACATACTAAACATTGTAAATTTGAGCCAGAAGAAATGGATGCAATAAATGTTGGTTTTTGCTAATCACTTGACATGTTTTCATCGAAATCGTAAGTCTCTCGTCTGGATGAGAGGTATAGGTGTCGGTGCGGTGCTCAGACCTTCCCACGTTCAAATCCATGTTGTTTTCTTTACTGAGTGGAACACTTATGGTTGACAGTATGGCTATCGCACCATCTCGGGTTCAATACTGATCTGATCATCGTTTTCTTTCACTTCAAAGTTCAAAAAAATGATAAAAAACGCGAAAAAAACCTAAGTGTTCGATGATGAGCGCTTAGCTCAACTGGCCGATGTTGGGCGCTTAGTTCGACATCACTGACCTCCCGTGCACAAGATCCTTGGTTCGCCCCTCTGCTGACACACTTAGGTGTACGAGGCGGATGTGGAAGACAGAAAGTTGAATTGAGGAACAAGTGCTCGGAGGTAAGAAAGGGAATATTAGGGCGTTCTGTTTGCTCTTGGGTTTCCTGACTTTTCAAAATTTAAAAAAATAACTCCCTGATAACAGGGAGTCATAAAAAAATTTGAGCAAAAGACTTAGTTTTTTTTAAGAGTGGTTTTTTGCATGGGAACCTATCTTTTTTTTTTCTTCGCTCTCCTCCTTCCTCCTTCTCATCGGAGAGCGAATTTTTCTGAATTTATACTAAGTGTCGCATTCCATTCTCTAAAAACTCAGTAATAGAAATGCCATTTTGGCACTGTTAATCAGCATTATTTCCTCATTTCTTAGCTCAACCTAGATCTAACTTTACCTTATTGCAGACAGGGTTTGAACCTCCACTTTGCAACCTCGAAAGGTTGTGTCTTGTAGTAGACCAGAGAATTCGTTGGAGACTAATGCTCAATTTAATGTGCCATTCCTGCTTTGTAATAATTAATGCAAAAAAAATGATGACCTTTAAAGGTCTCGAAACAAGATTACGGAAAAGAGTCAAAGAGAATGCAAGAAAGAAAATATCATTATCGTAAAAATAAGTCGTACAAAATGTGTTGGTACAAAGAGTTAAAGTGTAGTAGTTTTTATAATGGGTTATATAGATAGTCACATACAAACATTCATAATAAGCTATATATCGAAAGACATAGATGCAACTATGTCTGTGCAAATCTTACATTTACAGCATGTTTCATACGGTAATGATATTAAGATTTCTAGTTGTGGCGACTGTCAATAGTATTTTTATTGTTCCATTTCTTTTTGTCGTTGATAAATATGACGATGACCGATTCACGGCTTCACGTTGATGGATCAGACTTTCAACCAGCTGAGAACATTTTGAAAAGATCCAAGAACGAGCTATGAAGAACTTACGGGCCTTCCTATAGTAGGAAATGCATTTCGTTATCGTTCAGCTTTTGCAGAGTATTCTTTACGAATGTCGTACAGATTTCACGCGTCACACTCTCCAATTGAACAACATGGTTTGTGACACCAAAAGTATGTCCACCATAGATTTACAAATTTTTATTTTGGCTGCATAGTTGACGACGTAGCCACATACATCTCTAAATGCTGTGAAGAAACCAGCTGTCATAAGACACCACAGTGTACAGTCGTGGTGGCGTCAGTTCTATACAACACTTGGTCCGTTGTGTTACAGCAGCTCTCGATGTCAAAACTTCCAAATAAAGTGTATGCTTATCACATGCTTTGATATGGCGCAGAATATCCACTAACATATGTTTTTTTTTCTGGAAGACATCGTTCTAACTCCGCTTCGATAGTTTATAATTGTGTAATCCTCAGTAAGAATTTCTTCCCTTCATCCGCCAATTCTTCCTCGACGTCAAGGTTGACGTGTTTCGCCCTCCACGTGGTCTTTCATCTTAACTTCCTTCTGTAAATTGGTTTATATCGAAGTTATGGCTCCCCTCGTCAAATTTTACTTGTCCCTTGCTCTCCCATTGCGGTTGCTGTTTCTGCTAACATTTAATCTGGACTGTTTCAGTTGTACATTTATGTGCTCTCACGCTTATTATGTACGGAGTGTATAAAACAACTGTACATTGTATGCACAAGCTTATACGTTAGAATTTCAACGAATGTGCAAATAATTAAGCTTCGGGGATTTACAATCGTAATTGAAATTTACTTTGTATGAATATTGTGATGGTACTGCATGGATGGGGAAACGTATTTTCAAATCCCAGTAGCGTAATTATTTGCACAGCCATCGAAATTATAATGCATGATCTTGTGCATACGATTATCGTCTTTGCAGTTTTTTAATGCATCCTGTCTGTGTATATAGCTGAACACACTTAAATAAGTACCTCTATTCTCACCTTTGTGTGTACCTTTGTGGCTAATTTTTTTTTTGTCTACCTTTATGTCTACCCTCCTTTGTGTTTACCTTTATCTTTACGTTAGTGTCTACCCTTTTGTCTACTTTCGTGATTACTTTGTTTGTACCGTTAAATCTATCTTTGTGTCTTCTACCTTTTGCATACATTTTTGTCTATCGTAATGTTTACCTTTATCTCCATCTTCGTGTCTACCTTGGGGTATTACTTTGTGTCTACCTTTATGTCTACCTTTGTGTCTACCTTTGTTTTTACCTTTGTGTCTAGCTTTATGTCTACCTTTGTGTCTACCTTTGTGTCTACCTTTATGTCTACCTTTGTGTCTACCTTTATGTCTACCTTTATGTCTACGTTTCTGTCTACCTTTATGTCTACTTTTATGTCTACCTTTGTGTCTACTTTTGTGTCTACTTTTGTGTCTACTTTTGTGTCTATCTTTATGTCTACGCTTCTGTCTACCTTGGGGTATTACTTTGTGTCTACCTTTATGTCTACCGTAATGTCTACCTTTGTGCCTACCTTTGTGTCCACCTTTATGTCTACTTTTGTGTCTACCTATATGTCTACCTTTGTGTCTATCTTTGTGTCTACCTTTGTGTATATCTTTATGTCTATCTTTATGTCTACGCTTCTGTCTACCTTGGGGTATTACTTTGTGTCTACCTTTATGTCTACCGTAATGTCTACCTTTGTGTCCACCTTTATGTCTACTTTTGTGTCTACTTTTGTGTCTACCTATATGTCTACCTTTGTGTCTATCTTTGTGTCTACCTTTGTGTATATCTTTATGTCTACCTTTATGTCTACGTTTATGTCTACCTTTATGTATACCTTTGTGTCTATCCTTATGTCTACTTTTATGTCCAACTTAATGTTTAATTTCGTTAATTGTTGGTTTTAGTGGGTTGTTAAACGGTTAGTATAAGACCAACAATTACACCTCCACCCCAGAATATTGGCATTTGATAGAGACGACGTGAACATTATATCAAAAAGATGACATGAGCGACACTTGAAAAAGATGAACATTTCAAAACGCTGTTACTTCATAAGAGACAACTTTGATTAAGTCGTCATTTAATATGAGTAAGTTATTTTTTAACGTTCTTTTTTTTTACCTTTGTGTCTACTTTATGTCTATCTTTATATTTAACTTTGGGTATTTCTACCAATATGTCTACCTTTATGTCACTTTTATGTCTACCTTTATACCTCAATATTAGATAAAAATGTTTGAAAATAGTCTGATTTTTTCTCCACACACCTTTACAGGTATTGCATTGTTGTCTCACGAGTAATGGCACCTTTAACGGCACCATAACACAACGGAGGAAACAAACACTGGACAAGGATCGAAGTGAAATGAATTATAATAATACGTTAAAATACATTTGTCTACCAAGATATAGCTAACATATACATTGATAGATTGAATTAAGCTATTAAGCAATTTGTACAATATTTGCAAAGATCGAGTTTATTTAAAACTTATGTATAAGTAAAAACCAAACTAATTCATTATGACGTCTTTCATGATACTGACACGTACGTATATTTAGAAGCAGCAAAGTTTTTTCCTGTTTAACAGGGTTCTCTCCTCGCTAAACTGATGTTTTGCAAAGTTAAGAAAGACCTAAAACAACAAATTTTTTTTACCTTTTTGATGATTTCCATAACAATTACAATATCCCTATGTGACCATATATATACCTGTTCCAATGTAGTTTGACTGACACTGTAATCAATAATCCCTAACTGTTGTTTGGATCCCTCTAAAGCACCGAATACATACGACCACTGCATGCTTTCACTGACAATTTGATAAGTTAACATTCCCTATATAACGGTGAGAGATAAAAAAAAAATATCGCTGATTCCTTTCAATGAAATGAATGTTCATAATCCGGGAGTATTTATATGTTTGTAGATGTAGATCATTCATACTAGTGAAGTCATGCGAAGCACAGTTGGTGTTGATGTTGACTGTAGTTTTGACAACCTTTATGAAAGTCATCTTCAGAGTTGACTTTCTCACAAGGAATGCATTTTCATTTTAACTTAGGTAAATAGCGCCACCCATTACATGCGATATCATATAGCAAAGTTATTTTTAACCAAGTATCAATCTGCCACATTTTTCAAAAACATTTAACTAAGCAAACATTGGCATATTTGTTGGATGATGTTGGATGATGATGGATGGTATTGGATGATGTTGGATGGTATTGGATGATGTTGGATGGTATGGGATGATGTTGGATGGTATTGGATAGTGTTGTTTCTCCATCTTTGTTGATGTACAACAAAAATGGCGAAGTTATCCAACTAATATCTACTCAGTCATTACCTGTCTTGATTCTTCTAAAATGGCTCCGGGAAATGTCTCTTGCACAAATATTTTGGCTCGTTCGACATATCCATCTAATAAAGTCATGTTTTCATTGAAAAACATTGGGTTGCTGCAACCTAAAATGGATAAATGATTAAAAGGAATAAAAAAAAGTAAAGGAAAAAGTCACGACTAAATTATTACCTCCCGATACTTCTTCATGCCTCTGATCAAAATATTGTCGATTTTCGTAGGAAATATCATTCATTTCGGGGGCTGCAACTTTTAACATGAGAGTATAACCCCGGCCAAACCTAAAAGACAGAATAGAGTACAACTTATTTAAGTGAAAATACATGCAACTTAAGAAAGTGTTATACAACGTACTTGCTCTTAAGATGTTGTATTCCACCAAGGCATTTGAATTTACCATTGACCATAATAGCTAACTGTGTACAAAGGGCTTCACATTCTTCCATACTGATGGAGTGAGGGACAACAACGTACATAGAGATAAAAAAGAGTATAGAAACGACCGTTATAGTTAACTGTGTACTCAGGGCTTCACATTCTTCCATACTGATGGAGTGAGGGACAACAACGTACATAGAGATAAAAGAGTATAGAAACGACCGTTATAGTTAACTGTGTACACAGGGCTTCACATTCTTCCATAGTGATGGAGTGAGGGACAACAACGTACATAGGGATAAAAAAAGTATAGAAGCGACCGTTATAGTTAACTGTGTACACAGGGCTTCACATTCTTCCATAGTGATGGAGTGAGGGACAACAACGTACATAGGGATAAAAAAAGTATAGAAGCGACCGTTATAGCTAACTGTGTACACAGGGCTTCACATTCTATCATACTGATGGCAATGGACAACAACGTATATAGAGATGAAAAGAGGATAAATGCAATACAGATGGATACCTACTTACTAGCTCTATGAAGCTTTGACAACAGTTAATCTCTATGTTACCTGTGTGAAGTGAGTACAATGGACCTTCCTTCACGAATAACGGTTGTCAAATAATTCCATAGAAAGCGTCGTGCCCCTGGATCCATTCCTGTTGTGGGTTCATCCTATAGACAAAGATCGATTATGTAAATAAAACTACGATGTTGAAACCCTTCATCAAAGGAACCGGTAGACTTTACTCACAAGAAACACGATTGGCGGATTTCCAACAAGAGCTATGGCTGTGCTTAATTTTCGTTTGTTTCCACCACTAAATATCACATAAACAATGATGTCATCCATTTTCACAGAGACAAAGATTTCATCATTATTACAAAATAAAGAAGTTATCCTGTACAAGTAAGATGAAATGATTTAAAAATAATAACACAATTTTGAAAGAACTGCACAATTTGTTGTTCTTACCCATACGTGAAAGATTCAAAAATACGAATTTTCATGACAAAAGAAAGCCATTACATCGACCATAGCCTTTCACAAAACATTCAAAACATTCAAAACTGCGAGTGAACACAGGGTTTTACCTGTAAGTACCGCACATTTTATCCGCCCACTTTTCGAGATTCAAGCTCTCTATAGTATGTTCAACAAGGTCTTCCATCCTTTCATACGGTATTCCACGTAGATGAGCGTACATCTTTAGCATTTCTCGACCAGTAAGATTACCAATCAGGGCATCAAACTACAAAGAGAAGTCAGCTTAACACATATTAACTAAGAAGCAAACATGTAAAAAGTATAAGAATAAAGTGAGATCTACCTGAGGGCAGTAACCGATACGTTGCTGCACCTGTAAATAAAGACAATAAATTGACTTTGACTCTGAAGATGACTACCGCTAAGGTTGTCGAACCGTCAGTCAACAACAACAAAAACAGTCCTTCTCAGGACTTTATTAACCTGGACGATCATCATTTACAAACATGTAACGATACTCCCGGGTTCAAACAATTTACTTTAAAGCTTGTTGTAATGGTTAAAAGGGGTTGCTATTGTTATGGTGAATATATCAATTTAACTAAACTAAACAACTTTGCTACGATCTATAAATAAAATGTTTAGTTAAACAAGGCAAAAAATGGATGTCTTTAAAAGTCACACAAGCCAATTTTTCCCGGTTACATAAAAAAAGTAAAAAGCTGTTGCAGTTTGACAATGTCTAGAATAGAGAAAACTGAATAAAAATGGGTGAAGTTATTAAAGCTCGAATGAACAGAAGTCCATATTTGACAGCATGTAACATGCAACATGCTGTTCTGTGACTGCTGCAACTGTAGTTCATTATTGATGAAAAAAAGAACATTAAATTCTGATATTTGAACCTGTCGAAGTTCTGTTTGAATATTATAACCATGAAGATAGGCAGTACCAGCCGAGATGGGAAATTCTCCAGTTAACATTCCAAAAGTTGTTGTTTTACCAGCACCTTTAGGATATAATATTATAAAACAACGTTTTATTTGAAACTATGACAGTTAAAATCTGGAGACGAATTTCAGAAACTACACCAATTCTTAATATGATATGTTGGGATAACCTACCGTTGATCCCAAGCAATCCAAAACAGTTTCCCTTAGTCACACCAAGACAGAGATCATCCACAGCCGTACGAACAGCCCCAGGATACACCTATGTTTCAGGAATCGCACATGAGCCTGAATAATTAGCCAGCTCGCAGCCTGACATTCCTCACTCGTTTACTGTTACTAAGAAAGAAAATCCAGGCTGCGAACAGGCTACTGAAGTGAAGAATGGGCATGTAGGCTACTGAAGTGAAGAACGGACACGTAGGCTACTGAAGAGAAGAATGGGCATGTAGGCTACTGAAGTGAAGAACGGACACGTAGGCTACTGAAGAGAAGAATGGGCATGTAGGCTACTGAAGTGAAGAACGGACACGTAGGCTACTGAAGAGAAGAATGGGCATGTAGGCTACTTAAGTGAAGAATGAACACGTAGGCTACTGAAGTGAAGAATGAGCATGTAGGCTACTGAAGTGAAGAATGGACATGTAGGCTACTGAAGTGAAGAATGGACATGTAGGCTACTGAAGTGAAGAATGGACATGTAGGCTACTGAAGTGAAGAATGGACACGTAGGCTACTGAAATGAAGAATGGGCATGTAGGCTACTGAAGTGAAGAATGGACACGTAGGCTACTGAAGTGAAGAACGATAAAGTAGGCTACTGAAGTGAAGAATGGGCATGCAGGCTACTGAAGTAAAGAATGGACATGTAGGCTACTAAAGTGAAGAATGGGCATATAGGCTACTGAAGTGAAGAATGGGCATGTAGGCTACTGAAGTAAAGAATGGACATGTAGGCTACTAAAGTGAAGAATGGGCATATAGGCTACTGAAGTGAAGAATGGACATGTAGGCTACTGAAGTGAAGAATGGGCATGCAGGCTACTGAAGTAAAGAATGGACATGTAGGCTACTAAAGTGAAGAATGGGCATATAGGCTACTGAAGTGAAGAATGGGCATGTAGGCTGCTGAAGTGAAGAATGGACATGTAGGCTACTGAAGTGAAAAAGGGGAGTGCATGTAGATCTAAAATTGCCCAACAATTAATTACCTTTGTCAGGTTTTTCAACACAATAGCCTCTTGTTTCAAACGCTCTTCAGGTAAACTATTTATGCGAATTTTCTCTGCTTCAACATCTGAATCCTTAAAAAAGATAACTGTATAAAAAAGACTGACCACTTTGAAGGCACAAAGATGGAATATGATGCAGAGCTTCTTCAATGAAATGATCATTCAATCTATCATACGTACCTCAGGTGTACCATCACTGTTAACATTAGTAAGTTTATCTTGACGACGGGAGCTCAGAAAAAACTTTACCTTAATAAAGTAATGAAGTAATCACGGTGAAGTTATAAATTAGAAATGTTGCATGAGATTAATCGCGTGGTTTACATAACGTCGGACGAACCTGTAGCAGCAAACAAAGTATGAAGTATACAATACTTTCAAGGAACAAATAAAGACAATGTTTTCCAACACCATGGGATTCCCAATTTAAAGTATGATCTGCATACTTAACTCCTTTCATTTTGCACGAAGTTGCAGCTCTAAATCGACACAAATACAATCACAAAAACATACACGAAACACAATTGTTTACCTGCACAATAAATCAATTACTTACTGCGTAGATTCCGTACATTGTTTCTTAAAGCCATAGTTTAAGTTAATTTCAAGAAAACTACTTGAAAACCTAAAGAAATAAAAAAGCAGCTCATATAATGCTTGGTATTTTACTGCATTTCATCAAATAACTCTATAATGATATGAACTAAATAAAAATATGTACGTTAGCGTACATTTTACATATCACCAATTAGCTTTAAACAACCCTAGAAAATATTTCTTTACCTATACATGCACTTTTCCAATATAATACAGGACAATACAGTAGTATCTCAAAGATGAAAATCGACGAAGAAAGATAATTTACCAATGTTGATTTTAGATATTTTAACATTCGAAGGGAATCTTATGGGAAATATGACTACTTCATTGAAATGCTATTTAACAATTTTTATACCTAGAATTTTCGTGATGATAATCACGTTGATGAAAAAGAACAACAATCAGCTCATCACTTTGAAAATATGAAATCGAAACTATGCTTTAACTGATAATAAATTCCTATGTATCATATATATCCTACTATGTACTCAATATTGTAAAAACTCCACTTCATTTTTATACTGAAGATGACCTAATGCTAAGTCGAAACATGATTATACTAAAAAATTTTGTCGTCTATTTTGAAAGCAAAATTAATCTGGTGCTTTTGAGATCATTTGGAAACATCAGCTTAAAACTTAATTCTCTAAAACAAAACTTAAACACCCCTCCCCGATAATTACTTTTGCAGTAACAATAAATAAAGAATCCCAGCGGCTTTTGGAAATCCCCAGATCTCCAGAAAAAATCCAAAAGTTGGCAATACTGAGCATAACATATCATAATAAGTGCTCTATTGTAAATTCCACGGTCAACATTTTTCGTTTATTTCTTAATGTTACAAAAAGTTAAACTTACGAATATGTTGGCAAAATTTTGGCGATGGAACTGATTGTATCGGCGACACCTGCTTCATTTGAAGCGTTCAAAATAAAAACTGCAATCAGGAGACCCTAGCAAAGATAGTACGTAGCTATGTATGAGGAAATATGAACAAATATTTTCATCGTGTCGATATAATTATAAAGTAAATATTTCAAATACATTTAGATTTGGTCTGGAATTTTGTTGAGGAAGTGATGAAGAAAAACAATCTCTGTATACTCACGAAACTTAGAAAAGCAAGAACTACAACAGTAAGAGCATAACCAACTACTCACCAAACTTAGAAAAGCAAGAACTACAACAGTAAGAGCAAAACCAACTACTCACCAAACTTAGAAAAGCAAGAACTACAACAGTAAGAGCATAACCAACTACTCACCAAACTTAGAAAAGTGAAAACTACAACAGTAAGAGCAAAACCAACTACTCACCAAACTTAGAAAAGCAAGAACTACAACAGTAAGAGCATAACCAACTACTCACCAAACTTAGAAAAGTGAGAACTACAACAGTAAGAGCAAAACCAACTACTCACCAAACTTAGAAAAGTGAGAACTACAACAGTAAGAGCAAAACCAACTACTCACCAAACTTAGAAAAGCAAGAACTACCACAGTAAGAGCATAACCAACTACTCACCAAACTTAGAAAAGTGAGAACTACAACAGTAAGAGCAAAACCAACTACTCACCAAACTTAGAAAAGCAAGAACTACAACAGTAAGAACAAAACCAACTACTCACCAAACTTAGAAAAGCAAGAACTACAACAGTAAGGGCAAAACCAACTACTCACCAAACTTAGAAAAGCAAGAACTACAACAGTAAGAGCATAACCAACTACTCACCAAACTTAGAAAAGTGAGAACTACAACAGTAAGAGCAAAACTAACTACTCACCAAACTTAGAAAAGCAAGAACTACAACAGTAAGAGCAAAACCAACTACTCACCAAACTTAGAAAAGTGAGAACTACAACAGTAAGAGCAAAACCAACTACTCACCAAACTTAGAAAAGCAAGAACTACAACAGTAAGAGCATAACCAACTACTCACCAAACTTAGAAAAGTGAAAACTACAACAGTAAGAGCAAAACCAACTACTCACCAAACTTAGAAAAGCAAGAACTACAACAGTAAGAGCAAAACCAACTACTCACCAAACTTAGAAAAGCAAGAACTACAACAGTAAGAGCAAAACCAACTACTCACCAAACTTAGAAAAGCAAGAACTACAACAGTAAGAGCATAACCAACTACTCACCAAACTTAGAAAAGTGAGAACTACAACAGTAAGAGCAAAACCAACTACTCACCAAACTTAGAAAAGCAAGAACTACAACAGTAAGAGCATAACCAACTACTCACCAAACTTAGAAAAGTGAAAACTACAACAGTAAGAGCAAAACCAACTACTCACCAAACTTAGAAAAGCAAGAACTACAACAGTAAGAGCAAAACCAACTATTCACCAAACTTAGAAAAGCAAGAACTACAACAGTAAGAGCAAAACCAACTACTCACCAAACTTAGAAAAGTGAGAACTACAACAGTAAGAGCAAAATCAACTACTCACCAAACTTAGAAAAGTGAAAACTACAACAGTAAGAGCATAACCAACTACTCACCAAACTTAGAAAAGTGAAAACTACAACAGTAAGAGCATAACCAACTACTCACCAAACTTAGAAAAGCAAGAACTAGAACAGTAAGAGCATATCCAACCAAAGGAGTCTTGAAGATATACGAGAGACAGTAGACGAACGGAATGGCTGCCAATCCTTGAAGAATCTGCAATAAAATACTACATGCATATAAACGTTATAATGAAAGATCAAAGAAAAAAAGCTCAAGAAATCACCAGCCTCACCAATAGGAAGTAGATTGAGCCAAGGGTTTCCACATCTGAATACGCATTGATTCCAAATGCGGCAATGATGAAAATAATAACAGTAGCTGGTATCATGTAGTTGATCATGTCCCATAGATATGTCGCTGACCAAAAACTTAATACATCCACTCCGCTGATAAACTGAATATGTTTCGCCTAAAAAAGGTAAACAATATTAATAGTTAATCTTTTACATAAAAAACAACAAGTAAATGACATCAATGTGTTCTATAAATTCCAACACCTTTGACTCTCGCTCATAAATTAAAAACGTGATAAAGCTTGCGACGAGAAAAGACATGCCAAAGTTGATAAAGATAGCCAGTAAAAGAGACGAGAAATCATTGTTCACGTTGTCGGCCTGAAATTGTTCATTATCATACATTAATGTACATAATCGTAAATGATTGGAGGCAAGCGGTATATACATTGATCCAATAAGTACTACATGTAACTCACCTTGCACTCTCTACTGTATGGAAGTGGACGATCATTCACTATTGTAAATATCATAATTCATACAACTCACCTTACCCTCTGTATTGTATGGAAGTGGATGGTTGTATGCAGTGATGTTGTACTTATCACTAATATTCCTTATTATCAAGTTACTCATCACGTTTAAAGTATCTGCGATCGTGTGAAGACCCTATAAACATGGATGAAATAATGGTAAAACGACTGCAACATTCAAGCAATATTTTGCTTCACCATCTTATCAAACGGCAATAAAGGCAATACGACATACTTCGTTGCTGTACCAGGCAATATACGTTGGTTCACTATCATTGCTTTGTTGATGAACCATAAAGCCAGCAACTGTTTCAAAGAAGTATTTATTAGGATCACTGTTCTCCAGCACAAACTGCTCGAAATACGTTTTCCATGATTTAGTGTTTGTATTTTCGAGATCTCGGGGACATAAACTCTGTTTTGAATTTCTGAATCTAGACACAATTGATAAGTTTTGGAAAATTTTTTGGCATTTGTTTAAGATAAGATGACATACACTTACTTCCAACAATCGTTTTCACATTGTTGGTATCCTTTTGGAACGCAAGTTGCTGTTTTGTCAATGAACTTAAACGAAAGAAGACATTCAGTCGAAAACAGGCAAAATACTTAAAAACATTCAAATGCCTTTAAAACGGGCCAATTTTAACTATCCAATTAACTTTTGAAACTTAATATTTTGTTTCTTGGAACTACACGACCCCCAAATTAGAAATGAATCCGGCTACTCAAGACGACAAACAAAATTACTTAACCTACAATTCCATACTTCAAAAACTATATGAGCTTTAAAGACATTTAACGCTAATGAAAAAATGTAGAAAGAAAAATATGGACGATAAGTCATTCAATTATCTCACCTGATCTCTACAAACTTCGTTTATGATCAGATATTCCATTTCGCAACAATTATCTGGTGAGGCTGATTTATTCATGTTATTCACAAAAATGTTATTTCCACTATTCAATTGTCTCATTCTGCGAAGATCGTCGTTGATGTTGCGAGCCTTGTTCTTCTGATATTTTTCCAGAAACGATTTGGCATCCTACACAAAATGAAGCAATACACATGAAGATTTATGTAGTAAACATTTCTTCCTCATGACTCAATTTCTAACAAGTTCTGTCATAGAATGAAGCATACACATGAAGATTTATGTAGTAAACATTTCTCCCTTCTGACTCAATTTCTAACAAGTTCTGTCATAGAATGAAGCATACACATGAAGATTTATGTAGTAAACATTTCTCCCTTCTGACTCAATTTCTAACAGGTTCTGTCATAGAATGAAGCATACACATGAAGATTTATGTAGTAAATATTTCTCCCTTCTGACTCAATTTCTAATAAGTTCTGTCATAGAATGAAGCATACACATGAAGATTTATGTAGTAAACATTTCTCCCTTCTGACTCAATTTCTAATAAGTTCTGTCATAGAATGAAGCATACACATGAAGATTTATGTAGTAAACATTTCTCCTTCCTGACTCAATTTCCAACAAGTCCTGTTGTAGAATGCTTAACTAAGGGACACTGACTATAAATCGACCAATCACTGTTTATGATACAGAAACCTTAATTTAATTCTCTGCATATAGGTAAAAAAAATGTACACTTACTTGAAAAGAAATTGTTTTCGATGGATAGAAATTTGCAAACAGCGATTTCGTATCTTTGTTATCAACGCTTAACTTGGCGAGGCTGAGCTTTCGCGAAGGTTCGTCTTTGATTGGTTCAACGACTTTGGCGATGGTCAAACCCAGGATTGTCATCAACAACGGAAGAAAAAGTTGCGTCAAAACCGCACTCTTGTTTCGTTTGGAATGGAGAAACCTTTTCATGAACATTGCTTTGAATTGATGAATCTTGAGTGAAACACCAGTCAAGAGTTCTACAGTATTAACATAGAGAAGAAAGCCATCAGTACGTATGAGAACAAGTTCATCAAAAAAATACAATGAATTACAACACATTTTACCAGAATGATCAAGTTTTAGTGAAGGATCAACTAGTGTTTCAAAGCTTTTTGACTTATTCTCTTTACGCCTAAAAAAATCACGAACATACAACATAAACAATAAAGGTCACATATTTATTTATGACAGAACAAATACACTGTTTAAAAAGATTAAACTAAATTCGAGTAAATAGATCATGAACAATATATACCAATATAAATACTTACTGGTTGTCAACAGTTTGTTCCAGTCCTTCTCCAACTTTTATGAACACATCTTCGAGAGTTGTGACGGAGACGCCAAAACTGCTAATGCCCAATTCATCCTTCTCTTCTACAATAATAAAAGGAACACAATAAAGAAATTAGCAATTGATACACTGCCTATAAGCTCAAACCAAAAATAAAAATCTCACGTTCAAGCGTCTGAAACAACTTCTCAAATCCTGTCGAACTTTGACTTGGTAAAACAAACGCAAGTTCTGCACCCACATCGCTCACTTGAAAAGCATCAGCAACATGATTATATACCAGACTAGCCGTATCAGTTACATTACACTCAGCAGCCTTCACTAAGGTCAACCGGTATCCAACACCATACCTAAATATCAACCAAAGTACACATTGAATTACACTCGGTTAATTTCATCAACGCCAACCGGTATCCTTCCCTATATCTAATTATCAACATAAGAACCCTCTAAAAATACACACAGGCATTCAAAAAGTACTAATCGCCGGCAAAAAAACAGTTTAATAGGTTAACATTGAGCCAAAGTGCTAAAAAGTAAAACAATAAAAAATAACAGTATATTTAACGACAAATGGACTTAAGTTACAGCATTTCATTAGTGAAACATGCTGTCTGTTGAGTAAATCAATCTTTGGTATACATGATAATCATCACTATAGCCAACATCAGTAGCGGATCTAGGCTAAGTCAAAATATAGAAGATCATTTTAAATTCAAAAGACTTTTTAACAGCGCTGTTGGTTGAAAATTTCAAAAGAATTTTTAAAACTAAAATACTCAAAATAGGATTCACTCTAAAGTATTCAAAATAGAAATATATTTTCAGTGATGTATTCGGATCGCCCCTGGATCCGCCACTGGCCCACATTACTCGACAAAGACTGAGCACTTTTTGATTGCTTGTACATCGTCATTTGTAGAGAGGAAAATTCGTAATTTGGTTGTATAAGTTCAATAAAATACTCGACCTGCTCTTCAAAAACAAGGAGCTACCACAACATCTTAACTGACCGTCTGCCATAATCGCAATTCGTTCACCAAGAAAATCGGCTTCGTCCCTAGAAAAATGCACAATATAGACTAAAGATCCTTAAACTTTGTGTTCAAAAGATAGCGTAACCCGAATGATATTTCATGGGAAATCTATCCCAAATTTTACTATAGCACACCATAACTTAAACAGAAGCACTTTGTTTTTTCTTACATGAAATGAGTCGTTAAAATAATGGTACGGCCAGCCTTGTACTTCAACAGTAGATCCCATGTTGCCCTGCGAGCGTAAGGATCCATACCAGAAGTAGGCTCATCAAGAAACACAATCTCAGATCCACCAATCAAAGCGATTGCACAGCTATATAACGACAAGGAAACAGAAAATGGACGGGGAATTTTTATGTAGAAAGCAAAAGAATGAGTTTAATGCTAACCTAAGTTTACGTTTCATTCCACCAGAGAGATATCTACTTTGCCAATGGGCTTTATCCGCAAGCTGAATATCATTGATCATCCTTTCAATTTCTTCATTTGCTTCAACTCCAAATTTACCCTAAAATTCGTAACAAACATGTCATTAATATAGGAATTCGAGTAATTTTAAATCACATATATAATAATAATAAAAATTCAATATTTGTTTCTTGCAAACTGACACATTAATATATAACAAAAATATACACATCAAATTGATGAAACACTTCATTGAAAATTCCTCTATTCCCACAAGTATTATAATAATACGCACCTAACACTCTACAACAACACCAAAAACCTGAGTAACACAAACCTTAAGATTAATAAAAAACTTCAAATGCTCCCTGACAGTGAGCTTATCAAAAAGAACATTATGTTGAGGACATAGGCCAAGACTCTCGCGAATGCGATCCATGTCAGTGAGAATGCTATAACCATTGACATACGCAGTTCCAGAAGATGGAGTAAAGAGACCAGTAAGAATGGACATTGTTGTCGTTTTACCTGTAAAGATAACAAAACAATTAGGTAACAACACTAAAAAATGTCATTCAAAAAGCAATAAGGATGAAAAATATCATTTATCTTACATATAACACATTTGAGTTATTTTTTCAGCAAGAATGTTCATTATAAGCAAAGTTTGGAAATATAACGAATCAGTCATGTAATATAGAGATATATGTAAATAGCTTTCATGTGCAATTTCTCTTTATTGAATATTTCAACTCCTTACGCCTCTGAGCTTAGCGTGCTTTAAATAAAATTCTGTCTTTGTAGTTGAGAAAAATACGCTTGAATGTTACGCCAGATTTAGTGTCTATAAAAGTAAGGCTTATGCTTGGTCTGGTTTGAGAACTATTGATATGGTGTTTGACTACTTCGGACCCACGTACAAATACAAACAAGTACATTGTACAACTCTGATTGTTTGTTTACTTACCAGCGCCATTATGACCCAACAATGAAGTAATTTGTCCTTTAAACATATTAAAAGACAGATCATCAACAGCTACTTTCTCACCCAACGAGCTCTAAAAATAAGTCCACGTAAAATTTCGTCGTTTATTCAAGTCTATGTATGAGCAAAGATGGTAACATTACAGATAACAGTTTTAAAGGCGGAAATACATTACCCGGAAAACTTTTTTCAAATTACAAATGGATACACCGATTTCCAAATCAGTTGGCTCTTCTTCATAATCAGCGCTCTTAACATGAAGATTCATTGAAGGCTGAATAGAAAATACAATTGACCTGAAACTCGGCTTCTTTCGTCATGTAAGGTTGTAGCATATAACATAAAGAATTAAAAGCGTATAAACGATGAAAATTGTGACGATTTCCTTACAGCAAGTTCTTGACTATCGTCCACTTTACTAGTCGATATTCCAAACCAATAGGATTTAGTAAGGAAAAACCACGGTTTTTCAGGAATTCCATATTCGCCAGGGATAACTGCTTCAACGTACCTTTGAGGAAAAGTTAACATGTTTAAAAATATACAGTAACAAAATTTTATTTGCTTTGTAAAGTAAGCAGACAATAACGTTTCATTACTTGAGAACTCTTATTGTTTTTGCAGGGAACGTACCAAGACTAAAAAAACTCAGTGCAAATGTAGTTTAATCGTTCTCACTTATATTTATTCTTGTCTGCGGGAATTTGCTATTAAATACATAAATATCTAAATGTTTTGAAAACCAAAGTGAAAGTAGTAGACTTACCAAGCAATAATACCATAAAAGATCATTTGTACAATGAACATAAGAAACACTTGGGCCATGGTAAAGTTATCATCAGCAGAAGGAGAGAGAGCAATATTACTCCATTGTACTCCTACACCACGTTCCTCGTACTTAGAGAACACCTTGGAACCAATCCCCACACAACTGTTTACCAATAAACAGATTCCATACTTAGATGACCTAAAGTAAAATGTCTCTTGTGAAGTTCAGCTCAAAAACAATATTGCTTGGTATAGAGAAGGTGTATTTCCTATACTTGACAGATGAATGTACCAATCATCTCTCTCGAAATCACATGATGCCTCGAAAAAACGAAACTCAAGCAAAATATTACATTCAACGACTCCCAATATGAAACATGATCCTTTCAAGAATTCAAATAATAAGAGACTCTAAGTAATCTTACTGCTATCAACAGCAAAGCACCAGATGAATACATAAGATAAATAAGTGAATATGATAAGTAACGATAAGTAACGATAAGTAACGATAAGTAATGATAAATAATGATAAATAATGATAAATAATGATAAATAATACTTACGAACTGAGACCGTCATACGTGTTTTCATTGGAAACGACGGCGAAAGGCACATAGGTGATAAACCAGATTGCACCGGACAACAACATTGACAAAACGGCATTGTGGAAAAAGACGCTAAAAGTGCAAAGAAAAAGATGATTTGGTCGTTGAAAACATAAATTAAATTCTTACTTCTGGCTATCGTTAATTTTCATGCGTCATCACATTGATCTGCAAACAAACTTTACTGACTTTCGCTCTTATGATAAAACGAACCAATGTTATAAGGATCTTTTACCCCAGTTATTGAGAAATTCATTTTAGTGTACAATAAAATTCGTAAAACACAGTCAGAGTGCTGCAGTCCCACCTACACCCCACCCTCCTTACAGCCATTATGTTTTCCACCTTACCTGACTGAACATCATGGGATAGTTGAGGATTTTTCGTGTTGTTTTATATTTTACATTCTCGTTGTCATAACATGCACAAACATACCTCATACAGAAACAAAAGATGATACTCGTCATAGCGTACAACAAGAAAAACACAAACACAACAGAACCATCAGAATTTTCCATGATTTTTGCAGCCTAAATAAAAGTTGAAAGAGGTTTTAAGTAAACACGAAAAAGCCCAACTTCAAGATACACGATTTTAAAGCACAACTTCGACTGTATTTCAAAGTAATTATAAAACTGAAATAAAGTGGAAATATTCTCGTATGGGAAAAATATTGTTTCAATTGCTTTATACAAGTCGAATGTTGACTTTACTTCAGGATAACGTAGATGTAAAACATTATATCTACCTTTATTAAAGCCGTTATGAGGCAAACAGAAATGAGTAAAAACAAGAATGATTTAGTAAACCAAGCAAGCCAATGTATCCAGTTTGACAATCCCATTATCTTCATGGATTCTTTCAATCGACATTGTTTCTCATGTACAAGCTCCTATAAATAAAAGCTTTATCGTTGGCACTTCAAAACTATATATTCATTCTCATTTAATAAAACTTCTACACAATAAACTGATGGCTGTGTGTATGGCAAAATTTCATCTTAGTGAATTGATTACCTGCACAGTTTCAACAGGGGAGAAAGGGAAGAGAACGACGAAAAAAGCAACTTATAGCTGCCAATTTGAAATTGTCGTGGAAAAAGGAGGTATTATCTCTTTGCTCCCCCCCGGCTACGTCCTTAGTATGGTGTCACTTTGCTCCCCCCAGCTACGTCCTTAGTTTGGTGTCACACTGAATATGATCGTGTTATAACTATTTTTTAAAACACCAAAACAAGTTTGAACTTTTTCTCAAAGTTATCTTCAGATAATCATAACATGAACACTGACTCAGTTATGCACACATAAAAAACACGATTCTTGTTCTGATACTCAGACGATGGTTTTGGAATAAAGTGGAAAAAACGTTGCCATCAAGAGACTGCTATCGTGTACACAACCATACACGAATTCACGTTAAGATTTAACTTTATTCACAAATTTGTACTTTAAAAGCGGAGTCACGTTGAGATGAGAAGAAACCAAATTAATTCCAGTCCCGAAAAGGTTAAATTTCAGTAAAATAAGTTAATAAGTGCAATAATGACGGAGTGCAATGTTCCGTCCAACTCTAATATGTTGTTTCCTCTTTTCTTCAAAGGCGGTTTTCTAAAAACCCCCTAGGCTTGCCTGTCAATGTTTACATTCGAAAGTTCATTAATCGTTTCTCACCTTCACTATCATCATCGCCGTGTATATGAAAGCAAAGGTGAATAAGAGCGGAAGAAATCCAGCCACAACCGAGTTGAAAGAATCGTCACGATACTTAGGATATGGAAATTGCTGTAGAAAAAAAAGAAAAAACAATTTCATTACGTCTTATGCTTCAAAGGATTTTGGTCAAATTGTTGAAGATACCTCCAGTATGAACTTATAAGGCAACGAAGAACCTTTGACAGTCTGCACAATAGAAGCATCCAAAGCATATTGAAGAAAGATAAAACGACTCGCGTAAAGGCTAAATTAACATTGAAGATAGAAAAATTCAGTTTGACATTTCAACGAAAAAACGTGGATCACTTGACACAATATACATCCCACTCTCTTCCCTTCCAATAAATACAAACCACTACCTCCCCCTCCAAAGATAAACACTTCCACACTCCCCTTACCAATAAAAACGACCCCTCCCAATGAAAAACTTCTTAGAATGTACTAGTTGATCATCCCTTGACCAACATATACCTTTCTTCACTGCTGCGGGGCTCTCGTTCACGAAAAAATGGATATGTCCGATCATTGAGCCATCGTTGAGCAGGCAGTCTGATGGCATACTTCAAGTCTTTAGGAAGTGTTGAGTGATTGTAAGCTTTTTCATTACCCAGAAATTCAACAGCTGTATGATAAAAATAGTCTCTTATTACATATGTGATGACAGTTGGTCATGTGGTCAAGAATCAACACAATAACGACACAAGAAATGAAAGACTTCAAAGAGTGTTTGTAAAAATTATTTAACACACCTCCATAATATTTGCTCTCCATCTCCGAAACATGATTTTCCATTTCTTTTTTTGTTGTCCATTTTCTTGTTGCTACACTGATATTCATCAGTTTCCCAACTTTCTCCATGAGTGCATTAGCTAATACATATCAAATTAAATGACAAAATATATTTCCATACATCTTTCACAAAGATCTTTATAATAATCACTGGCATAGCTAGCCTGCAAATTTGCTCATGCTATGGAAATTTTTCTTTGTTCACACTCACTGTAAAAGTAATAGATTTCTAATGAAAGGAATACTGAAATTTACATGGTAGGACCAAAACTTGCAAGATGGCTATGCCACAGTCAATAGTTACCATGGTAAGACATACTAAAGTGCATAAATTATCCTCACAATTTCCTTGCTACTGCGTATTAATTATGTCACTCTTTTAGTTTGATCTCTTGAACATTAGGTGCATTTCAGTGTACACATTTTAAATTTTCATCATGGACATATTATTTCTGCAGACAGTTGCAAATCAAGGACAGTAAACTAAACCAACTGCAATTTGTTCTCACTTTGTAATGGTTCCTCTCCATTGCTCAGATTCTCAAAATAATCCAATGAATTTCACTAACAATAGCAATGCTATTTCTTACTTTTATTTTTCACTTTTTCTTTATGAACTACTCAGGATTTGATACAGTAAGCCAGTGCAACCAATCATTCAATGTTTTACATTATCATTGCAAAAAAAAGACATATTGTTAAAATTCTTACTTGCTGGGGTAGACGGATAATGGGCAATGAGAGCATTGCTCACATTCAAAGACTTTAGTTCTCTCTGCCGAATATTTTTATTTTGTTCATTAGCACGGGACTTGACACTTTGTTGAAATGTCCCAGGCTTATTATTGTTTGCCAAGGATGGTTCAAAATTTACTGTAAGATAAACAAACATGACACAATGATATAGCCTTGGTAATTTTGAAATATGACAATTTCAAAGCAACATTAGCTTAATACAATGCTTTATTTCATGTCCTAACATCATTTCATGTCCGAGAGTTATTCTCAAATATAAATCCTTTTCAAATATCTTACCAAAGCATTTATCTTTTGTTTTCAATGCAACCCTGTCAGAAAACAATGTCAAACATTTATAAGCATTGCAAGTGTGCAAGGGTGAATTCCGGGACTAACTTTCCAGTTTGGCCAATTTGTTGCATTTTCAGTCACTATATTTCAGTTAGTCATAAGCATAGGCTAATATAATAGGCAAAATTATCCATTCATAAAACTTCAGTCTTTGTTTAGTTAAAATGCAGAGTAGCATTTATGAACACACAAATGCTGCTTGTCACCTGCTTTGCATTCACTTAATAACTTTAAAAATCTTTAATCTTGAATTATATCAAAGAAACATGGTAAGAAAACATGCTATTTATCCAGAGTTCACAACAGAAATACTTCGCCTTTTACCTTGCTAAAATCAAGATGGCAACGAAGAAAACAGGCAGTAAAATTTCAAATATCGTTCCAATGGGACGTCGTATCTAAAATACACCAGGTGTTTTGACATATGTTCATCCATTTAGTAAGCCTCAAAAGAATAAATAACGGCAAAAAATTTATGAAAAAAATTCTGCGTATTTTCGTCGAATGAAAGTGCAAGTTTGCAACTATTTGAATCATCCGAGCTATCTATGCTTTAGCATCCAGGCTCAGTTTTGGTTTTATAGACCAAAAAAGAACGAAAATCATATACTCTGTATCTTATGTCAAGTCTAAGTCTAACACAAGAAATACAGCATTTAAAACATTAAGGAGAGTTTAAAGTGAGCGACTAGTTGGTTGAATAACGTAATATGATATGCAAATTTTTCCTCATTTCGCGGATAAGTCTACTACAACTTAAGAAAGGTCGTTGAAAACAACAGGCTCGTTATATCATACCTGGAGAAGAAAATTCTTCCATACAAGTAAACGAAATTGTCGAAAACGATACATTTTCTTGAGATTTTCGTTGCTTAAATACCTCTACGCTTCATTTACATTACGTCTTTTTCTCATTGAATGAAGTTGTTTTTTTAATGAACAGATGCCATGCCGGTGTTGCAGCCGTTCGAGTTGCGCAATGCTATCTTAGAGAAATGAGGAATCTCATCTCTCTGCAAACAATTTTTGATTCAAAGATTCAACAGCACAAAAAGTTTACCATTTGGTTTAACATACATTTTGCCACTGAAAAATGTTGATATGAATTCCAGTTGCAAACGATAACCAAATATGCCCATGAAATTACGATTCCACGTCATAATGTCTGTCTCGAGTAAATGACAGCTTACATATGTATTTACTAAACGACAGTTTGTACTTTTTACTAGCTAATTTTTACAAGTTGCACGAATGCCTTAAAACGCGTCCTCTTCATAGAGAGGAATATCTATGTTACACTCTATCTCGTGATTTTGACGTTGCCAAAACCAGGAAGTATGTTCGAGTTCACTCGTGTCTTCTTTAGCAGCTGATAAAAACACACCCAAGTTATACACAGCTGGATCAGAGATCGCAGGATCAATCTTCGTGGATACCGTTCTCTGTTTCTTCTCTTTTATGAGAGGACGTACAGAAGGCAAATAGTAATTTCGAGGTTCAATTTGTCCTGGTTCGACTTTTTCTTTCGTATAGCACAGCACATCATTTTCAAAATCTTCGTCAATCCATACAGTCGAGACAATTGACGATTTTCCGGACCTTGACAATTTCATAGATTCCTTTGATTCTAAAAAAAGTAACTATTAGGCAAGGTTGGTGAAAAGCCCGTCAAAATTGGAAGGGATGAAGGAACGATGTAATATTATTATCTATAACACCGAGTGCCCTATGTAATAAGACGAATCTGCAATTTTCAAAGCCCTTATAAAAATAATCAGTATATAATGAATAGAAACTATTTCAAATAAATGAAACAACTAATACCACTATCTAAACTAAATCTCATTCAACAAACTACACCTTCAATTCCAGTTGGCTTCGAGACTATTCCATGGCTGCATTTGGTCTTTGGAACGTTTACATGAGACGGAGGATGTATTTTTGTCTCTTTTAGTTTTATTTTCCTATTTTTCTCAACCCAATTTTTCTTAACAGCATCGTCAGAGATGCGGGTGGAAACAGGTCCGAGACCCTTGCTACGCATCTCGCTACTCCTACTTTTCTTGATTTTTTTCTTTGGTACTGCTTTGAGCCGTTTAATAATACTCTGGAAAGGGGGAACTTCCGCCTTGTGCTTGTCATCTTTCTTCTCGTAAATAATGCCTTTTAAATTCATCACTTGTGCAATTTTAGTATATTTTCCACGCATTGATAAATGTCTTTTTCTGTCAAATGTCATAGTTCTTGGTAAAACGTGATTGTATAAAGCAATCGAGGACTTCCATCGCAGCATGTCATTTTCAACATCTTTCTTCATGGCGTTTTCTGGCTCACCCTTCGATGACGCTGCAATATGCAAAGGATCATATTGAATTTTTTCGAGAATAAAAGAACGAAAATCATTTAAAGTGTTTATCAAACGATATTCCACCATCATGCAGTTTTCTGACACATACTGCACTTAAAAACTAGGGGTATTCAACTTTTTATCAAGCAAATAACACCATTGTGCATAATCCATAACAATATAAACGTAACTATACTGTATCAATAGTAATGGTGGCATAAAAAAACATACTTGAAATCACTAATATGCTTACTTTTTGCTTTCCTTGAAACTTTTCCATTGTCAACATCGTCCTTCTTCCGATATCGTCGATATAACGCCAGATCTGAATTTCTCAACTTATAGGGTGATGTCATATTTGTTGGAAAGACACTATTACTTAACCTTGATCCATTGCAGCTACACATGCTTCCCATTGCCTTTCAAAATTTCGTTTAGAAATCTGCAGTCTACTTTTTGCTGCCGTCATTTTCTTATATCTTTCCAAGACTTTATTATGACGTCATTATAATTACGCCTCTACTACTTTGAGCTCGACCAGTGAGCTGCACCAAGTGAAAAATATCTCCGTTTCGTTATCATAAAAATATTCAAAGAGCTATGTAAATTGTTAAGGTTTACAGCTCCAATAGCAATGTAACGAAGAGAAAAAGGCCTACTATATACAATAAATAAAAACTCCACATTGCATTATATACATTGATCGGGATGCCGCTGACGTGTATATAACGCAGACTCAGATTTGTTGACCCGATCAAGTAAACATGGCGTCCAAATTAGAAGTGGCGCTTCAAGTTCCTTTTCGCGATATTTGTATGCTCCTAGAGAAGATTCACGAAATCAAAGGAACAGACAAGAAAAAGAATATGCTGAACTCTTTTATAGCCTCTTGGCGTGATACTCACCATAAAATACACGGAAATACTCAAACAGTATTAGCATTATATCATTTGATTTAACTTTAAATAATATACTCATACAGCATTGCAATGTCGTACTTCTTGTTTCATGACAGGAGGATTCATTTTTTCCTGCAATGAGATTACTCTTGCCTCAATTTGACAAAGAACGGCCCGCGTATGGCTTGAAGGAGGCAAGTTTCGGTTAACAATTCGTTTATGTACGAAATCAGTCTTAAAATCTTTTACGACGAGTAATATTATCACTGTATAACACTCTATACTGGTATCAGTTAGTACACCGTTACGTGCATATCCCAGTACACAGATTTTTAGATGGTTGTTAAAGTTTATTTTTTCGCTTACTTTGTTCATATGCTAAAATTTCTCTATCCTAACCGTCCTTCTCAGCCTTCTCTACTGTAATATTGTTGTTTGATTGGATTGGATAACAAGTGGCTATCGCTATTGAATTTGATGATAAAAATATTTGACAAAAGTTATATATTATTTACCGTAAATGAATGAACGCTTGAAGTATTGACAACTCAATAACACAAACTTTAAGTGAAAGAAGTATACACTGAACTGATGCAGATTATTTACATCACAGTCATGCTTGCTCAATCATAGGTCAGCTACGGCTAAAAAAAAGCTCTCGAACCTTCCCAGTAGTGTGAAAATTTTCTTTTTTAAAAAAAACGTTATCAAGTTTCTTCAGAGAAAAGCAGCAAAAACCCATGCACATGTTCTAAATCACAATGAAATAGTAAAATCACACGAATACAAAGTTTATTACACACCTCCCCCCCTCCCCCGTTTTTATATCAAAAACGCAACATTTCTTTCAAAAGTTTTTCATCAACATGTTGTATGACTGTTTTTGATTAGGTTGCATTAGCAAAGCACTACATCGAAATCCTGAGCATTGGGAAAGAAAGCATGGACGCTAAAAAGCTACTCAATTACAAGGCACCTAACCATGCCAGCAAGGTAAGTGTTTTGGTAAAAAAAAACTTAGCCAAAACGAAAGTGCAAATAAAGGATAGTCTTGAATTTTTTAAGAATGCTGGCGACTTCGCAACTGTCGCTTATTTTGTCTTAGTGAACAGATGTCCGGAGAAAGGAAGGTATAATGTAATGCGTTGCACCAATTCTATTTGGATCAATCTTCACGCAACGCTTTTCATTACAGTCTAAATATCAAGCAAGTCAACGATCTACTAACTAAATTGGCAATGGGAAATAGTGAGCGTAAAAAATCCGAAATGAGAAATGCCTTGCAGAGTCTTTTGAGAAATACTAGTGCTCTTGAACAGGTAACTACATAAATGATATAGTTACAATAAGGAATACTTTTGACTTGTTTTTAATTTTAGAAATGGTTGATTCGGATCATTTTGAAGGTAACCATTGAAGTCAAAAACGTTTTACTAAATCATTCAATTTATAGCTGTGTTATTGATTAAGAGTCGAATCATTTAGGAACTAAAAGGAGGCATCAGCGACAAAAGTGTATTCGATGTTTTTCACCCAGATGCAATGGAATTGTATAACGTTTGTAGCTCATTGTCGAAGGTAAAAAGGAAGGTTATAGTACGTTTTTCCACAGAAACACTAATGTTGACGATTTTTGTTAATAAGGTGTGTGAAGATTTGCGAGACCCCACGGTGAGAACAAGCGATACGGATATAAAATTGTTTTCAGCATTCAAACCGATGTTAGGACAGCGTGCGGCCATTGACGAGGTACAACTTTTTTGTTCACAACTACTCCAATAAACCTCTTCGTCTTCAGTTCATAAAATATGATGTAATGTTAAACGTCATGATGTAGGTGGAAAAATTGATGAATGTAGATGAGTTTTACATTGAAACGAAACTTGACGGTGAAAGATTCATGCTTCATCGTGAAGAGAACACGTTCAAGTATTTCTCCCGAGGGTTCGTTCATCATAAATCACGTGAAAGTATTTCGTTGTTATTTAAAAATTTTATCAGAGTAAAAATTTCAGATCTAATGATTATACTGCAACCTTTGGAGCTTCACCGAAGGAAGGATACCTTACCCCCTTCATTGCGGACTGTTTTCCCAGGTACTGGCGGAAGATTACACCTCGGCTTCACATTTTTTAACACGAAAATTATGTTGCTCGCGCATTGGCATAAAGCTAATCACAACACTATGCCTCAGGCCATAATTCAGCAACCACGTTTTTTGATCCTCGATGCGACAAGACACACGTGACTTAGTTCTTTAGAAGTAAAATGTCCTTCACATCTCATGTCAGTAATTCTTATGTTTCAATGTGACTGTGATATTTTTGTGTATGATTTCAGTAAAGTAAAATCTTGCATCCTTGACGGAGAGATGATGGCTTTCGATGCGTCGAACAAAGCAAAATTCCTGTACTGTGTCACGTAAATCTTCTTATGTCTTACACTACATGTGGCGGAAAAACTCCTCTTTGTTTCTTTCTACCAGAAATGACACTTAGCTGTCTTTCTTCATTCTTTTAAATATATCAAATTATTATTCATCTGCAGATCAAAAGGAGAGAACATTGATTTTAAAAGTGCTAAGACGTATTCATCGAATGCAGGTGAATAAAAAAGTCTTTGTTTTCATAACAATGAAATTTTTTCATTCATTCTTTTTCGATTCTCAGGTCTTCATCCATGTTTCGTCGTTTTCGATGTTATATTTGTGAATGGTAAAAGTATAGCTAGTCTTCCTCTCAAAGAACGACTACAAAACCTAGAGAAGTAAGTTTACATTGCATATGTAATACAGTCTAAACTGTGATTGGAAAACGGTCAAAACTGTACGAAGTATAATGGACCTTAAATAAAGCCTTGAATGATAAAGAATGAAAAATAGGATACAAACATCTGATCCTACAGGCTGTGATTTTTTGACGGGAGAGAGGAGTACGTATGTAACACAAGTATAAACGTACTTATTTTCTTACATAGGATATTCACAGCAGTTCCTGGTAGAATAGAACGCGTCCAGCGTGAGCAAGCGTCGAAGAGGTACGACAATAACTTCCTTCATTAACAATAGTCTGTAAAGTAGAGTCTTAAAGATTTTGATTGATAAAAATATTCTTGTAGACAAGATGTTATTGTAGCATTAAACAATGCTGTTGACAAGTACGAAGAAGGTTTGCTAATCAAGTCACCATCATCGATATATCAACCAAATATTAGAAACGGTGGGTTAATCATATAATAAAGGTACCTCCTAAACTACCATTACATCCTTTAACTGGTAACGGAAACATATGATTGGCTTATAAAGAGGCTTATGCTAGTACAATTGGTCAGCTGGTCGTTAAATTTTTATTCTTCATTGTTTTAAAGGAAGTGGATGGTTGAAAATTAAACCCGAATATGTTAACGGTTTGGCAGATGAGGTATTTGCATTTTTATCTGTTCATTCGACATTGCTCGTGTCTAATTCAGTGAACTCGAGACACTTGAAATGATAATTCGTATACTTTTGTATGTGATTAGTAAAGAGCGATCAATTTCTCGCGTCAGACTCAAAAACTTTGTTTCTTGAAATTTGATTGTTTGAAGCATGAGTAATCACAGGCTAGCAATGGTAGCGATCATATATGTCTTCAGACATCGCGATTAAGTTGTCGTTCCTGGTGCTTTTAGTCCATTCGTCTCATTACAACTTCACTAAACTGTTGTGGTGCTTTCTAATAAAGTTTCTGTGATTCTCATTTTTAAGTTGGATGTTATTATAATTGGAGGATACTTTGGTAGCGGGGTATGTTACTTATGACAGTCGTTGCTTCAACTATTATAAACGATATTAATGAAATTGATTAATGATTTTCCCTTTTTCTTCACAAGTCACGTGGCGGAATGATTTCTCATTTTTTATGTGGTGTATCTTGTCCTTCATCGATACACGACGAAGAAGCAGCAAAGTTTTACTCATTTTGTAAAGTATGTAGTTTTATAACTTTCACTATGTGTGTTTTCATTTTCTTCTGTCGTCACGACGATATTCTGACAAGATTTGGGAGAATATTATCTCAGTTTTGCTTTGTCCGTAGGTTGGTTCGGGATATACAAATAAAGAACTGAAAGATCTGTCTCATCATTTAGATCCTTACTGGAGAAAATTTGATGCAAAGAAACCTCCCACGATGATAGAGTTCACAAACGGTTTCAAGGTGACATTTTGATGGAATTCATTTGTTCACGAAATGCTCCTTAAAGTCCCTCACGATCCTTTTCTCATTCAGGAGAAACCTGATGTTTGGATAGAACCGCGGAATTCTAAAATAGTTCAAGTTAAAGCCGCAGAAATTGTTCCCTCTGACAAGTTCAGTACAACTTCCTTACATTCCATTGCACTTTCTCAGTCTTTTTGTAAGCACTGCTACAACTTAGATTCATTTTGCAAACTCTAGTTACAAAACAGGTCAAACGTTACGTTTTCCTCGCGTTGAGAAAATCCGCGATGACAAAACCTGGAATGAGTGTCTGGACATTAACGAACTTGAGAGAATACGAACGATTGCAAAAGGCAAACTGACGTATCAACACGCCACGACCAGTGACGAACATGTCACGAAGAAGAATAAGAGAATAGTGACACGAATCGAGAGCCCGCTAAAAGTTGCCAAACATTTTGCAGCTGCCAACACGAGTAATGTAGAAGAGGTAGTTGGATAATGTGAAAGAACACATTTAACTAGTATTAATTGTTAATTCTTTTGACAGAAAGGCAAAACGAGCGGTTCTTGCCAAATCCACATCTCCCAATCTTGCCGTTAAATCGAACACATTTATTGTTGAGATACACTGGCAGTCAAAAAGAACTGCTACGGTTTTGTCTAGTAATGTCTGATGGTGATAATTATCAAAGATTGATTTACTTAATAGACGGCATTTCTAACTGATGCAAGGCTGTAACTAAAGCAAGAAGAGGCTCCATTAGTCATTAAATATAGCTACTGTTATTTGATGTTGTGTATCTAATATCTAATGTTTTTGCACTTTGTCCAGATGTTACCCAATGAAATCATACTTTGTGTCTGTGAGCAGCAGTTCTTTTTGACAGCATGTGTACTAATCGAATATACTTATTAACCTCGGACCTGTAAGTGCATTTTTGTTTTTACATAGAAATCTCGGATATTTGAAGGCAAGGAATTTTACATTGTGAATGGTCCACCAGATTGTGGCAAAGTAGAACTGGAGGGAAAGATTTTAGAGGTAAATGAAACGTTCTTCCTCTCCCTCTTCGATGAATGCTCAACGTGTTTATGTTTATCAACTAAGAATGGTGGAAAGGTTGTTCAAAATCCTGGCAAAGACACGCATTGCGTCATCGCTCACAAGAGCAACGTCAGAGTGACTAACATAATTAAGTGAGTTGATTAATTGGTTGCAACACAACATCGTTAGAAAGAAATGCCATAACATTTCGACAATTGTTCTTGAATCTCTCCACAGACAAACGATATATGACATTGTTAATGCATCTTGGTTGTTGGAAAGTTTAGTAAGACTTATTTCTATACTAAACACCATCGCTTATCGTAACTTCGACTCTAGAGTATTTGCTAGGAGACGATATCATTTAACTCTTCATTGAACAGGAACGCAAGCAGATGGTGCCATGGTTACCATGTCACATGATCCACATGTCATCGAAGACAATAGAGAAGTTTTCTCTTGAGTACGATGAGAACGGTGACAGTTTCACCAAAGACTTGAACGTTGAAACTTTGAAGGAAATTTTTAAAAAATTAGATGAAAGAGTAGGTTCACCTTTAGTTCAATTTTGAAAATGAAATCATGTGGAAAAATCATCCAATCCAATGTTTTTGCATTGTGCTTGTAGCAAAACGTAGTGAAGTTGACAAGAAATGACATAATTGAAGTGGAAGAGAGATACATCACCAACTCAACCCTAGGTCTCTTTAGATCATACAGGTGACTCACTAAAACACCAAAATCATTAACAATAAAGATGATTACATGACTGACGCCATGTTTTTTTTTCAGATTTTACGTGGATAGATACTCGACAATTGGTGATCCACACACGGTTAGACTCAATATACTCGGAGGAGCGTCATAACGTCTTTTTATCATTATATAAATACCTTTAATAGCGCCTACCCAGCAGTAGCCTTCACGTGCAGACATATGTGCTACGTTATTATGGTGGACATATAAGTGACACTTTTGACGAAGAAGTCAGTCACGTGATCACGAGCCCGCGGTATGGAAGGAAATCACGAAGAAGAGATAAACAACTTCAGATGTAGCTTTTTCATATGATATTTTCTTTTCTATAGGGATTTCTCGAGGGTACCAGTCATTCAACAGATAATGCACAGGAGAACACGTTTCGCGCACATTGTAACAGAAACATGGATTACCGAGTGTGTGCAAGTTGGTGCTATATTAAAAGAACAAGATTACCGTCCAATAATTGATGATGTTTTGGAATAAATTAAAAAAATGGACAATTTACATTATCAGAATCAATGTTCTTCACGTCGTTTATTGTTATGTAGATAAATTTTGACCACAAAACACTATAAATACCTCAACAAACTGCTTCCATCCTTTTTATGTTTTTTTTTCAGTGGGAACAACTCTGTTAAGGCCATCTCATGATAAAGGCTGTCTCGTTTTAAACCACCTTTTACGTAAGACTCTTTGCCATAAAGTGTTAACTTGAGTATACTGCGAACTTGTTTGTCTAGGTTGCAAAGTGGAATATCAGCAAAACTTGGCTCTCGAATTCCATTCTTTTTCTTAGAATTTCATCTCCCTACTTTTCAGTCGCTCAACCTGTGTTTTAGCGACGTTAATACGAGGATGTAATCAATCAAGACTTCTTTCTTCAATTGAACACTATTTAATCGTTCTTCACGAAATTTCGAGATCCAGGAGTAAAGGAACTCGCAAAATTACTCTATTTACTGATACAAGAATGACCTAAAAAACAAAAATGAATTGAAAATAACGCGACAAAAGTGAAAAACAGTTGTTAAAATACATCCTCAGTGAATACATGTATGTACGTAATGTATTGTACATTATGGATTATATTGTAGAGTCACCAGAGTGCTCAAACCTATATGCGTGTATGCATGTATATATGTATGTATGTATGTATACAAGGTGTATATACAATGTGCCTTCCTGGCTATCACCACAGTGCAATGGTGACTCCTGCACTTGGGACACAGGATGTACGGTTAGACATTGTATGGATTGTATTGTAGAGTTACCAGAGTGCTCAAACCTATATGCGTGTATGTATGTATGTATGTATGTATGTATGTTGTGAATGTATGTATGTATGTATGTTGTGAATGTATTTATAAGTTGTTGCCTGAAAATTGCTTAGGCATGAAAACATACGCAGCAATATGACAATCGTTATCACTTGAATTATACATATAGCTATATATATTGTTCATGTTGTATAAATATATATTGCACAGTCTTTGTTGATATTGAACACTATTGTTTCGATAGGGGTATATTAGACACAATATCATACATATATATATACTATAGTATACATGGTCAAGTCTCGTGTAATGTATTTCTGGACATAACAATAGTGTTTTCCAGTTTCAAAGAGAGGTTGACAGGCGAATAAGAATTGTTGTTCCCTTATAAAAGTTGAATACCTTATCCAAACCTTTAACTGATAACTGTAACCACGGGTCGATTAACGGTATCAATATGATGTTTGATAGCTCTGATCCCTCGAAGTTAACATGTTAGAGCTATTGTTGAAATTCCTCGTAAATCAAGATAATGTATACGATATGCCTTTTTGGGAATTTCACAAAAAGTCCATCATATTTGAATGAGATTGTAATACGTGTCATCGCCAAGGGAAAGTTGTGGTTATATAAACGTTCGGAGAGCAATTGTTCAAGTCTCTCGTCCGTAATTTAGCTATACTGGTATAAATAGTTCATTTCTATATACATTTATACGTGCATACAAACAGCTCAATATGTGAACAGCTTGTAACAATGATGAAGAGAAGCGTCAACCGAAAACTCTTGTATTGGTTCCTAAAACTATAGATCCAAGCTAAATTTGATAAGCCATGCGAATGCGGTTGGTTTAAAAATATTAGATTAAAGTATATACGTGAGTTGCTCATCGAAATCAGTTTAAAATTTGATCGTTTTATACGTCGGAATATCACGTAAACTAACAAAGAGAACAACATCAATATTTCAACACTCTCTCTAATTAAGTGTGTTAAAATATTCATGTTGTGGTAAACGCCTCTTTTGTCCAAAAACATCTCAGACACGATCAATTTCACGATAACGCTTTCGTAACTAAACTTTTAACGACTGCAAATTACAATGAACTTCGGTGGAGAAAAAATACGCAACCGTTTATGAGGATATGTGCCCAATATTGAAGACATTGCTTAAATTTTTAGACATCGTTTTTGTATGTATTCTTTTTGAATGCATATGTTTTTAAAACGACTTAATAAAACACGTTCTTACCCGCAGCAACGGTTATACGCAATGGCTCGGTGTTCTTTTACTGATTATTAACGGTTGAGTCAAGGAGCAGCTGACACCGGAAAGTGTTAAACAAAGATATTTTTATGATAAAAAACAAAGAGCTTCACAAATAGTCATAATAATGAAGAGCTCCATGAGGTGTTATGCATTACACATGTATAAGTTCTAAACTCCAATGCATATATGCACCGTGAAGCGACGTCTTCATTAAATCAAATAAATTGCGCTAAAATAACGCAAGCGGGATTTAAGAAAATCAAGAAGCCATTTTTTTTAGTTAATACAGAAATTTTAGCAAACACGAGAAATTGGCACTAAAATGGCGTGGACCGCCGTGGAAATGCCCGCGTGTGCCTTATTGTGCCATTTTCACGATTGTACGGTAAATTTCTGAATTCGTGACAATGAAAAATGGCCTGAAGGCAATGCTGGAGTACAATGTCAAAATGGTGAAAGTGTTTATTAAACAAACGTGGCATTTTATAACGCCAATCAATATATAGACGTGTATGTTGTCTATATATGTACACAAGCTGGAAATCAAATAACTTTCAACAAATAAAGAGGAATGGAATGTAGTATTTCGACACAAATTGTTGGCATTCCATATTTTTTGGGTTTATTAAATTATGAAAGAGATCAATTATGTAAACGTAATCATCTTATCTGACGCGTTTATAACCCCATAATGGACAGGCTGTACACACCTTGTCCTATATACTCTCAAGATAGAGTAGAGTATATTGTACACACATATTGTGCTATTCAATTGTTCATCCATTCTCTATATAACTAGGGACACGCATGATTTTCCATAAAAAGTAATATTCACAACGCCTCGTAGCTAAATTATAAATATAACAACCATCTTGTTAAAAGTCATGTGCAACAAGGTTAACATATTTTACAATCGATTCACGGCCTCCCGCAGTGTTTTATTTGATAACAATGAACACACGTAAAAGCTCTCGGTGTTTGCCTTTGCCGCAATTCTTACTTTTTTAACCTACTTCAAAAGGTATAGAGCAGTGACAGGCCAATTTTACTTTAGTACAGTGTATATGTTGCGCAGGCAAAAGTAAGCAGGTAGTCGAAGACGGTAGATACGGATATTCATACAAGATAATGCGTCGCTAATCGCTTAAGATAATTAAAACTCATGAATTTTACATTCAAAGGAAATATTACGAGTTACGTTTGCAGTACGGACTGGGTGAAAAAATTAAATAAACTGGACATTTGTTGTAAAAACAAGAACGAGAAGCTATCAAATTAAATGGCCTTGCTTGTATTAGCATAACTCGTAAAAAAAAATAAGAAGTTTGTCAACAACAACAATAAAAGGTTGACTGGAAAGACTTTCTTTCAGCACATACAGTCAAAACTCATAAAATGACATAAATATATTTTTTCGTAAAACCGAAAGTGTTGTATACAACTTTTTTCGATCTTGTAGAAATTAAAATTTATAGCTATGTTAATGTTAAATTAGCCACTTTTCTAAACTGAAGCCGAGTTTTCCCACATGCTTTTACATAACGTACATATGTATATATCGATTGCAAAATAACTTTAACTTCTATACGAGCTCATTTTTATCAAATTATAATTCCGTCGTCACTTATAGAATTCCGTACTTATTTTCTGGAAAAAAGTTAGACTAAAATATATAACTTTAGTCCCCGCTTGAACGACGTCGCACGCGTTTCAAACGCGAAAACGCATTCACAAGTTTATAAAGACGTTTCACAGATATCGCGGTTGCTTTTTAGATCATTTGATGTTAGATTATTTTCTGGTGCTTCAAAAGCAGTATCATCAGAGTTTTTTCCATTATCAGTGGCAAGCCAAGAGGATGAGCTATCAGAACAAGGTTGTATGGCCAGTAAAGGCTGTTGCTCGAGCAAAAATTGTGTTTCACTGCTGCCAGCGTCTTGCAGCACAGCACTTAAAGTTTTGATGTAGTTGATAGCAAGCCTCAATGTCGTAATCTTTGAAATATGACCATCGGCAATGTAACAAGGCAAAGCGTTACGAAGATTCTCGAAACCTTTATTAAGAGTTTTCATCCGTTCCCGTTCGCGGGCGTTAACCAACAACCGTTTATTGTACAATGTCCGCGAGCGGTTTGCAGTCGTCTTACGTTTTTCTTGTTGTGGAAAACTGTCTTGTTTAACTGGTTGATGCAATCGCTGAGCCATTTTCAATTTTCTTGATGGGACATTACACAAATCCGTTGTTCTTTGCGTTGCAAAAGTAGCATGATTCGGTGGAGAAGGGTCAAACGACAAACCATAGTTTATATTAGAAAAGCCGTAGAAAGGTGTCCTGTTCATCTTTTGGAGAGAATTAGCTTTCTATCGGCATCGCACAAGACACTGTCTTTTTTATTCTTCAAGCATGCGGCACAAGTGCACATCAAGCAGCGTTTTGATTGGTCGTCAAATGTATGACACAGGTGGGCCATATCAGCCAGAGTCGCCTGGCCAAATGGATCGAAAAGGACAAAAAATCAAAGCTATGAGAATGAGGAGGCTCAATCAATCCGCATGTTCTTTCAAAAACTTTTTTCGTACTGAGGTATTTTAATGACCAGCTTCATGTGTTATTTAAGCACGTTAATTACTATAAAACCTTTTTTAACAAACTCAAAACTGCTCATTAAAATAGGCGTCAACACACATCTTATAAAACGATAAATATTTGTTTACTGTCCCCCAAATCAACACCAACGAAAGTTACACGCACATGTGCATTTCTCGTGTCACTTTCGATGATGATATTTTCTCAAGTAAGAATAAATAAAAAGTACTTGTACGTGTTCAGAAACTATATGAAACACACCTGCATGGAAATGAATGAACTTCAACGAAACAGTTGATTTTTTGGCTCGCTGCAGGGGATGCTAATTAAAAAGGTCTTAGAATATTAAGTTTTCCATCACTCTTCATTAGCCAACCACTTTCATATTCTAAAAACTCCTCGATGACTCTGCAAATACTCTTTTATAATTGATTTGCCGCCGAAAACGGGAAGACGACATGCTTGCTAGTTAATTAACGAGAACAAACAAATTATGTGCGCTGTTTCTTTAAAGCTCTGTGAGCTCATATCATTTTTTTCAAGGTTATAATAATTCATTAACTATGTATGATGTATGGCGATGCGTGATCATTACAGGTGCCTTTTGGTGAACTCTTTACATGTAGTTACGAAAGGAAAAGTGTGGATTAAATGCCCATCAAGGAAGGAAGAATGTTGATAAAACATAGGTTATGGAAGGAAAAGTGTGGATAAAATGCCCACCAAGGAAGGAAAAGTATGGATAAAATTCCCATCAAGGATAGATAAGCGTGGATAAAGTGCCTCATCAAGGAAGGAAGAATGCGAAAAAAAATTTGACTCGAAGATGTATGTGTACTATTTTAGTTTTGAGGAAGAGCAGATGAATATAGAATGGTAGAAACAATGGATTGATAATGAGTTGGAAAAGTCTTCAATGCTTAATAGAAACTATGCAGTTCGTCATTTCAAAAAAAAACATTTTTAGACACTGAAATATTGAAGGGAGGGAGGAAGAGGTAGCTAATGGTGGAAATAATTTCAGCATTTTCGCATGTCTTCAATCAAGCTCTCCGCCGTTTACATCGGTCGCTGCTCACAAATGTTTTGCCTTTCACAACGAGTTGAACTGAAATGAATTCTATTTCAGAAATACCGCATATCTCGTTGAACCATTGCCGTTACATGTATGCGATACTAGAAGGAGAACATTGATTTGTCCATATCAATTACCAGAGGACATTTATATTACCAATAGATTTACTAATGGAAACAATGACGACAATGTTTCCGTGATTCTCCTTAGTTTCGAGCGACGCTTCATTGCACAGACCGTACCAAATCAATCGTTTTTAAAATTAAAAAAACAACTAACTGAAATGATCGTGCTCTCAAAAGCGTCAACTGCAACATTAAAGTTTTCAATTTTAAAACTTTTATCGTCTGCCGTTCTCGGCTTCGGCTTTATTGATGGCAGCAGTCAAGAGGTCAGTTTTAAATGGACTGTCATCGTCCTTTACCTCCTCTATATCTGCCTCTTCATTTTCATATTGTTCATCGTCGTCGCCGTCGTCATAGAGATAAGAACTAGCACCATTACCATAGTAACCAGACGAGAAGACACCATTATCGTCATCATCATCTATGTCAACTGTATGTCGACCATAGTCCAAGCGCCGAGCTAGTAAAGACATAATACAAACAAATAATAAAGTGTGAGTGTAGCTATATGTAGGATCGCTGAAGATCAAAACATCTCAATTGGTGTAAATCCACACATTATTAGCTTTGAAAATGAGTAATAAACCACAGGATCTGAAGGTTGGTAAAGAGGTAATCTATTTTCATACGGCATTCTTAGTGCAACGATAAGCCTGTCCTTATACGAAATATCAAAGTAATGAAGAAGAGAAAAGTAGCCTCAACTTCTTAGTGCAACGATAAGCCTGTCCTTATACGAAATATCAAAGTAATGAAGAAGAGAAAAGTAGCCTCAACTTCTTAGTGCAACGATAAGCCTGTCCTTATACGAAATATCCAAGTAATGAAGAAGAGAAAAGTAGCCTCAACTTCTTAGTGCAACGATAAGCCTGTCCTTATACGAAATATCAAAGTAATGAAGAAGAGAAAAGTAGCCTCAACTTCTTAGTGCAACGATAAGCCTGTCCTTATACGAAATATCCAAGTAATGAAGAAGAGAAAAGTAGCCTCAACTTCTTAGTGCAACGATAAGCCTGTCCTTATACGAAATATCCAAGTAATGAAGAAGAGAAAAGTAGCCTCAACTTCTTAGTGCAACGATAAGCCTTTTCTATACGAAATATCCAAGTAATGAAGAAGAGAAAAGTAGCCTCAACTTCTTAGTGCAACGATAAGCCTGTCCTTATACGAAATATCCAAGTAATGAAGAAGAGAAAAGTAGCCTCAACTTCTTAGTGCAACGATAAGCCTGTCCTTATACGAAATATCCAAGTAATGAAGAAGAGAAAAGTAGCCTCAACTCTTAGTGCAACGATAAGCCTTTCTATACGAAATATCCAAGTAATGAAGAAGAGAAAAGTAGCCTCAACTTCTTAGTGCAACGATAAGCCTGTCCTTATACGAAATATCCAAGTAATGAAGAAGAGAAAAGTAGCCTCAACTTCTTAGTGCAACGATAAGCCTGTCCTTATACGAAATATCCAAGTAATGAAGAAGAGAAAAGTAGCCTCAACTTCTTAGTGCAACGATAAGCCTGTCCTTATACGAAATATCCAAGTAATGAAGAAGAGAAAAGTAGCCTCAACTTCTTAGTGCAACGATAAGCCTTTTCTACACGAAATATCCAAGAAATGAAGAAGAGAAAAGTAGCCTCAACTTTTTAGTGCAACGATAAGCCTGTCCTTATACGAAATATCCAAGAAATGAAGAAGAGAAAAGTAGCCTCAACTTCTTAGTGCAACGATAAGCCTGTCCTTATACGAAATATCCAAGTAATGAAGAAGAGAAAAGTAGCCTCAACTTCTTAGTGCAACGATAAGCCTGTCCTTATACGAAATATCCAAGAAATGAAGAAGAGAAAAGTAGCCTCAACTTTTAGTGCAACGATAAGCCTGTCCTTATACGAAATATCCAAGAAATGAAGAAGAGAAAAGTAGCCTCAACTCTTAGTGCAACGATAAGCCTGTCCTTATACGAAATATCAAAGTAATGAAGAAGAGAAAAGTAGCCTCAACTTCTTAGTGCAACGATAAGCCTGTCCTTATACGAAATATCCAAGAAATGAAGAAGAGAAAAGTAGCCTCAACTTTTAGTGCAACGATAAGCCTGTCCTTATACGAAATATCCAAGAAATGAAGAAGAGAAAAGTAGCCTCAACTTCTTAGTGCAACGATAAGCCTGTCCTTATACGAAATATCCAAGTAATGAAGAAGAGAAAAGTAGCCTCAACTTCTTAGTGCAACGATAAGCCTGTCCTTATACGAAATATCCAAGAAATGAAGAAGAGAAAAGTAGCCTCAACTTCTTAGTGCAACGATAAGCCTGTCCTTATACGAAATATCAAAGTAATGAAGAAGAGAAAAGTAGCCTCAACTTCTAGTGCAACGATAAGCCTGTCCTTATACGAAATATCCAAGAAATGAAGAAGAGAAAAGTAGCCTCAACTTCTTAGTGCAACGATAAGCCTGTCCTTATACGAAATATCCAAGAAATGAAGAAGAGAAAAGTAGCCTCAACTTCTTAGTGCAACGATAAGCCTGTCCTTATACGAAATATCCAAGTAATGAAGAAGAGAAAAGTAGCCTCAACTTCTTAGTGCAACGATAAGCCTGTCCTTATACGAAATATCCAAGAAATGAAGAAGAGAAAAGTAGCCTCAACTTCTTAGTGCAACGATAAGCCTGTCCTTATACGAAATATCAAAGTAATGAAGAAGAGAAAAGTAGCCTCAACTTCTTAGTGCAACGATAAGCCTGTCCTTATACGAAATATCCAAGAAATGAAGAAGAGAAAAGTAGCCTCAACTTCTTAGTGCAACGATAAGCCTTTTCTACACGAAATATCCAAGAAATGAAGAAGAGAAAAGTAGCCTCAACTTCTTAAGTAATGACAGAATTGAGGAAAAGGAGAGAAAATGAATAAAAACTAAACAACTCATTGATAGACAGAATTGCACGAAACAAATATGAAATTGTTTAACATTCAACGTTACATAAAATCACTTACTCGACATGCTGAGATCTTTCGTTTCGCTAGTAACGTAACCACACTTCGGACAAGGTATATCTTCGCCACGTTTGTATTTCACTCCTTTACGACGCACGTGATCATCACAGAAACACAGCTAAGGATACCATGAGATATGGTGGATACAATGGGATATATATGTATACATAGTGTATGATTGACGTGAAGAAATAGAAACATAATGATTGGCACCAACCTTACAACGAAGACATGAATATTGTCCCAACTTGTTGCAAGAACAACCTAAGTAATTACATATGATGATGTTACAAAAACGAAGAGACAATAACATGAAATAAGAATAGGAAATAAGGGTGTGTGTGTGTGAGCACCAGTATTTTTGTGTCAGTTGACTACAGGGTTCTTTCTTCTTGTTCTTCTTTATTTAACAGCAAATAAAATGATGTTAACGTAAATTACAGAAACTTACATTTTAAATTTTCAGATTCCAACACCTGACATTTAGCTTGATGCTCAAACTGGTCATCTTCACACAGAAAATTGTTGCAAAATGAACATCTAAACAGGCGACCACCTTAATAGCACATGCAATAATATAAATCAGAGTGGAAATGAGGGAAATTGACCAATGAAGCTATGTTAACAGAATGAATCCTGGAAAATAACATAAGCAACACATATGTACACATTTTTCAACACCTATGACCAGAGGCGTAACTAAAACATTAATTGGGGGTGATTTGAATTTCAAAAGAAATCAGTAGGGCACAACTGAATATATGAATATACACCCCCCCCAATTGATGTTCTAGCTATGCCTCTGCCCATGACTCACCATGATCCCATATACCACGTTGGCATTCAATACAGTCACCATCTCGAGCAATGCATTGACATGCATGAGTTGTCAAACATTTCTTTGAATGACATACAAATGCCTCACAGAAATCACAAACTGCACCCTAAAATATCATAAAATTTTGTAAACAAATGTTTCTTAATGTTCAACATTAACAAAACTTAGGAAACTTTATAACTAACATGTGTATCTATGGATCAAAATAATAATCAGACATTCATGGTGTTCAGTTCCAAGTATTGTTTAACAGTAAATAAAAATAGTAAATATGTAGCTTACTATCATAGCCATGCCCACTGCATGTGAGTTGGGATGTTTCACTATACAATCCCCAGTTTTTGACATACATTTTGATTTACCTGGATGAAATGAAATACAACAACAAGATCATGTAATTCTATCGAGATCAGTTTAAACAAAGTCTCGAAGAAATTCCATACACAAAAGAGTACCTACCACATTCTGCACAAATTGGGATTTTCTGAATGGCAGAGCAAAAGTAACAGAATGCTCTATTTTTTTGTCTCCTACAATTTATAGATTATGAAATATTGGAGTTTTGAAAATGTTTGGAAACAGAAAAGTAAGTAAGTGCCCAAGCATATTATTAAAAATTGATTCAAGAAAACTGGTTTAAGAAAAGAATATTGTTATATAGACTGATATAATTTCCAGAAATGTATTTCTGGGTTCCAGTCCCCAAATGCTTGCTGCTTTTCCCCCCCAAATGTGCATTTCTGCCATTGGAAATACACATTTTAACCAAAAACAAATTTAGAAGTTGTTAAAAACTTTTTGACATCTATCAGAATCAATAAAACCCAAAAGAGATCATATGCACTTTCAATAGAAATTGTGAAAGAAAAAATAAAAGTTTGATAATACAAAATTTCAATGCATGCATGTACTTTATCCTATTTTCCATTACCATATAATTTCTTTAACTTACATCTTGCATTTGTCACATTCCTAGAAATAAATGTAATTTTTAGTACTTCACGAAAAACATTAGCAAGCTAGTTTGAAAAACCCACCAACCATTTGAAGATTGAAAGGTAACTCAACGATATTTCTAAATTGCTTTGAGCTCTTGATTTCTTTTTGCCTCTCGCGCTGCTTCTCGGCCTTTTTACGAGCACCTGTTTTCTTCTTTGGCATATTTGAATGTTGAAAAATTCAAGCCTCAACAAACTGAAAACGGTTAAAAAATTCAAGAAAATTTAGAAGAAATTTAAAAGATCAAAGCCGGCCATATTGTTTTTAAATGAGCCAGCGATATGAAGAAACAATGATGTTGCACGACATGGTGTAACTCTGATATAATAAATAAAAGATGAAAGAATGCCCTGGGAAAGGGAAGAGGTCCATTTGACGTCATCCTCAAGATTTCGGTCTCATCAGTCGATAGGAACACGTATGCTAACCTCAAAACTGAGGTTAATTTTGCGGTTTTCTTTTCATACTAAATAATGAATTTCATGCACACTAGAAACGAATAAGAAACAAGAACATTGTCTATTAGATGTTGAACATGAACCTGTTTTGTACAATACCAGAGAATGTGGGAAAACCTTTACAAAGAATCGATTTCAACTCTCGATATCAGGAGTACAACCGCCTTCCTTGCATCTCTCATCTCGACGACGGTAAGTAGGTAAAATCAACCCTTGTTATGGGCACACTCGACTGTAAAACAGGTAATATCACTGTTTTCAAGACAGACTAAGAAGTTTTCATAATAGGAAAATAAATGGAACAAGTCCAACGACCTAAAATAGATTTCTATCGTAGGTAATTGCGAGAGAACGTTAGAATCGGACAAGTTAAAAATCTAGTTAATTATACAGTAATGTCCACACACTTCAGAGTAAAGAGCAACGTCAAATTACACAGCAAAAATTGCCTAGTTCGCACAAACTTACAAAATATTATGTTCTTCAAACTTTCCAAGGCGAAATTTCGCCATGCATTCAGACTTTATTAGGGTAAAATAAACAGCAATAAATAATTTATTAAAAATTAATTTAACAACATCGGAAAGCGAAGCTCACGATGCAGACGAGATGAGATCGCCTTTTCGATTTCTAAATGTTTTATTTAAAAAATAGGTACGTTATTTTTAGACATTATTGGAAATAGTAATAACAATCCACCATCCAGTGTTGCAGTTCGATGGCATCTTGGGGCGCAGTTGATTCTGTTTGTCTCAATGCTAACTTCTGTTGGTATCGGAATTTTTGTTTTTGGTGAGTTCATTGAACGTTGTCACAAACACAACACCATAAAACAAAATTGATTTTTCATTGAATTTTTCTAGTGCTATCCCTCTCAGGAAACAGCAATACAGCTTTTGGTTTTGCCGTGAGTCCTTATTGCATGCATACATTTTAAAAAGAGTGACCAGCCGAAGGGTGTCAGACCAGTAATGTACGTTGTTTCTTAATGCAGTTCGATACTCTTTTGGACACAGCAACATCCATGATCGTTTTCTGGCGATTTTATGGTTCAGGTGGCTTGGAGGATAATTGGGATAGGGAAAAACAGTAAACACGCCCAATACTATTCATTAATAGCTTCGTTGATGACGTTCATAATCTTTCTTCGTTCGTTATTAAGGGCCTGCATAGGAATCAGCGTTTGTTTCATTATTTCTTCTTTTGGCATATTCTCACGTACGATGTACAAACTTTTACAAGACGAGATGCCAGAAAAGGTCGGTTTCACGGTGTTTAATATCCATCGACATCAATATCTAGCTTGGGAAATTATTTTGTAGATTTATCGTTTCTATTTAAATTACTTAATTTATTATTTACTTTCAGACACCTGGACTGTTGATTATATCCTGTCTTAGCTGTGTTGCTTTTGCAGTGATTTCCTGGTTCAAATTTGCCATTGGCAATGCAATACGTAGCATATCCATGAGAACGGACGGTAGGCATAAATTATCATCCTATTGTATCCACATATATTCATTTTGTTCATTCGTACAGCATTCAACTCGGCAACAACGTCCATAATGGCCCTAGGTTTATTGGCAAGCACGTTTGCTCAACATCAGAATGAACAAGTCTGGTTCCTTGATTCCATCATCGCCATAGTAATAGCACTCGTCATCTTTGTTTATGGATTGAGGTAAACGTGCCGCCTTTGAACACAAAATATTAACACAAGATGGATGATACACCGTTTGACATTTAACCTGAGAAAATTTGCTGTCCACTCTTTTGCTAAAAACAAAGTAATTTTCTCTTTCAGACTGTTAACAGATCTTCTTGTTGGCAACAGAAAAGAATGGACATTTATCGACTAAAGATCGCCATAAATAGTACATGTTGGGTAATTGCCATTTGACATCTTTCAATTGTGACAAGACAAAACAATTTTATTGAACTGGATTGCGTCAGAGATGGATCAGGGGGGAAGGTTCTTTAGTTTGGATTTGATCTCGGTGGCTGGTTTGTCGGTGTCGCCGTGCCTTATACCATGACTGGGAGGTATTTTATGGAAGTGTGCTCCATCAAATACAAATCAAATTTGTTTTTGTTTTATAGCTTGACATATCAATGTTTCGTAGGAAATTGGCATCCCTTTAGCGCAACTCTAGCCGACGCGCACCTTAGCAAATGCATCCTTATTTCTTGTTATCAGAATTCCGTCCACAAGTAAATAAAAAAATATGTTTATTACAAACTACTTCGTAATAACTTACATAAATTATCGGTGTTATAAAATAGGATCGAGGCGACACAATACTTGCCTCAAACATTGACTTCCACTTGGAATTAAAATTGAATATATTATATTAAAACAAACAGCATAGAGAATTAATTATTTATGTCAATCATTTGATGGCAGTCACCAAATGACGGAGAATTGCGAAAATATTTTGGTTTACATCGTGCCGATTGCATCAGTGTTAAAATAAGTTGTTCTGTGTTACCTTCGAGTAAGCTCGTGTAGTATTTTGTGTCGAGCATACTTCATAAGTGCAGATCGATGAATATATTTATTGCTGATTTGATAAATCGTACTTTCCTTTCCAAAATGGTCCTTTCTTTGGCTTCCTCGCGTCCTTTTTGTGGTCCTTTATTCTTTGTTTCTCTTGTTTCTCCATTTCGCCTCGCAATTCTTTAAGCTTCTTCTTCAAGATCTTCTGGTGTTTAGGTTGTACACCGAGAGTCTACCGCGATAAACAACCAGCATGCAGCAGTTGGAAAGAAAATTGAAAATGCAAATTGAACAAAGAACATTACCAACAAACCTACCACTCAATTGTGAAAGTGAAATACATTGTGCTTTACCTTAATTTGTGCAGTGTCCATCGTTAGCAGGCCATTTCCATTTATGCCATTCGAGGTAAACAGATCACAATATTCTCCTAATTCGATGAAAATAAGCCAATTGCTTACCTGCGACAAAACAAATATAAGATGTCATCACTACAGGGCAAGCTACAAAAACAGCGTTATCAAGAAGTTCGTTAACGTTTCTCAATAGGTAACCATAACACAAGGATGATTTACAGGTGACCATCGAAACATTTAAATAAAGATCAAAGACTCAAATGGAAAAAATCCGCCCTCACATGTTGTGCATTCCAATGGGTCAGCGGTAGGCTCTTCCACTCCGCCATAGGAGATTTTGTTTCATCCTGAAGAGAGCCAGAACTGGCCATCATCAGGGAATCATTTTCGTTCATACCATCCAAACTTGAGCCACTGGATAGTACTGTTGATTAATAGAATAAAATTATCACAACAACCGTTTCATCTCTATAACGAGAGATTCAAGGCATACATCGAACTAAAATTTACCTTGATTCGAAGATTTAGTTCGTGGATGATTCATTGGAATTCGATTAGCCATCGACGAAGCAAGAGACTGAAAGTAAAGATGTATAAAAAAATGTTATTTTTTCATATGTATATGAAATAATGGTTAGCCGCTGAAAGCTCCAGCTTTTTAAACGTCGCTGCACACTAGTACTGCGTTGAGCAATATGCTTACAACCATTCAATGACAGAGAAAAAAAAATACCTTCACATTTAAATCATTTGAAGAGCTACCACTCAGATTGTCTAAAGATCTGGATCTGGAGTCTTCTCTCATAATTTTTAGGTTTTTGTTGCGAGATAAGCCATTTTGTCCTTCTTTGTGTCTGCGATCATCCGACAACATAGCCAGCGGTTGTACTCTGGAAGACGTGTCTGGCTCGTCTTTGTCAGCGTAATAACTGGTCAGCGGTCGTCCTGGTCGTCTGGATTCCTGCTCAGAATCTTCTGCATATTCCCGAACTTTCTCCATTAGATCGTCGAGAGATTTGCTCTTTATCTACAAAAAAAGTGACTCTTATTGGCATGAAAACTTTTAAAGAACACACGGGAAATTTAGGATGGTTAATTCATGATATACGGAGAGAAAATATGGCTGTGAAAAATTAGTAAGTTCAAAAAACGAGTTTCAATCTTTCGACTAACAATGACAAAAGTAAGTTTGGTTTCTTGCAAGTTAAAACTTGATAATATGATAACTATCCATGAATATATTACGAACAATAAGCAAGCAGGAAGATTCGTGCAATGTGGAAGTTCAATGAACAAAGTTAACTGAACTATTCACTGACCTCAGCCTCTTTCTCCCGATCCAAATCAAGACTAAGACGCTGTGGGTGGTCACGTGACAACGCTGGTCTACCATCCCTAGCTTGCCTCATAGGCACCTGAGCCGATGCTGTAGCCTTCACAATTTCGTCCATGTCGCTTTCGCTCTCATGACTATTACTTGCCTCTAATTCCGAGTGGGACGGTCGAATATATTGATCAAATATACTGCTATCATCCTTGTTGCCTTGGCTTCGACTCATTTTCCGGTCGCTTTGATTGTTGAAAGACGCTTCAAGTTGTCTTATCTATGCAAAGAAATAGCTATAGCAAGGATAACATGCAAATTTAAGTGAGACAAAAACAAATGACTTTTCAATATCTAACCCTTTCTTGGAGTCGTTTTATCGTCTTCTCATTTTCCAACTCTAAATTGCTGTAACAAAATTACATTGTAAATACCCTATAACAGCATTATGTTGAAAACATTACAGAATTAATGTCAGAATTAATTCTATTTATTCAAAACTCCAATTACTGTTGTTACAAATCTTGGTTACATTGGAAGATGGCTACTGGCAGTAGGCAACAGTTGATTGTGCTATCGTGTAACATTATCAACATTGTCCATGGGGTATTTAAATCATACATGAATAGAAATACAGAAGCCTGACGATCTAATTCTACAGGTCTATATATTCAACAACGCATTCTATATTAAATATATATTAGATACGCACTTTTTCCTTATCAGTTCATCTTTTAAAGAGGCGTTCTTCTTCTGAACATTAGCATATAGTCTTTTGCTTTCCTCTAACTGTTTCACAAGATCATTATGTTCACGTTCGGCAACAGCTAGACTCTCCTCTGCTTTGAACAACCTCAATTCAAGCGTGGAAGTATTTGTATCACTTTCATCCAATGACGTATTTTCTGTCACCTACATTAAATCAAACGTGAAACGGCTATAAAATGTCGTCGATCCTTACAATTAAAAAAACAATTAAAAACAGTAATACATTAAAAACAATTCTATTTCACCTTGTTGACAAGTTTCTCAGCCTCAAGTTCACGAATTCTTTGTCTGGCCTGTAAAAAAATGCACCCACATTATACACACAGAACCCAAATTATACACACGGGATACAAGAAAATTTATTCAACCTCATTCAACTCCAGCTCAATTTCCTCGCATTTCATTTTGTATTTTTCGTCATCAACCTTGAAAAAAATTACATAATATACACATCAACTCGAAAGAAACAGATGCATAATGCTAATGATCCACAGTTAAATACTAAACTCACCTTATTTACATGACGCCCCTTTTCTCGGCCCATTAAAAACCTACATACATAAAGCATGTGATAATTCTGATATTTTGCTCTTGTAAAATATTTCGAAAAAGTGAAAACGAGAAGTTTCCATCAATTGCAATATGACTACGATGTTTTCTCTCTAGAGGTTTTGGGTAAAATATCTACACAACAAATACTGTCAACTCGCATCCTCGAAGATGCAATTACGAATACCTTAAATGATTCAATAAACGCCCCCCCTCGTATGTAATAAACGTGCCTTTGAAGCGTTTGTTTGTATTATAGACGTCTCTCTCTAATGGAGCGTCTTTAATAGAGGTCCCACCACAATACCATCGTGACAATATGGTTATAATAGTGAGTTATCTATTAGTCTCAGGAAACCTTATATTTAGTTTCAGTTTTTATTTGTTCACACTATGCTGAAAAAATTATATAAGTTATGTAAAAAACCTTCCTATTAAATGCTTCGCATCTAAAGACCCCCCCCTCCCCTCTAGAGCAGCTAGAATTTAATGAACAATTAATACCTCACGCGTTTATTACATCGTTTACGGTAACGATTTTTCCGTTTTTCCTACGTACAACAAAGCGAAATTCATTTTTCACTTTCCAAACAAAATTTACAAAAAGTCACCCAGGGAGAAGTTTCAATGGCTGATGCTAAATGCTAATCTTAACATTCCTAATGAACATACTTCACTGTTCCTTTGGTGTTCTTCAATGTTCGAGCTGCAAACATTTGTGAAACACCAACGAGAGAAACATCATCGACTTCCAAAATCTGATCATTCACCTCGATTCTGTCAAATAAATATAGCATATTTTCAGATACTACACCATTTATTGATATAGGTAAACACCAATTTATGAACCTTCCATCTGCTTCAGCAGCACCTCCTGATGTGAGAGATTTGACAAAAATTCCCAGCTTTTCAACACCAGAATCAGTTCCGACACCAAGACCAACAATGCTTAAACCCAGCCCACGCTGATCTGAATGATATAGAAATTTTCTTGCATTGGAAGTGAGAGAAATGACACACTAGCTTAAGTGCAGGTTACTTTGGTAGGAGAAACATAAACTTGGTTACATTACAGCAGGAAAGGAAATTTAACAGTTCTAAGTCTTTGTTAGTGAAAATACAAATAGCTTACCTCCTTTATCCAAATCAACAGAGAAAATGTCCATTTTTTCAACTCGTTTTTCCAACTCCCACTCGGCAGATGAACTAACAGGATCAATATCATCATTGCCTCTATCATAGTCTAGAGGATGATCAACCTCAAATACTGTGTGTGGGCTATCAGAAAATCTAACTCCACGTTTCTTTGGGGCCATTGTCGCCTCTGTCTCACTGTCAAGGTCATTTGAATGATTGACGGAATAATTAAACTGAAAGTCTGACTGATGTTCTGGAGTGGTCATACTACCAACATCACTGTCATCATAAGAGGATTCCGGAGCTTGATCATCTTGAGTTTCATCATCATAATCCTTAGGCATTAAATCATCAATGCTATTGTCTCTAGGCAACAACTTCTCATTGCTCACTTTTGTTTTCATTTCTTCATGGTCTGTTTGTTTCTCACTATTTAAATCCCCCTCACTATCTGTTGAGTACATTGGTGGTCGAAATGTCTCCCTGATATAGCGGGGAGTCATCTTTTGTTGGGGAGTATTCACTTCTGAGGTAACACCCTCTTGTTTTAAAAAGTTATTGTACAAAGATAAGTAATTATCAGCTTGATGGCTGCTGACATTTACTTGAGAATCTTCTGTTGTCGTTTCTGTGCCATTGGAAGTGACATTGCGACGTGGAGTAGTTGGACTAGCAAGAAAGTGAGAAACATTCATGGCATCTTCTGGTGCCAAATGATGATTTATGATAGATTCATTGGTGGCATTCTCTTGAGAGATACCATCTTGTTCTTTCTCATCTTTTACAGAACCTTCTTCAGATGATTGCGTTTTTTCATCATACTCTGCAGTTGACATTAAAGAGGGCCCATTCTCAACTGTTTTGGTATAGTTATCTCTAGTATCATTAGCTGCATGTATTGACTGTCTCTTTGTGGTTTCACGAAATGCTTCTGGTCCATCAAACATTTTCTTCAGCTCCTCAGTTGCATGGTATTTCTGAAGCATTTTAATAACTTTCTCGTCACTAATTTGATGATGTGAATCATCCAAATTATTTTCACTGCTAGAGTCATTGCTTGAGTCATCCTCACTAGAACTTTCTTTTGGTACAGCTCGAAGACTTAATCTCCATGCATGTTTGGCTTCCTCACGACTTAGCTTGATGCCTTGAAGAGATTGTTCTCTGTCACTGATAGCATCCCCATTTGAATTTGTCGACTGCACAGGGGCTGTGTGCACTCTAGTTCTATTAACGAAGCCAGTAGAATTTGTTATTGATCCGTGGTCAACGACATAGCTGGCATTACTATCAATATCTCCATGTTTGCTTCCTTCGTAACCTATGGCCGTCTTTGTTTTTACAGTTTCCTTGTCGGTGGCGAAAGTGTCTCTTGACGCAAGGTGATCAGTATTGCTTATCGTCGAGTGCACATTGCCCACACCACCAAACTCTCTTTTCTTAAGATTTACCGCTTTCTGTTCCGAATTCCCTGAATCGAACAGATCACGTAAGTCTTTCACACGTAGTCTTCGGTCAGAGCGATCATCTATATGAGAAGATAGTCTGTCTGCCCTAGCCACGCGTGACACAGCGCTAGAGTTTGTATTGTACATATTTGCTCGTACCGCAGTTTGTTTATCTGCAGGTAGAAGTTTGTTCTGTAAATTATTCAAACGACCAAAAGACACTACCTTTTCCTCTCGAAACATTGCATTGCTTTTAGAAACGTCGTTGAACTTTGACTGTCAGTTTGAAGAGGATTTTTACGACACAGTTTGTTTCTTTACTGACAATGTTTGTTTCCCTCTTGTTAAAAAGCGTCTCACTCAAGTTCAGCTGTTTTTCGCCCACCAAAGTTCATCTAATACAGTTTCGACTTCGTCCTGTTTTTTCCTGGTCGTCTGAGCATAATTTAAATTCGTGTCATTGTATTCATTGTGCCTTGACGTTAGCAAGCCATATTTCGACATTTAATTTTATACAGCAATTAATTTCAAATTTGGCATTTCAAAGCAGGACTACGTTTCATTAAGTATTTCATCAAATATAGCAGTCAAAAATCATTTCGGAAAAATTAGTTCAAAAATAAATGAAGATTACAATCGACAATAATTTCACAGGTTCAAAACACAGTCGAGAAAAGGCAATTATCACGTGATAGGTTCCCACCAATCCTTGGTCTGCAATGAGACTAAAGAATGTTCTTAATTTAACTCATTCTTTGTTAATTCATCTATTTAACGCATCAATTAGAAAAATAAGATGAACATTTTAACTACTTTCAGAACGTTGAAAATATAGAAGAAATATTGACTTTTCTTTGCATTTGGAATGAGCAAATCATTATAGCAAGTTATTACTAAGAAGGGTCGTCTAATTTAAAGCGTTGAAAATACAACAATCAGCAGTTGTGGTTGATAAGGGTCACAGATTACTCACAAAGTAAAGAAGAAAGAATGCGGCTTCAGGTGAAGAAATTAGAAAAATGCATTTGGAACAAATAGATAAACACCCAAGAATTTCCAACGGAAGTGAATGTGGTAACTCTGAGCGCATTCACAAAGCTCTAGAACGATCAGCTTTACAGCAATAAAAACAATTGATGATAACAATAATTGTTGTCTTAATGAAAATATGACAAATATAATTTACAATTTAGTCACACATCTCGCGAAGACGACAAATACGCAAAGACCATTGAAAAATAAAGAGAAAAATTCTTTTAATCGAATTAGCAATCAATGGATTTGACCAAAATTTAGATGTTGACAGTCGACAGCGAGCCAAGTATACATCAATTTTTATGAAATCACCGTCTATTATAGCTGTACATATTAGTCATTATTATTGGGTGTGACTGAGTAACATAAAAACTTGTTGTGCAATCATACAATGCATCTAAATTGTTCACTTTGTGTATGAAGTTTCCGAAAGTCAAGAAAGTATTGGTGATAAACAATTGCACTACTAACCCAAAAAATTATGCAAGTGGTCAGCTACATGTATGACTAAGGCACCCCCCACCCCTCACCTAAATAACTTGATGAACAATCTTTGACCCTTTGTAAATGTGCCATGAAAGCAGTCAGCCTCTCTCTGTACTACACCCGTCTCTCTCCGTCAAACATGCATCCAGCTGGGCTCCGGGACTATGAACCATTACGTTCAGCCCACCAAATTTTTCTTGCAAATATAGTTGCGTACATGAAGTAACGTCCAAGGAGGCCCATCATACCTCTCATACGGCTACACGTAATACGGCAAAATCTCGATCATTGTGTTTCGAGTGTGCCTGCTGCCGTAATATGTACAAAACATAGGTATTTGAAACTGATAAAGTTGAAATGGCAAAAAGAAAGTTTGAGGACGATGATAATCAACGAGAAAGAATTAAAAAACTTACTGTTAAAAAATCAGTACACTATGGACAGGTAACTGTCTATTATTTTCAACGAAGGCAAAGCTTTTGTTGTATTCCGTCTCTTGCGGGAGTCGCCCTCGGTATGAGTTCCACTCATTTCAACACAGAAAAAGTCCAAATAAACGACGAATTTTCCACCTTCAAAAAGCACCTTTACCGTCCAAATCACGAGAAAACCTACTGCGTAATTCTGGTGTAAGAAAATGCGACAAAAGAGAGTTAAAACTTGCTCGTGATATTCGACTGTCGCGATTGAACTGTGGCTGTAATTGTGGGGATTATTGCTTTCCTCAGACATGTAGTTGTTGCTTAAACGGTATTGAATGTCAAGTTGACGTCGGAAAATTTCCTTGTACCTGTCGACCTAACTGCTGTTTAAATGCCTACGGAAGACAAGAATATAACACAGACAAAATTCTAAAACATCGAACAGAAACGCTTGCCAGAAATAATTAACAAGAGCCAAGACAATAAGCCATACTATCAAAATAAAATTGCACATTTAAAAACAGAAATTATCCATACAATTAAAAGTTTGTACTTGTTCATCAATTGTTTGTTATTTAAAAATTATTGATGAGATTTTATGAAACATTTTGTCACGTAAAGGATTCCATAACTTCTATAATTACGTCGCGGGTTTTCCCCTGAGTGAATTCAACTAGTTCCAGGCCAGGACGAGGTTTATGTAAATCAAAAAAGTTTTGCTAGACATTATATGAAATGAAAGTCAATGGGTATTGGGCTCTAGTTAAGCATTTCTAACAGTCAAAAAACAGCAAGATGAGCAAGATACGATGTCTCCAATTCTAAAAAAAATATTTTCTTTATCATGAACTGCATTCTAGCAAATTTAGAGAGCATGTAATCTCATGATGAAGCAGCACCTTACCCGAAACATTCTTTGTTAATTTAAGCCAAGATAAAAGCCAAGTTTTTGAATCACCATTTGAAAATTTTGTTGCATCTAGCCCTCGTGCATGACATGCCTAAGTATGATGATATAAAAAATAAAGAGCCTTAATATTAGTTGATATTGCACAGAATAGTTTTTAAAATGTAACTTTCCTTATCAATCTCTTCCTTATTAAGATTTTCAATTCCTTCCCGAGTCAAAGCAATGTCATCTAAATGCAATAACCACATTTCCTTTGCAAGATTTTTCCGCAGCATAAATGTAGGCCACCAACTCCTCATGAGAAAAAATGTGCAAAGAAGTTTCTAAAATAGATGTTGGAAATATTTCATTCAATTTGCCCAGTTTAAGTAATATGAAAACATACATACATACCAAATGCCCTCGATCAAGATTCTGAAGGGTAAATTTTCCTCTAGAAAATACGAAGAAGTTTTTTTCAAGTAGTGAACTGTTGATCTAAAAAAGTTAACATAGCTGTAAAATGATGTCCTTTCGTAGTAACTTATCATGAAAATGGAACACCTGAAGGATGATGCCTTCATCACTTACAGCATTTTCATCAATTGATTCCCCAAATTCTTGGTGTTCTTTACATTTATCCTTTAAGATTTTCAAGATCTTTGTCCGGCACATTTTCCTCTCCTCCGCATCAATTACAAGATATTTCTCTTTTTGCTTTTCTGTCCAGAAATGACTTGAGAGAAATTGTCGAGGCCTCATAAATCTAATGTAAGGAAGCATTGCGAGCTGCAGCTAATTGTGGGAATCTGTGATGTCATCAAATCTACCATAAGAGCAGCGTACTCACCCAATGAGAGGACCAAGATAACCAATGATTGGAATTAGTGATAACACTACTATTGGCAAAGTCTTTTTTAGATTTTTTCGAGTCTAGACAACAGTGAAATATTGAAATGCCTCTTTGGATACACAGTATTTGATCAAATTTTAACTTACCTCGATCATTTTTGACAATTCTTTTCTTTCCAAGGAAGTATAGTCCCAACTATTTGTACGCAACTTTCTTTGAACTTTCAAAGTTATTTTGACATCTTCGTACAAACTCTTTCCACCCAAGAAAAACTCGCGCAAAAGAATTCTTATCTCACGAAACTTTCCGACGATTTTGCCTTTACTTGTACTGTTGAACCGTGAGGACAAGTAAACTACCTTATTTCTCTCTGATTGTAAGTAAGAATGGTGGGTGTGTTTATTAGCTCCCGGCAAGATAAGGCACGTCCCATTGTTTGCTTTTGATGCACCATAAATAGAGGCAAAGTCAAAAGTGAGATGTAAGGCTTTCCTGCTCGATAGGCTGGCGCAATTTAAGGCAATAAATTTACGAATTGTGACAACCATTGTTCTTGCCTTCTTGGGTAAAGCAGTCCGCTGGCCTCAAGACAGTTTTCTTGTTAACTTCGTTTTGGTTGCTTTATGATATCAACTCAATCTCGACAAACTCATGATTGTTTGTTTGTCAAAAAGACTCGATTCGGTTATACAATCTGTATTTCGTGAGTATAATTTACCAGAATGAACTGTAATAGTAACACGTGCTACACATTCTATATCATCCTCCCTGTCCTTTGCAAATCTACTACTAGTTCCAGTCTTTAGCATGACATGTCGAGCGGAATTGAAACAATATGGCCGACGTTTACGAAATGGACTGAATAAGAACGACAGTACAAGGTTCTTCTCCAGAAACCCAGGTTTTAAAAACACCTCGTCAATTTTTTAACTATCAGTTTAACTAGCAGTAATGAAAAGCGTTAAGCAATTGTTAAGGGACCGTAATGTTAATGGCAGTATTTCACTTAAGATTAATTTATATACGTCCTCGAACAACACCACGAGAAAGTGGATTTGTCCTAATAAAATATCGAAAAACCAAAACAAGCTGACCGAAAGTCTCACGGAAAAGCTGAATTTTTTAACAAACCAGTTTGATACAATACTCGGTATTTCCGAAGTTCGCAGCGCACAAAATCACGTTGAAACAGCCGAAAATGAGTTCATGGACTGCAGAAGGAAGGTACAAATGGTAAGAAATGAGCTTCTTCGAGAACAGAACAAGCTGAGATACATCAGGAGTAAATTAGATCGTACCCCCCGGGAAGACGAACAATATCTACAGCTAGCGACTGAGGAACATAAAGCTTTGGTCACCGAAAGGAAGGCAAAGTTTGATTTGGAAATCTTGGAACATGCCGAAAGAGATAAGTTTTCTGCGTTTTCCACTTCGGTGAGATCAGCGCACGAGAAGGAAAGGAGTCGTGTCGAGAGAACTAAATACTGGTCTATTATTGCTTCAGCTTGCGGAGCTGTATTTGGTGCGTTACGAGTGTGGGTGGGTGAGGACGGGGGAGGGGAATCATGAGGATTAAACGTAGGATATAAGTTTGTTTAAATGTTCCTGTTTGCTATTTCTTAGGCATCCTGGGCTCCACCCTGCTCAACATAAAACGAATGAAGCAAATACGTGTCACAATCAAAGAAAATAACGACGCTTTTATTGCAAAGACTTTTGACGAGCTGAAAACGCTTTTCACGTCACAAATTTTGGTCGACATTCCAAGAAAAGATTTGCAAGACAAAGATCAAAGACAATTAATGGAAATGCTCAATGAAAACAGGAAAATTTTGGCAACGATTAAGGAGAAAATGAAAATACATTTTACTCCGGAATCAAGCTTGAACGTAAAGGAAAATTCAAATATTTATGAAGCATATCAACAACTTAGCCTAGATGTCGACGACATCTCCTGGTGGTCCAAAGTTGATTTAATTGCAACAGTTACTTGTACAGCGTGCATTATAATATATATGGTGTATAAATGAGGATAAATGAGTGTATCTGGATTTATAAAACTGACTTACGAAAAAAGATTCATTACTCAAAAAATATACTGAACTGAAAGAGTCAATAATTATAACTTATTCTTTGGGCATGGCAGACATGAAAACGGATTAACGAGGACACAGTCTACTTTGATGGGTAATTATGACACATGATTAGGAAAATATCTGTCGAATAATATGTAAATAAACATAGTGTGTGTTATTAATGAACGGTGAGGTAGGTCCGAAAAGTTTTATGGTGGAAATAAATCATATTAACGAGCATTTTGCATAAATTTTAAGTAAGAATACCGATGAATTTGAAAACTTGCGCAATTGCTTTTCTCAAAAAGTTCGATCTTTTTCTAAAGTTGACATTTCAGTTCTATGTGAAATAAAATAATCGTCAGAAGAAAACTCTGCGACGTCTGTAAATAAACAAACAAATAATTCATTAAACTTCCACGTTAAAAGCAAAAAAACCCAAGCTACTTCTCGCTATTTACGAAAATAAAAATGGGGAAATGTTTCAACTTTATACGGTAGAACCCATTTTACAAAGACGAAAAAGTTCTTTTTGTTAATTTGCTGGCTCTGAACAGATGGATGGCAGACGATGAATTCATGTTCGTGGTTTCTCCTTCCTGATCGTAATAATGATCAAATAACCAATGAGTGAAGGTCTTGGTATACCTTCTGTATAGATGAAATAAACGAACATCACCCGTGTAATTCACAATACTTGAATTCACGCGTCTTGTCGTTAGTCATTTATGAAAGAAACCTCTGCGTCTTTCACCCATCAAAGTAAGTGTTGGTTGGTTAAGCATGCAGTATACTACTATACTTCTCTAGTCTCTTGTAAATTTTAGATTATGATGTTCAATCAAAGCAACAATTTGTCAGTTACGTCTTACTTATTGAATAAACCGAGTGTGTCGAATGTTCCTAAATAGTTCTATAAAGAGCAAACGATTATTCACTCCTTCTCACAAACGACAAACATCGAATCTCAGACTTAGTTTCCTACACAACATCGCAGAACTCCAACTTACAACATTCTGATTTCTTTCTTTATCATGTTAAGATGCAATCTTTGACAGCATTGGTCTTCATTTTATGGTATTTGTCAAACAATCTGGTTGCCACAGTATCATTCCTTCCACCATATAAAGTTTTGAAAGAACGACAAGAGAACACGAGGCCCACCATATTTATAAAGAAGACCCACCTGAGACATGACTGGTGTAAAACACGCGTTTTGACACAGGTCGTTCGAAGTGATGGATGTCGATCATTAAAAGTGCACAATAACTACTGCTTTGGGCAGTGTAACTCTGTTTATATTCCTCTTTCGGGGGACAAAACTTCCTTCGAGTCCTGTGCAGTTTGTACACCCAAGCTAGTTTTCTATAAGGTCGTCACGCTAAAATGCCCACGAAAGTCGGTGAAATACAAGCGTAAGAAGATTCAGTACATAAAGAGATGTCGATGCACAGCGGCTAAACTCACCGCACTTAACGACCGAGAAAAGCTGATGACAGAGGAACAGTAAAATATGCACATTTAAACAACATACAGAACTCTGAAAATAGATGCTTGCAGTAACAGTAGTGTATAGTAAAAACTGCAATAAATTAAAACACGAAAGTCTTGTTTTGTGCCGAGTTTCTGAGTGAAAACAACAATTGTGTTAGTGACAAAACACCACATGATTCATCCATCAGTTTTGGATTCATGTTTTGGAACATTTTTAGATTACACGGGATTTCACAATTCATCGAATTTTTTTAAATTATCAGTTCAGTAATATGATGACTGGATTTATAAAAGTTTTAAAAGTATAAAAGTTTGATTTTTGCCTTTATTGCAATTCAAGAAAGTAATACTTCCTACTAAATGGACTCTACATACATAGGGATAGACGCTACATCGACAGGTCACTGATAAAATTTGATAAATTGATTGTCTCGTATTGGGAGCCAAACTTAAAACTCCGGTTGGACAACGCCAACTCTTAGTTGCTCTGTTTGTTTGAAACTTGTCATTACCCATTGTTTTATATAGGCAGATAATATTGTCATTATCTACATTACTCATCAGTGCTGAAATAACATACTTTACAGTTATACTACTACAGAGGTGAACAACTAGATAAAATGTATGCGTACACACGTGCTGCGAAAAGAGAAATAAGTGATATCTCTCGTTTGTAGCATGAAACTCGTCATTTTCTTCCTTTGAAAAGAATTGTTTTCGCCCTATGTGAACATTACAAGGCTCCACCTCTCCAATTATAAAGCAGGCTGCGTCGCTAATATTGAACATCTGCCTAAATATTGAAGCTTCATCACAATGAGAGAAATAATTAAAAAAACAACGAGTTGGTGGGGTCGGTTTTTCTTTTCTTGATATCTTTTAATCTTGCAAATCATTTTCTGGTTTTCGATTTGCTCGAATCTAAGATGAGCTTTCCACGCAACTTTGATTCATTTTTTGAGAAGTTTATCATAAATCTTTAACTTTTCAAAAATAAGGCCGTTAGCAATTATCTCCTACATCAAAACTTGTATCGATTATGTCCAAATAATAATCGCCCAAATAAAATATTCAGTTGCTTGCTCTTTTTCTGTCTACTTTTTGTCAATTGACGCCTTAGAAACAGGAATCATGTTTTTAAAACTATTAAAATTTAAATCATAATTCAACGATGTAGACTCGTTTATCAAAGTAAATTTTTTGTGATTTTTAATTCCTCACACAACAAAGTTCCTCAAACATAATCATCTTTCCTGAGCTGTATAATCACGACTTCATCAATCAAATTTCTCAAACATGTCAGAGCACTTAATGCGGTCTCGAAAGCTGATACATCAAGTATACAACAGCTTATGAAACAATGATTTACCTAAGTCTGAATGTTGACCCGTGTTTGTGTGCGTGTTGTCCCTTCAAGCTCTGGCTCACGGGGGGAAATAACCGAGAGGCGACATTTCAGAGCGTTGAAAAAAGCAGGTCCTATCTTTCGATCAAAAGCACAATATATAAATGGCGTAAGAAGTTCGCTCGTGAACGACGAATAAAGAGCTGTAACATAAATTCGACTCGTTCGAGAAACACTTTCAACCTCTTTGAACAAACGCACACCGTATACGAGGATAAGTGGCATCCAACAGATAAGGAATACTGTGGCAACGATGACAGATACACGGGAACCGTGTATCGCAGCAATATGAAAAGTTTGTCCTGTTTGTTGGGACAGCACCACGTCTGCTCGCTTTTTGCGTTGATACAGTTTAATAACAATGCGCATGTACATGAACATGATGAGGAACCAGGGAATCAAAAACATGGTTAACAATCCAACAGTAAGGACGAGTTTGTCTAACCACAACCATGGCAACGATCGAGACGTGCATATTTTCTCTTTCAAATGTAACATGTAGAGAGAAGGCAAACAGATGATAAAAGGAAAACACCATGAAAAGAAAACTAATTTTTTTGCAGTCTTTAATTTCATTTGGGGTTTCAAAGGTTGCACGACACTACGGTAGCGCTCGAGGGCGATGAACACATGACTGAAAATATTCACTCCAAACAAACTTATTTCCAAATACTCGATGGTTTTGCAAGCCACTTCACCAAACATCCACTTGTGTGTTAGCTCCTCGGAAACTTCAAATGTCATCACGAACAAAGTAGACAACACGTCCGCCACACAGATATTACAAATAAATACATAGAGAGGTTTTGATAACAGTTGGGGAAGACGACGAAAGATCACGGCGAGTACCAAACAATTCCCAAGGAAAGTAAAAAGAATCAACGATGACAGTCCAAGTGCCTTAAATCCTTCCTCTACATCAGCCATTGATAAGATTTTTATCGCTTACCTTAATGGTAATGTATCATTTCCAATGAAATAAGTTCAATAATAGAAACTATATGAAACCTTCCGTATATGTTGAAGCGAATCCTTTATGTATATGTGCATCTTGGTTATGAATACAATCGACATTTAAGCAATAGTTGTTTTCCCACAGTTATGAATTGACAAATGTTTCGTTATGACAACTATCCGCACCAAATTATGTCTAATGATCGAGCTACAAAGCAACAAAGCAACCTTCAGCTTTGCCGTGTTTGTTTAGGATATGCAGCTAGCAGGTGATGGCAGTAGCAGCTTGAAAATTGCTCATGGAAAGTTTTTCGATTTCCAATGTATACATTATTCACGAACAAAAATCAGGCTGCAAACGAAAATCTTCCTGAATTAAACACTATGCTGTTATTTACAGGCAGAAATGCTTCAAGCCTTGTCAGAAGTTTTTATCGTCACAGACTGTTTGAACGTCCAACAGAAAAATACGTAGGTTTATGATATGACTCTATGCACTTCACACGTGATCATATTTGAATCAATTGAGTGTTCATCGTTTCCCATATCCTTATACAAACAGACGGTAACAACGCACATATTACTTAAACAAATACGCAATATCTTACTATTGACATGCGAAGGCAATTTAGACATTCTTAATTTAAGCTATAGCACAGTTATAAGGAAAAAACGGTATATCTTCCCCATGAAATTTTTTGTTCAACGCATAACACGATTTACACGAGCAACTCGTCACGAAATTCGTTGTAACTACGTTAAACGATTGTGTGGTTTACGCAGGCGAGTATACCAAAGCAGCAGCATAATAATTTCTGAAATAATTTAGGAAATGAAATGTTTGACAGTTATTGTGAAGATGCAGTGTATTATTCAGTATATCATTCAGTACGGTTGGTGATATTATGTACTTCATACAGCAAAGATGCAAGCGAAAGTTCCATTAACATTGACTTTTAATAACATTAACTTAATTAGGTAAATTGTTATGCTGGTGGTTGTGTAAAATTTTAATGCCATTATTGCTGTTTATGAATGCAAAGCTACAACAAATACTTTCTAAAGTGTTTATGACACCAAATTTTGAGATAGTGTGTTCTGTTTTGCTTGCTGAGGCAATTTAAAATGACTTCAATAGAATGGTCTCGCTGTTTTTGGACATATGAAACTTTTCTTCAATGTGCAAATGACATCTTAATGTCATCACGTTGCATAGTAAGCAGTGAAAAATAGTAGTTTATGATTAGCCATTTGTTAGACTTTCTTTTCTTTTCATGATTGTGGTAATGGTCTTTCGTTCATGGAAAAACCACAATTATCGTTGTTCTCGGTATTATTGAAACAATGGAAGATCTTTAGAAATGAAGGTGCAAGATTTTTATCAAGCACACAGTATAGTATAGGAACAAGAGCATCATTCAAGAATGCCATGTACATTGCAGCAGCGTACAAGGCATCCGTGCGGTCAGTGTTCACATTTTCGCGCACAAGACGATTGAAGCCTTTTACAACAACTGGAATCCAACAAACTGAAAATACAACAACGACAGCGATAGACACACGTACCCCTCTCATGACTGCGCGGATTGTGTTTAAGGCGGCCCTGACAGAGCCCAGACCAACCGTCTGTCGCTTACGACGATTCAATGTTGTGATGATACTGCCATAGAGAAATAGCAATAAAGCAAATGGGATGATAAAGAAAACTGTAAGATCAAAGACGCTGTACAGTTTATCCAACCAATCCCACGGAAGGTGGATCAAACTACAAATTCTCATGTCGTTCTTTACGTTGTGAACTTCAAAAGAAAAGATGAGCGGGATCGAGATGATGAAGGAAAACATCCACATAAATAATATAATATAAAGTGCCATATGTTTGGTCATCTGAACTTGAGGCTTGAAAGCCAACACGACGTTCACATAGCGTTCACACGCTATTGCAACATGGGTTAGAACGGTAACACGAAACAAGGCACGCTGCGAGTACTCGACCATAACACATACAACGTTGCCGAAAACCCAATCTTCCATGAACTCATCGACGGTTTTCAAGGCCATAGAACATACAACGACGGCAATATCGGCCACACAAATGTTAAAAATGAAGATGTAGAGGGGACGCATGAGAAGATGACGCTCATGTTTATGAAGAATATGGAGACAACGAACATTACCAAATAACGTTGCGATAAGAATTATCGTCAGTAAAACACCTGTCCATGTAAGGGAAGTCATGACTCCTTCACAACCGTGACTCGTTTAAGATCTTTGCACAATATTGATGCATTTAACTTTACCAAATTTGTCCATAATTGACAGAAAATTATCATAAACAAATATAAAAAAAAATGTAATGCTTAATGCTCACAAAGTGCATTTTTAGAAAGGCGCGAACAGAAAAATAAAAACATAAAGAAAATAAAAGTTCACCGTTTCATCCTATGATGAACGATGCATTTTAATTTCATTTTAATTAGTGATCTATGATAAGAAATCATACAAGTTCATCCAATTACGACCAAATTATTGCATTCGTAACTTTCACGACGAATTAACCTGTGCTGACACCATGAGTATTCATGTATCCATTGTTGTAATCACGTGATCACTACCATTCCTATTTTATTCGTACTGATTGGACAAAAAATCTCGATTCACCAATGAAAATTCCAATCCATAAATTTACCCATTAAATTCATTGGGAGGTACACCAGAGCATCCCAAATTCGATACTTTAAATAGGGACCCGGCAAGTGGTTCTTTCTTTACTCTGTCTTCGCCAAGACATTCTCTACAAAGATAATCAATACAAAGAAAACACATCAACCACGATATCTAAAATTTATACATTGTTAGAGCATTAGAGAGTTTTTTATCCAAACCAAAGATGCAAACGTGCCATTTGTTAGTGAGTATTGAGATATCTCTCACAACAAAGATGCAAACGTGCCAATTGTTAGTGAGTATTGAGATATCTCCCACAACCAAAGATGCAAATGTGCCATTTGTTAGTGAGTATTGAGATATCTCCCACAACCAAAGATGCAAATGTGCCATTTGTTAGTGAGTATTGAGATATCTCCCACAACCAAAGATGCAAACGTGCCATTTGTTAGTGAGTATTGAGATGTCTCAGGCAGCCAAAGATGCAAATGTGCCATTTGTTAGTGAGTATTGAGATATCTCCCACAACCAAAGATGCAAATGTGCCATTTGTTAGTGAGTATTGAGATATCTACAACAACCAAAGATGCAAACGTGCCATTTGTTAGTGAGTATTGAGATATCTCCCACAACTAAAGATGCAAATGTGCCATTTGTTAGTGAGTATTGAGATATCTCCCACAACCAAAGATGCAAATGTGCCATTTGTTAGTGAGTATTGAGATATCTCCCACAACTAAAGATGCAAATGTGCCATTTGTTAGTGAGTATTGAGATATCTCCCACAACCAAAGATGCAAATGTGCCATTTGTTAGTGAGTATTGAGATGTCTCAGGCAACCAAAGATGCAAACGTGCCATTTGTTAGTGAGTATTGAGATATCTACAACAACCAAAGATGCAAATGTGCCATTTGTTAGTGAGTATTGAGATATCTCCCACAACCAAAGATGCAAATGTGCCATTTGTTAGTGAGTATTGAGATATCTCTCACAACCAAAGATGCAAACGTGCCATTTGTTAGTGAGTATTGAGATATCTCCCACAACCAAAGATGCAAACGTACCATTTGTTAGTGAGTATTGAGATATCTCCCACAACCAAAGATGCAAACGTGCCATTTATTAGTGAGTATTGAGATATCTTCCACAACCAAAGATGCAAACGTGCCATTTGTTAGTGAGTATTGAGATGTCTCAGGCAACCAAAGATGCAAACGTGCCATTTGTTAGTGAGTATTGAGATGTCTCAGGCAACCAAAGATGCAAACGTGCCATTTGTTAGTGAGTATTGAGATATCTCCCACAACCAAAGATGCAAATGTGCCTTTTGTTAGTGAGTATTGAGATATCTCTCACAACCAAAGATGCAAATGTGCCTTTTGTTAGTGAGTATTGAGATATCTCCCACAACCAAAGATGCAAATGTGCCTTTTGTTAGTGAGTATTGAGATATCTCCCACAACCAAAGATGCAAATGTGCCTTTTGTTAGTGAGTATTGAGATATCTCCCACAACCAAAGATGCAAACGTACCATTTATTAGTGAGTATTGAGATATCTCCCACAACCAAAGATGCAAACGTGCCATTTGTTAGTGAGTATTGAGATATCTCCCACAACCAAAGATGCAAACGTGCCATTTGTTAGTGAGTATTGAGATGTCTCAGGCAACCAAAGATGCAAACGTGCCATTTGTTAGTGAATATTGAGATATCTCAGGCAACCAAAGATGCAAACGTGCCATTTGTTAGTGACTATTGAGATGTCTCCCACAACCAAAGATGCAAACGTGCCATTTGTTAGTGACTATTGAGATGTCTCAGGCAACCAAAGATGCAAATGTGCCATTTGTTAGTGAGTATTGAGATATCTCCCACAACCAAAGATGCAAATGTGCCATTTGTTAGTGAGTATTGAGATATCTCTCACAACCAAAGATGCAAATGTGCCATTTGTTAGTGAGTATTGAGATATCTCCCACAACCAAAGATGCAAATGTGCCATTTGTTAGTGAGTATTGAGATATCTCTCACAACCAAAGATGCAAACGTGCCATTTGTTAGTGAGTATTGAGATGTCTCAGGCAACCAAAGATGTAAACATGTTATCTGTTGGTTGAATATTGAGATATCTCCCACAACCAAAGATGCAAACGCGTCATTTTTTGGACGAATAAAGAGTTTCCATCCATAACCAACGATGTGGTTCTTATTGCGGTCGTTCCACCTATATTATCCTTTGCGTCCATCAAACTACGGTAGCCGCTTAAAGATGCAAGCAAATTTCTTACGAAATACGTTTCACCGTCGGCAAAATCCACGGGTAGAACTACGTCAGAACTACTTTTCGAGATATTTTCGGCCAAATGATAGAAAAACTTTTGCAAACAGCCTGCGCCCTTCAATGCTTAACGTTATGTAGCAAAGATATGAGAGCCGAGGATACCAAAATGATGGAAGTTGACATTTGTACTTCAATGAAGCTAAAAAATTCAATTCTTACCTTGCTGAAGTGACATATAGCTCATCAAGATTAGATCCTCCCCAACAACACGATGTGAGCTTAGTAACAGGAAGTGTGACGGACATTAGGACGGAACCATCTTTTGGGTCGTAGCGTACAACCTGAGAAAGATTTTTTAGAATTATGATTGGAATTCATTCAAAGAATTGAGTGGTAAGCGTGTTAAACACAACAATACACACCTTTGAAGTATCATACACAGCTACCCACAGTTTATCTTCGCTATCCACACACATACCATCAGGCCACTAAAAACACACACAGAAAATTCTCCAAGTTTCAGCTTCCTTTAAGTGTATGTAGTAATCCTTATGTAATATTGCCAGTATGCAGAACATATCCTGTTTATACTACAGATAAACAAATAACATACTCCTTCATCAAATTCAACAACAGTCCTCTTGTTTGTTATGGAAGCAGAGTGCAGGTCAAAATCAAAGCCATACAACTTCCTAAAGGAGTCGTTTGATAAAACAAATAATGTCATCAAGATAAACATAAACTCACAATGCAAAAATTATAAATCTCCACACTTTTGCTACAAGTGATCATCGAGCAAAGCAACTACCGCTAATCAGATTGGCCTATGCATAATTGCAATGGCAGATCCAATGGCAAAATGCATGGAGTGCACACACCTGCTCAACTAGGATAGTTTGTTGATAATTTGATAGCATTTACATGAGGATGTTATTGCAATTTAACATTTTCAAATAAGTCAACCCTTCCCCTGAATGATTTTATTCTGTTGCTTTCTTGATTAATATGAGATCAAGTACATCAAGTAAAATATTTAATAGGAAGAAAGTAAAACAAAATAACGTATTATATATGTATGACAAATAACTATATTTGTACAAATATCAAAGCTTCAACAATATTATCAAAATCATACAGATTTTACCTGTCTAGTGTATCAATAAAATACATAGTTTTGCTATCAGCTGACCATCCCATTCCATTGGATAATGAATACTGTAATGGATATTCGGTTATATCAATACTAACAAAATTTCATATCAATAAAATTTCAAAGCCAATTTCTATATACTGGAGTTGATTTAGCTTCCACAGTACCAGAAATGCCATCCAGGCAAAACTAAATTAAAAAATATAAATTCATTTGGCATTACAGGTAGGTATGAATCTATGAAAGTTATATATCGGATTTTAACTTACAATTGAACCTTGATAAGGAACAACATGTGTTGGAACAGGCTCTGGGCCCATGGTACCTTAAGATAATAACATCATATCAAAATTTTTATATCACGCCAGTCCATTCATGATAAAAATGTTAGACTGTTTTAATTACCTGCCCAATACCTACCAGCCTAAGAAAAAGTAAAAAAAAACATTAAGATGATGAAGAAATATAACAAAAGAATACCAGTTAAGTGAGCATATACAAACATTAAAATAAATCATGTGTATTACAAATGATTTAAACTTGCATCAAAATAAAATTTCTTAGAATCCTTTCAATACTAATTTTTTTCTTCTTATAAATAATGCTGATACTGGACAAAACTTTGTTTTAACTAGCTTAGCAAAGGGGATAGGTATGAATTATGAAAAAAGGGAGGAAAGTTACCAAGGATATATTTACTTATCCAGCTGTTTAATTGTCATGAAAAGGGAGTGAAATGGTCCTTTTTATATCTCCCCCCTGTTAGAAGATGGTTTTCTATACTCACAGGATCGCACTTTCCATCATTGAACCTATTGCCTGGTTTGTCATCTAAAAATAGTAAGTTGTTAGCACCAAATGACCAAACATAGTGTACAACTGAAAAGTAAAGTCTACTTTTTACCATCAACAGTCTTAGTCACTTCAAGCTTTCCAGTCTATAAGCACATATAAACAATGATTAAATCAAATGAAACAAAATTTTACAAAGATTCGACATTACCTCTATATCAAGGAAAGCAAAATGTCTATCATACGTGACGGCCAAAGACGATGTTATATTTTCACGCGTTATAACTGCATAAATTAAAAGTGAATTCTTGGATATTGGGGCTTGTCATTTACTTCAGAATACAAAAGGAACAAACAAATACCAGAAGTCGCGGAGACATCCAATGCTATTGCGTGGTCCTAAAATCAATGGAAAAAATATTCGGGGAGTACAAATCGCAGCACGAGAAAAATACTTTAGTGATTGATGTCACCGATCGAAGAATAAATAAATGTAAAACCCAAACCCTTAACTTATTACACATGAATGAGTCCGGTTGACCTGAACAGAAGAACTTATCACCTTTGAACAGAAAAATTAACTTAGCATCTTTTAAAGTCTTTGTCCTATATATTATACCTATTATTGATAATTACCTAGCAAAGGTTTCTCCCCTACATAATAATTTTCTCCTCGATTTTCAAGGAGATATTCGACTTACACTTCCGGAAATGGGATCATAAATGTGGAGAGTTTTGCCATTATTCCCCGATCTGTCAAGAATATCTAGCCAAAATAGTCGCTGGTTTTTTACATCCCAATGAGGTCCTTCACCAAGACCGACTTTGTATCCACTAGCATCAAACGCACATTCGACTTTCGCCATATTGACTGGCTTAGACAGGATAGGACCAGTCCAAGTACAATTATAACCAATGAAAATCACGATTTTATCCCAAGCGATACTTTCCGGTGATTGCTGTGAGCCTTTTCAATTGGTTGAAGAGAAACTACACATTTCCACCTATATTACAAGGTACCGTGAAACAGATTTTTTTTTATTCTTCACATTTTTTCTTTGTAAGACAATACCGTTTTTTCTGCATTAAATTGCGACGAAATCCCGAGATAAAAATAAAGTAAAATGAGAGAACTTTGCATGGTGAACCGCTTTCGTACATATGATAACGAAACAATTACGATTTTTACGTCTGCAAACAATTGTTAAATGAGCAGTAAATTGAAATCATCTGTTAGAAAATACATCCATCAAATAAGCAACCTCTGAATGGACTGCGATAAGTGAAGAAATACAACAAATCAATTTGGAGTGATGGTTAATTTATCTTATATCCGATTATCATCACATTCTTCCAATCTTGGGTCTTCACAAACTGACAATGTCAAAAAAGTTTAAATTGAAAAATGAAACTCGAGCGTACATCCTTGTCAGTTACAGGAATGTCGAAAGAATGCATCAACACCATTGCATTTCAAACAATTGGTTCACAAATCGAAGAATTTTTAAAGTTTGCGTTCATTACGTACATCCTCATCCAGCAGACTGTCTTGCTTCACAACATGAATGGCAACGATGGCAACTGGTGTTTAAGTCGAGCCATGCATCGTATTCTCGGGGGCGCGGTAATTAATGCCGTGATTCAATCAACGCAACAAAAGTATTTGTAGCGCGACGAATGAAAAGCACGGAGAGCGACTGGAAAAACCGAATTATTTATAGAGCTGCCTTAAATGGCTTTCATATGCGGGCGAATGAGATGTTCAGATAACTACAAAGTAGATAGCTTGGAGAATATGCTTGTGTCAAAAAAGACGACTAACAACGTAATGGTATAATTCATGAACCGTCAGCAGAAAATACATTTTGAGTTAAATAGCTTTGAAGTTGCCACACTTTAAAGTTGCGTGACATTTATAAAGGTGTTAATAGTTTCCAGTTTATGTAAATTGGCATTTTCCTTATTCAAGTTCGAGTGTTTGGACACAAGAAAAGATGGATGTTCCTGATATAGGTATCATCGTTGCATTGATGTGCATTTTACTACTAAGTTTGGTTGGAAACGTTGCCCTTTTGGCCGTGGTCTATTCTCAATTGCCTTATCAATTGGTTAAAAACTATTCCTATCTTATACTAAACCTAGCAATAAGTGACATATTATTGGCTATCTCAAGTATACCCTTTGATATTGCACAAAAAATCAAAAGGCCCGAGTTCCCATTTGGAGCAGCAATGTGCAAAATTCTTTGGCCTTTGCAAACTGTTTGTGGTATGTCTTCAATATTCACCGTAGGTGCGCTAAGCTACCATCGTTACAGACTTGTTGTGCGACCTTTTAATGGTAAAATACGTCGTCGATTCATTGTACTCATTATAATTTCAATATGGGTTTTGCCTGTCATCCTTGCTGGCGCTCCATACTCATTTGCTCTGCGTTTTGATCCGAACACGTCAAGTTGTAATGAGGAATGGGCACCAGCCACTGAGAAAGCAAAACTCGGATTTACAACGTATTTGTTTGTCATTCAGTACGTGTTACCACTCGCTCTTATAGTGTGGTGTAACGTTAACGCCATATTGGAATTGAAAAGGTAATCAACAAGAATTTGATGAAAAATTAATCAACCATCCAATCAACTGAATTATATGACATGCAATGCCAGACATCATGTTCTAAAATTGAAGCTATACAGATGTTTCAACAACATACATGTTTTCTTAAGCAAAATAGGCAACAATGCTTACAAAAAATGTATGTTTTTATTTCCTAGAGGTAGGTGATTAAGAAAAGCACGATAAGCAAGAACGTTGAACATTACATCTAATGCATCTGACCCGAGCTGCAGTTTCTAGACTTCTAGTGCAATACACTCAACGTTGATATAGTTAATGATGCTTTAAAAACACAAAACCTTAGCACAATAAAACAGCTAGGAACATCAAGTTACGAAATATGCGGGGACCTGTTTTCATAAGTATAACGCAATGCACGACGGGGAGCGCATTTTTTTTCAATTCAATCATCAGAGGTATGCGATAGACACAAATATCACAGTGTGAATTACAGAAAGCTCTGCATGAAACAAACAACGTGCTCGAATTACTTTGCCCAAAGACGATAATCAGTAAATACATTGGAAATAATATCATCGATCATGCCCCTAGCGCTATACTAAATCCTCAAAATAGACTCCAGTGACATTTTTTTTCAAATATCTAAAGTAAACTTGATTTGCAGGTAGTAAAAATATAAAAACTTGTGCTCTTTGTTATTCTAAAACGCTCAATCGTAAAAGCCGTCATATGTCTGTGAAAATATCTGGTTCAATTTTTTACCGATAAAATTATATCAATATTTAGAAGAATCTTGTTCAAATTGATTGATGATTGAAAATATAAAAGGGCAGGAGACTCTTCTGGAACATTTCCTGTTTTTCTCTTGTAGGTATGCATGAATATGCTTTTTGTTTTTTTTTTAGACATTTCAAAGATCGGACAGGATCTTCCGTGATAAACGACTTTTCCATCGACAATCACGAAAACACAGTTAAAATGCTGACAGCAATCATGGCTGTTTTCGCTTTATTTTGGCTACCCGGACAGACGATGGCTCTACTTATGGATTTGCACTATTCCAATGAATTTATGATTAATTACGGATTAGATATTGCATATATACTTGTTTTCAGTAATTGCGTTCTCAATCCGTTTATTTTTGCCTACTTCAGTCGGTGCCACAAGAACCTGCCGATCCTGAGACGTTTTACAGCCAGCTCAATCAATCCCACAAACGCAAGCGACGTGAATTATTTTGCATTGCGACGAAGGTCGGATCAACGAAAAAGAAGCGACTCTCTTCCGGAAGATTGTAAAACTCTGCCTTTGCGAAAGAGAATCAAAAGAACCTCGCTGCCAACAATACTTTATCCACCCATAATTCACAAAACAAGTTTAATTTCAATCACAGGGAGTCAAGATGATCCAACAAACAAAAGCAAGAGCTATGCTTTGGTTAAGAATAACAAGTACATCTAAAAGTACACAATTTACGAGTCAAAAGCAAGCAAAGTTGAAAGCACACAATTTATGAGTCAAACAGCATTTATCACGATCAATTTTATCAAAACCAATCAAAGAAGGAGATAGTTACTATTGACACATCAAAGCAATTAGAACCATTTAAAATCGTCATGGCAAAGCCAATTGAAACGAAATAATCCAAACATAATTGAAACACGTCATGAAGCGGAAGGAGCAAACCAAGTGTTGAACAATGTTTTTGAAACCACGAAGACAATGAATGTAGACGTTTGTCAACAAGTTTTTAAAAGCAATACCAGAGACAAAATTCACTTAATTTATTTGAATATTGCAGAGAAAAATATTAACATATTACATCAAGTAAATTTTTTTTGCACCAGTTACTGATTTTGAGATCATTAAGAAACAAAAAAGTATTCGTTATACATTAGCACATTAACCCTTAAGGCATTAGCCACTGATCATTAATGCTTACCCCTAGCTTTGACCAGTGTAAAACATGCTTTACTTTCACAAAGTTTAACCTTGAAAGCATTAGCCCTACAAAAAAACGATAAAGATTCATAACTAATCATTCTGGCAATGAATAGTTCAGCATCCATATTAATCCACCTGACACTGCCTCATGTAGAATTCATATCAATCTTCCTGACAAGATCTCAATCTCATGTAGAATCCCTACTAACCTTCCTGACAAGATCTCAATCTCGTGTAGAATCCCTACCAGCCTTCCTGAAAAAGCCTAGTGTAGTTTTCGTACTTCATTTCATTTTCTATTCAACGTTCGATCGACCACATTAAATGACTTTCATTTATACTGTAGATTGTTCATCTCGCGTACCAGTTCTTTAAAAAGTTTCATTTACATCTTACATAAAGTAATCTCGCGTTCAAAACAACTTCCTTATTTCCTTGTGAAAACAAGTACATTATGCTTTCTCTTTACAAATAGCTTTCCGTTTAATTCAAAGTACCAAAAAGATCATGTCTGAATATCAGAGTTCGTTGTTTGCAGGAATGAATGTGGGAAGAAAAAGGTCAAAAAAAGTTGATAAAGACGAGAGCTCTCAAGATGGAGAAGCTATTTCCTCTGGTAATTCTATTTATCTCTAGGCTCTAGCACAAGATTCTACAAATATAGTGAAATCTACCATATTCTTTTAAAGTTGAGAAACAAGGAACATTACTCAACTTTATAATGTTTGTTGTTTTAGACAATGATAGCGTGCCAACTGCAAGGAACTCTTCAAGCAGCACATCCCAATTTAGTTTCATTTCAGAAACTATTAAATTCAAAGAAAACAATAGTGAACTAGTAAATTCGCCGTCTCTGATCGACTGTTTTGAAATGGGCAATGAAGAACAACCCAATGCTGATCAATTGTCAGTGTCCTATGTGGATCAGTTGGCAGAGATTTTACCAATGACAGCCCCTCTGCCAAACACAGAGAATGCTGAAGAAACAGGGGAAGTTCGGCAGTCAATTACATATAACTTAGACAATAAATTGCACTGTAATGTGGAAAGAGATAAGCATGAGGACAACCAACAAATTGACAATGAAAGGGATTTTAAAGTGAATAGTGACAATACAAAAGGGGACAGTACGCCATCTGATGGTGGACAAAAAATTAAGTCATATGATGTTGAGCTTCTTCCTGAAGATCATTTACATTTATTCAATTCACAACACTCATATAAAATAGGGCTTTTAAGGTAAATAAGTTTTTCGGCAATTGTCTATTATTGCATTACTGCTGCTCTTTTATCAAAACATAATCTCCAGCATGTTTTAGGGAAGATATGACGGAACTTCAAGATAAAATCAAAGCTGTTTACACTGATCTAAAGAATGACATGACCTTGTTGCAAGGTAAACTATCAAAACTAAGAATGGAATTCGAGAAAGCCTTAAGTGGTGACGACTACGATTTGGCAGCAGAAATAAATGATCAAATCGAAGAAATGAATGGAGAAAAGCTTGCATTAGGAAATGCCAGAGGATTGATCGAACCAAAGGTAGGAATGTGAGCTAACATTAAATATAAGTATTTGAGGAACATTTGGCAATAGCTTTATCTATTTCTTTACAGATTGTTGAATATCTTGTAAAGTTAGATGAACTAAGAGAGCGAGAAAAAGAATTTCATTCGTGGGTGTTGATAAAATATCAATCTCTGTATGAGCAACAGAATATGCTGTTACAGAAGCATGGAGATGATTATTCCAACGAAATAAACAAAGAAAAAGATGATCTAGCGCGAGAGAAGGATAAATTGGAACGTTCTTTGGAACATTTACACTTAGATAAAGAACATTTAGACAAAGATAAGGCAGATTTGGACAACAGAATAAATGCCAAACTTGAGGTATTTCTGACAAAAAAGGATGATTTGGTAAACAAAAAGTCTGAATTGGAAGTTGAGATCTCGGTTTTGGAAAAGAAACTGAGGCTGCTAAATGAAGAAAAAATTACCATTGATAGTTTAATAAGAATTGAAGATGACAAAATAGTTGTAGGAAGGAAAGAATTTCAAGATATCGAAGCAAAATTGGATGAAGAATGTAACAAGGTCCTACAAAAGGAAGAAAACTTGAATATGAGATTGGTATGTATTCATGGCTTTTGCAGTAGTCAGACAACATTTTATGATATATAATGAAGTCATATTTATCATTGGTATGCATTCATGTCTTATAAGGACGAAATAGGGAAAATAGAAAATGATTTGGACGAACGTTTAAGTGAACAAAAGAAAAAGGAACAAAGGTTATGACAAAAAACAAAATATAATAAACACAAGTGAATTTCATACTCATAAGACGCTTTCAATTTATCTTAGTTTTTTGGACAACTTAAAAAATCTACAATCGAAGAAAGAACAATCGGAAGAATTCCTTCGAGCAATACAAAACGATAAAAAATTTACAGAAATATTTCCAAGTGGCCTGAAGCCTCAGGATTGCGGTGATGATCTTGTCAAGTGGGCGTTTTTAAAATCTACGTTTTGCTTCTATTAAATGGTTTGGAAATTTTTAAAGCCCTTTTTAAATCTCTTATAGGTTGCAAAAAATTGAAAATGTCAAAGCGCAAGAGTTGGAATCTTTAGAATTACATGTAAGAACAATTAACAGTTGGTCAGGTTTTCTATTGAATTCAGGTTATCTGAGGTGAATAATGAGACTTGGAACGTATTGGTAGAATCAATACAATTACACAATACATGTCTAAGATGAGCTAAATTTACGACTATTTCAATTATTAGGTTTTCAATAAAGTGCAACTTTTATCGTCAAAAAGAAAAAGGATGAACGAGATTCAAGATCAGCTTCCACGTCTTGACTTGACGAAAAAAGACGCGGTACACGAACGTAATTTTAAAGAGGCAAAGCGGATCAACGAGATGATGAAAGCCTTAAATGAAGAATTTGAAACGTTGGTCAAAGACGTCAAAGATAATGAGACCGAAGTGAAGATGGATGAAGAAAAAATCAAATTATTAAAAGAAGAGAACGCGTTAGTGAAGAAGAATGTCTTAGAAGCAAAACATAACTATGGTATATTATTTTAAAATAAGTATTTTGAAAGAAGCGTTTTATGAGAACAACGGTGAAACTTTTCACTTTCTAACTTGACGCTTTTTCGGATTGCGAAAGGTTGTCTTTTATCGCAAGATAGTTAGTGAGAATGATATTATCTCGTTTAGAATTGACCACAAACATCCAGCTTGCAAAACGGATGAAAAGATTCTCGAAAATCAACACGGAGTAAGTAAAGACCGGATGTTGAATTGCATTTCTACGAACATGCTGTGATAGTACAAAACGACTCTTTTTTTGAAAAGCATAAGATGTTCTTCATTGAGGATATTTAATGATACTGCATAGAATAAGTTTGAAAAAACTCACATTTACGTTTATTTATATTTTCCAGCGCAATCAATGACGATTTTCTTCACGCTCTAAAGGAAGAAGAAATAGATTTAATCAAGGTGATTTTTGAGATGATTCTGTCGATGATAAGGGTAATTGTTCACGTATAAATTGTCATTATTCTATGTTTAGACCGAACTTGGGTTGTTGGATGAACCGTCCGAGGAAATTTTGTCAACACTCAATAAAGATGATGCGGAGACAATAGAGTTTATGAAACAATTTCTCACATCATGAAGATAAAATCCATTATATTAAAGTATCTAAATTTGAACGATTCACCTTTTTAAAGGTCCGTAACCTTAATGGTACGTTCAATAGTGTAGTTAGTATTAGGAAACGCCACCATGAAGTAATATTTTCCGGAGTCTGTTACCCGAGGTGACCTAATACTCAAAGTTGAATTCCAACCAATACGTGCTTTCCGTTGTCCGAATGTACTCCTGGATTTACCACCCCCCTGAAGCCATTCGTCATTTTGTATTCTCACTCGGCCATTTCGAGTCGCTCGCAGACGCTTCGTGCCTTTATACCAAACAAGATTTCGTCTCTATGTAAATGAAGGACGTGGAAATATACTTAATGATTATAGAAAATACTTCTTCCTTGTCCGAGAGAATGCATGAAGAGGTCGTCAGCTTCCTAGCGTATGTTATATGATAAAATGTTCTATACCTCAGGCATTGGTTTACCGCCAGCAATGATAACTTTAACCGTGGTAGTGTTTCCCCCAGCAATTTGATACAAAGTACGTATATTTGGTATAACGATCATTCTAGGACGAACTAAATCAATGGATTTATGTATGGGGCAAGTTAATCCTTCTATGACCACATTTATCCATCACGTACAGGCGAAAGCATACTCCATAATAACATTAATCCACTGCCTACCGTAAACATCAACGGAGATCTCTTTCTTGAATTCGCAAAACGTGGCTTTTGCAATAACTTTATAAACTCCGCTCATTCCTTGACGTAAATTACTCAGTTTCAATATCTTACGAGTATTAGGCTTACCAGGTAACGATCCTTTAAAAAGTTTTAATATGGTGTATTAGTATATGGCTACTGGATTATGAATCTTCGTGATCGATGTATTTCGAGTTTTGCCCGAGAGAACAGTTCTACTATTTTTTTTTTGAGAAATATCACAAACACAATATTTTTTAATCATTTGTTTGTGCTGGTTGTAAGAAGTCATACCTGGAAAAGTGTAATGTCTGTCTTCAAAGGAGATCAATTTGTCGTTGTGATACCAATTGATAGTTGATAACTCGTGTGCGTTTTCGACGTCAATTTGTAAAATATCAGACGAATCTTCCACTACGACGTGAGGTGATGATGTCACAGATAAGATAGAGGGTAGTCCTGCGATCAGGAAGAGATGCACGTGTCGTTAATATGGTTTCTATGAATATAACTGAGTTTATCTCACTCACGTTCAACGACGTGCACATTAATCAATCCCTCAGCAAATCCATAACGATTCTTTACTCGGATGCGATATACTCCAGAATGATTGGACGTCGCGCGGTCAGTTCTCAATATAAATGGATCATCTGTTTCCATATTTGTCTTTAAAGCTGTCCCGTTAACGATTTTTCTCCATTCAACTTCCCATTCTTCTGCTTCGATATATTCTCCTCTTATTGGCTTGGCGGTGATGGTCAAATTATGATTAAGACATGCTCCTCCTGTTTTAGATAGATCAATTCGTGGCTCACCTGAAATTAAAACAAATAACTGAGATTTCTAATTCAATTATGCCATAACATACTACTTTCATGCTCACGTATTCCTAAATCATCATCACATCATGCTATAACTTACTACCTTATACTCGTGCGTCCTAAATCATCATCACATAATGCTAACTTACTACCTTATACTCGTGCGTTCCTAAATCATCATCACATAATGCTAACTTACTACCTTATACTCGTGCGTTCCTAAATCATCATCACATAATGCTAACTTACTACCTTATACTCGTGCGTTCCTAAATCATCATCACATCATGCTATAACATACTACCTTATACTCGTGCGTTCCTAAATCATCATCACATCAAGCTATAACTTACTACCTTATACTCGTGCCTTCCTAAATCATCATCACATAATGCTAACTTACTACCTTATACTCGTGCGTTCCTAAATCATCATCACATAATGCTATAACATACTACCTTATACTCGTGCGTTCCTAAATCATCATCACATCATGCTATAACATACTACCTTACACTCGTGCGTTCCTAAATCATCATCACATCATGCTATAACTTACTACCTTATACTCGTGCGTTCCTAAATCATCATCACATAATGCTATAACATACTACCTTATACTCGTGCGTTCCTAAATCATCATCACATCAAGCTATAACTTACTACCTTATACTCGTGCGTTCCTAAATCATCATCACATAATGCTAACTTACTACCTTATACTCGTGCGTTCCTAAATCATCATCACATCATGCTATAACATACTACCTTATACTCGTGCGTTCCTAAATCATCATCACATCAAGCTATAACATACTACCTTATACTCGTGCGTTCCTAAATCATCATCACATCAAGCTATAACTTACTACCTTATACTCGTGCGTTCCTAAATCATCATCACATAATGCTAACTTACTACCTTATACTCGTGCGTTCCTAAATCATCATCACATCATGCTATAACTTACTACCTTATACTCGTGCGTTCCTAAATCATCATCACATCAAGCTATAACATACCTTATACTCGTGCGTTCCTAAATCATCATCACATCAAGCTATAACTTACTACCTTATACTCGTGCGTTCCTAAATCATCATCACATCATGCTATAACATACTACCTTATACTCGTGCGTTCCTAAATCATCATCACATCATGCTATAACATACTACCTTATACTCGTGCGTTCCTAAATCATCATCACATCATGCTATAACTTACTACCTTATACTCGTGCGTTCCTAAATCATCATCACATAATGCTATAACATAGTATCTTGATACTCGTGTATCCCTAAATCATCATCACAACATGCTGTAACATACTACCTTATACTCGTGCGTTCCTAAATCATCATCACATCATGCTATAACTTACTACCTTATACTCGTGCGTTCCTAAATCATCATCACATAATGCTATAACATAGTACCTTGATACTCGTGTATCCCTAAATCATCATCACATCATACTATAACATACTACCTTGATATTCATGTATCACTAAATCATTATCACGTTCCTTTATGACGAGTTTTTATTTTAAATATGATCAAATAAAAAATTCATTGAACTCTTTAATACTTACTAAAGTGGCGTAAGGATATGGAGCGACTGTATAGGAAGTTCGGCTTGAAAAATTTGCCCCAATGAATACTTTTACGTCGTTTCGAAAAGATCTTGATGGTGAAATCTGTTGCATCACTCGCTCTAAAATCTTTAATCAACAAGCTATGAGAATCATAGCCATGCGTCGTTGAATAACTATCGTGAGTAAATCGGTACTTTCCGACTCCGTGAGGCAAATATTTGAAGATAGGAGAATCTTTGGTTTCCTCAGAATCTACTGAGTAAATTCCAATTGCTTTGTCGCCTTTTACCCACTGAACTTCGTAAGGCTTGCGAGTCTCTGCAGCAATACAAGAATAAATTGTGGGAATACCAATTTACTACACTTCATGAAAAATGTCATCATCTTGTTTTCTAAGAAACCTTCCCATCTGTGTTACACTTACGTTGCACGATGTACATGTGTGTTACACTTACGTTGCACGATGTACATGTGTGTTACACTTACGTTGCACGATGTACATGAGTGTTACACTTACTTTGCACGATGTACATCAGTGTTACACTTACTTTGCACGATGTACATGAGTGTTACACTTACGTTACACAATGTACATGAGTGTTACACTTACGTTGCACAATGTACATGAGTGTTTCACTTACGTTGCACAATGTACATGAGTGTTACACTTACGTTGCACAATGTACATGAGTGTTACACTTACGTTGCACAATGTACATGAGTGTTACACTTACGTTGCACGATCTACATGAGTGTTACACTTACGTTGCACGATGTACATGAGTGTTACACTTACGTTGCACAATGTACATGAGTGTTACACTTACGTTGCACGATGTACATGAGTGTTACACTTACGTTGCACGATGTACATGAGTGTTACACTTACGTTGCACGATGTACATGAGTGTTACACTTACGTTGCACAATGTACATGTGTGTTACACTTACGTTGCACAATGTACATGTGTGTTACACTTACGTTACACGAGGTACATGTGTGTTACACTTACGTTGCACGATGTACATGTGTGTTACACCTACGTTGCACGATGTACATGAGTGTTACACTTACGTTGCACGATGTACATGAGTGTTACACTTACGTTGCACAATGTACATGTGTGTTACACTTACGTTGCACGATGTACATGACTGTTCTGCTGCTGTTGATGAGTGATTGATAGTTCAAGCTTTCAATTGGTTCTGCCACAAAAGGAAGAGCCCAGCTAGAGAAACATCCTCGTCTGTCCTCTGGGAACACGAAATAACGTTGGTTTGCCAAAAGCGCAAGTTGAAAGCATTTCTCTTTGGTGTTGGCAGGCCCAAGATCGTTCAAGTAGAAATAAGGCCATGAATATTCGTTGAAATAACCATAGAATTCATACGAGTATGTTTCTGAAAAGAACGAAACGCCGAATACGTTGTTTCCCGTCATGATGTCACTCGACCTTTGTCAAATTGCGTTTCTTATAAACGCTTTAGAACCCAATCCCCTAGATCTCTAACTACCGTGTAGAGGTGAGGCAAGGACACCATTTTCTAATGTGGCACAAAATACAACTCAAAAGTAAAAATAAGCTAAAAGAAAGCTTAAAAACCAATTCTATTAAAAATTTTAAAAGCCAAACACATACTATTAACACTGCAACTGTATATCAACTCAGGAAACACAGATAATATTAGTCAATATCGTCAGTTTTGCCGCCTTTCAAGATGGCGGCTTGCCTCAATTGTAACAGTAAAATTTCGGTGGGGTCAGATATCTAGTAGACCGGGTTCTAGGTCATTGTTGAATATATACTCAAACGGTTTCAATACTTACTATCCATGAAATGGAGAAAAGTTATTTTGGCAGTACCAGGTTCGTACGCCCAGATTGTTCCAAATGGATTGAGAACAGGCATTCCTCCTTGATGCAAAAGTCCTTGTTCTTGTACAGGCATGAGGAAAGGAACACCTTCATTTGAAAGAAAATCATCGATTGCATAAACAGTAGTTATACGTCGATGTTTAGAACGTCAGTATAAACTGGAATGTGTTAAACATCCATTAAAAAATGTGAGAAAAAAACACAAACCAGTAATGGTAACGATGTACAGTTGAGTGCTGACTACACGTTCTTTTGTATCGCGGGCTACACATTTATAAATTGTCGTTTCTTTAATCTTGCCTAGCGTGACAAGACCGTTGTTTGTTTTCAACGGAATATCGTAGATCCCGTGAACTTCGTAGATATTCTGCACGCCATCAAATTTAGCTTTGTTAGGAAAGCATTTGATCTCCAGAGTTTTGCCTCGATTCCACTTCGAGACAACAACGTGCCACATATCGAAACCAATTCCTATAAATTTTATATGATGACTTGTACACGATAAAGACTTGGACAAGGGAAAATTAGATAAAGGTAAACGTGATTACACGGAGGACAGAAGACCACCGCACAAAGCACTTTCGTAGTTCCAATCCCAAACATCCCTAGCAATCCCAAACATCCCACAATTTGGGACGACCGATCACACAAACATTTTGCCTTTTAGGATGATTAAAGACCTGGTGGTCTTCGTAAAACAAACGAGACGAAACGAAAAGCAAAAGGGGTCAAATAGTTTCAACATTGTAAAAAACTCACTCTTCGCTTTTTCTATAACTTCTTTCTTAGCTTTAATCCACGGCTCTATAAAGTTTGGGATTTAAAAAATAATAAAAGAAAGATATCAATACCGTCGATTGTAAATTTGTAATAAGAACCACAGATCAATAAAGAGTTATAATAGATAGTTGGTTACTAAACCTACCCTTTGAACAGCCGTATACTTCCACTATGAAACACATATCATTCTTTCCTCTGTATGGAATAATCCTCAAATGACGAGCTCTGACTCGCGGGCTCAACAATTGATGCCGTGTATCTGCTGGTCCAACATTGGCCGCAAAATGCTGCGAGGATAAACGATAAATTCTCAATAAATGAAAACAAGAAAAAAATCTAGATATCACGGATTGAAAAATGTGTTTCTTATTGACGTATTGAGATACGTACTATACGTACATACGCCCGTATGCCTTTGACATTTACTAAAAATTTTTATTTGAACAAATAAATAAAAGACAAGAACTGACAATTTAATAGTTCACGGTGACTTCTAGAGAGCTTATGCTGTAAGCTTGTAATTACCCACTCCTCCAAATAACGATTTTTGATTGGCAGCCAAGATATACGATCTGTACTGTACATGACTGTAACACGCGTTGCATAACTTTGCCTCGCGGTATTTGGGTGACCTTTGAACTTTAAACTATCAATCAGATGGGGTTTCCTCAAGTCCAACTCTAAAAGGAAGCGAGTCGTTGACGATGTGTGTGTTCGCGGTTTACAGTAAAATCAACTATTTATTACGTGATTATCAATTGTAATTTTTCTTTGAAAACGAGCTGCTATTCATATATAGGTTATAATAATACATTCAGGCATTTAACTATGAAACACTTCGTACATCAAACATCATAAAACTTCATATATCAAACAATGTCTCACCCAGATATTTAGCAACAGTACTTTTACAAAAAGCGTTTCCAAATGGGATCAAAAGTTCGTTACAATCTGAAATATATATACAAATAACAATCATAGTACTTGACATCCCTTTTAGCAGAATGAGAGAGTACCAAACGATGAATCGTACCTTTAGTTCGCTTTACGGGAAAAGGTTTGACTAAACAAAGTTATATTTACACAGAGACAGTTAAATACTAATAATTACAAAATTGCACAAAAGATTTGATCTTACAATAAAACCTGGTCTTTATGAGATCTTGTGCACAGTAAAAATGCCATTTCCACGATAATGGCAAAGATACCACACTTTTTAAAACATACTTATTCTTGTCAAATGTTGTTATCTGCAAAAACAAACAAATATAGACAGTACATAATAACCTACAGTAATCTACAGTAATTTCATAACTACACAATTTTTCTTTTGATGCCGAACACTAGAATATGAGACGAAAAGACGACTTACGACTTGTTTGGGATGAATTTTCTTAGCCGCTTTTGACTCTTTATACCTCTAAATAAGAAACTAAAAGTCCTAAATACTTTGGAATTGAAGAAATAAGGGCATTTTGCGCATCAAGAAGCTGTTATTCATTACAAAATACTGTAATTTTAGAGGAATATGTAAGAGTGACAACAAACAGCCAATCAAATCAGTGATGCAGTTTTGCCGAAACGTTTTCTTCTGCATACAACGAGATTCAATAAATACCCTCGAACTATTTACAATTTTCCGACAAGTTATTGTGGTGTCTTTCTGGCATGTTACAGTAGCTAGTGACTTGCAAAATATGTTATGGTGGTTTCTTACTGATATTGTACCATAGCTAGTGACTTACAAAATATGTTATGGTGGTGTCTTACTGATATTGTACCATAGTTAGTGACTTACAAAATATGTTATGGTGGTGTCTTACTGATATTGTACCATAGCTAGTGACTTGCAAAATATGTTATGGTGGTGTCTTACTGATATTGTACCATAGCTAGTGACTTACAAAATATGTTATGGTGGTGTCTTACTGATATTGTACCATAGCTAGTGACTTGCAAAATATGTTATGGTGGTGTCTTACTGATATTGTACCATAGCTAGTGACTTACAAAATATGTTATGGTGGTGTCTTACTGATACTGTACCATAGCTAGTGACTTACAAAATATGTTATGGTGGTGTCTTACTGATATGGTACCATAGCTAGTGACTTGCATAATATGTTATGGTGGTGTCTTACTGATATGGTACCATAGCTAGTGACTTACAAAATATGTTATGGTGGTGTCTTACTGATATGGTACCATAGCTAGGGACTTGCAAAACATGTTATGGTGGTCTTTTACTGATATGGTACTGAAGTTAAAAACTTACGTATTAAATATGATGTTCTAAAGTACTGTAGCATCATTCTATGGCTGATAGACATCCACATATTTAGGTGATTACCTACCCAGGACTTGTAGTAACTCTCGATTTTGCTGAAACATTGTAAAGACCAGACCAAATTGCAATAGCCATAATCACAGCTTCGAACGCACTAAAGGAAATTGGGAAAAAAACATAGGAAAGATAAACCAAAAACTGACATGAAAACATTCATATTTCCCAAACACATTTTTAGAAAATTTACTATGTTACCACTGTCAGTCTGTAGCGAAACGTTGTCTCCGAAACGTAAATGAAAATTCAAGTTCTTTACCTGGGGTGCAAGACCAAGACCAAGTCTCTTTTTGTATTGAAGAGGTGTACCGTCGTTAAACCAGTATTCCCCCTTTTGTACCATATTTAAGAAAACCGCGTTTTTTGATGCTTTCAGCTGTACGTGCCCAAACAACATCGTCATCGAATCCGACGCGTTCAAAGTGAAAAATCTGGACAGGACCATCGAAGCTTGCCGCTCTGGAGGAACCAGAGTAAAAGGCGTCTAAAAACAACAATAATGACAACGTTTAGTTTCACTATAGTGCAAAAGCTGAAGGGAAATTCTCCCGTTAATTTGTGACATTCACACTGTCGGTTTGTTTCAATATTCATATCACACAAAGCATAAAATAATTATTGTCCTTAGGGTAACCTTATCTGAAAAAATACGTTGTTTTCAGTTATTATAAATACTTCAGAGATACAAAGGCAGATGTTCTATGTCACATAAAATGCAACCCATAAAAACGGATGTTTGCAAAGTCCTTTTTACATGTGCCATACTCCGGGAACTTTGACATTGTAAAAATATAAAAAATACTTGAAATACCACATTCAATAATTCTAATTTAAACCCATATTGATACAATAAGATATAATAACACCCGCAGGCTATATTTTAGAAAACTACAAGTAATAATCGGACAAAAAGCATTATATATATCATTACATTTTCTCCATAGAGCTGCCATGGTAAAATTGTTTCTTTTGTGAGCCAATACGCCTCTACAAAACGAGAAGAAATGACATTACACTGTGCTAGCACTCTGACAAGAAACAGAAAATGATGAGTGATGTTACAATAGGTATAAATTATGGCACTATCTTGAAGATATGACGACACGTTGGCAATAATTATTTCACCTTTCTTATTCTCCACTGGTTTTTGCAAGCCCTCATTTTCGCCATCTAAATGAACAGAATTAAACATTGAACACTTCACCAAAAAATATTACAAATGAAAAGGTTTTTCATTTGAACAGTTACCGTAACTACATCCAAAAACTTCAACAGTCGCCCCGGGTCCTTCTCCGTAGGCCAATCGATAGGACATGGGAATAATTCGAATACCGCGGGCAATTATCCGTGGTTCAAATTTCGTATATCCTGCATAGGCCATGCCATCTTTACGAGTAGTTTCCAGAATATGAAGTTGCTAATGACAATTGTATAAAAGTTACGAGATGAACTATCACAGGAAATAGAGAAGTGTTTTAATTGCATAGGACAATAGTGAAACAGTGTTCGGACACAAATGAATTGATAATAAGAACTGCATCGCAAAAGTAAGAAATAGATCTAATATAGCGCTTGCAAACCGAACGATAAAAAAGCATTTACTGAGAGATGAAAACACGTGAAAATTTGAGATTGGAAGATTTTCAGAAACTTGTATTTGTATTCATGACGGGTGAGAAGACATACAAACGTATTGATTTATACTAAAAATAATAATAATTTTACACTTACAATGACTGAACCTTTGTGATCCTTATAGCGAGACCATTCCACATAGTCAGAAGTAAAATTGACAGCCCACCGAAGGGTGGCAAGAAACCACGAGGATCCAGTGCGAATTATGGTCCTTTCAGTTGCATCAGTTCCGCCAGTCATGGTCATACCATCAACAATTGTCATGCCAACTAGAAACATAATTATACTACGTGTGAACCAACATAGTTTATAGACTGAAACAGACAGGTTTTTTAGCGTGCGTTCTTTTATAAGATTGCAAAGTATCGACCAAACGTCGTTTTTCCTCGGAACTAATAATGTTAAAGGAAAGCTCTTTGACCAGTGGTTTCTCTACGATAAATATGTTCAACATGCAAAATCTACTTTCAGAATGTATTTTGGTAAAATTTTGGCTCTAAAATATTCTATAGTTATCTCCAACCAACAGCGTTGTCCCATTTCACCACTTCGCAGGGCTGGAAAATTTCCTGCTGGGCTAAGATTAATAAAACTAATAACATTAAATTACAGCACTAAATACAGGAACGGATTTACAATAGTCCTGTGGAAAGGGGGAGAGTACTCTAATCTGGATTAGTCATCTAACGATGACAAAGAAGGCAAATGAACTCAAGAAAACCTCCTTTACAACAACGCAAAAGGCACTTACCAAATTTAATGTCGATGTAGGTGTTATAATAGCGAAAATCTGTGCGCTGTCGGTTCGTCATTCTTGTATAGACATAAACATAGTTCCTGTCAATATAAGCCGGTTGGTATGAGTACAATTTGGTGTCGTAAAACTTGTAGTAGCGGCTCACAGCCAATGTCGTATCTTCTTGTGTTTTTCTTATACCGGCCAATGACTTCTCCGCTGTCGCTTTTAACATGAAAAAACTCAAGCCAAGAGAGTTCCGGCACGCTGTAATACAGAAGAAAAAATCCAAGCAAAAACATGCAACTATTCTTTAAATGTAGTTTATATATATATATAAACTTAAGCAAGTTTCATAGCTACTTTAAGAGAAACAGCTCCATGTTTTTTGTTGTTGAACCGTAATGAAATTGTTAACTTTCTTTCCGCCAATGAAAATGTTTTCGAAAGAAAAACTTACCATATGTGTCATCAACAAATGTGGGAATCCTTTTGGGATATTTCTTAAACGATATTGGATATCTTTTCTTCAATTCCTCCGTTACAAATTTTTTCACCGACTTTTTAACCAAATACGGATGATCCTCAAACAAACCGCGTCCACTGACATCTACTAAATCAACAAAACTAAACAAGACACAAAGAACAAACAAAATTTTCATTTTCTCATCAAGTCACATTCCCATGTTTCTTCACTCTATCATTTTCCTTGTGACGTCATAGACAAGTTGATTAACAACAGCAATGCGGTTAACGCACGCGCAAAAGGAAGCAGACTGTCCCTGGTGGTCCCTTGGCCAACAGACTCGTGTCGTTTATGGCCAGAGTGGTGTGGCATGCAACCATATTTGATAATTTGATTTACCTTTGGTAAATTTTGACGATTTTCTAGTAAAAGTTTTTGGTTAAACTCTGGAATACATCAAATGCAAATGAGTAAAAATACGTATTTTTAACACTACTTGAACACCAAAGACTTCATAAAAAGAGCCATAACACGCATTACACTGAGTAATAAAATTACAGGCTTTGAAATAGTGATCAAAGCATTCCCCCTCCCCAACGTTTTCGGTACATGTATCATGTTCATTGCGAGCCATTTTAGTTTCTCATGTACTGGAAAAGATTGATGTATTTATATTATTAATGGAATATGTATATCAAGTCTGCCTACCATATCTGTAAACCTGTCATAGTTATTTTGTTTTTTCTGCATTGTTTCTTGTTTTTTTGAGCCTTAAAATTCTGCCTCAAGATGGCGTGGTTTTTAAATTGTATATTTATAAGAATACTTTTGAATGCTTCCAACGAAAGCATTTGTTTTGTAAAACAACTAAGATATATGTAGATATTAGCAGTGGCGTAGCCAGCGCACAAGTCTCTTCATGCTATGTAAGTTTTTTGGCCTTCACTCAACGTAAAACAATAAATTTCTAATGAAATGAATAATGTTAACGTTGAAAAATTGACATGGCATGACCAAATTTGCAAGCTGGCTACATCACTGCATGCCTGCACCTAAAAAACATGTTGCAATAAAATAATTTAACACTACCATTTAAGGTCAATAACAAACTTCTAACTTTGCAAACATGATCAAAACAAAATTTTCAATTTCTAAAATTTTTTTACCACCAGTAATGAACCACATGACATAAATAGTTAATCAAAAACTATGTAAGCACAGATCCATGCATTTTGATTAAAAATTACATCAAATTGCTACACCTGTAGCTCATAAAATATCCAATATAAAACACAACTGTGCGACTCATCTAGATCTATGGATCGTCGTTCAATCGTCCAGCAAGATATATACGTTTCTTCCTATTTGTTGAGTCTTCATCACCTTCGGTAGAAAGCTCATCAAGAGCTGAACACAAAGTTATAAGTAATGATGTGTTTCCTGAAGCCAACACATTGCTGATGGGGGTGGACGAACGAGTTATACTTTCAACGATAGACTTGTCACTATAAAATTTATGATTTTATCAACATTACACTGTGTAAGAATTGGATGTGATTTTTCACACTGAAGTCTAATTTCAACCTCTATTAAACACAACACTTCTCCCTTTCCAGTGGCTCCATCAAGAATATACATATATGATAGTGGCCAGCTAATTTATGTTAAAACTAGAAGCAATCAAACATTTGAGCAGCCGTTCCCCTGACCAGACCCCTACCTCTTTCTTTATCATGATAATTAAATTAATAATCTAGCCTGACTGTTGACTGTTGAATGATAGTCTTTGTGGCAGGGTATTCTATAATGGTGTCAAATAAGCAGAATAAAATTTAGCTAGGCCAATGCACCTACCAGTTGAATCTTTTATTAACAGCGAGAAAGACTCGTCTTGACTTGCTGGAGATGCTCAAGGGGGACAGAGATCCACTAGAACTGGTTGAACCTTTTAATACTTGTATCAATCGCGATTCACATTTCACTGACTAAAAACCATTAAAAACAAGTTATACGCATTGAAGATATGAAAGAAATATCATACAATAAATTTGATATCTTACGTACGTTTTCAGAAGGTTTGAAATTGAAAATTTTTAGTGCATTTCTTGCACAGACACGTGCAGCACGAGAAGAGGCCATATTGAATTCTTTTTGGTCTTCCACTTTATTAAATATTCAGCAATAAGAATTTAGGAAAAATATGGTTGGAGAAATGTATTATTTTATTATGTGCATATGTAAAATATTCCTGTTTTGTGGTGTTATGTTTAAAAAATGCTCGTATTACTTTTGCAAAGGAACTAACCAGTATAAACATATTTATAATTTAAGGTTGTAATGAAGTATAACATTTCCAATTGAAATTTTATATTTTGTGAGCTTTTTCAAAATGGAAACACGTTAAACTTTTACAAAGAAACATGGAGGTCACGGACAGAAATCTTCTTCCATCAAAAGTTGTAGCGTCTTGTTTAGTTTATATTTTATTTATTTTTAACACTATTTCTGTGCAAGGAGAGAGTGAAATTCTAACCGAAGAGAACTGGGATGTTGTGTTAAATGGTCAATGGATGATAAAATTGTAATGACCTCAAACAAAACCCTTGTATTTTCATTTTCCTACTGTGTTGTACTCAATATTTCCCCTTTTTATTAAGGTACAATGCAGTTGATTTTTTTTTGACTCTATGTAAATGTTTTTAGCTATGCACCGTGGTGTCCTGCGTGTAGGAACCTTAGGCCAACATGGGAAAAATTTGCTGTAAAAGCTGAGTCTCTTGGTGTACGTGTTGCGGAAATCGATGTTACAAAAAATCCAGGTGAAGATGATAGAAGAGGGAGTTATGTATGAGCTAAAAATAGTGGTTATTGGTGATGGATAATTTTACTCACAATTTCCTTTAAAGGTCTAAGTGGGCGATTTGGTGTTGTCTCTTTACCAACTATTTATCAGTAAGCTCAGTAATGTTTTTATAAATATGTAAAAAGAATAGTAGTAAAATAAAAATGATAACTTTAGTGCCATCCAAGGTAAATTTCGTGTCTACAAGGAAAAAAGAAAATTGGATGAATTAGTTGATTTTGTAACTTTAAAGAAGTGGGAGACAGTTGAGCCTGTTCCTTCGTGGAAATCACCAGGTTCTATTTTGTAAGTTGTTGAATCCTTCTGGCCATTTCATTGCATTTTGGTTGATTAAATGATTCATTGTCCATTTAACAGGATGGGATCTTTTGGAATGGTCTTTAGAGCTTCAATAGTTTTTAGGGTAATGATTTTGATGTCCAATCTTAATCGCTGGACGAAACATAGTTCTTAGTTTGGGTTTCTGCCTAGGATATCCATATAGCTTTAACAGAAGGTTATGGTCTTCCAGCATGGGCTTCTTTTGTCATATTCGGAGTAGTGACAATTATAATTGGATTGCTATTTGGAATGGTATGTGTTATGGTTTGAACCACATGATATCACATAACTATGCATATATAAATTGTTATGCAAATAACATTATGCAAATGTGCATTTCTATGCAATTTTGCATTACTAAGCAAATAAGACATTTCTTACATATGCATATTTTGTATAAATTGTTTTAACCATTGTTAAACACAATTGTTAATGTGACTTAGATCCTTGTGTTTATATCTGATTATCTGTTTGGTGGTATATCAAGACCCCCGTCACAACCTGTTAAAGAGATAAGCGACTCCAAAGTTAAAGATGAAGCTAGTGATGATGATATGAAATCTACTTCTCCAGATGATGACAAAGAAAATGCAAATGATGAGAGTGGCAACATTCGTAAAAGACCGAAGGTTTTTTTCCTGTTAGTTGATAATCACTGGCGTATTATCTTCAAACAACTTTTTTATTTTTTAGAAACTTAAAGCAACCATGGATTGAAGTTGTCTGCATTCTTAGTAAAAGTTAAATCTTAGGAAACGTTTTATAATTGAACTTCAGTTAGTGAGCTGTTGTTTAACGCTAATCGTGACTTGTGTCATATTTTTTTTGGTTGTGTATCAATAAAAAAGTTATTTGATTCGTATCTACATTTTCTTGGTTGGGGATCTACGATAGCGCATGCGCATTACGTAATACATGAACGCAACAGAAATTGCTAGAAATATCGACAAAGAAAGATCAACAACGCTTCGCTTTATATAAAAACCTGGAAACGATTTTGCGATGTCTGAGTTGGAACTTCTAACTATAAAAGCAAAATATAAAGGAGTCATTCGGCGCCTAAAGATTAAAAAGAACATTTCATACGAATGCTTACATAAGCAGGTAAATTTTGCGATTCGGTCATGTTCCGTTTATATCAACATTGTGTTTTGAATTTTGCATTAGGGGAATTTTTATGTTTTTCATAGTTGAGAAATAGTTTTGGAATAAACAACTGCCAACTTCAGTACAATGATGAAGAAGGGGATTCGGTAAGATAGCCTGTTATTTTAAATATGAAGACTATTTGATCCGTCATTGTAATATTTTCGCGGCGTAACGATGAAATTTTATTTTGGTCATATGATAAGACATTAAATGATATTTCATTATTAGTTTGTAATTTTGTATATAACGATTTCCCAATTTCCTGCTTTCATCAAATGTTTGAATTTTTCTTATAGATTGAACTGGGATCTGAAGGTATGTAAAAATAAAAAAATACATTCTTTTAAACACCCTATTGATAACCTTGTAAATTGATAACCGTGTAAAAATCTTAGAAAATTTCAAATAAGGTTTTTTTCGAAAGTTTATTTATTAAGTCAATTATTCACCATTGTTTTTGTCGTGCTCTTTTCCCAGTTTTATGAGTTATATTTTGTTACCTAAATTACATGTTTATTTTGTGATTTATAATATAAACTAGAGAAGCTTGGTACGGTAAAGACAACGACACAATAAACAGACATATCGACATACCCATCATATACTCACAACTTAAGAAAAAGGACAAAAAAACTACAAAAAACACCAAAACTAAAACACTACACTCTAATATTATTAACACCAATCATATTCACAATACACCAAAACCCATGGCAATGCATTTCACCCCATCCAATCACATTAATCCACCCATTAGTCCAATTAGACGCTCTAAACGTCTCCAAGCTAAAAGCACGTGTAAATAAATAATATCCTCATTCTGATGAAGGCTTGAAGCAACGAGTCGAAAGCTCAATAAAAATCATTTAAAATCAGCAGAAACTTTTATCTTTTATGTATTAAATGCCTGGATTACCAATTTTCAAACTTATGATATAAACTACATAACTTGCTGAAAATTTATCTGACACCAAAATTTTATTTGCTTTTTTAGAAGAGCTGCGAGAGGCTTTCAAAGTAAGAGTGCATTTTCTCTTTAGATCAAATCTTTGTAAAGAAAACCTTATTTACTTTCAGATCGATATTGCTTTTGTCTTTTATATGTGTTCATGCATAAAATTGTTGCTTTAGGTTGCCAAAAAGAATCCTCCTCTCAAAATCAAACTAATTTCTGATGAGAAACCCATCATGACTGATTTGGTTCAAGAGGTAAAGTATTTAGTGAAAAGAAGGGCACTCCTTGACACATTTTCTTTTCCTTTCTAAAAAACTTTCAGATAAACATTTACATGTTTTGTCGGATTCATTAAATATAAACACAGTTTTACGAAGACAGACTGTTGCTAAGCCTTATGTCTTTTATTGTTTCTTTTGCCCATTTTGTGTAGCCAAACAAAGTTGTTCCACCAACTACTGCGAAAGAGCCATTGTTTAAAATTGAGCAAGATATAAACATGACATCATCATCTGAGTCATTGTTTAATGTACAACAAATCTCAAATGAAAAATCATTGCAGAAGCGCAAGCAAAACTCCAAACCAATTGGATTTTATAGCTCCTTGTGTCGTGACATGGGTGACTTGGAGATTTCATCAAGTGGAAGCAAGGATGAGGATTCAAGAAGTGAAGTTAGCTCAAAGAAGGATAAGAAACGAGCAAAGAAGGAAAATTCATTGAGAGGAAGCAAATATTATAAGGCTTTGGCAGAGGATATCATAGCATCTCAAATTGAAAGCTCCAAGGAAGATGAAACAAGTTTATCCAATGTAACTCCTTCATCTGATATGGATATGAGTGGCAATGAAGAACAACCACCACCAAAGTGGTTTACTAAAGCTTTCAACCAGGTTATTGTTGTATATTGTAACATTATATCTTCACAACGAATATGAAGTATCATATTTCTTCTTTTGTCTAACTTATCAAACTGTTTAATGGCAGATGTGTAATTCAATGTTATCAAAAGTTGTGGATGAATTGAACAATGCAAAGATGACAACATCCACTGAAATCCCTACATCAAAGCCAGCATTAAAAACACAAAGTGGTGAGTAGTAAGTCTAGTCAATTTACCACTTGATGATATCACATTAGTTGAACAACTCATCTCATACGAATATTTTGTTTCAGATGTAGTTCACGAGGGTATCAAGTGTAATAGTTGTCAACAAACAATAATAGGCATACGTTACAAATGCGGGTATGAGAAATTTTTATTGAGCATAAACAAAAAAAATTTTTGATCATGCTTGATATTTGTGTGGTTCTTCTGTAGAAATTGCCCAGATTTTGATCTGTGTGAGGACTGCGAGGCAATAGAGGGCATCCACAATCCCTCCCACGTCTTCCTGAAACTACGTAATCCTGGCGTGAGCATTGGACAAAAACATGGCGTCATGATTCCATTGCTCAAGAATCTTTTATACAAAGATAGCAAATTGTAAGTTGTGCCCGTTTAGCTAAACCTTGAAATCTGGAGATAATGCGTTTCGTGGTGAAGATTGCGAACATTTTGTTTGACGTGTATCGATGATTTTGTTCACAGTGCTGCAGAAGATAAGCAAATCAGGGAATTGCGTAGGACGTTGAAGCAAAAGATGGCGGTAAAGAAACGTGAAGAGCAAGTTGCCAAGAAGAAATCCACCGATAAGGCAATGAAAAAACATGCGGGAAAAGTCCTCGCTGGGTGAGTGTGGATTGTTTGAAACTTTGAATACGTATAAATGAAGATGGCTGAAATACTTCTTCACTGTTCATTTCACATTATTTTCAACTTATTTTTTCCCCTTCCCAAGTTGGGAACGTTTATAATTTGTAACGCCAGAAATAGTGGACTTCGAGTTTCAACACCTTATGAACAATGGACGTTGTTTGTCACGCTTACATTTCCCCTTTCTCCTTCCTCTTTGTTTGCAGTCAAAGATTCTTTGGGTTAAGAGTTATTGACGATGGAGATTATCCAGCCCGTACTGAAATCTTGCCAAGAAATCAGGTGCAAACAGTAGCAAATGAACATTGACTGTGGAGATGTTTTATGAACAGCATTTTTTAATATCTGCATATAGTTCACGAAAAGTTGGCTTGTTATCAATTCAGGAAAAATGGCATGGGACGAAGACACCAAGGTTTTCATCAGAAAACGTCCTTATCTTATCTTATCTTATCTTATCTTATCTTATCTTATCTTATCTTATCTTATCTTATCATCCTTAGTCTTACGTTTTGATTTCATGAGCAATCAGGATTTTCGTTGTGTTTCCGTCCATGTTATCGATTATCATTATCGGCAAAGTTTTTTTTTTCTTGTTCTTCTAGTTGATATTTGTGTCTGGTTCTTTGAAATGTTTGGCATTTAACGAGACGAGCCTTCCTCGCCTACAACCAGGAGAGCAAGGAACAGCAACTGTACCGTTTGTTGCACCTGTTGAACTAGGTGAATACACGAGGTATAAAGCGATCTATGTTATTTACTTAGCTACATATGCATAGCTCCACTTTTACGACTACACAACGTCATTTCCATGAAATGAGATATATGAAAATTTCATGAATTTTTTTCTGATTTGTTTTTTTCATCGAAAGCGTGTGGCGTGCGGTGTATAAAGGGTCACATTTTGGCAACAAGCTATTTTGCAAAATCCGCGTTGTCCCAGAACCAGAGAAATCAGGTTTGTTGACGGTTTTTTTATCAAAAAAGTGTTTAATGGTATGATAGTGTGTAGTCTTGATGAATAATGTAGAGACAATGAACATAAACAACTTGTTTACCTTTACAAAAAAAAACCTATCTTAAACGTTGTTGAATTTTTCAGATGACGAAGAAGATGTTTTTGTTGACGCATGCAATACATCCATATTCCTTGACGACCCAAAAGATGACTTGAATCCCATGCCGGGAGTCGCGATAGACGAAATATTGACAGCAGATGCCCACGTCATCGAGAGTAGTTCCCAGGGTCCAACATTATCCAGCGATGCTGCGATTATCGAGAGTAATGATCTGGAATGGGATACATGTTTGATTAATGACCATGATCCTCCAGTTCTTGTGCAACAAGGTACCCATCGTTTGATATAACTTTCATTTCATTTTATGATTACCAAATACATTTTTATACGTATGGTATTGAATGGTCAACAGTAAATTTATAAGTGTAGTAATAAGTTTGTGATTGTTATAATGATTGTTACAATTTATGTTTCAATGCTCACGTGTCGCGATTAAATCAAACATACTTTATTCTTTTACTTTATCTAGACGATGGATTTGAAATCGAAGCGATAAGCGACGATGGTTCAGATGATTTCTGTGTGATACCACTGCCAGCATGTTTTAATCCAGATATTCCGCTCAGTACGGACGATCCTGAGTACAAGGCCCATCTTGATGCGGATGTTGAATATCATAAAGTATATGATCAAATTGTAAGCTTATGCGCATATGCGTTTCCTGACAATTTCAATATCGTGAATGTGATTGGAAACATTTTTTTCGTGGAATTTAGAATGTAAACATGGTCTCCGTGGATGATGTTGAAGATGAATCATTGGAGGAGCAAGCTGTTTTCATTTCTTCACAATATACATCGGCAGAAAGCAATAAACAACTGCCCCTACATATTTTCTCAAAACCGATAAATATTGAAGCAAAAAATGAAGAAACTTTACCGACTCCAACATTTGATCCGAGAACAGCAATCAGCAAACCCCATGCTCCCCAACCGCTTTCATTTGAACGAACTCCGATTATGTCGAGTTGGTTATCAGCTTCGCCCCCCGGTAGAGCAGTGCCTGTATTACAATATAGAAGTGGTCCATCCAACGTGTCCAGTAGTTCATCTCCTGATACCGAGAAGTTTCACACTCCACTTGGTAATGACTCGCAGCCAGTTCGAACTCAACCTCCTGACGTTAGTGGCGCGCCTCAACCATATCTGAAGGAGAAAACAGGTTAGAATTAGAATGTGAATGATGAATGACAGTCATTTTTGTGCACATTTTTACAACACTGGTTAAGTGAACGATAAGTTAAGTTTAGTTGATTTTAAGAGTGTGTGGTAATCATTGACTTTCTGTCGCTGACGTGGTCCATGAATTGTAAAATTGTTAAATTTTTACTACAGTGACAATTCAACCGCAACCCACGTCAAAAACCTCAACCTCTGATCAATCTGCGGCCAATCTCACGTCCACAGTCGGTGGTACAATCAAACGCGCCTTGGGGACGGTCACTAATACTGTTACGTCATTTATGACCGGTAAAGATGAGACCGCGTTAAATGGAGAAGTTTTGAACTCAGAAAAAGTATGTTCTTTACATGATAATAGTAATCGTAAGATGAATGTACATGAAATAAATATTACACCTACAACTAGACACATACATATAGACTCTGACAAACTTAATCTGTATATGTTACAGCTTCTTCGATTGAACTGATTATGATAATCTTCAAATATTAAATCGTTTTCATAGAGAGCAAAAGCGACAAGTAAAGGCCAATCGAGAAGTGAACATGAACTTCAAACTGCTATGAAACAGCTAGAGGAGATGGGATTCCATGATCACGAACGGAATAAAATTTTATTGAAGCAGTTCAATTTGGATGTTAGTATGGTTGTGACAAAACTTTTTTAAGACACCGATTTTGATCGGTCAATCCTTGGACTTTCGTGTCAATTAGAAATGAATCAAGACATGGAAGTTATTTAGAATGTACATGGACTATCACAGATGCAACGTTGTGTGTTTTTTTGATGTTCGTAAAGGTTTCAATGTTGAAAAGTGTATTGTGTTGGAGTAGCAAGGTCATATCGTGTCGGAGTTATAGTACACCTGTAATTATCTACCACAAAAAAATATTTTGAAATTCAGAACTTGAAGAAAAACGTTCAGGAGCAGCAAAATATCATTTTTATTGTAATATCATTATGAAATTCAATAAATTTATTGTGACAAACTCTATAAGGCTTCTACTTACAGTAACTATAATCATACTAGTACTCATACCATTGCTACTAGCATTACCGTTATATTAACATTAATACCATTTCAACTTAAGCAGAATGGTATATTAGAGTTTGTTACTCGAAAATTATTGAATTTAATCGAGCGTGCACAATGTAATTCCTACGTCTATATAATTATCTTAACTTACAATTTTCATATTTTTAAGTAAAACATTTTCGATGCTGAAATTATGTAGAAACTATAACTCAATTGGAGCTCGATCTTTACAAATGCTTACACGTGCATCGGTGAACGGTAGGCTTGTAAGTAATTATCAAGCTTTGGTGCTCATTGTTAAATACTTTAGACACAATTTTCTTTGATAATGTTTGACTTTTGTAACATCGCCATAATTTATCGTAATTATCAAGGGTAGTATAGAATCATGGTAAAAATAAAGCACAAATATTAATAATCAATAAGAAAAGAAAAGTCAGTTCAATAAAACGACAAATCTTTTTTTTGTGATTACGTTCGAAGTTTCTATATTACATGCAAGCAAAGAACAAAGTCTTTCGCAGAAACCACAAGTATTCAATCGCTAGGTAATCCAAAATTCCAGTTATTGCTTATTATTTTATCAACACATGGGTATTATGACTGTCACAGCAGGTGTTCATCAACAGTTTGTTCAACTCAGCAGTCGTAGTATGACATTATTGTCTGAGCTGACATGTTTAATTAACATTTACAGTGTGTAGATACATAAACAAACTATTGAAATAACCTTTTACTTTTTTCCTTTAAGCATTTTTTAAAGGTAATTCGCGTCTACTAATATTCCATTTCGATCTCCGTTACTAATCATGTTAATAGAAAACGTAAAAATCCTGGAAACAATTACGAAGATAACGGTTCATTTAATAGAATTCGCCTCCCACGATAAACATCTAGCCAAACATTCACGGAACGGTTAACGTTAATCAAACAACTGTTTGTTTTAATTTGGGTATCTTAAGATATTATTGCTCCATTTCAATATGTCCATTGGATGGTTCTACAAGGAGTTGCTTGCTCAGGGAACTAATATAATCACTGGCAAGTTTCAGAAGCTCTAATTTTGTGATCTTTTGTTTCTCCCGCGCGGTAGGAACGGCGTTTTTTAAAATATTCATTGCATTTTTCATCACTACAATACGTTGCTTCTCGCGTTCGTTGGCTCTTTCTCTCCTCACTCGACGGTGATTGCTGGTCTTTGAGGTAGCTTTTTTTTCACTGATGATATAACTTAAACGTTTCTTCTTCGTCTGCTTTTCCTTTCCTTCAAGTGAATCCTGCCGCCGATTTCGCTCCATTCCAATGCCAAATGAATAACAGTCAGGTAAACCGTTACCGTCTCGACATTGAGAAAGACTGAACGACTTTTCAGGAGAATTTTCTTCACAACTGGAATAAACTCTGAGATCATCAGTAGTTGGATGAAAGCCAACTGTACTGGTATCGAAATTCTTCTCTGATTTCTTATCGAACTTTTTCACCTGTACAACTTTAGTTTCTTCAAGAAAATGACGAGGTGATGCCACAGCAAGTTTTCCTGAAGTGGAATTTTTGGTGGTGATAACTTTTGGAAAATCATTGGAATGCAACGTTGGTAAAGTCTGCAGACATAAAGAAGACGAAGCAAAGTCTTCATCACAAGAATAAAACGAAGAGCCTTTCCTGGAGCTTCTCTCGGATGGATCAAGATATTCTTCCAAGTCAGAAAGTGGCACATCGAAAGGATTATAACACGGATCTTCGAAGGAAATAATTTTTTTCTGAGTTGCTGGTGGAAAGTATGTACCATGGAGCTCATTTAAGAACTTCTGATGGTCCAATAGATTATAGTCTAAAATAAAAAATAAATTACACGATTTTACATATGAGCACCATAGTAAATCATAAAGTTCATGGTTCAGTTAGACAAATCGGCATCCGTACCAGTAAATAAAAAGACTATATGTTACATGTGCGAGTGTAATGTGTGCCGATAACTGTATTTTAACATTGGTACTTTTTATGAAATATTTCAATATCCACTGAAAACACAACGTCAAATCCACCAATCACAACGGCATTTCCCAGGCAGACAAATGCCAACACATAATGGCGACAAAAGTTCTCTGATTGCCAATTACATGTGACGATAAAAATAATAAGAGTAATAATAATAATGACAGGCTGATGAAGTTACTTTGTTAGAACTACATGGGCATATTTTGTCAACTTACCCATAATGTTAAAAAATCGAGATGGGTGAAAATGTTCTTCCAGTGCAGTATGTGGCTCGTACGTACGCACTCGTTGCAAACCAACACAAACTCTTCTTGATTGTAAACACGTGAGGTTCTTTTCTACTCTTTGAATAGTAATTTCCGAGTGCTTTGCAAGATTTTTTTAACCTCGTTTCTTTGTAAACGTACTCATGAGACAGACATTAATTATGTTGCATCCAAGTTCCAAAACAAAAGCGACCAACTCTTTTGCTGCTGAATAATGCATCATAGCCCGAAACTCTTATCGGCGTCTCTGGTCATCCCACCCCGTCGACATTAAACAATGAACGAACATTATAATAAAAAAAATCTTGTTTGCATACTCTTCCTATTTCACCACTATCATTATGGAAACGCAATTTGATAATAAGTTTACGAAAAGTACGAGAATCGAAGCAAATCATTATTCTAATTTCGTTTCTCTTGCTTTCTTGGTATGTTGAAAGACGAAAGGACGTTTACGTCTGCTGAAATTATCACTGCTAGAGGCTTTATTAACCGTTACTCCTATTGGTAAACAGGATATACAATATAATGGTAGAAAGAAATGGTCTATACACAAGAAGTAGCAACTATACATTCCGCTAAGAAGTACCGAGATGTTTATATTTGAGTGCCAAGAAAACGATAAGTTCGAACAAACGCTAGTCAACCATGACCATTTGTTTAGTTTGGTGGCCATGATGGAACAATACACTTATAATAATTTCTATCATTGGATATATCGATTGTCTCGATTATGGTAACAACTAGTTACCGAACGTCTCTATGCCATATTTACTCTATAAATTCTTGCATGTAAGGTATTAGTTCGTGGATGCAATGTGAACGGCACGTGAAACTTTGCCGTTGTCCATGCTGCCTAAGTTGAAGGTAATTTCGAGTTCGTGTAACGTCTTACGATATTATTTTGAAAAGTTAACAACAATTTGAAGTGGAAAGTGGAATGAGAAAAATTTTGCTACAAAACTTACATGCATGCACACATCTCTGGTCACAGGGAGTGGTGACGAAGAAAGAGTTGATATTTTCTCACGATGTAAACAAAGAGGCAGGCACATGGTTAGGTAGCACAAAGGCTCGTGATTGTTATATCTGTTGAAAAGTTTAAATGCCACGTGAAGGTAAATTGTTTTGAATAAGGCCATACATCGTTCCGCACAAAGTGAATGGCACAGTGTGTTATTTACAAAGAAGTAAATTGTCATTCCTACACACATATCTATCTTCAAAAATGTACATAACGGTAAAAGGTTTCGAGGTTTGAGACAATATTGAGTAATTGAAGCTTGTCTTTCTTTTTCGGTGTTTTGACTTCAAACGTAATAAAAGTTGTGCGGAAATGTCGAATTCTTTGGCGATTAGACCAAAATATAGGTTTAGCTATGGTCTGTGCATGTATTTTATTTGCAACTCGAGGAAAAAAAACACAAAGACGTTGTTTATATGGGCTTTGCTAGCAGGTATTCAGTGAAGCATTAAATAAAAGAGCAATCTTGTAAGATCACACTGAAAGGTTACGCATTCTTTGGCCTAATTATTGTCCATTTCAACGACGATTTTTACATTTACTCGAGCGCTGGTCACTTAGTGCGTTATATAATGTGCTCAGCGGTTTATTGTGAAAATTTCAACAAAGGGGGGGGGGGAGGGGCTCTCCGATAATTCTTTTTGCTGCTGAGCCCTCTAAACAAGACTGTAGAGTTACTAGTAAAAGTAATTTTGTGATATGATAAATAATTGATCTTGTTAGTCTTTTCAAAATCAATTAACGCTCCAATGAATTCTAAAAACGGTTCATACAAACTGGCCCCAATTTCGTAAATATTTACAGCAAATGCGTGCTTTTGTCAGAAGTGGGTGAATTATTTTAGGGGATGCTGGAGAAAAAATTCGTTCAATTTTCAACTGTTAACTACTCGCCATGTTTATCGAAATGCAGTATAACATGTTTTTATGTTAAAAAGTTAAACAACTTTCATCAAAGAAAAACATCATTAATTTTAGTAAATGACCACGGGCAGAAACGATTGTGGACAAATTCTGTTAAAAAATTTGAACATTGTAAAAAGCGTCACGTAAAGGAGAGGGTCTAGCTGTAGCATTCCAACGATTTTGATCGAATACGCACTGTGTCCCCTACTTACTTCCAGGAAAATTTAAAACTTTCCCCAATAACGCACCGCACCTTTGCAGTTGAACTTTTTTTGCGACGCCTCTGGACATTGTTAAATGTTCTTAAACATCACTCAAATAATAAATCAAGTTTACGTTTCTTGAGCTTTTTTGCTAGTCTTTTATTGGACGATCTATTTGTGCATAATCTTGTTTTTCTTTGCATACATTCAAAAATTATGTGTATTGATACTCAAGGCAATACTAAACTCAACAAGTCATAGGTACAAGAGGCACTCGGAACGAAATTCAACGACAAACATGCAAAATGAATAATTCTGTAGAAAACGGTTTGTATGGCTACTTATTGTATGTAGTGGGGAAATTTCAAAACATTAAATCATTTTGATGTGGTGAATTTAAAGGAAAATTCATAGAGCTGAGTTCAGTGCTTCAAATAATTTCTTCGAATCAGCTTTTTAAAATTTTTCTTTTCCCGAAGTCACGTGCATCGCTTTCATGTGTTTTTTTGCTTTCAGCTAAACTTTTCATAGTTTCAGAGTTGATTTGAGGTAGCATGGTGGGCAGAACGAATGAACTAGGACTTGATAAAATTTGCCAAATTTTAAACAAACGATTGCTAGCCTGATTTGTAGAAAGTGTAGTTATATCTCGGGTGAATATTATAAAATTTCAAAAAGTATACGAAAATCAAGAATTTGAGAATCTTTTGTACATCTGCCGCGTGAATTGTTTAAAATAATGAAACAACACAGCCTAATATTATTTACAATAAAGGTGTATACTACAGTCACAATGCTAGCTTTTATTGACAATGAATCTTTCAAATATAGCGTCTTGCATGCTAGTAGTAAGATCAGTAATTTCAACAGAGAGCATAAGTTTACTGTTATAAGTTCAATAATAGTTGTAATTTTAGTTGTACTATTTGTAGTTGGTGTAGCAGTTGTAATAGTAGTTATGCTATAAGTTTACTATAAAAAGTTCAATAATAAAATATGATCGAAAAATAAAACCACGAAAGGCGTGTATAACTCATACACATCACTAGGTACGCATTCAGTTGTGAACTTTTCGCAGGTAAGGTGCAAGCATCAAAAATTTAAAAGAACAGGCAACATTTAAAGAATTGTTCACAAAAATAAATTTAGATTCATCCTGGTCTAACATTTTTGCAGTAACCTTGTCATTGTAGAAAATCAATTGAAAATACTTTAGAAAAATGAATGGAGCATTTTCGATGTTTCGTTCACGAAATTGGCATCGGCATATATAAACCAGTTGAAACCAAAAATAATATCAACGATGACCTCATGTTTGTGAAATCTCCTTAAAGCTTACTGTGCATAGAGAATCTACAGTGAATTTTCATGTATTAAGTGACTATAATGGATAAATAATTATGTTGATTTGTACGATCAAGTAGATTAAGTGATTGAATATTTCTAAAGATATCAATGAAAATACATGTGGCATATGCTGGAAGACCAGCGTAGAGAATTCAGTCTATGGAGTGTAATTCGTTCATATTTTGTTTTCATTTGCTTCGTGTGCTTGTTTGTTTCAAGTAAGTGTGAAATGATGCTAAGTTGATAAATAAATCAATATCCATTATATTCTTCCTTTAAAGACGTTTAGTCCAAATAATTAAGCGACTATTTTCACCGAAGCAAGGTTTTGTGTGGATTTGATTAAATTGCGTGATCAATCCCTTCAATGTACATTTTATTATCAACTAGCAATCTCGCAGGAGAGTGGTATGGAAATAGAGAAAAAATGCACACGTACGAAACTACAAGAACACATCAAGAAGTCTTTTCGAGTCTGGAGATTGGGTCGAACGCAGAATGTAAAAACATGCATCAGTTTATGCTGTTCCAATAAGATGTGCGATTTAGCCTTGCTTAGCAATACAAGATGTTATGGCGTTAGCTGTTCGCATCACGAGCTTTGTAGGAATATAATGAACACCTTTCGTATAAAAAGACACGAAATCTTCAAACGAAGTTCTCCAGAGAGTGACGGTAGGTTTTTAGAGCTTGTGTAGAATGAACTGAATTCTATATCACTTAAGGTAATGCAACGTAGTGTAGTTTACTTAATGGAAATTGACAATGAAATGAACGACAATTGACAATGAAGTGAATTGAAAAATATTCATAAAGGAAAAAATTTCGGATCTTTTCGTACAGAACTTTTCGCAAGATTATAGTGTCGCACTTGGTCGAAAGGTTCAGGATAAAAGCGTTCTATATATATATATACAACTAATGCCATAGCTGCACACAAACTAAAAGCCGAGCCTTTTGAGATTTACTTCAACACGGTAAATAAATGAAATCATCGTACCTTTATAGAATTTTTGTCCGATGATTTCTCTCATCATCCCAAACACCATGGTTTCTGTCGACAGAAGAGAGTTATTCCGCATCACGTGTTTCTAAATGAAGACAAAAGTATGTTAAAATTCCGAAGACTAGCGACAAACGTACAAAGTAACAGAGTATGCAATGAATATTGTTGTCAAATAAAAGATTGCTCGTTAGCATTTACGATCAGAGGAAAATGTTACGGCGTTCTGTGTCCAGACGATGGAGAATGCGAAACTCGGAATGAAAAAAGACTACCGCTGCACGCAGAGATAGCTTTTCTAAAGAGAAGAGGTAAGGACGTGATTACTGTAGGATTTATATTGTTGGACAGTAGTGGACCTAAAGTAAGGGAGAAAGAGAATGATGATAAAACAAAAGTGAGGGGGTACGTATTGATGGTGGAGTACAAGTAGGATGGAAATGAGATGGAGTACAAGTCGGATGGAGATGAGATGGAGTAAAAGCAGGATGGAGATGAGATGGAGCAGTAGGGATGGAGGATGAGATGGAGATGGATGGAGGTGGATGGAGATGGAGATGGATGGATGGATGGAGATGGAGATGGAGATGGAGGGATGGAGGATGGAGATGGATGGAGGAGATGGAGTGGATGGAGGGATGGAAATGAGATGGAGTGGTGGAACGGTGTGGTATTAAATAAGAAGAATAAGTACAGAGATAAAAGGATAAATGGAAGTGTGATAAGATGATGCTGAAAATATAGGGATGGAATAACGGTTGAGTTGACGTCGTAAGCAGCAAGCATAATTGTAAAATTTATATTCGCCTTAGAAATGTTTGAGAAAGACTCAGAAACGATGAAATCAGAAGCTTCCTCATCGACTGATGGTACAAACAATTATTTTTCCAATCAAAATGAAAAACAGAAAAAATATAAAACAGAAAAGCTCAGTAGGAAAGATGATCCCAAAATATCCAAACGCAAACACCATTATCATCATCGATCAAAAGGTGTTCTCAGACATAGAAAAAACAAACGACGTAAGAGTGAACTTAATATACATCAGATATGGGATCATGGAAGTATAAATGATAAAGAATCGTGGAAAGACAAGTGGAAGGACAAAGACGACGATTATACAGATTCAGTTGTTGATGAAATTGAAAATCATCAAGGACAATATAATGAAAGAAAAAAGAATAAAGAAAATAATGATAATGCATACATTCAGGAAGTGAATATGGATGATGATAACGAGAAATTATATGATGAACAAGAGAACCAGGCCAATGATAGAAAAAGTCAAGAAAACTCAAATCATCACTATCACAATCATTACCATAAAAATACGAACATAAAAGAACTACTAGAAGAGGAGAAAAAGTTGATTGATAATGATCAAGATGATGACTATCATGATAATGGACATGATGAGAAGGACTCGTTTAAAGAAAGAAGGTGGAAACACGAACACAAAATATTTAAAAACAACAAAAACATGATTAATGTAGGACATTCAAAAAGAAGAGGTGAAAACAATGAAAGATCAAAAGAAAATGATGATGAAGATGATGATGATGAATCTTCAAGTCCTCAACAAATGAAACACGCCGTAGTAAAAAAGATGAAAACCAAGAATATCATTCGTAAGAATTTTCAGAGACACAGAAAAAAGGATAAAGAAAAAACTCCTCACGATAAGAAAAAAATAAATGTACATAAAAAAATGGGAAATGAAAGGGATGGTGAAAAAGATATGGACGATCAAGCAGAAAGTGTAAAAAGCTACAACAGCCAGAATAAACTATATTCTCGTCGTCCTCATTACCATAAGAAGAAAATGAAAGAAAGAAGGCGTCATAAGTCAAGATTTGATGCAAGGACAAAACCAGAAAAGAACCAGCACCACAAACATAAAATTGCAGAGTTGAGGGAAAAAATTGAAGAAAGAAAAAAGGAATTTCAAAGAAAAAACGAAAGAGAAAATTTTGAAGACGAAAAAACTGACAAAAGACATTCCTTGAAATCTCGAAAAAAAAACAAAGACAGAACGTCGAGTAAAGGAGATGACGATGAAAATAAAGGAAAACAGGAAGAAAGCGAGGAAAAAGTAAAAAACGACTTTAAAAAAGAACAGAAGGAAAGTAATAAATTATTAAAGAAATCATTCATAACTAGAGGAAACGACGTAGTTGTTGAGTCCAAGAAGAATGAAATCCCTGGACACAATAACAAAAATGATGCTGAATCGAGTAATGACGACAACAACAATGGTCATGAAAAGACGTATCACAAAAGACGTAAACTAAAAAAACACACATATCATGGAAAGATTTCCAATCATAAGGACAGAAGAAAAGAAATGAATAAAAAACACAAAAACAAACGGAAGAAATTGGCCGATAAACATGTCAAATTTCATGGGAAAACCCAAAGTGTTGCAAAAGATGCAAAAATCAATACAATTGATAAAAGTAGAAAACATTATCATACGTTTAGAAATAAGCACCTAAACAGAAAAAGACATAAAACACATACACGAAAACATATAGCGGGCGGGAAAGGCGAAGAAACAAACCCAACAAAAAAAGAATTTCGACATTTAACACACAGTGGTAAAGACAACGATGTAGAAATTGTTAAAAATATTAACATTAAGAAAAAAGACAGACACAAAGTGAAAAAGAGTCATGACAAAAACAAAACGAAACGGTATCGTTATAATGACAAAGGCCAGCAAAAACTGATCAATAATAATGATGAAGATTCAAATGAAGTTTCTAAAAGCCACAAACAGAGGAAACATGAAGAGAAGGAAGCCAATACTATAAAATCTGAAAAGATTTCAGTAAAAACCTCTTTTCATCAAAATCAAAGTAGTGCCCTCAAGAAACAAGATAAGAAAGCAAAAAACTTTGTGAAAATCAACAGAAAAAAGTTCGATCATAAACAGAGAAGACTCGGTAACACAATAGACGATAAACACGGGCATCGTAAAATTGGTCAAAGCAACAGCAAAGTAAAGAACGACAAAGATAAAAAGATGAATTATAAAGATGAAAAAATAAAGAAAAATTCAGAAGATGGAAAAACAAAGGAAAGTTCAGAAGATAAAAAAGAAAAGGAAAGTTCAGAAGATGGAAAAACAAAGGAAAGTTCAGAAGGTGGAAAAATAAACGAAATTTCAGAAGATGAAAATCGAAACAAAATCGAAAACAAAGAAAATCGAAGATGGAAAACAAAGGAAAGTTCAGAAGATCGGAAAGTCAGAAGATGGAAAACAAAGGAAAGTCCGAGATCGATCCGAAGATGAAAACAAAGGAAAGTCAGAAGATCAAAGGAAAGTCCAGAAGATGGAAAACATCCAGAAGATGGAAAACAAAGGAAAGATTTCCAGAAGATGAAAACAAAGGAAAGTTCAGAAGATGGAGTTCAGAAGATGGAAAACAAAGGGTTCAGAAGATCACCAAAAACGGGTCAGAAGATTTCAGAAGATGAAAACAAAGGATCCACGTCCAGGATCAAAGTTCAGAAGATCTTCAGAAGATGGAAAACAAAGGAAAGTTCAGAAGATTTCAGAAGATGGAAAACAAAGGAAAGTTCAGAAGATGAAAAAACAAAGGAAAGTTCAGAGGGTGGAAAAACAAAGGAAAGTTCAGAAGATGAAAAAACAAAGGAAAGTTCAGAGGGTGGAAAAACAAAGGAAAGTTCAGAAGATGGAAAAACAAAGGAAAGATCAGAAGATGAAAACAAAGGAAAGTTCAGAAGATGGAAAAACAAAGGAAAGTTCAGAAGATGAAAAAACAAAGGAAAGTCCAGAAGATGAAAAAACAAATGAAAGTTCAGAAGTTGAAAAGAATGAAGACAGGCAAAAAGATTATGAAAACAGTCGACAGAATTCCACAACAATAAATCGCGCCAACGAGGTGAGAAACCAAAATAAAAGAACACAAAAGAAATCAAATAAGTCAATTGACATTCGTAAAAATACAAAAGTGAGCGAAGACGACATGTTGAAAAATCCTCAAAAACAAACAATTAAAACATTAAATCACGACACCGTGAAACACATGTATGGAAAAAATAAAACACTAAAAGAAGGAATAAAAATGAAAAACGTAAAAGACCAAGAAGTCAAAAGAAGTCATGTTGAGTTAACTAAGAATAATCAAACATTAGCAGTCAATTCAACATCAAATCATTATGAGAGTGGGATGTCAAATATTAAAAACGTTTCAAATAACAGCAAATTATATGATAATAACGCTCATACAAAAAACATAAAGCAAATAGGAATATCTTCTTTGGTAAACAAGGAGAGAAACAGTTTATCAAAAGACGGGAGAAGAATAGCAGCAAGTCATGAACGAAATACGGTGAAATATAACCATACACAGGATGAAAGAACAAACAAATCAAAAAATAAAGTTGATAGTGAGAGGTCTAATTCGTCAATGAATGACAGCAAAGTGACTATCAACAAGAACGAGAGTCTAAAAAACGATATCATAAATATTATGGAACGAGAAAATGTAACTGTCCACGTAGAACGCAATCCGTCTTTATTTCACAGTCTGAATGAAATGAAAAACGAGGCAAATAAAAGTAAATTAATGGCAAATGAGAAAGAGAAAAGCGTTTCTAAAGAAGAAGACAAGTCTCGATTTTACAATCAAGAAACTAAAGAATGGAAGGAGCTCAAAAAAGAGGACGACGCCGATGACGGTTGGAAATATTTCAATCAAAGAACAAGAAATTGGTCATTCAAACCAAAAAAAAACGCAGAATATTTCAACAACTTAACAGAGCATTGGAATTTGGGAAATAAAGAAACTAAACCTTCGGATTCAGAGAAATTCTTCAACCAACGAACAAAAATGTGGTTTGGGAATAGCAAAATAGAAGAATCAAACAATATTGAGCATAATCGGAGCACACCAAGAAGTTTAAACAAGGTGAACAATTTAATCCGCCATAACAATGTGACGAAAGGAAAAATGAAGATAATGAACAACAACAGCATGCAAAAGCCACAAGGACAGGAAACATACGTGAAAGGTTATGATTCCCACAAGTTCCAAAAAAAATATGACGAGAAACTAATTAATTCAAAAGTAAAAAATTTACCTAACGCCATCCGACAAAAATCCTCCAAACGTACAGGTGAAGACAAGTTCCAGGGTTCGCAATCAACTGCCATTCCACTAAAATCCTCCAAACGTACAGGTGAAGACAAGTTCCTGGGTTCGCAATCGACTGCCATTCCACTAAAATCCTCCAAACGTACAGGTGAAGACAAGTTCCTGGGTTCGCAATCGACTGCCATTCCACAAAAATCCTCCAAACGTACAGGTGAAGACAAGTTCCGGGGTTCGCAATCGACTGAAAAGAAAATAAAGGAAGAAATATTGAAATTGATCAGTGATTCAAAAAGTGGACAGGCTTCACGAAATGAAAAACAATTCTCGAATGTGGAAAATAAAGCAAGCAATAAAAATATTGGTGTTAAAATGATCAATCACAGAAAGCAGCTTCCTTCGCATAAAGAAATTTCATCAAATGGACGTCAATATCAGTTCAAACTAAACAGAAAAACGAAAGGAAAAACTACTTCAAATACACTTGATAATGTTCAACCCGTCCAATACGCGCCATTTAAACGTCTATATCCAGTGAATTCCGTAAAAGGGCATGATAAAACATATTTTACGAAGGGAACTGGAGCAAATAAAAAATCCCAGCAGTTTCCAGGAATACCAACCAGAACGCCATTCAACAAAGTCTCAGAAATACACAATAGCGAGATTAAAGAAATTTTACCGCATGAAAAAGAGACCATATCATCCTATCCTGAAATCTTAAGAAATTGGAACAAGAACTATAACCAACAATGGAATAGACAAGAAAACGTCTACGACAACGAATGGAATAACGCCAAATGGAACTGGTATAATTACAATGGTTATAAAAATAATGACGTGAAGAAAACATGGACATATACACCCACGAACGCCTGGAATCGGGGCAATGAAATTAACATATATCAGAATGGTGAAAATCAAGAATCTACTGTTCAGCAACCCTTAAATATATTCTCTTCACCAGAAAATCCCATAAATGAAGATCGTAGTTCCACAGGAGATAATATGTATGGAGATGGTATACAAGTAGGACAACAAGGGATTGTACAATCCGTCCCTCCACAACCTGTTAGACGACCAACAAACCTGATAAGTGGGTGGGATAAATGGCAGGACGTTGAGCGCTTAGGTGGATTAACATCTTTACCCCAACATAACAAGAAGTTGACACAAAGCAACACGGATACATATATTGACAGAAAGGATAATAGGGAGTGGAATGTGATTGATAGGAAAAGTCAATGGCCATTCATGGTAAACGGAGCTAAGTTGAAGCCGAAATCTACTATACCAAATAATATAAATGAGTTTAGGAAACACGATGCAAGGCACACATCAACAATGGGTAACAATAATCACAACAATGCAAAACAAAGCTCCACTAAAGAACGAAATCAAATGAATCACGACAGAAGACAAAAACCTTTTAATTCTACGAGGAAACAACAAAGAACACCCGAAGATATGAGGAAAGGTAATGTAAAGATAGTCGACATTTTTAATACAATACAGCAATCCCTCACTTGACGGATGGACTGACATCAAGCAAAACAGAAGTCACGTATGTAAGAAAATATCTTCAATGTTTGCATTTAGAGAATAGAGTGTTGAAAACAAAACAGCCATTCACTCATGTAAGAACTATTATTAAGAAAAAAAAATGACAATGTTGAATATACAGTTATAGTAAACAAACTCTCATTTTTTCTTTAAGTGTTAGGTCCGGAAGGGGTTAACACTTCAATCGTGAGTGTCAAGATTGCTCCAAAACCAAATCGAGTTGCATCCACAATGTTGCCCAGAGTCACAATAACACCAAATAACACAAACAACACAAACAACGATGGGACACTTCAAGAATATTTCAAAGTGGAAAAAATTGAATCTTTAAACGAAACAGACCTGACAAATGAAAGTGAGCTTACGATTACAAACAAAATATAGTGTTTGTAACAATCAAATTATGACTAGAATGCAGCCTTTTTACCTAGAGAAACAAAACAAGACCTTCACATGTTATCCTGGAGAAATAATGAATGAGATGACACTAGAAAGAGGTCTGGAGGCGGGAAACTATTCAAATCTTGGTGCAACAGCCCTAATGGATACTTGCATCAATAAATGCTGTAACATACAGACATGTGACGTAGCCATCAAAATGAATGACCTATGTTTTGCTTTAACTTGCCGCGCAAAGGAATCGTGCAAGATTAAGAGCACCCTTGGCAAATCATCGCATCATAAACTTTGTTTTATTTCAAGAAAAAGGAAGGAGAGACAGAGTATACGAGGTAAAAATATAGGTTTGTTTTATCAGCTAGTCGATAACACACCGAGATAATATTACTCTTCGTTCATTCTGATATGCATATATGCCCACAGAAAAGTATGTAATCCAATAACTTACTGTCTTCAAATTAGTCTCCTTCCATTAGTTTGGGAGGAGCATGCTCCCGTTATTGCCTAGCGATGGCAAACAAAGTTCAATAAATGCGAGAACGACATGTGATGTTATTTGTAGAGTTTAACAAGGACATTTTGGACATTGATGTTTGTCATGAAGAAGAGGCAACAGGTTTACATTGGAAAACGACAAATGCGGGAAGTTATGACGAGAGACCCTGTCCAAAAAAGGCGAAAGGTTGGGTAATACGACGAAATATTTTCCTTGGAAGTTTAACGTAATAAAAATGTAGATGCAATACACAGTCGATGTCCATAAACGCAAATACTGTGATAAAGCAACTGATAGGATAGGAATATGAAAAACGGCGCAAATAGGGAATTCTTTCTACTCATTTCTTTAGATGAAAACATGTTAGATTTTACTTAACACTGAATGGTAACCAACACCGCATAAGTGGTGATGGGTATATAGTAAAGTTCTTCCCTTCGTATGTTTGGATATGCTTGCTTGATTCACAACTGTTGGTTGAACATTTGTCAAACATGCAAGCATTTGTAAGTTACGTTGCTTTGAAAAAATCATACGACATAAAAAAATAATGTTGCAGGAACTGCTAGACGAAAATGTGCCATCAAATCAACGTGGCTGTTTCCTGACTTCAGCTCTTGCGTCACCAACGAATATGAAGATTTGTATGAAAGGGTAAGTTTATATCGAAGATTAAAATTTCTATAAATATTGGAATGTTGGTATCCAAAAAAAGGCAATAATCCAATGAACGATTTTCGATATTTCCAGGCCAAACAACTGGTTTATGGAGAAGATCCGAGCTCTCTTTTGCAGAGTTTATCCGTGGTCACAACAAGAACTATTGAAAATTCATTGATATTCGGAGGAGATCTGAGGAAAACCAATGAAATACTCACAGCTGTTGTCCAAGAAAGCTCAGTTACACCCCATCAGATTACTCTGACAGACATTCATGTAAGACACGCTGACATAATATATGGAATCCATTTTTCAAGAAATCCTCAAAGTGTTAAATCTTTTCTAGAATTATTTGACGACTTGTAGCAATGTCCTTGACGATAGCAATCGCCATGAATGGAAATACATACAAAAGGTTCGAGCTTCTTTGTGCGTTGAACACAGCACCAAACAGTAAAAGTGGTCTATACATCCTTGAATGCAAATAAAAATGCAAGCAGAGATCCACAAGAAACACGTTAGGTCAAGAACTTATTGTCTTTCTTTGAAAACATTTTCAGAACCACAGAGGATCGGCAGACGTTCTGAAGAATACACAAACCTTCACTGTAATTTCGAGTGCGACACTTGCGCATGGCAACTCAAACTTCACAGACATCACGAACAATATAGGTATTTAAGTGGAATGTGAAAAAGTTATAGCAAGTCAGGAAACTGAGCCTTTTTGCATTCTTTTTCATATGCAATGCTCGTGTTCAGTCGTACAAGTGAGTTCACACAAAAAAGGAAGTGACAGTAAAATTTTCCCTGACTACGCCAACACTGATGTTGCATTATGGGATGGAGAAAGAGACAACATAAGGATTCCTGCATCAGTGTTCAGTATAGGTAACGTTGAAACGCAGTTTTCAACACGAAAACGAATTAGTTCATTTCACAACGAAGTATTGAATTACTTAAGTTAAAAGTTATGAAATCGATGAGAAGGAGAAAAACTGAAGTGAATCAATATCAAGTTACGCCGTATTACATGTTTTATAGGCAACACAAAAGTATATACATTCAGCTACAGAACACTATCAAGCTTGTTACCGTTGGATTACGAGGGAAGTTTAGGGTGAGCAACTGTATTGTCCTATGAAGACAACAGAGAAACACGAGATATACACAAATCAACCGAGTTTTAAAACGATCTGTCACTTTTATATAGACAAGCGGAGCCAAACACAAAGATTCTGGCGATAATTACGGAACCACGTATTCAAGACAAAATAACACCAGCCATTACAGTAACATTACATCATCTCAAGGTTTGTCACATGACATTGTGTGAAGAGTCCCGAGAAATACTTACGTCATTATAAACGTCAGCTTTTTATTTCAGGAGAACAGGATCAACCCACGATGTGTCTTTTGGGATTTTAATTTAAAGTATGGTTTTTGTTGTATTAATTTTCTGTATGCGTGTATTCATTTTCACATCAAAAATGCCTTTTCTTGTGTTATATCTGTGTGTATGTGATAACCCTCAGATAAAGTATGGTTTTGTTGTGATTTATCCCTACTTGTATGTCATAATCCTCACGTAAAGTATGGTTACGTTGTGATACATCTGTGTGTGTGTGTGCCAGCATCCTCATAGCTTATTGAAAACTGCAACTGAACCTTCAACACTTCCATACATTGTAGTCCACTTCATGGTGGAGCATGGTCAACCAAAGGTTGCTGGGTAGAGTCAAGTAGTGATCACCACACGATATGTCGATGTGATCATTTGGCAAGTTTCGCGGTAATTATGGAGACTGCTGATGCAAATTCACCACAGGTATCAATCATTTCAAATAATTCAGAGATTCAAAAAAAGATGCTGTTTAAGAAGTATCGGTCTTACAGAGGAAATTTCTTGTGCCACAGGCTTCAGAGAAAGATGTGCACAGCGCTAGAGAAATGGCTGTTGTGTGGTTTTGTGTTCCTGTTTTAGTTATCTTTGTAATTGGAGTGCTATACATGGCTGCCTCATGGTGAGTCGATGTGTATAATGTTACAGAGATAAAGAGATCAGTTATATACTTTTGATGCATGACGTAGTAACCAATCAAGTTGTGAAAGAAGCTTTTGTCAAAAAACTTATATTTTTGAAACTGAGAAAAAATCCTCCAATTTAATAGGTCAACACGCCCTCGCAGTCGAAAACAGACAGGTACGATATACGCAGAAAACATAAAAATTTGATTCCGGAATAGAAAGCAGAATTTACTCAAGTAAATCATAATATTAAAATCAACATATTTTATTGAAGTTAATCAAAGATCCAGGCTCTTGAAACAATCGGTGACAACAAATAAAGTAAAATATGACTGTCCTTCAACACCATTACCCACTCTCAAAGGAGAAGCAGAACCAAAACTGAAAGATTATGAATGTCAACAAAATGACATGTTGTGTAAATATGTTGAAAAGATTGCAGATGATGTGAGAGAAGATTACCAGTTACCAACACAATTTGATCTGGAACAAGACTCTGGTATTGAAATCAACGATAGAGATTCATTTCATGATGATGATCTTTCTTTGAGTCAGGTAAAAATATATTTCAAAAAGTTGTCGAAACTAGCAGAAGCAGACTACAAAGATTTCATTCATGTTTAAATGTTGAACTTAAACAAAATACGTCCAACAGGAAGATATAACGTGCTCAGAAAATGAACTGTTCTCAATCACTCAAGAGGATTTCAATGTGAATTGTGGAAATGGAGAAAGGGCAGCCCCAAATCGAAGAGAGAATGAAATACAACCACTAAAAACTTGTATACTTAATATGCTTGAACAAAGGTACAATTTTAAAAGTAGCTTTATCAACATTCACAATCATAATACAACAACTTTGAAGAACATCAAACGACAGTTAGTTTAACAACTACAATCCTGTCGTGAAATATATAAAGGAAGTTTAGGCAATTCCAAATAATTGACAGTAGCCACATCGTTTCCTTCTTAGTATTTTTATATGATTAAATAACAAAATAACAGATGAAAGTGGCCACTTACGTATTATTTAAAGACAATAACTTCTAGTCCCTTCTACAGTAATGCGAAATGGAATTTTTGAATCATTTTGTTTGAAATTCTCACGGAGTTTTGTTCCCAAATATATTAAAGCAACCTCCATTTTTAAAATTCCCGCAATGAATTACTTTGCTTGGGTCGTGGTGGCTTGGACCTAGATCACGCGGGATCGTGGTGTACACGCAGATATTTCCCTGTTCATAAACAGTATAACCTTTTTTTTAGAATATTCCATCGCAATCTGAAAAGATCTGTTGGAATGGATGATCTCACTATAACAGACCAGACAAGAGAGAAAAAAAGTAAGTTATATAAATTGTATATATGAATTAAAATGTCTGTTACAACTCGTATGTAGTGTTCCGAGCCGCCAAAACTGACGATTATTTCCATAACTATAGCTCTAAACGACTAAACGTGCATAACAACTAGTGCAGGTTTTTTTAGTTTTCGAGGAAAACGATATCGAACCCATATCACAACACCATCTAGACAGTAAAAGATCGTGCGTAACAATGTATTCCTCATTACAGCATGATATATCAATGGTAACGGCACAAAATTTACGGAAAATGGGAAAAATGATATCATTATGAGAGTGACAAGCAAAGAAAGACCATGATAATAAGCATTGCGTTTATCAACACGACTAATGTTTGTGTAAACAAGATTCCCATACGGTAATTCCTTCAGTTGAGACGTACTGCATATCGTCACATGAGGATTCGACGTAAACTCTCGTATAGTTTTATTAACGCGCTTCAAAATCATCCAGTTAAATAAGAACGCAAGGTAGTCCAACGCGAGGAAGAAAATTTGACAGAAAAACAATACAGAGAACTTGGGGTTATCTTCATTGGGAGTGCTATGCGATAGAATTAGCGATATGAGTACGCCAGCAAGATCGACAACCGCCAAATGAAATGGAATCCAGACACGAGAAACAGATTTATCCGGGTCACAAAAAGTGATAAATAGAAGAATGGCATTGAGATGAGTTGTTAGCGATAACAATGTCAAACTCTCTGTGTTTAGGACGAAAATTTCTGTTGTACTCGTGCTGATGACTGGTGACATTTCTCTCGTTAAAGAATTCAATCATTCGACGTTCGCCAGAACTTTAGTAAAACTGAAAAACCTTGTTTGCGTCACTTTCACTTAAATACGACAAAAGTTTCCATGACATTAAGATGCCCTCACTAAAGCACGTGCAAATGTACGCCACGATTCATAGTGATGTGACCAATCAGGGACGGATTTTGATGTAAATAAAAGCCTTTTTTAGCAACTAAAATTTCATTAAAGATGTTTACAAAAGCAAATTAAAATTGTCTAGTCTGAAAGAAGCTAACTCTTGATTGCAAAATGAGACCTTGTCTGATGTTTTTGAATCAGTCCTTTCTTTTTAAACTATATTTCTTAATCTGAATGTCTTTCGCTATTATCTTGTACAAATTGGAATATTTTTTTAAGGAAAGTTGTTTAATTTCATACGGGTTTACTTAGTTTCCGCGGAGATAAAGATTTTCGTGATCTTTGCACAGTTATAGGCAAAAATTTAATTTATTTTCTTTGAGAGCGATGCACTATAAATTATCAAAATGTCTCTGTTTAAAGGATTCCTACTTCTGCTTAGTCTCCGTAAAGAGAGATTTTCCAGAATCTTCATCGTCCGTTTGTTAAGGTCTTCGCTAATACAGTGGATAATGTGAAGAGATCCTTCACTTTTCCATTGCGTTTGATATTTCCTATAATAGACGACCAGCGTCCTCTTTTTTCTTTGCCTTTTTTACTAACTTTAAAGGGGCTTTACTATCGCTGAATTGTTTTGAAGAAGACGCCCGTTTTTCAGGTTCTTCTTCAGCAATCATATCATCGTAAGATACTCCATCTGATACTGCGATCTCAGGTTTCTTAGTCGCAAGTAATTTTTTGTTACTACCTTTGAAAAGTTTCTTTTTAGCTGGGCTAATTGGAGGCTTTGATTCTAGTCTCTTATCTTGTTCAAGTGGTTGTGCACGTGGTTGTGTCTTTTCACCTGATTCAATAGGGTTCTCTTGTATTACATCTAATGATGTTTGACTGGCACTCCGGGTATTTCTACCGAACAATTTCTTTTTCTTCTTAACTTCACTTCGTCTTGATGAAGAGGTTCCGTCAACGTCCTCGACACTAGCTAAATTATCTTTCCTTTTTTGATTCCTAAATTTCTTTTTGGATTTAGGTGTGACAACACCATCAGTATTCAGTGTGCTAAAATATTCATTTGGGAATAGCGTCCGAACACTATCTTTAGCAAGTCTTTGTTTTTCTAAAGGCTCTTCATGTACAGAGTTCTCGATTAAATTAAATATTTTAGAAGGAGTGGTGGTCCTCCTGTCTTCAGGGGAGCCTGAACTTCCAGACGAAGTTTGTAAAGGTGGCACACTTTCTGAATTGTGCTTTTGCATATTAAAGCCAATTTTTCCTCGTGTGTCTTCTTCATATGACATGGGATGTCTGTGACGTCGAGGGTAACTGTCTGTCTTTGATTTGACGGGTAGGGGAGTGGAAGAGTCTACTGGTTCGGCAGCGGGCTCTTCATGGGATATGAAGTTATAAGGTTGGTGATAATCAGAAAAGATCATCGCTTTTTCTTTCATTAACAGTTGTTCCTGGAGATCTTTGTGCAAACGTAGTTCGCCCAGGGAACGTTCGTCGTCACTCTGATGGTGACGATAATTTAGATTGTTCATAGAAAGACGTTTCGCACACGTTAATATGCTTGAGATCAAAACAAAATATACTTGCCTGTTGCGTTTCTTCTGTAATGCTGTCTTTGTCAATCGTGTTCCGCCGTTTTCTTTTTTTCTTTCGACGTCCCTAGGAAGAAATATGAGGAGTTTTTAAAACAAGCCATAGACCTTAAACAAACCCAAAACAACTTTCATTGCAGATGCATCATCCAACATAAAATATAATTAAACTACCTCTCCTTTCTTTCGTATTTTCTTCTCACCAGAAGTGGTGGAGAGACTGGAGGATTCACGTTCAACCTAAAGGCAACCAGTGCAAAAATACAAAGCGAGATTCAATTTTTAGAATTAGTACGCCTTGTGTGAAAACTCTCAGTCTCTTCGCGGTTACCTTAGGTAAGGTTTCAGTGAGTAAATCCGGTTTGTTTCTTTCACCTATAAAATACATTGTTTATAAATCCGATTTACTATAATACAATCAAAGGACTATCAATTTTTAGTGTCTGAAATATTAGAGACATCATTTTCTTATTAAAGATACATGACCTCTACCAATTGCGGATTCCTTATCACGACCATTTAGCTTTTTGCCTTTTCGCCTTCTGCAGCACAAAATAACATAACTGCAATCAATGTATAATTTTGCATCAAATTTTGCCAGCTTGTTTTTCTTATAAGTCGTAAAGACGGTTTTGTAGATAATCTTAATGTATTCACAAGAGGAAACGGTTATATATATTGACAGGGGTAGCGAGATCCCCCAAGACTTTGTTCGTTATTCCCCTTATAATATAATGTACTCGATGACTCCTTCCTTTGCAGGTTGTTGCAAGGAAAATGAAAACCCAAATCTTATCACTCATTTGATATACTCTTGAATTATGAAAAACTAAGAATTTTTAAGTCATCACCTCCATAAGAAAACCATAAGAATCAAAAGAATAGCAAGAATCAACAAGATAGGTAAAACAATGTACAGTGCCAGACGAATGGAACGAGTTTTTCTTGATTTCCCACCACTACCAATTTTTGGTGGGATTGGAACCGACTGAATCACAAAATCCTAAAAATGAAATAATTACATTAACTTAGAGAATGAGTCAATTTAGAGCAATAACATTGTTCCGTAGATAACAGAACATGTGATTGAGCACTGACAGCTTTTTTTCGATGAAAGGTTGACATGCAAAGAATATGTTTCGACACCAAAATAATTTTACTCGATAAATGGAGTTTTCCACAAACGTTCCTTCAGAGTTCTCATTGATGTTAATATAGTAAAGCTCTGACATACATTTGGTCTGCTTTTATCAACAAGTAAGCTGAATGTTGACATTTTGTTGCATTCACAAGTTGTATGAGTAATATTGACGTCTGCAACTCGACAACCATCTTTAGACCACATTTCGTAAATGTTCCTAAAGGCGAAGTAATAGCAGAAGTTTATCTTCAAGGAATAAACAATTGAAAATGTGAAGGCTTTAGTTCGTACTCTGCGCTTGAGTTTAGGAATACACAATCTTGCTTGAAACGAGCCATTTCAGGCTGCAATAATGAGAAAAATTACAAGAATTAAAACAATGCAAATGAAAAAGCAGCCCACTTCTGAAGTTGACAGAAAACATGTTTTTACTATACATTTAAATGTTCAAGTGTAATTCTTAAAGGTGGATCCAGTTCGTCAGCAACTTTAGGAAATACAGACAGTGACATCATATTACCACTTTCGACATTCATATTTCTATAACAGCAGAACAAAAGAGGCCGTCGATTATCTCGAAGAATAATTATCGTATGGTTGTCTGTAGTGATGCAGTAAAATTAACTTTAATGATGTAAAAAAATTTTCACTGTGTGGTCAAAGATTTTGCCCTGCAAGAAAGTGAGCAAGGTTTATGTGAACATCTGTTCAAAGGTGGATAAACATCAATATTAGAAAAAAAGTTTTAACTTAAATAAAAATTTCTGAGTTTTTGAGGAGTTTTTTCACTTGTTAGCTGTAAAGATTGAAGTCCTTTTTGATAGATTCAAAATTCAAAAGCTATCACAAATTGATCTAGCTTTCTGCTGTCGTTTAATCACTATTTCAGCAACTCTGGTAAAATATGTTTAATTGAAAGTACTTTGTGATGATGGATTCTTTCCTTACCCGGATCCTTCTTCAACAGGAATACTTAAATTTCCTATTGTTTTAAACAAGACTCCCACAACGTGTGCTTCCACATTAGCTCCATGTGCAATATCATCTAATGCGGCCGGGGACAATGTAATAAGGTTTGTTTCGTTAGACCACTCATGGATGCGAGGATCGGAAATGTTTGGAAACACAATGTTTGGTGCAGGTCCTTCAATGTCTGTTAGGATAGTAGACAATTCCATAGCTAAAACAACATGAAAATTAAATTCAATACTTGCATTGGTTTTGTACCATATTTTGTTGCATGGATGTTGAATATCTCCTCTTTTAGAACGTGTAAATAGCTTACCGATATTTTTACTAATGATAACTTGATTTACAAATGACTCCAACTGATACGATGCTGAAAGACCGAAAGATTCAACAGCTTCGATCATCTCATACAAAACAGATGAACTCCTCATACCCTGTCATAACAAATACATCAATATAGGAAATATGAAAAATCATTATTATGGACTCATTGTTATAGACTCATTGTTTACAGAAGAGAACACCCAATGGCAAAATAGATAATTCAATAGAATAAGAGATGCTAAATACTCAATATTGAATACTAAATTTAACAAAACAGAAGACTCAAATGGCAAACAGATACTCAATGTTAAATAGATGAATTGAACAGACCAACAGTACATGCTACTCAATGCCGACATAAAGGATTTACGTGCAACAAAAAGCTTGCAAACTAACTTACAGTTGTAGTTCTTCTCGAAGCTCTTTCCCAGTCCACAACATTACCATCTTTCATTATATCAACACCTGTTTTGCTCAGTTGTACAACATGCTAAAATACACAGTAACCAGTAAAACGAAGTTGTTTTGGTGCACTGAAAAAAGGCATAGACAAAGCCATTAAAATCAAATCAACTTTGAAGAAAATTTCCTTACTCTTTGCGCGTTTTTCCACTCTCTCGCATTTTCAATATCCAAAATGTTGCTGCAAGTTCTCAGAAATTCCTACAATGTAGAACAAAGGAAATAGCTTCTACTTTGTTACAAGTAAGACAGCTTGTCCCTATGAGAGACAACAATGTTCAAGGTACATGTACAAATTTTTATATTAATTAGGTTTATAGCATGAGATAAAAACTCACCATAACATTCTCCAAAGTAAGCAAAGGTTTCATATATTCATTGAACTTCACAAAATAAACTACGCTATCTGCTGCAAGCAATAAATCACCACCAAACATAGGAGCAGGATGTTTTCCTTTCTTTACTATGATCATACCATCCTTTGCATTTGGACGATTCTTCTTGAGTTGAGAAGATTGTCGATGGTTGTAGCCACTTGAGAAATCGTTGATTCTATTCTGCATGTCATGAATTGTGAATGGAGATGATTGAGCATTATCGAATATGGAATCAAGTTCGTCAATATCACTTGCATCGTGAATTACATCGAAGCTTTGATTGGCGACCTGAGAATCCCATGTATGGGAAAGTGCGTTGTTTGTTTTCGAAGAAACACGAGAACTTGTTGTATCTGTTGTTAAATTTGTGGCAATATTTTGAAACGTAATTTTGTATTCTGACTTGTGAGTGTCGTTTGCAGGAGTCTCCGTGTAGTTCTTCGGAGACGGTTTACTTGTAATGTTATAATCAGACAAAAAAGCATCTAAGGGATCGTTTATAGTAATGTACGAACCATTCTTTATGCGAACGGCTGAAATGTTTGCAGCAAACAGAGATTTTTTCATATTCTTTGTCTCGTTAATGCTTTGAATTATACTCGGTACATTAATGGTTTGTGACATAAAGGATGGTGTTTGAGAGGTAGACGATGAATTGTTGTTTGGAGGTGAAGTGAAATTGTCACTTGAAGGCATGTAATAAGATGACGAATTATAGTAATGTGTATTAGCTCCTTGATCAGAAGACAAAAAGCTTCGAGGATAATTGGTTGAGTTAGATTGCAGCACTGTGGCATCTTGTGCTTTGTTTGTGGGTATTTTACTGGGGTTGGAGAATGATGCGTAGAATTCAGATGGATAATTAGAAGAGTTGTAAGAATTACTAGCTGTTGCAGGAAAGTATCGAGATGGCGGTGAAGGAAATGTTGGTGAAGTAGGGTATGATGTGGGTGGTGAAGGATATGCCGGTGAAGTAGGGTATGATGTGGGTGGTGAAGGATATGTTGGTGAAGTAGGGTATGATGTGGGTGGTGGAGGATATGTAAGTGAAGTAGGGTATGATGTAGGTGGCAAAGGATATGGCGGTGAAGTAGGGTATGATGTGGGTGGTGAAGGATATGTTGGTGAAGTAGGGTATGATGTGGTGGTGAAGGATATGTTGGTGAAGTAGGGTATGATGTGGGTGGTGAAGGATATGCCGGTGAAGTAGGGTATGATGTGGGTGGTGAAGGATATGTTTGTGAAGTAGGGTATGAAGTGGGCGGTGAAGGATATGAAGGGTATGATGAACGTGGTGGTCGAGTGGAAAGAGAAGGTAGAGGATTAGGAGGAGAAAAGGCATACAATGGATCAGAGAGATATCTCGATGGCGATGGGTTTTGAGGACGTGAGATAGACGAATAAAAATCCGTCGCAGATTGGCGGAAGGATGGAGGTTTTCTGGTAGAAATGGTTGAAGACCGAGAATGTTGCCAGGAATAGTAGTCATTAGAGAAGGGTCGGAAAACACCAGAACGTTCACGTGGTTGTTTTGGAAGCGAGTTAGGTAAAGGAGATAACGGACGAGGGGGTGAGTTATCTTCATACGATGACGGTGATGATGATCGAGTTGAAGAGTCGAAATAGTTAGAAAAGGATCGACTTGTATCTGACAAATCATATTGAGAATATGGTACCATTTTCCGAGGCACTGATGACGAGGGTGTGTCTATGCTGCTGTATGGATTGTTGTTGGTCTCCTTTGTGTTGAAAAAATTTGCTCTCTTAATGTCGACAGCTTGGCGGGAGACGGAACCTTGATGTCTACCACTATTTTGCCCAGTTTCTGGGTTTCTCAATTTATCATTATTTGTTTGATAACTGGCAGGATAAGTGTTATAAAAAGGATATTCAGGATCATTACGGCTGTCGTAATCTGATGCTGTATAGTAATTTTCAGTGCCAATCTGTCTTTTCCATTTTGATTCATCTATCTGTGATTGCACAACTTGCCACGATTTTAAGGCACGTTTAAACAATGCCCGGATCGAATCAACCCTATGTTGTCCCTTGTTGTATCTATCCATCCTATTAATGCTCCTTGCAACCCTATCAAGAAGGCGCGGTTGCAACAGCGGAGACAGTATATGTGACTGGCTGCGAGATATAGATGTTTTCCTCTGAGGAGACGTGGCAAACTTTCTCGACACTCTTTTACCGCTATTAAGCCAATTCATTAAAATATTTTTTGCACTTGAAGATGGATATGTAGACTTAAAAGGTTTTTTTGGACTTGGCATGGTCACCTTCTGTTGATTATCCGTTTGATGTAATTTTACCAATCCTTGTTGCTCAACAATACCTATTCCACTATTTTGACTGCTTGGCCTTGGTACACGACTTCTTATAATCTCCGGGATGCTTTTTACGAATACTCGATTGAAATCAGTGTCATTCAAATCCAGTTGTCCAAAATTTCCTGTGACCTTCACAGATACCGGAGTATTATTTTTGTCGAATGCCTTTGCCATAGCTATGTTTGTATCACGCTGGAGTGAATTGGAACGTTTTTGAGAATAAGTAATAACGCTTTTATTTAGGTATTGTGGCGCACCAGCGTTCTTTGAAACACTCTCATACATTGAGGAAGTGTTGCGTGATGGCGTGTAGATAAGGGAAGAATTTGAATGTCGTGAATAAATAGGTGCGTGTTGAGTTTTAGAAGCCCCGTGGAATAATGTATTATCTTCATTATGAAACAAAGAAGCATGTGATTGGTTTAAAACGTACTGACTCGCTCCAGTCTTCTTCTTAATCAAAGTACCTGGTTGCATATGGCCAATTTTATTGCCAAAAGATAAACTACTATCGATCTTTTCTAAATTTTTATCATCGAGTAAGTCGTTACTGTTCAGCAGTTCATTCGTCAAAGATATAACTCCTGAGGTTTTTGGTGCAACTTTCGCTTGCCTGTTGCTTTTTGACATGCTCATTCCCTGGGTCTTGCGTGAATCGTGAAATTTTCCATGATCTTTCCGTGAATTGTGGATGGCGTTGTTGTACGCCACATTCCTCTCAGACAAATCAAAATCATTTCCATAAAACGTGTGATGAAGCGTCAACCTTTGCAATTTCTTGAAGAAATCATAATGCTTCATACCCACCTTTGCTTCAATCTCATCCAATGGTATTTTTTTCTCAGCTTCAGTTTTAAACTGTTTCGACTACATGCGAATAGACAAAAATAACGCAAAACTTTATTTAAGAAGAAAAAACTTGCGATATTATTTCAGAAATCTAACAGGTGAGACATATCGAGAACATCTGACATACCTTTTCGTGAAGATCTCTAAATTCATACGATGTACATTCGCTAAAATTAGGTACGTCCCATTTGACTGTGTTATCTTCATCGCCCAAACAACGTCTAGTACATTCACCTGTCAGAGAGAGATGAAGTATAATCTCAAGTATTACAATACTTCGCCTTGTTTCTCTCCTACCTTGCCCACCACGTGGACATGGTGCTGCATCGACTCTTCCATAAATTGTTAATCCCCATTCGGTCTGGTAATCAAATTCTCCATGGCAAACAATACTGTGATCTAAATAGTCAATTTTAAAAAGAACTCAGAGTCTATTATGAAAGTGTGCGTTACCCTGCAATAAGTCAGGCTCAAACAATGCAACCAACATACTATTATATATTTTCACATCAAAGCCCTCTTGAGAAAGGGTGAAATGCTCGCTACCATCTTCAAGTGTCGAGTCCATTTTGCCCGCGTTGATTGCTTGCAACAAAAGAGTGGCACTCTGATTGGCTGAACTTTGTGCATATATCCTCAATGTTATATTCGCCAGTAAAGGTCCAGGACTTTAAAATAATAAAGAGGTTTGGCTAAAATACTAGTAGAGATTTATATATCGTATTTTTCACATTGTTTATACATTATAGTTAATAAATTATATTATATTAAATCAGGAGCTTGTGAAGCCGTGGATGTCTGAGTGCCTGCACATACACCCACAACTTTTGTGTGTGTATCCCGAAAGGAGGGAGACACACAAATTTAGCTTCTTGCTTGAACGTTTATCATTGATTGGATGCTGGTTTTTTACAGGTGCACTAAACATTTCTCATTGATTGGATGCTGGTTTTTTACAGGTGCACTAAGCATTTATCATTGATTGGATGCTGGTTTTTACAGGTGCACTAAACATTTCTCATTGATTGGATGCTGGTTTTTTACAGGTGCACTAAACATTTATCATTGATTGGATGCTGGTTTTTACAGGTGCACTAAACATTTATCATTGATTGGATGCTGGTTTTTCACAGGTGCACTAAACATTTATCATTAATTGGATGCTGGTTTTTTACAGGTGCACTAAACATTTATCATTGATTGGATGCTGGTTTTTACAGGTGCACTAAACATTTATCATTGATTGGATGCTGGTTTTTCACAGGTGCACTAAACATTTATCATTGATTGGATGCTAGTTTTTTACAGGTGCACTAACTTTTCAAATTAAGTAATGGTATGAACATTGAAAAATTATGCAAGTCGTTTGTGTGTAATGAAATACAACAAAGGGATTTTTGAGGATTTTTGTAATGTTCGCTTGGAAAAAAAAGGGAAAGATCCTTGCGTTATTCTCAAACATAGAACATCCAGAACTTTTGAAAGTTTCCAAAGCCCCTGTATTATATTGTATCACATATATTACACCATGTTGACTGGATATTGCTACTGTATACAAGAAAAAATGTTACAGCTTGGAAAATATCTTTCATTGATCGACATCAAAATCCTGTCAATCTTCATGCTCAACAAGAACAACCACTGTTAATGAATAGAATTATCTTACCGAAATGTCAATACTTCGCAATTTCGAAAACCGTCAGCATTTTTCAGCAAATTTGAAATCTTAGAAATTAAAATGCATGTAGCATAAATAAAAAAGTCAACCGAAAACAAACTGAAAGAAATAAATGCTCACCGCGTTCTCAACTCGTTCTGCAACATTTAGAAAGTCCAATGACTCGATATCATCAAGAGCAGGTCGATATTTCTCATTTGTAATGTTCAATGTTATCGACACTATCTTTTCTGTTTAAGATAAAATAGTTTTAGTTTCTATGAAAACAAACAACTAAAAACGAATATGCTCTATCACTCAAAGAGCCTCTGTGTAATGCATGCAGGATCTAATTATTAAATATTTCAACAGGGGCACTAATCCACCTTCATAATTTTCAAACGAGCGCAGCAACAATTTCACTTGAGTTAGTACGCAGTCCCGACAGCCAGATAATGAACAATTGGAAAATCAGTCAAAGTTACAGCAGAATAATCTTGGGAGGGGAGGGGTGCTCAGCATTTGTTGTTTTACAGACAAACACGAGACCGTTTGTAAATTATAATAAAATGCTTCTTGAATAGCTTTAACTATATCTAAGAAATCTACCAATCAATACTACACTATTTACCGACATGTAGCTAGAGACAGAAAATGTAGGGCATGGATCTAAAACTTCCCCCACATACCATAGTTGCAGCCATGTCTCAGTTTTCTTGTGAATGAATCAACAACAAATACGAAGTCTAAGTTTTCACTTTGCTCATAGACAATGAGGAAGAATTTTCTACATTATTTAGCACACACCCCCAGTTAGAGTATCAAAGATTCACAACGTTGAAAAGAAAAAGCTTCTTTTTCATTTTCTTCTAGCGTTACTTAGCTCCATACCTTGTGTTGCCGGGTCAGCATGAATGAAACTTCTTCCTAGTGAAAACATCGAAGAACTATTAAACATAAAATCATAAAATGCAATCACATTATGAAAGTGCGCATGATAAAAATGTTTGAACTTACTGTAGTTGCCAGTGTATGGTCGATCCAGAAGTATGTACTCTGATATCTCCATTCCAGGTCCTTTTGATGCTTCGCAAGCCTCGACATCCGGACACTGCACAGAGTAACAATACGCCCCAACCTTGTAAGCCAAATTACACCAATCTTTTTCACAACATTTCTCGATGCATTTCATCACGCTTTCGACACGTGCACGAAGAGTAAATAACGCTAATTTTCGCCCATGTTTCAAACGTACCCCTGACAACACAAGCTTGGAAGGACAATTAGGGATTTGGTTTGGAATAGAGGTCGTCACTAAAGATGATGCTAATGGATTTCGGAGCAACGTATTTTCCTTTGAACTATCTAAAAATTAAGTACATATATTACAGTTATGAAATCTGATCGACAGTTGAGAATGAATAGACGTCATCTAACACTAATACATCACCGTTTTCAACTTATATCCTTTGGGGAAATAGAAAGTATATTTTTGTGTGTCTTAATTACATGCTTAAAAAAACAAAATGTGTAACTGTGTTAGAATCGGACGTTTATAGAACGATTCTTCAAAGACATCACAATATGAATTTATTGTCTTAAGCTGTAATTGGTGAAAGAACCACGAACAATTAGAAAATACGTTTTCTCTTCCTCCGAGGACTGTGTAATTCATAAAATACAAACATATTTCAACATGAGTATATGTACAGTACAACATAACTCAAACTGGAGGATTACCTGATGCTCCGACAATCAAAATGAAGAGCATAAAAATGCAATTTGTGAAAGTAACTTTTCCATTAACACGCAACATCGATCAATGCTCGCGCCCCGTGAACGAGATTTGACAAGGTCAACGAACAAGTAACATCTTAGAAAACGACGGGTGATATGTCGATGATAAATGCAATGAAATCTTCACAAAGGCATTTTCTCCAATAAACCTGTTTTACTATTGTAGAATATATCGCCTTCGATATTTCCTCGACATAAAAGAGAAGGCAATTTTATTTATTGCTGATGATGTCACGCTCTAGAAATTATTAAGGTGGCAATCTGGGATAAATGCTGGCAAGTCCACAGCCCAAACTATAAATCGAGCCAAATTTCACGATAAGACGATTTGCCAGATGATTAAGGCGATCAATAAAGCTAAAAACATATCGTGGATCAGATGAAAGACCGTTCTCATTTGCTATGTTTGAACGAGTCAGATAAAGACAATTTAATTAGAAAATCAACGGATCACCGGACGTGAGGATGTTACATGTAGCTGACAGATGGAAAGAATTAAATTTAGTCTTATCGCAGACAATAAGATTACGATGAAAATCAAGATAAAAATATTTCAGTAAAAGTTACAAATAGTGACATATATTGTTAAACATAAGCCTATTATGTTTATTCAACAAAGAAAACAAAGAACGCTAATATATTCCTACTAGAAACTCTGCAAAAACTTTCAATTGTACATGTAAATATTCAGTGATTTGTTTGTTAACACTTCAAGAAATTGCTCAGAAGATTTTTTCCCTACTTTATCATAAGAAAACTAACATTTATGTATAATGTCGACAAACACAACACTTGCAATGCTTTCGAATATTAAAAATAACATCATCACTTTGTTCCTGAGCAAGGAGAGTGGATTTACAGTATATTTTGGCAGTGACCTCGGGATATCGAGGAGGAAAGGCAACCTTCCATTTCTTGGAATTATGAAAAAACGTGACATATATTTCCTTCGTGTGAATACTTCTCTGAATTTCTACTTTGTGCTGATCGGCCAACTGAATTCGTATTTCCTTGCAAAGTTTGGAAAATTTCTTTTCGACGCCATCGTTTGCAAAGAATTCAGACTTATTTTCGGCTGGTGAACAGTCCAAATGCAAACGATGATTTATGTTGATTCCATGACGATTCCAGGCTTGTTGAGGGAGCGTTGATTCCAGACCTGTTGCATGGCTGAATAAAGTCCTATGGGAAGGGCGAGCTCTACCTACTTTAGGGGTACGTTGTTGAGAGAAACGTTGCTCTAATACTTTTGGAACATCATACGGTGAAGAAAAGAAGTTTGGTGATCGTTCATATTTACCACTACGTGTACGACAGGTCAGATGACCGGAGAACTTGCTATCATTTGTGTTATACAACGGCTGACGTGAAGATTGTTGACTGTAGGGTTTATTTCTTCTGTCTTTAATCATTTTCCGAGGTGACTGATTTTTTCCTGATAACTTCCTGTTGTTTGGGGATTCTATGACACTTGACTGACGACTAACCCTTTCCATATGTAGCGGTGAACAAGATTTGCACATGCCACATTGACACAGCTCTCTCACGCATTCGACAATATTCTTAGAATGAACACTTTTTCCAGTACGAGTGTTCATAATCAAAGCATGTTCAGAATCAAACAATGGAGGAAATTCAACAATCCATTCCTGATTATTGTGCCACAACTTCATGACAAGATTTTTTGATCGTATTTTACGATGGATATCTATATGATGCCCCAAGTGCTTTTTCACATCCTGATACGTCAATTTTAAAATATCATTGCCTTCATCCGTGTTATACCACTGTATTAGCTTTGAATCTGCTTTAAGATTTGAATCTTGATTTAAGTGAGTTTTATTGGGATTTTTCATAGGCAAGCCATGGAAAAAAGGAGTTCGAAGTTCATCATCAGATGAGTCAACATCCATAGGTGAATCATCTCTGCTAGCATCACTCCTAGCAGATAAAGAGTTGTGATGCATTGAAGGTCTGATCTGGTACTCAGTTGGTGCTTTGTCAATATATTTCCTGCCATTTGCAATTGGATGCTCCGATCCATCACTTAAACATCGAATTACATATCCATTTTCACGAAATGGGCTTCCCTTCCCAACAATGCACACAACACCTTTCTTGCAAACATGCCCACCTTCAGTGAACATATACGGACTGATTTCCACCTTTCCCCTTCTAATGTTGGCAATAATCATGATATAACGTTGAAGCCCTATGGGAAAATTATTACATACTGAGCTGCAATCACCAGCACTGGGATGTGAAAGACTCAGTTGATGATGGGAATGCCAGCTACCGACATGACAAAGCATGTAGGTTGAGTTGAGGTATTCACCAACCCTAGCAAGGTAAACTGTGTCCTGATGAAAAGACACTGACGTACGACGGCATTTCTGACCTGGCCCAGTAACAAGTTGTACGACAGGATCCCCATTTCTTTTCCACAAACCAAACAGATCACCGCCAGTTTCGATATTTTCAAACAGAGAGACCGATTGTTGAATTTCTTCGAACTCGCTTTCATAAACGCACAATGTAAAGGCCATTTTGTGAATTGTAGAAGATTATCATTAAACAAATTTAACCAAGCTTCGAATATTGGTCGTTATTGCGATTTATTTGAAATGCTAAGTCGTCACTATCATTTTCTTAACGAAAACGAAACTACATTATTACTTCCGGCTATTGAAAACGAAAGTTTACAAACAATAGAAATTCACATCACTTGCAAGAAGGCAATTTATTCATAAAACGAAGCATGCATAAACACGCCAGCTTTCGCTTTTTAGGGCACCAAAAAAATGCACCCAGAAGCAGAAATCAAATTTTGAAAATTGTAATCCAAATAATGCAACGTCCGCCATTTTCATTTGTTTCCATGAAGGAAGTCTGGGACGAGTTTCAAACTTTAAATCATTGAACGTATTATACATAATTTATATATCAATCTTTATTGTTTCTTTGTAATGATCAAAACCCAAATGGAAGTGCAGTGTAAAAAACTCACCAGTTTCTGGATGAGGCAGGAATATAAATCAGTCAAAGACAAATTTGAGAAACCTTTTTCTTTAACACTTGAAAATCTTGGCTTGGATAACTCACTAAAAACAGAGCTCAAGTTAATGCAAAACTACAAAGGCCTGGGTTGCACTGTTTGGGATGGTAGTATTGTCCTCACTAAACTATTTGAGCATGATACGGACTTGAGAAAACATCTTATGCAAAGTAGAGTTGTTGAACTTGGTGCAGGATGTGGTTTAGTAGGGATAGCATTGGTTCATCTTGGCACAAAATTTGTCATGATGACAGACATGGAAGTGTGCTTGCAAACTTTAAGAGAAAATGTTAAACACAATTGCCAGAAATTCAAGAATATAGAGGTCAAATCATATGTTTGGGGGGATGACATAGGATCATTGGTGGAGGAGCATGGACAGTTTGATGTGATTGTTGCTGCAGAAGTATTATATGATGAGAATAGCTCCAGGCTTTTAGCACTTAGTGCTCAAAAGTTATTAGCCAAAGATGGAATGATGTTTGTTTCAATGGGAAGGAATCGAAATGGACAGGGAATATTCAAAGATGTCATGGTTAAACATGGATATGGCATTGAAGACGTGGGTATAATATTGTCAATATGCTCAAATTCTTCTCTGATAATAAATTTATGATTTTTGTTATTCTATTTAAGATACCCAATGAAAGACTACATCCCCTTTATCAAGATGAAATAATTAAAGTCATAAAAGTCACAAAGAATGATCAATGAATTTTCATTTTACTGGTGCTTCACTTGATTTGATTTCACCAACAAGTAATCATGAACACTCAAAAGAACTTCATCAATCACATCAATGCTTTATCTATAAAGCGTGGTCATCCACACAGATTTTATTAATTCTTGACCAGCAGGAAAGGCCGATCCACACAGGATAACAACTCAAATCTTGCTGCTACTCAATTCTCTAACAATACATCACTGAGTAGCTTTTGCCTTTTTAGTTTTTGCCGTTTTTCGTTCTCTCTTTTTTAAATTATCAAGACTTCCTTTTAACACATTTGTGTAAGCCTGCAAAAGCAATGTTAAAGTAAAACAATTTGTGGTGTTAACTGTCATCAGGAAGTGTAAAATTTGTAAAGTTAAACAATACCTGTTGAAATCTGTTTACATCTTTTGAATTTACAATAGTGCTAATTTTTGTTTTCCCATTAGTTGCTCTAACAAGGCATTTACTCTCACCCCCTTCCATCTCAAGTAACGCACTTTTATCCTTCTTTTTCCCCTTGGGTATCGGTTTCGTTCTGCCATTATCTATGAATCATCATTGAAAATGCAAAGAGTTTGACAAAACGTTTTTGGTAACTAAATCTTGATACAAGTTCTAGAAACATACATGCTTTCATAGTAACCCAGACAGTTCCTGACGTTCGCGTTTTGTTGTAAAGATAGGTGAGTTGAGTTAAAAACTAGAAAATATAGGACACTTGACATGAATTATCATTACATTCATTACAATACGACTACACGAGGCTATCTTAACATGCATATTTTTACATTATAAGAACAGAAAAACAAGCAGAGTACGATACGAAATACTTACAGCATCGTTTTCTACAAGAACCATCTTAAAGCAGGAGATATTTATAGATGATGAAGAATTCTATCGAAAACCATGTTTTCAGTAATTATTTCCCAATAGGCTTGGGCCGAGCTGGTGGTAATAAGGGATACTTGGGGATACTGAACGAAGCAATAGAGTTAGTCCTGAAATTTAAGAACTGGACATTCTCCTCGTCAAAAATGGCAACAGACTTGAGCTTTCATTTCACTAAAGAAACGCCCGCGAATCAAATGTTTAACGACGTAAAATCTTTAAACAAATTCGACGATGAAAGCTTCAAGAAATTTTTAAATCTAGTGCTTCATTTCCTGTCTGGAAGCAGTGATGTGGAGGAATTTCAAACAAACCTCGAATTATTCTCACAAGAATTGGGTGCAAGTCTTACTCCGTTAAAAAATATCACAAAAACACTGCTGATCTTCTTCAAACATGCAGTAAAGCAGCATCTTTCTCCACAGTTTGTGAAAGATGATATGGAAAAACTCGGTAAAATATTAATATGCTGTATTTACCTCCTTTTTCTCTCCTTCCTCCTGTACCTTCCGCCCTCCCCTCTCCACTTCCTCCCTCCCTCTATGGCCTTCAAAAAAATCCCAAACATTTTATCATTGATGAACTACGTGTTTTTATGTGTTTTTTACGAGGTTTATCACAAGAAAAGTTGCAACATATCGAGGAAGCATGGAAAAGCAACCTGATTTCCATATCACGTAATGCCATTGCGCAGACATTCATGGTGAATCCTTTGGTCGACATGGAATGGAAATTTGGTGTAACATCTGCAAGTAATGACATGAAGATCATTGGAAACTCGTTTTTGCAACTCAAACTAATCGTTGACAAAGGAGGAAAGAAAGAGAATGTTTACATGGAATTAACCTTGCCACAATTTTATTCATTTCTGCACGAGATGGAGAAGGCAAGGACTGCCCTTGAGTACTTGAGTTGAAATCATACATTTATCATAAAAATGTTACTCAAAGTTATCATGATTCATTTAAATGTACAAATGAGACAGTAGATTACATTCTTTGTTACTAGCCAACGGGTGTTGCTATTGACAAAGCATAATTGCAGAAACCATTTAACTGACCTTGGAGCAAATACATTTTTTGCGGAACTTTGCTTAGTGTGATGATTTTATTGGCAAGCATTCGACCATTCCCTCACCAGTAAGTCCATCAAAGAAAAAAAAGTTATTGATAGGTGCATCTTTGCCAGACAAAGCCTACAGAAATGTAATTTAAAATTTTTCACCTTCTACAGAAGCATCATAATAATGGTGTACTGAAATTTCTGAGACAATACCTTGATAACATCTTGAGATAAAATTCCACCAATAACAGAGCAAGTTGGACTAATAGTGCCCATACAATGCCTGAAAATCATAGGATATTTTAATTCTAAATTGTAACCAGTGTTGGAGGAATTTAAGGAAAATTATTATAATACAATTGGTGTTGCAAACCTAGCAAAATCATCTGATATTAGATCCTCATCAGTTTCCATATATTTTAGTACTTCTCTTTTTATTTTTTGTAAATCCACAATATCTTGAGTGGAGGTCAGACCTTGTGGGTTACGTCCATTTGCTTGATGAAACCTTAATAAAACTGCATATGGTACAAAGGCATTAGCTAAAAATATATAAAAAAAATGACATAAAAATTTGACAGCAAAAATAAATTACCTTGGAATATAAAGTAGACTTTGGAAATTCTTTTTAGAAATTTGGGTTTCTGGTCTTTAACCCAGGTTGTATCAAGGGCCTTTTCCAGTGTTGTGAAATCTAGAAACTAGAGATGTGGAGATGAGGAGAAAATAAATAATATGAGTAAAAGTAATTTGAATATTTATAAACCTTTTCAATCAGTATTGTTTCAGTTTCTTCTTGTTTTGCCTTCTTCTGAGGTGGTACTTCATTTTCAGTCAAGTTTACCCCTGTCGACTTCTTTTGCTCCCTATCATCGAAAATGTATACCAGCTTCAGAATAATTCATTAAAAAAGCATCTTAAGAAATGTGACTTACTCCACAAACTTATGTTGCACTAAGTCATTGAATGCAAATCCAAAAAAACCAAAAACATCTCCAGCATAAAACTTTATCTTCAACTCATGGCAAATTTCATTTACTTGGACCTGTACATTATTGCAACTTGATTAAGTATTGAACTTCATTATGTGAATGTTTTAAAATAATTAATTACCATAACATCAAGTGCGCATCCAGTCAATATGACAACATCAAAATCTTTGAAAAACTTGCTATCTTTGGTCTTAATTTCCTCAATATCGGTTCGTATTTCAACCATGGGATTTAATCTTTGTGCTCGAGCTAGACAGGCTTTGGCACGCTTAAAAAAGACAAATGAAAAAAGTGAAAAATATTGTCTTTTTTGCTTTGTTTTGAACAGCCATAGACTACAAAGAAAAGCAATTGGCAAGTGTTGAAGTCTAACATTTTTTCCAAGATCCGCTCGAGGAATTAAAAATTGTGCTGTATAATCATCTTCAGTTACATTTTGATTGTCCATAAGTGTCAAAGATTTCACTCCACAAAGCACAATGTTCTTACATATTTCTGCACCAAGGCCATTCAAACCAAAAAGAAGGACATTTGATGCTCGTAATCTGTAAACAGTCAACGGGATTAGTCCACGTCATTTCATAAAAACTGTTAATACAATAAAATACTGTCACACAAATGACAGTTATGACACTGAAAATATCCGGCGCGTCACGTAAGATAAATCCAAGCCATTCCATAAATTTGTTAATGCAAACAATAATTATACCGTTTTTGTGCATCCAGTCCCCATAGACGGATTTGTCGGTCATATAAGGCAGCCTCCTCAGCAGAAATCAAAGAAGAATTACTCTCAGTATCCTTCGCTCTTCTGTTTTCCGCCATATTGTCTTCATAAATGACCTTTGAAAATTGCCTCCTGACATATTAACATCTATGACCATGTGTTTTCGGGATGAGTTTGGCAACAAGGAAACGATCCAATTTGCCGTTTAGACGATGGTGTTTATCGGCGTTTTCCAAACTGAAGAATGGCGACGGCTGAAAGTCAGGCTGAAACAGCAATTTTTGAAAAACATAACAAACGAAATTTATTTACAACGACAAAAGACGATAAAATTCCGTCGTGGAATGATCTTGAATATAGTAAGCAGAAGAAATCTCCCACAATGAGGGAAGAAGTTGGTTCAGAACGAATATACGAAGTGAATTTGCATGCATCTGAAATCGTTAAAATTGACAACTTCGAAAAGTTTCCGAAACTGCGTTGTTTAGACCTTTCGTGCAATCAAATAGAAGTTATAGAGGCATTAGATAAAAATGTAGAGCTTAGAGTGCTGAAATTATATTCGAATAAGATCAAAAACATTGAAAGACTTGAGACTTTAAAAGAGCTCTGCAACTTACAGTTGCAGGACAATGAGTTGTCTTATATTGGAGATGGCCTGCACACTTCAAAAAAGTTAAAATCTTTGCGTCTGGATTGCAATATAATTCAAAGCATTTCAATGTCAGAGATTTCTGCATGCTCAAAGCTGACTTATCTTAATGTTTCAAGCAATAGCCTCTCTGACATCTCCTTCATCAACTGCTTACTTCATTTGGAAGAGTTTTATGCCTCACATAATAAAATTTCCATAATCCCTAATCTTGGCCGATGTAAAAAACTGGAAGAACTGGATATCAGCCACAACAAATTGTCCAGTGCTGTCAAATTACAGAGCTTACCTTCAATAAGAGTTTTACACCTGGAATACAACAAAATCTGTGACTTTAATACTTCACGGCCGGTTCCGACATTAGAGCAGTTATACCTTGGTAACAATAAAATTGGATCTATCAAGGAAGTACCCTCAATGTTCCCATCTTTGGAAGTTTTAGATGTGCAATCTAATAACCTAGATAATCTTGATGAATTGACTTTACCATTGTCCCAATGTATTCATCTTCAAGAATTGACAATCATTGGTAACCCTTGTTATGACTCAATTACATTTGACCATGAAAGTTTATCAATGTTATTACCCAACCTGGAGTTGTTAAATGGTGTGTCAACTAAGCAACCTCAATCTTCTCAGAGTAAAACTCAACCACCAATGCGACCCATGTCTGAAACAAATCTAGTCAGCATCGGACTTTTGGAGGAACAAATTTCGGCAACCATACATTGCCAAGATACTTTTCAGTCAAACATTGCGACAAAGTTTGGTCTGGTTTATGATTTGTTGAAGAAACTTCCTAAAACTTTGTCCAGTGACATTGGCTTTTCAAATCAAGTTGTGGATGGTGACAGGAAGTTGACAAAGCATTTTATTAACGAAAGGACTGGAAACCAGTCTTTGCCAGGCAGTAACGACTATTCAGAGCAAGTCTCTATCAATAATAAATCATCTGTTCAAAACAGGAGACCTTCAAGTCAATGTAGTAATCGCACAAGAATAGAGGATGCAATTATGTTTGCCAAACAACACTTTGACAAATAATTTGACTTTATTCTGGTCATTTCCTATACATTTACTATATAAATACACCTTATACAATCTAAACACATTTTTTGATATTCCTTTGTCACAATATCAACTAATGCTAACTATATTATAATATAGAACGTAAATTTATTACATTAATCACATGGCAAAAGCTACCTCATTGATAAATTACACTTTCAGCAAACATGTTCATTGTTGAAAGAAACAAGTTCCGTTTTGAATTTACCTTATAGAATGTTCATCCCGAAACAACTGCACAACATTTTGAATCAAATTAGGTACCTTCAATGAAACTAATGATAGATCTGTTAGAAGTCTGAGTCAAAATATACACAAAGTTGAATTTCTCTTCCGTTTTCCATCGTCATCCTTCTTTGTTTTGGGCTTTACAGAATAACTATATTGCCTTAAATATGTCTTAAGAGAAGAAGGAATTGGTAAATAATCAATGTCCTTGTACTTTGTGCAATTGCCAATGGCACCACGGCAAAGGCTCATCAGTGGTTGTGGCTGTGCACGGATGAGTGGCTTAACCAACATGGGTTCAAAGAACATGCAGTATTCTCCAATTGCATAGTGCGACAGTAAACCTTCTATAGTGATTGAGAAGTAAGCCATAGGGCTTTCGTGATCAAAACTGTACTTGTGATCCCATTGTTCAATACGAGCATGCAAAGTTTTGTTGTAGCGCCGAAAACTAACAGAAAAAAGATGATCCTTGTGAGCACTATCCCGAAGCAGAAATGTCCCATCTGGTTTACCAATCAAGAGCTATATTGAAAGAAACAAAAATTAATTTAATAGTGGGTATTTACAATGCCATTTGTCATTCAGATGCATAGTTCTCTAAACTGAAAAGAGCATTTCCTAAACAAGTAAATTTAAATGCTTACAAGTTTAAGTTTAGAGTAAAATTTCAACACAAATAATTGGACAATAGTGACAACATGCCGTATGTATATATCTGAATGCATACTCTGAGACAAAATTGGTAAAAAACACCTTTTTAAACGAATCTTAAATTAAAAATCTATTTTACTCAATTTCAAAACATGTATGAATAAATAGCAAACTGCCCACTCCAGTAAAAGTTAAATACTACGTGATAATTTTGCTATGTTGTTCATTTAAAACATCCGGTTTACGGTAATTGATGAAATCAAAATACAAAAAAGTCAACTGCTGTAATGATCAGTGGCATCGCGTCTACTGCTACAAGATAAGATATAAATCACAACAAAAACCAATATTTAAATGCCACGAAATCTTTCCACTAAAAATATCTGTTTAGTAACGATGGAGGACATAAATACTTTGCCTAAATCATCGACATGAAACTTACTTCTTCAGCTTCGTGACGATTGATATTTCCCCAATAATAAGAACAATTAGTGACAGCCAAAATGTCTGCAATAATAAAACGCCGTTCCTTTTTTTGAACGCTTTCCTTCTTTGAACGTCGATCTTGTTGTAATTCATTCACATTTCTCTCGTGAAATCGTCTTTCTTTAAAACTAGAGGTGCTACCCGAATCACGAAACAGACTTTTCACTCTTTTCATAAAAGAGCCCTGTTTAACATGTAAATGCGAATGACTTTCGTCAGAAGAGTTCTCTCCATTAGCAACAGTTGACAGCATTGAAAACTTTTTCGCTTCTTTTCTTTTCGCTTTTTGTGACTGAGAGCAATCGCAATCGAAAGATATTTTCGTCGTCTTACGTGAAAAACCACGAAAGGACTGCTTCATGAGGTTCGCACTCTGTGAAGATGACGTTGATTTCGAGCAATCGTCACTTGAGTCGAGATCGCCATCTTCACTACTTGTTTGGATTGAGGACGAATTGCGCCGTTCTGAAAAATTGACCAGTTTAACTTGTGGCGAGTCGTTGAAAGCGTTTTCTTCGTAACTGATGGAACTATCACTCAAAGGCCTCCTTCCTGATATCGCGATTTGATTGCCAGAATAACCTTTAGCGTCATCATCAAACGATTTCTTTACTGCTTGTGCTTCAACCGAAGGACGACATTCCGCCATGATAAAATTCGTATCCTTAGAGAACTACTAAAGTTCAAAACACAAAATTCGTTTCAAGTGTATTTCAATTTCCATACAACATTATGAACGGTGAAAATACTCAAACTGTTAGTCCACAAAAGGCAATGATTTTAAACACACCTATATAACATCATCAAATACAGATACTCATGTCAAACAAATTTGGAGGCGCATGCGTAGTACTTGATCCCAATTTATAGCTTGCTGTTTCCGTTTGCCATTTCTTTGTTATGGTTGGCAGTTTGGTTTTGCTTCGACACTGACAATACATTCAATTTGCTAAAAATCCAAACTAAGTCAAGGTCCAATTTAGCTAAATACCATAACATCAGGCAGTCATTAATAAACACTTACCAAGACGCCAACGCAATCTCTTAACGTTCACAGAACGAACAATGCATAACCAATGAAGTGAATGACGTCAGAAGAGAAGGACTGACCAAGTTTTTTCCCAAAACGTGACGGAATCCAAACACCTGCCCCAATACACCCTAAATCTTTATTAAATCCTATTTTTATCATTGTTTTCTTCAAGTATTTCCTTCCCTACATCGATATCAATTAAATTCAAGCACGTCGTGAAAAGTCATCCTTTCATCATTGGGCAAGACAGTAAAGACATCCCAAAACTTGATGAAATTTTGTGTATTCTCATTCACACACATACTTTATAATGAAATCCCTTTAACAAGCAACGTTAAGACCCATCGTGTATACCAGTGAATAATTAAGCTAAGCTAGTTAATTAGTTAATTACAGACGTTCCATTAATGGCCCGAAAACTTTGAGTAAACTTAAGTTACCAGAGCAACCAGTACTAACAATGCTTAATGTAATTAGTGTTAACATACACGGTTGCTGCATCAAAGGTATACCATATCACCATGTAAATAAAATTGCAGTACAACTCTTCAAACGTTGCTCGGGAACATAATGTTCTTCAAACTACATATATATAGACTGTAAGTCTGAAATACACTCCGGAAAGTGTGTGGATTATACAAAATATCTTATAACTTTTATTTATTTACTTTACATGTGCAGTCTTCATGGCTTGCTCTTGATTCTGAGCGATAGCCATGATAAACAAACTCGTGATTTTCGCCAATCTACGTTTGGTGTAATCCAACATTTTACCAGTATATAATGGTGGTATCTGCATGACGAAACGGATTACCAAATCCCACGCTAAAGATCAACGCGAAATACTTCTCACGCCAAAAATTTAAGCGTTTTCACCTAAGGGAATGGACTGAAGGTGGAAAAAGCCAACAGGAAACTTCGTAAAAAAGCTACACAAACCAAGTGGCAATGGTTTATTTCATTATAGGTAGACGCTTTGTCGATGCTGCTCCGGACTGTGCATGGATTGACCATGATTGGAGTGGTTTCCTTCAATAAAAGGATGTGTTTCCCGCCAGTATTGTTGAAGAAAGTCACCCAAATGCTCACAGGCGTCTTCAAGCTTATTTTCATCCAATACGAGATCGAACAGTTCCTACAGGGAAATTTTAACACACCGAAGAAAAAGTTTTGTTATTGAATGTTTCCATTGGGTGGTTAACAAAACAAAATAAATTCCATGCATTTTTCCCTTTTTCCATTGGCTTATGAAGCAAACATGTTAAAGCTCAAGAACTGTCCATATAAAGAAATGAACGTACCTCGTTACATTGTGCAAGTTTTTCAGCAGTAACTAACTGAATATTAAGGTATCGAGTTTGAGACTTTCCCCTGGTCTTTATCAGACGCTGAAGTACCTGGAAATCGAAAGAAAACCCAATAATTTTACCAAAAGGGACATATGTTTAGCGAAAACAAGACATGCCTAAGTGTTTATCCCTAATGGTGACCTACCTTTGCGGATGCAATCTTCAAATAGACAACGATGGGAGCAAGTGTTGACTTCTGAAGTTGGGAAGGGTGATTAATCATGTCACTCTCAAGAACAAGAAGATTCATGCTTTTTGCAAGCTCAAAAACATGATCAATTTCTTGTTGAACGTCGCCTACCAAAAGATCAAAATTTGTTAAATAAGCACACAAAACTCGCGAGTTATCTGGAAAACGAGAAAGAAATAAGAATTTGTCAAAGCATATGATTTTATGGGTTAGAAACTCTTGGCCCGCACTTACTTAGCAACTGCTTACTATTAGTCTTTTCCATCAACGGTTTTTTTCCATTGCCTGGCAGGGAAGAGCGTTTGCTCCCGATGTCCGTGTTACATCGATAAAAAATAATCCTTTCTTCGAATCGATGTTTTATATAATCAATCAGGGCTTTCTGCATCATGTCCGTCACTTCGTAGGTTTTCATTGCCGGACCAATCAACACGATTGGTCTCATTACCGGAACTACGTCATAGGGAGGTTGTTGTTCTTGCTACATTCAACGAAAATCAAACATAAAAAAAAGTTACTTCTCCTAGAACAACTCGAGGACATTCTCGTACGTAAAACAACATATAGTATTATTCCGATCTATACAAACGTAGCTCAATACAGAAACGATAGACTTTTCCAATGGTTATTATAATAAAACATATACATCCCTCAGATAAATTTTATGATAGCATTCAAGAAAACGTGCACATCTCTAAGACTGAAATAACATACACATATTTCAAGTTGATGCATAGAAGAAAACAACACTTCATGACGTCAGTGCTACACAATTGCATATATCTTTCTGATTATTTCAAACACTTTGCTATAAATAAGTTAAATGTAAAGTAGTTTCGACCTCAAAGTGCAAGCAAATAAACTGATCATACCTTTTTAAAGAAGGTTTTCTTCTTTGTATTATTTTGGAAGGTCAACGTCCCCGATCCACTTCTGGGCACAGAGAAACGATTACCGGCCTGACTGGTGGGGCTAGTTGGAGTTCCTGGATACTCTTCATCATACTCAACAACATTTTCCCCATCATCTGCATTTAACACAAACACAAACGTATGTATTGTTCTAGCTTTGAATGACAGCACATAACAGTACTTTATCTATAAATGTTTGTAGATGTAGATCGTCCAAGTTTGTAGAGAGTAGACGATCTACATCTACAAACATGTAACGATACTCCCGGGTTCAAACCATTTACTTTATCTATATACTTACATGAGTTTCCTCCGGGTGAGCCTGGTGTATTATCGGCAAGCTGAACTCCGTTATTACTTCCCCTGAAGGACAGAATAAACAACATGAAATGTAGTATAACATAGATAAAAGAATACAAAAGTGTCGTCGTAATGTACTAATCTCATACCTGCTTCCTTTAGCACTTTTGCCCAACGAAGAAAGCAATCGAATATTGTCTAGTTTGTTAGGACTAAAAACGCAAAACACATTTTGAAATTGATTGATTGAGGTACACATTGACGTGATAAAAAACTACCTTGGAATAAAACCAACAACACTCCCTTCCTTAACAATTCGTCCAATCCACCAATCGTCGTTAAATTTCTACAAATCAAATAATCTTTGATTTCACTTATAATGCAATGGGGCATGCGCGTGGGTGATTATGACGGCTACCTCTTTTACGTGAAGATATTCTCTGACATTAAACGAAATAACAGCACTAGGTACGGGACATTCCGTCTCTTCCGTGGCGTCGTAGCTTACATTGGTTCGGACTGCAAAGGCTACAGGTTTATGCTAAAATGAAGTAAAGTAAAAATATCACTCAGTAGCATTAAAATAACACCCTTTTCAAATTCGTTGCGTTTATAGTCAATGAACAGAAAATTGTTTGCATAACAGGATTACAATGTTGGAGGGCGGTGGGGTAGTTATGCTACTGACTTTGCTTCGTGCTTTTGCCAAAGTGCTTTATCATGACGATACAAAATGAGAAAATGGGATCAGACCTTTGCTGCCTCAAGTGAAACTGCTCCACGCTTCCCCAAATCTCTTCTAACCATCTCTCTGTCCAAATCCACACTGCCAGAGTCCGAAATATGATTTCTTTGCCAATCAGGTTCCTATAAAATAAACCCAATACAACTTCACGTGGTATTTTCAAAACATGACGTATCTATTTTACAGCTTTTTATAAAAGCATTAAGACCACATTGCTTCATCAACCGCATCATAAAATATTCCCAAGTAGGACAAAACACTTCAATTTACTCGGTAATAAGTAACGGCTTCACCGCAATGAAAATTAACCAGCATTAAGAGAAAAATGTAAACATACGTTATAGGAATGTTATAATTACTTTTATGGTTGCTAAAATTGGAGCTATTGTAGAAAAAGATCGTAGATGTACGACTTATCTTTATATAAAAAACTTATGTTTTTCTTTATATACGTGCACTAAAATGCAAATATTCTTGATGACTTTTGTTGAAAGGCATTGTAGCAACAAAAATACATTTGTTCCTGTACTTAATTGAGAATTCTACCAACAAAAATGAAAAATGGCGTGAAATTCTTTCGTAGGATAAATTCCTACAGACGCAAACAAGAAAGGTGAAAAGCTTCCTCGAATAGGAAATACATTTCATTCGCTGAAGCATTAAACTTAAAGTTATTTTGACGCAATCGTCACACTACTTTATGGACTTCACAAATTTTTCCAGAAAAATTACATACAACGTCATGCTCACTGATATGGGGTATATAAAAAGCGCGTCAACCAACGTACGTATCTTACTTATTTAAACAATTATTCTTACCATCAATATACTTTATTTCATTACCTACACACCACGCGTTTAACTATAAAATGTAACACATGCCCAGACCACTTTTAATTATGCTCAGCTACGCCACTTTGGGACCAAATTATACTACGAAAACATTTACTTCCAGCTTCAGATCCTCATCTTCAGTCGATGGAGAGGAAATCAACTCCTCGTTGTATATATACAAGATTCTTTGATTAGAAAAGATGAATACCGACGTTAAAACCTTTGAAATTCCCCAACGAACAAATCGACTCAAAATCGAAGACAACAATACATAGAATAACTATGTAGCCACAACGCTTTTCTGATTGGACGATATTGCCTACACAAGCTTTGCATTTTAATGGTACAAAGAATTGGATCGTGAATTACAGAAATATGGGATGAAAGCCCTTGTTTAAACTCTTTCTTTGATTTCGTATGAAAACTTACGTAACTAACTTACTTATTATAAGGCTTTGGAACTATTGCTCCCATTTATTAAGGAATATGTTTCCTCTAAAAATTTCATAATTTGAATACAGAGCATTAAAAATTTATCAGGTAAGATTGGACACAAGACGACCACCATAAACTTACGCGACAAGTAAGAACTCAAACACTAATCAATCCACTACGACTCGCATTAAAACATCCGATCATGGATGCCATCGAAAGAAGACAAATTTACAGCACGAAAGATACAGCAATGGATATCTTTTGTTGTGGCTGTTACTGATTGCGTAATACTAATCGGGAATAGCGTTTTAATTATTTAAATTTGCGGTCGCTCATTTACCCAAGCCGTCAACATTCTGCCAAAATAATGTCTTATTAAAAAACAGGATGGCTGGAGTATAGCATAAATATATACATAGATATGAATAGTTAGAGTTGTCAGAAGCTAGTGGTCTATTACTTCTCTTGACTTCGGCGACGATCCTTTTTTAAGGAAAATCTTCCAACTGGAAACGATATTGTTGCAAATGGGGGAAAAAAAGGTTTTTCATCGCCCACAATATAATGAATCTCTAATCAATAATTGCACCCTGAAATAAACACTCCAGCTGTAACTTTGAGCAGCCGATGCGATTTCCCATGTGATACAAAAAGCAAAACCGCAGGAACAGATCTATCTGTGTGTCCTCCGATAGCTTAAGCCATCCAAGCTTTCCCCTAAAACATTTGTGCTAGTACAAAGGATTGTATGAAATGCAGGCTATTTAGGAGTGAGCTATCGCAATGCATTTACAAGTTGTTGTAAAAACGTCGAATCGATCATTAAAATCGTCATTCGCTAACAAGAAGTCAAATTTTATGCAAGATTTCGACACACCATGAAAAGAAAATTAAAACAGAGGCTACCAAAAGGAACATAAATTTTCAGATGCAGAAACAAAGCTTGCCATAAACAATTATCACTGCAAAGAACAGATATCTACCGTGTTTATGGACTTCGAACTTCTTCGCTTTTCATCATTTTACCAAGGACAATGACAGTAAACATATGTATCACAAACGTTCAATGATATCTCACAAGGACTGCAAACTTAAACCCACTCTCTCAAATGCTTCTGTTGTCAAAGAATATCTTTTTTCGGCACACAACGTATTCTGATGCACAGACGAAATCCCATGCACTCTAACGACGCCGTTATTCAACACAATAGTATTTCAGTTGCTTACTGATTTCGTCGATATTTCAAATATCGACACAGCACTGCACTGGAAATTTTTCACAATGCACACAGGAAGAGTACCATGAATTAAAATGACCATTTATGGCGGATAGCAGTTTGAACGAGTAGATTTGTAGATCAAGCGCATTGAAAAGGCTAATTATATAGCAACTTTCTATTGTACTATGATGAAGAGTGAATTGTTCAACGCATAGCTGGGCTTCTACTAAAATCTCATTTCAAAGATCTGTCATTAGTTACATAATAGATTAGATCAGATAAGATATAGAAATTGCGAAATCCCAGAATAGATCATTGATCCGGCAACACGACTGGTCGGTTGTGAAACCAAAGTTAATTTCGTAGGAACGGCGCGCGCGGATTGGAAACGAGTGTCAAACATTGGTATTACATATCGCATGCTATATGCACGGACATAGCATTAGGTCATCATTATCGAGAGGTTGCGGTGGAGTGCAGAACGAAAAATTTTTTCATTTTCTTTTCCACCGAGCTTGATTTGGTGTGATAATATGTAGTCGGGGGTAGTCAAACTCTCAATGATTGGGATCACTTACGAACTTGAATTCCAAGTTGGTTAAATACAAACCGCTAATCTCTTCTCCATAATTCTAATATCAACTAATTCAATGTCTACCGTAATTTAATACAATCATTTCAAATTTTCAATACATTAATATCTAATCATTTGCATTCACACACACAATGTTCGAGTTGCCATGTAACTTGATTAATTTATATTTCTTGATGTCTCTGTCGACTTTATAAATTATGTTTGAAGAAGATTTACCGACAACCTCATGCAATGTTCATCGGGCGGGCACTGTTGGAGAGAAAGTGAAACGTGACACTAGCAAAAATTTCCAACTGTGGTAAAATGAATGGCAAGTTACAGGAAAAAGAGGGTATAGAGTTTAACATACCAAAGAATTGTTGTTTAGGATTGAACTAAAAATTTCATAAACTGGCAAGAGAAAGATGTCTCAGGTTTGACGGCAATATAACTATAGCTAAGTTATTCTTCATTTATTGTGGTTCAATAACATTAAATACTACTCTATCATATAGCAATACACAACAAATTTAAATTGCATAAATTAAATATTTATGCGCAAGTTTATTTCGCGATCAGTTGATCCAAATCCAATCTTCAAACTTATATAACTTAATGTATGAATCGGACTTTGGTACTGTTCATATAAATATATATATTTGAGGTCTGTGGATTCACACTTTAAGTAAATTAGTAAACGCTTTAGAAATAATCAGAAAAAACATTGCATTCGATTCAATACATTTACAAGTTAAGTTTGAATTCAAAATAAATTAAAATATGTTGCGAAAGTCAATCGTTTGGTCAGATTTGTACAAACCTTAATGGCGGCACCAAAAGTTAGCCGTTTTTATAAAATGAAATGTGGAAGTGCAGTACAGACCAAAAATTGCAACTAATTTTTTTATAAATATTTAATAAGTTAAAGAACTAGATTGCTGCCAATTCGAACAAGCGTAACGGAAAATGTGCTATATATTTTTCAATATTTTAAATGTTGAATAGATGTCTGGCGCGGTGTGTGTAATTCACGAAACCCTTTGAAGGTCAAAGAGACTATTGCAATCATATTGCAATACACTAACACAAACAAAGCCCCTTTTCACTAATGAATGCCGGCAAATTATGCAGAAAAAAAGCCTTTCTTTCGCAAGTTATCGTTGATGCTTCAGTGACCCGGCATGAATGTACGAGTCATGTATGTATATATATTATATCCATTATTTAAAAATATTGCTATAAATACATTGATTTATTTTTAAATGTTGCAAAAATCGTAATAATATTCACTCCGTATAATACTTGAATAAGCATATTAATGAATCTATTCAAGGCTATGTTACTAAAGTAAACTTCACTTGAACAAGAATTTTCTGAATTAAGAACTTTAAGAGTCATCCTCAAGAACTAGAATTTCCGTAATAATTCCATGAAAATACACAATACCTGGTTTGATGGACAACGAGTGGTTGAAGAGACACAAAGAATGAAAAGCAGACAGGGAGCAATTTATTATACTCGTGCAATTACGAACTTCATTCGGTTCAAATTGAACAAAATATCAGAGGCGTCTGGAGAAATGCACCAAAACTATCCTAGACTTACGTTAGATATCGATTAAAATTAATGAATTTGAACGCATTTCATGATTTTGACTATGTGTATACAGCAATCGTACCTTTTTAGGGCTTGTTCCGTATGATTCAGGCGTACTTTTATATCGTTTCTTTGGCTTGCGAAATATATTCCATTTCTCAAAGGAACAAATACAGAGTAGTGATTAACGATCACAGTGTTAGTTGATAAAAATACAAACATGTCGACTTCAAAATGTGAATAAAAGGTTGATGATCGAAAAGAAGAGATAATAGTCGAACGAACAGCAAACAGTGTCTTCTATTTACCTCGTTCGATCCACCAGAACTTGTGTTCACATTATTTTCAATCGAATTCGCTTCATTTAATGTGGCCATGTCTTGCGCTTTATCACGCCAACCAGCGGATTGTCAAAATACATTACCACATATAATAAGCAGATATTTTTTTAAAGCCCCTACACTTTTTAGAACAACTAAAGAAACAAATAAACTTCTCAATCCCCAAGCTATAGCATCTACTCCTACATACAGCAGCAGATGTATTCAAGTTTTACACCCCCAAACGTCACTATTCTGACGTCATGTTGACCTGCTAAACTTTTTTAAGACACACATCCAAGACCCTCTCCCATTGGCTAATTGCACGAACCTACGGATGCGAGCCAATCAGCTATTTCCAGTTAGCCAAATTATCAAGAGTACAGGCAGGCGTAGGAGGTAACAAAAATAACTACAGATGAATATTCAAGGCGAACTTTACATCCCAAATGCACGTAGCAGTTTTAATCTTTTTCAAAAATCATAAAATGACTTTACAAAAGCCGGAAGAGTAAGAGCACAAGTTCATATTTTATTGCCTTTTGTATTTCGCTTTTAATTTCAATGTTGGCCGGCGTGGACTAATTTTTTTGATAAATTCTATTTTGGGGGTTCGATTAAGCCACATGTCCAAGATAATTTACAAAAACACAATAAATTAATAAGGATGGAAACACACAAAATTGTGAAAGAGGTTTGACTGTGAAGTAAAACGTCACTTCCATAAGACACCGACACAAGTCAAGTGGCCACCGATGTGATGTGGGCGAGTTTATTACAAATTTAGCAACATGAAAGGATACCTTAGGTCGTTTAATATACTTTAGAAAAACTATTACGACGTTCTACTCAAATTGTAATAATGCCTATGAGCCTTAACCATATCAATTAATGTCTCACATTATACGAATCAAGGCAGGCTTTGGCAGGAGTCTATCGTAGAAGCATGTACAATGATATGACGAAAACAGTTGCAAAGGCAAGCATCCTTCCTAAGTTCATCTCTATGACAACATATAAACCAAAAGAAAATTGAAAATATTGGTCAAGTACTTTGTATTTGATTATTTTTTATCTGTTCTCCATCTTCTATTCAGTCATTAATAAATAAGTTAATGCAATGCTTATCTTTCATAAGAAATTGTCCAAATGATTTAATGACCTAGTTTTTGTTCTAGACATGAGTGCTTTCAAACGGAAACGCACACTTGCGTCGAAATATGATGCTGCTGTCGCTCATAAACCAACAAACCAACATGGCATCTTTCTTCTTAATTTTGAAGCTATTATCATATCGTGCGTGCGTCACAGAACGTAAGTCGCATTGTCCATCAAACTGTCAACAAACAATGTTTAATGGCGTCCGTAGGTAATTGAGGTAACTCTTGTACGTTCTCTAAACCGAACTGACAAACAAGTTGGGCAAGTCGGTTTTCTTCGGGTAAGTGCTCCGGTTTGAGTCCAGAAAACCTTCGTCCCGCGTCAAACCAGAACGCGGCCGTAGTACCTGATGAATCTCGTCGCGTTTGCATGTTATTGTTAGAGATAATGTGGCGAGGTTCTTCATAAAAATTACCTCCCAGATTGTCAATTCTATCATCTTCCAGTGATATGCCATTTCTTTTGGCTAACTCTTCAAGTCTTAATATGTTTTCCTTTATGTTGCAAAACTGAACTGGTTCCAAGTCTTCCTGCATTCTCTCATTAGACGAATTTTTTGGAATCAATGAATTTTGTACCATCCACATATTTTGTGAGATTAGTGAACTTCTTCTATAACTTGCCGTAAACATGGTGATTTTCAACTGAAGGAAAACAAAATGAAATTTTTTAGATTAGAAGTTGAAGCTTGTGGGAAAGAAAAATCTAATGGCACTTTTTGTAGTGTTTTGATCAGTATTTTGAACACATCATTTTTCATAATGTATTGTTTATGAAATACTAAAATCATGGGAAACTTCCTTTTCGTACATATTTTGAACATTTTGAATCATTATATATTTACTCATTATTCCATTTCCATTAACCATGCACTAGGTTATTTGGTGTTTTGCCATTATTAACAGATATGTTCGTGACCACGAGATAAGACCTGCATTCCCAATTAAGTGAGATAAGGATTTAACAATAACATTAACGCTTCAACAAAGATCAAAGAAAGACGCATTTGGTGGCAGATATAATCAGTCACGAGATAGAGATGTTACTTTTTGAAAAAATTTTGTTTCATAAGATAGGAAATGTTTAAAAATTGATTGCTTTCTAAATAGAAATACACATTCTCCTGGTCCCAAAGTTTGGAATATTTCATAACCACTCTTGGAATATCCATATATATTTGCATTTTAAATCATGCGCAACTGAAATCATGAGCTGTGATGAAGACTCGAGCTCAACATAAACCAGGGAATTTATGAGGGTGCATTTAGTTAGTATAAAGAAACAGCCGTCATTAAAGTATGGAGTGTTTTATTTCATCTGTTTATGCTGATGTAGCCCTTACAATTATCGCTTTGGAAAAGCTAAAGTGTTAAGACCATTGTTCACTACAGCAAATGAACATATGATTTGTAAATATATAGATAATATGTTATAGTTAACACAGGTCTTAAATATACATGTACAAGGCTAATGTATTGGTTAGTCAAGTAATAATATATTTTCTCTTACAAAATTTCACGTCAAATTATCAAATGAGCAAAGCAACGAAGACTGCTATCAATGGATATTGGAAACATATATCGCCATACCTTACAGAGGATTGACCAAAGGCGCAGATCACTAGCAAACCAAAATCCGATAAAAATTTTCGATGTTCTTTACTGTACTGCTAGAAGCTTTTAGTCTCATTAAAACACTCGTTGTCTATTATAGCACTAAGATTATGACGTCTTTATGACGTAGGAACAGGGTGAGTCAGACGCTAACATTTACAAGAACCATGGTAATCTTATGATTGTACTGACAGTTGACATTAAAAATAATTAGTCCGTACTCGACTGGTTTAAGCTAGGGAAATTTTTAAATGAACGAGATTTTGTGATTGGATTCTCTCGTCTCATTATCACAAAATAAGTTGAACAGGTTCTCATTTCACAGCATCGTGCATTAACGTATAGAAATCGCGATGCTTCGAGATCATACGATTCATTCGACATCCTCAGGAAACAGGAAAGGTTCGGCCTTTCATGTCGAAGGAATATGTACAGCACTTGAGATGGCTAAGTTGACTTAATATTACACTAAACAATGCCAAATGCATCCATTCGAAATGAACGTCTTTGTGTGGTTTCAATATTTATACGTCTACTATTTTCGTTGAGCTATAGCTTAATTTCTGACATTGAAAATGCCAACCAGATTAATTTTCTCTTTGCTGACGTCTAGTTTTGTTCATTTCTTATAAAAAAAGGCCTGAAAAATTGTTCATTAGAAGCAACCTTGCACTTGCATGCAAGTACTTACTTTTTTATGAAAAATTCGAAACATTTCCTGATAAACAAAATAATCGAAATGATTCTCAACAAAGGCATTTCATGTGGTTTGTGGGTGGACATACAATTAATGGTCAACATTATTCATGTCGACCACACAATCTATAAATAATTGCAGTAAAAACACACCTGTTGATGGTGTTATCGTAATTTACATTATATATACTTTATGTATATAAATGCACGTTATTTGTATTGTTCGTTCAAACTGTCATCACAATTCCTACACTGTCGAGATAATCTGGTTCAGTATGATGCCTATTTCAACCTTATTCGGTTATACCCAATCCAAACTGGCAGTCCTAGCTATAACTGATTCATGCATCCAAAAAAGTCCACATCATTTCAACAAGCGATTTGTAGTTGCCTACATTGTTTGAATACGTTTTCTGTAATGGCAGAAGTGAGCACAAGTAGTGATTGGAAAAAATAAAAGTTTCGTGTTAAACGTTTGTTGTTTTGACCGACATGGTGGATGCTCTTGTTTGACGACCGTTTTCTCACGAGAATGCCAGACAGCTAGGAATACTTCACGCGGTCTATTCATAGCAATGACAGCAGGAGAATGTGAAGGCAGACATCACAAAAAGACCACAAGAAAAAGAAATTAACGTAGGCACTCAAAAAAGAAATAACGTAGGCACTCAAAAAAGAAAGAGAAAAGGAAACATCATCATTTAGCCAAAATGACACGCTAAGACGCACCTGCCTCGACTTAAGAGTTTCCCTTTCTACATATTAATTGGTTAATCAACTAATCATAAACCATACAAGCCATACTGTCCCCCTACCTTAAGAGGACAAAACGTACATGGGTAACAATAACATACTTGACATGTTTGAGAAATCATCGGCGGAAATTATGCATGGTCAAAATTTACAAAAACACGCGATCAGTAAGGTTCTTTACCAGATTATTGATCAAACACACTAGATACTTAATTCACAACAGCAACATGGTATTATAGAATGAAAGCATTGAATAAAGGTATTGTCGAAAAGTAGAAATTCTAATGGACATTTCTTGCTTGAACAATGGAGCTTTGAACTTTCTACATCAGAACGTCATTGAAGTTTTAAAATTATACATGGGTACCTAAAAGACTTGACTTGACAGCAACAAATCGAAGTGTTGATTTCCGTAAATACTGTGGCTAATGAGCTCTATACAAGCAATGAAACAATAAGTAAAAATATGTATTTACTCTTTATCCATTTATCATAGAAAGCAATAAAGGTGGATTACGAGTAGAATAAATGTTTCGAATTTGAAGTATTAAAAATAACTACACATATTTTAGACTCGTAATGCAGTTCATTTCCAACATATAGTGCGAGTGTTTTGCTTCCAAGTCTCTTCAAAATTGAGCCGATCACATTAGCATTGATGTTCAGATTGGACTTTACTACAGCTACCCTTAACGCAACCAATCATAATCGTTTATGTTTCATGTTGAGGAACGTTGTGTAAGATCATATAGCCATTATTCACAACAATAAAAAACGTAAAATTTCGCTAATTGCTTCAACTTACGCTTCATTTCATAGTTGGCATGACAGTGGCTGTCTTTTGAACTGAACTTATATCTTCCTTCCATAAACTGGTAATGGTCTTGGCTTGCGTGTAAAAAGCAATACCCTAGCAAAATAAATTAAGATTTACAAACATGGCGAAGAGCAATGTCTAGCCATTTTTGCCAACTAGGGATCCAAGGATAGTGCAAAGTTTTAAAAAACACTGCCTTTTGACTCGTAATCTGAATGAAGCACAAAATGTTTCATACTTTTATTATATGTCCTATTAACTCCCAATTACCTATCTCAAGCTATAGTGTACATATCCACCTTTGTCTTCTAGTCCACAGTTTGCATGAAAGCAATTTTCTTTTTGTTCACGGTGGAATGTCTATGGTCGAGTATTAGCTACTTAGCTTTTACGCAAGGTGGGAGCACGCAAGTTGATAACGGTCATTGAAGAAACGAGTTTGCGAATACATTTGTGATGATACAAGCAGAAGACAGACAACATGCCATTAACACATGATTGAATACTTGCACAATCCACTCGACCAACTAACGGGTTCGTACCAATCAACCGGATCTTCTTGCACTACTATGGGTGACTACCTTGCTCGGTCATACATTATTAGAAAAATCATCTATAATCATGACAACAGCCAATTGGATCTACTTATACCAATTTCGTCAGTCATATATTAATTGAGAATCAATCTGAGCATACGTAGTCAACTCCACCAACTACCTTGTTAATGGTCATGGCAACGACCAACTGCATCTACTAACACCGATTTTGAAGTAAATAGCATCCTTAGTAAAAATTTTCTAGAGAAATCATCTGCGCATGCGCTCGAGCGCATGCACCACCCGACTAATTGTTCATAGTCATGGTAACGACTAACTATATGTACTTGCACTACATTTGTGGCAATTAGCTCACTTAGTCACAAATTATCAAAGAAATCATCTGGGCATGCGCAGTAGTGATTTTATTAATACCACAACTTTCGTAAGCCTTTGAATTTTTGTATATATATATAAAGCTAATATTAGATATAGTAGATGTCAACTAGCAGTGGAAGCTGGGTGCGATATAGTATACAGTGGCTTGGGGCCCACACTTCGGTGGCGACCGCACTCTCCCTGCGTACCCCGAGCAAAGCCTATCGCAGGTGATCTCGGGGTCTGATGGGCGGAAGCTTGCTATTGCATCTCCCAAGTAGGATAGCGTGGAGGGGCCGAAATCTCCTACAGAAACGTTAACATGCGGCGTTCTAGTGCCTTACATATCAGAAGGTATCGGGAAGCATGGCCCGAAAACGGGGTTTTTTGCTTTCAAATTTTATCTTTTTGTTTGAAATAAACATTTTTTTGTATAATTTATAATTTAAGCAAACCATAAACATGTTTATACATTTTTTACTTAGTTGATTTGTTTTAAAATATAAAAGAAATCAACTAAGTTTACTAAGGATCATTTCCTAGGAGCTTTTTGCACAAAGCCTGGGAATAGCTGCACGATACGCGGACAGGCTTGCTCATTGCATTGCTCATTTACTTTTTCAAAACGATTTAAAATTTCTTAATCAAAATAATCAAATTTATCTTTTATAAGCCCTATTTGCTTCTTGCTATTCCGGGCTTCGTGCAAAAAGCCGCAGTCTTTAGGCAATTACGATGAGCAATAAGATACAGATATAACTAGTCAAACCTCCTTTCCGTAGAAATGAGAGGATCCCAGGAAAGAGCCTCGCGAACCAGTAAATGAAAACATTGGCAACGCCACTGGTATTGGAACGTTCACACCAACCTAATCAAAAATAAAAAACAACAAAAAAACAAAAATGTATTGAATGGTCTGAGTGATCAATGTATCAAAAGGCGTCTGTCCAGACGAAGAATTCGCCAGAGCTGTTTAAGTCAAAGACATTTCACATAAACTATCCCTGGTGAAAATCCTGGGTCAGATGTTTACTTAGGATCTCATCCTGTTTTCAAATTTATCTTATGCACGATCTAACAGAATATTACAGGATATCGGTAGAAATCCTATTAAGGAATTACACCAGGGGTTTGCGACACTTGCACTCGCATGACGATATCAATGAAATGATTACTTTGACTAAAAATAGTAAAAGTACAAAAGTACAAAGGTCTACTGAAAGTTTCCCGTGTAAGATGCTGAAGAAAAACTGCATGAACTAATAAATATTTCTTATATAAACTACAAATCACTCCCAAGCAAGATTTCATTTCACTGATTTGTCACTTACTTGACCAACGTTGACATCATTTTGAAATTTTCTGGCAACGGCCCCCGACGTCGTAAATATAGCCGTACCGTTTCCATAAACATTGTTGTTGATGATTTCAACTGCCTGCGTGAAACGTTAATTGCGTAATGATCTATCGTGAAAACTGAGTTTACAACACATGCGTACCTCTTCAAGCGAATCAGCGGTCATTGCCAGTAATACTGGTCCAAATATTTCTTCTTTATAACATTTCATTTCGGACTGCAACAAGTACATTGACATAAACCGATGAACAACGAACATTCGCACGATATATTTTAGATCAGATAATCGATTAAAAGAAAAAATTTCTTTTACCTTTACACCAGATATTACTGTAGGGGCAACAAAGTTACCGTTTTCATAACCATCGACCTTCACATCACGACCGTCTAGGTCGAGCTAAAGACATGAAATTACTCAGCTGTTGCATCACAGTTCTACACGGAAAACAAACGATTTCTGAGACGATTTACTCAGATTGTCAAACTGACCGTTGCTCCTTCATCAACACTTGATTGAACAAGTTCACAGACGCGTTCTTTTGCCTGCGGTGATATCAGTGGTCCAAGGTCAGCGTCTGGTTGATTGCCTGTTCAAAAACAAACCAATCCAATAGTAATTTCACACAAAGGAAAAATATGACAGCAACGTAGAATCACTCTCAAGAGGAGGGAGAAATAATTCCAAAGAGATCCTAGCTACCTGCATTCACTTTAAGTTTCTTAGCACGTTCAACAATCTCTGGTATCCATTCTTTAGAATCACCAACAAATATTGCCGTGGACAAAGCCATGCAACGCTGACCAGCAGCACCGAAGGCAGCACCGACAAGCTATATTGATCATGATTACTCAAAGTAACTTCATGACATTCAAACCCTGATCATAATACGTACATGAGTGCAGTACAGTATATATGGCATCTGATTTATCAAAATGAGCATTGTTACAAAAATGTCTTTACCTGATTCAAAGCATGATCTTTGTTCGCATCTGGCATGACAACACCATGATTCTTTGCACCCTGGACAGCCATAAAGGTTAGTGAAGAACAATCTATCTAATTTTAAACACAATGCTTGTAATTTACGTACCATATTAGATTGAACACGCTTTCCATTCTTCGAACCACGCTCATAGATATATTTCCCCTGACAAGAGAAAATATATATTAATTGATGATTGTTGAAGATTGCCATTTTAAAACCACAGAAATATTTTAACGGGCCCTCGTGAAAATTCAACGTACAATATTGCAAAAACAACTATCCTTACAGCTTGGTCAGAACCAACAAATGAGATTGCTCTAATACTTGGATGGTCACATATGAAATTGACAGCTTCATGAGCACCATGAATTACATTTAAAACACCATCTGGTAAACCAGCATCATGAATGAGTTTGGTAAGTAACATTGTAGCACCAGGAACACGTTCGGATGGCTTCATAAGAAATGTGTTCCCACACACTATAGCAACTGGAAACATCTAGAAGAATAAACCATTTCTTAGTTCGTAGTTAATGGTCTAATGTAGTTCATTGTCAAAAGTAATAAAACAGTGAAAACAAATTACTGTAATGAAAAAATGTTTTGCTTAATGCCAAAAATGACATACTTCAAGAAGTCACAGAAGTTAGTGTTACATACCATAAGTGGAATCAATGCAGGAAAATTAAATCTGAAAATAAAGTGATGAACATCAAACTCACCCATAGAGGAATCATAGCAGGAAAATTGAATCTAGAAGATTTATAGAACATTTAAGAACATCTTACATAACTGTGATTACTTATCACTATATGGTAACAACAATTTCACCAGATTACTCACGGAGCAATTCCAGCACAGACTCCAAGGGAAATCGATAGGAATACATATCCATATCTTGTGTGATTGAAGGTAAGGTTTCACCAAGTTGTAATGATGTAATGGAGCAAGAATGTTCAACCACCTCTGAAGTCAAATGTATTAACCGCATTCATTGCATGAGTAAAAAACGAGAATCAGATCAATTTATTTGTAAAAGTGACATGGTAAAGGAATAATATAAGTTGAGAGATACTGTCAACTATTAGATACTAACGTAATCCTCGATGAACATCTCCTTCAGCATCTGCCAATGTTTTGCCTTGCTCCAAAGTGATCAACTTAGCAATTTCTTTCTATAAACATACAGACACACATGCTATTAAGCAATGAACACTAAGATCTTTAGTATACAACATTCAAGTCTTATGTAAACAAGGTTTAGAGTAACTACCATATTACTCTTAATTAGTCCTTGATAGGCAAAGAGAATTTGTTGCCGGGCCAGAATTGATGTAGTGGACCATGATTCAAAAGCTTTTGATGAGGAGTCAACGGCAGCCATCATCTCTTCCTCTGTAGTTTTTGGTACATTTGTTACAACTTCATTTGTAGCCTTGAAAAATTGCACACAAATTTCTACCTTGGCTGAGTACTAAGAAACATCAATTGGTATGTGGCTATGTAGTTACATGGTGTATGGTCATGTAAATAAACAATAAAAGTATGTCTAGATCAGGACAAGGTTGGGGTTAGGCTAAGGTTAAGTATATACATATTTAACATATGCTTGTAACTATTGTAAAGTTTCATGAGCCTGGGTATTCTATTCTAGAGATGATCACAACAACAAAATCTTACTGGATTATGTACAGGAATCCATTCCTCAGCTTTTGAATCCAAAAATTTACCATTAATAAAAAGCTTTGTTGTTGGCTATGGGATAAAAATATTCCAATAATTAACATCATGTACATCTGAAAAATTTCATGTAATAATTAGGACCTACCACAGAAGCATTGCTTAAGAATCTGTGTGATGAAAATTGCTGAAACAAAAATGCATTATCATTACAAGTTTAGCAATGTCACTATACTTTTTTATTAAAGATTGCAAGTAAGCTCTCCATATACGGAGAAATACTTCTTAAAATTAAAATTTATAATTCCCAACTGTTTTAACAAAACCCAAGATTTCATTTCAGCATAAAAACCTGAACAAGGCAAATTTGGACTGAGGAATTTAAACCACACGTCAAACGTTATGTATCAATTAGCACAACTATACAATTACATCGATTCCAGTAACGATATACATTATTAACAGCATTTATTCTACTAATTTGCTAATGTCAACATGTAATAATGCGTATAAAAGTAAGCTTACTTGATAAATCCTGGGACTACGCGCCAGACGGATCAAATTGTACATTTTTTCGAGAGAGAGTTCTTTCCACGAGTAAACCAAGTAAACAACTCACAACGTCGTGTACAATTGAAGGAGACTGAGATCTACAATAGCAGGCGTGAATGTGGGCCCTGTTTTTTTCGAAATGAAATAAAAGAATGCACTTTGAAATTTTAAGACTACTGATTTAATATAAAAAATAAAGATTTGCAACAATCTGTATGGTTTTGTATCTTCATAAATGATTCGCTGTTTTGATGGAAGCTCACGGACCTTTTTGACTGAATTTTTATTAGCAATTGTTCCAACTAAACAAACTTTTCTTCCATATTTGCTATAACAATTTCTACGATATAAAGAGTTGATGATCCGACGTGCTTTAGATGGCAGGTTGTTTTGGTTAAAGTTTTCTATTAGCATTAGACATGAAGGCTTCAGTCACAATGGAAAAGATAGATAATTCTAGTATTAACCATTGTTAAGGTATGTCAATTAGGACTACAAGAAAGTATAATTAATACCAACCAGTAAAAAAATTCAATAAAGTATAAGCTAACTTGATAAATGTTTGTAAATTGCAACTACATACATATAGGTATATGCATCTTACATTACAGAGAAAAACTAAAAATTTAAATATATTAACAAGCACACAATAGAAACATCTATAAATACTTGTCATCTCTTCTGTATTAATTGTGCCAAAATAATCGATAAAGACCTTGACAAGGTCTGTTCAGTCAGTTTTTGTATGCTACCATTGCATTGACTGTGTGTATTAGAGTTGAGAAGGAGCGTAATCGAACTTCTTGTGAGTTTGCGATAAATTGTGGACCAGATTCCTCCCATTGCTCAGGGACATCTTGGTCCTTATCAGTATAAATAAGGATATCGAAGGCACCTGCAATAAGAAAAGTTTAATTACACATCTGAAGACCCCACAACAAACCTCAACCGTTTTTACTCACATGGGGCATCAAGCAGAGGAAGGAAGGTTACCGTGGCAGTGATTTGCCTAATCACATCACGTATTTCATTTTGAATATCCTTCATTGATTTCTCTTTGGGTTTACTGCAAAAATGGCTCTATTATGAGTGAAATGAGGCAATGAAAGAAAGCAGTAAAGATTTACATGGAGGATAAAGTGACCTTTTTTCGGTCATTTCTTTATCGCATTCAACATCAAATTGCCATCTTTCCAAAGGTTCATGTGAGTCAATATTTAGTATCACAACTACCAGTTTCTTGACAGTCTTGTCAAACAACCAGTCTACGAGAAAAAATATATAGAAAGTTAGAAACATTACATAATAATTTTCTACAAACTCACAGTTTAATGATTTACCTTTAAGTTGCCTAATAACATTATCAATATATTGCTTCAATTTTTCATCGTCTGTCATTAGTAATGTTAGGCCATATTTTTGTTCGCGTTTAAAGTTTTCTGGAGGATAGATACCACGTTGATATAATATGCTAAAAAATTACTGTATTTACTCGACGGTCGAATACACATAACATGACGAATTGAAGACAATTTTGATCGATGCATTTTGGAAATATTATATTAATTATTTACCTGTTTATTCCATAACCTAGAATGAGAAAGAAAAATGAATTAACTAGTGAAACGTCTAAAGTACGCAAAACATGTGTTTTCGCACCAAAAAACTCAGCGACCATCTCTGTACTGCCTTTCAAAGTTATGGCATTGTTTTGCACCGTTGCCGCCATTTTTTAAATATGTTTTGCTCTAGAAGATAGTGATTAGTGATATGAGATCTCTATAAACCTGGATGCAGCACAGCTACTGATGGTCAAATTTACGAGGTCCACTCAAACTTTTCAAAACAAGACAAATTATTGCATTTGAATAGCGATGTTTTAGCTACAAGAATAAAAAATTCATGACTTCTCAAAAATAGCCATTTTATTATGAATATCTAGAACATATTTCATAGTAATTTGCAATTAAGAAACTGAATGACAAAAATGAAAGTACTACATAGCATGATGCAATGAAACGATTTTATGTAACACATTGAAAAAGAAACAGCTAAAATTTTCAAAAAAATTTTAGACCTTCGATAAATAGTTTGCAAGATGCAATGCCCAATAAAATACCACAAACAGCTACGCTGACTACAACAACTGTCGCTCAAAAATCACCAATGGTTGTTTATGTTTCTACTAGTTACCAACTTACCATCATTGCAGTATTGCGTGGATTTGACAGAATCCTGGATGCCCGAAAGTGAAAATAACATGGTGAATCTTATCTCCTCATACTTTTCAACAAGTTATTGTATTAAAAGTATTTCAAAAGTATTTAAAATTTTTGAACAGTCAAAAACATTCATGTTAAAGTATGTTTAATATACATTTAAAAAAGCTATGTTACATGTTATGAGAGCTTTACTTTTTACGTTCTTTCTTCCATTTGTAAACAACTTGCCCATCAGTGTCTTTGTTTATCTTCATCCGTCGACCTTTCCCCATCAAATTCTTTTGTAATTGCATTTGTTGCTCAAGAGCTGTCAATTGCTTTTTTCGTTCTTTTCTTTTTCCAATTCATCATAGGCTCGTTTTCTTGCCTTTTCTATTCGTAAGTCTTCATTAATTTTCACACCATCATTCAATGTTTCATATTTCTTTGAATAAGAAGTGTCGACTTCATCATCACAATCAAAAAATACAAGATGTTTATTGAGTTTATCTTTTTGCTGTTCTATCATATGCAACGAGCTTTGCAGTCTCTCGATTTTATTTTGTTCCATAACTCTCTTCATCCTTGTATAATTTAAATCCTGGTTCTTCATGATCTTTAACTGTTCCTTAGTATGAGGTTTATTCTTTTCACCAACATGAACGCCATTTCGAGTTTTAGTCTTGATCATTTTATAGTAAAACTCATCTGGATTTCTGTTCCGTGCTTTCTCGCGAAGAAGCTTTAAGTGGTCTTGTTTACGATGAAAATCTTTAGCCCTCACAACATAGTCTTTGTGCTTTTCAAGAAGACCAAACTGCTTTCTATTTCTCGGTTGACTTCGCTCTCTGTGAGTTCTTTGCAAGCTTTTTTTCGCATTCTTAAAAGATGACATACTGAATAATAGTTTTCCACAAGTGACTACTTGAGCCTTGTCAAAAAATGGAAAAATTTACTAGAAGCACTTGCACAATACACAACCTTTATGTTACAAATACAAACATGTGCATGTTGAGTAGACATATTTCCATACGCCAGAATGACGCACCATAATCATTCCACAAGTTCCTACCAGTGGTTCCTACTGCCCTAAACATTGAATCTCACGAAGCATTTGCACTATATGAATGAAATCATTAGGATAGACTTAAGCATATTGTACTCTCATAGTCGAGCTAATTTCAAACACCGCACTGCATAAAACATTCTTTCATATAATTTAGCTGCGCCAATCAAATACGTGTTATGAAACCACTCAATTCATGATATGAAATTAATTGAAGGTCATATAAGAATTAAGTTGAAAATTTAATTATGTCCATTCAATTCAATGAAAAATCGAAACTTTGAAAGAAGTCTATCATACAATAATGTGGTGAGCCGTGAGGGTCACGTATGATACGTATGCATTTAAACGAGCTTATTTAGTGACTGCATGATATAAGCATGAATACAATCTGAACAGTTCAAGGACTTAATTGTACATTTTCCAGGTTGTATCACATGATCATTCTAGGTAATAACACGTGATCACTCCTGGCAATATCTTGTCAACGTTTTTCTAACATTTTCAAGTCAGTAGTGACGATGTCAAGTGTTCGAGACAATGACGTGATACCTTAAAGTTAAAAAAAATGACATACTTTCATGAATGATAAAATAATCTTATACTTGCAAATATCGTTTCTTATAACTTACTTAAGAGTTCTTGATAAAAATCTTGAGGCCGAATTATCCCATACAAACGTGTAAGTACCAGCTTCGGCACAATTGTAAAACCTAGAGATTCAAAACATGAAATTGTATAGATAAAACTTTGACATAATTAACGGAATATATAAACTAACTAATATGATATTTCAACCCACCCAACATTCGGTCGACTACAATGTAAAGGATAATCAGGCTCAATAATCCATTTTTCTATCGTGTTGTTTATCTCGCGTTTTGCGAATGACACGCCAAACTTTATATCCTTGCTGCAAAAAAAACACAGAAATATTCTGTGAAAAACATTGAACACTCGTTAAGTTTTCTATAGGGACGAGCAAGCAATAGCCCTCTGTTTGTCCTGTTAACCCTTTCCCCCAACAGTTAAGAAAAGCCTTTTGAAAGTATCTACATGTGGCTATAGATACACTTACGTATTCGTCACTCTTTACTTTCTTCATGCAATGATTCAAAAGAGAAGAAATTAGATTTAATGGAATACACACAAACCTGGATATTCTGTAGAACCAAAATACAGACTCATTGTTCCCATTACAGTCAATCTTTAAAGTAAAGCACTTTTTTGCAGCTAAAAGTATTTTTATGGAAGGAGTAAGTACGTGGGAAACGATTATTTGACTTTATAAAGATAAGCTAACATTTGTTGGATTTATGCATGAGTAAAAGTTACTATACCAATGTACTCCTCTGTTAACTCAGGATCATCATCAACCGATAGCTGCAAAGAAATTTCGTTGAAATTGGCTAAGTCATGACAATATATACCTACAAACGTCATAAATACCTCTAGGTTACGTATGAAACAAGTACGAAATTTACCAATGAAATTATTCAAGCGACAATCTTACCATATGCTTAGGTACGGGAGGTAAACATCCTCCATCACACCTACATGTCCCCCCGTACTCCTCTGGTAAATCTTCAGGTTCAAAATAATCCAGCATTGTACTCATTTCTGACGAATTCAAAACTACACATTTGTCTCGAGTCTTTGGATCAAGAAAAGACTTTGCCATTTTCCAAAAATATGGAAACACCCTGAAGTCAAAAGATATTTTATGAAATACCAGACAACGTATGCATATGTGAGGAAATGGCATTTCAGGAGACAGAGTAATTGAAAGAATGAATGGTAAGAATTCTGTTCGTTGAAGTAATGAAAGAGTTCGATAATTAGTACACGAATTTTTTAAATGCTTTCAAAAACTGCATGAAATAAGAGATGGAAATCTGCCATTGAAATGAAAAGAAAAGTCAGTCTATGTTTGAAACAACATCAATCCCAATGTTTTATTTTTACTTACCATGGCGTGTTTACGATAAATATCTGCAAAAATGAAAAAAGTCGTATAAATAGGTATTTTGTAAGAAACGGAAACATTTTACAAACAATTAGTTGAAACTTGAAAATCACTTATCCTTGATGTTTACCTTTCCAACTCTCTCGGGATAATACTCCTGATCAAGTTTTGCCAGACGAGTAAATAAGCGTAACGCTTTTCTACAAAACAGAATAAATGCATTGCACATTTTCTTGCTGAGCACATCGAAATTGATCCAAGAGATGACTGGCATGCACACACGACGCAATACCTTACCTAAGGTACATTGTCGCTCCTCCGAGATCATGAATGTGGTCTAAAGTAGTTATTTCTCTATTCTAAGAAAGAGGTAAAAAAACAGAAAGCAATACAATCAAAATTTCAAATAAGCCATAAAGAGTAATTTGAGGAACGTGAGAGCTTTCTGATTAAGTTTAAATTAAGTATTATAGCTCTCATACTAAAGTTAAGAGGATATCGCTAAAAGAGTTAAAGTGGCATTGAAAGGGATTTGTCGTGCGAACTTGAATAACGATATTTTAAGGAAATCATTTTACCGAAATAAATGTACTAACCAGTTCTATTGATTTCTCTCGCATTTGTTCAATCTGTTTTTCCGTGTTCCAAACATGCCATTTTACCAGTTGATCCTCTGGAAGCTAAGCAAGCATGACGAACATCCCGATTACAAAGTTCTTACTCAAATGCAAAGCAAAAACATTACAAATCAAACAGACAAGACACATATCTAAAACTTACTCGTAAAACCGCGTTTATATCCATTCTTCCTGTTTTTTCGATATAACAAGGTCGACCCTCTTTGTCAAACTTATGAAAACCGTAGGACAAGATCTACGAGAGAAATAAAATACAAACTTAACCCAAATCTAATCGTACTTGACATGTATAATTTAGTTTAAAAAGCACGAAATATGCGATCAACTTACATTTTTCAATTCATCCGACAGAGGTCTCTGCATGAAAAAAATCAGAGCAGAAAATTAGAAGATTTTGGGTAAAAGATGTTGGGGGAATGGGCACTACAGTTATACAATTGATACTGAAGCTGTAATACATACAGGTGTTTTCAGTATATTATCGATATCGTTTTTTCGCCGCCATTCTTTAGTCGATACAAATTGCCTAAAAAGAAACGCCATTCGATCATGAAATAAGTTGTTCGTGTTGAGCGTGTTACTAGCTTGTGTTAGGTGGGGGGAATAGCAGATCTAGATAACTCAGAATACATCATAATAAAACAATTGAAATTTAAAATGCTGAACAAACAATCCTATTGGTAAAATTTTACCTCTAAATGAAAAATTCTTCAGAAATTCCCAACCGTGAATGCAACTGCGCTTTTGTGGTAATATTTTAATTTAAAATGTGCTGCTATAATGTGTTCTGATTCAGACATCAAAATAAGAAAATTTTACATGGACATATTTAATTCCCTTAATTTCTAATATTTTTCATCGTAGAAATCGCTCTATTTTTAAAGCAAATCAGATCCATTGTGTGATAAGATCCGCCACTGGGTGGTTGGGGCCCGTGGGGAGGGGGGGAGGTTGCTTTAGAGTTGTGTAATGTAGGTTCTCGTGTTGTTTGGGTTTCCATTGAGAAGAATGGCATTCAACCTTTTAAACGTTATTACAATGTTTCAAAACATATCTTCTTTAGTCTCGTACAATTGCGAAAACGCATTCATATGCCATAAACTAAATACACATGCACGAAATATTTCTATGAACGACCGTTAACAATAAGAGATCCTACGCACATCTGCTGAAATATACAGATTGCTACTCCTTATGTATAAAACACAATGAGAAAAGTGCTCAACACATAAGTGCGGCGAATGTAACTTAAATTTATTCTAATTTGATTGCATAATTTGCATTAAATTTTGGATTGTGAAGTGGGAAAAGGACAGTATCACTTTGAAAATTGAATACAATTAGAACTACCATTAGTAACGACCAGATGTTGTACCATTTTTTATTCTATTTATCTGTGCCTAGTAGAGAATCATATAGATGTGTAGTTAAGCTTTATTTACCTATATGCGCCATCAACGTCGAATTCTCTTGCCCGGAGAAATCTCAACAATGTAGACTATTTAAAGAAAACGAGTTCGAGGTCAATTGGGTCATTGGGGTAATTTAAATGTTTACAAAGAATGGCATTAATTTAACGACAGACTGAACACAACTATGTAACAACAAAGACAATGTAAACGATTCTAAAGTGTTAAATTATCTTTCAGCGTATGTGAGCACAATTGATTTCCGTTCAAACCGTACGTCGTTCAAACATTTATAGACGCTGGTACATGCAATCATCCAGATTTAAAGATCATATTTCTAAATATATCACGGGACTGTCACGCTTTTTTATTGGTGTAATGGCTACATTTTAGGATTAAAACATTAATAAGTCAAATAAAACGAAAAAGTAATCCAGAAATATTGTTTACTAATTCTTTAAATATCTTTCACGCACGATAATACATTCCACAAAATTTCACAAATAAAAGGCACTGTCTCAAAATAACATTTAGCATCGGAAACTCGACAAAAGCAGCTCGTGTGTGATTTATTCACTTAGTAAAAGTATAATGAATGATTATATTTTACTATTCGTTATAGTTTCATGATAAAATAAACTTGACAGGTGGCAGAGTTGATAATTTAGGCAAAAATTACACCCTTTAGAATTTCGTATGATCATCAAATCTCGCCAGCTCGATTTTTCATTTCAAACTATAAATAATCAATGAACATTCTCTTTTGCCATACGAAATACTTTAATCAAGAGCAATAAGCACTTGGAAATATTTACATCTCGAGAAAAGCATTGAAGAACGTTCATGGCAAACTACAAAATTATACCTCATCATTTCTGTCGTTTTCGTTCAATTTCGCCTTCAAATTACTTAAAGATCTTTGTTGAGTTTTCGTGAGGTTCGTTATCGTTGAAGATTCGTTCATTTTACAAGCTGACTGCTCATAATGCTGTTAACATTTATGCACTCCCCTCGTCATAGTGTTTATCTGAATATATTTCGTATCGTCGCCCACACACAGCTCCTGATGTGACGTCAAATTGATAAAGTTCTTTCATGACATTAAAGACCGAACGATTGAAAAACAATTGACGGACAACAAAGACACTGTAATATGTTTGCAAAACATGAAATAGCAATATTTAACAAATCAAAATCATAAGCTATCAAAAAACCTATTTAACACTTATTTTCTTGCTAACACGAGATCTAAGGCATTCTAGTTCGTAGATACACTGGACACAGTCCCTACCCCAGCAATATTTGAGAGGGAACAAAATTTTTTTACTTGATGACCAGTTCATAAAGGCTATATCATATACCACTCGAAGAACCATTATGCTATTCGGTGTACAAACTAGCAGCAAAGACAATATCTCGTTTTAACAAACCAACTGCTTCTTCCATTTTGTTCTCCATTTCCTTAATACCAATTAGTTTTGACGCATTTTTTACGTCACTGCATAGATCGTTTAGACGTTGAATGCAACGTACAATTATACCTATAAAAATGAAAGTTGTCAGCTGTAAACCATGTGACACTTCAATTTTCATCTCGACAAGTAGTTTAAAAACCATGCAGAAAATGGAGCCCCCCTCCCAAAAATTTTTTAACAAACACAGGGTGTATGGTTGAATCTACGTACGAACAAACACAGGGTGTATGGTTGAATCAACGTACGAACAAACACAGGGTGTATGGTTGAATCATACGAACAAACACAGGGTGTATGGTTGAATCTACGTACGAACAAACACAGGGTGTATGGTTGAATCTACGTACGAACAAACACAGGGTGTATGGTTGAATCTACGTACGAACAAACACAGGGTGTATGGTTGAATCTACGTACGAACAAACACAGGGTGTATGGTTGAATCTACGTACGAACAAACACAGGGTGTATGGTTGAATCTACGTACGAACAAACACAGGGTGTATGGTTGAATCTACGTACGAACAAACACAGGGTGTATGGTTGAATCTACGTACGAACAAACACAGGGTGTATGGTTGAATCTACGTACGAACAAACACAGGGTGTATGGTTGAATCTACGTACGAACAAACACAGGGTGTATGGTTGAATCTACGTACGAACAAACACAGGGTGTATGGTTGAATCTACGTACGAACAAACACAGGGTGTATGGTTGAATCTACGTACGAACAAACACAGGGTGTATGGTTGAATCTACGTACGAACAAACACAGGGTGTATGGTTGAATCTACGTACGAACAAACACAGGGTGTATGGTTGAATCTACGTACGAACAAACACAGGGTGTATGGTTGAATGCACGTACGCCATTTTCAGGCACTACTTTCAAATATAGAATAACTACCTTCCTGAACATCAGTTAAATCTGTTATTTCATAAAACGGCATTCCTCTCGCCCATTCATAAACAACTTCAACCAAACCAAACTTGAACTGCTCAACATACTCCTCAGATGAAGTGTCCATTCTGAATTCTATTTCACAATTTGCGATGTCTCTTGCGGTTTCCACGATTCTTTTCTTTCCCTAAAATGACCGCAGTTTTTAACAACTAAAATATTCATGTATATAAATGATAAGAAAGTCAACAAACTGTTCACCTTTAAAAGTCTTTCGGTCAATTTTGGTTCGCTAGATGTTTTCTACAAAAAAAAATGCAGATAAAAGAGAAGTAAAAATACGTTCCAGCACAGTTCAAAGTACACCAAGAGATTTCAAAATTGATTTGAATATCCCTCACCTGTTCAAATACAAAACAAGAGAGCAAAGCTACTACCTCGGCTGGCTCAAGATCATTGAAGAAATTGCCATACAACAGTTGCGTAATGACAACTTCATGACAACTTATTTCACAAGCAACTCTTCCTTTCATTTCAACTGTGCCAATAGAGCTAATGTAACTCAAATTGTCTAAGACCTACACAAAAGCAATAAAAAGGCTAATGCATGAAGTCTTGAACGTCGAAAATTCTCAAGAAATTATTTCATTAGTTAAGTATCCCACAAAATTTTAAAAATCATCTATCTGTACATTACGCAATCGTCTTTTTCATCTATTTGCCATTCATTGCAATAAAAGAAGTATTGATTAGGATACGAAGACAGGTAGGAAAATTGGTAATTCGCAGTAAAAAAATACAATAACTCCAGTGAAATTTACAAAAATAGTTTTCGAGAATGTGACTCGTATAATGTTAGAGAAGGGAATCTAGTGTAGCCATACGTGTATATATTACCTTCTTTCGATTTTTGTACTCCGGGAGAAGACTCAGCATTTCAATAGAAGATTTTTCTTCTAAACTGTCAATTTTATCACGCAACGTTCTTTTATGTTTGTATATCTTGAACTAAAAAAGTTTGCAGACACCATTTATAGTAAAAAATCAAAAGTCATATCGACACAAATATATGATAAATATAGCAACTTAAAATTTTGATTAGTATAAAACAAGAGACAGAAAACGAAGGCAATATTCCCACTTTAAACTCATTTTCCCTTAGCTCGAGAGAAATTCTTTTCTTAAAATTTCGTTACGTCACGTTGAAACAAACAAAGATAAGATTAAGTAGTGAGAACATACGTTTTCATCAAAACTCGGAGAGGATGCGCAAGGGCAATTTCGTATCTGACTTTCCAACTTGTTCTTTTTTGTTTGTTTTTCCTTCAAAGAGAAATCCGCGGTGAAGAAATTGATCATTGGTAAACCATTTGGGTGGACTTCCGAGAGACGGAGCATTTCCTCAATAGCAGACGTTATCGATTTTCCTGGTAAATCATTCCTGAAAACAAAAGGAAAGCGTATTTAAAAGCAAACGATTCACAAATCATAAAGTAAAATTTTAGAAAAAGCACTTAATGGAAAAATGAAAGAGAAATTCAAGAGACCATAAGGTGATTTAGGACAAATACAATGGAATGACAAAGTACGAACATTACGCTGTATTCTGTAAGATATAATGAATGAATTCAAAGACAAAAAAAACAACAAACAACTATCTATATGTTGACCGTCCAGATAGTGCAGCACTGTGAAGAAATGTTGATGTTGATTGGCGTTTCATCTTCCAATTAAAATCCCTTGAAGCTCACACGAAACGTCAGTCAATACTAACAACAGGACAGCACTAACATGGGCAATCTACATCCACAAACATGTACGTAACTTCTTCCGGGTTCAGACCACTCACTTTAAAATGAAGAGTACAGTGTGGGAAATCACAGCTTTAACATACTTATACTAGTGTTTACAGCACCAAAGAAAAGGTTCATGGTTTAAAAATTACACATTTTTCGATTGATCACCACACTCATACTTCGAGTAAACACTTTACATTGAAATTGAAATGCGATCAAGTACTTTTGGTAAACGTCGATTATTAAAAAATATTACAACCTACCGAAAACGAGGCTGTTTGCGTTTGTTAAAGTCGTTGATCATAGCATCACTGTTTAGATTTGGTAGAACTTGATCGGTGATCACAAGAATATCTCTGTCATGGATCTCAGCAATCGTATGTGATGAAGGTCTCTGTGGACAGTATATTTCCATATTTTCACAGTAAGGTTCTACATCAAGTTCTTCGTCCAAATCAAAAGCAGATTTCTCACACCATATCGTTTCGTTCGCGTCACAAGGGAGTAATACAGTGTAAGTTTTCTTCTCGCGTTGTCCATCGTGTTTTGAGTAAGATGATTTTTTGCTCAAAATCATTGCATATCGAGTGGAAAATTGCTTTGTTTTTGCAATGATAATCCGACCAGCCGTTAGCGATTTCTGTCCATTTGAAGACGAAACGACCGCTGACTGAAATTATCATTTCAAATTTTGGCATATGACCATGTGGATTCAATACGAACGACTTGACGTCCTTTTATATTTAATCTAGTGGTATGGTCACCACAAGATACTTTTAAAATTTAATTCTCGAGCACTGCAGTCTAACGTCTATTTCACGAGTAAAATGTGACGCTCTTGAAAACTCTAGTATAGTAATTCACAAAATACATACCCGAAGCAAATGTTGAAGACTTGTCAATTCCTTGCAAATATCGTAATATGTTCTTAAATCATTTTCCAAATGTGATTCAAGGTTTTTTGCGCACTCCAGTTCTTTGCTGAGGTCAGCAATCATTCTATCACGTTCAGGCGCTTTTTTCAACAAATGGAACTCGGCAAAACTTCTTTTCATCATGTCCACAACACTCATGTTGTCTGAACGTTCGAGATTAAGAATCATGGAGTAAGTGATTCGAAACCGTGACTCTAGTAAAGTCGGTTTACCCTAAAATAATCATGTGAGGGGGTTATGGTGTAAGAGTTACTATAAAGACGAGTGAATTGCTATGTTGTAATATAATGAAGTATAATAAGCTCATCTTTTTAACGAAAATCTACCAACCGTCATCATTTTTTTTATATTATCCATATCTGGGACATCAGCTTTGCATAAAATAATTACTGTCCCGCTGTCGTCCTTTCCACGTCGGCCAGCACGACCGGCCATTTGTATAAACTCGCCGGGTAAGAGATCCCGGAACTTGTCACCATCATGCTTACGAATTGAATCGAAAACGACAGTTTTCGCGGGCATATTTACGCCCATGGCAAATGTCTCAGTGGCGAATAAAACCTGAAAAAAATGCTCTTCAGAACATATAAAAATATAATGTTTGTTTCAAACATCTGTCTCTAACTATCAACGTTACGTTTATGAAAAAAACCTTACTTTCACAAGTCCATCTTGAAAAAGCATTTCAATCATCTAAAATACATATGAAACAATACAAAGTTACAACGACGAAATATTCAAAATTTATACATTTATGAAGTGTCTTCTATGTTTGAAAGAAAAATTCTGAGCGGACATGATTTGTAAACTGCTAAGAAAAACCCACCTCTTTCAAGATCGGTAAAATACCACTGTGATGAACTGCAAGACCTCGCTTTAGTAAATCCTTCATCTTCCTCACCTGATATTGTATTTGATACTTCATTGATATTGTAAAATTGAAACTTTTTAAGAAAAGGAGTAGTCTTTTTGGGAAACATCACACACGTCCGTATGAAATATATGCATCGAATAATGGATAATTGGGTTAAAGAATGTACAATTATGGTTATAAATGGACAAGAGATAAAATGACGGAGAAAAATTGTAAATCACCTGAGGCAGTCGTTTATCCTGGTCTTTGAGACGTGAAATACATTTCTCGATGAAAATGTGAATTTCATGTTTCTCTTTGCTACTTGTGAGATCCAAATTGGACAATTTCTCAGAATTTTCATTGCATCGCTTCCTTGAGAACGTGAAGGCAACAACAGGCAAACCTTCGTCCTTATCTAACTTTCGAATCAAAGACATCCAAATGTTTCTCTCCTACTTAGAAAAAGAACGTGTGACTTATACAAGAATCATTTCTGATTGATTACATTGACTTCAAACCTCGTTGGGATTGGTGTTCTGCCGTACACCTTTTGGTCCATAATTATCTTTTGGCTTAGATCTTTTGCTCTTGGCTTCCACAGCTTGTTTATGACCAGCGGGTAAAAATTTCCCGCGGCTATCGACAATTGCGAACATTTCATTGGCTGTCTTTGGACTGTTTCCAGTGTAAAGGAAATATTCGAGTGGCACAGGTCGTTTGGACGTGCTGATTACATAAATCTTCTTCTTCTTTATGCGTCTGAGTGGCAGAGAGACACAATGAATTGAAGATAAAAAAAGCTATCAACGGTAATACAAACGTACCCTACCCATCCAGCAAACTCTTTTGTATTGGGTACAGTGGCAGAGAGCATGATGATACCCACGTGATCGGGTAACATGATGAGAACCTCTTCCCACACAACACCGCGCTAAATTATTGAAATAGCAACATAGACTACCAAATATTCTCGTTCATTAGAACTCAGTTTAACAGAACCCTAAAGAATAACTTTAAAGGATTTAGAAGGATAACGGTGGATACCGATGTCAGTTACCTCTGCGTCATTGACGTAATGAACCTCATCAAATATTACCCATTCTGTATCGCGAATTAATCTCGAGCCACGATAAAGCATGGAGCGTAAGATTTCAGTTGTCATTACGATGCAGTTGGCGTCGGCATTCAGTTGAATATCTCCAGTAATCAGACCTACGCTCTCAAATTTATCTTTAAATTCCCGAAACTTTTGGTTTGATAACGCTTTGATTGGTGATGTATAGATGGTCCTGTAATAAAACAATACCAATTTAACAACGTCAAGTTAATTTTCCTTTAGTTTTACAGAATTTTATGCAACTACTATTAGAAATCTCTGGCTTATTTGATCGACAGAAGCTCACAACAAAAGTTTATTTAGAATGTCAAACTAAACCTTACTTTGTCATATTTCTCTCAGATAATGCAATTGCATAATCGGCGACGACTGTTTTTCCAGCAGATGTGTGTGCAGCAACAAAAACGCATTCCTTATTTTCTAAATGGATCAGAGCTTGTTTCTGAAATGTATCCAGCTCAAACGGGTACTGAAACAGATGCCAAACATGAACATGTGGTAAATACTTCTTAAATCGATACCAAACTAACGCATTACTGCAAAAGGTTGACTTCTTTGTTTTTGTAATAAATGAAACTATACGAAGACTCGTCTCACCTCACGAGCCATTTGAGGAATTCTGGTTTTAAAGTCACGAACAGGATCAGTTACGACGACAGCCCAATCTTCATCCCCAACTGCAACATTAGTTTGTTTGCTTTCATCTTTCTTTTTACCATCAACTTCTTCACTCTGAAAGATTAAAATTGAATTTTTTTATGTTACAACAATTATAGAATTGAATCCACGAAAGTGATTAAGGTGTGTCTTTTGACTTTTGATAATTAAAAGGCTTCACGCTGACAAATTTTATGCAAAAAAATTTACGACAATCCTTTCCGACGGTAAGCACACGTGTCAAAAATACGAGATCAAATTACATAATTCTGGCAATCAAATGGTCGGAAATAGTATTGTATATGTAGAATAGTGACAATGAAATAGAAAGAAGATGCTCTTGGGCATTTGTAAATCTTATTTTAGAAATACAGAACGACTAATTATAAAGTAGCATGCGAAAAATATATGATTGAAAACTTGCTCAGCGCATATACAAGCACCAATTTCAGAGCTTGCTCTGCCACAAATCAATTGAGAATTAATCTTAGCATGCGTAGTCAACTCCAACAACTCTCCAAGTTCAGGGCCGTTGTAACGACCAAATGTATGTACTAGTACCGAATATGGAGCAATTAGCTCGCTCAGTAACAAATTTTCACATAAATCATCTGCGCATGCGCAATCTGCTTAAGCATGCGCAGTCGACTTGACCAAATTCCAAAGTTCATGGTCATGGCAATGACCAACTGCATCTACTAGAACCGATTTTGAAGTAAATAGCATGTTTAGTAACAATTTAAAAGAGAAATCATCTGCGCATGCGCAATCCACTCGGCTAATTGTTCATAGTCATGGCAACGACTAACTATATGTACTTGAACTACATTTGTGGCAATTAGCTCACTTGGTTGCAAATTATCAAAGAAATCATCTGGGCATGCGCAGTACTGACTTTAAAAATACCACAACTTTCTTAAGGCTTTGAATTTTTGTATATATATATAAAGCCAATACTAGGTATAGTAGATGTCAACTAGCAGTGGAAGCTGGGTGCGATATAGTATGCAGTGGCTTAGGGGCCCACACTTCGGTGGCGACCGCACTCTCCCTGCGTACCCCGAGCAAAGCCTATCGCAGGTGATCTCGGGGTCTGATGGGCGGAAGCTTGCTATTGCATCTCCCAAGTAGGATAGCGTGGAGGGGCCGAAATCTCCTACCGAAACGTTAACATGCGGCGTTCTAGTGCCTTGCATATCAGAAGGTATCGGGAAGCATGGCCCGAAAACGGGGTTTTTTGCTTTTGAATTTCATCTTTTTGTTCTTACAAGAGTTCTTCTAATGAAAATAGAGCATCCAAGGATACTGCAAAGGTTCAAACAACTTCTGCTTTTTTGACTTATAATTTAGACCAACTCTAAGCATGTTTTTACGTTTTTTACTTGTTATGTTTTACAATGTAATCTTCTCATAACTCTTTTGTGATGAACGAGAGCCTCCTTATACAATGGTTATGGTAAATATTTACTGTTATGCCTTCTGCCTTACAAATAATCGTTCTGAACAGCTAAAATCAGATTCACAAATGCCCAAAAATCAAAAGCATCTCCTAACCATTTTATTGCCACTATTTTACATATACAATACTATGTCCGACCATTTGACTGTCCGAATTTTTAAATTTGATCTCGTATTTTTAACACGCGTGTTTACCGTCGGAAAGGTGGATTTAAATGTTATCCTGACGGCTTACGAAACTCTTTCACACAAAATTGTTTCTTACAATTATCAGGTTTTAACGCTTCAAGTTTGACAACAAATACTCACAACTGGTTGAATATAAACAAGTGGAATGATGTTTCCACAATGAACCGTAGACAATATAATAAAGATCAATACCTTTGGCAACAAATTTTCAAGGCTTTCACTTTTACTAACAGTAGTAGGAAACCCGTCCTCCACCACGTTAGAATCATCGTTTTCCTATGGATTGTTATAGAATTTAAGCACAAAGTAAAATATTTCTTGCCTTATGCATTGATGGCACCTTACTTTTTCCACAGACGCACCACCACCATCAACATTATCTTCGTCGTCAAAATCGTCGTCAATCTCGACTTTTCCACTCAAAATATCAACAAAATTAATGACATTCGGAGAAGTGCCACTATCTACGCTGTCTGCAAACAACGAAAACAAAGTGAATACAGCCTTAAACAAGTGAACGATGACGGAAAATTTAAGCTACTGCTAAAGCTTCAAAAAATGCAGTAGTTTGACCCATACCTAGCGATTCAAAAGTCACTTTCTGTGAAAAACCAGGAGGTATATTGAGAAGATCTAAAATGATTTTAAAAAACCATTAGATAAATACAAAGTTCAAGACTGCTATAAGACGCACTCATCAACCTTTTTCAAAATCAAGACTTTTCGATAGCTGTGAATCCGGCCTTTCGATTCGTTCATCTAGACCTCCTGTGATCTCAAAAAAATTAAACAACGTAAGATTTACAGAATAGTAATTTAAAAATCATACAAAACATAATGGGTAATATGAAATACTTCTAAATCACTTGTAGCACACATTAAACATGTTGAAGAGGGAGACAGAAATTGAAGTACATTGACATAAATAATCTTCAAAAATGCAGATCATTATCTTATTTACCGGGTTTAAAAGGGATATTGGTGGAGCTGCCACGAACATCAGATGACTGAGGCTCGGGTTGACGGAGGAGTGAGGTTGAGTTGCTTCCTGTGAAATCAGCATTCATTACGGCAACCTATAAATATACGTATGTGAACAGGCTTGATCATTTGCTCTTGAATTATATTTGGTAACTATAGCTTGAACATCACCAGTATACAATTCTAGATGAAGTAATTGAAAGATTTCACTTCACAATCTCAATAGATGACATATCAAACATGAATGACATTTTTCATTTTTCCTATCCATCAGTTTGTCCCATGGGAGGGGGGGGTGAGAAGAGAACCTTAAATATGTACCTCATGATAGCCAAGAAGTTCACCACTTCTAGGATCTCTCTTCACCTTTAGCTCCGTCAACACAGGTGAAAATGTGGAATGGAATAATGATTCTGGATCTTGTTTCCTTGGCCAGAACCTAAATAAATCAAAAACAACATAAAATGAGAATTCTGCTGGGATCAATTTTGAATATTTTAAGTGAAGTTATCACAAATGATACCTTTGAGATTTATAGAAATCATGAATTGGTAATTTCTCTGGATGAAGCAGATATTCTTCCAAATCCTCCTCATTGTTTGTAGGAAATATGGGAGGTAAACCATCAGGAAGCTAGCACAGAATCATGGGTAACTTATTAACATATAAAGTTGTTCTAGCACATTTTACTATAATTAAATAGAATTTTCAAGAAGCAGACATCTGAATTGAATACCTTCGAGAGGTGATCAGTTAGGGTACGATCTTGACATCTTGATGGTATATTTCTGGCGACCACATCAACCTCACCATTACATCCAACCTCCACCAAATCAAAAACATCAAGCAGTGAATTCCATGGCTCTGTCCATAAAAACAGACTGTTACAATTTTAATTTATTACATTGACTTCCTTTGTAGTATGAAAACAGCGAAATAAATATAGTACAATGCATTATATAGACTGAGAGATAAATATAGTACAATGCATTACAATATGTGTTAATGTGTGCCAAATCAAAAACTGAAACTAAATTATCTAATTAAGAATTTTACTATCAAAAACGTACTATACCTTTTTCCGTATTTTGTAGTCGCTCCAACTCTGAAATGACATTTCCTTGCATATTGGCAGCTAGATCATGCCAAAGTTCATGTAAAATACAGGAATTACTACTCTTCCTAAAACATCTTTCTATTTGCTATTATATTGATTTCAATTACTTATACTTCATGATACCCAAATATAATTGCACATGCACATCCTTCCGCCAAAATCCAAAGCAATGGAGAGGGGTATATTCTTTCTCCCTAATATCAAATTTGCACGAATCTTTTAAGTCTCTATAAGCAGCTAATGTAGGCACTTGTACAGTCCTATGTTTCTTTTAATTTTTTTTAAGCATTTAATATTAAATCTAACGTCCTGGCTAATAAACCATTTATAAATTATTCTCAATTCTCTAACGTGATTCTACGAAAGACAAATTGCATACTTAAATATTACATTAAACTTAAATGTATATTCTACATGCTACATAACTTATACGTCAAGTATACGGGCTATATACGGGCTACATAACTTATACGTCAAGTATACGTCAGACTATCCATAAAATATATTAAAATAAAATTCGTCTGGTCATTGCTTTTTTGAAAACTCATAGCCAGATACAGTTTGACAGCTATGATTGTTTAATACTAATACCTAATTATTTGTGTCCAAAATACGCTACAAGACCATCATATATCTGTTCTCTTATGCAGCGTTTATCAAATAACTGAAAATTTCATGAAAAAACTGCGCGTGTTGGCTTTGGTTATATTGTATGTTGAAATCTTGGGTATTTAATAAATCTTTCCTCAGTTTCATACTCGCACAACTACGAGGAAAATCTTGTGGGAAAGACAGAGACACATTACGTCCTTGATGAGTGAAGAGTAGCGTGATGCTTTGACTTCTCCTCTTTCTGCAGATGTTAACGTTGCCAAATTGGTTTTTCAACTCACCATAAATATTGGCGAACAGTTTGTCACCTGGTTCATTCTGGTACCATTGCTTTTCATCGATGCTGATCATCGTCTCTTGCTATGAAGAGTAAACATTAGTAATTACTTCAGGTCACTTTCAATACGCACTATTCTTTAGTAATAAGGGATTGACTTTTCAATATTAGATGATCTTTCGTAATCATTGAACTCTTTGATGAGAGAATGCAAGAATTACAGTGCAACATCAGATCATTTAGGATAAAGACATTAGACACTAAAAATTTCAACGTGAAATCACCCATATCAAAGTCAAGTTCTAATGTATGAATATTGTAATGACTTTAGTTCACATAGCTCATAACTAACTTCAATTGTACAAAACCTCATTATTCTGCATTGTCTCTTGTCTCGACATTAATAAGCTGTCCGGAGAAATGCCAGATGAAATTTTTTCTTTTAAAACCTTGTTCTCTTCCTTCAATGAATGGTTTTCTACCCTGAGAGCATTTAATTCTTTATTCAACGAAGCAACTTTTTCGCTACTTTCAATATCCTCTCTCTTCAGGTCTTGAAATTTTTCTTTGATGCCATCACGTTCCTTCAGTTTGTTTTCCGTTTTTTGTTGTTTATCAAGCAAAGATTCTTCTTGATTTGTTAACTCTTTCAGTTGTATTCTGAACACTATAAGTTCGTTTTCCATTTCGTCTTTTTCGTTCTGCATTTTTTGAATTTTCTCATTACACCTTTCTATTGTCTTCTGCATTTCCAACTACAAAAATTCAACAAACACACCAATACATTAATAGGAGATATAAAGAGGCAACTACCCCGCTCTCCTCTCCCCCCCCTATTTTTATGCCATTGTCTACAGTATATCCAGTGCGGCACTGCACTGCTTTGCAAACATTTCAAACTATGCACAAAGTCTTAGCTCAAGTTTAGCTTTCAGAAAACCCGTTCAATGCAAGAATTATATGTTTCATCACCTTTTCATTGAAAATCTGTTCATGTTGTTGTCTTAATTCTTTCAGACTTCTCAATGCTTCGTTCAGTTGGCTCTTTCTTTTTCCCAGCGCCAGCTCAGTTTCATCGTAAATGGACGCTAATTCATCATAAAGTTTCTTTATTCTAGCACTTTCAACCTCAACTTGGTTGTTCTTTTCTTGTACTTTTTGAATTTTTTCTTCGTTCGTTTCCAGCTCTTCCTACCACAGAAAAGTATAATAATTTTTGAAATAAACATGGTTGACTTTTCCACATTGAATAATATCACTTTCTTCTTTGACGGTTTGAACATTTTCGTCGTAATAGTACCTGTTTCTTTTGAATTTTTTCCATCAATTTGTTTTTATCATTTTCCTTTTCATCTCGCTCTTTTTCTAACACAGCAATTGACTTTTTTCTGTAATAAAATCATGAAAAATCACATGGTAAAACTTGGTTTATCATGGTCTATCATGGTTATATTCTAGGAAATAGACTTTGTTTATATATGACACAAGTTCTTACAGTTCCTCGTTCTCTTCTTTCAATTGCTCTGATATTTCTCGTTCTTTCTCAATTTCCTCCACTTTCACGCTCAATTCTTCATTTTTTTCTTTTAATGTTTCTTGTAAGTCATTGATCAATTCGTTTTTATCACTTTTCTTTTCATCTCGCTCTTTTTCTAACTCAGCAAATGACTTTTTTCTGTAATAAAACCATGAAAAATCACATGGTAAAACTTGGTTTATCATGGTCTATCATGGTTATATTCTAGGAAATAGACTTTGTTTATATATGACGCAAGTTCTTACAGTTCCTCGTTCTCTTCTTTCGATTGCTCTGATATTTCTCGTTCTTTCTCAATTTCCTCCCCTTTCACGCTCAACTCTTCATTTTTCTCTTTTAATGTTTCTTGTAAGTCATTGATCGATTGGTTTTTGTCATTCAGGGAGCATAAAAATTCATTGTGATCTTTATTATGATTTTTCTGTAAGTCGGCAAGCGACAGTTTACTATTAAATGTAAACGAAAAAAATAAGTATTACATCCTCGAAATGGTAGAATTATAACACGCAACATTTCTTAGAGTAAAACATTCGGCATGTTAAATTGAAGAAAAGTTTGAAATATTCATTTTTCTTTTTGACAAGTTCTTACAATTTTTCTTCTTTTTCTTTCAGCTCATTGGCTAACAATTCTCCTTTTCTTTCCATAGCTTCCACTTTCTTCTTCAATTCTTCATTTTCAATTTTTAAAGAATGAAACAATTCGTTGTTTTCTATTACTTCGAAATCCTGTTCTTGCTGAAGTTCTTCAATTGATGGACTTTTATCATTCAGAGGGCAGAAATTGTCATTCCCTTCTTCGTTGTATTCTGTTTCTTCTAACTCTGCAAACGACTGGTTCCTGTTAAATGAAAACGAAAAGCAATGGAAAAAATATTTGCAAAATGATTGGATTGTAAGAAATATCGATCAGATCAACAAACGACAAAGTAAAATATTTGCTTGAAAGAAAAAGTTCAAGGCTCTTACGTTTTGTCCCTTTCTTCGGCTAAAGTTTCTCGTTCTTTTTCCATTTCTTCCACTTTCTTCTTTAATTCTACAATTTCTTCTTTTAAAGTTTCTTGCAACTCATTCTTTTCACGAAGTGCTTCTTCTTTCTCAGCGAGCAGCTGCTGTTCACTGTCGAGTAAACGTAAAATCAAAAATTTATAAATGTAATTTATTTACGAAGTAAACATATGTGAAGATAAAGATTATATAGATGCGTTCGTTTTCTAAAACATGACGAATGGTATGTGTAAACATAGCGTTAACGTTGCTTCTGCTACACGTTTAGAAAAATAAACCCTTACTATTTGTCTATTATTTCTTTCAAGCTATTTTGGGCATATTCTTCTTGCTCTCTCTGTATATTATCAAGTTTTGTGTTCAAGTCTTCGTTTTCATTGTGCAACAATTTGTTTTCATCATCTCTTTGTTGTTGCTGCAGTTGTTGTACTTGTGCTTTTAGAGATTCTATCTCTTCCAACAGTGTCTCTTTATCGTCCAACCATTTCACTTCCCGTTTGATATGCTCCTACGGAAGCAACCAGAGTTCGATAAGACTTTTACAACACACAAAAATCAATCGATAGTTTTCTGCATTCACGCAGGAGGCAAAAACGTAAAAAACTCAATGCAAAATCTTAAATCTTTTTAAGCAAACATTGTTTGCCATGAGTTCTTGTTATACAAGGTGAATTTAATCCCGGAGATTTTTAATGTGATAAATAATGTAATACAATAAAATGATTATCAAAAAGACTCCATAAGATTACAGATAAATCGCAAGGGACTTGGCTAGGATAATTACCATTCTCTTGAATAACATCAAAACATATCATGCGATACGGGAATGATTACACGTATGATTTTATCGCGGAATTCAGAAAAAACTTAAAACAATTCGCGTCAGCAACTTATCGAAATGAGACAGAGTACCCAGTCGAGCTGTTTCAAATTGAAAGAAACGAGAACTCTTTAAAACTTTACAAATATTTCCACATCCACAAGATAGGGTCATTTGTATCAATAACATATACAGATCGACACAAGAGTGAAAGGGCAATAAGAAATGTTGACATATAACGATCTACTGCGATCTAAATAATTGGAACGTCGTACATTTTTACCATTATTCTAAAACCCAGCATTTGTAATCTCAAAAGGGTTAGATAACAGTTAATCGTATAGTAAAGAATAGAATCATACATCTCACCTTTACTTCGCGATTTTCAGGATAGAAATCAGCCATTGTTATTTGTGTTATTTCTGTTTTGTTTTAGTCTGCAGTGAACTTTTACTTTCACTTGATTCCGAGAAAACAATTTACCTTTAAATCTGTATTAATTTATCGATCTACCGAATTCTGTTTTTCAATGTCGCAATTTTTATGAAAGCTGGTGTGTAAGACAGTCCTCAATAAGTGTTGTACACTTGTCTTCCAGCTAAGTCAACTATTTCACAAAACCGTATGTCTTATAGTTATCAAGGGCTTGTATGACGTAATGATAGGGAAAACCAACAACGTCATCAGTTTTTGAATATTGTACAGGTATTGAAAAGTTAATAATGCATTTTCATTGTCATTTTTGAATTTTCGATTTCTCTCATTGTGAAAGCAATGTTTGATTTAAGTATGTAAAAATATCCTGGGAATACCAGTGTTCAGTACCAGTGTACTATGGCTTGGAGTATGTTTGTGAAACCTTTAATGATCTGAAATTTGAATACGTTGGTATCAGCAACAACGTCACTGAAAAGTTTGGAAAATATTTGAAAATGAATAACAAAACTCTTTAGGATCAACCAGAGGACAAAAGCATTCTCTGACACAGTATTGGAACCACACAGTTTTTACACAAGTACAAGTTTATTTGCCATTTTTTATAAAAATTCCGGAAAATTCATCAATGATTACACAATTAGAAAAATTAAAGAACCAAAGTAAAGATTAAACGTTCTTGGTTGCTTGAATTAAAGTATTGCAATTTCTTGGTTATCAACACATCTGTAGCAGTAACTGCGCTAAAAGCAAAAAAAAAACAAGGCAAATTCCTTTTTCTAATAAATGGTTTCGATTAGCCTTGTGAAAGAGCAAAACACGAAGAGAATGGTGCTTTTATAGCAACTTTTATTAATGACAAAATCTTTGCATTGAAAAGTAAAAGTGAAATATACAAGTGAAATTTTTCAAATGTCATACGGTCTTTGTTTGATGAAATTTCCATAATCATGATAACAGAGTCGGGGAAAAATTCATGTGATTAGTCATCCGTTTATTTCCACCTGCTACGTACGCTAAATATTGAGGAAACATTTCATTAATATGGCTTTCCATCAAGCTGCAATATGTATAAGCATACACTTGTGAATTCTTCAAAGACGCATCTCAACACACTTACACTGTGTGCAAGTCAATGGATCATGGTTGTTGTTCATGGATAACCAGCCAACATATTTAGTTGCTGAGAACCAAGCATGCTGATAAGTTGACCATCAGGTGTAAGACTTTGGTGTGATCTCCCAGTACCAGGAATATTTTCCCAGTTTGCATGAAATTCTGGGTGGGAGAAACGTTCATAATTAGAGACAATTTGATTTTCTTCCATTCGCAACTTTTTCTCTTCTAAAGCCTCTTCATTGGCGCGTGCTGTAAAATGAAGACAGAAGATATCTATATGATTAAAAGAGTTTACCTGGCAGATATCGGGAGGGACTTGTGACTTACAAAATGAAAAAGTGCTGAATGCAAAATATCAATGACTGCCTGACAGACGACATTCAGTAACATGGCATTAAAAAGGGCAACGTACTAAAATAAAGTTACCTAACTCTTGTTTCAAGTCTTCTTCGCGTTGTTGTTCATAAATGTCAGCCAGATTCTTGCTTGTCATTGTAGGGTCATTTGGGGTGCGATGATCTCTCGAAACCATCGTCTTTTGCATTGCTAAATTTTGCATCTCCTCTAGAATGGCCTGTTTGTCATTGAGTGGCAATGTAGCCTCTTGATTCATAGGAGTTTGCAAATTGGAAGTTGCTGTATTAGCACTTTTGCGCGAAATAAGAGCTTTGATGATACCAAGCAACAATGCTTCACGTTTTGGATGAGAGATTTGATTAATAACAAGAGCGTGATTACTAAATGCGTCGACTAGTTGCGACGTCCCCTGCTGTTGGTGATCATCGGGACGTGTGATCGGTGTTAAATTGTTGTGATGTGCGACAGGTGGAGTTGTGGAATTGAATAAAAGAAAGTCATTTTTTGTTTCGCTTGCGTTTTTTGAAAGTGTTTTTGTCACTATTTTTGAGGGCGCGTGACTAGATTTCAGAATTAGGTTTTTTATTTTCTCGAGTAAACCATGATCACCCACGGAATCATGAGCTTGGTTTTCATTAGTCGACGCATTCACTCCTGTCTCTTTCGTTGTGTTAAACTGTTTCGCTTGCACGATTCGAGCAAGAATGTTATTACGTATGGCCCCTGATTTAACCCGTGGCCTTGTCCTTCTCAAGGAGGCTATAATAGGATTTGGTAAATTACGCAAAGGTAAAATATCTGAATTATCATCGTCATCGTCTTCCGGAACTTTAGCAACGATCACGGAAGGTTTGCCGGACGTCTTTTGACGAATCATTTTGCTTTTTGGGGGAGCTTGCTTTTTTAATAAACCAAATAACTGTATTTCATTTTGTTTTCTGTTATCAAGTAATTCACCTTCCTTTGTTGAGTGCCCACTTGGTGAAAATCGAATAATTTTTCCTACTGAAGAAGATTCTGTTTTAGTTCTTGGACTCTGGTTCATTCCATGCTCGAACAGATGAACGTGATTATGGAGATTTGATTGGGATTGTATCTATAATGTAAAACATGACAGTAAAATTAGTAAAGTTTTAGTTCTTCGTACTGTTTTACGAGATGATGTGGGCGTATCCATTCGATAATTTAACCTCTGAAAATATCTTAAATGTGATGAGACGGTTGGTGAGAGCAAATGCTTTGCAACGTATATATTGAACACCTTTTTGAGCACATCACAATCCACTGCTATTTTTTTATTTAACCCTGCACACATGACTTTTATTCTACCATGATACATGCACAAAAACACAAATGATACTAATATATATAAAATACACCTTGGAAAATTGTCCTTCCTTATGGTCTGAGCTCATATCGCGTTCTATATCCATCAACATTTTTTTGCCATTCTTTGATTGAGTTTCTTGCAAAATACTTTGAATGTCCTTATCTGGAATGTGGACCGCTTTCCATCTCCCCCCTGACATGTCAGTGAGATCGTGAATTTCAAACCGACTACGTTGTGTACCCCGTATTTTTGAGTCCGGAAGAACTATGGTGGGATTGGTTTCTGCAATCAAAAAAATACAAATAATTGTAATATAAATATGACAAAAATGAAGAGTATACTGCACTTGTGCTATTTAAAACCCCTGCATCACTCAAAACATTATTAGAGCCTTGTGAATTTCAATTTAAAATTGAAAACAACACAAATCACAAGGAAGAAGAAGCAAACGTGTCTTGTAATTTGTACATACGTTGCCTGAACTATCGGGTAGATTGAATTTATCTACAAAATGTTATGATTGGACAGCAATTCCCACGTGACGGACATAAAAATCAATTTGAATTATAGTTAGCTTGAAAATTAGAAATGTTGTATGTCTAGAATATATTTGTAGAATATTTTTTAAATAACTGCTAATTCCCAAGGCCAATTTTTACTGCAAGTGCTACGGCATGGAAACTAAAAGGACCTGTTTCATTAGAACAAGCAAACAGAACAAAACACAACGTTTTTTTTCTAAACAAATATATTATGTCTTTGTAAGTTTTTGATTGCCAAAAATAGTGTGAAAGAAATTGTGAAATCAAAAGGCAAAAGAAAGAAATGGAACGCAAAAAACTCGTCTTACCATGTGTAAAAGAAATTAAAGCGATGACCGTGCAAACGAATAAAAAAACTTTAAACATTATTGCCAAATAGTCCGACAAATTTCACAATTCAGGGATTTCCTCATTTCTTCGATTCAAAGATCAGCAAAAGTCAATGCATAGACGAATCAACACACATGGTTGATAAAGAGCAAAAATAATTGGCAACAAAAGTTGAATTGTCCACCAGTGAACCAAGTGAACTTGAACCAGGCTCAGAGATGCTTGGCATGTGTCCTTTGTAACATTTAAGTGTGAGATATATGCATTCACATGATCAAAATTTGGAGTTCAAGTTTATCAAAGTTGCAAAACAGATATTTAACACAGCAAAAAGAATTATCATTGGATTTCACGCAATTTCAAAACAAATCAACTGCTTTTCAACAATGAGAATTTTTTCTAGCGCAGCACCCGTTAAACACCAGCATGAAGAAATCGACAATTTGTGTTGAAATAAAGTTTAATCGCAAGATTGGAAGCTGCAGAAATAGAAACAAGTATTGACAACAGCAGATTGAAAGGAATTTCTATCACAGAACAGATCAAAAATTACTTATAAACCACTACTCTCTCAATTTAATATTTTATCAACCTGTTCCTAATGACGTCACTTTGCATATTAAAATCCTGTGGAATGCGAACAAAATTTGACATAAAATGTCGTAATTGGTAAATTTTCGTATGAAGCGTTTTGAAAAATGTTCCAATGTGGGTGAAATGAATGAAAGATGAGAACGTATCTATGGTTACTGATGTCTTTGACGTTGTCAATGATGGAGCATTATTGCAAATCAATCACATTAAGTGAGTTCAATCATGAGTAATTTATGCATGCAAACCTGCACCAACAACACTCTCATAACTTCTTACTTGAATCTAATCTGTGTGATGCAAATTTCATCATGAATCAAAGAGGAAAGTGGAACTCGGGGAGTTAGAATGATAATTCCGAATAAGTTTCGGTGGACCCTAATTCAATACGACTAAAGACTTTTACTACCAATAAAAATCTCCAATATTTTCACCCATGTCTGAGCAAGGACTTTTTGCTACTTTAACTATAAACTTCATGGCATAAATTTACTAATCGTAACTTGAACATTATTTGTTATCTTAAGACACGATAGGCAGAGAAGGATCACACGGCCTTCAACCAAACGTAAAAAAGTCGGAATTACCCGAGATGAATCAGATAAAGTTTATGAAAACTTTGCTGGGTAAAGTAAAGACTTTGATACACAAGGAGAATGATCTGGAGAGTAAGGAAAGAAACTCAGCGAGAGAAGAAAAAGTCTCAGATCAGCAAACGCCTATCGAAATCAGCGCTGAAACATCCGAGAGCAAAAAGATCTACGACACGTTAAACGACTTGAAGAGCAAAGACAAATCTTCAAATGTAATTTCAGTTCCAATAGAAGTATCAAAGAAGATAGCGAAATCAACTGACTTAGGAGTCCAAGGAATCAATAATGGTCATATGGATGACACACCAAAAGAAACCCGGGTTTTGCTAAAACCAATATCTCTTCAACTGGGGAAAAATTCCGAAGATAATAAAGCAATGACATCGATGGTTCCACTATTTTTACCAAAGCAAGTAATTCGTTTTAAAAGTATTTATTCCGACAGATTTAACAACAATCCCAATGGTCCAAAGATACCATTAATCATTCGACAACATGGGAGCAATATGGAACAAGGTGAAGATGATGAGAGGTTATACAAGAATGATGAATGGTCAACTGAGGATGATAGGGATGACAGACAGTTTTACAACGACGAGGATGGGTTGTACAGAGATACAGATGATATGTCAGAAGAGATAAAATTTCACCACAAAATTCCAACTGATGATAGATATCATCATCCAATTAAATATAATCCCGACAGAGTAGACGATTACGATGATGACGATGATGACAACTATGACGATATTGAAGACGACGATCTGAACGATGACAGAGCAGATTACAAAAACTCCGCACGCATGAGTGAGGAAGAGCGGCAAATTGCCAAAACCAGAAAACGTCTTTACGACATGTTACCAGGTAACGATCCAACATACACGTCAGATAATCGTGAATTAGGATATCCGACTCATCCTATAGGTTGGACGTCAATGTCAGAAACATTCTTGGATAACCCAAGATATGTTCAACAAAGAGCGATGTTGCCGTTTCTTGGAAATGCATTGGCTGGTGAACATGCTGACAACTCGAATTATAGGAATGTATTTATGATAGATAGAGGACTGGGAGCAAGACAGGTGTATGGTAACCCAGAGTTTAATTCCAGGTACAGTTCATTCGAACCATCAATGATGCGAATCAACACAGCTGGTTTTGCCGTTGGAGGATCAAACGCTCAAGCATTGTCACCAAATGAGGCCAGATTTATGCTACAAAACTCCGGAATTGATCGGTGGTCACAAAAAAACAAGATATTTCGTCCTAAGAATGCAGGAGTGTTATTGAAAGTCAACGGGCAACCAATAGGAGACTCTCTGAAATTTAGAGATCGCATCGTAAACGGAGTAGCCGTCAAAGGTAAAGAAAAAGTTATCAAATCAAGAGGCCCAATGGATGTTAAGATTACCAAGGCAACAGATGGCGTGCACGCGAAGATCGTGGACATAACAAGTAGAGATGACGTTAAGGTTTTAGAAACAAAGAGTAAAGTAGCAAAGGCAAATTAACAGATGCAATTGCACATTAGGGAATCGTGGAGGAAAAAAAGATACACAAAGATACATCAGAGATGCCACCGTGCATTAGAGAATCCTTGAAGAAACATGTAGGTACACCAAGATAAATTAAGGATGCCACTGTCTATTACAAAATCCTCGACTAACATTTAGGTACACACATTAGGATATAGAAGCTAATGTCTTTTGAGACAACATAGAAACGTTAGAACATCGCCTACATGGTAAGTACTTTGGATATAAAGTAACACATGTTCAAAACTTGTTAATGGCACAGGGGGGTTGCCTTCATTTAGGACAGCTTAAAGTCTCCTGAAAAAGAAAGAATTGTACTCAGTATTCTTAATTTAGCAATACTTTCACTTTAGACAGAATAGACGCGAGACTGTCTACTTTTAATTGGATATCTTGTTCTTTAACGAAATTGCTCTTGTTTTACATACAATAGAAGTAGCACTTTAATAGTACAATCCACTAAATTTTATTGGTTCAAATCAGTGTCCACGTTCTTATAATAACCAAATCAAATTTCCTAGCCCTACAAGTCGTTCGAGTTTATAAAAAATCTGATGACAATACTCGAACGAGATGAAGATGAAAAAAAAAGTGAATAAATTTGTATTAATAAAAGAGACAAGGGTTTAAAAATACATTTATCAAGTTTTCAATACTCGACATTAAAACAGTTTTTAAAACACAAAAACGGTAGTCCAATGTTCAACATGTGTGCATTCTCTGGCTCCAAATCAGTCCTTCAGTGAGCATGCGCTAGAATAGATCAAAGGGATATCACCAAAGTTCTGGAACATGCTCCCGCCCATTCACGATTATAACCAACGCACTGGTTCCTCAACATTAAAAGGATTCGTTCCAACGCCTGCGCTAGTTTGGTGACGATTGGCCAGATTGCTGAAATCGTCCCCATTTACTTGAAATGGATTTGATTGTTTCTGTTGGTTTAAGTTATTTTGTGGTGTAAAGAGCAAACCTGCAGCATTTTTACCACCAGAGGACCATTGCACTCCACCATTATTAGTTGTAGTTATCCCCTGTGGATTGTTAGGGGCAGGAGGATCACTTAAAGATAAAAGAGCATCAATGTCAGTTGGTTTATTTGAAGGAGGTTCCTCTGGTGGAAGCCTCGGAACAACTGATTCATCTGCTAGGACTTCATATTTGCCAGGTCGAAGTGGCTGCAGTGACAGAGGCTGTGAGCGATATCGTAAAGATGTGTGACGAGTGAATGGGTTAGAAGCGGCACCTTGCGGGCGTGGACGAGATTGTAGGTTAAGTTTCTTTTCTTTCTTTCGAATTGGTTCAACTTGCGGGGGATCCAAAGCAGCTGGTGCATTGCTTAATGTTGGACTGGAAGTGACACTTGGCTGAGGACTGCTACCTTGAGTGCTGGACACTGAGGTCTTCGGAGCTTGTTGAGGATCTTCCGTGCTGGCACTTGGTTTGCCCTCCAGAGCTTGTGGCTGTCCGTCAGATGTTGCTTTATCCTTGTTTGATGTTGTCCTCATACTTGCTTGCCTCTGACAAAGCAAATTAAAAGCAAAATTAATACAGAGAATCTCAAAAAAACCTATCAAATACCATGCTCACCTCAAAATGCTGTTCTTTCAAAGCAACCTGCTTTTGTTTCCTTTGTAAGCAGGCAGTGAACGCACAACCAACAGCATGACTCAACCTTTCACCCTAAACATTAACAGATTGTTGGTTAAATGACTACAGTAAAACAATGCCAGGTGGTAAAAAGTCACATTATATACATACCGTATCGCGCCTTGCACTAAAACATTGACACATCCATCTGCGAGATGTACCATCACGACTTATGTAACTAAACAGTTTCTCATTATATGGATCAGGAGTACAGAAAGACACCTTTTCAATGGTTTGGTCAATGACAAGTTGCTATGTAGAAAAATTTTTTCAATTACACTCAAATACATTTGGCAACGAGGTATTATGGTTTCAACGTAGAAAGTCAATAAATAAACAAAATGTTATTTAAAAAAATCAATTTTTGATGTTGGTTAGTTCATATTAGCAAAAGATGAACAACTTTTACAGTGTAAAACAATTTGTCAAAGTTTCCATCAAATGATCAACATTAAGGGATAATTCTTTTATAAAATACATTAGACAGACTTTTTACGTGTCAGAAGGGTTATGCTATTTTACTGACTTGAGAAAGTTTCATTAGAGTTAAGGAAAATATCACAAATGGTAATGTCAGGCTAGACCTGGTCTGTCAATTAGTTGCATTTTCTCTACAGCAAATTTTAAAGCAAGTATCAAAACGTGTTACATCAACCATTTTCTTAATGGAAATCAATAATTCATGAAAATTAAGCGAGGGGCTACTTTAGCTAACATGAATGTATAGGATTTTACCAACAAAATTATGTTTAATATAAAATATTACATAACTGCGAAAATTTTGATAACCATACTAAATTTTTCCTTCAAATTGCATACATGAGTCAATCATAAATGAAAGACAACATAGACCTGGTTATTTTAAATTCACAAAAGATTATATGCCAAATAAAAAACTCAAATTTAATTATAAAGCAGCTGCAGTCATTATTCCTGGAAGATAATAATAAAGTTAAGGAATAATAATATTAATAATAAATGTACATGGTTTGAAATCATAACAACTCCCAAATTGAATTTATGAACAGGACAATGGACATTCAAAATAATGAAGTCAATAAGCCTGTAATACAATTGCTTCATTCGAAATATGTATAGAAACTTATCAAAGAAGACTGCATAGTGTTTAACATATTAATCAGTTTCCTCAAGCATAGTAAAATATCTCCAGCTGTGCAAAAACATCAATGACCATTCTTATATAGTACTTATCATTCTAAAATCTTGAGCATTCTACTCAAAGTTTATCTGTTACGGTCAGTAAAAGCGCTTATCGGAATTATACGATATTCTTCAAATTTATATTTATATTGATGATAACACTTGGGTCATTAAATACTGCGTTTCTCAATTTGAGAAACAACAACACTACAAGACATCAATAAATTACCGATATTTAATGAAAACTGGTCCTCAAATGCATTATGAAACTAGACAAAAATTGTACAAAAAGCCCACAGTTTCACTTTGTTAAAGTACTCCAAGATATAGCAATCTCTGAAGCGTAAAGACTTTGTTGAAGAAAGTTGTAAACAAGAAGAAAAAATTTGTATTTTACAATTGCAAAGTGTATAACGTACGTATGCTTTAAAACGAATGTCATAATTGGTTCTTTGAACTTGATTTAAACCAAACGTAATTTAAGGAAACCAGATACTTCTAGTCACGAGAAGAAGAGCAATTGCTTTAGAATATGCTACGGTTGGTAGATGTAATGGAAATTTTATTACTGCCTATCGATAACTTGTTCTACTCAAGCTCAAACCTTTGTTTTGTCGTCGACAACTCTTATACAATCCTCTGTGACTAGTAGTGTCATTTTACGACTTCTTCGTCGCTTCTGAAAAAGGAAAATAAAACTTGAGATGTTCAACTATGGCAACTATATTCAACGTAAAATAATGAGCATTAAACACCTACTGATATAGTTCTAAAGTGGGCTAAAATACACACACTTTGTGAAAAGTACTATATTCTTTCGCGTTACAACTCACATTCTTTTTGAGAATTTTTGCTGCCTCGCTACATATTTGGGTTCCACGCGATTCAGCGACCTCTTGCGCACCGAGATACTGCGAGAAAAGAAGCAATCAAACAATGATTTTCAGAATTTTTAGCGATATAAAGCAAAGGATAACGAGTGAAATATATATAAATCGTCATTAAAGCTAAAAAAATGTTAATGCTCTACCTTCACCGGAAAACTTATACCGCCTGATTTAACTTTGTGACTGTCACTCTCCCATTGATGAGGGCGACAACTTTCAGGGACATGTCTTTGTGATCGACGAAAGCTAATCGCTCGTCTAAAACGTTGCATCCTTGCGCACACCTCTTGGCAACCTTACACACGTTTTAGGCACAATCGCCCTTTTTGTACACGTTGCTTACAAACACAGCAAGATAAGTCTTAACAAAATCGATGTTTGAGAACGGAAGCCTCTCCGCCTTTATTTATTGGGCGCATGGGAACGAGTATACGAACACTTCCGAAGGTGACGCATATTACGAAGAGTGGCCAAAGCAGGTGACCCAATCGGTGAACTAATGGCAATGGTAGTGGTAGTCTGAAACTCTGAATTTACCATTGGTTTACCAAGCAGTTCTTGGGGGGAATTATTTGTTGCGCTGATTAAATAAAAATTAATTGAACATGCATTTTTATGCAATGAAAAAAATTTCGGTAGCTTTCTATTACTAATTTAAGCTATTTACAATTTATATTAAATCTAAAAACGCAAATTATATTTATCTCTTGGCATAACAAAGTAGAATGTAATGGTAGATGCATAACAGATGATCCTATCCATCAACCTTGTGCTCATCTTTAGGATTATCCGACAACTTCTCAAGTTCACTATTGACTGCCTCTTCCTGTATATTTTTTATAATACTTGTGGCTGTGTATCCCAACACACCACCACCTACTGCAAATACAGTTCCAGCTTTGAAGCCAGCTAAAAGACCAACAGGTCCCCCAATAACACCACCTACCACAGCACCAACTGCAGGAAGAAGGACTGTTTTAAGTTTTGCAGCCTAAACAGAGCAACATCTATTTAAAAAAAAACACAACCAAAAATACTGCAACAAAACATATATATTTACATGACCAAGCTCCTGTGTTGCTTCATGAACATTGGCTTGGGCATTTTCAATATTTGCTTCAATTGTATCAACAGTAGACTCTTGCTCCTACAATTGGGTACATGAGAAGTATGAACAAAAAGTCTCATAACGTAATGTTCGTACAACACTTCATCTTATCTACTACTGCCAAATAAAACTCACATGAATCATATGAGAAAAGTCATGAATAAGCTCATTCAATTCAACCAAACCCTTGAAATAAACAATAAGACTGAACTCAGTTCATACTGTTGTACAACAAATGTGAAGTTCAATGATGATCTGTCTCTTCATTACTTTATGTAAGTCATCCCAAGATTTAACAGATGTTTCATCAGGATTAATTTGCACTTGGTTCATAAGTTTGCCTTAAAAAATGAATCCCAAAATAAATAAAGTTTGTACATGCACAATTTTATTCCGATCCATATATTTCAGACTTTGGCTTTTCTGGTTGCTTCTTCACCTTATAGTTATCCAAATCATTATATCTATATTCCGCACTTCATACCACCTTAAAAATGCCATTAAAGGTATGTATTGAAGTCTGCAGATTCATCTCAGACTTAAAGTGGAGCAAATCAATACCAACTTTATGCAGATAAAAGATGCCACTCACTGTGCTCCTTTCCTTCCTGGTGAATGACAATAGCTTCGGAAACAGTCATATCAAGATCATCTCTTTTATAATTGGATTGAAATTTCATAAATGACTCAATGGCTGCAATAGCTTTTGTGTAAGATGGGCCGACACGTTCATCAAACTCAGAAAGACTCTGCAAAGGAACTTGTCTTCTGGTTGCCTCCATGCCTTTCATGTTCTCTTTCAAATGCTTCAAAGAATAAAAATCAAAATCTAATCTGTCAATGAATATCAGTCAATATACCTTGGAAAATATTTTTTAAAAAACCTGCACACTGATCCTTGCATTGATTTGCTCTGCATTCAATTCTTGCCAAAGGTGTTCTTCACAATACTAAAAATGTACAAATAACATACATGTGTTGTTTGTATTTCACTATTCCTTTAATATGTTATGAATTTCTAATGCATTTGAACAAGACTAAATACAAACTTTTTCCATATTTATTCTGTGCTTCCGTAGTCTTTCCAAGGCTGTGGGGATGGTAATGTTTGTAAATGTACGCAAGGAGACATCAAATCTCTGCAGATTTGCTTTTGTATTTGATGAACTTGGCCTAGAATCCTTATCTCTCATGGGAAGGCCATGCTCAGCCTTGCCACTATCTGCCAGCAATGGAATGTCTACTAAAGCAGAATTTCATCTTTCACATTGTACAATACAGTATATGCACAGCTTAATCAATTAATTATAACATTCAATGTTTAATAAACAAAACATGAAATCTAGATACATACATACCTGATGTTTTTGAGGTGGTTGGCGAAAGGCTTGGCTTCTTACCCAATTTCTCACATGGTTCTTCTCTGTTTTCAAGAGATTTACTTATTAAGGTTTGCAAAATACTTATTTCTTTCAGTGCCTTCTCTTTCACATCCTTTATCTTCGTGTCAAAATCTTCCACATCATTTTCAATCACTTGCTCTCGTATATTGTCCATTTCTTGAATATTTGCTTTAAGTAGCTGAAGTTAAATCATCTTCTTTATTACAATTGTCATTGTTACGTACAATGCATGACCAAAACACATCAAAGCATACTTTGATTGTTCTCTCTGCATTAATTCTTTCTACATCAAGCTTTGCCCAATTCTTCCATTTTACATACTGCAAAACACAAAGTTTGAAAATAAAAATATTGATATAGCTCATATTAAAACAATACAGGCAAGACAAACTTTCTCAATGTTGTATTTGTGCCTTTCAAGTCTATCTAAGTCGGTGGGTAACGCAATCTTTGTGAATCTGTAAATAGCTGGCTCGAAACGCTTCAAAGGTAACTTCTTCACTGGATCACTGCTCTTGTTTAAACCACCTTCAATTTAATATAGTGGATACAGGCATTTAGTTACTTGATGGCTTAAAATTTAACCTCGACATAATTTACGTACTTTCATAACACAGTAAAAGAGTTTGAAACTTTACAAACAAGATTATTTTCAAAATACAAAGTAGTCAAAGGCACATTCTTGTACTGTTGTACACAGACAGTTTCAAAATATAGAAATAATTCGAATAAAACACCTACCTCTCAATTTCTCAAAAGAAGCCATTTTAAAATAAAGCAAAATTACTCTGTAATAGCTGTAAGACACTTAAAGACAGGCTTTCAAAGAGAAAGAAAGATAATTTGCATAAATTTATCAATTCTTCGACTTTTAGTATTGCAGTTAGACATGATACGATGTTAGATTTTACACATGACGATAATAGTAGTTTTTGAATACATATTATCATAATCAAAACAGAACAGATTGCGAAATCATGTAATATTATCCACACAAACAAAAGCTATTAAAGTTGTCACACGCCATTTTCTGTTTATGTTATGCTCGCCCCAGTCTTCAGTTCTACGCACACACATATTTTACTTCAAATTTCAAAAGAATTATAAAAACAGGTGTAGATCAAAGCAATTTAAGTTAGGAATAACCAAATAAACTAACTCTCTTATATGCAATGCATTGCCATATCATCAATGTTCCAAGAATGACACGTAATCTGTTAGAATTCCCAATTGCGTGTCACATTTTAATACCATTTTCGACCTTTGAGAGTCCCCTAATAACAAAACTAAGTGCTGATTAGATAGAACTCTTTTTCAATTCAGATCACAGAAATCTGATACCTTTATCCTTTTGTGGCATTAATGTTTTTGTATCATCATCATATGTCCAGTTGTGTTTTTGAGCCACTAAAACAAAATCTAGCATTAATACATGTTGGTTGACAGAAATTCATGTTGCCAACGACATGTCACATAACATTTAAACTTATGTACCTTCAAGTGCTTCTTGTATGGTCATTCCCATAAACAAGGAGAATTTGCTCACATGGATGGAAGTATATGCATTTTGCACAAGGTCGAAAAGATGTTCTCGTAATCTCTCTTCAAGCATCACCATTAAAGGTCTTACAACATCTGACCAATCTTGATGTAAGCCAGCATATATTCCGGCATAGTCTTTCAACCACATTTTCTTTCCAATATTCCAAATGTTTTGGAGTTCTGGTGTACACTATGAACAAATTTGTAATCAAGATAAATAATTGCATTTCTTGTGGCAATATAAACAACACAAACCGTTTTGATTTCGTCTGGTATTCTTTTCCATAGGAACTTTGCATCTTCTCTAATAAGGCAATAGGTTGGATTAGACGAGAGGACGATCTCTAATTACTAAATTCAATAAGAAGTTCTGACATTTTTAAAATGTACTTACAACTCATATCGAACAAGGTAAACAGCCAATTGTTGTGAATACGTTTCTGCAGTGGCTAAACCCTTAGAAAGTCACGACTTATTAGTAATCATTGATAATTCTTTAGTCGATCAAGTTCAAAAACCACATGATTACAATTAAATGAGAATTGAAAAAAAGTGTTTTCATTATAATGTACTCTGAAACTGAGACAAAATTAACATCCAACATACATTCAATTCATTTTGTTCAAATTTCTCCAAAAACGCGTCTAAAATCTTTGAAGAATTAGTTCGTGTCCCATTCGCCATGTTTGTTTGTCATGATCCATTACCTATCTATTATATGGTATAAGCCATGAGTATATGCCATTACCATTACCTATTAATACTTTCAGCCAATAATATTTCATAATGGTGAATTTCATCTTTTTCATCACGAAACAAGTAATTTTTGAAATCTATTGTTTCTCAATTAATAAATTTATAGAAGAGGACAGGATACTCCACTATTGATCATATTCAGAACATCCACACATGTGGAATATATGCACTTGTAAATGGAGCTATAATGCCTTATGTTCAAAAGCAAATACAAGGGAATTTTTACAAGCGCAATTTTTATAAGCAACAATTGTCTGTCCTCAATTTATAACTAGTGATTTTGCTTATGATGAAAACAGAAAACGTTTTTTCTTTTTAACGATATTTATTTCAGAGAAAGATGTGGGGAAAAGCACATAGTACCATCCACTGAAATGGGATCAAAATCGGGAATAAATTATATCATATTTTCACCAATCATGATCAGAAATCGAAAAAATTCCAACAATAAAATGCTATAATCTGATTGAAATCAGCCAATGAAATCAGGCATTTAAGAGATCCTAAGACACGTCAATCACTTTTCACACAGCTACTCAGCCAGATGCCCCAAAGACTCGAAAGTGAAAGGTAGGTTCGTGAAATTTCGTTAATTATTTAAAAAAATACTTCAAATATCAAGAATCTCGATGACAAAAGCCTTGTTTAATGTATAATTACGTACTGTTTTACTAGTAAATCTTTTCGTTGGTTATTTTTGGCGCAATTCAACGTTCAACCGCGTGTCTTCGCCGCTGTGCTCCTTCGAAAGCGGACCTTGTCATTATAAAAACGACAGGTTTGTGTGGTTCAATGTCTTTCTGATTTTACTTTAGTGTGTGGTCTACTGATGGTATTTGAAATGTTCTGGAGTGAAATTTTGTTAAATATTTTTTCTTTTAACGTGTATTTGTGAATCGATGTATTTTCAACTACAAACATGCGCGACTGACATCTTTCTCGTTTCAACTCAAAAATATGAACAAATTCAGGGTGAAAAGTCACAGTATGGTAAAATGAGTGGTATTCAAAGTCTTTCTTATTCCTTGGGTTAAGTTTTGCCAGTAAAAAGTGTTCTTTTGAACTAAAATTTGGAAGATATATGAAAAATATGAAAATGTTTGTTCATGTTGGACGTTGGACTTTTCCCAAGAGGACCCTGTCACTTGTCAGTATAAAAACGACAAGTTTGCATGTTCTGAAGTCTTTCTGTCGATTTTTACATAAGTATGTTGCCTATTGCTAGCATTTGGATTGTTTCGAGGTGAAATTTTGTTGAATATTTTCACTTTTAACGTGTATTTGTGAATCGATATATTTTCAACAGAAAACTTGCGCGACAGCCATCTTTCTCGTTTCAACGACAAAATGTGAACAAATTCTACCTAAAAATATACAGTATGGCAAAACGAAAGAAAAGCAGAGTATTCCTTACTCCTTGGGTTGATTTTTGTCGGTAAAAAGTGTTCTTTTAAACAAAAATTTCAGAGATATGTGAAAAATATGAAAATGTTGGTTCATGTTGGACGTTGGACTTTCAATTAAATTGCCGCCTTTTTTTGTTCCGCGTGAAAACGAAGAACACCGAGCATAAATTATGCAAGAATGACGAGCCTGACTATGAAAAACAAATTTTTGAACCGCAAACGCACTAAAAATCTTAGTGTGGAGTGGGGTACAAGCAAAAAACTTTCACCTTATAAGTAAATTCAAATAAGTAAGCCTTGAAGAGCGCTTACAGTCAATCAATCACCAATAAAAATAGTAATGTTAACTACACTATTTGATTACTTTACACAAGTTATCATTGAAATGTCATTGACTATATTTGGAGCATTTTCCGATAAACGTGTTTAAATTCTATAGGAAAAGATGCAAATTGTCTCTTGCAATTTGACTATGAACAATTATGAAGAACTTTATTACGATTCGTATTACGCAACCGATTGCGTATCCTAAAGTTAAAAAGTGAAACAAAAAAAAACGACTAGTTATGGAAAGAATTGGAAGAGAATTATAAAGAGAAGTAAGGTAGACGTTAGTTGATTGCCCATTTATTTTATATAAAAATGCTTTAAAAATTTTTTATTGTAATAATCTTCAAGACTACAAATGGGCAAAAACACTGAAACTCATTTTGTTTAATTTGAATTGTGGTTAGGGTTCTCAAATGAAACAGACATTCAGATTGAATGTATTTTTAGAGATTTACTTGTGCACACATTAAAAAATGTTTTTTTGCAAGAACAAATAGCGTGGTCTTAACGGGTTTTTTTACTATACAATCATATTGTTTTCATATTTTGCTGCAAGTACATGACTGCTATTTTATAACCAAAAGCAGCTTTACAAGTTTACGGTAAGAATGATTGGGATAGTCATTCATTCGATAGCATATAAAATAATAAAAAAGTTTATAAGACTTCCTTCTTTTGAAATCTATAAAATATCAAAAGAAAATCATTGGAAGAAATCTAGTCATGAAACCAAATCTAAATGTGGTGAACCTATTGTACGTGTCCAAATACTGGCAGCTTGAAGTTTTCATTTTTCTACTATTTTGATTAAATATAAGTAAAGCCCAGACAATGAATGCTTACGATCTATATGATCTGATATCGACGTTCAATGGAATATAAAGAGGTCTATACGACTTTTTTCTATTTTAAAATATATAAGACATGAAAAGAAACATATATTGGAAGAAATCTACTAATGAAACAAAAGTAGATGTTGTATAAACTTTAAAACAAATGTTGCTCGGTTTATAAGGATTGTCAGATAATGGGTGAAAATGATTGTTGTGCATGATCGATCGATATAAAATCGACGTTCAGACCAAATAAAGAAGTTTATACTACTTCCTCTTGAAATTTCCAAGATATCAACACTTCATTGAAAGAAATCTATTCATGAAACAAAAGTAAATGTAATACTTGTCCATAAATCAGCAACTTGAAGTCTTCGTTAGCGTACCATACCTTAATAATTAATCAAGTAAGTTATAAGTATTGTTGTAAATTTATTATGAAACTAAATGCTTGAGAATTAATGCAAAATGTCTGCAAGATGTCCAGAATATTAACAAATCTACACAAGAGTTGTTGTAGATTTGTTAATATTCTGGACATCTTGCAGAGATTTGCCAAATCTACATTATTGGGAAGAGGTCACTTCAAGAACCACGAGTTAACCATTGGAAGAGAATTCAAGAACGCAATATACGTGATCACTTGGCCAGAACGAGCACGAGTTTTGAAAGAGTTAGAGAGAGTGAAAATTAGGGAACTTTTATGGACCCATAATTACATTTTCTATTGTCAGTGAAGGGCAAGCAAGGGTAGCACTTTTTCTTGTTTTGGAAGTTCATTAATTCTTGGACGAGCAATATCTTCCATTGCTAAGGTGCTTTATTGACTCTTGTAAGTGAAGCTTTGTTGTTGGGAATCCTGGTCGAGTTTTTGAAGGGAGCAACATCTTCCGTTGTTGAGGTACTTCAGCGAATCTTGCATGCGTGGCGTCTTCCTTTGTCGACGCACTTCAGCAATGCTTGCATGCGCGGCGTCTTCCGTTGTTGAGGCACTTCAGGGAATCTTGCATACGCGGCGTCTTCCTTTGTCGAGGCACTTCAGGAATTCCTTTGTCGAGGCACTTCAGGGAATCTAGCATGCGCGGCGTCTTCCTTTGTCGATGGCAATGCTTGCACGGCGTCTTCCGTTGTTGAGGCACTTCAGCGAATCTTGCATACGCGGCGTCTTCCTTGTCGAGGCACTTCAGGGAATCATTCTTTCGTTGTCGAGGCACTTCAGAGAATCTTGCATGCAAGGCGTCTTCCGTTGTCGTTCAGAGAATCTGCATGCTCTTCCGTTTTCATCTTGCATACGCAGGCACTTCAGGGAATCATGCATGCGCGGCGTCTTCCGTTGTTGAGGCACTTCAGCGAATCTTGCATACGCGGCGTCTTCCGTTGTCGAGGCACTTCACGTCTTCTTTTGTCGAGGCACTTCAGAATCTAGCATGCGCGGCGTCTTTCGTTGTTGAGGAACTTCAGCAATGCTTGCATGCTCTTCCGTTGTTGAGGCACTTCAGCGAATCTTGCATACGCGGCGTCTTCCTTGTCGAGGCACTTCAGGGAATCTTGCAGGAACTTCAGCAATGCTTGCATTCTTCAGGCATTGGAATCTTGCATACGCGGCGTCTTCCTTTGTCGAGGCACTTCAGGAATCTAATCTAGGCACTTCAGGAATCTAGCAACGGCAATCTTGCATGCGCGGCGTCTTCCGTTGTTGAGGCACTTCAGCAACTTGCATTCTTCCTTGTCGATTCACGCGCGCGGCGTCTTTCGTTCTTGCATTCTTCCGAGGCACTTCAGAGAATCTTGCATGCGCGGCGTCTTCCGTTGTTGAGGCACTTCAGCGAATCTTGGCGGCGTCTTCCAGTCGAGGCACTTCAGCAATCTTGCATGCGCGGCGTCTTCCGTTGTTGAGGCACTTCAGGGAATCTTGCATACGCGGCGTCTTCCGTTGTCGAGGCACTTCAGGGAATCTTGCATACGCGGCGTCTTCCGTCGAGGCACTTCAGGGAATCTTGCATGCGCGGCGTCTTCCTTTGTCGAGGCACTTCAGCGAATCTAGCATGCGCGGCGTCTTTCGTTGTTGAGGAACTTCAGCAATGCTTGCATGCGCGGCGTCTTCCGTTGTCGAGGCACTTCAGGGAATCTTGCATGCGCGGCGTCTTCCGTTGTTGAGGCACTTCAGCGAATCTTGCATACGCGGCGTCTTCCGTTGTTGAGGCACTTCAGCGAATCTTGCATGCGCGGCGTCTTCCGTTGTCGAGGCACTTCAGGGAATCTTGCATGCGCGGCGTCTTCCTTGTCGAGGCACTTCAGCGAATCTTGCATGCGCGGCGTCTTCCGTTGTCGAGGCACTTCAGCAATGCTTGCATGCGCGGCGTCTTCCGTTGTTGAGGCACTTCAGCGAATCTTGCATGCGCGGCGTCTTCCGTTGTTGAGGCACTTCAGGAATCTTGCATGCGCGGCGTCTTCCGTTGTCGAGGCACTTCAGCGAATCTTGCATGCGCGGCGTCTTCCGTTGTTGAGGCACTTCAGCGAATCTTGCATACGCGGCGTCTTCCGTTGTCGAGGCACTTCAGGGAATCTTGCATGCGCGGCGTCTTCCGTTGTCGAGGCACTTCAGCGAATCTTGCATGCGCGGCGTCTTTCGTTGTTGAGGCACTTCAGAGAATCTTGCATGCGCGGCGTCTTCCGTTGTTGAGGCACTTCAGCGAATCTTGCATGCGCGGCGTCTTCCTTTGTCGAGGCACTTCAGGGAATCTAGCATGCGCGGCGTCTTTCGTTGTCGAGGCACTTCAGCAATGCTTGCATGCGCGGCGTCTTCCGTTGTTGAGGCACTTCAGCGAATCTTGCATACGCGGCGTCTTCCGTTGTCGAGGCACTTCAGGGAATCTTGCTTGTGCGGCGTCTTCCGTTGTTGAGGCACTTCAGGGAATCTTGCATACGTGGCGTCTTCTGTTGTCGAGGCACTTCAGGGAATCTTGCATACGTGGCGTCTTACGTGCATGCGTCTCTTTTTGCAAGTGTCATTATTGTTTAGAGGTGTCAGATAGATCTGTTTAGATCAAATAGGAAAATATTACGAACGTAACATAAAAGCGAGGAATGCAAAGACAAAGTAGACAGCTATGTATTGAACAGGAAAAACGACATTGAATGAAGCAAGACAAAAGATGACAAAAGAACCTTTTGACACCGAAAATAAGATGGAATGATTTCAAAAAAAAAGGAATAAGCAATTAGGCTAATTAAAAATTAAGATGAAATAATACAAGAAAAATTGACAAAGCAATATTGTTAAGGAATATAACCTAAAATGATGCAAGACAAAATGACATAACAATATTGTGAAGTGAAATAAGATAAAAAGATGACATAAGAATCTTATGAAGAAAATTAAGATGAAATAATGCAAAAGAAAGATGACATTGCAATCTTGTAAAGAAAAATAAGACGAATTGGTGCAAGACAAATATTTCATAAATTTCATAACAATATTTGTAAATACATTGCCTGATGCTTTAATTCATGTATGACATTTGGAGGCACATTTAAAAGTTTTGTACATGCTAGCTTTTGTTTGCTTTTTGCATTTTCTAACGTGATTGGCATGACTTAATTGTCTTTTATAACTTAACAAAACTAAATAAGCTATCTATCGACTTAAGTTAAAGTAATATGCTTGAATAATCCAGCTTTCTTTTATAACTTACACTTGCTCGACGGCTATTGATCGACTTAAGTCGGGCTAACGTGCATGAATAACCTAGTTTTGAAAAGTTGTCGTTTCCATTGTTTTCGATTTGCACTTGATTTTCGACCAAGTGTGCACAAGTAAATTTCTAGAGATGCTGCAGGCGTTGCAAAACGAAGGATGTATGTCAGGTAAGATGAAAATTCGACAATGCATTGACTTTATATTAAAATTTACTTGATATTGTGCCTTTTGAATTTCAGAAAAAGAAACATTGCGCTTTGGGGAATATGATGGAAGTACTAAAAATAATCATGATTATGACATTGTGGGGAAGTTTTAAAAAAGTTATGGAAACAGCTTCACTACTGCTAAACATTGAGGAGATGCAGTTGGCTGCTTTTGACAACAAATCTACAGGTATCCAGGTTTTCTTGTAAATACCATTGTACTTCTTCATTATATGAAATTTTTGAAAAACTGTTGCATGATGAGTTCATAGTTGCACATTTTTCATTGGTGGTGTTAAATCTTGAATTTGGAGTCTCCAGCTTGGCTGAAAACAAGACTACAGAGAAAATTTAAAAAAAAACAACGGACAGTGTTAATTGAGTTTGTTAGAACTTTTTTCATCGAATATACCGTTACTTTTTTTGTCAATTTGAAAAGGCTTCGTTAAATTATGAGTCTTATGAATCCATTTGTTTTGTAGGAATTGATTGATACTGTGGATTACATTCTGCATGGTTGTTGTGGATTTTATGGTGGCTTTCATGGATTGCATCGTGGCTGTCGTGGGCTGCATCGTGGCTGTCGTGGATTGCATCGTGGCTGTCGTGGGCTGCATCGTGGTTATCGTGGACCTTTTCAAACTAATCTTGCCAAGTTGCATTACGTTAATCTACGAATGAAGACTGACGACAACGTTTCAAAACCCATGATCTAATGTCTATATGTGATCATCACTATCAAACATTGAGTTAGCAAAATATCTTTGATAGTTGGAGTATGTTTCATCCTCTAAACAAAACAACCTTACACAACACTGCAAGAAGTTGTAAAGAAGCAGTTGGCTGCTTATGACCACCAATCTATAGGTAATTTATGAGTATGTATTCTTATTTACCAATCTTTTTAGTTGCTTTCTGGCTGCATTACGAGCAGACGATAAACATGTAAGTGGGAATTTTCCAGACAAAAAGCAATTTATTACGATTGGGCAAAAATAACTTACCGTTAAAATCGGAAATTGGAATGTTATTTGTTGAAAATTTAATGGTTAAAACCCTAGACTATCGTTATATGTTTGCAGCAGTCCATGTCAGAGATGGGCTGTTGGTTTTCATGTTGATTCCTTGTGACAGCTTTAGTGGTAGCCATTTTCAGAGTCAAGTACAAAGTAAACGTATATTTCCCACTTCCCACGTTCACTCTGAAGATGACTGCCGCTAGGGCTGACAAGACGTCAGTCGACAGCAACACTAACAATACTTTTCAGGACTACACCTTTCCTTATCTTGAACCTTTCATTTGTTTTGTAGTGAAAAAAGAAAACAATGGTGGTGGCGTATTAGCTCTATTCATATATTGCATCATGTTTGCCATGGGTTAAATCAAATTGTCGTTGGTCACAATCATAGCCGTCGTTGATCACAAACATAGTCATCGCAGATCAACTCAATGCTGTTGTGGATTACATGATGGTTGTCGTGGATTTCTATCATCGTTTTCTGGATTGACATCACCATTGTCGTTGATTTTATGGAATCAATCTTGGGGATTTATCATTTGAGGATTACGTTAATCTACGTATGAAGACCAAAAACGACGTTTCAGGTTGGACGTTTTTTAGTTCAAATCCTGGTGATCAACACTAACAGGAAGTTGATTGAACATTGGCTGAGTTATATAACAAAGCTACATGTTTTTTTGATTCCTGTTATTGGGTTTTTTTTTGTATACACGTCTGATGTCGAGAAAAAGGTCCGGTTTTTTTTATGTTTTTCGTTTATTTGATCACCAGGATACACGATCATAAGTTCAAGGAAATAAGCATGGGTTTCTTTGAGTTTTGGTCGTGTGTATTAGTTTTTAAAATGTGTATTTTTAATTATAATATTCATTAAAGTAAACATTAAAAATCTAAATGCACGAATTAAAGCGCAACGTAAGTAACTAAACGTGCTAAAACTAACGAGAAAATTACGGTCTAAAATACAGCAAATTTTGAATTACAGATTGAACGGTAAAAATAGCAAAAAACCTGCGGTCCGAAACAAATCCGGCATGTGAGCTGCATAGCGCAAACTAAATGTATTTAAAATTATAAACGTCTGAAATATTCTTTTTTGATGTTGCTTTATCAACAATTTGAACGTTTTTTTTATAGAACTGTCAAAATTTTGAACCATGCAAAACTTAAAACGATCATCAAAAACTAGGAAATGAAGAAAAACAAATCAACATGTTTAATAATACTTTTGAAAAAAAGAGTGATCTGCATCATCAAGAGGAATATGCTAGAAGTAATGTCTTATTGGTTTAATGAAGAGAGAAACAGAATAAGTGCATGAAACCCGGCATTGCTTTTGCTAAAAAACTCTCAAAATCAATGTTAGACAGTGGCATGTTCAAGTTAAAATAACGGCTGTTATTTAACTTGAAGAAAAAAAAAGTCGGAGCAGGAAGATAGTTTAATTATTTTTGATGTATTGGGTTTGCTCGTCTCGAAATGAAGTCGATTATCTTCATTTATTTTATGCATGGAAGATGATTTCATAGCCAGACGAACTAATTGGATACATTTAGCCTAGTTCCAGGTAGGAATAATCGTAAATGGTGCCATGATGGCATCTAGGTGATCGAGTGTTGGACACAAGAAGGATTGGTTGGCACGCCGTTTGGTAAAGTATAAGGGCCCAGGGAGGCGGTTTTCCACCCCTTAGGTTCTCTTTCGGCTCGGGTACTAACGTTGTTTTACAGGTGTCTCGTCGTTCAAAGGTATGTTTAATCATTTTTGTGCAGCATAGCTCGTTGGTACTAGGAAGAGGTTCAAATCGGCTTTTTCATGCCACTGATCAACGGGGTTAAGCTAAAGATGCGCAAAGCAAAATGCATGAAAAAATGGCATAATCTAAAAATGGCGTAATCTAAAAATGGCGTAATCTAAAAATGGCGTACTCTAAAAATGGCGTACTCTTGAAATGCAACCGGTTCCGGATTTTTCACTGCTTTTTTTTACAAGGATGCATATTTCCTAACTCACTTTTTTCAGCAACCTTGTAAAGATAAAGGTAATCTAATGAATTGTGTAAATATAATTAAGGCCTTAAAAATGAAATGTAAAGCATCCTTTTTTGTAAAGATAACTAGTAAAGATAGATAAGGTGATTCCAAGTAATGTGCATCCACCGACTGGGTTTCGTAGCTCATTTGATATCTGAGGGTTTTCCTCCGGTGATACGCCGGTTTCCCTCATCTTTAGAGAATCGCTCTAAAGAATAACAAAAAAGGGTGGCCATGTCCGGGACCTGCAGTAGGGATTGTATGGTTATCGGGTTGGATTCCCGATCCACTCGAAAAAAAAGAGAAGAGATTTAGATTTTCTGTTCGTTCTCTCACCTTAAAATAATAAGAGTTGATTTTGTTTTGTTGCGATTTGATAAAGAACAAACGAAAATGTTAATTGCTGTCATTCATTCACTACCATTAAATAAGCAATTTTCAAAAATGCACGTTGCCAATACAGACCGATTTTCTGACAACGAATTTTTTATAATGATTCATTTGGAAAACCAATTTCAGTTGCTTTAGTGTAATGCGAGCCGTCTCGAGAACGTTAATTGGATGAGCTTATTCATACATTCAGTTGTGTCATGATTTCTTTTGACAGTAAATTGCGAATTAGTGAATTGAACTTAATAAGTGAATTGCTTTTAAAAGAAATCAGCAGGTCTTTGGGCAATACATATATGAATGAAACACCCCCATTTTACTTTATTGGGTCGGCGATGAGTACAATTTAAGAAACATACATCTCATCTCTAAATAAGAACTATAAAAATTTTACTCTGCAGTACTTCAAATACAACAATAAAATTCAATTACTATATTGTGTGAAACGATACAGAAAGAATGAAACAGAAAAAGAAAACTATCACAATGTTATTTTCCTTATAAATCGGGAACATAGAAGTACAACATAAGAGTGTCATTCTTTATATTTGAGTAAGAATTTTTTTGGAAAGACTGCAAGTGAGCCCTTTACCATCAGGTTCCACATTCAGAGCTGTCACAACACCATCTTGAATAACCATGGAATATCTACCAAGAATGAAAAAGCACAGCTAATATACAACTTGAGTTGTGTTTTGTAAATTTCAGAATTACTCTTTCTTTAGAAATCAAATCTGCTTGAGTGAGTTTTAACAAATTGTTTGCATAGCAAATATCTTCAATGTGAGTACACCTTAACACTTTTAGAAAAAAACATCAACTAAATGATAAAAATTACCTTTTGGATCTATAATTTCCAAGAGCGGCTGTGGCATCAAAATCCATTTCAATTGCTTTGGTGAAAGCTCCAGTTGTGTCAGCAAGCATTCTTATCTAGAAAGCAATAAAGCATATAATCATCAAAGCCTGTTCATGCCCAGTTTTGGGTAAAAGAAAATTTATAACAAGTACCATTACCAAGCAATTATGTAGAATTCCTACTATATATAAAAATTTTATCAACTCCATTTATTGGAAAAATATCTTCAGCTAAAAATGTATGTACCTTGCCATCACACTTATTTTGTTCACCCCATGCAGACATCACAAAAGCATCATTTACAGATAGACATGCAATAATGTCTATGCCTTTGGCCTGAAATTGTAGAATTTACTAAATAACAAAAATCAATAATGAAACTACGAAAATTTCAAAATCTATACTACCTTGATTTTGCCAAAATCTTCAACATAGCCAGGAAGGTGAGTCTAAAGAATTACAAACAACTTCACTCATTACCAGTCCATTGCTTTTCTAAGCAAGGTAGTGGTTCAATTTTGCAATGTGATTTCTTGATATCATGTAAGCACAGCTGCAAAACGCTTACCTTAGAGCATCCAGGGGTGAAAGCACCAGGAACAGCAAAGAGAATGCCCTTTTTCCCTTTGAATAATTCTCCTAGGTTCACACTAGTTGCTGGTGTACCTTCATGTACCTCAATGGATGGTAAAGAATCTCCGACCTAAGTAAACATATATTTACAACCACAACATTGAACACAGCTAGAACATAAAATTCAGATATCCAATGTTAAAAGAAGTTGACTGGTTCACCAACTGTTAACTAAATTTGAGCTAAATTACGCTGGACACATCTTCAAATGCAAATATCCCACAAATTCTTTGTAATTGTTGGCCAATTAGAACGTAAATTACAATAAAAAGGAAAAGTTTCTTACAGCTACATACTTTAATTGGCATATTTCCAGTTGCTGTCTTGCAAAAAGCTCTTTTAAAAATTCCTCTTGCGTTGCTTTCAGTTAAATGACGAAGATGCAACATTAACACACGCATGTTAACTTAAAGGCCACGGATGCATAACCCGGATGACATATTTGCATATCGTCACGTAACTTTTATGTAGAGAACATTAACAATTTTAAAAACAGCGAAATTCTATCGAATACATGATATACTTAAAATTTTTGATTTATTTTGCTTGGTTAAAAAATGAAGAACACATCAGAGGTCAAAATAGTAGTTTTAGGCAAAAAAGTTAGTAACGTGACGATACAGCGAGATGATACACATTGATGATACATGATATACGCTAAGTTTCTTGTAAACGGAAAGTATGTGGTTGAAAGAAGCTAGCCCAAGTGCCCGAAAGGTTTTTTTTGTGTTGGACATCAAGTGTGAGATGATTTAAAATCGTGAAAAGAAAGTGTGGAAAAAAGCGTTATGTTACATTTGGTGACGTCATAAGTTTATGTGACGTATTATGCACGGGGGATTAGGTTGTTGCACTGATAACTCGAACATTTGTGATAACTGACAGTTACTATCTAGGGTTAGCCAACAAGGTGGTGCACCAGACCACCAAGCCAAAATTAATTAGAGTATTTAACATCAAGTGTTCTGCGTATCATGCGTAATCAATTGATTGCGCCGTTATTTTCTTTCAAAAATCACTATCTCCTTTCTTCGGTAAACATTGATAATATGCTCGAGGAAAAGCAACGAGCATTAACGCGTTGAAACTTCTTGTTTGAAGATGACAGACCACAGAAAAAGAATTAATACTCCTTTAACCTTGAAGTTTTCTCTCTACTAACTATTGAATATGATGCATAGGAGAATCATCACTAAACACGCTACAACTTGTCAATAAAAACGTGGCAAAATTTTGCTTCGTTTCATATCTCTAAAGCCCTGAATAAATTAATATACATTTAAGCAACTGCTAGAGCGAAAGTAAGGAGTTAATTATCAAGACTCTGTATATAAAGCGTTTTCCTTTTTCTCCTTTTACAAATATCCTCAGGTTTTTAGAAGCAAAAAAATAAAAATTGATCTCCTCATCATCAAAAGAAGTATGCGCAAGATCGTGTATGCATAACGAGCACCATTTCCAAGAGTGAGTACCTAAAGTTCATCTCTTAGCAAAGTATATCTATCGTTACTTGGTTTCAATTTTTTGAACACAGTTTCTGGAGGGTCAGTTTTCTTCTCGTCATCTTGATCATCGCGAGTGTCCATATCAAAATCTTTATCTATTTCTTCTTCATGGGGCACCTCTTCCAACTTCAAGGAAAAAAACAACGCAAGAATATAAAAACACGTTTAGATGATAATGAATCATAATGATAAAGCTATTTCGAAAATATATAGCGACATTCATATATTTTATGCAATGTTTGGACTGTTCGGATTCTCAGACTCTCCATTTACTACTCTACACTCCCTATAATGATACTCCCTGTCGTATTGCTTAGCTAAAAAATTCGGTAGTGTACATTGGAAACGTTTACAGTACACATTGACAAGGCCGTCCCTGGAACGTTAAATAGGAGGGGGCGGGAGGGTGTATTCAGCTGAGTACAATCGATTTATTTTGAAGAAATTCACTTACAAAAGAAATAAGTCGGGCACCACTAAATACATGAATAACCCCCCTCCAGTTAACGTTCTAGGGATGGCCTACAGATAGTACGCTGTTCGTCATTTATTTCTCAAAAGACATTCATGTAAGTATACTGGAGAGATTGAACATACCTTCGGAGATTCAGTAGGATCTGGTCCATGATGAAATTCTCGATGTAGTTTGCCGGATTGAAAGTCCTCTATGAATTTTTGTAAATTCTTAGGTTCCCTAAAATACCACATTCACATACAGATAGAACTATTATCAAATCACAAAAAATTGGTCCACCAGGAACTGGCTCTCCACCCGTTGATACGATCGTGGAGCATCTTTCTTAGAATGATTATTGTTTTTCAAGAAAAGTAGATAATTTCTAGGAAAGAGCCACTTACTTGATATCATCAAAACTTGGTAGTGTGTACATATGACGAAAACTATCAATAGCTATCAGAGGAAGGTCCTGGTAACGAGATTAATAATGGAGTAAAAACAGTGCCCACATCTCAAAAGATGTTTATGCCAATAGTGAATTCTTGAGTACCACCAGCTATACACTTACACTAGTTGATTTGCCCAAGTGATGTAGTGGATGGGAGAACTGTATCCCATCAGCAGTCAGGAAGTTGATTGTGCCTAACGATTATAAAATCCAGTATCATGGTCAGAGGGTAAGAACTACATATATCTATTTCCTGGTAAATCAAATTATTTGAAAATTTCAGAAGGTTTTTAAATGCTAAAGTAAAACTAAAAAAAAGTAAAACTAAAAAAAAGTAACATTATCATCTGACTCTGAACCTGTTGCTATTGACAAACATTCCATCCAGAATATATTTATGTCTGTAACTAGTGGACAACTGGTATTTATAGCACTTTACAGACTTACATCTATCTGGTAATATATTCTGTGAAACCAACCTTTAAAATGAGTGAAGTGATTTTGGATAGTCTGTTGAAATATTTCAGTACTATGCTTGTCATCAGGATGATGGAACAAAAGTAGAAATGGAATTCCTTCTTCAGTCAATTCTTCTGCATTTTCGAATGTAATGACACGAACCAAAGGCACACAATATTCACTTGCCCAAGACTTTAATTCATCATAATTATCCAAAGATTTACCATAATCAGCTTCCATTTTCTGCAAACATGAAATAGGTTTATGAATTGATGAAATTTACATTTAATTACATGTTATCATTGACAAAAATACAACTTAGTGATTAATCAAAAGCCGATGGAACAGAAAAAATACATTTTAAAATGTAAAGTCTAACATATTAGGTAAATAATAAAACTTACTTATATCAATTCATAATTTTAGAATATATAACCAAATCAAATGGCTTAATAAGACTCCAATATGCGATGCAATAGAAGCAAAATGATTCTGCTTATAACAAAATGCTTAGGTATGCAAACTAAACAATTCTTCTCTGGGTAAATGAAGTTGGTATATAATTACATTTGTTTTGAATACAACTTTGTCACCATTTTCACGCTCTTTGGAAGATGCATCCCTGTAAAATAAATAATAATTTATTAATACTAAAGCTGAACCCATAAGACCAAAAGATAATTAAATTGCATTAAAAACTTCACATAGCAGTCAGGTGAAGAAGATACACATTACATTCAAAGATTGGTTGTCAGCACATCTTAAATCTTGCATGATTCCAAGCAAGCATAAATATCCTCATGATTAAATAATACATACCCAAAACCTACATAAAATTCACAATCTTCTCTAAATTGGTCAGCAACCTAAAATGTATGCATAGTGCAAATAATTATGTCATGACTCAAAATTAACATTAAGAAAAATATCTTAAGTGTCAAACCTTTTCAAATGCATGAAAATTTCCACTATTTTTTGTATCAAAATATCCAATTACATTTCTTTTTGAAAACTGCATAAAAAAACATCATTAAAGTAACTGCTCAGTCAATTTTTTCTCTCTTCCTAATTACATACATCTATATTTAAATCCTGAGAAGCATGAAATTCTTGTATTTTATCAGACAACTGGTCTCGACAAAACTTTGAGAGACTATCCACAGTTCTTTGGCCTCTAAATTCCCGTTTTGTCACCTAAGTAAGAACAACTTATGTTAATTAAATAAACCAATACAAAAAGTTCACTTCATTCTCTTCATGGTCTACCTGTCCATTTCTGAAAATCTTCAATGTCGGATACTTATTCACACTGAAACGTTGGCAGATTTCTTGTTGGTCTTCACAATCTATTCTAGCCAATATCAGATCATTCTATGAAGATTGGCATCGATTGAATCATTGCACAATAGAAACAACATTGTAATTCATCCAAGTGAATGAAAATAGTCTACTACATACTGGAAACTCTTCTTTCAGTATGTCAGCTGCTTGTTCAAAAGTTGGTTTTAGCATTTGACTAAATCGACACCTACAAAATGAAATGCATCTAAATGTGTTGAAACATAAGAGGTATATCACAAGAATCTTAAAGAATTTTCTGTGTAGATTAGTAAGGTATATGCCTTACCAATCTACACAGAAAGAAAATCACTTAGGTCTTACATTGTACATTACTACCATCTACTTTACTTTGTAGAATAAATTTAACAATGAAACATATAATTTCTTCATTACGTCAAAAAGATTTCCAAACCTTACCAGTCAGCATAAAAATTAACAAATACAACCTTGGCTTTAACTAAGATAAAGAAAACACATTTGTTTATTATCTGGAAATAATTGACAATAGCTGTAACTGTTCACTGTCTGGATCCACGTTTACATTTGCATAGAATTCTTAATCAAAATAAAAAACTAACCCAACTCGGTTTCAATATTGTTGTGATCAAGATCTATCACATTTAAACCATAGACAGGAAGCAACAATAATCGGGCCTAAAAAATATTGGAAACTTTAATTGGCAGAAAACAAACATGATGTAAACATCACAGCTCAGCTACTACGTGTGCCGTCTGTGCACGACGACAATAACACCTATGTACAACTTACGGTTAAAAACACGTAAAAGATCCACTGAAACGTAGAAAGCATTTTAAAGGTAGATACAAAATCGAAAAATAACAAAATTACCAAAAAATAGAGGAAATTTTAAAAGTAATTCATGACAATTTAAACCGGTAGCCAAAAGCATTCAGTTTACTCAGCCAGTGAAAAACCTCCACGTTATAATGCGAGAAAAAGTCCACGATCCTCGCGTGGGGTTGACCTTAACCCTGTTCAAACGAAGTGAGTATACCATAATGGCCAACTTTCGAAAATACACCTAAATGGTTAATCTGATTCTGATATTTTTGGGTCAAAAAGTTTATCTTGATGAAATTATAATTCACTTGTTGGATGCAATGAAGGAATAGAAAGTTGATGAAATGGAAGATATTTCTTGAAACCTGTGAACCAAAAAAGTTTGCAAAGATTGGATGGTTGCGTCATTGATATACCAAACCTACCAGTAGTTAACTTCACAAGTTGACACACACTTGTAGTCTCTGATATTGAATGGCAGTTGGGTCATGTGACAAATCATTGTACACACAATGTCAATGGGTGTCATGGCCAGCTCGCTGATTCAGTCTCGAAATGCAAAATTTTCCTGTGTTTACTCACAATGAAAACAATAGATTTAAATAATCACAGCTATTTTCATTGCGGGACTCAAACTTGTGAGCTAGCTACGCTTCTGTGTACATATTTAACAACTATACAAACAGCCTAATTTCAAAAAGACATTTAAAATTTTAACAGCTAATATAAATTATAAATTAAATTTGTTTGACAGCATTATCCAAGTTACATCATTTAACCAATGTTGTTTTCATGATGCTTTTGTGATCTGCCATATTCTATGATTGTTGATAGCTTTGGTAGTCTGGACCAGAGTGTCCTAAAAAATAACAAATTAGTTTTTAATTTATAATCACAAAATGTAAGGTATAATCAAAGTATGCAAGCTTACTTTGACTGTTTTGGGGGAACTTTATGTTCAAGTAATATTGACTGTAGTTCTGTCTCAAGTTCCTATAGTAAGAATTTTTAAATTATAATATAAGTAATGATTCATAATTGCATGAAATTTGATTAAAAAACCCAATTGCAAAATACCTCAATGCTTTGCTCTAAATATTCATTTTGTTGAAGCATTTTCTGAATGTCAACCTAGTTGGAGAAAAATATCATATGACAAAACCCCATTGTAATGTCTCAAAGATCCATGCTCACAAGGACAAAGTGAATTTCTCTTTAGGTGATGAATAACCTACCTCTATTTCTTTAATACAATGTTCAAAATGTTGACAAATGGAAGATGGTACACAATTGTCATGTTGGTGTTTTCTCATATTCTCTAAAGTCTCTAACTCTTGTGCAATCTGAGAATGCAAGTGTTCAATTTGCTCCTCAAGATCCTTTACAACAGCCTCAACATAAACTCGTGTCTGAATGCCACCTTGTTCTAAAAAAATGAAAATTAGGTTAAAATTGCAATAACATAGCTCATTGTCAACATTGTTCTCCCACCTGAATTATGTGGCGAAGAAGGATTCAGAGGAATTGTCAATTTTTCTCTTTCTTGAATATGCAAGCTAAGACAGTTGTGATAAAAGACTAGTAAGGTCATTCTATGTTTAAGAAAAACAAATGTTTTGGGGCTGCTGAAACTAGGTACTTCATTCAGTTCAAGGATATGAGAAAAAAAAAGTAATTAGGTTTTTCACCTTTTATTTTCATTTAGGAGAAACTGTATTTCATTTTCAAGATTCTCCAGTTGAATCTGCTGCAATCGTACAGCATCTGCAGTTGTTTTGGCTTCACTAATGGCTGGTATTTGTGCATAGAGATCTTTGAATTTTGACAATTTATTTTGGTCAAGGACATATGCCAGATAGCCATCATACTCCTCCTAAATTAATGTACATATAACCACTCTTCCGTCACTTGTTTACTGTTCATCATTGGTGTCTGAGCAACTGAATTGTACAAATCATACTTTTTACAAACCTACTTTAATTTGTCTCAACAAATTTGAAAAAGATGGCATGTGTTTGATGATTTCAGCAAAACAATCACTGTATAATTGAAGACGATGAAAATTTGGACATCGTTTTGTTGATTCACTGAGGCTTTGTAATTTCTAAAACACAACCGATGAAGAGTATCATCAACGTGAATAACAAGAAAGCTTTTCATGAGCTTTTTCTAACCTTATTTAGGTGATGCCGGATCGTACGAACAATGTGGTCTCCCATAAATAAACTTGAGTCACCAACATCAGAAGAATTTATCATGTGGTTTTTTAAACTTCTCAAGGCACAATACTGATCAGCTTTAGTCACATGACTCAGATGACTTTTAAGGAAGTGACGTCTTTTCGAGGGACCATTATTGGACTTGCTTTCCACATTGTTTGATGACAATGGTTGTAAACCTAAAGTTTAGTAGCAGGACTATTTATAATGATAAAGCAGAACCTGTTTGTCTACAATTTTAGTGTCATATCTCCAACATACATACCATCATTGTCAATTGCAACAACCATTATTTCTGGTAACTTAAGTTCTTGAGCACGGAAATCATCGTGGTGATTTTTTAACTTGGTAAACTTTGAATGATTGCTTTCAACACAACCAGAACTTTCAACTTCATCTTTTAACCCCTTTTGCAAACAGTAGTGACCTAATTTTTGTAATGGAAAAAATCTATGATACAATTGATGATGAAAGGGACAATTCATTTTTGGCCCATACATACTGCCCAGACATGCCAATAGTAATTATAATTCAAATCAAGTAGAATAGAATTGTCTAGATCTAATACCAAGTGCTCCATAGCTGAACTCTCTAATTGTACCCTTCATATTTTTGTAGTGCTGTTGCTTCCATGGCAACTGGCCCTTCCTTACCGGAAGATGAACAGGTTTGGTGGCAGGCTTCATTCTGAAATTGTTAATGTGATGATGAACACAAATTTGCATTACTTATCTGTCGCACGAGTACAGCGCTATAAATACCTAGGAGTAGGTCCTAGAGATGTCAACCAAGTTTTATGACATGATTCTTCCAATTTCAACAAATTGTTTTGATTTAAGTGGCCGCTAACATAAGCTTCGATGTCCTTTTTATGAGCATTTTCAAGATTTCTAATTATTGAGAGTCTTCGAGGTTGCGACGACATGAAGGTGATTAGAAAACTTTCAACAAAACTCCAATGAATAAGAAACAAAAGAATTATAAGAAGAATGTTTAATTTGTTCTTTTGGCAACTTTGTTTCTATAACAACAGTGAAGCCAAAAAATAGTTTGCATTAGTCAGCGGTTGTCACTACGCAACCGGTGGCTTACTTTGGAAAGAGTGGGGGAGGTAGGGTCGGAAATAAAACAAAAAATCTTGTTTGAGTACGTTAGTATTAGCGACAGCGGTTTTCCTAAGAATGATAGAATTAGAGTGTAGCATTTAAAAATGGAGTATTGTAACTTTTTACAATTTTGTTTGTTTTCAAACAAAAATAAACTGCTAAATAAGATGCAGAATCTACAGGTTACCAGACTTGGAAATGTATATTTATGCCTCAGACAATGAAACTAGCAGCGTTAAATGAAGACAGGAGTGACGATAGCTCGTCAGAACCGACAGAGGAACGCGTGAATGAGGCCAAGGTGTGTTTATCAAATGTCTTATTTTCCCCAGTTAGTGTATGCATATTCTGAAGGTGCCGAGGATGTTGTAATCAAGAATTAAACTTTGTAGGAAGCTGAGGCTTTGGAACTTTACAATCAAGCGCTCCAGTACCAACAAAAGGGTAACAATAGCCAAGCAAAAGAACACTATGAAAAGTTATTGAAGGCATCTCTTGTTGCAGATGTATGAGGAGCTGTGGATCATTCATTGAGATTTTATTGTATCTTGTTAAATCTGCTTGACTTTCTTCAATCAGGTTGAGGATGCAAATGAGAATGGTCAATGTCGTCACCCAGGCCTCATACTTAAATATTCAGCATTCAAAAATCTTGCAAGTCTTGCAGAAGATGAGAATGAGCAGGATAAGGCTATTGATCTTTATCTAGAGGTAAGCATCTCTGACAATTGTTGCAATAGAAAACTCATTGTAAAATTCATAATTTTAGGGTTATACCACCATTAAACCTGATTGATTATCATCATTTACCAATTTTATAATTTTTTTGTGAAGTTGTTTGATATTCTACTTACTCCAAACATATTTTATAAACTCACAGAACAATATTTCATTACAGGCAGCAGTTATTGATGACTCTGATGTTACTTTATGGTATAAAATTGGTAAACTTGCATTGAAAATGGGCAATCTTCGACTAGCAAGATATTCATTTGAGCAGGTTAATCGTCATTCATTTTTGAGTTGAGATGTGCTCATTGCAGCATTCAATTTAACATTCTGATTACCATTTTGTTTGCCAAATTTGTAGGGATTGAATATCAATTCAAAACATTGGCCTTGTTTAGATGAACTTGTTACAATCCTTTATGCAATTGGAGATTATCATGGTAGGTCTGTTGCATGATGCTGGAAAAATTTCATAATTTTAGCATTGTGTTATATACCCATAATTGTTTTCATTGAAGGTGTTTATGTTTAAAAACTTTAGCATGTCTCTCATTCATTTCAATGGCATTTGAAAGAGATAACTCATACCCCAAAGGTATAAAATTTCTTCTTTTGTATGAAAGTAATGCCTTCAATATATTATTGTGACATGCATTTTGTGTAGTGCATTTTTTTGGATTATCATGCATTTTTTTCGCAACAAAGACTTTGGTTCATTCATGTATTAGTGCAAGATGTAAGGAAATTTGTCAATCTCAACTTAGGTCATATAATGAGAGAGAAAATATACTCTGACTTTCCCACCTTCAGGAATGAGTATCAAGAATTAAGGTATTTTTTTATTGTTTTTTTCCTTGTAGAGCAATTTTGTTATTATTATGGACTGTGTTCTAATAACATATGTGATATTAAGAATTTATCATTTTGAATGTCATATGTAAATATAAAATGTTAAATCAACTTTATTAATATATTTAGAGGGATGACCAGTGCTAGACACCAAAGCTTTGAAAATGATCTTTGCAACGAGGTATGTACAATGTGTTCTATAGCACTGTCAATAACTTCTTTACTGGTTGAACGGAAATTATGTGTAAATTTGTGCATCTTGCACTAAGGAATTGTAACTTAAACAAGATTTCTAAAAATGAAACCATATGCTCGCGTTATTTTCTGATTACTTATAGTATAATTTTAGAAAACGAACCAACATTACCAGAAACTTGTCTTTTTTATTGAAATTTTCAAACACTCCAGTGCTGCATGCGAGAAGCCATTTTATTGTGCTAGGTTGTTTTTCCAGCCTACGTCGATGTTAGATAATCAACGGAAATTTTAAAAGCTCACTGCTTCTTAAGTTAAACATGAAATTTTAGTTATTAAGTTTATTTTTTATGTTTTTTTTTGTTAAAGTTGCTGGGGAAGCTGTAAAACATTATAAAGTAACTTTGTAACTAGTTGCAAATGTTTTATGTAGCGTAACTTTGTAGGACAAGTTACAATTTTTACTGTGAATTTCATTGGTAACTAGTCACAATTTTAAGCTTGTAACTGAAACTGGAACTTTTTTCCGCCAAAATTGATTTTTAAAACGCCTATCCTACGTTTAAGAGTGAAGGTAGGATGGTTTATCATGTCCTAACTATAACTTCGATAATCATAGATCATTGATGAAGCTTTGCAGTTACGACAGAAGAACAGAGAAAGAAATGTCTTTCCCGAACCACCTCCTATCGTTCCTGTTAAACACTTATCACTTTACACGTGAGAACTTTACTAATTTCACAAGTCTATAAGCCAGTTTTCGAGTTCGACTATATTAGCTATACCACACATCACTTATTCTCAGAACCGATACGGTTGATGCGGAAGATTGATTATCGCTACATGTTTCTCTTTGGTCATTTTTGTTCTAATTGGTATTTAACGTCGTTATTATCTTAGGTGGTGTTCTTTGGGAAATTGTTTGGTTGCTTTGTATCAGCAAGTTACGTCAGATGATAATTCGTTTGTAAGTGCATAGAGAGCAATAGGAATGAAAATATTCTTCATACTGATTCTCGGAGTAAGCTGAAACTGTTTCTCAAAATCAAATTTATTTTTCAAAGAATTTATGTCAAAGAGTCAATTTGGAAAGTTATTGCAAAATTACCATTACACCAGGTTTGAATCGTACTCCCTCTGGTAAATAGGCCATTGACAATGTGTGAAATTGCGTCCTGTATTAAGGATTTTAATAAATGACTCTGTATTTTCCAGAAATTGGCAGAGCTAACGCTCCTCAAAAGATATTTAACATCAAGGGTTATTGTTACAAGTTTTTGGTTTTTAATATTCATAAGATGTTGTTGTGTGTTGTTTCGTCGTGAATTTATTCAGTTGACTCTGCGTAGAAACTGAAGACAAGAGAACGACGAATAATTTGAAAAGAAAAAAATCATTTCTAACGGAGGAAACAGACCCTTTAAACGCTCCAAAGCGTCGATCAGCTAGGGTAAAGATATGTTTTTAGCTTCGTACATATAAAAGGAATTCGCTTGCCTGTTTCTTGTATGTATTACGTATTTTTATTTTTTTATTCACTTTGTATCTTAAAATACTTTTCAGCTTGATTGTGCTTGGCTTTTTCTTATAGGTCAGTAAAAGTAAAAAAGCGAAACAGGAGGAAGTAAATTACGCAGAAATTTTACAAGATTTCCTACCTGACGTATTAAAGTGAGCAGTGCTCTCTTTTCACACACAATCCACCGCTTCCTGTTGTGCCTTACGTTTGACTTTTCTTTGCTATCATGTACAGGATTGGAAGTCAAACTGAATCAATGGAGGATTCGCAAAGTCAGATAATCGATTCGCAAGAAGTGGATTTAGAATTTGGTATGATTGAAACTATTGGATTTTAGAGTCGATCAAATATTTTGTTATAGCTCGTCTTTCTAGAATTAAGCAACATACCTGCAATTTCTTGCGAGAATGAGCCATTGGATGTTCAAACATTTGTGAAGAAGCACATGGAGAAAAGGTGCCAAATACCAACATTTCTTTGAGCAAAGTATATTTGTTACATTTCTACATGTTGAAGTAGAAAAACACATGTCACAGTGCTTTTATGATGAAAGAATAGGATACATGTCGGTGCTTAGGTGGTTAGGGAGTTAGATGTTTGTTGGGGCTTAAATGATGAGTAACTAGTACATGTGTCGTTGCTTAGGTAGTTAGGGAGTTAGATGTTTGTTGGGGCTTAAATGATGAGTAAGTAACTAGTACATATGTCGGTGCTTAGGTGGTTAGGGAGTTGGATTTTTGTTGATGCTTAAATGATGAGTAAGTAACTAGTACATATGTCGGTGCTTAGGTGGTTAGGGAGTTAGATTTTTGTTGATGCTTAAATGATGAGTAACTAGTACATGTGTCGTTGCTTAGGTAGTTAGGGAGTTAGATGTTTGTTGGGGCTTAAATGATGAGTAAGTAACTAGTACATATGTCGGTGCTTAGGTGGTTAGGGAGTTGGATTTTTGTTGATGCTTAAATGATGAGTAAGTAACTAGTACATATGTCGGTGCTTAGGTGGTTAGGGAGTTAGATGTTTGTTGGGGCTTAAATGATGAGTAAGTAACTAGTACATATGTCGTTGCTTAGGTGGTTGGGGAGTTGGATGTTTGTTGATGTTGGGACAGTGAAGGAGTCGAGTATATGTTGGTGTTTGCATGGTTAGGGAGTTTGCTAGATGATCTTTTACGACCATTTTTTAAACATTTGCGATTGTTCGTGTTTTTACTTTAGTGGAACGTTGGATCTTCTGTGCAATTTTGCAATGCATCTAAGCGACCATTGTCAGTATAAATGGTAGGTACAGTTTTTGCAATGTATAATTTTATCACTCAAGAAAAGTGTACTTTCTGTACTGGCATTTCTCATTTGTTTGTCTCATTTGCAAGGTCAACATCGTTGGTTGAAGCATTTCTAAAAATATATGGTTGCGTTCGACCACATTTATCATTTCCAGCTTTATTTTCGTGAGTACGCCTGTATTTTCTTGTTTCTTGTGCATTTACTTCAAATGTTGACGATATAGAGACAATCAAAGAAAAACAGTGCTTGGTGTATAATAGGACTACTATTTAAATGAACTCGTGCAACTGTACTTTTTTATCCTTTTATGTGTATGTCTCTGTTGTTATTTTTTGACATCGAATGTTGTCTGATAAATATGAAAAGAGGCTTACTCTCTACGATATTAATAAAATATTAAGCATTGTGATTATTTCATATAGTCAAGACAGTTCAGAAGCAGAGATAATGTCATATTCAAAGGTAAGCAATTACCCATTAAAAGTATATCTGCTTTTGATTATTTTTCATTGTTGTATTTTGTTGTTAGCTTGCTCTAGTTGCCATAGAACTGACGTTAGATAAATGGTGCACGGAGAAATCAAAGTCATCGTCCAGTCTCTCGCCCGCTGGTTCACCTCGATGGTAATTGAAACTTCCTGAGACTTCATGTTAAACTTTTTGAATTTCTCTGTCACATCATGCATGAGTGTAGAATCATGTGAAGTTTTACTGCTATCTTCTTAAGCTGCTGCTAAGACTCATCTTTTTGTTATATGTCAGTACAAAAATATTCTTTTATCTCGACTTATTTTATAGCTCGAGTGTACAGGCCATTGCAGGCTCACCTTTGAAACGGGATTTTCTTGGCAAGTACTTTCAGCATGATCTTGAATACATTGCGCAGGCGTCTAATTCTGCTGCAAGTCTCTCGGAGGATAAAGGTCTCAAGTTTGCTCTTAGAGGTACACAACAAACGCATGATGCTCTCGAAGTACGCATTTTCTATTCAATTTCTATAATTCTGATTCCCGAAAGGGTATTCATATTTTTAGTTGCATCTTCTATCTGTTATGTGAATTTCAAATTAACGTGTCTTACAAGTAATAGTCAATTTGTTGCCGTCATTCTTCATTATGTTTTCAGTAAATTGGGCAAAAGTTCGCTTCATGATGCTTCAAGGTCAAATGAAACTTGCAGTGATTTATCTCGACAGGGTATGCTATGCAACTACCATCTTTTACATAACACGGTTATATGCTGTAGTGAACAGTATCATACAACATTTCATCAAGCACTTTTATTCATAGAAATAATAGTAATAAGTTTATTTTCAACTTGGCCAAACACTAACGACAATTAAAATTGTTCTCCACTTGTTCACGGCTTAATCAAACATAATGTTACATTGGTAAAAAAAGTATTACAGCCTTCTCCCTTTTGCAAACATTGTTACTTTGGTAAACAGTGTAATACTACCTTCACCAAACATTGTTACATTTTGTTTTTTGATAGACAGTGTATTACAGTCTTCTCCAAACGTTGCTGATACAACCTGTCACTGACTTTTTTAATCCTAGTGTAAAGGTTTGATCGAACTCAGTGAGACGCCATTGGCTGTGCTTCTTGTAAACTGTAAGGCCGATAATGTTATAAACATCAGTCATGTAAGAAGGAAACTGGAGTCTCTTCAACGCTGTCAGTCATTGGAAGAGGTGATATTTCAATGCTTTACATCGCGTTTGCTTTATTAGAACGAGTCACCAAATTTTATTGACCAGTGTCCGGTGAAGAAAACTTTTTGAAAATTTATGCTTTAATTCTCCCCTCAGGTTCATCGCCTTTACGAGCTAGGTCAGTATAAGGATGTTGTTGACGTACTATTGAACTCACTACATCATCCACCTCCCATGGGTAAGATTGGTAATGGAGGAATGTCCATCCCAGAACGTCCAGCTCAATTGCTTCTTCTTCAAGACTCTCTTTTCAAGATTGAAGACTACAAGGTAAGATTCATGGTTGACTTTTTTTGATACCAATTTGCAAGGACTTCATATTGAACTATGTGTTTTTTTTATATGGTTTTTTCTTAGACGTGTTTGACATGCTCAGAAGTTGCGCTTAATGAAGCCGTGAGCCAGATGACCCCGTGCGAGGCCTGGGCTACAACTTTCGAGAGAATTTTCACCTGTATTAACTCGTGAGTTTGGACTGACAATGTTTTTATTCCAATTTTTATTCAGTTGAATCATCCGTTATACGATTGCATACCTAATCCACGTGCATCTTATAAGTTATATTTATCAATTGCTATCTAGCATTCTTTTGAAGGACGACTCAATGTTGCATTCGTTTTCCATCGACAAACTTCATCGTTTGACCCAAAACCTAATAAAGGTAGTTTTTGTGTATAACGTATTTTTTATGCCTCGCTCCTTTGTTTGACGTGATTTTGATGCTCGATGTTGTAGGTTATAGAAGTATCCATGGAAACAAGTGAAAGCGCCTCTGATGTTCCTTTGGCAACGGTGATGCCTTGGGTACTGCTCTATCGAATTATACAAAGGTGCGAGAACTATTCGGCACTCAAAAAATTAGGTTTTGTATAGATGAACTAGAAATTGTTGCATTAGTCAAAATTGTTTCATTTATAGCAAAGAAGAAACAGCTGGCACTATAAATGTCGAGTTTGAAGAAACTCAGATAGAAACTGAGACGATTTCAAACGCAAATGAGAACGTCAAAGCCGTCGAGGAATCCAGTAACGACTCCAGTTTGATAAAAAAGCAACAGTTTAGTTTACCGTTATCCTTACTGTTTCTTCAACTTGCCCACGAAGCATTGGGAGGGTGAGTTTTCTTACTTAACACGTGCTGAAATTTACTTCTTGCTCGTCTCAACTTTGAACTTTTTTTCTTTCGTTTCAGGCGTTCTTGGTGTGTCAATAGTAATGGTGTATTCCTCTTGCTGTTTGTCGACGAGTTTTGGAAAAGTTTGTTGTCTAAAGCAGAAGCAATAGAGAAAAATCGAAGTGTAAGTGATTTTCATCGAATTAGGTTGCACGAAAGTTTTATTTTGCTAGTGCCCGTGTACATGAAGACCCGACGAATATTCCTTATTTTATAAACTGCTATAGTTGTTTTTAATGCGTTTTTCATTTCAATTCACTAAGCTATACTGGATGTTTTGTGTTTTCAACTTCTGTTGCATCGTGTATTTTAACAGAGAATCCTACATGAACTCGAGCAATGCTTTTTTTGCCTCTATGGTCACCCGTCCAAGAAAGCAAAGGTAAAGTTGTTTATGAATATTCGTTCAATACAAAACAAATATTTTGAAAATTATTCGTCAAGATTTGACATTGTGAAAAGCAACTCATATGTTGACAATGGTTAGCGCATGTTAAGATAAATGCATTCATTTGTTTATTCATTCATTCACTAGGCGAGAGGTCTGCAGGAACACGGCTCCACTCAGGTGCAATATTTTACATGTGTGCAAGGTATTTCCTAGCAAATAAATAAATGATTATAGTAATTTTTTGATCCTAGATCACTTTAACATGGCCGAATTCTGAAGTTGTCTTTGAGTTCTTCAAACCCATGACTCTTCCCACGTTTGAAGATAAAACAAACACGGTGACTAGCGAGGTATAGTAGACTTGTCTTTGAAATTTTCTGCTCGGACTGCACGAATCTTTTCTTAATCATCTAAACCTACTTCTGACAGGTTCAAAACTTAATGCGACGTATTTCAATGATAATTCCTCAAAACGAAATGCAGGGTACGTTCACATTGTTTTGTGTTTTATGAAAATATTTGACTTCGCATTATATAGAATGTATCGTTAAAGATTATTTTAATTGTTTTCATCAAGAAATAATGCAAAGCTTAAGTGCGGTGGAAGCACGGTTCAACGTTTTTTCGTGAGCTCTTCATATAGCATTGTTTCTATAAAATAATGAACAAAGAGAAATATATAGCATTGTTTCTATAAAATAATGAACAAAGAGAAATTTTAGTAAAGTTTACTTGTTTTTATATGTTCAGTGGGTAATTGAGAATTGAGTAAAGTTATGTCCATTCCAGCTTTCGCTAAAAGCCAGTGTTGAAAAATGTTGCCGTGAAGAGAAATTGAAATGTCCTATTGATAAATCTTTGAATACATTGAATTTTAGTGATATCTATTGAATCAGTGCAAAATTACATCGATGGTTCCACAGAGGAAGCTCCAAAACTTCCTGATATTTCATCTCGTGTTCACAGGTAAGAAAAAAGCTTACTTAAAGTCATGTGCTTAGGGTCAATATCCTGTTAAATTTGTATGATTTACTTGGTTTCGTTAGGCCGGTGACAAGTGATATTTTTTATCTTTTGGCTGATTCTTATTTCAAAAATAAGGAGTTCAGGTTTTGTACCAAAATGTTCTTCTTTTATGTTGATTTCCTGTTTTTGATGTGTCTTCGTCCTTTATAGCTGTAAAAGTTTCAATTTCCTCTCATATAGTAAGGCCATCAAGTTTTATATTCACGATGTTTGCTGTAATCCAAATCGTTTTGATGCCTGGGCAGCAATGGCCCTAGCGAGACAAGTGAGACTTGAAGATAAACTGCGATCGGTGAGTTAAATATTTTATGTGTGATCTCTCTACTTATTAAATGTTTTCTAAATCCTCTCGTTATCCATAAGTGCGAGCAAAAGAGCGAAGGACTAATTCAAAAGCATTCAGTTTCCACTTTGAGGTAAGACTATGAATGCAGAGGATATCTTAATGTTTAGACACCGTTTTTTAATATGTCAGAGTGGTCGGACAAAATACACTTGGTTGGTCTCAGCATTTTCAAAGGTGCAATAACCTTTTCAGATGTTTCAAGCGGGCGCTGGAAATTGACAACACAAACACAAACCTTTGGGGTGAGGTATGTCGGTGACTCAGAGTATCTATATGTTGAGGAGATTGATCATATCAGCGAGAATTGGTTTGTTTATCCGATTATGTATTTATTCTCTCATATAGTACGGATCCTTGTCTTATTGTCTACAGTCGTACGCCTCAAGACAACTTAAACAGGTTTTCTTTCTGTATTTTGAACCACATGAAAGCATCGTAAATCGTTCATTAATGTCTTTTCACTTAGCTTACATGTGCGTTGCGTTGAAGGTTGAAGCGCTAACCCCAGAGAGCAAAAAGATTTTGGAAGAGAAAAGACAAGACATGCTAAGTGAATCAAAAAAATGTTTCAACGAAGCTTTGCATAAAGCTGATAACGACGAAGCGTGGCTACAGTATTATATGTTAGGAAAGATTGCTGAGAAAACTAACGAGCCTCCTCAGGAATACTTAGAGTTGTACATCAAGGTAAGGAAAGGAGAATATTTATAGATACTACAATAGATGCTCCTGTGTACATATATTATGAATGTACGTTAATATCAAAAGAATATGAACATTACATAGAAGGTTGTACAACAATTTGGTACATGGTCTTATCACGGTTTACTCTTGTGCCATCATTTTCGATGAAATTTTATAAAAGTTATTCCCTATGTCATTATTTTGGGTCTACTTGTATTTTGCTTTTCCTTTTTGTCATCATGTAGTATGTATAATACGTATGTAATCTTATCGCGTATTATTTCGCGTATAATTACATCAATATGTAATTTCATCACGATTTACCTTAAGGCTTTCGAAGAGTTAGATAAAGATGGTGCGGAGTATCCTAGAAAGATAACTTACCATAACCCACCCAACCTCTCGCTTGAAGCTCTTGAGGTAACGCATGTGTTTCTACAGTTTTTCTTTTGATGAAGTGAAGCTAAGCATTATGGTGCCATCCCAGGTTGCATTTCGATTCCACAGTTCAACATTAAAGTTACTGATGAAATGCAAAGATGAAAGTGAATATCGTCTTGTGCAAGATTATCTGGACAGAGTTTCCCGTTGTCCGTTCTATCTAGAGAAGTCTAGATCAAGCAAAGAAGATGAGTCAGGTAGTGAAAATTGCATCGTAGTTTTTGTGCTTGTTTTGGAATGAGGAATAATTGTATGAAAATATTTATTTATATTTATCTGTTCTTCAAATAATTGCTGATTGTATTTAACAGCAACAAAGAAAAGTTTAGAGAACTCTCAGGAATCAAGAACGTGTAGCAACCAAGAAAAATACAATGCAAAAGATGATGTAGTGATGTCTGAAACTGCAGACCCTGGAAAATCGGATATCAAAGATAATGAAGTGAATTCACCCCATGAGAGTCATATAGCTGACACAAATGCTCCAGAGCCTGAAATTGTCCACAATGTAGAATCAGCAGAAGCCGGTCATGAACTAGACGAAGATTTTGATGAGAAGATAATACATGAAATAGTTGCTGATGACAATAGAGAACAAGAAATCGAGGAAGACGTCAAAGAAAAACGAGACAAAAATCAACATAATCAAGAATCAAGACAAGAACAACAAACCCAGCTGCAACAAAAATCACTAACACAACAACAATCACAACCTCAACAACAGCAATCATTGCTACAACAACAACAATCATTGCTACAACAGCAACCACAGCTACAACAACAACAATCATTGCTACAACAACAGTCACTGCTGCAACAACAACAATCATTGCTAAAACAACAATCACTGCTACAACAACAACAATCATTGCTACAACAACAATCACTGCTGCAACAACAACAAGCACTTCTACAACAACAATCATTGCTACAACAGCAACAATCATTGCTTCAACAGCAATCATTGTTGCAACAACAATCACAATCATTGCCTCAACAGCCACTACAACTACAGCAACTATCTCAACAACAATTAATGACACAACAATTGTCACAGCCACAAACACAGTTAATACAAAAACAATTACAGCAACAAGAATTCTCACAACAGGAAGAGCAATTAAAACTTCAACAACAATTGCGGCCAAAAGAGCATTCACAGCTACAACAACAATATTCACAACGACAGCAACAATTACCGCAACAAGAACAACCACAACAACAATCACCACAACAAGAACAACCTCAACAACAATCACCACAACAAGAACAACCACAACAACAACCACCGCAACAAGAACAACCTCAACAACAATCACCAAAACAAGAACACCCACAACAACAATCACCGCAACTAGAACAATCACAACGGCATCAACAATCACAGCAAAAGGAACATTCAGAACAACAACAGCAATCACAACTGCATCAACAATCACAGCAAAAGGAACTCTCAGAACAACAACAGCAATCCCAACGGCATCAACAATCACAGCAAAAGGAACATTCAGAACAACAACAGCAATCCCAACGGCATCAACAATCACAGCAAAAGGAACATTTAGAACAACTGCAATCACAACTGCATCAACAATCACAGCAAAAAGAACTCTCAGAACAACAACTACAATCACAACTGCATCAACTATCACAGCAAAAGGAACACTCAGAACAACAACAGCAATCACAACTGCATCAACAATCACAGCAAAAGGAACACTCAGAACAACATCAGCAATCACAGAAATTGGAACATTCAGAGCAAGAACAGCCATCGCAATTAAATCAAAAACAACCACATGGACAATTGTCCCAGCAACCGCAAACACATGCGTTTTCACATTCGGCTGTAACGTCATCACAGAAAGAAGTAAATTCGAATATTTTAATGGAAGGTCAACCGCCAGATTTACTAGACTATATTGATACCTATTACAGCTTGCTCACTAAAGATAAGTTGATGCAAAGATGTCTCGAAGCTTTGGCAATCTGTCTTCGACGTTTTCCTCAGCATTATAAGTCGCAATATCGTTTAGCTCATGCTTATATGAAAATAAAATCTATCAAGGTAACAAAACATGAGCTACTTTTTTTCCTTGAGGCTGCTTTTTGTATTCGCAGTTTTGTTGTTGGTTTTAGAATTCTAAATTGAGTCGAGATTTGTTGCTTGGTAGCAATTTAGCTGGGGATAAACCGTTCGGACTTTCAATTCAAGGATTGTTAAACGAGAAAAGTAAAACGAATTTATTTCAGGTAAGTTTTATGTGTAAAAAAGGACATGGTCTTGTTTTGTTAATGAATATATTTTGCAATATCAGGGAATTTGGAGGATTCCTCTGGATGACGTTGATCGGTACGTGAAATTACTTATCATAAAACTGTTCAAAAAGTTTTACTCATAACAAGTCAGTCTTAAACTATTATTGCAGTCCGGGAAGTTTTTGTACACATATGTTCAAGTGTGTACAACTGTTAACAGACGTGCTGGATGATCTGGAGGAGTGGCATTCGTTGCTTCTAGTTTCAAGTCTCTTGTACAGAAGCCCAGACTCCGGCAAGTAAGGAGTAATGTCATGATATCAAAACTAATCACTACGAAACGGATCTTCACAGTTTATATTCAACATTTCTTTTGATTTTTAAAGGAAGTATTTAAGAGATAATGAGCGTCTGCAGCTTGCATCAAAGGTAAGACTAAGAGTGGTGAATTTTGCTTTGGCGTCATTAAATATATAGTTTAAATCACGTTAGGTCATATTTTGTTCTGCCTGCAGGCTTTTTTGTTGTCTTTGAAAATTCTTCAGCGACGCTTCGATGAATTGAAAAAGGTATTTTTCTCTTTTAATAACCAAAACTTTAAAAACAATACAATTTTTAACATTAACATTGTTAATCTTTTTTGTAGTTACAGAAAGCAGATAGTCAGTTAGTTAAGACCTTGTTCAACGATACGTATGAAAGCTATAAGTGCTCGCAGAAAGCTCAAAAATATGTCGAGGTTATTTTTTAATGATTTTGGCTCTGAGCTTGCGTGAGTTTTCGCACTTTATATGTTAGCTGCCTTTTTTTTTTGTAGGAGACAGAGAAATTGTTGGTCCAAGTTTATGAATTAACTGGGCTACAGATGATTGATAATTCGCTACCAGATGAAGGAGCAAAGAGCGAGAGCGCTGTTGTAGATGAAATTGTAAAATATTTCCAGAATCAATCCAGTTTTTCCAAACCTCTGGTTAGATATTTTTGTCACGAGTTATGAATAAACACCTTTAAATGAAGATATGATCTTCTCACTTTGCTGGACAATTTAAGCAATCGTCTCCGGAACCTGAAAAAATCAGGTGACTCAACGGGATTTGAGTCACCTGATCCCGTTGAGTCACCTGATTTTTTCAGGTGCCTGAGACGATTGCTTAAATTGTCCAGCAAAGTGCGAAGATCATATCTTCATTTAATTTCAAACACCGCACTGCATAAAAACATTCAATAAACACCTTTCTTGAATGCACCTGCAATGTTTCCCATGTTTATTTTTACTCGTTTTAGTCTTCAGCAGTTTATGATTGCGAAACACCTGCCGCTCAATCCAAGACTTGTGAAGATACCGATGTGTTGAAAAACACTGATTCGCTGTTGACATCTCCGGAGAATATTGTGATAAATAACTCAAAAATGCTATCATCAATCAATGTCACTGATTCTATGAATGAAGCTGCTTATTGTACAGATGCAAATAATGTGGATACGTCACAAAGAGATGAGATGACAGTAGATTCCGCCCCAGATCAGAAAGACTCGTCTCTAACTCTACCTCCATTAATTCCCGACTCAAAGCAAGATGATGCAAAAGTATAACGAAAACGAGAGGAAGATTTGAAACAACTTTTTTACGTACGCTATGAGCACGGGTTAGTTGATAAAGATGCTCTTCGCTGGAGTAATTTTGCATAAATATTAAGTTTGCATTAAAGAATAAATGCTTCAAATTTCCTTCTCAACCTGTCATGGATCTTCTTGCCAGCTTCATTTCGTATATGTAGGCACCCAGAAGTTTAAAGTTTTCAATTTTGATAGTTATTTGTTCCTAACACTGGGCCTGATTTAATAAGTTTCTATATGGCAGTTAACAAATCTCAAAAATGGATATTCTGTATTTTGATGTTGTCTTCTGAATATTGTACAAGAAAGTTTTCACCGATTGTTTGTCAGATAACCATTTCGAGTTTTGCCAGGCCGGACCTTACTGCAGTGTTGTAGAATTCTTGGTATTTATTTTTGCTACCTTTCATAGATGGTCTTTATTACCATTTGCGTTCAACTGGCAACTGTCCCGAATTTTTCGCGTTTGTTTACGTTTCTAACGTCACGTTTTTCTGATGAAACGTCGGGTTTCAAATGGTAAACGTTCGAACCCGGGGGTATCGTTACATGTTTGTAAATGTAGATCGTCCAGGTTGGTATAGTCCTCAGAAGGACTGTTTTTGTTGTTGTTGACTGACGTTTCGACAACCTTAGCGGTAGTCATCTTCAGGGTCAAACCGCTATGGTTGTCAAAACGTCAGTCAACAACAACAAAAACAGTCCTTCTATGGACTATACTAACTTGGACGATCTACATCTACAAACATGAAATGTTCGTTCAACTCGCGTATTTTTTAGTTTGTAACAGCTCTTTCTTATATTATATGGTCAATTATCAAACTTTGCAAATCTCCTAAGGTATACAGATGAAATTTTCAGTTGCTACAGCTTTTATCATTGTAAAATCGTATAAACAAGTTAATCACATAACCAAAAATTGTTCAAGTTGTTCTTCAAACGTTAAACATTCCTGAGCAAACGTTACGTTTCTAATTTGAAACCCGAAGTTTCGTCTGACAAACGTAGCGTTTGAAACGAGAATAAACGCAAAAAATTCGGGACAGTTACCAGTTGGACGCAAATGGTAATAAAAAATTACTCGTGCTACAAGCATCTCAAATTGTACCGGCAAACCTATTGTAGTACGCGATGCGTACTTAGTTTTTATCTGCGACAGTGTAAGTTAATAGAAAGACATGACGTTTTTCGTGAAAGAGTTTTCTTGACGTTTGTAAATGCAGGCTCGTGAAACATGGTAACTTCAATATGCCTCCGAAGAAGAAGGGACAAGATCAATCGAGTAAAAAGACAGTTAACAAACAAAAGGAGAAGATTATCGAGGTACATTTGATGAATATGTGAATTCAAGGTTATTTTGTTTGAATTCGGACTTGTTTTGTATTGAAACGGGTTGGTGGTAAGTATTCAAGTTAGAAGATAACTGAACACATCCATGACACACACAACTGTAAATTATGTAATTTACAATACATTATCGAAAATTTTAGGATAAAACATTTGGTCTAAAGAACAAAAAAGGCAAAAAGCAACAGCAGTATGTAAAAAATGTCACGCAACAGGTAGGAATCTCTATCTGTGTTTGATTCAAATGTTTCAATTTGTCATTGTTACCAGTCTCTCTCTGTCAGTTGTGATGTAATATGTTATTTTCAGGTAAAATTTGGTGGAAATCCTAGTGCAAGAAAGGTAAGCATTGTTTTCCTTCTCTGACAGTCTCCTGTTGATTAATGATCTTGATTTTCTATTTCATTTATAGTTAGCACAAGAAAATGATTCAAAGGTAAAAATCACTTTTTAGCCTTTGCAAAGTCAACGTGTGTTTTGCTTTGTGATTCTTTTTGTGTTGGTTGCATGGAAAACAATGAAAAAAGTTAACTTTCTAGAAAAATGATCACAAATAGCTTTGTTAAAAAACATTGCTTGTTTGGAATAACAATCAAGGCTGCTTTGCCGGTGCATGTTGATTTTTGAGTCTCAAAACATTGCAGAAAAACCAACTGGAAAAGAAGAAGAAAGAAACAGAAGAATTGAATCAACTTTTTAAACCTGTTGCCACCAAACTTTCCAAAGGTCAGTGTGATGGTTTCAATCAAAATTTAAGTCTGAAAAAGTTTGTTTTCTTGCATTCTTTGATTTATGCACATGAGAGTAAAACAAAAACAGATTTTCCCTTTATCAATTTCAGATGCTGACCCAAAATCTGTGGTATGTGCCTATTTCAAGCAAGGTCTTTGTGGCAAAGGAGATAAATGCAAATACTCGCATGATTTAACTCTGGAAAGGAAAGGAGAAAAAAGAAGTCTTTATGTTGATTCTAGAGATGAGGAATTAAAGCAAGGTAGAATTTAGAAAACCATTAATAATAAAATATTCAGGACAATATTCATTTTGTGTAATATTTACCATTGCTAATGGCTATAGGATTGCTATATTGGAACATCTACCCAATTATACATTGTTGTTCATTTCAGCAGCCACACATAATTTTTCATCTTTCTTCACTTTTAAACACTACATGCCCAATAGAAAAAATTGTAACATTTTTGTGTGTGTGTGTGTGTGTGTGGGTCTCTTTTCTCATGACAAAGTGTCAGTGGTCATACATCTCTTCATGTGGAAGCTGTTGAAGTGTCAGTTCTTACTGAGAATTGCATAAAATTTTGTTATAGATACAATGGACACTTGGGATCAACAGAAACTGGAAGAAGTTGTTAAAAAGAAACATGGTGAAAAAGAAAAGAAAAACACAACTGACATTGTAAGAAATCAGCGTCATTTACTCATAATCAGTTGATGTGTATTTGTTTCAGATTTTCATTTCACTTTGCATTGAGATTGCCAATACTTCAGTGATTACCCATCCCCATATTCATTATTTTTTGAATAATTTCAAGGTGTGCAAATATTTCCTCGAAGCCATCGACAAAGCACTCTACGGTTGGTTCTGGACGTGCCCAAACGGAAACAAATGCATATATCGTCATGCTTTGCCTCCGGGATTTGTTTTGAAGAAAAAAGAGCAGAAAAACAAAGAGAAAGACGAGATCTCGTTAGAGGAATTAATCGAGGAAGAGCGAGGGAAACTAGGCACGAATTTAACAAAAATCACTTTAGAAACTTTTACGACTTGGAAAAAGAGAAAGGTGATTGGAAATAGATTTTCATTTACGTTTTATTGATACTGTCTTCCATACCTCGTAAAAGTAAAATCATTGATGTCTTAGAACAATTATTTTTACATTCAATTAAGTTCATCACGTACAAATATCTTCCTTTTTTTATGTGCAGTTAAAAGAAAAAAAGGACAATTACGAGAACGAGACGAAAAAGAAAAAGGAGGCGTTTAAAACGGGAAGAATTGTTGGAAAGGTACGATGCTGTTTTAAGCAAAATATTGTTTCCACCAACATTTGTTTTAATGTGGTTCGAGTGTCTCGATATGCTTCTGTTTTCCCACGAAAAGAGACTGTGGTTGGTGTATTAGATTATGAATTGCACTTGAATCCCCTTGTCATACTGTGAAAAAATTAATGTCGATTTTATTCTCGTCGCTCAACGTGGTAGCTCTGACGTCACATGAAAACATACCATCGTTGAAGACGCGTGTCTTGTGTTCGTGCTTTTGTTGATGTAGAAAAAATGGCATTTGTTCATGATAATCGTCTTTAGATTAGTGGAAGAGAAGTTTTCCAGTTTCGTCCCGAACTGGTTACTGATGATGCTGATGATGAAGAGGAATCATTTGATATTACACAATACAGGCATGAAGAGGTGCGTTGCCGCTCTTATGAAGTTTCACGTGATTTTTAATGAAATATTCACTGGACCCCATAGGGACAGCCGAGTATATATTTTATTAGTTTCTCTATCCTGTATTGCTAAAAATTTTTTTACAATTTATGAATAATGCACTATGAAGCTAGAGAATCTCGTTACTATAATGTCAATCATCATTTAGGATGATGATTTATGTGATGACGAGACAAAGATTGTAGAGCTTTCTCTCGATTCTTTTAACACACTGGAATATAACGAGAATGGATTGCCGACAGCGAATAAAGATAGCACAAAAGTTTGTACTTCATCTGTCTGTTGTAATATGATGAACACACTTCTATCATTAATAGAACTACTTTTTTTGGTATTTAGGAGATAGTTGTGGACAATGGTGGATTAGCGATGGCTTGTGCTGTGGACGATACAGGTCAGGCGATAGGACCAACTGTTGACGGGGTACCTGTAGATCAAAGTCTATTCGAGGATTTAGATGATCTTGATTTAGAGGATGAGGATCTCGTAGATTGAGCCAAAATAATGAGTTATATTAACTATCAAACTCTGAAATAAGATACACATGTCAGATAGCCCATTCACAAATCCTTTTTCTAGTTTCAGTATTTTAAAGTATGCTTACAATTAGGCGAATTGCGAAAGCCAGGAAACTAATTCTGTGACACAATTGACGTCTATATATTTCAAATTTTAATATCTGCGATCAATGAACCAGCAGGAAGTCGTAATCGAAATATAAATATTAAAGCCAAGCGTGTAATGCGTAGAACAGCCATAAAGAAAAAAATATATGTTATTTTTTTTCTTTGTCGCTGTTTTGCGCATAATATGCTGGACTTTAATATTTATATTTTCGATGAGGAAGTCTACTTGAAATTGAAAACAGCCCAATTGCAAACACATCACCGATGGTCGATGTTTTTTTTGTGTTTTGTAATATTGTGATAAGATTATATATATTTTAACCTGTCATGTTCACCTTATTCAGAAAATTACATGGTTGGCAATTGATGTGGACATATTTCACTCAAGCTAGTGTTAAAAATTCACCAAAAATTACCAATTTGGCGGATAAAAAAATTGTTATCGGTGTCTTTCACTGATGTAGAGAGTGAATGCTTTTGTCACTTCCCGGTATTCAACAATTTTTCCCAGTTCACCTTTAATTGGCCTGGGTTAGCCAGCTCATCTTTCATGTTTGTAAGGAAATGCAACTGACTTGCTGCCCAAAAGTTAATGACTTCCTTTGTAGGATATGCGTTACAGCACGCATTTCATTTGAGTGGCTCATCCGTTTTTTCCTTTACTCAGAAATTATCTGTGTATGTCTGTATTTTCGTGCTTTGATCGGTACAAGAACTATTTCTGAAGATTGTTGTTCAGCATACTTTGATACTGTTACTGCTGTAAATCAACCATATCATGGCAACCGATGCAAAAGCTTACAAAGAGCTTAGTGAACCACAATATAAAATGGGATGTGCTTTCATTGATGAGCAAAAATTGTTAAAGGATCAAGAGTCTTAGATATGGGATGTGGTACTGGTGAAATATCAAAGTATATCTCAGACCTTGTAGGATGTGAAGGGCATATAGTGGGAATTGATCCCGACGAAGCACGTATCAAGCTTGCACAGGAAAATTACAAAGATGTTAAGCATCTCCAGTTCTTCGTCAGCGATAGTGTTAAAGGTTTTCCCCACGAAGATGAGCCTTACTATGATTTTCATGTCTCAACGAATGCATTTCATTGGCTTCCTCATGATCATAAGAAAATTTATTTGAAGAAGGTGTTCAATTCGTTGAAGCCCGATGGCAAACTAGCAATTTTGTGTGGTATTAAACTGAGCTTTGACAAGGGTGAATCGAAAAATGTTGGTTTGCATATGCTATCTTTAGATGAATTTAGGAAGCTATTTGACGATGTTGGCTTTTTCCCAAACGCTGTTGTGAATGTACCCTAAAATCGATGCATTTTAAATCGGAAGATGTTTTTAAACGTTGGTTCAAGGCTTCCACACATCATGAAATGGAAGAGATGGGCGAAGATGCAAAAGCTAAAGGCGACGAGATGACAACGTATCATGATGATGGAAGTATGACAATTCGTGCTCCATTTGCTGTAATTACTGCAAGCAAGTCGTGAACAATAGTTGATTACAGTTCTTTAGAGGCTTGTTTTCAAAACTTTTTTCGCATTATTTTGCTTGTTCCTGTAATTAATTTTCCCTAGTTTTCATGTCTATGTCGGATGTATGGACATACTAGGGACAAATGAAAGTATTAAGCATTTTGTAAAATTTTGTTAATTATAAAATTGTATACCATACTCTAAACTCGACACTCGCATTAAATCAAAGTTCAGATTATATCACTAATAGTCATTGTTATATAAGTGTTTTGCTACGAAATAATTAGCATGCATTTAGCGTTCTTAAAAAAAAATTAGACAACGATATTCTTCCTGACAAATTATTGCGGACGAACTGTATTTGTTCGTGTGGACAACCGTACGACTTAAACTATGCATGTTTTCCTTTTACGGAGTGAAAGTAAATAACTTTGCGCGAGAATAAAATCGACATGTATATAAACTTTCTTAACATCTTTCAAATACAGAGTACAGACTAGAGTTCGGTAGAATCATTTTCTTATGTTTTCAAACATTTTCTATGTTAAAACATTTTCTACTGCCATGTTTTTTCCCACAACACGAAAATAAGCATTCGGCTGCTGTAAAATAGTGAGAAACATCTGGGTTGGAATAGCGTCAGTTTTAACCAGTTAACTTCCGTTGACCTTGGTCGATACCATAGATATAATAGGACTATTATATATATAGTCGATACACTAACTAAGACACAACAGAAACTAGTTTAATTCAGATGGTTTCAATGACATTACACAAAGTGGAGATAATGATGTCTTTGTCCGCTGACCTTTTCTCGAAAGTGATCGTTTTTCGCTCTTGTTTGTCCTCCGAAATATTGATTCACTGTTCTTTGGTTCCATTTTTCTTTAATTTTTTGACATTTGGAGTGCGTCACTTGGAAAGTTTTTGCAATGATCTAAGCTTGAAAATTCCCCATGGTTGAAACTTACCTTTCTATTTCCAAGCAATAAAATGATGTCAAGAGATTTTCGTGGACCAATGATGAATTCTTTTCAAGGAATGACAGGTACGCAGGTGTATTGTGGGGTAGGTAAGTGTAATATTTAGTTCAACTAGTTCAAAAATATATGCTCCTGAAAACATGTCTCTTTCTTCTTGCTATGAATGTAGTGTGGCAAGAATGCAAGAGGCATGTCTATTTCTAGACACTACTATGAGCAACAAAAATAGTACATTTTGCACATTTCAATAAAGTTAAATTGTCCAGCAAATTAGTCCAATGTTTTATTTTACATAACTTTAACAGCCACTTCTTATTGCATACCTTATTGTGGTCTTCTTTTTGGTAATATTACCATTTATCCACAAAAAATATGTGTTCTTTATTAACCTTTAGTTTTCTTTTTCTCAGCAAAGTATCGACCACCATTTCAACCTGCACAAACTTCAATGGTGAGTTGTTGCTTCCTTAACTTAATGATATATAATGAATGATACAATTAACAGCTATTTTCATTGTTGTTAAAATATATCAAAGATGTTTTTAATTTGACATGTTGCCTTTGTTGTGTCCTTACACTTTATCATTTCAGTTTTTATTTTAAAGTTACTTTATGTATTCCCTGGAATAACCAATGAAATCCATTCTATTTCATCAGGGTCAGTGGGCTGCCTCAGCACCTGGTATAAACCCAACCATGCTTGGACTCACCCAACAGAGATTTCTTACCCATCGACCTTTTCTGGTAAATTCAACATTTTCCCATGAGTTCTCCAGGAAACAATTTTATAAAGAAGTCAAAAATTTTTTATTATCTCCTTCAATTTAGCACACAGACATGCAAAATATGCCTGCACCAAAAGCACCAGATAAACCATTGATGCCTTATATGCGATTCAGCAGAAAAGTATGTTGCAACATATTTGTTATCTGTTTGAATTTATTTACTTTAATGTAACATTGCTTCAAAAGTCATACAAAACATAAATATGTCATGAATTTTGTTTATTGTTTTTGGTTTAAATTGACAGGCAACTTTCAGTATTATTTTGTGGTTAGTAATTAGTATTAGAAGAATACATCAAACTACCTTAACCTCTTCGGGATCTGGTGTACAATTTTTTAACATATGATTCAAATTTGAATTAAAAGGCAGTATGAAAGTTTTTTTAACTTTGTACTATCCTTGAGTTCGTTGTTATCAAACATAGGCAATGAAAATGTGATAATTTTTGTATTTTGGCAATTTTTCCATTCATTATAAATGTTGTAAGGGATGAAAACTGTCTCGTGTGTCCTGTTTGGTATCTCTAAAATGTAGAAAACTGTTTGATTTTTTATTTGCTTGATAGGTTTGGGAGCAGGTGAAAATTCAAAATCCTGATGGAAAATTGTGGGATATTGGTAAAATTATTGGTCAGATGTGGAGAGATCTTCCAGATGAAGAACGTCAGGTGTGTTTAAATCTAACACTAAAAATAGACAGAAAATTTAACCTTGAAAAACAGGAGAGCAGTTTGCAAAAATCACATTTTAAAGGGCTTGTGTAAGGAAAATGGATTTTGATATTGGATTTTTCTGTGTTTTAGTGCTGGGATTGGCCTGAGAGATGTATGGCTAGATTTATAGTTTACTGATCATTTCAAAATTGTTGCATACAGTTGTTGAAAATACTAAAATTATTTATTGAACATTATATTATTTTAATTTATTTTACAATATTTATTTTATAAATTTATTTTTCACCAGGTATTTTTTGATGAATATGAAATGGATAAGGTGGGCATTACCATATTTGTTTAACTTTTGATCATTAAATATCAGTACTTTATGTTTTGTGGTTCATTTTAAGCTCCAATACAATGAATCTATGAAAGCCTATCATAATTCTCAAGAATATCAAGCATGGATTGCTGCTAAAGGCCGAGGTATATTATTTGTTGTTTTTGTCAAATACTCTGTTTAAATTGTATGTTGTTTGGACAGTAGAAATCTGTTAATGCATGAAAACGGGAACTGAACATTCTAGCACTTGGGAAAACTAATTTCCATCTTAAATGTAATTATTGAAGTGGATATGGCACCATATTTTTTATTGTTTTAATTAAACTAAAAATTTGAGGGACTTACTTTTTAACATTGTTTGTATGTTTTCTTCAGGAACTGTTCAAAGTTTTTGTGTTATTTAAAGTAGAGAATTTATGATCAGTCGTTTCTAATTTAGTATCCGTTATAATGGAATCATTTTATGATGAAAAGAAAGTTCGTTTACTGTTTTAGGCAATGTTTGATTTAGGATCTTCACAGTGAGCATTAAAGTGTAAACAAACTGCTCTATAAATGAAGTATCCAACTTTTTTTTCTAAAGCGCAACAAGCTTTACAGGAACAGCAGGCTCGCGCTAGAGGTGTTGATCTTTCTTCGTTTGACGTAAGCAATTCCTTCATTTCGTACGTTGAAGAAGAAATTCCACTTACATCTTATTGGTCGACTTTAATATTGTCGCTATTTTTTTCAGATGCAAGACGCTAGATTTAGCTTGGAACCTCTCATAGACGATGGTGAGCATTTTATGAGGCAATTTTGGTGGTAGTGCGAAGTTTAAGTTTAAAACTCAAAGTTCATCAATAGATGAGGAAGATCCATTCTCTGTGAAACATGTGGCTGCCAGTCGATTTCATCGAAATCAAAAGCTTATGGCGGACATATTCAGCGACGTTGTTGTTCCTGATTTAAGGACAGGTCAGTGAACATGAGGTTCAATAGTGAGTTCATGACAGTGGCATTGTACAAACCCCGAAGAAGTTATCCCAATATTTTCATTTTTACCCCCAAGGTTAGCTACCTATACCTTGCAGTGGTGATTTTCTGTTGATCTTGCGCAATGCAAACATTTTCTGGTTGCTCTTAACCACGTATCATGACAATTGTTATTCGTTTGAAAAAAAAGATGAAGATTCAAAATCATTTTCTTATTATTCAGTTGTTACTACATCACGCATTCACATGTTGAGGAAGCAAGTGAAATCTCTTGGTGAACATCAGGTAGATGTATTCATGACTAGAAATCAAGCCATTTTAATGATCTGAAACAAAATAATATTTTATGAATGCTGTTGTTGGCCATAGCCAATGTGGTAATTCATAACGACATCGCTAGGTTGATCTCTAAATATTTATTGCTGGTCAAGCGTCTTCGAGTTGCTTTGACCATCCCCATAAAGTTCTCAAAGAATTCAAATGCAATTGTTATGTTTTTGTGCTGAGTTATTTTGGTAATGTTATATCGTATTTGTATATTTCTCTGGCAGAAAAAACTCGAGGTTGAACTTCAACAAATCCAGGAAAATTTTGATGAAAAGAAGCGAAAGTTTGTCGAAAGCAGTGAGTCATTTAATCAAGCCCTGAAAAAGGTAACTTGCGTGTTGTTAGCTGAATGACCGCAAGAATGCTAGTACAGTTGTTTCTAGAACCCAAACTGACAAGGCTACCTTGATATTTTTCAAAGACCATCTTTGTCAAGCAATTTGCTTCGCTCATATTTTATTTTGTAAAACTTTCAGGTACCGAAACTATCGAAAGTTAACGAGGTATGACGTTTACACCATTTAAAAGCGTTGTGATAACATTTGATTGTTGAGTGTGTATAGTGATTTTTGGAAACGCGATTTTCTACGTCATGGTTACGGAATTTGGATAAAGTTCACAACTGTCATAATGTTGATTGACTTTGAGTTTTCAATTCAAATTAATATAATTTAATTTGAATTAATGAACTATAATTTAATTTGATTTGTGTAAATGGGGGGAAGGGGTATTTTTTGTTTGTTGTTTTTTCTTGGCGTTCGGCTTTGTATTCGTGAGAAATGGGCAAGAGTCTTCGAAAGCTCACAGTAGGACCTCCCCGCTAGTATAAAAATTATTTCGCAAAGTGTAAAACAAGCGTAAGATACAAAAAGCCATACAATAAATTCTGTTAATCTTATTTGCTTGGTTTGATCTTGTACAAATATATGTCTTGTCCTGCATCATTGCCTATGTAATATTTAGGATAGGATCACTTCCATACGTACATTGTCAAACGACATAAATGAAAGGAACTTTTAGAACATTGTATCGTAATGCATCCATCATGATCAATTGCTATTTTCATGTGTTCATTTCCCCTTTTCCCCTTGCATTTTCCAGCTTTAGACTTGACACTTTTGATGAGTGCAGTGAGTCTGAAATACAATATTTATATTCAATGAACATGTTCAATCATGATTTTAAGACAACGAAATAGTTGTTTACACTTACCCAGGGTCAACAAGTCTTTTTTCATCTAAAAGGAAAATATATAAATTTTAAATAACAAGTAAAAGCCTAAATGCAGAAGATAAACGCTTATACGAGAAAGATGAGGGTGGCAAGAAAGCATCACGCTGAGTCCCAGCATGTCATACTGAAAGGGAAATTGCAGAAACCAAGAAAAGCTTCAGTGGAGAACACTGTGTCACATGCATAAGTAATCTTCACCGATTAATAATGACCAATGAGTGGCATCGAAGTAGAACACGACCACTATGCCTGCACAGTTTATTTCACCTTTAAAAGTTGGATGGAAAATCATGCAGTTACGTACGTATAAAGGTTTTGATTATTTTGGTAATTTTGACACTAATTAGAGATTAATCAACGTAAATGACCATATAGCATAAGGGACAATGAATGATCTATGGCCTATGTTCAAAGCGGATTTGTACAAGACCCAAACTGGCGCCTTTATTGCAAACACAGGAGTCTATCTAAAGTATCACAAAAAAGTTGGTTCGATGTATTGAATTAGCGATATGGATTAAGAAAGGTCCGAAACAACGTCAGCGCATTCATTTCCTGGTTTATAGTCACCCATCAAGGACAGTCTGGCTCATGTTCAAAGGTTTTTTCAGTGCATCTCAAGAGTCCACAATTGGCAAATACTTACACTTTGTGCAGTGAGGTTAGTGAAAGTATGGTTGCCACATCAGTTGGAAAAAACCTTTTGATGTACTCAATGTCAAAATACTTACCACAATTTTGAATTTTTTTCTTCTCAATTCTATTTGTGTTCATTTCATTATTTTTGTTTTCAGAACGGCGCTGTTTCTCACGGATTATTGAGTCCATTGCTTTTGTTTTTCTGCAAAAAAAAAGAGGCAAGGAAGAAGTTATAAGTGGAAGTCGCGCTGTAGTTATATAGGCACATGCAACAAGCAGATTGTTGCTTAAGTGGTCAACTACGTACTTAAATTGAGGATCAGAAGGATCCACAGCAAAAAGATGAGAAGAATATAAAGCGGAGAAACGGCTGTCGTTAACATTGATTTCAAAATTATCTTTCATATTTTCCTCGGTCTTTTGCTTTCGTTTCTTCCTCGACTTTTCATTCTTCATTATTGACTTTAAATTGAAGTGCTCACGATCGTCATCGTCGTCCATCATGAGCAACTGAAGTTCAGCCTTAATTGGAAAAGACGGATTGGTTGAAACACAAACATTACTGCTAAGTTCCTTAATGATCCCTACTGTACCTCTTTCTTCCTATCCTCTACAGTTAGCATATTATCTTCCCTCTTGATTTTACGTTTTTTGCTTTTCCTGACTGTTTTTCCTTTCTTGAAATATCATTTCCGTTCTCCGACGTCCTTTCTTCAGCAAAAAATGGATCACTAAGATCAACATCAGCCGGTAGTTCGTCGTCACTGAACTGAATCTCTGATTGGCTGAAGCAATAACAAACACTTATGGTTGAGACATAAGTGGTAATTAAGAGTTGGACAGAGTTCGCATGCTTACTCGTTATTTTCCTTCAGCTTTTCCTGCTGCTTCTTTCGTTTTTTATTTTTTCTTGTTTTGAGATAACTTTCCCAAGGCGTCAATTCTTTTCGTGACGTCTCATCTTTTATTCTCTTCACCAATTCTTCGGCTGACGCCTTCAAGCCAACATCCCACGTGATCTCCATTTCCTTTTCCTCTGGCTCTTCTTTTTTCTTTATTTCTCCAAGAATCTCCTAAGAAGCGAGAATGCAAATTAATACAAGGCGATGACTTTTGGCAAAAATATTCTATTATGGAAGGATCAAAATGGATTTTATTACATTAAAATATCCAATTTGAAGATCTCCATACACGCTTCACCTTGTATTTAGCGATTTTCTTATCCTCTTCCTCGTCACCAGACTCCTCAGATGCACGAGCGCTGTCGTCATCACTGGACGAAGCAAGATAAGCTTTGAAATCAATGTCAAGTAGATCATCTTTACTGAAGTTTCTCATTGTCGTTTGTACACGACGAGGATCTGTCTCGTCCCAGGTCAAGCGTACGGTCGACTGTTGTAAAGCTGTTGTGATGAACCTACGTATGGATAAGTACAAAATTGCTATGCAACTTAATCATATATCTTGCAACAACAATCCGACGTAGAATACGACGTATTTTATACTGACTCTGAAGGTTTGTAGCTTTCTATCGATGGCATTTCGGTCGCTTGTGACGTAGGCTTTCTCTCAAAAGTCATGTGATCAGGAATGAATCTGAGATCGACAAGGGAAGAGCTCGCTTCGTATTCCAAACCGTTGCATTCCTCATATATCTTTTCTGCTGTTTCTGTTTCAAACAAGATAGAGATAATATCAAAAATATGGATGAGAAAATGAATCACAAATGAAAGTTTACCAGGCGCGTCACACTCAACAACGGCATAGAAATATTTCAATCTATTAATTTGATAACGACGCAACTCGTCCTCATCAAATTCCTCCTATCAGACAAAGAATGAATATTGTTGAAATTAAATACAAATAACAAGAACAGGATTATTTACTTCAAGAACCTGGTCATGTTCACTTGCTTCATCATGATCTTCACGTTCCGCGACAAGTTCCATTGGTCCAATTTCATCTTCTCTTTCCATCCTTTCCAATCCAAAATCTGAAGGATAAATCTACAGCAGACGATACCATATATAATTTTCCATCAATCACCCTAACCATAATTGTTTCTCTTATATATGTACTGGCCATTTGAAATGTTGTACTTACTTTTACTGATAAAATACTGCCGCCAGATGGTACAAAGGAATGTAGGAGAACTAGAAATACAATAAAGAAAAGGTGTAGTTGACATACATTTGGGAAATCCAGCATAGGTCAACCATAACCAACTGAAACCTCAACTGGTGTATTATTCATGTGTAACCTATGTATTATTCACGTGTAACCTATGTATTTGTCATGTGTAACCTATGTATTTGTCATGTGTAACCTATGTATTTGTCATGTGTAACCTATGTATTTGTCATGTGTAACCTATGTATTTGTCATGTGTAACGTATGTATTTGTCATGTGTAACCTATGTATTTGTCATGTGTAACCTATGTATTTGTCATGTGTAACCTATGTGTACATACCATAAAGATCGTCTACTGTTATTTTATCCCAATTCATATTGCAAACTGCTAGACGACGAGTTGCTTCTTCAGTCATGGGTACATTGGCATCAAAGTCATGCCAGTTATCCTTAAAATAAACAAACAATCATTTACTCCTTGTATATTCTCTCAACCATAATGTGTTTTTATAACTTACATTAGTTTGATTTTGGAAACTCTTCATAACTTCATGTTCTGTTGGAGACAATGTCATATTCTTGTTTTTTGTTTCATTTTTATGTATTTTTTTACTTTTTCCATTTTCCTTGACTTCAACACTATGCTTCCTCCTGGCATTGTTCTTTTGCTTAGTTTTGTCCTCGGGAATGACCTCTGAAAACTTCTCACTGTCCCTACAATAATCTGTAGCTCAGTTGAACAGTCAACAAGACAAAAATTACACTTAAGCACAGTAGAGAAAAACCTGCTTTCAAGATCACCTGAACAAGGTTTAACAACTAGAAAATTGAAAATTATTTAGTATGTACAGTACCTATTTTTTATTCAAAAACTATATCAATAAAATGAAGACAAAAAAAGAATACTGCAAAAGCAAAATGTTTTTCACACTTTGTTCATCTTCATCAGATATTTCATAAAATTTGGAAAGATCTTCTGATGCACTCTCCTTGACTTTTCGTCCCCGTTTGTCAACAAAATCTGAAAGCAACAGTATGTTAGTGATGCTTAAGTTTCATTAAGTTTTCTACAATTTTCATGCTTAGTAAAGTTACTTTCTGTTAATTAGTTTAAATGTTATTCTAAACTCTTATTGCAAATAATTGTAGCTACAAGTTATAGCACTGAATCTGAAAGTATCTTGCCATTTATAAATCAAAGGTACTCAATTTGACGTATAAGTATCTCATACATTTGAAACTTTCTAGACTCATTTAAAAATTTATTTTTAACAAAAACCTAACTCTGGTTTTTCAAACAAGTTTTAATTACATTTTGTATTGAAATCTTCATCATTGAACATCTGCTGGAATCTTGAATCGATCTTCACTTTCTTTTTCTTGTTGGGTATAATCTAAAACAGAGTTCACTGTCATCAACGACAAGACTGACAACTTGTCAGTGTCACGATCAAAGTGAGTCTGTGACTGAGTGTGTTAGTGACTAAGTCTGACTGAGACTCCTTTCGTCTTGTAAAATTTCGAATAATTTTAGAACTGTTCTCACCCTAAAACGAGGATCTTTCTTTATGTGTGAAAATCTTTCGTCGATATCCATCATTTTAGTATATATATTCAGCTATGCACATGCCTTGAAATATTTCGCCATATTGGGAAAACGTTAATATACCGTATTACTTGACGTATTGGATACTTCACATAATTATTACCACTTGGGTCAAATGTCCAATCTAATCAAGGACATGTAAAAAATCAAATTTAGATTTCTCCGTTTTTTTTTAACAGAAATAAAATGATTCTTAAACACTTGTTTTTCATTTTGTAGATTGTGCATAAAAAAAATAACAGTGTCTCCGTTGATGGCCGTAAATGCAAAGGATGAATTTGCATTTCACGTGCTTAAACGCATCAACAATAGTGCGAATTTTGCTAAATGTGAAAGAAAAAATTGATTTCAAAGTAAATGCAGATAAAAATCACAAATAAAAATAAGAAAAGGGGTCTGATGCAAAATTTTGCCTCTTTTGATCTTTTTTCTATGACTTCCCGATGGAAGTCAATTTTTAATAGTCAGGAAACAGAGGGCAAACCGAACACCCTTTCAAATCCCCTCCTAACCTCAACCTTTCACTCAATCCTCAATCTACAACCCGAACTGAGACGACGACACCGGGACGACGCCAGAAGCTCAACAACGAATACTAGCAGTTTCCTGGCATATTTGCCCCTTTTTAACTTTGAAATAAAAATATACAATATACAAGGTGGTCTTGAACCAGAGAAGGAGTGTCCTCCAAACCGTCAAGTGTACCTCTCAGCCAATGATAAACTAATTGCAGCTGAAGTAAATGATAAGCTAATTGCAGCTGAAGTAAATTTATAATTGGCATTGTTTTTTTGCTTAGTTTTGTCCTCAGGAATGACCTCTGAAAACTTCTCACTATCCTTACAATAATCTGTAGCTCAGTTGAACAGTCAACAAGACAAAAATTACACTTCGAGCACAGTAGAGAAAAACCTACTTTCAACATCACCTTTTTATAATTTATAAAAAGATGTTATGAAGTATAATGAGAAGAAGGAACAAGAAAGGTTTTGGTTTTTTTTGTATATTTTGATATTATGTAACTTTTTCAATCGAAGGCAATCCTATGACTTTGACGAAACTAAAATAATGGATGCGATACGGCTCCCCCGAAAGAACGCTCATACAGCAAAAACTTCGAGATCTTCAAATTTGTCAGTTGATGGGATTCTGCATCTGTTTGAACTATCAGGCAACGATCATGTCCATGCATTCGCTGAAGGAAGGCATTTCTATGACGTCCGCAAGTCATGAGAACACAAACAATTTAGAAATTTGCGGTGAAGTCATCAACGGTATAGAAAAGAATCGAATTTCTAAATCTGTCGATAGTTTTGAAGCATTTCTCGATGAGATGATGTGAATATTAGGTTAATTATGCATGTCGTGGAGCTTAACACTTTCAGCCGTTAAGATCAACAATCAAACTTTCACAACAATAGCAATAAATGAAAAACCAGTCAGGTGCAAGAATAATCATTGTTATAAAGACAGAAAATTTTGTACTGTAGGATTAATGTGTTTTCGTTTATGCATGCATAATAATGCATGTAAGAACATAAAATCCACTTATAAATCTGCCGAGATTAAGGCCCGTTTACATTATACCGGATTGCTATCGTAGCAGGTTGAATATTCTTTAAATTAAAAGGCAGTGAAATTGTTCAACGTCAGAAAAACAATCAAACAGACTAAATCTATCAGCTTAATAAACTTTTACTCCGAACAGTTACACCCTTAAAGCAAGTGAAGATGTCGTGATCAGCAAATCCGGTGTAGTGTAGACGCAGCCTAAATTTGAACAGAAACAGCAGCAGCAAGTGCAATAGCAAGGATGAAAAGGCGAGACCACGTTAACGTTGATGTTAAGAGAAAATTTCTCGGTAACTGGAAGGGAGTCTCAACGTGGATTGAACGTAAATTATTAACTATCAAAGCGGAACTACTACGAGTTAACGACGTCTACCAGATAAACCAAATGTTAATTGACATACCGGACCAAATCTAAGCATTTGACAAGCATACAGTTTGTATAGAAGCTATGGAATTGAGTGATAGCTTAACGCAACAAACAAGAGCGCCGTGAAGACTATGCAGATTGTTTCTTACAACATCCGATTTCCTCATCACAATGCTTAGAGATAATATGGCTGCGTTGTCAAATATGTGGTGATATGTTATAAGTGTCATAAACCATTGAAATGTAGGATATGACTCGTGAAATTGACATTCCTAAAGAATACACCTCAAAATCGGAACGATAGGAAAATTCATTTCCTATATATATATATTATACAAAAGTGAAAAGAAGACAAGTTATCGGCTGCTTTAAAGCCTCCACCAACGTCAAGCCAGAAATATGTCATCCTCTTATTTAACTACGACAAGTGCCATTGGGTTAATAAAGCAAATATCGACAGCAGCCGCTAAAGAAATCTGCATTGCTTAGCCATAAAAACGTGCTGCTTTTGAAAGACTTACTTGTCTCTATCTTTTTCAAAAGAAGACATAAGAAACTACGGATGTTTTACTAATGTATTACAAAACTAACATTAATATAAATGTATTTATTTGTACTACTCTTTCATTTTTTCTACCAACATTCCTTCTTCGTGTAATTTTTACGAATATGATATTTGCTTTCTTGCATTTTCTTTGACTCGAAGCTCTTCCATAATCTTGTTTCGAGACCTTTAAAGGTCATTTTTTTTGCATTAATTATTACAAAGCAGGAATGGCACATTAAATTGAGCATTAGTCTCCAACGAACTCTCTGGTCTACTACAAGACACAACCTTTCGAGGTTGCAAAGTGGAGGTTCAAACCCTGTCTGCAATAAGGTAAAGTTAGATCTAGGTTGAGCTAAGAAATGAGGAAATAATGCTGATTAACAGTGCCAAAATGGCATTTCTATTACTGAGCTTTTAGAGAATGGAATGCGACACTTAGTATAAATTCAGAAAAATTCGCTCTCCGATGAGAAGGAGGAAGGAGGAGAGCGAAGAAAAAAAAAGATAGGATCCCATGCAAAAAAACCACTCTTAAAAAAACTAAGTCTTTTTCTCAAATTTTTTTATGACTCCCTGTGATCAGGGAGTTATTTTTTTAAATTTTGAAAAGTCAGGAAACCCAAGAGCAAACAGAACGCCCTAATATTCCCTTTCTTACCTCCGTACACTTGTTCCTCAATTCAACTTTTTGTCTTCCACATCCGCCTCGTACACCTAAGTGTGTCAGCAGAGGGGCGAACCAAGGATCTTGTGCACGGGAGGTCAGTGATGTCGAACTAAGCGCCCAACATCGGCCAGTTGAGCTAAGCGCTCATCATCGAACACTTAGGTTTTTTTTGCGTATTTGATCATTTTTTTAAACTTTGAAGTGAAAGAAAACGATGACCAGATCAGTATTGAACCCGAGATGGTGCGATAGCCATACTATCAACCATAAGTGTTCCACTCAGTAAAGAAAACAACATGGATTTGAACCTAGGAAGGTCTGAGCACCGCACCGACAACTATACCTCTCATCCAGACGAGAGACTTACGACTTCGATGAAAACATGTCAAGTGATTAGCAAAAACCAACATTTATTGCATCCATTTCTTCTGGCTCAAATTTACAATGTTTAGTATGTTTGATTTATTATTTGTCACCCTCACTCCATTGATGAAGAAAAAAATTTACTTGGCTTCCCTATCAAGCTCTAAATAACATAGTTTGGCATTTCATGTTCTTACAGCAAGGACCAGGACGTATAAAGTATACAAAATTTTAGGAATTGCCATGTGGTAAATCAAGACATTTACGCGCATGTTCCTTAGTCAGTTTAATGGCGTTGAAGGATTATTTTGTCTGTTTAGACTTAGCAAACGTATTTTTTATTATCATACATAACAACATTGTAATAGCTTCTACAAAAACTAATAGTTTCCGTGGAACAGTCATCACTTTTTCTTATTTTGTAATTGAGTTTAAACACTTACCTATGTAAGTTTACAGAGGCGTATGACATTCTGTTAAAATCGTTCGCTTTTCTTTGTGGCAAAAAATCATACTCGTGTTTAAAGGTGACATTGTCCATTCAACACTAAACTTATACAGTTACGACGCGCTTTGGAACAAGAAATAGTATATTTAGCAAAAACGTGCTTATAGTAATATAACAGACTTCAAATGTAATCAATGTAATCGTCATTTTTATCTTCTCGATGTAATCAATATGATCGTCATTTTATATGAATAAAATGTCAAAAAATCGTGGGGTTGTCTTGTAGACTTTTAGTAGACTTTTTCTAACATAATTTTTACTGGATTACTAAAGTGGTGTGTTTACAATTTTGAAAGACTTAACTATAAAGAAGAAATTACTATTTTAGGAAAAATTTACAAATAAAGTATATTGGAAATCTTTGAGGTACAAAACGAATCTAACAATATTGTACTTCTTATCTTATTAAATACCTGATTCCATAGTTAAGCTTTGTCAAAGCAAAAACTTTGTTTTCAGAATTTCATCTTTGACATTAGACAATAGAGTTTAGTGGAAGAATCTTTTAGATTATAATCAGTCTACTGGGAGTTAAGTTACTGACTGTTTTGTACATACTTCTATAGCTTTAATTTCTGCTCTGCGTTTTTCAAATAACTTCCAGCCAAGGGAGTTACGAGCTTACGCAGACTGACCTTGTTCATTCTTTACATTCATGATAAGTCTTGCCGCATTATTCAACAACTTTTGGAGCCTTTCACAGTAATTTTCACGTGTTTGTCTCAAACCTCACAACAATAGTCAAAATATGGCTCGATTAAAGAGGATGAATACCAAAACCTAACTGCTTCTATTAAAAGATATTCTTATTTTCTTTACAGCTTCAATACCTAACGATATTTTATTTGTAATATATATTCAAGGTGTTATTTCCAGTTCAACTGTTTGTCTATTTGAACTCCAAGAGCTTTGGGACATTTTACTCTTTTGACTTTTTTGTTCTTGATTGTAAGGGTTGGTTTGATATCAATTCTATTTAAATTTGCGTCAAAAGACGATCAAAATGTATTCTGTCTTCACACGCCTTTGTAAACTTACATAGGTAAGTGCTTAAACTCAATTACAAAATAAGAAAAAGTGATGACTGTTCCACGGGAACTATTGATTTTTGTAGAAGCTACAGAAGATTACAATGTTGTTATGTATGATGATAAAAAATACGTTTGCTAAGTCTAAACAGACAAAATAATCCTTCAACGCCATTAAACTGACTAAGGAACATGCGCGTAAATGTCTTGATTTACCACATGGCAATTCCTAAAATTGTGTATACTTTATACGTCCTGGTCCTTGCTGTAAGAACATGAAATGCCAAACTATGTTATTTAGAGCTTGATAGGGAAGCCAAGTAAATTACTTTCTTCATCAATGGAGTGACAAATAATAAGTCAAACATACTAAACATTGTAAATTCGAGCCAGAAGAAATGGATGCAATAAATGTTGGTTTTTGCTAATCACTTGACATGTTTTCATCGCAATCGTGAGCCTCTCGTCTGGATGAGAGGTATAGTTGTCGGTGCGGTGCTCAGACCTTCCTAGGTTCAAATCCATGTTGTTTTCTTTACTGAGTGGAACACTTATGGTTGTCAGTATGGCTATCGCACCATCTCGGGTTCAATACTGATCTGATCATCGTTTTCTTTCACTTCAAAGTTCAAAAAAATGATCAAATACGCGAAAAAACCCTAAGTGTTCGATGATGAGCGCTTAGCTCAACTGGCCGATGTTGGGCGCTTAGTTCGACATCACTGACCTCCCGTGCACAAGATCCTTGGTTCGCCCCTCTGCTGACACACTTAGGTGTACGAGGCGGATGTGGAAGACAGAAAGTTGAATTGAGGAACAAGTGCTCGGAGGTAAGAAAGGGAATATTAGGGCGTTCTGTTTGCTCTTGGGTTTCCTGACTTTTCAAAATTTAAAAAAATAACTCCCTGATCACAGGGAGTCATAAAAAAATTTGAGAAAAAGACTTAGTTTTTTTAAGAGTGGTTTTTTGCATGGGATCCTATCTTTTTTTTTCTTCGCTCCCTCCTTCCTCCTTCTCATCGGAGAGCGAATTTTTCTGAATTTATACTAAGTATCGCATTCCATTCCCTAAAAACTCAGTAATAGAAATGCCATTTTTGCACTGTTAGTCAGCATTATTTCCTCATTTCTTAGCTCAACCTAGACCTAACTTTACCTTATTGCAGACAGGGTTTGAACCTCCACTTTGCAACCTCGAAAGGTTGTGTCTTGTAGTAGACCAGAGAGTTCGTTGGAGACTAATGCGCAATTTAATGTGCCAGTCCTGCTTTGTAATAATTAATGCAAAAAAGAAATGACCTTTAAAGGTCTCGAAACAAGATTATGGAAGAGCTTCGAGTCAAAGAAAATGCAAGAAAGCAAATATCATATTCGTAAAAATTACACGAAGAAGGAATGTTGGTAGAAAAAATGAAAGAGTAGTACAAATAAATACATTTATATTAATGTTAGTTTTGTAATACATTAGCAAAACATCCGTAGTTTCTTATGTCTTCTTTTGAAAAAGATAGAGACAAGTAAGTCTTTCAAAAGCAGCACGTTTTCTTATGGCTAAGCAATGCAGATTTCTTTAGCGGCTGCTGTCGATATTTGCTTTATTAACCCAATGGCACTTGTCGTAGTTAAATAAGAGGATGACATATTTCTGGCTTGACGTTGGTGGAGGCTTTAAAGCAGCGAATAACTTGTCTTCTTTTCACTTTTGTATAATATATATATATAGGAAATGAATTTTCCTATCGTTCCGATTTTGAGGTGTATTCTTTAGGAATGTCAATTTCACGAGTCATATCCTACATTTCAATGGTTTATGACACTTATAATATATCACCGCATATTTGACAACGCAGCCATATTATCTCTAAGCATTGTGATGAGGAAATAGGATGTTGTAAGAAACAATCTACATAGTCTTCACGGCGCTCTTGTTTGTTGCGTTAAGCTATCACTCAATTCCATAGCTTCTATACAAACTGTATGCTTGTCAAATGCTTAGATTTGGTCAGGTATATCAATTAACATTTGGTTTGTCTGGTAGACGTCGTTAACTCGTAGTAATTCCGCATTGATAGTTAATAATTTACGTTCCATCCACGTTGAGACTCCCTTCCAGTGACCGAGAAATTTTCTCTTAACATCAACGTTAACGTGGTCTCGCCTTTTCATCCTTGCCATTGCACTTGCTGCTGCTGTTTCTGTTCAAATTCAGGCTGCGTTTACACTACACCGGACATCTTCACTTGCTTTAAAGGTGTAACTGTTCGGAGTAAAAGTTTATTAAGCTGACAGATTTAGTCAGTTTGATTGTGTTTCTGACGTTGAACAATTTCATTGACTTCTAATATAAAGAATATTCAACCTGCTACGATAGCAATCCGGTATAGTGTGAACGGGGCCTTAATCTCGGCAGATTTATAATTGGATTTTATGTTCTTACATACATTATTATGCATGCATAAACGAAAACACATTAATCCTACAGTACAAAATTTTCTGTCTTTATAACAATGATTATTCTTGCACCTGACTGGTTTTTCATTTATTGCTATTGTTGTTGTAAAGTTTGATTGTTGATCTTAACGGCTGAAAGTGTTAAGCTCCACGACATGCATAATTACCTAATATTCATTCATCTCATCGAGAAATGCTTTAAAACTACAATAGATTTAGAAATTTGATTCTTTTCTATACCGTTAATGACTTTACCGTAATTTTCTAAATTATCTGGGTTCTCATGAGTTGCAGACGTCATAGAAATGCCTTCCTCCAGCGAATGGACATGATCGTTGCCTGATAGTTCAAACAAATGCAGAATTTCATGACAAATTTGAAGAGCTCGAAGTTTTTGCTGTATGAGCGTTCTTTTTGGGAGGTCGTGTCGCATCCATTACTTTAGTTACGTCAAAGCCGTAAGATTGCCTGTCGGGAACAAACTTTGCCTTCGAGTGAAAAAGTTACATAATATCAATATATCCAAAAAAAAATAAACCTTTGTTGTTCCTTCTTCTCATTATTCTTCGTCACATCTTGTTGTAGTTTGACGCTTTTCGCATTTTAGTATTCTTGAGTAAAAAAAATGATACTTTTTGTATCCCCTGAACATAGCATTTGAACATATTTTACGATGTACAAAAATCCTTCACTTCAACCAAAGTTTTTATCTTCAACATTTCTTTAGCAGTTCTAAAAAATTCTTCTTCACTCATACAATATAAAGTCTGATATCGTTGTTTCTTGGCAGCCTCCTTTACGTTGGCATTTATACCTTTGAATTTTGCGTGTTGATTGAGTAGTGCACGAAATTCTGTGTAGTGAGAAAGACAATTATAAATTTACTTCAGCTGCATTTAGTTTATCATTGTAAATTGTACTACAGCTATAACTATTTCATCATAATTGTATTAAAGCTGTAGCTGTTTCATCAAAGTACAACAAATATAAAAAACAAACCAGATCGTTCACATTGTTTCTTTGACAATCTTTGTTGTTCAATAGTAAGCAAATGACGTGTTTACAACTTCCAGTCTTTCCACCAACATCTGGACAGGAGCATCAATTAAAAAGACTTCATTTCATAGGTTTCTTTGTCCTTGTCTGGAATTATTAAACTTTCGTGCGCAACCAACACCAACGGTCGAAAAAATATGGTTGGTGCGTATGACGATAAAAAATAGTGCAGTTAGTTAAAAAACAAAGTCAAATGATCTCGACGCCATTACTGCCCTGATTTACCACATGGCATCGCGTGAATTGACTACCTTCGATTACTTTCGATTACTTTCGACTACGAAATGACCAATTTTTCAATTGTCGTGTTCAACAAAATAAGAACTTTGTCCTATGAAAAAGTAGACACAAAGGTGGACAGTCTACCTTTATGCCTACCATTGTGTTTACTTTTATGTCTATCTTTGTGTCTATCATTATGTTTACCTTTATGTCTACCTTTATGTTTATCTTTGCGTCTACCTTCATGTTTATCTTTGTTTCTACCTTATGTTTATCTTTGTGTCTACCTTTATATGTCTACTTTTGTGTCTACCTTTATGTTTATCTTTGCGTCTACCTTTATGTTTATCTTTGCGTCTACCTTTATGTTTATCTTTGTGTCTACCTTTATGTCTACCTTTGTGTCTACCTTTATGTTTATCTTTGCGTCTAACTTTATGTTTATCTTTGTGTCTACCTTTATGTTCATCTTTGCGTCTACCTTTATGTTTATCTTTGTGCCTACCTTTATGTCTACCTTTGTGTTTACCTTTATGTCTACCTTTATGTCTACCTTTGTGTCTACCTTTATGTCTACCTTTATGTCTACCTTTATGTCTACCTTTATTTCTGACCTTTGTGTCTACCTTTGTGTCTACCTTTATGTCTACCATTATGTCTACCTTTGTGTCTATCTTTATGTTCATCTTTCTCTATTACTATACTAATTACTATACAGGTCAGTGGTTGCGCTTGATAAATATAATAATTTGAACGAGATTGTACGTCCAGGTAATTAGTATACATGTCAGTGGAGATGACATGTTGAAAAATAACATCAAGCTGATATTCAGAGTATGGTAAATACATAGAACAGCCAATAACAATTAAAGTTTTAATGTTCAAATAGTTTATAATGCATTTACCAATTGTAACATACTGTGTACTTTACTACCTATTTGAATGGCTAAAATGGCTAAAACTCTCATAAGGATATATGGTCCTTCACGTTCGCTAAATATTTATACAATAGTTACGCTCGGCTCGTATAATAAACTAGGTATTCACAAACCCAAACTTGATTAATTTGAAACACATTGCTGGTCATTTTTTCCTATTACTTTTTCGTTTGAACAAACTTCGTCTTTTCTCTTTCTTTGGCATTCCTTGACCGTCGCTGCTTGAACCTTCGCGAAGATGCTGAATCCATTGTGCCATGTCGTTCTAAACAAGTACCAACACGTCATTAGATTAACTTAACTACGTAAATTAGACTGTTTCTACGTCATGATACGTACCGCATCTTTCGCTTGAAATAGATATTCGTTCCCATTCTCTAATCTGTAAAATATGAATATGACTGGTATGAAATAACTATTTTAATAAAGAACTTTGAGTGATAAACAACAAAAAAAATGTGTGATATCCTTTTCAATCGACAGATAATCCTTATCTTACATCAATCGTAAGACGTGTTTGCGTTTGTGATAATCATCTGCGACCTCGGTACTCGAGTTTTGTGTGGACAGTTGATGTAAGGCTTCGTGTAATTGCTTAGCGTCTGTTTGATCTTCAAAAAATGAAGTGTGACGTCTTTAAGAACAACATAGAACTGTTTCCAGCGTCTAGAAATGATGTTCCAAAAAAAATTCTTATTCCATGTTATTCGTAAAATAAAGAAAAAATTCACAGTTTAGTAACTAAATACGAGGCTTCACAAGTTCTTTACCTATTTGATGCTTTCTTATGAGGTCCATCCATTGTATGTTTACGTATAAGATATCCTTCGTTCTTGCTATCGTGATGAACATTCCCCTCTGCTTTTTTAAAGTCCTCTTCTTTCTCATCATCATGTTCCCCATTTTCTATACCGGACGCTCTCTTCTTCGCCTCCTGCTCGGCAAGTTCTCGTTTTCGCTTTGCTTCTTCTACTTAAAAAACAAAATGATATGTTTGTTACGTGTAAATTAAAGCTTATACAGTCCAAAGTTTGTAGGTATAATGTGAAATCAGTGGTTAATTTGCTTCCTTTTACAAATAAACATAACATTGGAATGCATTTAAAAGAGCCTTGACTAGATGAGGTGCAGGAAGGTGTGTCAATTTTCATACAAATACTATTTTACCAAACACTTATATAAAAACCATCGTTATTAATGTTTACGTAATGGAGCATTTCAAAAATCTCCAATCATTACAAAAATACACCAGAATATAACAAAAAAATCTGACATACTACAGCAACAAGAAGCAACCAAAATCTAATCCAAACTAGGACCGACCTCTCTCTCCCCCCCCTCTAATCACCAATCATTGATTATTCTCTGAGTTATCGCAACAAGACTCACAACAAAAGTGATGCAGGTAATATTCACCTTCTTCAATTTGTTTACGTTGAGCCTCTCGTTTTTTTTCTTCTTCATCTCTTTGTTTCTCTCTTCTTCTTCTTTTTTTGCTAATTCCTCTCTTTTGCGATCTTGTTCTTCTTTCTCACGTCTTCTCGCCTCGCGAAGTTCAAACTTTATAAAAACAAACAATGTATAACAATCACATAAAATATAAACCTTTTTTAGGAAGGCAAATAAAAAACTTACATTAGTTAAACGTTCCAAAGCTTTGAATTTTTCTTCGTGACTGAACACAAGTTTCTCGAAGTTTTGATGCTTTTCGATGAGTCGATCAACATCAGACTCGTTTTCCTAAAACAAATAATCGTAAGATAATGATAAGATATCACTGAGCACAATCTCTATCGACAAATCAAAACGTACCGCTGTTTTCTCATCTTCCTTCTTTAGATATGGTTCTTGCGTATACAACCATCCTTCAGCCTGATGAGCGTCGCGAGCAAACTGCATCACCTCCAAAACTGTGAACCAATTTCAGTTATTTTAAAGTTAATGAAATTCAAATACGACTAAAGGTTTCTGAATTTTTGCAAACAGTTGTTACATTGTGTTGAAAACTTACAGGAGCAGTGATTTTTACATTCTTATATTATTCTACTTGGTTTGAAATTTTTACTATTGATTGTGACTACGTGTTAAACTATATATTTCTTCACCAATGTAGACATTTTACTTACTAAGTTGTAGGTGTTCCAAACGTCTGTCCCACTCGAGAATCATTTTATTTCTTACTTTGTTCAAATTCTCCAATTTCGCGTTAATCTAATTGAAGAAGACCCAAACATGACATTGAGTAACAAAACAAATCGCGAGTACATACACAGCGCATGCGTGTGTGTATTGCTTTTAAGTGTGAAAAAGTACTCACATCATCAGAAGCATAATGATTTCGAGCGAGCAGTGTTTTCCCAATGAGAACAACAGAGGAAAATCCTTCCTCTCTTGCGTCGATTTCACTCTTCCTCTGTTGGTGTAATGATATTAACGATTCAGTTTCTGGAACATCTCTGAAATGTATAAAAAGGAACGTAAACGCATTGCTACTCACTACTCAGAGCTTGAAAGAGTATTTTTTTCCAAGCAGATGAAGTTATTGTATGTATTGAATTAAATAGTTATTTTATAGGTTAACATAGTTTGGTCTTTATAAGACTACAAAATCATTCTTTTGTAAATGGATGGCACACTGTCATCAATAATTATTTTGAATTATTTTACCGAGATTTATCGTAGGTAATGATCTGTCGTTGCATATCACTCATCCAGTTCAATTGATCATTTACAGCGATGCAGAACTTATAATAATCATCAGAATCGTCGAGTAACCCCGTTCGATGTCGTACTTTGCCGTTAAGATGATTCCAAGCATCAACAACTTCCTTTTCAGTATTTCTGATTTCTTCTTGTTTGTCACCGGCATAGGAGCCTTGTAAATTAGCAGATTCTTCTTGAACAGAGTTGACCTGGCAACAGATGAAACATTTTTTATGATTTCCCCTGTTGTGACCTAATCCCAATTTCATTTGACTGTAACAAACCTGTTTTTCAAGAGGTGCTAAGTCCGCCTCGAACGTTTTATGAAGACGTTTTAATCTATCTACTCCGCTAATATCTTTTCCTAAATCTTCTGGTAGTTGACCTTCTTTCTCCTGCAAAGGAATATGAAACAGATTAGCGCACGGAGATGCAGCTATTGTACGAAGAAAACTTGCTGACCTGAATCATTGCAAGCACTTCCTTTGCATGACTATTATACATATGAAGTTGTTTTGCTGCTTCGAGTAACTAAAAAAAAAAATAAAGAGAAGATATACAGGAAACAGTTCAAGATATGCATTCATAAAATGATATGTATTATGTTTTGTGCAAATACTTTGCACATACCTCTACTCTTGTTTTCATCAATTCCAAAAGATTTGCCCAGGCTTCGTTAACGCTATCTTTATGTTGAGCAATAGTTGCAGCATCAGAATGACCAGTTCCAATTAACTGGTCGCTGACTTCGTTTGACTTGGCTAATCTTTCGTTTCCTATGTTGGTCGTATCCTGTTTGAAGTCTTCGAACTTCTGCATCAACATCTAAAAAAACAGCAGAATTGATTACCCAAGATATTCTTTGAACCGTGAATACGTAATGTTGGTAGACAAACTATGATAGGATCAAATAATCAAGTATACGATCAATTCTACATCACCTCACACTGCTCAAGATCTTGGCCACAGTCCTGGGATCTAGCAATAACCTCACGATCGGCTATCCATTGTTCAAGATCATCAACCTAAGATCAATCATTGAAAATAGTAAAGTCAGCTTGGTTCTCATTTAAACATTTCTTGTGCGTGTAGCTCTTCTGGGATTTTTTTGACAACTCACTTCTCTGAGAAGCTGATAAAGTTTATGTGTTTCGTCCAACTTTCCTCGTCTTTCTTCGGCTAAATCTTTCAATCCATCATAAAGTTTCTCAAGTTGTGATTGACGCACATTAATGGTTTCACTAGAAACGTTTCATTAAAAATGATAAAAAAACCAATCAAGCCACTTTTCTCTTCGATACGTACGGAGATTTGCCCACTTAGTACTATTTTATAATTGTCAAGGTGTCCTAGGTATGTTTGGGTATGGGTAAGATTGCGAGAAAGGAATTACGTGTGTTCATTTATAACAACATAATGATACACTTCAGAAAGGGTCAGATAAAGTAACTAGCCCATAAAATCACTTTGTTTACCTCTCAGGATGACCGCTATCATTAAAACCGCGGGCTCGTTCACCTAGTTCATTTACACTTTCTGCGTAATCCGCAATGGCTGCTTCAATAGTGTCGTGTTTTTTGATCAATTGTCCTGCACTTTGTTCGTCTTTCCCGCGTTCATCACCCATCATGTACAACTCTTGCTCACTCATCCATGCTTCTGCTTCCGAAACATCGTAGTAATACTGTGATAACGAAACAAGAAAAACAATGGAATTTTTACATTTTGGAAAAAAATTTCCAGTCAAAAAAAACGTTTTCGACAAACCTGCTTTGCCTGAGCTGATACGTCAAGTTGAGTCTGATAATCATGGGATAAGTCTTTGAGATTATCCCAACTTGTTTCAAGTTCGTTAATCCTTTCGCGAACAACCTCGGACTCTGGATGTTCATTTTCTATCATCTCTTCACCTTGTTTCGCCAACGCATCTTTGTGCGCTTGATGAATGTCAATTTCGGCACGCAAGTTCTAAAAAATAAAATGAAACTTAGTGCCGTAAACGAATTATGCTGAAATTGAAACACAACCAAAGTATCAAGCGTGGTTTGCCAAAGGTTTTCATAAAATATAGAGCGTTTTCACCTGACATAGCGGCCATGTTGGTGTTAAAATTGAAAATAATTTTAAAGAAATTCTTTTGTTTACTACAACAATATGGCCGCTTCATCCATTTTCATGCGTAGTTGATTCCAAAGGAATGAGAGAAAACGATCTGTATGATATAAATTCTACTTCATCAAGATTCTACGTTTTTATGTACCTGGTGTTTCTTCTGAAGTCGCTGAACTTCAAATAAATCAGAGCCATAATTTGTCGATTTTACTTGAGGTTCTTTTTCTCGTATCCATTCCTAACATAAAATTGAATATAACTTTAATAAAGCTCATACTATTTTCTACACTCACACTCACTTAAACGACATACACGGCACACCTACGAACACGAGACTTACATTAATTACATACACTCCATTCAGTTCTACATTAGCCACATACACTCCCTACAATCCTACATTAGCAACATACACTTCCTGCAGTCTTACATTAGCTACACAAACTCGCATCAGTCCTACACAAGCTTCTTCATTCCTATATTAGTTACACAAACTCACTTCAATCCTACATTAATTGCATAAACTCCCTTATTTCTATATCAAAAAAGTTTGTTCTCCTAAATCAACGATATATGTACGTACCAGCTCATCGTCCACATCTCTGTTAAACTGGAAGAAATTTACTTGATCTTCAAGTTCTTTACTTCGAGAGCTCAATGGTCCTTCCAAAGCATCAAAGCTATGACAAAATAAAATAAAGACACATTCAGCAACAAAATATGACGAGTGTATAATGAAGAAAACTCACGATAAGAAGTGCACTCACCTAGCTTCAAGTTCCTCTTTCTTTGAAGCCACAATCTCAGGTTCAACCATTCCATCGACCGTGTCTGGTTCGTTATTGAGTTCTTGTAGTCGTTGTCGTTTTGTCATAATTTCTTTTTCCAAAGCCTATAAAGATTTCACAATAGTTTAGTGCCATTAGAAACTCCTCCGTATTTTTAACTGAAAAGCAAAAAACACACCTTGTGCTTTTGATAAAGTTTCGTCGCGGTAGTAATATCAGTGGCCTTTTCCGTCGTTACAACAGATGCCTCACACTCCTGTACCCAAGCCGTCATATTCTGAAAATCTGTTTTCATTTCTTCGCCTTTATGAGCAGCCGAAATCTTCTTGCCCTTGTTCTTGCATAGCTCGAGCACTTCTTCCCACATTTTGTCAAGTTTATCTAAACGTGGTTGCACTTCCGGCTCAGTCTCTGGTTTCTCAGACATCAAATTACCTCCGGTCTAAATATTTAAGGAGGCTTCAGTTAGTACAAACACATCATACGTAGCAAGGATAATTGATTTTTTAATAATACCAAGTTCAAGCGCGATGATACAAATACACATGTATCATAATGAACGTTTTAATGCAACAAATAGTGCTTTTGCTTGATATTACACATGTACCTCTTTAATTTGATCCAACTTATCTTTACTGGCAGCAAGTTCTGCTTCGAATGCTTGATGACGTTGATATTTAGCACGGATGTTACTCAAGTCAGTGATTTCTTCAGACGCAGCTTGATGCTTTTCCAACAGCCAATCATACATCTTGTAAGAAGAAAAAAGTCAAATTGATTGTGTTTGCCCTATTCGCAGGAATTTATAAAAAAGGCAACTAAATACATGGAGGAAAAATACTTACTTCGTCAGCGTCTTGGTTAAATTCTTTCAGTTCTAAGAGATCTTTCAAACGAGCAAGAGCGTTTTCTGCGGACGCTCGATTGTTTTTACGTCTACAATGTATAAAAATCTTGATAGTATGGAGAAATTTAAGTTATATGGTAGCAATGTCTTCTCCACTGCATACCATCTCTCAGACTCTCACCATACAAAATACTTTAGTAGTTTTGCAGCAGTCAATGTACTAAAGACTTCCTAATTACATCTACCTTTCATCAATATCACGAGCCTTCTCCAAGATTTTGTCTGAAGCGTAATGATCGCCGTTTGCCAAACGCTTGGAGAAATCAATGACTGCGTCAACTTTTTCATCATGTGCATCCAATTTCTTACTGAATTCTTCGTGTTTCTTGATTGCATCTTTCACAGCCTCAACAGTCGCCTAAAAACAAACATGAGCATGTTGCTACAGTATGACCAATTGATAGCAATGATAATCAGCACGGCAGAAGTCCTTGTATATTCAAACATAAAGAGTTTAAGAGCTGAAATCCATAGAAGTATTTCATAATGTTAATACGATAAGAATACATTAAAAGCTGATTTACATATATATTTACATTGCCTAAAGAGCAACAAAATTTTCTCACCGGATTTTCATCTTTTGATAAGAATAATTCTTCTTTTCCTAGAAGTGAGTCAGCTTGCTTACCGTCCCTCGTGAAAAGCTAAAGAAATATTTATAACACATGAAACAACACTAACATTTTATTTAACAGCTAATTTAAAGACGTATTAGTAATTTCATTGTTCCTACTTGATAATTTAGACTCTGCAAAAGCTGTTTCTGTCTGTTATCAGATAATTCATGAAGCTCCTTCCAACCAGCTTCAATAGAGTCCAGTTGCTCTTTCAAAGATTGCTGTTGAAGATCCGATTCATCCTGAACCCATTTTGGTCCTTCGTTCAAAAGATTATCGTACGTTGGTTCATGAGCTTCAATATCATTCTGTAAAAAGGAGAATAAACTTTTTTGAAAACAAGACAGCACTTTAACAAAGAAACTCGATCTTTTGATAGAAAAAAAAACTCGAAAAAATACTATCAGCCATTATGGCAATTACATCAAACTCGAATGCCAAACAATATATATTTCTTTATGACTGCATTTCCAATTCAGGGGTCAAATACCACCCAACGAATATTTACCTTAAGATCTTCGTGAGCCTTAATCATGTCCTCTGCCTCAGACAAACTATTTGCAACATCTTCTTTGGCACACTCCTGCTGTGTATCACGTAACCTTGAAAATGAAATTAAAGAAACAGGCCATTACAAAACAATGCACATTAAAAAGTACATCACCAAATATGACATTATCGTGTTTCAACGTAAGTTACTGTGAAAATTATCATTAAAAAGTGTCTTATCCCACACTAACCATCGATGAAATTCGTCAAGATCAATGACAAACTGTTGCAATTCCCCAGATTCTTTCAGTTCGTCATCACGTTTTTCCACCTTAAACAGAGAGACATCATAAGCTCGTTTAACCGGTGAACATAAAGATGGCAGCGCATGTCTAAATCAAATTCTTGTTACAACTTACACTGGATTGAAGATCATCCCAAGTTTGAGAGACCGCTTCAATTCGTTCGTTGATTATATCTGCTTCCTGTAAATAATACGAAGTAGAAAAACATTGTTAGCAATTTAATGGAGTCGATCTCTCACGTTAGGATTGAGATCCCTAAATACGACTAAGTACCAAGTACAGAGTACAACGAGCTAAGCATTTCATAAATACAATCATAAATTTCATTACTTCTGGATGCTTTTCTGATAACTCAGCTGCTTCTTTCTTTAATTCATCCACCTGTAAACGTCATGTTATACAAACTTAAACACAACCTTCATTTATTCAAATCAAATCAAATGAATGCATCACACACCTTGTCGTTTAACGCGCCTAAATCTCTTTGGATAACGTTTAATCGACGTTGAACTGTTATAACACTGGAGAGATCTTTCGTTTCAATCTCTTGCACAGTTGCCAGGACACTCTTCTTCTCTTGGATCCAGGTCTATGAAAAAAATGTGTAGTTTTTAAGCTTCATGATGACAGAAACAAGAAACGTTTGTGATGAGCTCTCGAGAGTTCTCCTAAAGATTTCCTCCATTTTCATAATCCTGTGTGCACAGAGTAAATATATTTTATTTCTTAAATGTTAATATACGTGACAATGCACAAAAACAAAGTCACAACATTACAAAATACGTACATTGTATCTGAAACGCACAAAAACAAACCTACCTTAGTTTCCGTAGTTTCCACATAGAATTGTTGTAATCGAATCGCCTCGTCAAGTTCCTTCTTCCTTGCATCCAAACCGTCTTGCAAATCAACCCATCTACAAAGATTAAGTTTCCAAAATGTAGACTGTCAATCCTTAAAATCAATCATTTCAAGACACTTACCTTGAATTTACATTGTCTGTTGTTTTTTGAATATCACCAGCGTTAGGATGTCCATCGTTGACCAATTGTGTTCCCAATTCATTCACTTTACCAAGACGTTCTTCGTTACCACTACATTCCTAATAAGGTAGTTCATGACAAATTAGGCCAAAGATGAAATTGTTCAGATTTTCAAGACTATTGGAAGCATCGGCCATAAGTTTATTGCAAGCTTACAATTCAATACTAGAATAAAAACCGCAAAAATTTTTTACCGTTGTGAAGTTGTCAATTCTCTGTTGAATTACACGACATTCTTCAAGATCCATGGTTCGATCAACACGAAGAGCGGTATCCAAACGATTCTCCTACAAAAAAGAGAGACCTTCATATACTTTTGTGGTTCCAGAGTTGTAGTTCACGTACGTAACATGGAAGTATGGTAATTGAAGTAGTTCCCAGGCTATTTTTCTTGCTGTTATCTCACACACGGAACGGACAGACATTTTCATGTGCTACACTTCTAAAAAAAACTTTTATGAAATTTAAGGACAGACCCTTTCTGTAATCCATGAATCAATAACGTAGGCTTCTCGATTGAGTTGGAACTGAGCCAGCGCGTCAAGAAGTTTCTTTCTGCGATCAGCGGCAAGATCTTTCAGCTTAGCGTACCGTTGATCGACACTAATGGAAAAGAATGAAGTGTATAAAATTGTAATATTGTGGTAAACTAAAGAAGACATGGTTGCTAACGTTTCACATCTGTCAACTACTTCTGGAGATGTTTTATCTTCGTCTCCAAGTGTTTGATCAACTTGATCGTGAAGGGACTGGATCGGAGCGGCGTATGATTCAATCTCCTCCTCCAGTAACTGAAATTAAAAAAGCCATTTATGATTTACTATTGATCTTGAAGAAAAGCCATTTGTGTTATCATTGAATCTTTACATTAATAAAGAAAGGAAAATTTCGAACATTTTGTCTGGTCTTGTTCCAAAAGGAAAGAATTAAGATTTCTCAAAGAAAAATTGTTTTCGTACCTCGTGTTTTTTCAGCAAGGCATGAACACTGTCTTCATCGTAGCCAAAGTCATCATTGGCTGCAACGCGTTCAGCAAGATTCATCCAAGATATTACATCATTGTAATCAGCAATAAACTAAAACAATTCCAAACGTGCTCTTTAAACATGAAATGCAGGTATAATCAGGTTGTGAGAATCATGGATTGAAGGGTACGTAGCTACCGTTATGTGACAATTGTTACCACTAGAATGTCCCAAAGTGTTCATTTAGATACCTGTTGAACATTTAAACTGTCTTGAAGTTTTTTCTTACGATACGCGGATGTTTCACGTGCCGAGGCCCATTTGTTGTCAAGACTATTAAGTCGTGACGTAATTGTGTCCGAGGCGTAATGACCGTTCTCCACCATCTGCTGACCGGTAGCTTTTACTTGCTCAACAACGGGCTCGTGTCCTGTAATGTCATCTTCCATTGTCTAGAAAAAATTTAATAAAATGACTAATCTTCAATGTAAAACAAGCACAAAGACATGGATTTTTAATTTTCACCTACGTAGCTACGAGCACATTAAAGTGAACACAAAATGAGATCATAGACAACTTTATCATAGTTTGTGTAAACAGTGTGTGATCAACATCAGTTAGAAGTGAATTCATTGAAAATGTAAAAAAGAAAAAAGTCTGTTGTTGCACCTCATGTTTCTTGAGCAGTAGAACGGTAGTGTTCAAATCTCGACCATAGTCAGTTGACGAGAGAAAAGTGTCCTTTTCTGTTATCCATATTTCTTCTTCGTCGACGTCACGATAAAACATCTGCAAAGCTAAAGATTCCTCAAGTCTACCACGACGTACTTGAGCCAAATCAAGAAGTTCTTTGTAGGAAGAATCCATTTCCTGTTGATGTTGTCTTATCCCTTCCTTATCGATCGTAACTCCTGGAAAATATGCAAAAGAAAATTTGTAAAAGACCAATATCAGTTACTTGCCCTAGTACAAGTAAAGATCGTATGATAAGGGTGCTGTAAAAAGTGCGTGTGTGTGTGTGTGGGGTGAGTTTAAAGCCATAAGCAGAAGATAAATCGTACGTATAGGCAACGACCGTAGTTAAGTTTGATTTATACAAAAATCAACGAAGTGACCGACATAATTAATGGTATTATTAAATAGTCACTTTAGATGCCTATGGCTACAACCTTCAACTTCTGGCTCCATTTCAAGAAATTGATTTGCTTGGACGTCTGCCATCTTGATGCGATCTTCTTGTGCAGCAATGTCTGCTTCAACTAGACTGTGTTTTTGCAAAAGATCTTCGACATCCAGTAAATGGCGACCATAATCTTCAGACTGTAAACTAGCCTAAAGCATTCGTGTAAAATAAAAATAAGGTCAGTTCAACATCAGTAATGTGTCACTATTTACGCTAAATCGTGAAATTCCGCGTCTATGCTACAGGTTGCACGCAGTTGCAATAGAAATACTGTCATTAAAATTTCACAACAGAAAAGGCAAATTCTCAAATTCGTGAAAGCGTTTTTCAAAATGGATATGCTTTTAAAACGGTTATAAAATTAAATTACTGATTGTTTGAACACTGATAAACTCACATGGACTATGATAGACTAACTTGGACTATGATAGAGTCACTTGAAATGTGATTAACTGACTTGGATCATGAGAGACTCACATGGATTATGATAGAGTAACTTAGATTATGATAGACTAATTTGTAACATGATATACTAACTTTAACATCATCCATCCAGTCAACACCATTGATCATTTCCTGGAAAACCTTTGAAGCTTCATCACTTTTTCCAAGCGGGCACGACGCCCTTTCACCAGCAACAAAAGCTCTTCCCAAGATTTTAATATTTCATCCTTCCTACGTGATCATATCCAAAATGTAAAACAACATATGCTGACATCAAGGAGTTTCAAATAAAAAGCATATCTTACTTGACAAGTATTCGCGGAACATCATGATAATCCTCTTTATTAAGCTCCTCTGAAAGGGCAACGCAAGCGTTGATTCGAGCTTCGTAAGCCTAGGTAAAAATCTTGAATATTTCACTTGGGCAACAACCAGGCTCTTTGAACGACTATTTAGTTGAAAAGCTCACGAATCTCGTAATACATGTATCAAAGTCCTTCACCATTCTTAACAAAACCCGTTGAAAAGTCTTTACATTTGAACAGTTGGTACGTAAGTTTGACTAAATGCTAGACTATTTCATTATTTGTTATTTAGTCTTTCTTTTTCGTAAGCCAGCGTAGAAGTTAACACCGTAGAAACGTAATCACCGTATTTTATACAATACGAAGCAATCTTCTCCTGGTTAAGTACCTTTGTTTAAGAAATCACCAAAATACCTTTGACCCCCCTCCCCTGCGCAGGTCAAACTTTGTTTAAGGAATCACCAGAACCAGAGCCCTCTATAGTATAAGAGTTGGGACATCTATTGTTATCCGTTTAGCTTACGTTGATTGGGCAATATTGATCACCTGATCAATTTCCGCCATTTTGGTTCCTAGTTTTGAAATTTTTGCTTGTGTTTATATAGCAATTGCTGCTAGTAATACAGTATTTTGAGATAATATTGCGTTTTTTTATGGATAAGTGTGTAATAACTGATTGTTGAAGGCTACTAAATGTCATTACATAATCGCATAAATCGAAGATTACGAAAAAAATGAAAGAAATGCCTTTACGTCGAACTTACGAAATTTGAATGCGTATGGTGATTGTTGTGCTGAACTGCTTTTGATATAAGGTTCAATTAACTAACTCAAGTAGAGAAACATTTTTGGGCCAAATAACATTGCAAAGTTCGTGCTGATGCAGTTTCAATAGTTTTCTTACTCCAAAGCTTGTTTTTTAATCGAAGATGATTTCTCATTATGTTCTGAAATTGCTCAATCTACAAACCTCTCAATTCTCAGCCACTTCCATACTAAAACAACTACACCAAATCACAGAAACTCTTATGATTTTCCATGTTGTATTTTGTATTTTTAGTTCATCATTTAAAATGAAGTAATTATAATTAGGATATTCAATGAAACAGCTGAGTACAATATATTTTGGTATTGAATTGTACAAATGTACCCTACTTCTGTAGCTCAAAGTAGAACATTACTTCTCTTCTAGACTTGTTGATGATATTTTAATTGTAGGTTTTGGTTTATAAGATCACAGAGGCATATCTCCATAATTTCAGCTATTTGGGCTTTTAATGTATATTACAACTGTTGCTGCCTTTCTCATATATATTAAAATATTGCGGCTTTCTGATATATATTTAGGTGCTGCTAGCTTTTTGATATATATATTTCACTGGCAATACAAGGCATAGAATTTGAACAAACGGGCTGAGCTCCTCCAACACACCCTGTTTGATCATTAAACACATATAGAAGTTTTGTCATTCCTCAACCAATAAATTTAACTCTTTGCTAAATTAAAGATTGGATCAGACTCATATGCTGTATAAAAGACTACAAACAGTAGCATTTATAGCAAACAGACTGTTCTTCAACAACAGAAATGTTTCATATTATAGAAATAACATATTCATTTTAAAGAAATGCTTCACCAAAATTTTCAGCAGAATCCCTAACAAACTTTATTAGAAATAAACTTTAATACTTTATAAAGTGATAAAGGCGAAATAACTTCATATACAGGAATAAAACGTTTAAGGTCAAATGCATCTTGGTCAAATCATATTTCAATAACTAAAAAGTAAAAAAGTCTGTCATTTTCTGCTGAGCAAGAAAATTTTGTGATCTTTCGGAATAAAAATATCATGCTTGGATTAAATTGGGGGCATAAATCACTCACTACCATTAAATTGTTACAAATCTTGAACACAAATCTCTCGGACCAAATCTGCATGATTACTATGATTCAAAGTTTCGAACAAAGTCTTGTCCAAGTATTTGATAACACTGATGCCAGGATAACATTGCCGCTTGCCACCAAGCTTAAAGATCTTGAAAACTTGTTACAGAGTCGGAACATAAGCCGAGAAAACACGTTCACGTACGAAAAATACTTCTTACAATGGGTCACGATCAATTTGAAGCACGAACTAGTAAACCGCAAACGAAGCTCAAACCAATGAAATTAAATCAGGTCTGCCGCAAATCGTTAAAAAAACGCAAAGAGCTTGCTATTATTCCTAATATATTTGATACTACCATGGAATAAGCTTAAATTGCTTTCTTCTTTTGCATATAAACCCAATTTCCAATAGTATTATTATAGTTTCACTTTGCAAGTAGGAACCAAAATGGCGGCTCCGCGCTCGCCCCAGACCGTTTGTCCCAACTCTTATACTATAGAGGGCTCTGACCAGAACACCTTTGACCCCCCCCTCCCCTGCGCAGGTCAAACTGTGTTTAAGGAATCACCAGAATACCTTTGACCCCCTCCCCTGCGCAGGTCAAACTGTGTTTTCAATTTATTCCATTTCACTCAAAATAACGGTGTTACACAAAACTTACATAAATATCAGATTCAATAGCCTCGTGCTTTTTCATAGCTGCCTCAACAGCAGCTAAATCATCACCAAAGTTATCTTGAGAAACAAGTCGCTTGTTTTCTTTCAACCATTGTGTCCTCATGGTGGCCTTTATACGTAGTAAAATGTGATAAATGAGAAATACACAAACTGATGTCAATATTTATTTGATTGTCTTGTCTTTATACACGTTGACTTGTAGCTTATGTAATTAGTGCGAACGTAGCATCTCACATTAAATTCTTTGCTTTCAAAGGTAACTTTATCAGTGGTTATATGTGGTACTTACCTTTCTGTCAAACTTAGCAGCAAGCATTTCTAGTTTTTCTTGCCTATAAAGAAAAAACATCGCAGCTTAACAAGCCATAATCAACTCAGTCACGATGACATTACGGACAACAAGCTCGTTCCCAGGGCTTTTTTATCAAGAGAAAGAAAAATGAAAAAAACTAGGTACAAGAAAACTTGAACAAGACTGTTGCTACACCTGAAGTCTTATCAATAAAATATTTTTCAAGCCACCAAAAAACCATAGCGTAATCACTATCCCTGACTTTATTCACTCTTTTAAGCAAAGAAATGATAATTCACTTTCTCACCTGATCAACTCGTCTCTTAAAGCGACTTCCCGTGCATGCTCTGCTTTTTCTAATTCATCCCAACCCTGTCAAGAAAATAAAATAACTCGCACATCTATGGACAACTACAGTGGAAACTTTAGTTAGCACAGCAAAATACTTAACCTTGTTGATGTCTGAAATCATTTTTCCTTCCGGAGGGCTGTACATTTTTTGATGATTTTCGCGCAAGTTGCTCGTCAGAATAAACATTTGCACTTCAAGATTACCTTTTTGTGTGTATCTTAACAGAAAAAGAATGGTTCGCAGCATAAGTAAAGTAAATTCACCATGAACATGAAGAACTAAGGTATAATGAATTTCACCTTGGTGGTTTTTCTTGTGTACGGTATTGATTGAATTCAATCATTTGCTGTTGAACTCCAACAAGAGTGTTTGCAAAGTCTCTTTCTTGCAATTTTACCGTCGTTTCCCTGATCCATTTCATCAAATCCTCAGCGCTTACATCGTAATCCGTGATAAGTTTGTTGTTCTCGCGGATTTTCTCAATCACCTCAAATATGAAGGTAAAACTACGTCAAGAAACTGTTCATCGTAAAAGCATCCTAACGTACGTTTTTCCTCCTCAAAAAAACAACAACAACTGAATACCTTGCCAATACGAGAGCCACTAACTTCCACCGTTTTCATTTTAGAAAAATGATGATAATATGAAGACACATATGTCATGATGGATTTCTCGTCAGGATAGTCAACGTTCACGTCTATAAGAGTAAAAACACATTAACTATACAGAAAATCTAACATATAAAATGAAAGACAAGTATACAACACATACTGAAGTCAACAATAGAGCAATTCAAACGACAAAAACAGCAGATTAAACATAAATTGATTGGTACTACACATACAGTATCAAAACATCCATAAATATCATTTGCTGCAAATGAAAGCAACCTACCAGATGCATCAAGTAATCTAAAGATATTTAGTTCCCTTTCTGCAACATCGAATGCAGTTTGCAGATTTTCCGGAGCTGTACTCTTGGTGAGGTTTTCATATGGAATGAGATCTGGCCTATGACATAATTATTTCAGTAGCATTAAACCATAACATATGTAAACATAACTGCATATTCTTCTTCTCCGACCTATGTCTACTTCAAAACTTACCTGTGTTTATGAATAATAGCACAGAAAGCTAAGCCATCAGACCAGCTGGTTGTGAAGTTTGTGATGGTCACATTTTTATATCTAAAATATGTAAATGTAAAAATTCATAAGATAAACTGTACAAAATAATACATACAAAACACCATCATGAAAAGAAATTTGATTAACTGCAGAACTGCTTGGTTAAGTCTTATTTCTCAATCACACTTTCAGTGAATGTAAGGTCGACATGCATGTGCAATAGCATAGTAGAATACCATTGCTAACATAGACAATCATTTTTCAAAAAATTTGATATTGATTTACTGCAACTACAGTTACACAAATACCCTGATGTTCTTGACTGACACCACAAAAGAAGAGCATCCTTGGCTGATTTCTTCTCTTTGCTATCACTTTCAATGAATATATCTTGAATCTAGTCAGTAAACATTAAATATGTAGAACATCATATTTTTATACAAAAATAAAAATATGATGTTTCATCACTTTTACCTGGAATCTGAGAATGATAGTCCAAATAAGACCAAGGGTAAGCCGAGAATTACCATCAACGATATCTTGTGCTCCAATATTTTCCAAGTGAACCTATCAAATAAATACATTACACCAACATTAGATTGATAAACCTGAAAGCATCCAATCAAACTCTACCATGGATCTATACCTTTTGTGATTTGAGAAACTTTAAAGCTTTTTCCACATTTTCCATCATGTGAATTCTCATCCTGCCTTTTGCAGGTTTGCCCTTAAATGGTGCAATAATAATAGTCAACAATACACATAGTGATAAAGAGGCAAGTTTTGACTGTAATTGATGCCATGCTACACTTACAATTTTTTCACCAGAAATTATTTCCAGAAGTGTAATAAGCTTGCGTCCATCTCGTAAATCCTGATAAAGCTCATTCACCCTTGTTTCAACACGAACCAAATGTGAGTTGACCCATTTTGTGAATGTTTTCTTTTGTACTCGTTCACGTTCACCTAAATGTAAGGAGAGATGTTTCAAAAGAGAATCACCTTGTCTTCATCTTCTTGATCCCACTTATATATTGCAAAGCTAACGATGCAAATTCATTCGTTAATTTTTCAAGTGAATACACACAAAAAAGATTTGCACAACAGAAGTAAAAAATGTTGACATCATAAATGCCCACACATTCATGTTAGCTAAATTCTTTTGCTAGCAGGAGTTCAAACTTCCATTCAGGCATAAAAAATTTTAATATTATAATTATAAACTGTGGCATTTTGCAAATATCTTACATTATTTCAGAACAATTACAATACACTACAAAAACAATTGCAGCTTCTAGATTAAGCAAAAATATTGTTGACATTTAATCTTCTTTACAAAGAAAATATTGGCCAATAACGCTTAACGGGATCACTAATTAAAAAAAAATCTATTGCTACTTTGATAAGAAAAATAGGAAATACGATTATGTTTTTTTGAAGTGCGTTTCTGGGTGTTATTTTAGGGCAATGTTTTCATTAAATTCTTGAATGCAACACTCTTTATTAGCTTCTAGAATCCAACATCAAAATAAATAGTGTATGAAAGACGTTCAATTTCGATTAAGCGAAATCAATTGCACACAAGAATTATAGTAAAACGAAACAACTATTTCAACTGTTTACAGTATATAAAATAAACCGACATAAACGTATGGCTCTTCAGGTGACCTTAACCAAATTATGCATTCCTTCTTTTAGAGATATTTATACTATAAAAGCTCTCAAGCAGCTGTTTAAATTTTGACAATCCAAATATACTTCAAGGGTTTCTCATGTTATTTTACCTTGTAGCACTTTGATGCGAGACTTTTCAAATAGCCTTGCCGATGTTTGATCGAGAAGTTTGTCTTCACCATCGACTTGATCCCCCATATTTGACACAGCACTAGGCTATAAGCAACAACATTTAAATTCCTACAAATGCACACATCTTAAAGTATAGTTGGGCCTGCTGCTGCAAATGCTAAATTATTGTACTTCTCACAAGTCATGCCATTACTAAAGGTAATTTAGGATTTGTATACTTCGGGAGCCTTGTTGTTATATGACCGTTGTAATAATAAAGTACATTTTAAACACTAACCAGTTGCGTAATATTGCAAACTTCGCTCAAAAAAATAAATATTATGAACATAAGTTTTGCATATCAATTCTTTGATAAAATAAGTATACATAATAGGTATAAAAACAATCGCTTAAGTCCAAAGCTTCTTCGACTGTATTCAATTAAAAACAAATAAAACTCATTTACAAAAGCAATTGCATGTATAAGTGGCAATTCTTAAATCTCGGAAGAAAGCCCTTACCTGTAACGCTGAACTTTATATGTTATGATAGTACGAACTGCTGGCAAAATATGACGACTTTCCGTTCTCTTAGCTGCTCAATTAAACATAAACGACCGAAGCAACAGCGTGTCTGGCAACCGAGGGTGGGGTGACCAACCAATCAGAGATTGTTATATATATTCTACATTTTTCGCCAATCATAACACGCATTAGAAAAAACAAAATTTTCAGACGTTCGCAATACTTGTTGAAAACGAAATTTCGAAAAGCAAAACATTCAACATTGTTGAACATCGACAAAGATGAATTAGCAGCACATTGCAAAGCTTGCATAAAGCTTTTCGTAAAAAAATTCAAGACTCTTTGTTAATAAAAAATTTAACCTTGCAGCATGGGGTGCATGCTTGGCAAATTTGTCAATTCTTCAAACGCTCTCCCGTATAAAATATTTCTTTACCACCCCAACCTACATAACAACATTAACAAAGTTCATTACCAACAGAAATCTTGCACATGAAAAGCACGTCTAGATACTCGATAGAAATAAGAGTCAGTTGATGTGATTTGATACACTACATAGATGGGAAAACGCCTTGCTCTTTCTTTATGTGACGAATTTTATCGTTTTGTCAAATCTTTGGGGATTCCAAGACCACAGTTTAGTAATTATACAATAAATTCAAAGTGTGCATCAGTCAGTTTTTGGGAACTTTATTTTTTCTATTGCATATATTTTATCGTACATTTCGCTTTTTTTATACACTTCAAATGAGACGTGCTTTCATGAGTGCAAAGATTCATATTTTAGATGTCAAAAGGAGTATTTCACAAACCTCTGAAAATATTTGGGTTTCAGTGACGGACAATCCAACACCGTCCATGGCAAACGAAACATGTTTACCGTTGGGCCTCGATGCTGTCTCGACTGACAGCATTGCCGCACTCCAAAGCACAATAACTTTTGCACACTATCGAGATTAAACTTTTTCCCCTTCCAGAAAAGAGTATTATGAAATATCTTTCTTAAACTAAAGGATTTATATCTCGCAGCTTGCAAAGACAAGAACCTGTGCCATATGACCGTGTAACATGAAACCAAAAGAATCGAAGCAAACACACCAGGAAGACTAATCTAGATCGTGATTAATATCAGAGTCTTTCTTTCTCCTTTACTTGATGTATACCATATGGTTCTCAACAACTTTTCCAACGCTTCCTCTCAGCAAAGCGTTTTCCTTTTTGAAAGCCTTGCAAATATCAAGCCATAAGCTTAATATTTAAAGAGCAAAACTCAACAAAGATCATGCATAATGAATACGAAAAAGTGCATTTGGGAAGCTTTGTATTAATTATTTATTGTTTCTGGACCATACGATGTAAAAATAACGGATTTGGCCTCGGGAAATTCAAAACAAATCATGTTCATTATTAAATTTCAATCGTTGGGAAAATGATGTGGATCTAAGGGAAAACAAAACATTGTCTAATGCGTGCTTAATTTGAATTTTATGAGAAAAGTTCACGCAAAATAACGTCTATATGTAATTAACGATCAAACTTCTTTGAGGCATCGTAGAGTAGCTACCTCATTGGCTAGAGTTCTTGACAAACGATGCTTCCCGCTACCATATTCATAGCAAGAATTTGATGTGAAGCCTTCCCCCTTCATATATCTATAACAAGTAATAATTCCGGAGGGTGATTACAATCTATGCGATACAAAATACCGGGAAAACAGCAGCTTTGCAGTAGCCACAACACCGTTTTAGTCTATGGAATTGCAAAGAAAGAAACAATTTATATAAACATCCTAGGAGGAGAGATAAAAAAGATTCAAAAATGAAATAGACACGTTATACAGTCTAGGTGATTTAGTTTGAAATGACCGGCCAAATGAAATCAGTGAATTCACAATTAATATATACCTAGTGAGGTAAAGGAGTGGCGTAGACAAAGGAGTATAGCCAAGGAATTATATTATACAGTGTTTTCAACATTATACAATCCAACTTTTCACGACATCCTTTAACATCATCAATAATATCCTTCAACATCCTTCGCCATCCACGATCCAATCTTTCACGACAATACCTTTACAACCTAGCTTCGTTTTCCAGGAACGGCATCCAAGATGTTGTAATTCGTTGATAAGTTTCTCCAACTCGTTGTCATCCACATTATATTTTAACAACGAGATAACACAACCTCCACCTCCAGCCCCAGTTAATTTTGAATGCAAACCACATGATAAGGTTTTTTCGCAAATTTTGTCTATCACTGGATGACTCACACCAATCGTTCGCAAAATATCCTGGTTTAAATCAAGTAGTTTCTACAACCAAAGAAAGAAAAATACAAATGATAACTCCTCCACAGACATCGTTTGACAAGATGTCGTATTTCGTATTAGGGAAGTGGAAACAAATGTTTCGTTCTTTCTCCTTCTTAAACATCAAAAAATTCCATCTTTACAAGAACTGACACTTTCTCAAACATTCATAAGTGCCAACCCTACGCCTATAGCACAAGACAAAAAATTCTTACCTCCAGTTTGTTAAAATATCCACGATCCATCGCACCTTAAACACCAATGGCAAAGATATATCATTGGTTCAGTTCAGTGAATCAATTTTGTTTAAATCATATTGAATTTCACCTTCCTGCGACCCCCAAAGCTCCAAAACTCTTCTACATTCTAAGGTTATTTCGTGTATAGCGCTAAAGAGATGCTCAAACATGACTGGCATCTACAGAAAAATAAGTTGACAATCATTAAGACTCAAATACTTAAGAAAAATGTTCAATACCCATACACAGCTTTACCTCATCAAAACGTTCACGTAACCCAGTAACCATAGCTTTTGTGCTACGTGGTATATTTGTATTGACGACAAGAATGCGCAACTCAGGAACACTACTGTCACAAATGAACGCTATTTTTATAAATTACATTTAAAAAATATATTCAATACAAACAATATTATCATGCATAAATTTATCACTTTTTACCTGTTTATATTTTCCAATTTTCCAGCCTGAAACTGCAGAAATCCTCCTAGTGAAAAAAAAAACAACCAAAAATTTAGTGTCGTTGAACTTTATGATATTTTCACTCATACATATTGTGAAAAATTTATACTGTACCAAATGTACTGACAGTGTTATCAATTCCTGATGGTTTTCCATGTATTATTGTCTCGGCCTTGTATGCCCAATCACTGATTGTTTTAAGGCATTCATTTGCACAGCAATCCTGCATAGGCATCATAATTGCTGAAGGTTCAAGAATGCCAGAGGTGATAAGCATTGTTGTAGCAAGCACTGTACAGTATGCAGCAGAGGATCCAAGTCCAGCTCCAACAGGAACTTCTGATTTTAAATTAAATTTACCAGGAACAAAACTAGAATGACGTTAAACAGTTGTTACTGCCAAAAAGTACCAAATATGTATGACAAAGTTGTTATTGCCACAAAAGGTACCCACTATATTGTCATATGTAGAGCAAGAGCGTTTCTTGTAGCACAGTATCACTAATAACGTAAATCAACTTTTCCTTGTTTTGCCAGTTTCGACTTCAATCATGAGTATTATTTGTAAATTGGCAACATGACTCACTGACAGAATCAACCCATTCTTAAACCTAATATACTTTCAGTAAGTAAAGTAATATTGAAAAATATATTTGTATGTCTGTCATTCGTAATTTTCCCATTTCACAACAGAAATGTCACATGACTACATTCTTGCAGAAAAATTGATTGAATGACTAAGACCTGAGGTAAGTACCAAGAAACAGCATTTGCACACACCAATTACCTTTGCATTTGACCATAAATAGATTGATAAAGGTAAATGAATGTGCGTATAGCCATTAAGGCAACTGGAGAAACATCTGATGAGCCAAGAAATGCTTTGAAAGTGTCCATGTCAACTAAATCATAAAAACACATAGACATCAAAAAAATCATATCACATTGGAAATAATTGGCTTACTACTCTCACCATCTGGTGACAATTGTATATTCTTAATCTCCTCAATACTCCATGACATAAAACATTCAAGATCTTGAAAATCCAAATCTACTCTACTACCATCCAATCTTTCCCAGGTCAAGTTTGTTCTGAGATCAACACTAGCAGCCAAAGAGGCCTAAAATAATATGCATTTATATGAGTGAGTGCACAAAATAAAAACTTGTAAAACTTAGTCTTGTATTTTAAATCAGGGGTATAGTCAGGGAGGGGAGCACTAGTTGTAATCCTCCAAACTATTTTTTTCATGAAATTTTCAAATTGACGGCTATAAGTTACTTTTTCAGCACACCCTAATTGACTTGCCTTCCCTTTTCACAAATCCTGCCTACATGCCTGTAAATATGAAGTGTACCAAATATTTCCTGGAAATAATTATCAAAACATTGAGATGCACAAATATAAATCTACCTTCCCATAAACAACAGCATGCTCTCCATGTAAAATCACCTTGGCAGGAGCAGATACTACTAAAGATTTGTAGTTTGTAACCATTCTCATAAGGCTTTTCCTCAAAAATTGGAATAAGATGAATATAAAAGAACAATTATTACATGTAACACATGATGTCAGCCAACTACACAGAGCTAATGAAAGTTCACCCCTCCAGGGACAAGGTTTCCATTTCTGTGTCTAGCACGAAGGGGTACCAAGAAAACACCGCACTCACATGGAGGTAAACTATAATTATCCTTGAATTCCATATTCAACGGTAACATTTTCGAAAAACATATTATACATGAAACTTCATTCAAGGCAATAAATAATTAAATGAATATTTCTGAAGAAAATGTGCCCAATTTTTACGGCGAAAAATAGTGAAGTGATGAGCCCTTTTTACGTCTTCTTGTTAGCTCAGTGGTCATTCACTGGTGGTTATGCGTGTTGTATGTATACCATGAGCCAACGGACATGAATCAATCTAGGTCAGTGATCAAGGCAAACTTGATCTAAGAAAAATACATTTGTGAGCAATGAGTAACGATATATATAAACAGATATTCCAATAAGCTTTTCAAAATAAAATTATGATCTTTGTACTCGAAAATATTCCAAGAAAATTCCAATGTCGAATTCCAAATATTAATGACGGAAGGAAGAAAGTGGAAGGGCGAAGTCTTTTGAAAACTGGTCACTTCAGCATCACCATTCCAAAAAAAAATTTCATCGCTATTTTCAATTTTTACCAACATTAAAATATTTAAAACAGATTGCATCCAGCTGTGCCCAAGACGAACAAACTATATGAAGTTCAGCCATGTTTCGAGTTTCATATCGAAAACATACAAAATACGGCTGCAATGTATATTTTGGGAGGAGAGAAAAATGTCTCCTTAAAATTACTATACAATTCATAACTACAATTGACAATTTCATTAACATTTCAACACTCGGCAAGGAAACTCGTCATCTATTTACAATAGAACAATATTATACATACATTTACACATCAAAAACCAAAAACTACGGAAGATTTTTTAAATCTGTAGCAAGTAAAATTGGATAGGTTAAGATGGCTTGAACACAGGTCCAAATTTTTGCATATAATTACGAATGTACTCCTTTGTCTTTATTTTAACAGAATCATTGCAAGCTAAAGTGCTCTCATCTTTAAGTCGACCTAACTCTTTCACCATAACGCCGTGAGTAAGCTGGAAAAATTTCAAGTCAAGATGCATTAAAGTCATTTGAATTCGAAATGAAAAACAACCAAACAACAGGAGCTCGACAAAACTTTCTATGGCAAACAAATTTCAAAAATAAAAATAAAAGATGACTAAAGCACGCTAAAGCGTTATATTGTGGCATTGAAAGTCAATTATGTGCGTATGAAATTAATCAATATGGTGAAAAATTGGGGAAGATAGCTGAGAGCTTACTTCAAACTCGAGGAAGCAGTTAACGCCAAGAGTGAGTAGCGAAACATTGCCAAGACGAAATAGTACGTGAAAATAAATCAACAAACCTTTCTCGCCAAAAATTTAAAATCTTCAACACATGTTATACGCCCAATTTTACAATCAACTTTGTGATAAGGATTGAGGTAATTCACAACCACGTTGGATAACTATTATCAACAAATTACAAAAGACATAGAAAATAAATCACATTCACATTGTGGGTCAAGTCCTTACCACTAAAATCCATGCCATACCCACCTTAACCCTAAACGTCTCTCGACGTTTCCTCTGTTCACATGTAAGATGGCGTCCCTGTAACAATGATGATGGTGAGTAGGCTCCTTTTCTTATGTCAGTAGTGTCGGCAGCTGCACACTTTCTCATTGGACTTTTTGGTGGAGAACCAGGAGGCGTGGATGGCGAGCGAGGCTTCTTCGACTTTCTCGTATCGACCACTTCCTGAAGAACGTAATACGAGTCAGAAGTTTTGATCGCTCGTACGAAGAGTCAGAAGTTTTGATCGCTCATACCCACTAAATTCGTTCATTTCGTTGAAGATGAACTGGAGTTCTGCAGCTTCACTTACCATATTGACATCTTCTGCGATGTGAGACGTAAAGAAGTTGGGATCTATCCTCGAGTCGAGTTGATCGCCAAGGAAGCCAAGCTCTGGTGTGGGAGGACTTCGGTCAGATATTGGAGGTTCCCATTGTGTTTGCCTGAAAAGAAAAGACTGGAAACTAGTAGACATCCACAAGTCTTTGAAAAATCGCGATACAACTCCAATATAAACAAACCTAGTAACTATATGATAGTAATACGCTCTACCCTCTCCATCGTAAGCTCTTTTCCAGTCAGGGGGGAGAGGCATCTCTTGCGTTTTATCATAGGCATCATAAGCGGCCCATTCCGAGTTAGAAGCGGTAGAAGTAACCATCGCAACATTAGATCTTGAAATTTGCTCCCTCGAATTATACTGAATGGATTGAATGTTTGACATGTTAGGTAGAATATTGGCGAAATTTGCTGGATTCATTGGAAATTGCGAGGGATATCCAGATGGATAAGGATGTGAAGTTGAGTTGTTTGTATTAGCCCAGTTCAACACAGCTTGATTATATGCATGATTTTGGCTGGCTGTTTGATGATACCCGAACGGAGTTGTTTGAATTTGATATCCTTGGTTGTAGGTGCTAGGTGGGGGATTTTGAGTTTTTTGCACTGGTGGTGGTGGAGGTAACTGATTAAACCCAGAGTGGGTGGTACGGCCATTAACCAAATTATTCCACGTGGTTTGGTATCCTGTTTGTTGCTCTAGGTTTGCTTGTGATGTGGTGTTTTGATGAGGAGCTGGGTACTGTGGAGGGCCCATCGTCGATGTAATAGAGAAAATGGTTTGCGAGGAAGGATTTTGGGTATTCCATGGGTTGGTTTGTATTGATGGTGTTGTATTCGACGTTGTTTTGCCGGGATCAACTTCCTTGAAATTAGATGACTTTGTCCACGAAGGCTGTTCTTTCTCTTTAGTCGACAACTGATCTTCATTCTTTTTTGCTTTCTTTAAGGATACTTTATGATCTTCATTATTCATGGCACTGGCAACATTCTGTAAGCGTTGATTTACAGACGTTTTGTTCCCGTCACTTAGTGCAACACTTGTGTCCGGGCAACGAGTACTAACGGATGTAAAAAGTTCACTATTTGAAGGTGAAGCATTTCCTTGGAGTGCTTTTGATGGGCTTAACTCTTGTGCAAACAACTTTGATAGAAATTCGTCTTTCTTGAAAAGATCTTCGTCAATCTTTGGTATGTCAACGGTATTGACGACATGTCTTAAAATACAAAAAGTAGAGGAAGTCAGTCATTCTAGCAAGAAGCAAAGTAGAAGAAGTCAGCCATTCTAGCAAGAAACAAAGTAGAAGAAGTCAGTCATTCTAGCAAGAAGCAAAGTAGAAGAAGTCAGTCATTCTAGCAAGAAGCAAAGTAGAAGAAGTCAGTCATTCTAGCAAGCAGCAAAGTAGAAGAAGTCAGTCATTCTAGCAGGAAGCAAAGTAGAAGAAGTCAGTCATTCTAACAAGAAGCAAAGTAGAAGAAGTCAGTCATTCTAACAAGAAACAAAGTAGAAGAAGTCAGTCATTCTAGCAAGAAGCAAAGTAGAAGAAGTCAGTCATTCTAGCAAGAAGCAAAGTAGAAGAAGTCAGTCATTCTAGCAAGCAGCAAAGTAGAAGAAGTCAATCATTCTAGCAAGAAGCAAAGTAGAAGAAGTCAGTCATTCTAGCAAGAAGCAAAGTAGAAGAAGTCAGTCATTCTAGCAAGCAGCAAAGTAGAAGAAGTCAGTCATTCTAGCAAGAAGCAAAGTTGAAGAAGTCAGTCATTCTAGCAAGAAGCAAAGTAGAAGAAGTCAGTCATTCTAGCAAGAAGCAAAGTAGAAGAAGTCAGTCATTCTAGCAAGCAGCAAAGTAAAAGAAGTCAGTCATTCTAGCAAGCAGCAAAGTAGAAGAAGTCAATCATTCTAGCAAGAAGCAAAGTAGAAGAAGTCAGTCATTCTAGCAAGAAGCAAAGTAGAAGAAGTCAGTCATTCTAGCAAGAAACAAAGTAGAAGAAGTCAGTCATTCTAGCAAGAAACAAAGTAGAAGAAGTCAGTCATTCTAGCAAGAAACAAAGTAGAAGAAGTCAGTCATTCTAGCAAGAAACAAAGTAGAAGTCAGTCATTCTAGCAAGAAGCAAAGTAGAAGAAGTCAGTCATTCTAGCAAGCAGCAAAGTAGAAGAAGTCAGTCATTCTAGCAAGAAGCAAAGTAGAAGAAGTCAGTCATTCTAGCAAGCAGCAAAGTAGAAGAAGTCAGTCATTCTAGGAAGAAGCAAAGTAGAAGAAGTCAGTCATTCTAGCAAGCAGCAAAGTAGAAGAAGTCAACCATTCTAGCAAGAAGCAAAGTAGAAGAAGTCAGTCATTCTAGCAAGAAACAAAGTAGAAGAAGTCAGTCATTCTAGCAAGAAGCAAAGTAGAAGAAGTCAGTCATTCTAGCAAGAAACAAAGTAGAAGAAGTCAGTCATTCTAACAAGAAGCAAAGTAGAAGAAGTCAGTCATTCTAGCAAGCAGCAAAGTAAAAGAAGTCAGTCATTCTAGCAAGCAGCAAAGTAGAAGTCAATCATTCTAGCAAGAAGCAAAGTAGAAGAAGTCAGTCATTCTAGCAAGAAGCAAAGTAGAAGAAGTCAGTCATTCTAGCAAGCAGCAAAGTAAAAGAAGTCAGTCATTCTAGCAAGAAGCAAAGTAGAAGTCAGTCATTCTAGCAAGAAGAGAGAATTGAAGAGATGATACTTTCAACAGCAAACTTAGCTTAGATGCCTACCTGCTCTTGCTACTCACGTCTACGACTTTTCCTTTAAAAAAAAGATATGAAATGAACTCAATAAAGGTGAGATAGCATGAGATGTTCTTTCAATTTATTCCTTAAAATATATTCCATAAAATACATTTGAAAATATAATAGTATGAAAAGGTTTTCGTTTCAACAAATTCAAAGATTTGAATGACAACCATACCTTCCATTGTATCCGAGGTAGACACTAATTCACGCTGCATCTGTAAAAAAGATAATTATGATATAGTAATTAATAATTTAATCTTTAATGCGCAAACACTAACGACTATGAAGTAAAATACAAACCAAGTGCGAAGATTTCTTTGGAATTCGATAAACTTCCTACACATAAAGTTACCAAAAATCGGACGTTAAAGAAAAGTGAAAATCATTTGTAAAAACAAGACATCGTAGGACAACAAAAACACAATCCACAATAAGACGCAGATGGAAATAGTAAATTTTGGACTTCTTAAAAAGCCATCGTTACGTTTACATTTTTATCCACAACATGTGAGGATTAATTAGGGAACGGAAGTACGCATGCTCATACAATCGCAATTAAGTGGTGTGATAATTTCAAATAAAGGGTTTGAATAAATGTGATATTTATAATAAAAGATGTGAAATGTGAGACCTAACATGCGGAGTGAGTGGGTTTGTTTGTTGAAAAACTGAAGTATTTTTTACTAGCATTAAGTCCAGAATTCAGAAATGTTTGGTTATTTTTGAATAAAAGTGCCTCTAGACACAAGCAAAGACAGTAGCGAGAGATATACCAAGCTGACATCGAAATCGGATAATAAAAACGAATACACAACATAAAGGTTTAAGTAAACCCATAAAGTAAACCGAAAAGTATAGAAAGCTTTAAAAATAGAATTAATAGTGACGTAAATATAATTTATTGCAACGTCACAATAAATTCTGTTTTAAAAACTTCTATAGTATTTGGTTTATTTTTATTGCTCCAATTAAATGCAACAATGTAATGTTCGTTATAATAAGTTCCGTGAAGTGTTCTGTGATTGTTGAAAACGAGGTTTTCAATAGGATAATAAGTTTTTAAAGATATAGAAAGATCGTGTGTTAGGGTAAACTGGTTTTGTTTTGAATCGTATTTTGAAATTTCAAGATATCATTTTTTTCCGAATTTGCTTTGAACTTTTCTTAATTGTCGGCTGGACATGGCGTCCATACATCAACAAAATATCCCGGATTGAAAAGAATATCACGTTAACAAAACCAAACAAAAAAGGCAAACTGTTGTTCTAACCTTTAAACTGCTCCATTGGTTTAATAGATCAGCAGCTATATCTATAACACTTTCGCCATCACTCAATGTCGCCTCGTCTTCCGAATACTTTGAGGATTCTTCCCCAGATGATTCACTATTTCGATCAAATATCTTACTATATAAAGCGATATGTTTCAGTCGATTTTTTACCCGATTGGGTTTAAGTTCAACAATTTTCTGCTCGAATTGCTTGAATTCATTCACAGTGTTCGTCCCATCAGTTTTAATGGCAGAATTCGTTGAGATGGTTTTATCACACTCCGGTACAACCTCAAATAATTTCTTACTTTCGGTGTTTAAAAACTCGTTATTTGAACTACACTCTTGCAATCCCTTTGCTACAAATAAAAGATTCTCCTTAGAGGTTCCCTTGTCTTCATTTTGCATTTCTTTAACTTTTTCTAAATTATCCATATTTCCCGTGTCTACTTCGGCTATCGCTTTTAGGTCTTCAGAGCTGGAAGTGATATAAGCATCTCGTCTTGAAGAATCCTCCAATGCATCGGCGGGACTAAGTCCTCGAGAGTCGACATCACTGGAGCTCGTCTCTTCTTCGGGTGCTGTCGATACAGAAGGCTGCTTTGCCCATTTACGAATCACCTTGAGTACTTTTGTATCTTTGACTTGATTTAAGTTCGCGACTGGCAGATGCTTTAATACTTGTACGATCTGTGTGTTGTTTATAACCGCAAAATAAATATAAAAAATGACAATCAGGACAAATACTAACATCTACATTATTGGGGTACGAAATACGTATGGTCAGTTTTGTCATATGTGTATAAATCCCATCAACAAATTTTCAAAAATTCGAATGTGGCTGTGCGCTTTATGAGCACATTTTGTTTAAAAGCTAACTACGCCGCACGTAAGCCATCAATCGATGATGACTTGTTAATCATACATATAAACAAGTATTTATGTACACGCGTCAATAAATGTACTAGATGAAGTGCAGCATTGCTGCTTCATTTCATCAATGTGTACTGAGAAACACGTCCATGTAATATACACAGGGTTAGTTAGTGAAGAAGAAAGATGAATGTTTCGATTCTCTGATAATTGCTTTGGAATAATGTAGATAGACGGATACACACCTTCTTTTGAAGTTTTCGAGAATTCTCACCGAGATCAACCATCCAACTCCACAGGAGAGATAAACCTTGATACTTCACGAAGTTTTTCAAGCAATTTTGATCAACAGTCGCCTGAACGATCGTAAAATACAAATGTAAGATAATGTAAAGTTATTTTCGTCTATTATGCAAAATATGCAAAAATAGCAAGAACACTGGCATAATAGATAATCATTTCATTGACAAACCAAGCAATTCACAAGGGGAAATCATAAACAAAGAAAAAAAGTAATAAGCAATGCCAATTGTACAGTTAGGGCAATTAGAAAAGTTTCGACAAAAATAAACATTCAGCATAAAAATACGTTGAAAGAGGAAATTACCGCGAGAGCATCGAGTAACAAAAAACGCTGTGATGTTGTTTCAGCACGAACCATAAACTGTGATAACTTTAAGGCCTGGTTGTCCGTTCTTAATCCTTTATCGCCAGCCAACAGCTGAGCTATCTCCAATTCCAACTACGAACAAAAAAAAGAAAAGTTTCAATAATTTATACTAGCGACAATTCAATGTTTAATCGAGGCCTACCGGTTTATCATTAAATTGCTCTGCCAAACGCCGGCGACGATTTCGTCTTGGTGAACTTGATCGTACAGACGAGGCTAAATATGACAAAACATTGTTCGTATGTTAACCCAACAGAAGGTAATATAATGATGGAAGAGTTTATCATCTTACCAGATACTATGGCTTTCAATGGCATGTGTTTTTCCCCTCCGATAACCCCGAGGCAATTTTGAGATTCACAATAGCACACTTGAGCTTTTTTCCTATTAAAAACGTACAATTGAGTCAAAAACACTTTGTATAATCAAAGCATAGTTCAGTCAAATGACCTATAAGCATTTCACGATTTTGTCTTTAAAACAACGAGTTAAAGGCCAGCTTAAAGAAACAACTCTGCATTTAAATATAAATTTACTTCATGGATAATCAGTAATTATTCCCATAAACAAACACATGGGTGGATCCACAGCGATTTGTGCGTGACTGTATGTGTTTGTGAGTGTGAGGGGTAGGGGAAGGAGGGAGGATGCTATAGTTTGGATTAGACTTTGGTGGCTACTTGTTGACGTACCATGTCGGTTAGTCTTTTGTTAAATGCTAATCACAATTTCTTTTTCTATTGTTTGGCATGTTACTATTTTGTACAGAAATTTTCACCCTCCTGCATCCCATATAATAGCCAAGGCTAGGAGGTGCACACCCCTTCTCACCCCACCTCTTATTCCTGCCCTGAATAAACACATAAACATATCATTCAGTACAAAGATATATACTTGAGGTTTTGGCAACAGCATAAACATTATGAATATCAAAAACAAATAATCATACATAACAACTTATTATCACATATAATTTTACCTACCCATAACGTTGAAACTTGTAATCAAAAGTCAGTTCAGTTCCAGCTGGGATCTGTCTCAGTGAAAAAAACCCAATTCTCAGGTAACCATTGACAGTCCACTTAAATAAAAGAAGAAAAATTTAGAAGCTGTATTTATGTGTATAAAGAACAGGCTCATCACCAAATTAAACTCTTAACCAACTGACCTTCTGAGTTTCACAGTTTGGGTCACAGCTATGGTTAATGAAACGTGACTGATTCCCTTTGTAAGTTGCATCGATTATCTTTTAATGATTGAAATAGATATGGTAAATGTATGGTAAGTATGGTTAGTATTTGGTAAGTGATATGGTAAGTATTATGGTAAGACCCTACCTCATCCGCTTTTAATGTCATGAAGTAGTAGTGTTGTCTGTTCTCTTTATCGTATGTTTCAACACGTTTCTCAAATTCTTCATATCCCATCACCTCGCCACAATACTCCATTATGAACTGATGTCTTAGAAAAGGGAGAATAAAAATGCCGACAGTTAAAGTAATCTCTTACATTCAAATAGTCAATCTTTAACATTGATCTAAAATTGAATCTAAAATAAAGCGAATGATCTAAAATCCTGCATATTTGCAAATTCAGGTAGTTTTGCAGACACTTAATATCACCTTTTGTGGCTAATTTTGTAACAGCATACTTAACTGTACAAAGCTAAAGACAAACTTTTATTAAATTGACCGGGTATGACTTACTCTTTAACATCTTCCAAAGTGCGAAGACCCCATCCTTTTTTCTCAGTCTTGAATACCTCCACACGAATTCTCTGCCCGATTTGGAATTTTCTATTGGAGCAGAATTCACCACATGGGCATCGTCTATTGCTAAAAATATGAAACTGGTTAGCAACAATAACAATTATCACTGATAACTGTAAAGTTTTTTTATGGTATTAACTTGGCATCTGGTGTTTGCCCAAACAATAGTAAAGTACATATTGAATCATGTTGTTTGAAAATAAAGTGTCTGTCTTGTTCACATAGTGCATCAACCTGAATTTTTTATCTTGCTAAGGAAATTTTTCAACAAAGTACTTTTTTCACTCGCAGTGAGTTTCATTGTTGTGTGTCCATTGAAACAATACAAAATTTTCTCATAATAGGAGAAAAAAAATCACCCTACAGATAAAAATTGCACCAAGCAAATTACTTCAATAAGTTGTTCATACCACTCTATCATCAATACTCTGTTGATGCAGTCTTCACCGCAGCCAACAAAGTTATGCTCATCTTAGAAAGAAAAATCAAGTTTCACTGAGTTTTTGCATTGAATTACAGATTACAATTACTATTACACATTCAAAATTAATAAGTCTTTCCATTCGTATTACCTGGACAATATGAACAATCGCATGTCATTCGACGGATTTCTTTATTCACTCTTTTTTTTCTGAATAAGATTTTTGGATGTGTTCGTGAAATGCATCAAAGTAAGAATGAATCTTTAAAAGCAAAGAATTTATTTTGTATTTTATGAGCATACTTGTTGCCAAGATAGATGTTTTCATAGAGAGTTTCAAATAAAGGAAAACTATCTTTGGTATGAGTTGAAGTTGTAACGCCATAATTCTTGATACTACACTCCTCCTTCTGAATGCTACTACAAGAAAGATTAAAAGTAAAGTAAATTAACTCAATCCAATTCAGTAGCAATCCTGATAAAGAATATTGTAGTAGTATATCCTAGTAGTATATAGTAGTATGATAAATGGATTAGAATGAATAGTTGCAAGTGTGCATCGCAATAGTGAAATCAGAAAATGCACAAAATAACCAATAAATACTCACATTTCATTTGCTTTATAGGGGCTTTATACAACGATGCTAAGATTATAGACATGCATTGAGTTCAGCCATCTTCAAGTATCTACCATTTCAAATTTCAACTGAAATTTTCCCAGTCATGCAAATCTATATATCACAGGGTAACAAATCTTTCCTGGACGATTGAAAAAAGTTCTATAGCTCACAAAACTTTAAAAAAAAGAAGTTATTATCGGAGTAATCATTTAATTAATAGTATTAGCTTCTGAACGCTTTTTCATTTGAGCTAATGGTCATTTCCTCCGAGAATTATCGTCAATAATAAAGACAAAAGATACAATCACTTAGAAAACATACCATTCAAAATTTTAGATGCGTGTTAAAGTAAAAATCTCATTCACCTTTTATTCTCCAAGTCCCATGGGAATGTTTCACTATCCTTTACAGTTGAGCGGCTAAAATCCATTTTCCCAGCCACTATTTCAAGGAAATTACGACTTCCTATTACGGGCAGAAAAGCCTTTTGACTGGTTTGTCCAGACTGAAAGGGACTTGTTATGTTTTCCGCCCACAATAGGCCGCAAAACGAGGAAGAACTTAAATGTTACATTTCAACATGGCCGCACATGCCACTCCAAATTCATATGCAAATATTCAATATTTTTGAGAGTCTCTATTAGAAATTAAGCTGCTTCATGAACCTTTGAAATGATGTACATTGAAATAAAATCAACGCTTGTGTACAAATTTGCAAACGTATTCTCAATGAATTTTTATGCATATCGCAGCTGAAAACAATTGTGAAAATGTACATAGAGAAATTCCAAATTTGGTAGGAATGTACTGAACATCCCGGATACGCAATCGCTTCTCTCAATTTCATTGGTCAGTTTACTGCTTGCCCACGTTTTTTAAAGCATCCCGCGTTATCAATTGCGCGTGAAGTCAGCGGTCATCAACAGGTCTATCATATTTGAAAAGAAACAGTTACTATAGAATGAAATGAGCATTTTAAAACAAAGAACAGTTATTCAACAGTACTGAAAAAACTTTAGATAAGCAAAAAACAAGGATGTGTTTTGCTGTCAGGTGTTTGCGTTCATGTCAGGGCGCAAATGTATGTGGGCTCACATTTTATGTTATGGTTTTTAGCGTTCAGTTGTAAGACTTGGTGTGAGTACCTACTCGCAGGCAAATTTGGTAAATTCAAATTCTCTTCAGATTACTACTAGAAGTTTCATTTTTCATGTCCAACAAAAAGTTTTCCTTATGTAACCAGAAGTATCAACTTTAATATGTAATTAAATTGAAAATGCCCATTCGCTGATAGAGTTTTTTCATGTCAAAAGTAAAAAGAGTAATATTCGAAGTTTCGAACTATTCGCGACAGATGAAAAATGTCTTCTTATGGAGAGAATGGTCTAAATTCATCGGCGAGCAATTACGTTGAAACTTATCTTGATTGTAAGTAGCAGCGTAAGTAGCAGACTCTTATGGAGAGTCTAAAGTGCGGTTTTAAAGTCAATTAAATGCCTATACTCTTGGATCATCTAATCAGTTATTTGTATTCACGAGAAAACTTCATCCTGTTGATAGATGTGGAAGCACTTCCAGATGACTTGCAAAGAGATATTTCACAAATGCGTGAGATTGATTTGATTTATCAAGGTAATGGCTTTGCATTGCTACTTCTTTAGTAAATCAATTGAAGCCCCCCCCTGGGGTCAGCCACTGCATATTGAAATTAAAGAGACTGATTTTGCCACTTATTTTATTTGCTAGTGTCCCATTTCTATTGCATTATTACTTTGCAGACAAGCTGAGAGAAATTAGCCGTCTTATTGATGTTTATAATGAGAGAAAAGAGGGGCCTCTTCGTAAAAGGGCATTAATTCAGATACAACGATGTTTGGTGAAAAGCCAAGAATTGGGTGACGAGAAACTTCAACATGTTTCGCAAATGATAGATATGGTATCTATAAAATGAATACTTGGATTGCTTCATTAACAGGTCTGAAAATGATGATAACAATTTCATTAGGTGGATACGAAAAGTCGTCAAGTAGAGATTGAAATGGAACTGGCTGAACTGCGAAATGATCAATCACATAGTTTGTCTATGAAGCATGACAGGCAAGGTATAATGAAAGATCACATAGTATGTCTGTGAAGCATGCTTTGCAAGAAGTATAATGAAGATTTTCTTCACCAAACATGCTTTGCTATCTGAATAAAATCGGCTGTTGATGTTTTAGAAGATTTGGATTCATCTCATAAAGGTGGTGAAAAGGTTAAGACAACAAGTAGGCAAAATATACGTTCATTATTTCTACATTGAAAGGTTTTTTTAATTGTGATGGTAATGTATTTATTCATCACAATGCAGGAAACCGTCGTCGATTAAATGACAAAGTAAAACAAGAGCAGGAATCCATCAATGCCGAGAAAAGTTCAACCTTGGACAACCCAAAACCATCAAAGAAGAAAAAATTCAATCGCAAGTATGTATTCTCCTTCCACTGTTTATACCATTTTGAAAAGTAGTTCATATTCTTTTCTTGCTTTTATTTGTTTTAGAAGGAAAAAGGAAAATTCTCCCACACCTGATATCCCTATTGATCCTAATGAACCCACATACTGTTTATGCAATCAGGTAAATTGAGGAAAAGACCTGAAAATGTTTTCATGTATACTTAAATTATTTTTGTCTCAACTAGGTTTCATATGGTGAAATGATTGGTTGTGACAATGATGGGGTATGCTTTCATTCTTTTACATTGACTGTTTGTTACTCATGAAATATTCTGCATTCCATTGTCACTTTTTTACTTTCAGTGTGAAATTGAATGGTTTCATTTCCAATGTGTCAATCTAACCTCTAAACCTAAAGGCAAGTGGTGAGTAGAACTTTCCTGGATGTATCTTTATGCTGATGTGAAATGTAATGTTTCAATGAAATGTGAATCATTTTTGATATTATTTTTTGCAGGTATTGTCCAAAATGCAGTCAAGAAAGACGTAGAAAGAACGATAAGAATGAAAAACAGGACAAATCAGATAAAAAGAATATTGTCACTTCATAATGCATTTTTATCTTGAACCATTGCCCTGCAATGTGTGCACAGTTTGAATATATATAAGTAATTTGATTAAATACTATTATACATATGTATATCTTTTTACATTGGATATGTTGTAGAGGATCTTATCCATCCTATATATTTTGTCTCTTAATTACATTCCTGAAAATGTTTTGTTTAATAAATTAAAAATCAATGTTGCTTGAACCAACATCTCTTTATATGTATACTGGAGATACATAATCAATCACCTCCATTTATTTCGTGTAACTTTGCCATGTGTTTGCTTTCCTCTATTTTTTGTTTTAAATTTTCCACCCAGGTTTTTTTCAATTCATCATTTTCGTGATAAAATACAAAGTAAACGTCTGGGAATATAATTCTGTAAAGAAAATGAGTCAGTTTTTTCTCAATCATTTATGGACGATATGGATGCATCTACTTTTAACTCTGCGGTTGCACTCAAGTCATGAACTTTATAACCACTACATGTACATTAGTTATGAGTACTTACCTAAAAAAGTTATCTTTTTTGCCATTTGCTTCGCTGTAATTATCGTCAATTTGTATTGCGTCCGTAAGGTCCAACTTTTTCAGCGTCTTTAACGCCTATAGAGATAAAACCAATCATTCAATTGTTTCGTTAGATTCATGCATCTTTTCTACAGTCTTCACAATTTACTTACGTTTTCATTCTTCTTGTACATGAAGTAATGATCTTTAAGAATACACCAGCGTCTCTTCCATGTCTTAAAGAAAAAGCAAATTTGGTTGGAATAAGCCTAACTAAATACTGGCTGCAAAATTTATCGCAGCCAGAGATTCTATCTTTCATCATCGTATTCGTCAATCCACCCAAAACTAGACCCTAGTATGGTGATATCATGGGCAATAGTGTTTCCCTGTTTCTCGTTTTAATAAACTAAACTATCTTCCTTATCAAGCAAAACGACAACGTTGCAATAAATATGTAGAGGAATACGTCGACAGACTTTACTCTGGTTAAATTATGAAAATAGCTATAACGTATTTGGAATACCACGTTCCTTTTTGTCAGTTAAAGTGTGAAATATCCTAGCTACACACTACCCACAAAAATTTAACAGTGATAATAGGTACGATTAGAAAAAACGCGACAGAGGGACTAACACATTTTAGGTACGTATTAGTTACGTCATTCACTATGGCAGACAAAACCGTTCCGGCCCCCCGAAAAATATTTGTCGCTCACCTTGCCTTCCTTTTTCTTTCGTAACTCGCCTTCCCATGATGTAATCTAAGTTTATAAAAGCAAAAACGACAAGTGCTGAAAACGTTTCACGATGAAAAACGAGAGTTTCAAATATTAAAAAAACTTATTTCTTTTCAAAAGAGTAAAACTATGACAAACATTTTTATACGGAAGCTGATAGTTGAAAATGATGAAACGTAACGGGATGAACATAACTTAAATATTCTTAATTTCTTGACCTATGATTCATATTTCATTGTAAATCCCAGGTTTACTGGCAAAAAATTGCATTTACACTCACCTTAGACGTAGTAGTAGAGCCAGTTCTGCTCACTCGCTTCTTTGTAGGCTCAGAGTTTTCATCTGCTAAAATCTGCCTGGATGGTACGTAATGTCGAAAAATACTGCTGTACTCGGGTCGGTTTGAAGGTTTGCTTTTATACGGTTGTAAAAGCTGAACTCGAATACCTATCATTTAAAACAAAGTAGAACTAAAGTGTAAAGATGAACAATATCCACCTACGTACGCCAAGAGTCTTTAAAGATTTTATCCTCGCACTTAAATAGCACTTTTGGCCAATATATAGCATATTTTTACATGAATTATAAGTGTTTATGGTGTTTGATCCGCAATAATTTCGTAAAATAATTTAAGTACAAATTACCTTCGCCCACTTCAAGAACTGGCTGTTCTTTAAGATGTTCCCAGACATCTACGGGACTCCAAAAGTACGCTTGACCAAAACTGTAACTTTCGCCATGGCATTCAATTTTAAAGTGTCGCACTGAGTCGGATGCTCTCACAGAGACAGTGTAGTGTCCAGCCTCAGAGCCAGATCTAATCAAGTATGAACCTTCGTCGGAGTTTTGAAGAAGAATCTCTGATGTTTCCCTCGACGAAGCATGATAAAAACATCTGGCAGTAAAATAAAGTTTTCCATCAACACAGTTCACATAGAAATACCTAGATATAATATATTTCCTTTTCCTGTCGATAATTTTTTTGCCTTATTCGAAGCTTCGTATCCCAAGAACTTAAACATTAAAAATATATTTTAACCTTTTCCAGCAAACTATCAAACTAAATGCAAGTAAAACAAAAATGTTACAAGAAGATACTCACGGAAGACGTTCCATTGAACAATTGACATATTCCTCCTCTGGATCAAGTTGCGAATCCTGACTCGATGAATCACTCTCCATTCTATCACGGTAACCATCAGATCCTGAAAAACTCATTTTTTCAATGATGAAAACCAACTTGAGTACTGCTTATCGTTCGCCTTGTGACTGTCAACTACGGAAACTAAACGACTTTGAGACAATATGGCCAGAAGATTGTATATATTCAAAAGACAATTCAAATTTGCACTTTAGAAATGCAAATTACCATTCTCTACATGCATGATTGACTGATTTTCACATCAACAATAAAATCACGAATCGAAAGCAAGCATTCGAAAGAAAATAATTGAGAACGAGCAACGGATCAGTTGAACAAACAGAATGTAACGAATAACAGTGTACAAAAATAAATGAGCAAGAAGATGTAACGTATACACCTAGGTTTTGTAGGGCTACTAACCACGTATACATATGTGTGACATTGTTTGCATAGTATGTCGGGTTAATGTGTGACATTGTTTGCATAGTATGTCGGGTTAATATGTATCATTATGCAACTATTCAGGGAGGGTTTTATCACTAAAGCTTTTGAGTAAAACAATCAACTCATTCCGAGCATCTCGCGTTTAGGTTATTTATTTAAAGTCCTGTCACCAACGTACAAACCGTTGACATTGAATCCAATATAACCAACAGTTATTACAATCGCGGAAATTTCAGTTAAAGAAAAAAAAGAATAGTTAAAAAATATCATTTAAGTGGAATAAGGGGAATAACCAAAATTGGGGATTGCCCATGACATCACAAAATGTATGTAGCCGGCACTGAGCAAAAATGTATAACAAATTATGGTCTATTCAGATTTTTTCTTTTAATTAACAATACTGTATTAGAAATACTAAAGTAGATAATTTAGGCGTGGGAACGAGGCTGTCGACTTGATAAATGTCTATTAGTATTAGGGTAAAACGAGAGTCGTGAAAACCAAGCACATTTTAAGGACTTTTAAAGCCATACTCATAAAAATTTAAGGACAAGATTTAAGACCTTGCATTGCCTGCAAAGCACAACTTAAAAAAATTAAAGTTGGACTGTCAAGCACATCTTTATACACGAGTTTTAAGGAATGTGAAGCACCGATAGCGGATCCACCCAACGTTCGTCAAAATGAATTATCACTCCTTAATTTTATATTCGAAGCACTTTCACAAAAACACTATTGGTTTCAAGAATATAATTTTACCAAAGAATTTCCCTATAATGTCTTAGAAATGTAAATGTATGCAAAAACATGCTGCAGTAATTTATTTTGACGTAATCTAGATCCGCCACCGTGAAGGACATTCAAGTTTAGTACGAGCCTTGATTCTATACAGCATAATCAAAAAGAATGAGTTGGGCAAAATAAATACTTAATACTTTTAAAAATCAAATAAAAGTTCGCTCGCCATGATCGTAGGGGAATTACCGATGTCATTTGGTAGTTTATCTTTAATTAATTTCCTGTTACCCTTCATTCGGTTGTATGTAGCGATCAAACAACAATGACGTCAACGGCACGGTTCTGCCAAGCTGTACCGTTTTACTGTCTTATCATCAGATGAGGTAAACACACAAGCATCTAACCTACGCCAAAATAAATTAAACATATCATTACTTATAATTTAACATATCATTACATCAACTCTCCTAGTCCTAACCATTGGTCTTAACCTACCTGCTATATGCCATATCTAATATGGGCGCAGAATGACCGTGCCATTCTCGTTCACAGTTCCCCGATCGTGCGTCCCAAAGACGCAAAATTCCGTCCAAACATGCAGAAAAGATCATACCTCCCTCACACAATATCTTTGTGACACCAGCCTGATTTAATTGACATTAACAAAGTTAATAACGTTTCATGACATGAAAAGTTTGGACTACATTCTTAGTATCATTTACCGGATGTTCACATTGTTGACGAATCCGCTGATTGGTTAGGTCCCAAATGCCAAGTTTTCCGGACAGGGAGCCAGTTAAAACGACGGGCAATCTGCAAAAACATTTCCATTTACTGGACCATCTAAATTTTTCTAAACGCTTATTAAGTATTAATATCTTAAACAATGTAAACACGAAACACAGAAATGTTGTGACAAGTCTATGCAGTCAAATGGCAATCAAGGCATGCTTTGAAAACTTAAAACGTCAATGGAAAATTTACATTGAACAGAATGCCACAGACTCAATTGATAAATCTCCTTCCTGTATTAATGCTGCCTCGATACTTCCCAAAACCTAAAGAAATTAAGGAGATCAAATCAATGCAAATGTTAAAAAAGGGCTCTATGATTACCAGAAGAATGAAAAATACTGATTTAAAAAGACAGTTGAAAACTTCCACACACTTCAGTTTATTGGAAGATATATCATCTAAAAACGTTACATAAAAATTGTCTGGAAAAATCTTAAACATGGCAAAAATTGAAATTATGCGATCTTCAAGAGGTAAAAAGGGGAGTTGAAGCCCTGAAACCTAAATCAAATAAAATGAAATAAAGCAAAAAGTAATACAAAAAAATGCCATACTTTGCCATTACCAAGATGTGTTAGTTTAAGAATGCCGTCTTCTGAGCCACTAGCCAGCAAGGTGTAGTTTTCATTAACATCAATGCAAGTTGTTGACGTCTTGTGAGCATAATTTCCTATGTGAGAAGACTAAAATCACCTCAAGTTCTTCAAAATTATGAAATTTGTATAGCTTTTCAAATGAAAGCTTTATGTTTTACCTGAAACATGAAACATATAATTTGCATTTTTTAGGTCCCATAATTTTAAGCTTCCATCGCCATACCCAACGCAAATTCTTTTTCCTAAATGATCAAAAATCATTTCAATTTGTTGTAAATTAAAAAATAACATTGAAAATAATGCAATTTTACCATCATTCAGAAGATGGGCACATGTTGTTTTAGGACCATGGCTTTGAAAGGTCTTGCATGCACCATCAGGAATCTTCCACATCCAGAATTCCCCATCTGCTGTACCAGCAAACAAAACATGTGCACCATGGTGCCAAAGTAGCCACTAAAACAATCACATTCGCTTAGGAAAGACATTTATCAACCCAGTTGTAGCTAATGCAACCAAACTCACAACCTCCAAATCTGATGTCTCAAAAGACCAAATTTCTACACCCGTAGTGAAAGACCATACTTTGATTAATCCACTCATATCACCGGTGGCAACATATTTTGAATCATGACTAAATTTCACACATGTTACAGAATCTTTGTGGCCTAAAAAATCAACAAAAACCTGTTAAAAACCAAGGTTTAGTTCGCCTCAATAAACGGATGCTGAGATTAATCTTACCATCACATAAGAATTTCACACTGCCATCACTGATCTTCCAGACAAAAGCCCTGTTATCTTCACCCCCAGAGACAATATGGCTACGGCTGGATGGATCAAAATCAACAGCAAACACAGACTCTAGTCGAGCAAAAACAAGAGAAAATTAGTCACATTCATTTCCTTAAAAAAACAAGGGGTTTTGAGCTATACCACTATGTTTTGTAAATGTTAAACCAGAATCATCCCTCTGTATAACTAGGTCGTCGTCATTTTCAGTTAATTCACCATCTACACCTAAATCCTCCACAGCATATGCCAATTCTACAAAAAATACACAACAATTCACCTCAGAGTCCAGCATCATAAAACATAATTTTCCACATACTATAAACATTGATGCATTGATATCAGAATGATAAAATTGTACCATTACAATCTTCATCATAATCAAGCTCTATTTCTTCAACAATTTGAAAATCATCTTCCTCGTGTTCGCCATAGTCGTCTTCCATCATAAGAGAATATATGTTCTGAAAACTGAAAACACTTACTGCTGGGCCTGGATGGCGTGAGGTTGGCAATTGCCTAATCGCAGGTAGTTGCTAAGCGGACTCACAAGGAGACAACAAACAAGATGGCGGAGAAGAGAGGAGCGAGGATTGACGATACACTTACATCAAAGTCAGAAAGAAATGAAAATCCTGCTGATTATCTAGGTAGCTATTTTCTGTTCTTAATGATACAAAAAATTTACAAGCGATACACCTTTTACGTTTTCACGGAGATGTCCCACTCTAAAAAGTAAAAACATAAATTATTGTTTTTATTTTGATTCAAGGAAGAGTTGGAGTTACGAGACAAATACAAGAAGTGCTCACGATCCTATTAGACAATGAGCCGGACAATCCCATAGCTTTCATTGCCAAATAGTGAGCAACCAAAAGCAATTTTCTGACTGGATTCTGCTGTTGTTTGTGATGAATAACGATGGCTTTCTTTTAGCTTTGCCAATGCTGCTGAACATGTATCAAGTGTAAGTCAGGCTTACCAATACCTCTGTTTGAGTCACCATAGTCAAGTATCGTATCAAAACAACTTGTTAAAAGCGTACAAGTTATTAAACAGACAATCGATCGGACATGGATTGAAAGGCCTGACTGGAAAAAAATACAACGAACTTCTATCTCTGATTTGCAGGTAATCGTTGTGAATTCGAGAAAAGTGCCACATAAGAAATTACTGTAGAGTTAACAGCTGCATTATCAATTAGGGACTCCATAACAAAAGAAACAGCAAGTTTATTACAATTGCTACAAAAACGAGAACAAAACATCGTTAACTTTAATATGTTCAACTCAGGGGTTACTTGTTGCTTTATATTTCAAGGTTTGTTTTATACAACGTACAGTTTTTAGTTCTCAACTTCTCATGTTGAATTGATTGATTGTATACCATAATTGTGAAAGGATAATATATGTATTTTTGAGTGCATTCTTTGTTGTTTGATGCATTCTTTGTCGTTTGATGCTTTTTCTATCTTGGATTGTAGATTTTATTTTGGAAGCCAAGTCACTTTTTGACGAGTTAGCTTTATCAGAGAAAGATCAAGCTGACTACTCATTATGTAAAGCAATGCTAACTCAGTTGGAGACCAGTGTTTCAAAAGGGAAAGAAAGCTCTACTTTATGGTAAGTATGTGTAACACAGGTGGCTAAACACATGTAGTATTGCATAGGTAATGTTACACAAGTAGTGTTATACAGGTAGTATCACACAGGTAGAGTTCTAGCATAACACAAGAAGTGTGAAAAAAATGACAACCATTCTAATTTTGTGTTATAGTATTCTTGAAGCTGGTTTGTTTCTTAGCAAACAAAATATTAGTATCGAAATCAACAAGGTAATAAACCTTAATTACAGATTGATGGTATCAGTGTGTGAATTAGTTCAGAAAAAACGATGTGCAATTTTTTTGACAAAAGTGTTTCTTTAGAGGCATAATCAAATCGATATTATGTTATTTATTATAAAGCACTAATTGCTAAATTAATATTTTTAAACATGAACAAATTCATGATTTACAACAGTGTTTTTCGTTAAAACCGCTGATTTTTGCACATTGTTTGAAAAAGTGATGTGCAATTATTTTCATTTTAGCTAAAACGATGTGCACATTGCACACCGTTAATTTGCACACTGGATGGTATATCATGAACATGTAAACATGGTTATATGCACTCAATAATAAACAGCTTGCCTTGCCTTGTCTTATCTTAAGTAACAAAAAGCTAAATAGAAACATTTTTTGCATTACAGACATTAAATGAAAGTGTTTCTGGTGAAATAATGACCTTGGATGAGTTTGTTCATGAAGCATGTATGATTTTCTTATCAAAGGTAAAAATTGTAATCTCATTGCTAGGTAACCCAACTCATCAGGTTTCGTATTGCAGTAATTGACAAACACAATAGTAATTTTAATTGTATTTATTGCATTGATACTTTCTAACTACAATTTACATACTTCTACCAACATTATAATACATGTATGGGGGTTCGGAGCGCTGGCCCATATAAAATGTGTGACTGCTAATCTTAATCACTTTTTCAGATTTCTGTCAAAGTGTAATGGTCAGAAGACAGACACTGCTATGAAAGACATCACTGTAAATAACGACTACTTTCAACAAACCTGCTTAATATGGATGTTAGCTTATTTCATGTCTTCGATATACTTCAAAGATTACTGTAACATTTACCTTTTATTGCAACATTCAATCCTTTGTTGTAAATGATAAACCTGATTATGGTACAGTTAGAATTATCACATTGATTACTTTAACTAGATGAAACATCATTTATCATTTTTCTATAATACTATGCAGCAATTGCAATCACAGGTGATGTGGTAAAACCAATGTCTGAATAACGACAGTTCTCCCAAATAGGAAACTTTATTGGTCTATTCAACCAAGATGTTTTGCCAAATGTCCTCTCAATAAACATCCATACTTGACTGAAACCAGAAGCAATCATTTGTAATGATGTCGTTGCATTTCTTTTATTGTGAGACTTTACAAATGATGGCCTCACATTGGAAGGCCTCTCTGATCCTACAGTAGTCCTTCTAAACCCACATTTACCACAGACATCTCTCTTCACTATGTACTTTAATGCAAGTGCTAAGTCATTAACTTGTGACTCTCCAACGTTTAAGCCTTTCATGTTTGTACCAACCCATGATTTTCCGGCAGATGTAGCTTTTCCAAACAAAGATTCAAAATGATTAGAATGTCCCACAACTGGTCTGGATAACATAGTTTCTACATGATGTTTATTCACAAATTGATGATGACTAGCAATAAATGCATGAGCTGTGACCAACAACACGATTGATACAGAATATGTAATAGAGCATGCCAAGATTACCTGGACAAAATAATTTGAAATCTATAATATTATCACAAGTACAGTTAGAGCTGTTGAATTCAAAAGAAGGCTGCATTTCTCCCTACCTTCCCAGTACACTTCAAATACATAAAGAGAAATTGTTGAAAGTCAACATTCTTTAGAATAGTGCTCATGTCCAAATATGTGTACCACCCATGATTCCTTCCTTGATCCATAGCAATCCTGCACAAACAAAGAAATAGTTCAATTTCTTTTTCATATTCACTTCATGGAAGAAATCATAAAAAATAACCTTGTCTCCAATCTGTTTACCACTTCAAAGAACTCGTCACACTTCACAAATATCTTCCAATTCTGATGATAGCACAAGACTGGATAAGTGTAAGGCAACACAAAATAATATTCACAAATATTACTTAAGCCAACTTACAATAGCAATCAAGAACTCTTGTTCTAATCGATTTAAATCTTGTATGTGATAATTTCCTGAGAAACAGATAAAGGTTGGATACAACTCTTTGGAGATTAAAACAAAGCAAATGAAGCACATAATAATTTGAGAAAATACAATATATTCCACAAAACCTGCTTTGCACCAATCATAGTTATATGCATCCTCTTCTTCGCCATCATCATAAAGATATTTGGAGGCAACAAGCTTCAAGCACAAAATTTTTGGTTTAAAGGTTAAATTCATAAATTGAACCTTATATATTAAGTCACTCAAAGATGATGTTTATTAAACATACCATCGACACAACAAACAAGTCTGATGAACACATTTTCTTTAGATATGAAGGATTGCTTTGAGCAAGTCTTTCAGTGTATAGGATTCCCATCATTAATGCACAAGGGGATATTCTTGCTCCTGTGCATAAATAATCATGAATAAATTGTGGTCTGATCTTCAAATTTCCAACTTGATAAACTAGCAGTAAAGATATGGTGCATACCGAGAAATCTTAGAAGCCTGATGTTGATCAAATGACTTCCTTTCACATGCGCATTTATAAAGCGAACGGCAACATCTTGAAATTATAAAAATATACAGTACATGTTAGGAAGCTGAAAAAATAAACCAAAAACACAACTTCATTTTAGGTATGAGTCAGTGGCAGTTATGGCATTATGCAGAACAAATTATAGCAGCATGTTGATTACCTTTGAGCTCAAATTTAACAGTTATAAAATATATTGCCTAACCCTGGTAGTGATAAAAGCCATGCTACTATGCTATTAAATGGTATCAATGTTGCACCTGACCTGTAACTACTGGGGAAGGTAGTGTGGCATCAGCATACTTCCCATAATGCAGTGTTTTCCTAAGTCTTTCTTGAAATTCTTGATGGCTTGCCACAAGAGGCTAAAGAGGCAAAAAGTATGAACATTATTGGGCGGAACTACAGTGAGTATGCTGTAAGACATGATTTAGACATCACATCACGTTCACATTATTACACATACGCAAAAGATCCATAATATTTATTACATTCATCTATTGTCAAAATAAAAACTTCTAATATTTCAAGGTTTAAGAAATTGTAGAAAGCATTTTCAATAAATGTGAATAAAAACGAAAATTTGTCAAACAAAAGATGGCACGGCACAACCCATAAAATGGTTAAAACATGAGCTGTGAAGTTACAAAAGTATATGTTTACGTTATCATTGCTGTATTCATCACCAATTTCGTGAAAACTGTTCTCGTTGATGTTCTTGAAGATTTTAAAATTCATATTTACGATAAAAAGATACAATTCATCAAATACTTTTCAATGAGAAGGAAATACAACATACAAGACTATAATATAATTATGCAATTATTATGTATTAAATAATGCTGATGCTGAACAGTTGCAGCTGCAAGGCATTCTGGGAGCGACTATGGGGCGGGAGCGACACGCGTTTCACACTTTCACACGAGTTGTGCGCAAACTATGCAAATCATCTAATTACTTGCCATGATCATGATTATAATATTCTCAAAACAACAATGAAGGCCAATAAATACTTGCACAATTGGTTTTGCAATATCCTATAAGACTCATTACAATTCGCAAGCAAAATTCAAATAAAACACATTCTTAACCATTGTCTTTATACGTGATAAAGAACTCTTCAAATTTTAACTTTGATTTTCTTGGGTTGCACGAAATTATTTTTGAAATGTTGCCAATGTAAAGTATCTGGTTGAGACGTGTTTGTATTTAAACTCTTGTCAACAAACTTTTTTCAAAAATCATTTTTTATGATAAAGAAACTCCAAATATTACATATCTAAGTTCTACTACACCAGACAACGCAAATGGAGAAGTAATTTTCGAAATTTCGAGTGACAGCTAAAATATGAAGTCTCGAAAGTTGCTGACGTCCTTTCTTTACCATAAGGCGGCGAAATAAACGTAATTTAATTCAATTTAACATCGTTCTAACCTTCAATGAAATTTCCCATTGACTGCACCTTCTTTAAATGCTTCCGTTAAAAGTTGATCGCTTAAGAGCCTGGATAATAGATTAAAATTATTCCGCCCTATGGTTTCTTCATTTGTCGAGAACAGAACGACAAAATTTTGTCACAGATAAGTGATGTGAAACTAAGAGCCGCTTAATTTACAACATATAAACGGTGAAAACCAGTTGCATTTCATAATGATCTTCATTTTATCTGCTTATGATGATGCACTTGTCAGATTTTTTGACTTGAAATTAGAAATACTTAACAAAGCGTTTCTACAATTGTCTTGAATGTTTTAGCAAAAAAATATATTTTCGTATCCTCCGTGTAGTAAGTACTTCTCATCCTACCTAAAACATCTTGTATTCTCCGGAATACATCTAGAAATACAACGTGTGGGTGACAAATATACTGGGCGAACTCTAAATTTAGTTCATGCTATCTCGAAAAGCATACATACACGCCGGCTTGCCGACAGACATTATTCAACCAATGGCGAACATTAAGATTATGAGCAAATGCCGCAGTACTTTTCTCTAAAGATAAATTAAGGTAATTGTCGAAGTGCCCATTCATATTTTAAAATCACTTTAAAGCCAGATTATCACCCACGCGGCCACGCAATAATTGGAAGCCAAGGAAAGACCGCAATAAGTCATCATAGTAATCACTCTACATAAAGATATTTCAATTTAACGTCATACAAGGATATATAAACCTTGGTAAAACATGTTTGTCAGTGCAGGATATGTGACTACGAGCGTGCAATCTTGTTGTGTATTTTAAGTAAAACTCTTTTCGACGTTGTATGCATGGTCATTTGATAAAAGGAATTTTCATCTTCGACGCAAGCTATGGTGAGTTAAAACAAAGAGAAGAAAAGCTTTAGTTCTGCTTTCAATACAGCTAGATGGTGATAGAGAAAGCAGTAGCAACGACCTTTAAAATGTTGCGAAAAGAGTTAAGTAACCTTTGTTGTTTCTGAACTTTTTCTAAAGCATCCTTATGATTTAGGACTTCTTCTATTTAGTAGAGTTCAGTTCACAAATGATTAGCTAAGTGTAAAACAGTGTTGTTATATTGTTAGTAAATCGATATTATTTTTGTTTCAAAAAATTCTTTAAAGAACTCATGGTGCACTTATCATGAGGATTAAGTTATTTGGCATAATGAAACCAGTCATGTTTGTGCCAGCTTCGTTAAAATTATTTCCTAATATAGCCATCATTATGGTTAACACTTCAGTTTTATTCAATAGCACGTTCGTCAATGCGCGCAAGTATTAATAACCACGAAACACTCAATTAAAGTAGTTTTCACTTCAGATAAAAACAGCTAATTAATTCCCTTGAATCTTGTCAGCAGAGTTCTGACTGAAACATCCTTTTTATATAAAAAGAAGTCGTTATCATTTTTGATTAGTACTTTCCTGCCTAAGTGAAAAACCGCGGCTGAAAAATTCAAATGAATGAGAAGGTGTATATGACAGCTGATGCAGCAGGTCATTTAAATTAGATGATTAGAAGCGAATGATCTTCCGGAAGAAAAACACACAAGTTTTTGTACAGGACAAAGCGCTATCTACGTATCATCTATAAAAGACCGGAATACCGCAGAGTTTATTGCTGTGAAAAAACAAGTTATTGATGAGATAAGCCTTTGTGGATAGATAAACAGCACAAACAATATATTGTGAATCAATTCTTCCATGCAGGATACTTATACATTCTTAAATATATTTATAAACAATGACGAGAGAATAAAGCGCAGAAAAACAGGGAGTTATAACCATATGGTAGTTTATACCACCCATACAGACTCAACTGGCCTTCATTCATTTCTCTAATTTTATATAAACTGCCAACCCTTGAAAGGAAAGGCAAATTTCGCGTGCATTCGATCAATTTTGTAATTTCCTATACCGCTTGCAAGATCCTTTTGCATCACCATTTCCCTAAAGAAAAGTACTTTTCCTGAATCATGTCACTTCGTCTTTGTCTTGCATGGACTTTTCATTTTTAGTTATATTTAAAAAAAGTGTTCAGTGTAAACTACGTACATTTCGTATAAATTACTCAAGGCAAATGGAGAAGTGCTCAATACTGAAGTAGAATAGAGCAGCTGTAACAACTTTTGACCTGTACATTGAAAAATTCCTTTCATGGGAAAAAAGAAGGTTGAGGTACAACCCACAGCTACAAATCCAGCGCTATTGAATTTCATGCTAACCAAAACCATTCAAAAGCTTACTTGCTCCCTATATAACTCTCATAAACGTTGATTTTGGTCAAAAGCACTAGATAGCAAGTGAGTATATGCCAAACTATACTGTATTTATATATTTTCTTGTTTGTCAACATTGCGTGCATCTTTGCTATGTTAACGAAATTCACTCCTGGTTATTTGAACGTCTTCACAGATGGCAAAGATATTACACTGAATAATCAAAATAGCTTTATAATTGGCATATGGCTTAAAGCAAACATGTTTCTTTGGGTTAAAACACGTCAACTGTTTTGTGAGTTAACCGTCAAATATAGATCAATAAATAAACACAGTTTTTGCAAATATATCTAAGAGCTTCCAGAAGATTCCTGTCATCACAGAAAAATGTCTTCTCGGAAAAGTCAGTAGCTACCTTATGTCCATATATCTGAAGAGTACAACTGTTTACTTTTGTGTCTGATGCATTGCTAGATCAATCGAAAGACATGATTATGAAATGCATATTTCACTAAAGACCAAACTGTAGTCGTGAGTTTTGCAATTTGAAAAATTAACTGACTCAAAGGTGAAACCTCTGTGAAGCCATCATTAAAAAAAAATACGATCATTTTTACTTGAAACAGGATATTGGAGAAAATAGTTGAAATCCTATAAACGATTATGATATGTATTTTCTATAACACAAGAAAATTATATATAAAGTAGAATTTATCCCCCTAATAAGTGAGGACAATCTACAAGGAATTGGACGAACGTACGATGGCACTCTCCAAATAAATAACTTTGCATGAAATAAGGATAAAAAAAATGAGAGAGTGACGATCTCAACAATATATCCTGAAATTAAGTCATTAAAGCAGTCGACTGATGTAAAAACCATGCTTCATTCAATCCAAAGCCCAACATTATGGCCATGATGTGAAATCTCAATAAGTTTACTTTTTGTAAAATAAATATTTACAAAAAGGAATTTGCATCTTCGTAGTAAACAATCTATATGCTATAAGTTATGTGAAAAACAGACAGACTTTGGGCGTGTTAATGTATATCGTGAGTATAGATGGCTTAGTAATTTAAATGCTCATGTGCTCTAATTAACGAAATATTCGCTGGCAACTAATTATGGAAAAGAGAAAAGAAAAAGGCATAGTTAATGCCGACTTTGTGGTGAACAGGCCGCCTTTTTATAGCACAGCAGGCGGGAAATAATTATGACCACGGTCGGCTGTTATTTATACAGTTGGATGTAAATAGAAGCCGAGCATTTTCGTGTTTAGGATTTCGGAACTTCTAAGCAAAAAAGCATGTTATGAGCTTTCAATGTAAACTTGCGTGAAAAAGATGTGTAACGTAATTTGTGTGAGTACAATTTGAGTGAGTCATTTCGCATTATCTTCAAGTGGTTATCAACACGTTTCCCTGTCACCTTTGCTATGCGTTTAGAGTAGGTGGTCTAAAAGGAGTTGAGAGGGAAGCTGTGGAGTTTTAGCGCGCCTCTCTTGCAATTTAAACTACACAATCTGTTCATATATCCGATTTATATCATAATTATCGAGTTGCGGAAACAACACTGACAAACTATCACTCCTCGGGTGTACGATTTTGATCTATGAAGACTTTCAAGCGGTCTTTTATCGTGTACATTAAATGGGGGAGCAAAGCTATGAATATCCGTTTTAAGCAAAAAAAAATTTTTTTCCACTTTACCTTTTCTTTTATGGTGTTCATTAAGACAAATCGATAATTCGAAGACGCTTCTTCAACCAACTAAAATGAAAGGTACAAAGAATTAAGAAGGAAACAATTAATTAGTAACGCACTGTGTAATCACTGCAATTCTGTCTTGTCATAAGTGATCATGCCGATAAGAGTCGGTAAAGAATTGCTAGAACATATCTCGTTTGAGCAAATAGACATTGCTACGACTCTTTAACTTTTCATCAAAGAAAATTGGTTATGGAACAAAAGTCCAATAGCGCAAGAATGATGCTGAAAACAAGAAGACTGGGTCAAGTTGATATGGGGGTATCACAAACGACCGCTGGTTGTTGCGTCCTTCCCCCGCCGCGAGAATAGGATCTTAAACAATTATTCGCAATTAACTCATCATAGATTTTATTAGAAATATTTGACGTTCATAAACACCCCGCTTCGGGACAATTAAAGCAAAAGGTTTTGACTACAGCGCAGGCACAACATGACAAATGCTCGCCGTTGAAATTTCGTATCACGCAGCACATATCGATTGACGAAAATAGGTGAAACTTCTTTTGCACCAAAGTGAAACGAAATCCGACAATATCAACAAGCTGGTAGATAAAACGCAATTCAATTCAGTTTTCACAAAATACGATGGCAGTCATCCTTAAAAATTTACTATTGCTTTTTCTTGCATCGACACCAAAATTGATTGAAGGTACAGGCGGATGGTGGTAAGTGCGTGTTTATCAACAGTAAATATTTGCATTGATAGGCTCATCCTCTCATCAAAGATTATAGATAAATGTTTACAGATAACAACTATCGAAGTTGCCGATACAGCATACGCGTGTCATAATATGGAGAGGCGGAAAATGAATTTCGTAAGCACTGTTGAGCAAGTTTCGATCATTTTGAGCATGGGAAAATCACAGATATTATAAAATTCATAAGTTATATAACGTAAGCTATCTACTGGATACGGTCAAGATATTTCTCCAAAAAACTTTCACCTTCAGTGATATTGATATATCTGTAACATTATACATATCTTTGAAGAATCAATACGTGGGAAAGAAGGATAGTTTTCGATCCATTATGGTAGAAATAACAGACTTTTGAAGCATTAGAGAAATGCTTCCTTTGCAAAGAAACACAGCTGATGTGCACACGTTGTTCACCCGTTTTAATTAGAAGTGCATGAAAGTAGATGCAGGAAAAAGCACAATTTACCGGTAACTCTAACTCTCCTTACAATCTCAGGGTAGCTGTATCATTTGTGGCAAGTACTAGCGAAGACAGACCACAAGGACCAGTCAATATCATCAGTTCTGCATTATCAGACAAACAACGGACGATCATAAAAAATCAAAAATCTCCCGGTTTGGTTGATACTATAGCCAACGCTGCACAGATGGCTATCAATGAATGCCAACGACAATTTAAACATCGTAGATGGAACTGTTCGTCGACTAATCCCTACAATGTTTTTGGGAAAATTTTACAACGAGGTACGTTTGATAAATTATGTGTGCTACGTGCATTTGATTGGCTCCAATATAAGACATATTTCAATAAAACAAGCGAAGAAGATGCATGCATGAAAGAAGGCGCAAGTTGAAATAATTTTTAATTACAAAATGCGCGGCATTGTAAAAATATCTTACTGTATCGGATTTTTTTTCGTTGTTGAACTTTCTTAAATTTTTGGCTTGTCATATATGGTTTTTACTCGAAAAGGTAAACTATAATTTATCATGCACAGAAGTACTAAAGAAAAGGTATTTTTAACAGGATTATAACTAAGGTATAATGCTTGCAGTTTGGCATAAAATGTCTGTGTTGTATTCATCTGTTTGTCGACAGTCATAAATGCAAAAATAGCAAATGTATGATCGTTGAAATAGTTACTACCCGTACATCGCATAGAGTTGAAAAAACGTTACCAAAATTCATGTACATAGCAACGTGTGAACTTTCACTAAGCGAGCACTAGTTACACTACAAATACACAGGCTTGCTGATCGTAAAATTTGAAAACACAGCTATCACAGCTTGGAAAGGAATCAAACACATGCAGATTAAAAACACGGCTAAATGTGATCGTAAGAACTTGGCATAAAGGCGCAAATCAATACTTAAATACCACTATAAACACCGGCAGGAGATTTATACACCGCAGTAATTTGTGTATAATATACAAGAACCTGTCGGATATCAAAATAAGAAACTCTTTTCATAGATTTGCGTCGCATATATATTCTTCTCTAAATACTTCAATAAATGGATATCGCAAATCTCGAATTAACATGATCTTCTTCAAACAATGAATCTTGTTTAGGCTTCCTAGACTTATAGCTAAAACCAATGTAATTTGGATATCGTTGCCTATACGCTCATGATGTCTTTTCATCGTTTTAACGCACTCAGCAAGTCACCGGAAAAACATTGCAGCATACACAATCTGCTTTTATCTATGTTTTCTTTTTGAACAAAATGTTGTAGTCTGTGTATGTGTACACATACATACATATAGTTAAACACCGTGATATGTCGGAAATTCTGTGGAATTCAAGACACATTCTCTTTCCTGTATAATGGAAAAAGGCCAAAGGACGATGTTAATTTAATTGTATATATACACTGCTTGTGGACTTTGTTTTAAGACAACCAAAGCATTTGGCAATAAAACAAGCAAGTATCATACAACATACAAAACATTTATGAAAAAGTGAGGAAAAACAGAGTTGTACTTAGAGTAATAGTAACATAGTGAATGATACAGCAGACATACAAAAGGGAGTTTACTGGCCATGATCCAGAGTTTACACAGCAAGCAAATGAATTGGACGAAGGACGTTTACAAATATGCCATACTTATGATAATTATAGACGAGGCTGATTTGGTTGATTGTGTAATGATTTGTAAGTTGCTACTGTTTTATAGATAATGTAGCCCCCAGTCTATTAATCTTCCCAGAAGGTTTCTGTACAGCATACCCCTACGAAACAATACCTTTAAGCACATACAGTGTACGGCATGATTAATTTAAGTTACATGTGATCAACGTAGATGAAAACCTTAAGGGACGAAGAGCAACAACAGCATTAGTCATATCATGCGCCTTAACATTTCTGACTTAAATCCATTTGTTCACTAATCTATGCTGATTGTTTTTACTACATTCCTTCACTAGCATGTCGCGAGACCGCGTTTGTTTACGCCATCACTGCAGCAGCTGTTAGTTATTCCGTTTCCCGAGCGTGCTCCGACGGTGAGCTGAGATCCTGCACTTGTGACAATCCGTACAAGGAGGGCGTGGTTACAAAGGAGGGTTGGCAATGGGGTGGCTGCGGTGACAATATACGATACGCAGATAAGTTTGCCAGAAAGTTTTTAAACTCAGCCGAGATACACAAGGACTTTCGTGCACGCGTGAACATGCATAACAACGAAGCAGGAAAAACGGTAAGAATTAAAGCAAAGCAAGTTTCACATGTCAGCGTTACGTGCCTTACAAAACTTGGACGTATGCAACGCAGCGATAACTAGAGAGGGGAGGGTGTAGATATTCATATAGTAACTGTATGCATGCATGTTTATGACTCGTAAGAGTACAGAATTGGCGCAAATTTAAGATTTAAAAATAATGATGTGAATGAGATTATACGCGATGCTTTTCTCATTTCTCCTACACAATTTTAAAACCGTCTGTCTGTATTCAGTACGGTGATAATCCATATTTTAAAAAGTCGATCATCACGACGTACTTTGTAAAATTAATATGCTCTACAAAACATTTCCTTAGAAAGGATACCTCAGTAAGCGATTTATTCAAATGTAATACAATAAGACCTACCAGTATATTGTTAAATCTCTGAAGTCATCATTCAGTCAGCATTTCAATCAATTCCATACATCCTATAACAAAAGAAACGTCATCATTGAAATTTGGCAAAAGATAATTGTTTTACAAAAATGTTGAAATTTGAGAATGAAATTTTAAGTCCAAAAAGATAAGGATCAGACGCGGTGGAAGCATAACAGAACGATTTACAAATCAATTTTCGCCCTAAAAAATTAGTCATCACATTAAAATTTCCTGCACTTATTGAATTAACTTTAATCGAAAAATATGTTATTGATCAATGTTATCAAAATTATTTTCTGGGGATTCCTGTATCATCTGTAAAACTTTATAAAAAATCGCAGAAAATCAGACATCAACCCAGCAGGAGATAGATATAAATATAGAAAGTATTTAAAATATGGAGGTGTCAATGAGTGAGGCTTGCAAGGGTACATAAAAGAAAGTTGAAAGTATGTGATCCTTTCAAAAGAAAATACTTACACAGCTTTTGATACAAAGAGGGAAAATTGTAATGCATTTTCAAATGAATAAAAAATGAACAAATTGCAATTTTATTCTATACACTGCTTAAATATGAAAGTTTTATTGTATTAGTTTACGATTACAAAGAAATAGAAAAATATACCTTCATGACCATTGCCTACCTAGTTCTACCTTGATGACCATTGTCTACCCAGTTATACCTTGATGACCATTGTCTACCCAGTTATACTTTGATGACCATTGTCTACCCAGTTATACTTTGATGACCATTGTCTACCCAGTTATACTTTGATGACCATTGTCTACCCAGTTATACTTTGATGACCATTGTCTACCCAGTTATACTTTGATGACCATTGTCTACCCATTTATACCTTTGATGACCATTGTCTACCCAGTTATACTTTGATTACAATTGCCTACTAAGTTATACATACCATTGCTTAAGCTCCATGCAGTAACAAACTTAGAAACACTACCTTTAATTTACGATATAAAAAATTCAAATAATACAGCAACAACTGCAAATATAGTTTTGCAATCAATTGTAATTTTAAACTACAGGCTGTGAAAAACAACATGGTTCGTCAATGTAAATGTCATGGCCTGTCACAGCGCTGCACCGTGCAAACGTGCTGGAATCAAATCCCAGAATTTAAAAAAGTTGGTAGAGTATTGAAAGAAAAATTTGATGGCGCATCGCGGGTCGAGTTGGAGCAAAACAGCTCCGGTAGAAGAATTACTTTCACACCTGTCGTGAAGAATCACAAGCCACCAACTAGAGCAGATCTAATTTACTATGAAAACTCGCCAGATTTTTGTACAAAGAATTCCAAAGTAGGCTCCTTGGGAACAGTGGGACGGGAATGCAATAGTACTTCCATGGGAACGGATGGATGTGACCTGCTGTGTTGCGGGCGCGGATCTCGACACGTGTATAAAACAATAAATCGACCATGCCACTGTAAGTTCGAATGGTGTTGTAAAGTAAAATGCCAATCTTGTCCCGAAAGAACAAATATCCACCTGTGTTTGTAATGTCTTGAGACCCAGAGATCTGTGATACACAAAAGATCACTCAATAGAAGAATAGCAATCTGCAAACATGAAACGATGACGAAGGATCTACTCATATTTTATAAATAAGGTTCAGGTTTGTGTGAACTGTCTAATGTAAAGTTAATAAGAATATATAAGTGCAACAAATAGACATTGAAATTGCCATGTAGTGCATGCATTCAATAGATTATATATTTATGCTGATGTAAGTTATTTTTTATACTCTAAATTTTTCTAAGATATAAAATAGACATTTTAGAAGTACAAAGCAATTTCAGCGATCATGAAAATACATCAGTTTAGAAGACTGTAATGTCAAATCTTCGGAATTCGAAAATCAGAAACCAAAAGACTGTTCACGACACAAAAACCAAAAAGCTGTTTAGTAATATTTTAATGTCTTTCATAACAATTTTTTTCGTTACAAAAATTCTTGCAATTATATAATCATATCTTAATTATGACTAAGATAATATATCAAAATATATCAGTTGCTATAACATTTGATGTTAGTAAAAACGATGGATAACTATTGAGTGACGTTTCAAGAAAGTGAATCAAAATGCATTTGCTTTATTAACTGATTAAAATGAAAATCCACAGTAGCATTAGCTTTTATAAAATACAATCTAAGATAGCATTTCACGCTAAGTTATACATATAGACTCAGTCTCTTTAATATAGACAAACACCTCTATAGAAAACATATAAAATGGCTTTATAAGCTCTGATAAAATAATACTTTTTTCTGTGTTCGATAGAGAGATAAAGGTGCTGCAGGTTACCTTAGGTGACATTGCAACTGTATCAAACAACACGTGTTTTTTAAACTTTAACTTTATATATCCAAGAGAACAAGAGCTTATAGCATTGGTTCACACGATACACAATCGATGGTCAACTCTGAGGACACATCGTAGAAACATAACAGGATATATCCTACGTGTACAAACAGCATACTTGCACGAAATCTGAAATTCTTTTCACAAACATCTGTGAACTATCTTTCTCACTTTACAAGTTTTACATTTCACAGAACAACACCAGCGAAACACACAATCACAATAGTTCTCCTCGTGCTCAACTCTCGCTTCATAATTTCGACTGCAACACATAATGTCACAACCTTCCGTTCCCATGGAGGTAGCATTGCAGTATCGACCCCGTGTTCCAAATGAGCCGAACAGGGGTCAGGTTCGCAGAACGATGGAGCATCCATTGTATACAGCAAATCGTTAGGGGTTGGTGCCTTCATCGAAGCCTCGGGAACAATGTTTTCTCCTTTATTTCCAAAAGAAACTTTAGACGCTGAATCGAATTTCTCTTTTAAAAGTTTCCCAACAAGGCTAAATGGAGGCATAATCAACCAACAGGCTTTCTGCGTGCATGCCCCACTGTAACCGAAACATTTGCACGTTTCGCGCATCTTCTTTCTTAAAGCCTGGAAAAAATATGAAATACAAGATAGCAAATTTATCTAAATAGCTAGAACCGAAAATTTATATCATGCCGAAAAATATCTAAAAACAATCATGGTGTTCACTGTTTTATGGGAAATAGATTTTTAACCTAAAACATTCAATACACTGACGACAAATAGGATTAACATTAGGATATATCATTTCAATAAAGAATTTTAATTGGCATATTTTATAACGATTACTAAACCACGAAAATGTTTCGACATTAACTGAGACATATCAAAATATTTTTTTAAAGAATCCTCTGCATGCACACGTGAATTACAAATTAAAATAGTTGAAGACGTGTCGACATAATGGGCAACGATTAACCTTGACATATATCCCACTCATGACGCGTAAACAATTGTCGAGAGAGTTATTCGTTGATGTTTTTTTATTAACTGGAGCAAAAGTATTTGTAAAAAGCATTTTCATAAACGCCACGAATCTGTTGCCAATGAATTATGAAGTGTCCTACAGCAAGACAGATTAGTGATATCGGCATATAAAAGAAATTACATAACGAGACTGGGATCATTAGACTTGAAGAATTACAAGAATTCCATTGCTTCAAAAAAAAATTGTGAAATAAGAGGCGATAGGAAATACAAACAATTTGCCACTTAAAATTAATATGATCTTCTTAAGTGTATTGAACAGGATGCAACATCTTGTAAAATGGTTAATATATACGATTACAGGAAGCCGCGAGCAATATCCTTGAGTTATTTTGAAGTGTTTTCAAGGAGTGGACGCCCCGGAAAACAAGTCTAGCTGAGGAACACTTTATACAAGAAAGTGATTTGCATGTGGCTTTTGGAAAGCCATTCTCATGAACCCAACTGTAAGCATACGCTATAATTATATGTCATTATAGAGGCAATTAAGGAAGGCTACGAACAATTTAAGAAATCTAGAAGGTGTTATAAATAACAAAATGTTCTAAAATAAGAAAATAAAATCTCAATGTTGACAAGAGAACACAAATTTCACATTAAAAGTTGCCATGTTGTGATCAATAAAAACCAATAAATTGCTAAAGCTTGCGTTCATCGAAAACAAAAATCTCCCATTAAAAAATGATCCAACGAGGAAGAATTTGATCTAAGAATTTAATAAGCATCTGTTTTCAAAATAAACGACAGCAACGGGAATTCAAATCATCCTTTTAAGAAAGAATATATCATAAAGACATGTTTTAAAGTGAATTTTTGTCTGAGTACTGACAAATAATGGATGCCATCACTTCAAGCAATTGACATGTTTTCAAACGGTAGCAAAAATCACGAGGAAAAAACAGATAAGAACTATTTATTGCATTACTTTAACGATAGGAAAAGTAAAACGTGATATAGAGTTACCAAACGAGTAATCAAGAATAACTACCGTTTCAAAGGTCGTCTAACAATCATGCTTGACCACTTTTCAACGAAGACGAAATTTAGAAAAACAAATATCCTCAAACGAGATTGATAGAAACGCTTGGGAAAATCCAAACTCTTTTTGCACTGAAGAGCCCGCAAGTATTGAAGTGTTGCAAAAAAAAGAGAAAGGAGTAATCTTGATGAAATCTGAACGTGGGCAGTATAATTTATGAGATCAAGTTCATGACCTCCATCATATCCTACCTTCCTTCCAGCTTCGTAATTCCACCGTATTAGCTTCGTGCGAGCATCGAGATCAGCCGATTTATCGGTGAACACTGTTCGTGAAATTTTTTCCCCAAAGTCTATATTTCTTTGACACACGCCACTCACTTTGAATCGTTCCACAATCCTCTTTTGAGCGATAGTTCTTGAGGATGGGCTCATACCTTCTCTGTATGCATATGGATCACAGGCGCACGCTTTTATATCATCCAATGAGCATGCGCGAGTCACGGAATATGCAACACCAGCAGCATTGAGAGCCAGTATGAATGCAGATTCACGAATGTCTAAAAGTGGAACACATCGAGCATTATGTATCAACTATTGTTATTTTAAAGTCGAGAATGTTTTTACGCCATGTCAAAATTTCAAATAAAATATGCTTCGAGCGTTTGAAACAAACTGTGGAACGACAATAATGGAAAATGCAATGACACAACCTACGTGCAGAATCGTGCAGTTATTTATGCTGGAAAAAAGGTTTATTCGTGGTTCAGTAAACGCCTATAGGTTTCTAACAAGTTGAAAAGATAACGTGATTATTAATCGTTTTAATCGCATTCTGTGTAAAAAGCCATATCCGCAGATGATGAACACGACAGTCAGTTAAGCTTTCTATCTGTCAGTATTTCTAATAAAAATAATTTGCTAACGCTGATACAAACTTTTTACATTTTTACAGGGGGATAAAATCCAAAGTGTCATAAAGGTGAAAGACACAAACCATAAAAGAATCATTCTCTAAACTAAACCATAAAACATAAGTGCTCATACACACATAATTATACAGGGAACAAAATAATAAAGGGAATAATTTGTGAACATACAACACATATCAAGTCTTCATAAAGTTATTACAAAGTTCAATACGACATTTCAATGAAGGTTAATGTTATTTCCATGCGTCACAAACGTAAAGTCACTTTTGTATAAGTCCATATTTGGATACATGTTGTTATTTCATTAGAACATTAACAATAACATAGAGAGTCTAAGCTGTGTACCGATAATGAATGCATTGAAACCATGCAGTTTCTTTATACTATTCGGTCATCGAGCAATGAGCTCCAAGGTAGATAACTGGGATGAAAGAAAAAGAGAAGAGGAGAAATGAGTTTTAGATGCATAAAGCGTTTGAGCTCGAGATTGCAAGCATGATATTAAAAGTAAGTTTCTTGATTGCTTTCAGAAAAGCATCGTGAGTTGAAAACTTGAATCAAACAAAAGTTCAACACAACTTTACTCAAGCATAGCTGACTTTAAGTTTAACATCCAATATTATTCACTTTCAGAAATAAATGCAGTACAGGGAACATCCAGAGAATTATTTCATGACAATGGTGTGAATTTGAAGGGGCATACAAACACCACAAAGTATTAGAGGACAAATCCAATTAACCATAATCTATTATTTCCCATTGCGATTCAGCAGAACTTTTTAATTAAAATGTGTCACTTTTAATTAGCAGCATGATAAACAGATCTATCATCAATATGTTGCAGCAATTTTTTACATTGCAGCTATGTACAATATACAAATACCAACACGAACCCAAAAGAACACACGTGTCGACAACAGATGTGAGGACAACGTTGATGTTGCGTGCAGGAATGAATGTGCCCAGCGGTTAGAAAACGTCAAAGAAAAACAATTTATAAAAACGTGCGTACTTACAGCAACTTGTCCTATTGAAAACAGTATGTGTCAAAACGGTTTTAGTCGGTGGTCGATAGTTTGATAACATAATATTGCTCAGATGTATTCTGTGAATGTTTATAGAAGTCTTTTGGCATGTGCACTGCACATATAGATGGGACGAATGCTATCCAACGGTGCGTCTATTCTTAGCTTTATGATGTTTCTTTTTTCAAAAATGCTTTTCTGAAAGAACTTGAGTTTAGCCAATATTGCAGCGCTGTGATGATCATTTAGCAAATGAATACAACCGTATAGTCGAACATTAGTATTGAAAAAAGAAAAAAGATAATATAAACTGTCGATAATGTTAGCGTGACAAAAATTCACTCAAACACTTTATGAGAACACGATTAAATTCACTCAAAACGTATAAGAAATTAAATTATTGAATTCTCTCAATATTTTTTTTCAATTTTTGCAATCGACTTCCTAACAACTAACTGCCCCATGATTTCTGCAGGAATTTGAAACCTCTAAGTTTGCTCATAATCACAGTTTTTAGGATTTTCGTCTGAGGCGCAACGAAGAGGGGAAGGCGTTGGGGAGGATTAGGGGGGGTATTACACCCTCTGAAAAGATCAATGAGTAAAATCGGATAAAACACGAAAATAAAAAAACACATTTCTATATGATAATGAAATCAAGTAAGAAACGCAAACTATTTTCAGCACGGGGTATCCCTTGAGAAACCAACAGACATAACTTGCTTTCCTGCTTGACCTTAAGTGCCCTTATGCTGGATACTACGCGTTATTCAATTTTGTGATTATTTCAAAAATGGCTGTGAAATGCTTGACCACGCCCACCGAAAGCACGCCCATTTTATGGGTAAAACTTAGACATCGGCACCCCCCAAAATGCGATGTGCTAGTTAAGCTCTGTTCTTTACTGCAGTTTGTTAAGCATGATTATATAGTAAAATTTTGCTAATAAAGAGACCATTTACGACTTAACGCCTGATGATCCTTAGGAAATGTGAATAACAATGTATTTACTTTTAGATTTAACTGCGGATATAATATGGTTGTTATCTTTAATCTTCAAAGTTATCGTGCAATGTTAATGTTAGAAATATCTGTCGATTTTTCTTGACACAATGATAGCTCTTCTGTAAGATAATACAGCGTCGCGCTGTATATGAAGTCAATCAAATGGCCGACTACTGATTAGAATCGAAAAAAAATGAAAGTTAATTTCAGCTAGTATTTAAACGTAACCAATGCACGCATGGCTTTTAGAATAATGGCAATGCACACTTATGTAATATCCGTTAGCACTACAACACTATTAATTTACAATAAGCTCACAAGGATCTTTGCATGTGATACATTACCCACTTCAAACGTGAAGACGTTTTTCCGTCTCTGTTTGCCGGCGTTCGGGGACGTCAAGGCACGAGCCCGACATCTCGACGTATTTAAATATGTACAGATTTTAAAGGAACGGAAGATGTCCAATAAAGACATGCGTTCTGCTGGAAAACTTGCGAATATGTGAAACATCAATAAACGAATGTGGATCACGAACGTTTGAAAGGGAATCGTGACAACTTGTGGTGAAGTTTAAATGTCGAATAACCCAAAGACTCAAGCAGCGCAATGATACATATGTAACATATCCACTTAGTGTGGTAATATAAGATGAAATAAGTAGTCGTGAAGTTGAATAGCATAACAGCCCTACACAAGTATTGTTTTGTCCGAAGCGAAATTCTACATTTTGATAAATATTATTAGACGGAGGATAAATTATCGCATGCTATAAATAATTATGCTCACGTAAAGAGACGAAATTATCAGTTCGTCATTGTAAATATATACAGTAAAACAATGAAAGGGGTTACGAAAGAAAGCTCATGAGATAAAGTTCGCTTTCTAGTTCATCTTGAATACGTGATATTATTATATGCAAAACAATCTTTCATTGAATATAAACAAATCTTTATATAACTGTATATATTATACACAATGTTCACCACAAATGGGAGATTGTTTATTTATTTTTCATAATAACGGAGGTGACTTTTATCGTGTAACATAATGAGCTCAACTTCATCTACATTGAACATTAATTCTCAAGGGGAATACACGAGAATAAGGTATTTATCATTCACGAGAGGGTAATAATTTCTATAACATGAATTGTACAACATGACGCAAGAAAGTTAGAAGACAACATACCTTTGCCTATGATCTTTTCAATAGCGCCTCCCTTCTCAGTACAATTCCATCTTCTGTTCTTAAACTGATTTTGGCACTCTCTCAAGGAAAGTACTAGTCCTTCCATTACAGAAGGAATCACCTCACGATAGTTTCGACATATATCGTTTCGACAAATGCTATTTCGGCTGAATGTGAGGAAACTACACGAAGTTGTATTTAAATAAATGTTAACGAGGAAAGCAATGAGAGACAGCGCACAAATAGACAGACAATGTATATCTATTTCACGAAGTCTTAACAAGTACATCACAGGATTAGCGATGATATAGATAAAGATGAAGTGCGTGCGAGAATATAGAAGAGTATATTTATAACATGAAATTTATATACAATAAATGAATATGCAAGATTAAATGACCGTATCTCTTACCTCCGAAATGAATAACCTTGGACGTGCGTGAACAGAAGAGAGGAAATACACAGCAGTAAAACTTGTGTCATCGTTGGGATAATTATATGGAGGGGGTTTTCAAGTAGAATCGATATATTTCATATAATAGCCAATAGGTTTAGAGTTCTCCTGCGTTCAACAAGCTCATATACACACGAGTCATGAACGATTGACCGAATACAAACAAGTCAATGACTTCACACGCAGGGTGCCACACATAGTCATTTGGTGCAATTTGAATGTTGTCAACAATTATAGAAATATTTAGGCATATAAAGACCGTGGGGCTAGATCCTATTAATAGACGACTTACTCGACACCTACGAAATTATCAAATTAAATTGCTTTCGCCAAGATAACTGAGGTATGTTAAGAAGACTGAAGTCGATTTTCAGCGTCATTAAAGATAATTATCCCCAAGGACTCCTTTACTTTAAAAACTTTTATATTTCTGGTAGAAATTATATGCATATGTAGGCTATAACAAAAATAAACAAATCTTTAACAAATGGAAGAAAATGTCTACCATAATAAAACCCTAGCTTAATTGTAGGAGCAAGCAGTTTTCTTAGATAGAATATAACATTGATTGTTTGTTATTCCGCCTCTCTTTATGTATGTAGATATACTGCCATTTGCCTTGTAGCTGCAACAAGTAACTTTCATGAAAAGATCAATAGTGTAAATAGTAAGATATACACACGTCTATGCAAAGAGATATGTAGTTTGATGTTCGTGGCATAATAAAAACAAAATGATACACATCTGAGAAAATAAATGACAACGTACTTTGCTTCTATAAGCTATTACCGAGTGCTTGCTATCAACATTCACCGACGACATATGGAAATATTGACAAAACTTTTTGGAGCCGCAAAATTTTGTCAATCACGACTAGAATGGTCACTCATGATTATTTATAGGATATGTTTGTGGAAGACTTTGACGTTTTCAATTATGTCTCGTGCGCAAAGAAATGTTTTGCAGAAGTGTTTTCTATAGTTAAGTCTATAGAAAATGTAAAACAGATATCGTAGCAATCATTATAAATTTTACGTATACGTCATAAGGACGATATACTTAACGATATCTATTTATCTGTATGATGGATCTGAAGCCATTTTCACATGTATTTTTCAAACCTGACTAACAAAGTTACGTGCTGACTTGAGAACACCTCCCGAGCGATAAATACGTACATTGAAAAACAATTCTATGAAACAGCAGCAAGCTGAGCATGTTATGAGCGATATATACAGAAATCTTGTATATTTAACATAATCGTATTCAAATTGAAGGCCATCGTTTGAATTTTTGTCTCAGCCGGTGGTTCCATGTAAATTCTCTAAGACGTTGCCAAAATATTAGAATTACAAAGACTGGACGTAAATCGTCTTAGAGGCCTAAAGTTACTGACGTACAAGCAACAATTATGATCGTATGTATACAAACTTCGCAAATGTTTGGCAGTCGTAAATGAAATGAAATTTTTACTGTGCTTTTTCACAGTATCATTAGTAAATAAAAAACTTTGTCAGTACCATCACGAGATCACAGTTATTGACTGGGATTTTAGCAACATAGGACTTAGCTTTTTATGAAGAAGAATAACAGCTGAGAAAAATACCTAACAATGTGTGCATTCAAATGAAATAACGTCATTTACGCCTTTTTTTCTCCTCCATAATCCAAATTTGAAAAATTTAGATCAGGCCTTTGGGCAAGACGCGTCAGTGAAATTAACACTGATTTTCATTTTCATGCCGATTTAGACAAACCGATTGAACCTTAATAGTCTCAGCTGTCCATTGTTCCGAGTAAACATGATGTTATTAATACTCTGTTCCCGTATAAATATAGAAACAATCGCACCGAAGTATTTGTGTGAAATGAACGTGAGATATGTTGGAATTCCTTTATGATTATTATGATGCGTTTCCTTCTTTATTCATAATAATAAAGAAACATTTGTTTTGATGTATTCACGAGCCAATATTTTCTTTTCATTTGCGCACAAACATCCGGGCTCTTGAATTATATCTAAAGTGTTTATAACCGCAACCATTGAGTTCTATAATAACTGGAGCGGCTATCTTTACTGGGGCGAGGTCGCCAAAAAAATGGCGGCCAACGGACGTATTTCCGCTGAAATGATCGCTTTGCAGAAAAATAATATTCTCGACCTCCCCCTGGTGTCTATAGTAAATTATAAAAAATTTTTCAAAAACAAACACGATATCACAGAATATTGATATCGTTAGTTCCATATTCTGTGACGATATTTTTTTTGGCATTTCTTTTATAATGCCAACACTTCAATCGTTCAATTGTTGGATGTCGTAGTTTCCACAAAAAGGAACATATCGCTTCTCACAGGTGAGGTAGTTGTTTGTTTTGTTAGTCCGTCAACGATTGAAAAGCAATTATACATTCACTTGAAAAGCCATAAAAATACATAATAAAGATCGTATTTTTTAAGACTGACTTGAACGCCAAATATACTGATGTTTTCCTGTTTTTGTTTATAAAATTCTGCATACTTTTCTGTCATTTGTTTATGCATGAAGTCGTAAATTTACCCATCTATTTGCAAAATAGTTTCCCTAAAGCAAAAAAGACCCTGCACACATTTTGCTCTGTGAGTAAGTATCAAAACGAAATGATCAGCCCCAAGAGTACCCATGATTTGGAGCAGAGCTTCTATTTGCTGACAACATGCAGGGAAGACCAAGGAGTAAAGATGACTGGAAGATGTTATTGACCATGCAGAGTCTTAAAAAAAAATGATAATGCTGTAAAGATAATTGATTTATTGTCTGCCCTATCCAGAGTTATTTAATTTGATCATGGTCAAATTCTATGGATGGAGACAATGGATTCACTAAGGATGCCTTGAATGCTTTGAAGTTAAAGTTCATAAACCAAAGAAAGATGGCAAGAAGGTTGTGTGTGTTTTGATGCTTAATGAATTGTCAATTCACAAACATATAAAATGGGAAAGCCATAAAGTTTGTGTCTATGTAAACATTTGTACTGAGATTGATGATGACTTGATGCAGATGTGAAACATCAAACTGTATAAGCCATTGGGTTTTACATAACTTAATGTTTAAATCATGTCATATCTTTATCAAAATATTTTAGTTGAGTGTTGTATAAATGTTACTAATATCGAATGCACTACACTGAAGCATTAAAGATTCAGTGATGAAACCTTTAAAGTTACTGTACTGTATATTTCTTCATTATAACAGTTTTTGCTTTAAGAAACAGTTTGAGCTTATATACCTAGTAAAGTACAGAATGGAGATTTATCATATGCATTATTGCTACTTTTTTAAAGAAAAGTTTTGCACTTTTCAAAGCTTTCCTATTTTTTGCTTCTTATTTCTTTTCATGAGATTGATGATATATGGTTAATATAATCCAATAACTTTATAATTTCTAAAAAGCTTTTAAGCTTCTAGCATAAAAGTAGTGTACTTTGGTATTTGATTCATTTGGTTATATTGCCTTGCTATGACATATCTACTTGCACTTCATCATTCTTGTATGAACAAAACACCAGATGTGGATACTCAGAGAACAAAATGCACTACCAACTGCTTATGAAATTTATTATTGAGGTGAAAACTGTGTTAATCATTCAAATTGTGTACTTATTTGCAAATATAGGAAAAACAAAACAAAGTGAAAAAGAAGGGTAGAAGTATTAAAACTGCAAATGAATTATAAACACCATTGGAAGCATAAGTGTTTTGATGATTATTTGCATTATGCCCAATTCATATATCAATACAACAAAATCATGTGCTACAACACAAAGTATTTGATGCAGTTGCACTTCAACATCACAAAAGGTTACTTTAAGTAATTTCTATACAATATTGTTTGTTTTCATTTACCAAAGCTATGCAGACTTGAGGCTTTTTGAAATTTCATATGAAACTCAATTACAGAAAATCCGTAAATATCCATTGATTTAATATTTACTTTTTAAAGAAACAAGTAAAATCCAACAATTGTGGCGAAAAGCCATTGCCCATTGCATGAAAAGAAGCAAATAGCAATGATAACAAATACTAACTTCTCTCAGTGACCGTGGAGATGAACTGTGATATACTTTTTGTATAGACTAAAAGAGTTTAATCGATCAAACAAGTTTGCGCTGGTAAATAACACATCTGCATTCATACATATAGCCGACATATAGCTCTTTCGTCGATAGTTATAAATGCATCCTTTTAGGAGCACATAACTGACAACCACAGTTGATCGCTGTTGTCCATTTTTGAAACACGATTTTATCAAAAATTGTTCCCGATAAATACACAAACATTTTCCTCACTCTTTCCTCAGGAGGGTGGAAATTTGAAATTTTCGGAAAAGCGATCAATTTATTAAATCTCAGCGGCAACGGACGAAATCCACCATTTTTTGCGTCATCAGATATCTAAGGCCGCGCTTGATAGCCGCTCCAGTTATTATAGAACTCAATGACCGCAACGAAATAAGCAAAATTATACAAAACACTTTTCTTCGATACACGTTTCTGATCCTAAATGCGAAAGAGAACTAGGCACCAAAATGTCTCACCAATACTCATGCTGTCATGCAATGTAAGTGTGATATTTTGTAAAAATAGGAAGCTCAAAATTTGGAAAGAAAACGAAAGATCATTGCTCCAGTTAAATGGTAATTTCTACAAGCAAAGCGGGACAGTATTATAAAAGGTATAAAAGCTAATAGCCGTAAAATAGCATACAAATCATGTTGATCTTTTAAAAGCTTGATCATGTGGAAAGAAACGACGAGGTTTCTCCGCGTGTTAGCTAAAAGCATATAGTTGGGGCGGTTATAGAGATTGCAGTTTAATTAAAAGATAAGAAATTTGTAACAATTATGTTCCAGTTATATCTTTTACAGTAAGGGTGGGGTGTCACACCCTTAAATCCACCTAGTTTGATTTTATCACAAGACATGTTTAATTGAATAATAATGTGGACATGAATCGTTGTCACAAAGCTTTGGGGCATTTTAAAAATGAGAGCGACAACGAATAGCATTCGCACAGACTCGCCAACTTGTGTAGCTACGACATAGCATTAAGAAATGCATCATCCCTTTGATGCAAAATCACGGTAGAACTAAACGCTGTGGATGAAAAATAAAATCACATTACGAAAAATTGGAGAAACATCCCATTCGGCAGATATGTGGATAATATATTGTTTTTAAATGAAGGAATACTGATTTTCACTTTGATAAGAACATGGAGAGACGATCAGCTATATGATTAGATAAGATATCGCAAAACCATTAGTGGCATTTCCTCAATAAATATCTACTCTCAGAAGGAGTATGGCTTTGCCAGCTATTACAGGTGTCTACCCCATGCGTACCAAACAATTCAGTTTAGGAATGGCTTGATCGTGATCCTTAAACAGTTAACACGATTCATAATGTGTTTCCACATTTC